TAGAAGCAAAGTCAGAGTTAGAGTACCCTACTAGCCTAGACTAGTTCATCCCCTTAAATGTGAGCCCTTAATCTTATGTTAATCTTAGGTATTTAAGGATATGTCTTGCAGCAGACATATGGAATTTAGCCGGATCTCCTAGGTACTAGCTTAGTCTCCTAAGAGCAAAAGAAATGTTAGGTCTTATTAAAATAGCAAGATACATAAGCTTCCTAATTAATGTCTAGTATCCCTTTTAATCGGTTCTTAGATTAGCCTATTCCGCTAGCCTAATGGAGTCATATCCATTCATTAGGGTGCTTGTCTTTCTTATCTTATCTTGTTACATACTGTACATAGAGAGAATCTCTCTAATGTAGTGTGCTTAATCCAATTTTATAATCCTCTTCTTTCTGTCTCTAGTGACTTATACTCCTAGGATCTTCTTAACTTCTCCTAGGTCCTTAATCTTAAAGACTTTTCCAAATTCTGACTTAAACTAGTTAATACTCTTAATTGACTTTAAGGCAATAAGGATATTATTAACATAAACTAGGAGAATCAAATTCTTGTTAGCATATGTTAATAGGCAGGGGTTAGCATCTAATTGTACAAAGCCTAGCTTTTGCAACTTAAGAGTACACTTCTCATTCTAGTCTCTTGCAGCCTGCTTAAGTCTATACAAACTTCTATAGACCTTAAGACATTAGCTAGTAGGTACAGTCATTCTAGGAGGTGCCTTTATATAGATGTCTTCCTTTAAGAATGATTTAGTAAAGGCGTTATTAACATTAACAGAGTGGCATTTAAGATCCTAGATTACAACTATTGTAAAGAAGATTCTTAGAGTATTATGTCTTAGAGTAGGCGCAAAGGTGTACTTATAATTAACTCCAAATTTCTGTAAAAATCCTCTTATAACAAGTCTCGCCTTAAGCTTATCTAGAGAACCATTAGTGTTGAACTTTGTTATAAAGACCTATTTACTAGAAACAATGTTGTAACCTATAGGTAGAGTAGTAACCTTAAAGGTGCTGTTTGCAGCAAGTGCATTTAGTTCGTTTTAAATTGCTTCTCTCTAGCCTTCTCCCTATATCTTATCTACGATTGCTTTAAGATAGGTAAGGGGAATAGGAATATTTATTCTTCCTTATGCAACAAATGCTACCTCTTTATCCTCTTGTAGTAAATAGGATTCTTAGAACTGTTATAGGAGATAGTTAGTCATCGACTAATAATCTTTATCTTATAACACATCCTTATCTATTACTAATAAGGCTAGAAGGGAGAATAAGGCCTTATAGTGCTTTGCCATTTGTTTATCTTCTAAGTAGTCTATGTTGCTCTCTTCTCTAGACCTTTTCCTGTTTTAAACTTATTCATTAATGTAGGGATTAGCAATGTACTTGTACTAACTCCTATTAAAACTAGGTAGTTTAGTGATGATAACATTAACTCCTAGCTTCTCCACTAGTACAGCTTCTAGGGGACTAGATATGTCCTTCGTTCCTGCAACTAGTATTGTTATAATAGGTGTTATTGCAATAGGGGTTGTTATAATAGGGGTTGTTATAATAAGGGTTATTATAATAGGAACTTTAGTAGGCTCTTCTATTATAGCTTCCTTCTAGGTAAAACTTCTTGTAGTTCTATTAGATGTAGGCTATTCATCTGCTCCCACTAATCGTGGTTTCTAGGTAGGATTATCTTGTCTTTTATCTATATCTTGTTATAGAGTTTAGTTAACTCCTACTGATTTTAGATTCCCTTATGCTATAGTTTGCTCTTATAGAACTTCTTTCTTAATCCTAGGTCTGCTACGAGGATTTCTCTCTACTGCTATGCTAGGAGAATGCTAGCTCTTAAAATTGAGCTCTTCTAGCGTAAGCTTCTCTTGCTTAAAGAACTTAATGTTACTAGTCTTAATTACATCTTTTCTATTAGGTGCCTAGATAAGGAATTGCTTACTAGTGTCTACAACATATCCTAGGAATGCACTAACTCTTACTTTGTCTATAAGCTTATCTCTTCTAAAGGATTGTAGAATTAATTCTCTTTCTATATAGGAATGAACCTTATAACCCTAGACTCTAATGTAGTCTATGTTTAGGATTCTTCTAGTAAAGGCTTCATATAGGCTTATAAGGTGATCATTAATGACTAGTCCATTTGATGTCCGATTCCTAATATAGATGCCTACCTAATAGGCTTCTACCTAGAATTCTGCTAGTAGACCTAAGTCCTTAAGGAGGGCTCTTATATCATTTTCGATCTGTTAGTTTTCCCTCTTAACTAGACCATTCTGTGTTAAGGTATGTAGGATTGTTGTCTAAGCTTCGATTCTATACTGTTCTTTAAGTCTAGAGAAATGTTTCACTAATTCCTTTGCATTGTTAAGTCTAACACTCTTAAGAAGATAGCTAGACTGTCTCTTAACTTAAATCTTCTAGGTTGCAAGCCTATCGGGGCATTCCTTTNAGGATTGTAGAATTAATTCTCTTTCTATATAGGAATGAACCTTATAACCCTAGACTCTAATGTAGTCTATGTTTAGGATTCTTCTAGTAAAGGCTTCATATAGGCTTATAAGGTGATCATTAATGACTAGTCCATTTGATGTCCGATTCCTAATATAGATGCCTACCTAATAGGCTTCTACCTAGAATTCTGCTAGTAGACCTAAGTCCTTAAGGAGGGCTCTTATATCATTTTCGATCTGTTAGTTTTCCCTCTTAACTAGACCATTCTGTGTTAAGGTATGTAGGATTGTTGTCTAAGCTTCGATTCTATACTGTTCTTTAAGTCTAGAGAAATGTTTCACTAATTCCTTTGCATTGTTAAGTCTAACACTCTTAAGAAGATAGCTAGACTGTCTCTTAACTTAAATCTTCTAGGTTGCAAGCCTATCGGGGCATTCCTTTCTCTCCTTAATAGGGATTATCTAGGACATTCTTATGTGATCATCTTTAATAACTATTGCCTAGGTGTAACCTTCTCTAGAGGTAGGGAATGGTCCACATGTATTAATAGATACCCTTTCTAGGGGGTGTTCTTTTCTAGCTAATACTTTGCCTTTTAACTTACGGAATTTTGTTAGTATGTAAGTCTAGTATGTATACTTAACAACTTTAACTGCTTTAGCTATAGTTGTAACCTTATATAGGTTTGCAATCTTTGCAGATCTAAGGTAGGCAAATCTCCGGTAATATAGCATGTAGTTGTCTATATCTCTCTTATTAGAAGCATTAGCATTAGAATTAGATTCACTTTTAGCTTTATCTTCTTAAATTAAAGGAAGAGCCTTAGGTGCAACTGTTGTAGGTACTATAACGTCCTTTATAAGTGTTGCAGTATCTCTTTTAAGCGGACTATCTAGTTAGGGCTAAGTTGCTATAAAAGCCTATAGATTTGATTTTGTCTAAGCTAGCTTCGGTGAGATGGAATCTAGGATATAGATTCCTCCCCTCTCCTTTGCATATAGAATAGTGTTACCGTCCTTGTTAAGGTAGTACATGTTCTATAAGTTAAAGCTTCCTTTTAAACCGGCTTTATACAATTTTCTCCTAGAAAGCAAATTGACTCTAAGTTTAGGAACTAGTAGAACATCTTTTAATCTAAATCTCCCTCCTCTGCGGTCTATTACATCTATAACTCCTCTCTTTGTTAAAAAGAGCTTCCCTCTACTAATAGCGATCGTTATTCGCCTTATAGTTATAGGAGGTTTACTAAATAGAGAGGAATTATTAGTCATATAGGAACTTGCGCTAGAGTTAGATATCTAGCTATCTACTGTTATAGTACTAACATTTTCTTTGCTAAGGTTTGCATACTTAGTCTCTAGTTCTCCTTAATCACTTCTAGATAGGCTATCTAAACTAGAGTTAGTTAATTCTGATTTAGCCTATGTTGTAAGATGAGCCTTTATGAACTTACTTCCCTATAACTGTTTAACGGTCTTCTTTAGGTACTTAATTTCTTTGTTTAGTCTTGCCACTTCGTTTCCTTAAGAAGATATCTATTTACTTAACTTCTTACTGTCTAGATGTTCTCTTCGAAGCTTCCTACTATAGGCCTTAACTATAGAGATATAGTTGCAGGACTTCATCTAGTAATTAGGTGCACTATATAGATGATAGCTTAGTCTATCTCTCTATAACGGACTCCTTGCTCTAGTAGGTAAATTTCTCTTCTAGTGAGATAGCTTGCTACTCTAGTAGGGCTTCTTTACGTAGTAAGCAGCCTCTAGATTAATAGTTGCTTATGCCTTATTTAGGATAAGTAGAACTTCCTTAGGGTTAACTTTTCCTCTAGCGTCAATTCCTACTTTGTATGTAGCATACTCGATAGGTAGTGCTATAAGTAGTTGTTAGATTCTAGACTTAATTAAGTTAAGGGATTTTAACTTAGGTCTTTGTTTAACAACCTTCTTGCCTAGGGTATTAATTTGTTACTATACGGCGTCGATTAAGGTAGTTGCATTAATCTTAAATGTAGAGAATTTAACAAGGTATTATCTGCCTATAGATGTAAGTCTTGTCTTATACTTCTTCTAGAGTCTCTCCTAGATGGCTTTAGAAGTCTCTTCCTCTTTAACTAATTTAAGGTTAAATTCATTTAGAGATAATCTAATGTAGTATCTAGCCTTTACATCCTTTTGTCTAAAGAGTATAACATTAGTTGTTCTACTAATAGGTAGATCCTAGAGGGAAATGTTCTTTACACTATCTATAATAGATGCTAGTGTAGGAGGTGTTTTAGGGGGTGTTAATGTACTCTCTACCGCCTAGAAGACTCCTTTAGCTTTAAGCTAGTCTTTTATCTGCATGAACCATTTGTCTATATTGTCCCTACCGAGGGTTGCTACCCTTTAGTGTTTAGACATTATGTAGTTATCTACTAAATCCATCTTATGAAGATGTTATAGTTGTAGTTGTAATTAAGCTCTCTTTCTATTGTCGTGTTATAATTGCTATTATGTTAGTTACAAGTTAACTTGTTATATGCTAAAGGTGTGTATTAGTAGATAGGGTTAGATTTCTAAAAGTACTCGACTAAGGCGATATTGCCTAAGTAAGTTTAGTCGTCTAAGGGGTAGAAATAGGTAACTATATGTCTCTATTTCCACAGTTGTGTAGGTAGCTAAGTATCCTAGTTGCCTTAGTAATGTGTGTATGTAGCTGTATATCCTTATTACTACAGCAGTAATAGGTAATTAAGTTTCTCTATTGCCTCGGTAGTGTAGGTAACTATATGTCCTAGTTGCTATAGTCTCTCTCCTCTTATTTATCTCCTACTATTCTTAGTAGAGCCTTAATAAGTTACATAGGTTCTAGGATTATGCAAAACCCGGGCTTATAACTAGTTAAAATAAGTCGTGTAACGGGTGCATAAAATACTCTAGCTAGCGTAGGGAAGTAATCCTAGAGCCTATAGAATTAACCGAAGGTGGAGACGCGACCTTTGCTAGTGAAAGCGTACTAACAGTATATAGCGTAGTAATTAATTAATTGAAGAGAAGAAGAGTATCTACGGGCGCAATCTATTAAGAACGTCCTACTCTGCTAAGGCGTTAGGATGCTAAGCTAACCTTGTTATCCCCTTACTTGTTATAGCCTATTATAGACCTATCTGCAACAGAACCTTACCGTATTATAATAGAGTTGCAACTCCTCTAAGTGTGCTAGGACTACACTATTTTTAACTATTAGGATTATAAGGTTTCTTATAATGCTTTTTTCTAGTTGTTAAATTCTAATTAGCGCACTAAACCTACGGATGGCGGGTTTATATTCGATCCTACTATAGTTAGAACGTAGTTAGACTATAGTTATAATATCTTACTATATCTTGCGAAAATGTTACGATCGGAGTATAGTCCTCCCTCTATAGCCTATACCTCTGTTTCTCCTTATTAAACATACCCTTTATAGTAAGGTAACGCCTTTTAAAAATTAGTAAATTAGTTACTATAGTTAAAACATAGTACAAACTTATTCGCCTCTACGATACGTAGCTCTATCTCTCTAAAATTAACGTAGTTTAAAAGTTCCCGTAGACGAACTAAGTTATCTACTTTAAGGGACTTCTATATTATGTTTCGAAGCTATAGGAGGAGCCTCTAGCACACTCTAACCCTAGAACACTCGTAGCGGTAGCGTATATAGCGTACGCTACTAAAAAAGGGAGATCGGGTTAGCTTTAGGGGTATGTAGCGATAATATCTAAGTTAAAGCTACTAACTATGTTAGCACTATAGTTAAAACATAGTTAAATTGTCTACCTCTAGCTTTTCGACATCGTATATCTCTAAGACTAGTATATAGTAGGTATAACCATTATTAGAAGTCTTCGGAAATGGCGGAATATAATGGTAATAGACTAAGGTCTCTATACTAAGGTATGAATTACCTAATCCATTAGTGAGAGCAAATAGGCCGTTACTTTCGATCTAAACATAGTTAGACTATAGTTCATTTTAACTACGTTTTAACTATAGTACAAACGTAGATGTTCCGTAGTTGCTCCGCGAGTTCCTTATTAATGTTAATTAGAGCGTCTTCTACTAGCTAACGTCGCTCGTTTAGGAGCTCCTCCTCTTAAGTAAGAACCTCGTCTAGTGTGCCTATGTTTTCGGCTATGTTGTTGTTACTAAACAGAAACCAAACGCGGTGCGACCACGATTTAAATTGGTTGTAGGGAGATTAGGCTTGGCTAACGGTTAGCCAAGACCTAGCGTGGTTAGGTCCGCTTTCCGTGTGGTCGTGGCGGGCCTACGCTCCCTTCCGCATTAAGCAAGCTTCCATGACAGCTTGAACTCTCGGCGTCGAAAGGGCGTGAAAATGACAAGTACGACACCTTCTCGACGACCAATAGATTTATTGAGCAGGTTGCTGATCGGAACGTAGATTGAAACAACTCTGCTCTTCCGAGAAAAACGCTCTTTCCAAAGCAAAGCCTAAGTCAAGAGACATCATCTCGAGGTAGGCACACGGAAAACTACGGCAGACCCTGCTTCGTGATAGCTTCAAGCATCTTCCCATCTTCTCTTTCTTCTCTCATACCACGACATCACTTCTACTATGGATCCCTCTAGATATCAGCCCTCGACGCTGGCCGTCCACGGCGATGACCCGCTCAACGACTCTACAGATGTTGCTCCCGCCATGCACGTCTCTACCACCTACCGCTATCCTGAGGACCCTGACAAGCTGGTGCCTTTCAGCATGGACGATGTGGTATGTTGCAGTCACAAATCATTCAGCCTCTTAGCAGCAACTAATCAATCCCTCAGATGGCCGGTCGCGACCCCTTGAAGCCAGGAAGCGGCGCCGACCCTCTCATCTACAGTCGCGAAGCCGCGCCCAACACATCCCGTCTCGAAACCATCCTTTCGCACCTTCTCAAGGGTCCAGCATTGACCTACAGCTCCGGTCTTGCTGCCTTCCACGCTATGCTAGTCGCACTCAACCCCAAAGTTGTTGCTATTGGCGATGGCTACCACGGCTGCCATGGCGTGCTCAAGATTTTCCAGAAGCTCACACACTGCAAGATTGTCGATGTACACAACCCGGATACATGGGAAGATTTAGGAGAGGGCGATGTGGTACACTTGGAGACACCGTTGAACCCTACCGGCGAGGCCTACGAGATTGAGAAATACGCCAAATGGGCACATGAGAGAGGTGCTGTCTTGACAATCGATGCTACATTTGCGCCACCACCGCTCCAAAACCCCTTCGACTTCGGCGCAGACTATGTGATGCACAGCGGAACCAAATACTTCGGCGGTCACAGCGATATGCTTTGCGGTGTCGTCGCCATCAATCCTGTACGCCCGAACGCAACGAAAGAGTACTGGGGAATGTGGGACGAACGTGTATGCTTGGGCGGCGTCATGGGAAGTCTAGAAGGCTGGCTCGGTGTCCGCAGTATGCGCACCTTCGAGCTCCGCATCACTCGTCAATCAGAAACCACAACTGCTCTGGTCCAGTGGCTCGCTACCCTCCAAGCCGGCGAAGGACCCAAGGAAGATGTCGCCGTTGTCCAGAAAGCGGTTGCACGTGTGCAGCACGCAAGTTTGCAAAAGGACGACATGCACTGGCTTGTCAAACAAATGCCTGGAGGTTATAACCCCGTGTTTGCTATCTGGATGTCATCAGAGAAGTTTGCTAGGTGCCTGCCTAGCAAACTGCATCTTTTCCACCATGCCACCAGTCTTGGTGGTGTGGAGAGTTTGATCGAGTGGCGCCGTATGAGTGATGACAAGATTGACCCGAGAGTCCTTAGAGTCAGCATTGGCGTTGAGAATGTTGAGGACCTGAAGAGAGATTTCTTGGAAGCATTCAAGGCTGTCTTGAGTGATGCCTGAGAAGCTGACATGTGTTGATACACGATATATATGACTTTTTAGATCCCGGAAACCGTAAATACTTGATAGATCAGCAATATCTACGACTTCGAGCACCAGGTCATTGGAGTGGACTTTCTGGTCGGCTTCCCAAGATTCTTTTGCCATGTGATTCTACACGAACGGAAGTAACTCACGGTATACTTTTCTATCGCGACTTGTCGATCCGGACCATCAACTCTCGCCATCACGCACATAGACTTCCAGAGAAGTACTGCACGGGTCAATGAACCGGCTTACATGATCAATCTCTCATCCTTGTGGTCTAATGCTTTCATGCAATGGAAGTACCGCAACGTATACTTCATCAATGCAGAACGGGATCCCGGATGTCGATTCTTGTCGCCGTGCAAGGTGGAACTCGACGGAGGTACTGTACAGGTCAATGAAGTAGCCTACATGATCGGTCTCTCGCATCCCCGTGGTCTATTGCTTTCATGTAACGGAAGTACTGCATAGTATACTTCCTTCGTGAAAAAAATGGTACTCCGGACGTCGACCCAAAGCCCTGCTTCGCTCAACGTTGACAGTATACCGTGCAGTACTTCCGTTACCCTCTTCGTACACAATGACGGCGAGTCGAGCGGTTCAACGGGGCGGAGGCTCGTCATCGACCCGGTCCTCGTCCTCGACTTGGTCATCGTCGTCGACTCAGTCCTCAATAATCATTGCGTACTCTATGATATAATCAGTCATCCTTTTGCGCTTCGGTCGAATCTCTAACGACGGTGATGGAAAGATTAGTTCTGGAGAAGAGATGCTTTATAATCCATGCACCACAGTTTCTGAGAGGTGTGGAAGCAGGTATCGCATGTGTTAACAGGCCCAGAACTGCTGTTGTGAGCGTAAGAGGTCAGTGGTACATATTGATACCATATCTGCCCTTGAACATAGCAGTGAGTGATCCTGACTATTTCGATTCTGCCCTGCTTGTGATAATCTCGGTGTTTTCTTTGTCCGAAGATACCTCCTTGGTGGCAGAACCTCGGGATCGCCAGTGCAAGCTCTTTGAACTTCAGCTTCTATATCTGCTTGCTGCTAACACGCTGAACCTTACCACGAACAAGCAGCAAGATCTTGCTAAGACATAGATCAAGCTGCTCATGCGGTAAAGTTACAACTGTCTGGCTTGTGAGATGCGTATGCCTCACCTACCAGATCAAGATATGGGTGGCAGGCTTCATCTCGTTCACGTAAGCGTTCAGTGTGAAGCATCGGCGGCTCGGCAGTCTGCCTTTTCCAACACGTCTCTGAGGGCAGGTACAAGTGGCTTGCGCTGTTCAATCTCTTCAGGCTGCTCATTCCTTCCCGGATGCTCGCTGACTACCGCATTCGGGCACATGTAGGCCTTGAAGCTGGCAGCCTATGCTTGAAGGCATGAACGACTGGATTTCGGTGATCGTGATGTCAGAAGCTGAGAATGTTTATTGGCTTCATACCACTTACCAAAATCCTCTTACAGTTCCCTCAATAGTCATCACTGGCGGCCTGCGAGTGAAGCCAGAGTCGACCGGATGCGTCTTTGAGAACTTCAGCAGGCCTCTCGTCATGGGACGACTTCTGCTCATATGATCCAGGATTTCAGGGAAGGTGCAGTGGGCCGTGACTTCCTCGAAAATGGCTTCCACCCAAGCTGAGTGATGGGACTTGGCAGCAGCTTTGATTTCGCACATTGATCGAAAGCTGCTCGGTGATCTCGGAAGCCTGAGTTTGCTGCCCTCCATATCCAGGCTTCTCAGCCGCAAACTTGCAAATCAACAACAGCAAGGCAGGACCACAACAAAGTGACTCTCATTGTTCCTCCATCACTCGAGCCTTCTTATCTTCAGCGCTGACGCGTTCAACCCCTTCAAAATATCATCACTTGTCAACAAAGCGAAGGTAGCAGATCTGACAGGTTTTGGCACTTCTGCAACTTCGTGAAGCCTTTAGCGTCATCACTGAACATAGTCCGATACAGTTCACCTGTGTTCCGTCGAAAGCTCTCCGCCGGCACACCTTCCGCTTACAGTACCTTTGGCTTGCCCAAAGAACCTGCCAGCTACATCAATCATCAACAAGGCGAAAGTCACAAGACCGGCTGAGCTTGATTCTTCTGTAAGTTTGGCAGCAGTCAACATCCCTCCTTCTTCATGACCAAGACTGATCGCAATCCAGTATTGTTGACCTGGATAGCCTTCAGATCTCTTCACCGGTACATCTATCGCTTGCAGGATCTCTGGTGCGTTGAGGCTTCTTTCCAACAACAACAACCGCTGGCGGAACGAAGCAATTATCCTGTCCTTGAAGCCTTGCCATCACCTTATCCAGCAGAGGCAGAACCTTCGCTTCTTTACCGACCACAACAAGACGCGATTTGGTTTTGTTGATCTGATCCTCACTATCCACCGTCACGCCTGTTATCTGCAGCTTTTCTGCCGCGTCCAAGGGCCTTTGCAACATCTTCGTTCATTCATACGAAGTAACAAGTTCCACCATTCTTGGAGCCTGTTCGACCTCTTCATTGACAGTTTTCTCTGTCCTTCCAACAGCATCAATACATGATCTGGTCTGTCAAATCTGATCAAACCTCTACGGGGCCTTATCGTACGTACATCTCTGACACGTTACAAAGACCTTCGAAGAGGATCAAACATCTGGAGGGAAAGGAGTAGCAATATCAACGGATCTTGAACCTCTTCCAACCTTTCAGCAAGCATCTTTGTTTGTCTCTCCCAATCACAGCGATATACGACCAGTCGTGTTGACTAATCCAGCTTTCAGGTCTCTCCACTGTCAGATATAGCAATCGTAGCTTTCGTGGCATCTCTGACGCCTACCAAGACCTCTGTTGTGTTTTCGATCAGCAACGTACACCAAAGTAGCAAGTCCAACGAATCTTGGAACCTGTCCAGCTCCTTCGGCAGCTTTTCCTCTTGTCTCTTCAACATCGTTGACCAGAAGCCCAGTACTGTTGACTTGACCAGCTTCGAAGTCCCGTCGAAATCTTCGCCGTCACACATCATCGAGAACGGCCATCTTGTCGACCCCATCGTCGAGACCGACCCTCAAGGACTTCCGCAGTCTTCTACCACAGCCTGTGAAGCGGTCAGCGCTCTGCTTCGTCAGTTTTCGATTTTCACACACTCTAAAAGCGGCTATAAAAGCTTTTTGCTCTGGATCTGTTCCTTCTCTTCTCTTTACCACAACAACTCGAACATTACGCGTACCTCCTCCGCCACACTCTCGCGTCCCTTGATCAGATCTTCGAAGGTTCGTATGCTGTGTTTTCTCTGTCTCTCTTTTCTTTTCTTTTTTATCCTTTTTCACATCCCTTCCATCCCTTTCCATCCTTACCTTCCCTGTTCCCCCTTCTCCTTCGCCCTCCAGTCTTCTTGCTTCTCCAGTGTTCCTTCTCTTCTCTTCTACCAATCCTCTGCTGACATGTTTGTCCAGGTTCTTACCTCCTCCATTCAACACTCATTTGCGTTTCTGATATGTCATACTGCGACATGTCTCTAACATCGAACCTCGGAAACGAACGTCACGCCAGTGCCTGGTTTATCACATCGGATGGACATGTCATTCCTTTCCATGCGGTGATCCTTGACTTCAGATCTCTGTTGCCATGCGTTCTCGATGACTTGGTCAACTCTCGAGTGGACGCCGGACAGGTAAGAACATCTTGCTGTAACACATCAATGCCCCGCTAATCATACGGTAGCCTCGCATCCCGGTTCCTTTCGACAGTCAGACGGTCTGGCGCGTTTTCAACTTCATCTATCATGAGGACTACGACGATCTTGACGTTCCCCTGACCTTCCCCGTGGTCGATCCCCCTCGAGCTTCTCCGTCGGCTAGCACTAGGTTGATCGACATCTACTCTTCAGACGAGGAGACGGAGCTTTCCTTGGGGTTCCGTAACCTCCAGGTTACCCCTCGGGCTTGCACTTCGGCTGTTCTACTCAAGGCTTGGGCCAATCTGCTGGTCTACCGCGTCGCCAGCATCTGGACTATCGACCGTCTGGTCGTCGAGTCCTCAACCAGATTTGACAGATTCCTATCCGGCGCCTCTGGCGAGACCGATTTTCCTGAATTCGTCGACGCTGTCTTCAACTCAGTCTCTGACCCCGCTCAGATCCTGTATGATCGCGTCGCTGAGGAGTGTGTTGACAATGCCGAAGAGCTCTGTAGAAGCGATCACTTCCTTGCCGTCGTTCAAAGACATGGGTTGTTGGGTCGTCTTCTCTTCGTGAAGATCACTTCTCGCAGTCGCGGCCAGAGAAATGCCTCTGCTTTTTTTACAACTCCTGCACCCACCGTCCCTGCTGCTTCGACCGCTGCTTCGACCGCTAGTTCGTCCGCTGCTTCGACCGCTGCCAGCCCCTCAGTTATCGGAGACCTTCAAGGCCAGCTCGCCAGTGCACAGAAGGACATCGTTCTCAAGGACGCGCTTCTGGAAACCCGTGAAGCAGAAGTTCAACGCCTGAAGCAGAACGTCGAATCTCAGCACGCGACCTTGACTCGCCAGAGTATCAAGATCACCGCTTTGGAGGGTCGTTCTGTCGCTCCAGGACCCGAGGACCCCAAGTTGACTGCCCAGCTCAAGGCCAAGGAAGCTGCGCTCGAGAATCTTCAGGACAAGCTCGATTCTCAAGACCTCCAGATCTTGGACCTCGAGGCCAAGCTGAAGGACTCCATACGTCGCACTACGGAGTTGACTCATGGGATCAACCACCAGCGCTCCAATCAGCCTCACAACACCAACCTGATGATCCAGCGCAACGAGGCACGTCAAAAGTTCGACATCGTCCAACAAGAGCTTACTACCTCGGAGAAGAAGGTCAAGGACCTGGAGGCTCGTCTTGCCGCCAAGGAGCAAGAGCTTGTAACCCTTCGTGCTGCTCCCGCCCAGCCCACGCCTCGTGTCGTTGCTCAGGCTGACGCACCCGCTCTACCTGCTCCCCCGGTCGGACCCACTCGCAAAGTCGCGGGCTTTGGTGCCTTGACTAAATCAGTCAACAGCATCAATGATGGTACAGCCGTCGCTCCCGCTCCGCGTCAACCTCTCGCTCTGCCCTCCCTGCCGCCAGGTATCGCCACTCAGACCACTGGGGGAGCCCTTACTTTTGTCCAACGCATGGCTGCCCGCCGTCAGGCCGCCGGTATTGGTGGCGGAGAACTTGAGGCCGCCATATTAGCCGGTGCTCCCGCTAGCATGCCCGTGGCTGTGCGCAACGAACATGCTGCCCCTGAGCAGCCATCACCCACCCTCAGTGATGCACCTTCTACGACCGGCGTAGCTGCTGTCGTCCCGGCTCTGACCAACGGTGTACCCCGTGCTCCTCACTCGACCAACGTCACTCGTCGCACCACTGGACCTCACGCCGGTCCTCACACTAGACCTCAGACTCCTCAGAGCAATGGCGTGATCCCTTTCACTGCCGGACCTGGTATCACTACTTCGACTGCTGTCAACGGTGTCACTACCTCCACGGTTGTCAATGGCGCTTCTAGCAGTCCCATCTCTACCACTCAGGCTTCGACTGTCGGTCAGAGCAACGCTGTTCTTGAGGAGAAGATCAGAATCATTGATCAGCAGCGCATTGAGATTGCCAGACTGCAGAATCAGGGTAGATTCTACCAAAAACAGTTGAACGATGCTCGCAATGGTAAGTAAAGCCCAGGCCTTCTTTCTACCTCTTATGCATGCTAATAATCTACTATCAGGTCCTGCCAGTAACGTCAACACCAGGGGTCATGGCGGTTCCGGCTTTTCTTCTTCTGGTGAGGATACCCGCCGCCTCAAGATCGTCCTCACCGCTCTCAAGGAGTACGATCTCGAACACAAGGCCTGCCTAGACTGCAGCATCAACTTCAATTCCGAGTGGCGCGGAATTGTCGACGACGTCAGCAACCCCGAACTCATCTTGAACTGCAAGAAATGTGGTGAGGAGAAGTGCCGTTGGCGCTGTTGAACGCTCTGTCATAACCCTCATGAGCAGTACGCACGACTCCTCAACATCCTCACGATCCTCTCCGAGGTCGACAACGGTTCAAACTTCGCTGGGAATATCCCGAAATCTTCCAACTCCAGAAGGCAACATAGCGATGCTGATGACGCGAATGGTGGCTTTTTTTAATAGGGTGACTTTTCCGAGATGTCTATAGCTTGCAAATCGAATGTCTTTGCGCATATTTCTGTTCTTGCCCAGTGCTGTGATGATTCATGATTGTATGTGGTGGAGTGGTTGATGTCAAAGCGTGAGTCTTGCTCCAATCAATGGTGCGTGCTAGCAGACCTTTCGTTTTCTCATGTGCCTCTCTCTCTCTATTTCTCTATTTCTCTTTTTCGCGGCAAGTACAAACTATCGACGATATCATAACAAAAATGCTGATATAATTGCCCGTGGTCTGCAGCTATACATGATGTTTACATTATCTCATCCTCATTGACGTCGTCTCCGCACAAGAGTCCAGCTCTTGCATCCAACCCATAATCATTACCACTACCTTCCCTTTTTCCCTTCTTCCACTCTTCCACACCCTAACCACTCTTCCCATCATCTCCATCCCCCTTCCCCCCACCACCGAACACACCACTCAACCAATCACCAAAATCCCCACTAGCTTTTTTCCCTTGCTCTCCTTTTTCCCCACCGATGTGTATTTTCTTCAACACGCCTGTTTTTACCAATATCACTATTACAACGACGAAGATTGTTATTATTGCGAGGAGTAGGATCCAAAAGGTTAGACATGTGCGGATGTAGGAGTGGCGTTTTTTGCGGCGGGTTGTGTGCAGCCAGGTGGATTTTGATCTGTAGGGGAGGGGGGTTAGTTGGGGTTGTGGAGGGGGGAGGAAGAGAGGGGGGGAGAAGGTGAGAGTGAGAGACTGATATGGGAGAGAAGGGCAGAGGATGGGTGCGTACTTTTCGTTTACTTGGGCTTCTTCGTCTTGGTGGACTGCGTAGCTGAAGCGTTTCCAGAAGTCTGGGTCGCGGGGGACTGCCATTGTTGTGACTGTGTTTCTTCTTGTCTGCTTCAATGGTAGAATCTGTCGTTTCGTCGGCTTGATGTCGACCAATAGATGAGTTGAATGGTGTTCGGAGTCCTGGTGATGTTGTTCGGTTGATGGGAGGTTTTATGTCGTGGTCGAGATACTCTTTTGCTGGCGGAAGCTGGTCTTGGAATCTTGTTGTTTTGTTCGGTACTGCCGTTGCTTGCAACTTCTTTGCTATGTCGATTTATCGCGTCTGCAAGACTTGTTGAAGATTTGGCGCATTCGTTCCTTCCTTTCCAGTAATATTGTCGAGGTTTCTCTCCAAGCGAGTGTGTTCGTGGTATCCAGCAATATGCAACTCCTTTGCAGATAGTGATAACGTTTTCGTCGATGTTGATCTTTTCCAGAAAGTCAAGAAGTCCAAGAATTGGCAAATGAGCTTATTGTCGCGTATGTGTTCGTTGATGCTTGAGATTGCAAATATGGGGGCCTGAGGAATGTATCGCAGATCCTGTGTACTCGTGACGTGTCCTGGTAGGCCTTGCAAGAAAGAAAAAACGAATAAACGGATCGAATCAATCGATCGCTGATACAAAAAGACAAATCGTGGAGAAGGACACAAATGAACAAAGATGGACGGGGAAAATGGAGAGAGAGGGAAGTCAAAGCAATTGTGTATCCGCAAGTCATTTTGACACCTTCACCCTGCGTCTGAACATGCGACCTACCTGTAACTAATGACAGCTGCCGAGTAATGCTAGTCAACCACGTGAACGGTAAGTCAAGCAATAGTTGAGCCTCTCAAACCTCCTGATTGATGGTCGGTTGTCGCAAAGTGTTGGTCTGAGGCAGCGGGCTTCGGGAGTTTGAAACGTGCCAAAATTACGAGTGTACACCTCATTTGGTACTTCGGCAAAGTTCGGCTAAGGATGCCAAGAGGTGGCAAAAAACAGGTGAGAATTTTCAAAGTCAGCTGAACTTTTGTAACGCTTAACCCTACGAAACACTAGCTGAACTTTTCTCTTACCTATATTATAACAATTATGGCTTATAACCTTAATATCCGCGATGAAACCGTAGTAGATTATGCGACGCCGTTTATTAACCCTAACGAAGGCGATATACCGGACGAGGAAGAAGATATAGAGGTTGCCCCTTACTAAACATGTTTTTAAGGTGTTTCAAATGCGTTACTAACATGTTACAGCGACTCATCCCTTTTACGGTCTTTAGAACTGTAAAGACGCGTTTTTAGGCTACTAAACTAGCATATCATATAATGTTCCCTAATTATCCTACCTCTTACGAGCTAGGATACGCTTACATTATCGATATCTTAGGTCTTAACAATATTAACTACGAGGACCTAAGTAAAGCGAAGGAGGTAAGATTTAGCTATCCTATAACACGTTCGAAACGCCTTTCTAACGTATTATAGTGCTAACTTTTAACTAAGCGCGGTTATCCCCCCGTCTCTAGTACTACGAGTATCTTTAGGATAGACCGAGAGATTAAAGGTACTATTTATTACCGCAAATGTTTAGGGGTAAAGGTTTGTCTAAGGCTTGCTCGCCCTTTAAGGGAATTCACTTAGGATAAGATAACGCTAGAGCGTTAGGACGAGTTCTATAAGAAGCGTAGAGAAATCGATAGCGGAGAACTAGAGCCTAGCAAACGCGTTACGAACAGGTTTAAAACACGTTTTTAGCGCCTTACATGGTCGTACGCTAATTACATTAGCATCTACCTAGCACTATAAGACAGGTTTAAGCGTAGAAAGATGTATAATAATTAGAACGAAACCTATAAGCCTATCTTCGCTAAAAGACCTGCGGTAAATTAGCCTTTATAACACCCTTAGAACACGTTACTAACACGTTAGAAGAACATTAACGATATTTGTTTGCTATATATCTGTTATTCAAACTTTAACTAGTAACAAAACTAAGTCGACCGGGACTCCTACTTTATATAGACTCCCGAGTACTAAGGCTAAGTTAATAACGACTATCTCGAGCATCTCTTCTAGGATAAGCATATAGTATATCCTCTTAAAGAATGCAATGTCATTCATTATATAGACGTTCGTAGCTATACATGCGGTATGTAACGTATTTCGAACGCATTGCGAACGGGTTTATAACGTGTTATAAAGGGGTTAACTATATAGGGGAGCTATCGAAGCTAGTCCCTACTTCTTGTTCTATTAAGATAAAGATCTTTATACCGAAGGACCTTTAGACATATAAGTGGGTTATTTAGGTTCTTAAAGGGACACACACTTATCTACCGTCACTTCCGTATAAGCTAAGCCTAATAATAATAGGGGAGGTATCCGACATTATAGAAGAGGTTATAAGTCCTAATTTGACTTTTAGTAAGCTATTCTAAATGCCTTTAGAACACGTTTCTAACGCGTTTAGGCTCTTTCCACTCCTACCTAAAGTTCTAAGAGTACTTAAAGACGAAAGGGGCAAGTAGTGCCGTAGCCCTTAGAAAAGGTATAGGGAAGCGGGGCCGTATTAATGCGGTAATCTATAAGCAAAAGTTGCTATACTACCTAGAAGGAAAGGAACTAGATAGCGTACACTAGGAGCACCGTATGAATCATTAGGATCCCGAAACTATAAGTCCTTTATAACGTCTTTTAAACGCGTTGCTAACACGTCTAGGCCTATATATAAGAGGTCTATAGTACTGTCGAAGAGGGTCTTCGGATTGTCCTATTTATAAAGGGCTAGGCTATGTTGTTTCTATAGCAGGACTCTTTTAAAGTCGACCTTTCGTATAAGCGGTTTAAGCTCTTAAAGAATAACGAGCTTATATTCGCGGTTTAGCTACCTAGAAGGCAAAAAGGTAAATTTCGAACGTCCTCTAAACGCGTTTTAAACGTCTTACATATATAACTAGTTATAACCCTCGCTCGGATTATTCTCGATCGGGCAAAACTAGATGCACTTACGTTTAAGCGAGCGTTTCGGGCATTATTTAACCTTATCTATAGGGTCTTAGGAAGACCGGTTAAGTGGATGCATCTATATAGCGAGGGTATTCGTATAGTGCTTATAGATTTAGACGCTATACAACGCAAAGGTTAGTACTATAACGCCTTCGGAACACGTTTTAAACTAATTAAGAAGGTCTTAGCGATTACCTTACAAGTATTAACGCTTAGCGTCGAGACTGTCTCTTCTAGTTACGGTCGTGCCTTATCCTCTACGCTATACACTTTAAGCGTAACATAAGGAAGGTCTATAGCGACTATTAGGCGTAGGATAGTATCCCTTATACGATAGAATCCCTTCGAAATTGTGAAACAGAAGCGGAGTACTATAACCTACTAGATTAACTTAAGAGTACGTTTCTAACGTGTTCTAAGCATGTTTCTAACGTGTTATAGATATTCTAGATGTTCCTAGACTTCGAGACTAGGCTATCGACAAAGAGGATGCTATTGTTGCTATAGGACTAAATCTAGTATGCTCTTTAATACCCTTAGCGGATTATAAGCGTATCCGGAATAGTACTAATGCAGTTAAACAGACCGGTCATAAGAGTAACTCGCTAGGGAAGAAGCTTTCTTTATTACCTACCATTTTCTTGTAAGAACTAAACTCGAACGCGTTTAAAACATGTTTTACACTTACTAAAGTCCGTTAGCTCTTAGTTAATTAATCGACTCGATGTAGATCATAAGGTAGCCTTCTAGAAGATAGGGGCAACTTATAAGCTTCGGGTTATAAATTAAACAAAGCGATTCGATGTTATAATAGCTAAGGAAGGTGTGTAACATACTGTTAACGTGTTCCGAACGCCTTTCTAATACGTTAGCCCGTCGGAAACGGAAACGTAACAATTTATAAGGCGAAGTAGACGACTTACTATAGAGCGCTACTACTAGAGGGCAAGTAGATTAACAACAGACCCCTTCTAGCTTATAGCAAAGCCTTTAAACCCCTAGTAGGCGAGGTCGTAATAGCTAGACCCCTTCTCGACGAGGCCGTAATAGCTAGACCCCTTCTAGACGAGGACGTAATTAGACGCCTTCTTCTCGAATAACAGCCGAGGATACTAGGTAGCGTAAGTAAGTTTCGAACGTGTTAGGAACGCGTTACGGATTTAACTAATACGCTTTAATAGTACCCTAGAGCAGCTTGCTATAAGGGAGCGGGAAGCGGCTCTAAGGGCACTAGAGCTACAGAATAAGGAGAGAGAGTTTAATATCCGTAAAAGGCAAAGAAGGCAAGCAGAGGCGGAAGGACGAGAGTAATATATAGTAATTAATTGATAAACGTACATTATAATTCTAAGTAGCCCTCTTAGATGCTTATTTACCCTTTATTAATTATAGAAATAGAGCCTGCTAAGAACTAAAGCTATTTATTAAAGGCTATTATAAACAATAGAGCAAGTAGAATAGGAGGCATTTTACTAAGACGAATGACCGTTAGGGTTATAGGGACAATAAGGCTTTAATGGAGGGTTATAAGGTCCTAGATGTCTTTAAAACGCGTTCGAAAGGCGTTCGGAACATGTTATAAAGGGAGGTCGGTAACCTTATAGAGCTCCTATAACAAAATACATAGATAAACAAACACGTTAGGAGGATGTTTCGAAGACGTTCGAAACGTGTTTAAAAGGAAACTAGAAGGCATAATGTTACAGAAATGGTTAAGTCTAATACTGTAAGACTATGATAAAGAAAAGCCTTTAATATGAAAAGCCCTTTAAAACACGTTCGAAAGCCGTTTAAAACACGTTCCTATCGTGTTTTAAGCCTTAGGTTCCTTAATATCCTCCTACTACTACTACTTTTTCCTCTCTACTCTATCCTCTACCTTTACCTCGTCCGACTTCATTTTCTTACGGAAGTTAGCGAGTTTAGTCGTCCTTTAAACCCTCTTCTAGTTCTTACAAGCATAGACCCTAAAGCACTCTAAAACACGTTAGTAATGTGTTTATAACGCGTTTTAAGGATGTTACAAACTCTTTCTGCCCTTTTTTTTATAGGTGTCGTAGAGCTTAAGGTCTAAGTCCGCGAAGTTAGAGTCGAGGGGGCCGTACTAGATCTGTAAATATCTTGTTAACGTGTTTTAAACGGATTTAAAACGGCTTTCAAACTTACGTCGCCCTTAGAATACTTGCCCTTTCTTTTGCTAGCGTAGTACTTAGCTTTAATCTGCTTCGAGGACGTTAGAAAGATATTCTAAACGTGTTTAAAACGTGTTTATACCGGTTCCTTAGGGGTCGCAGTCTTCTTAGGGCCTTTGCCGGGTGCGGGCTTCTTTCCTATAGGCTTAATAGGGCTCTAGGGTAGCTATAACCTGTTAGAAACGTGTTTTAAGGGCGTTTATAACGCGTTCGAAAGGTATTATAAATAGAGGGAGAGAGCACTAGTTTATCGTCATTACTTAGGTTAAGGTTAATTACCGGGACCGGCACTAAGCCCTTACGACCCTTCTTCTTAGGGACTAGGGACTCCTATAACGCGTTAGAAGTGCCTTTTAAACACGTTTAAAAGGGGTTAAAGATTACATCGACGGAGCTATTACGCTTCTTAGCCTTACTAGGTATAGCCGATTTAGGTTCCTCGGGCTAAACAAGTTAGAAAGACGTTCGAAACGCGTTTAAAGTGTATTTTAAATGTGTTTTAAATACCTCGACATCCTTCATCTCGCGCCTAAAGAACATATAGGCGTGCTAGATCTTACTATTAGTCGGGATGCTAGTCTTAGTACTACATGTCGGGAGCTTATCGGTAGCGGGCATCTATAAATATGTTATAAAGACGTTCGAAAGCCGTTCGTAACGCGTTTTAAACCTCTTTCTTAGCCTACTCGTAGTTATAAGACTTAACGTAATCGTAACCGTAGCCGGACTTATAGTAACGAACATAGTTATAGAGCGCACTATAGTTATAGTAACGTTTCTAAACGCGTTGTTAACGCCTTTCGAATACGTTTAAAAGATCTTTCTAATAACTTATACCGTATAGTTCTCCGTCCTCGGCGGCGAAGCGGCAAAATAGCTTACTATAGGTAACGACGGCGTATAGTGTCTTAACCTTCGGGTAGTTATTACGGCCTTTAGCGTCGGGGTCGGGCTTAAGGACTTTAATAACCTATGAACGCGTTAGAAAGACGTTCTAAACCTGTTTAAAAGATGTTTTAAAGGTGTTTTAAACATACCTCCTATGCTTTAAAGGTCTCGGGTATGTGTCTTCTTAAGGTGTATACGCGGTACTAGGCCGATATAGCGTAGAGTCTAACGGCGACGGTCATTATAATACGTTAGTAGGGTGTTTAGAACGCGTTTAAAAGATGTTAGTAGGGTGTTTAAGATCTTGTAACGCGTTAGTAGGGCGCTTAGAACGCGTTCGAAACGTGTTAGTAGGGTGTTTTATAGAGGCGTCGAAAAGTTTAGAAGAAGTTTGGAAGTGGTATATAGCTAAGAAGATTTAACAGCCGAGCGCGCCCTAAGCTTAGTTAAGCTTTCGCAGCCGTCAGCTAAGTGAAGGCTTAGCGCGCATATAACAGCCGAGCTTTGCCAAGATAACAGATGAGGTGTAATCTCAAAATTACATCTTGATTTTATTCATTTTTTTCTCCATTTTTTGCTCGATCTCGCTGAGGGTATCACCCTGTTCTTCGTATCAACGTCACATTTCACCATCTTTCTCGCAGCATTGTTATTACTCGCCTTGGCCATTCATCATGTCTTACTTCTTGCATTTCAACTGCTACCCAACCACTCGTATACCGCTCAGATCAAGCTGCCATGAAGATACGTCAAGAGCTCCTCTTCCCGTTCACCATCTTCTGACTAGTCTGGCATAAAGAAGCCGCAACCTGGGCGCACAAACGTCAGTGATCATCTTCATGAGCGCTCCAGGTGGAGAACTGCCGATATGTGTCCATTGTGAACAACACTTGATCAGCAGGGGCAGTCATCGTCAGATACGTCAGATACGCCAGATTTCAGGCACAGCAGCATTGACAACCGGGCCAGGAATGAACGATGGACCTTTCGCGAACAAGATGCGAGGCCACATACCCTTGCTGCCATGACTCCTGTACCGCGGAACGCCGAGTGGGGATGGTGAGTATTTCATAACCACTCGGCGGTCGGGTCTATAAAGCAAGGTCAGCATAGCTGAAGAGAAACTGGGCCTATCCGCTCTGGATGAGGACGACTGACACAGCGCCATCGAAACGCACAAGTACTTTACGGAATAGCAACGTATACAGTGAGAGCTTGAGCAACCGATCTCGATGGAGAAACCTATAGAGCTCAAAATCATTGTGCCTTTTCACAACCCTGTTCTGACGCCGTGTGAGTCGCTAGAATGCCTTCTTAGATATCAAAACGGTTATAGGTAGAGCAGATGAAGAATTGCAACATCTCGCTTGAAACGAGAATAGTGTCGTGCGTATATACCGTAAGAACGCGTTGATCATGGCTTTTTCTTTACCTGCAAAAGTGTGGAACCAAAAAGGGTATTCTTCCCTCAAACCCGAAGACTCGCCATTAACGCCGTGTGAATGCCTCTTTTCATGTATAGAGCTCCTGCTAGTTCAAAGCATCTAGAATCTCTTTCTGCTGGGTTCGGGGGTGGGAGATCTGCTGGCGCTCTTTTCGTCTCTTCCTCTCTGTCTCAACCACTTCTTTGTGGCCAGCTCGATTTCGCGGTCGAGTTCGGGTGATGGATCCTTGCGATGAATGAAGTTACAGAATCCACCACGTACACAGCCTTCGCCCGAGTTAAGACGACAGCAGGCTTCTCTAAAGTCGGTGACGGGGGAGAGTTCGCAGTAGATGGGGCGACCGGCGTACCAGCGGGAGTTCAGGGCGTCGCATGCGGCTTGTGCGGATTCCTCGTACTTGAAGCGGGCGTAGACGTTGCCAATGAGATCTGTCTTTGGTCAGTGTCTGGAGATGTACAAGTGATCCTGATTCTACTCACGGTCGTTGTTGTTGTCGCACACGACGACCTCCTCAATCTCTCCGTACTTGCACATCTCACACCAGAAATCCTCGTAAAAGGCGTCGAAGTGGTTTTGGAGTTGTTGCGGGTTCATCTTGCTCTTGGGGTCGTATGCCGGGTTCTGGTACAAGTTGGGGAGGAGGATGGTTTGCGAGTATGAGGGCTTGACATGTTTGCGCGAGCAGCGGTCTCCGTGACGGCATGCGCCGATTTTGTAGTAGAAGGAGCAGTTGACCTGTGATAGAGCTGTCAGTAAAGAGTCGCGCGCGTGTATCGAGATGATGAAGAATGCGCACCTTGTCCTGTTCGGTACCGAAGATGGAGGCGAGATAGTTGGCCATGGTGAGTGTGATGTGATGAATGCGCCGAGTTGTGATGAGAGTGAATTGCGACGAGTATTCAATCTCGAGCTCGTCGTCGGCTTGTCTGGGCGTTGCGCGCGCGCGTGACGACTCTTTTGTCAGCGGTCGACTCTTCTGGCAACCGCGACTGACCTTTTTCAGCCTCAACTCTCAGCCACATGTGGCTGCCCGCAGCTTCCTCTCCCGTCCTGCGAACAATTACGACTTCTCTTTTGTACGTGCTTGCTAATACTTCGGTTGTTCTTGAGATGCATCACGAAATTCCATGACAATCAATCTTGATGCTTGTGAACATTCGCAGACTATGTCAACTCGTAACTCGTTGAAGACATCTCCGTGGCGAGCTCTGCGGCTCAGTCCATGAATCGCCTTCTCCCAAATCATGCATTTCAAGCATCCTACGCTCGGGTTCGTTCCTGCTCCGCTCACAGCGAACATGCTTTGTGGTGAGTAATCGATATCTCACTTGAAGTGCGACCTGGGTAGTCAACATCTCTTCGACCATCCTCGGTGTCAGCAAGAACGCTTAACAGACTGGTCAGCTTCTATCGAGGAAGCCTTAGCACCTGCCGTGCCTGAACTATCATTCAAAATACAGCATTGACAGCAGGGTCATGAAACAAAATCGATCAGTCAGAATTCTAGAATGTCGGCTCCTCAATATTCACCGTTGAGTCTTCCACTACCAATAAAAAGCCCGTCCAACGCATTCCAACGGTCTTCAGAAGCCTACCCTCGACCATTCTGTTTACATTCCTCATCCAGTCCACGCGAAGTCTTCTAAACACTGTGTAATCGCTACAAGCATAGTCAAGATGTATCCTGGTCTCTGGTCGCATCCCTGCGACCTTTCGTTCCTTGTCGTCGCATCAATTACACTCGCTCGTTGTCCTCGCTCTGAATCATTCTATTTCGCCGTCTAGTCAGGCTCGTCAGCCACCCACGCTGCCAACAAGACACGGATACCGTTGAGCATAATCTTTTTCCAGTTGCCGGAGATCTGTAATCGGAAGACCGTTACCACTGCTTGATCTGTATAAAAGTCTCTTGACTTCCTCCCACGCGTACGGTCGTGCTCGTCCTCTCTCTCGAGTTTGGAGATGAGAACCATTGCCGGGTGTTTGGTGGTGTCTGCTTTGTTTTTGCAAGATGCCTTAGGCCAAGGTATGTCTGATCGATAAGGGAGACCACGAAGATGGGCTAACATTGGTTCAGCAGTTGTCACGCCCACAATTGTGGTGACCACACATGTTTCCGCCTGCACGTCCTCTGGTACCGGGCTCTTGTTTGGCACAACATCAGCAGCATCGGATCTCTCGTCCTCGCGAAGTCTGATTCCGTCAGGCTTCGTTGTGTCTTCGTCGGGCTCTTCAGGTTCGGTGACTTTGGGTGTCTCTTCGTCAAGCCTGCCATCCGTAACACCAAGTTCAATCTCATCTATTCCGGGCTCGGCTTCGTCAGTATCTGGTCTCTCCTCCGTAATCTCAAGCACCTCGGTCACGATCCCCACGGCTGTGCCCGTTTGTGGACAACCTTACTCTGGAAGCAACGGAACCGAATATCAAGTCGCATGCGGACAGACATATGGTGGAGAAGTGATCACTCAACAGCAGACGGACAGCACACTCAATCGAAAGCGTCAATCGAGCGGAGCTTCTTTCCAGGCCTGTGTTGCCTCTTGCGAAACTCTTCCCCAATGTGTGGCATCTGTCTTCTTCATCGGAGACTGCACTTTGTTGTCTGCGATCAACCGTATCACCAATACCGCAGGAGCATTGGCAGCCATCAGGGCTGATTATGTCGCCATTCTGGCTGCTCTTGCAAGCCCCAGTGCTGTCACCACAGCCACAGTGCCTGGTCCAACAGTGACGACTGCGACGCAAGGCTTTTCTTCTGCCATCGGAGATCACCTGTCTCAGAAGATATCGGACAATGCACCAGTGCCAACAAGTGATAACACAGTGGTTTACGTCAATCCTAGCCCGGCCATGTCTACAAGCAGTAGTTCTGCTGCAGCATTCTCGTCGCAGATCTCGGACTATATCTCACAACATCTCTCGGATAATGCACCGATTCCTACTGGCCCGGATACCGTCGTATACATTACGAGTTCAACATCTTCCGAGCTCTCGACCATCGCTTCAGAAACTCTCTCGTCTACATCATCTGCTGATTCTTCTGCTGTTCTATCTTTTTCTACCTCTTTGTCCGGTCCTGGAATAGTCTCAACTACGGGCACCTCATCCGGAATTGCTGTTTCTAGTATCGCTTCCTCAAGCAGCTCACTCGCTGCAAGCGTGTACGTATACCGTCGAGCCACGATTGATAAGAAGTCCACTTCTCTGCACAAGCTATCTGCACATACCTCTTACAAAACCACATCGCACATAATCACTCCATCTGCACATACATCCTCCTCTACGCCGGCCGTAAAGAAGACTACCTCTACCAAAAAGCAAACACCTCTCAAAAGCACATCATCCAAACATATTGTCACTGCACAAAAGATTGTGAAGAAGTCGTCTTCCACGAAGAAGACTACTTCAACCAAGAAGACCACATCGTCCAAGAAGAGCACTTCCAAGAAATCTACATCAACACCAAAGCCCAAGACTACCCTCATCAAGAAGAGCACCTCCCTCAAATTCACTACTTCATCGAAGAAAACATCATCTTCCATCAAGAAAGCCACATCATCCTCTAAGAAGGCCACTACCACCACCAAGGCACCAACGTTGAAGAAGATCACAACTTCTTTGATCAAGAAATCCACAAACATACCTCTCAAGAGTACATCCTCTTCAAAAAAGACTACCACTGCACTTCCAAAGACAGCAAGCACTACACTAGTCACCAAGCCCAGCACTACCCTTCTCAAACAATCAACCACTTCCAAACAGAGCTCGAGCCCCTCTTCCTCGAAAAGCACATTCACATCTTCCTCCAAAAGCCCAGGCACATCTTCCAAGAAGACAACAAGCACACTATCCAAGATCGCTAGCACGTTGATCAAGAGCACCGTCACTACCTCTTCAAGTTCCTCGAGATCTTCCAGTGCTGCACTCAATAAGCCATTTAATCCGCTTATACCACTGACAACGGATCCGCTGACCGCTTCAAGAAGCACTAGCGCACTGGCTATTTCAGTACTTTCGAGCACGTCAGCGTGGTCAGCACTCTCAAGCAGAACTTCTTCACCAACAACTTCGAGCACATCTTCTTCATTGACGCCCTCGAGCACATCTTCTTCATTGATGCTCTCGAGTACATCTTCTTCTTCACCGATCTCGAGTGCTTCATTGTCAAGCTCTTCCACGAGCTCGAGTGTTGCCAGGTCATCTTCCTCGAGCAGCGCAGCAGCATCCTCATCGGCCATGTCCAGCTCTACTGGCTTGTCGTCATCTAGTTCGAGCAGCGCCAGACCGACTTCATCCAGCAGCTCTGTCAGCTCTTCGCGAAGCTCGACATCATCAACATCAACCAGGACCAGCTCTTCGAGCAGCCGTACAAGCTCGAGCTCTTCTTCGGCACGTGCCTCCTCTTCATCGTCTCGCTCTTCCAGCGCATCAAGCACCCAAAGCACGGCTACCGCTATACCCACACCCGTTCGAAACTTCGGCAAGCGTGGTCTTGCGTACAATCAGGCCAATCTGACCATGCCATTCTCTCTCGACGGTCAGAACAGTCAGGTCTCATGGGCCTACGACTGGTACTACGCTCCATGCAGCACCCCTGGTGTGAACAACTGCAACTTCAACCCGGCTCTCGAATTTGTTCCTCTTCTTTACAACAATGACCCGAACCTCCTCAGCAAATGGCCAGCTGCAGCGCAAATTGCCATCGACAATGGTTCCACAGCACTAATGTCATTCAATGAACCCGACTTCTGTATCGCAGGAAGTGCTTGTATGAGCGTTTCCACAGCTGTCTCCTACCACAAGCAGTATATGCAGCCATTTGCTGGCAAAGCCCTTATTGGTGCACCTGCCATTACCAACGCTGGTGGTACCGACCAAAACCCTATGGGCTTGAAGTATCTCCAATATTTCCTCGGCAACTGCACAGGCTGCACCATCGACTTCATCAATCTTCATTGGTACAGTAACAAGTATGCCGGAGCGTCTTACTTCGAGTCTCACGTCAATGCCGCACGCGCTGTCGCTGGTGGACGTCCTATCTGGATTACGGAAATTGGCTTAGACAACGAGTTTAGCTACACGGATGCAGAACTGCAAGCTTTCTTGCAGAAGATAATGCCGTGGATGGATCAACAACCGGATGTTGCAAGATATGCTTACTTCATGGATTCTCCAGGTATCTTGATAAACAGTGCAGGCAATGCTATCAGTGGAACTGGCATGGTGTACAACAGTTTTACTAATAGTACGGCACAACCCAACCTGTTCACTTAGTATGATATCATTCGGCGTTGGAGATAGGAGAATACTTCTTGCAGGTTAAAGATAGTACAACTTGAGTCTGAATTTGTTTAATGATAATCGTTTGGCAGTCACGTCCGGACAGCCTTATTGCTCCACCTTCCTCGTTATTATTAGTCATCTGACCCTCTCTCCCGCTTCGCCTTCCTTCTCCCGACCGAGACTTCCATCCCTAAACAACAAAGCCCAGTTTTTGTCGCTTCCAGTACACGCTCTTTTGATTCTCATTCGCCAAAACATACAGCTTTCCCTTTCTGCTGACCACGTCGTTTTTCCTCCCTCTCATCTCAAACTTCGAGAACTCATCTCACTGCTGATACGTAGCACGCGAGCTTCTGGCCTTTCTCTTTGGATTTCTGCGGACTGGAGTTGCGTGTCCGACTCCTGACTCTGGCTCGTAGTCTGGACTGACGCTTCGATCACACTTGCTTCTGGCGCTTGGCTCCTCCCTGTCTTCCGTCCTCATTCTGCTCATCCTCGGATGTGATGTCGAGAATCTCTTGCTGGATGCGCTCAAAGCTTTTTTTGTTCTTCTCATCGAGGTCCTTGAGGTTATCGAGGGCATCGCAGATGCGGCTAACCATCTGGTTCTTCTTTGCAATCTTCTCCTTCACCTTCTTCTTTGCTGCGAAACTTCTGAGAGCTGCATCACGTCTTTCCGAGTCTGTCTTGCGCTGCTTCAAGACTTCGTTGTAGCGTATCATCTTGACCAGAGAAGACATGATTTTCTCGTGACATTCGTCTTCCTCCTCGGGCAGGTCTTTCGGGGCGCTTTCGTTGGCGGTTTGACGGGCGGAATTGTATTCTGCAGGGGTCTCTCGTTCGATGGCATAGTGTTCGACGAGATTCGGGTTATTGTTACTTTGCCAAATCGTGGTCGAGTTCCACAAAGTCTGCCAGCCGTTCAGGTATTCGACAAAAGTCTTTGCGTTTTGAGGTCCATCATGAAAGCCATACTAGAATGGAATATCAGTGAATGAGTCATCTGGAGAATGACAGAATATCTTACAGATTCCATAAACTCATTGGCAAACTCAGTGAGATCTTTGTCCATGGCGGACGAAAGTTCGGAGGGTCTGAGTTGATGATGATCTGGTTTTACGTGAGTGAGTGTTGATGAGAAGAATGTTTGAAAGAGCTCACTGCGATGATGGAGAAGGAGCATGGCGCTCAAGCGGAGAAACTTGGCCGCAGCCAAGCATTTTTCGTCCGACCTCCATCTTCCCACCAGAAAGGAGCTTGGTATGAGCGAGAAACTGTTTGTAGCGCATCTTCCAGCGCTGTCTCTCCGTTGTGCAGATGCTTGGTCACACTCTTCAACATGAAGATCTCGGGCGAAGATTTGTTGTACTCGATGAAGGCTTCGACCGCAGGATGACCATCCTTCTTCCACACCTCGTTGGCTGATTCATAGTTGACACTGTCGTTGCTGTGCAGATAGACTCTGCGAGCTCGAAGATAAGTGAGATGATCCTCATACTCCTCGGCGCGAAAAGAGCCATCTGCATCACGGTGCCAGATTGTAGTGCTGTTCTTGCGGCTTTGCTGATGGTTCAGGACGTACAACTCCAAATCGAAGTGGAAATGCTACAGATGGTCAGTATCGGGCTTCCGGAAGGTGGAAGGCCCACTTACATGTTTTTGAGGGCGCCTGGGCTCGGGACTTGATTTCCTCGATCTGACGGGTGAAGTGAGGCTTCATTGGCGTTGGTTCGGGTGTGTTCATTGTCGCGATGTCTGTGCTGAGCGGTTGTGTAGAGAAGGTGAAAGAGTGATGTGAGGTAGAGTAGCGAAGTTACTATGATGGGAAAGGCCGTTCTGGACTGGTGTTGCGAGTTCACTTCACTACTGATCCAATGTATCTGTTTGGTTACTGAAGCTTGAGACAAGAACATGATTAGAGAAGGAAGGATGTGTTGAGGTAGGAGAAGTGGAGGATCTCAAGTCAGAAAGCTATTCGTCTGTCATGAAAATAGGCATTTCTTAGTCTCCACGATGACATGCCCATCTGGCTTTCTTCTCTTCATGATCGAGCAGCTACCTACAGCTTTGAATTCTCGATAGTATATTACAGCCTTCCACTCATGTTTGTCTTTCTTCTGGGTCGCGATTTCTGTTCGCACTCTCCATCGCTTTTTTTTCCACAGTCCAGGCCCACGATCTCACTTCTTGTCAACCTGTCTTCTGACGCTTGGCTTCTCCCTGTTCTCCCTCCTCATTCTGCTCATCCTCGTCATGTCGAGAATCTCTTGCTGGATGCGCTCGGAGCGTTCTTTGTTCTTCTCATCGAGGTCCTTGCTGCCCTCTCCCATGACGTTCAGCGCTCAAACATCCAATCCCAGGACATGCACCCTGAGCACATCTCTCTGAAGCCCAGCAAGAAGTTCATTCTTCTGCTCGTCTTGGCCCTTGAGACCCTCAAGCTCTGCACAGATGTGTTCTGTCAGGCGCTTCTGCTCGTCTCTTCGCTCCTTGTTTCTTCTCTTGGTAACGAGACCTTTCTGAGCAGCCTCTTTTCTGGCATTCTTGATCTCCCACTCCTCTGCGTTCTTCTTGATCTCTTCCTGCTGCTCTTCAATCTCTCCGTTGTACCGCATCAGCTCTACGAGAGCATCTGTGTGCTCACCGAGCTTGTCTTCTGCGTTTGATTTGGCGTTACGTTGGTCGGCGGCTTGACGGGCGAGTTTGCAGGTGGTTGGGTCATCGCACTCCAAGGGGTAGTAGCGGCCTTTGTCGTTGCGCTGCCAGACGGTTGTGTCGTTGCAGAACGCTTGCCAGGTGTTCAGAGTTTGAACGTGGTTGTTGTTGTACTGAGAGATATCGAAGAGAACGGCCTCGGAGGATCCACGCTGGTTGTGATGGTTAGCAACATAGATTGGTTTGAGGGTGAAAGACTTACAGAGCTCATGCGCTTGCGCACCCATGTGTTGAAGGCGTCCATGGTGAGATGCAGGTGGGTGTGAACTCTGGTGATGGATGATGTTGTTGACTTGGAGAAGATGGTGAAAGGCAGAAGCTTTATCCCCGGAGGCTTTCGATGTCGTGAGCTGTAAGAAGACTTGACAAAGTTGTGTCTATGTTGACAAAAGTTACATTTGTTTATGAATCTGGAGTTTGAACTGTTGGTCACCATCGCACATGCCAAAACGTGCAACATCACTTGACACAAGATAGAATTGCATACAGTGAGTGCCGCTGAGGTGAAGAGATTGAGTCTTTTGATTTCTCTACGAGGTGTGTACGATTGTCTTCCCTTCGGTGGTATACTCATCTTTCTTGTCGTCTCTTCTTTGTCCAACTTCTTCTCATGACAAAGCATTTCCTTCTCTTTGTACCGTGGAAAACATTTGAATCGGTTAAGACTGTTGTTTGGAAAAAGAGCGTCACACGTTGATGCTAGAATGCTGCTAATCTTAAATGGAAACTTGGGATTGAATGTCATCTCTGGTTCTGTAGCACAATCGGTTAGGGCACATTGAGTTAGCGGACGGATGGGGCGTACTGTTACGACCCAAGCGAAGTCAGGCAGGCACGTACACCTGAGAAGGTACCGCTCTAAAACTGTTGTGAGGTCCCGTGGGTTCGAGCCCCTGAAGAGAACATCTTTTTTTTGCAATTTATGTCTTCGATTTTTGATTTGGTTGATATCACAGTTCCTCTATTGGAGCTGATATGAAAGACAGCCGCACGGAAGAGCTTGTATGATACACAGCCCATGACTTTCTCTGAAGTCTAGTGCGAAGAAAAGTGACTCGAGTCTACTTTTTGGTGATAAGGAAGGAAGTAGGCGCACAAGCGGAGAAACTTCGCCGCAGCCGAGCGTCTCCCACCTCACCTTCCTTTCCAACGACCATCGTTCCCATCCTCTGCTCAGGTGGAGCCAGGAGCCAGCTTAACACCAGTAACCTCAAGCACACTGCCAATGATCCAATCAAAGCGTCTCTTCCACTCCTCATCTCTCAAACCCTGCCACTCCTTCAAGAAAGCCAGCTCCTGCACCACATTAACCACGAGCTCCTCCTTCTTCTTTTCCTTGTTGACCTTTCTGCTGGCAGCTCCTCTCTTGGCGGCTTGCTGTCTGGCGGTGGCCTGCATGGTCTCTCTGCTGTACTTGGTAGAGTTGTAGTCGTAGAGCGCGGCGAAGGCGATGGTCTTTTCGTTCTCGTAGTCGTCGAGGGAGAGGTAGATCTTGTTGTTTGCGGTAGTATTGGAGATGGCGGTGGCGCGGAGGGCGGCGCAGTCGACAGGGGCGAGGTTGCGGTGGACGTAGGTGCCGTCGGAGGGGATGCGCTGCCAGAGAGTGCGGTTGTCGAATTTGGACTGGCAAGAGTTGAGAGCGCCGACGACGTTGTATGAGCCGTCCTCAACACGCTGCTGGTGGAGTCAGACGAAGGGTTCGGTGGTGAAGGGAGGAAATGGACCTACTGCCCACAGCATGGGGAGATCGGTGGCATCGATGAGTGGATGGTCAATGGCTTGCTGATCTTGAGCATCCATATCGATCTTGAGTTGGGGGTCGAGAGTCATGTCTGATGATACTGTCTCCATGATCGCCGAGAATTGATGAGAGAATCAAGGCGAGCTTTTTGCGAGCGCCGAGCTTTGTTGACGACGAAGGGTGAGCGCCGAGAGAAGAGGGAAAAAGAGACGTGATGTTTTGATTCACGCCGAGATGTTGTGTGATGAACAAATCGGAACGCGATGTTGTGATGTTGACGCCGTAATGAAGGACGCCGTCGTCAAGCTCTGTGCACTCTCGTTCACTAGCTTCACATTCACTGGGGATGTTTTCCACGGGGGACAAATCACAAGGCTCTCCTTTGGAAGATATCTCAACACTGACATGGGGCAGAAGGCAGGCAATTGTTTCGTTGCCAGAGCTGGGAACAAGAGCAAAACCATCCAGTCTGGGCACATGCGCAGTTCTTCAAGATTACAGGATACAAAAGAGTCAATCAATCATGGCAGAAGAACATAGCCGTCTGTCAAGACTGGAGATCTGATGTTGAAGACTAATGACCTTCTGAGTGGCTTGGGACGATTCAGGGGTAATTGGAAATACAGAATCACAGTTCTTATTCGTGGCATGTGCTAATGATTAGTGAGAGTATTGTCGAGAAGAAACTGTATACAATCCGATTGAGAATGTGTAGCTCTGCGTCATCTCACTTGCACTCCTCAACCTCATTGTAAACTACAGACCTTGTCATGACTGTTCTGATAGTCTTGATGAGCCGCGTCAGACGAAACGCTGAAGCGGGAGGAGTGCAACGGGAACGGATACAAAGCGAAAGCGAACGACAAAGAAGCAGACCTTGTACATTCTTTGTTCCTTTGTGTCAGTTCCATGCAGCAGTCTCCAGACTCATAGCCTTCGCGGGTCTCGCTCAAACCGACTTCTTGCCGCCATCGTCCTCGGATGCGAGGTCACATCTAGCAAGCTCAAGAGTCAAGACAGCGAGCTTCTCGATGCACATCTTGTACTCCTTCTCACCACCATCAAACCCATCCTCACCACCAGCCATGAGCTTGTCAAGAGCATCGAACATCCACTCAACCATTCTCTGATGATAGCCCTGATTGACCTTCTTTCTCTCCAGCGATGCCAGAACCTTGTGGAGATGCTTGGTCTTGGTAGAAGTGACCTCGTACTTGTCAGACCATTCCTCCATCAGCTTGACGTCTTCTTCGTCGATGAGGATGCGGTCGGTGAACTTGGGCTTGCCGCTGAGGTATTTTCTTTCGAGTTTGATGGTTTCTTGGCCGTCGCCGATTGCGTTGTGGAGGATGTTGAAGATGGAGGCGGCGGGGAGGTACATGCCAGGGACATCGTTGGTCTTGTTGACATTGTTGACGTTGTTGCTGTGGCCTTTGTCGTTGCCTTTGTCAACCTGTGGCACACCGGCGCCGTTCTTAGTTTCGTTGTGTTCTTCCATTGTTGACTGCTTCACGCTGGCTGTGAGAAGTAGGATCGTTTGATCTGATAAATATCAGCCTCATTAAACATGATCATTTCCGGCCTACTCACGCTTGAGAATTGTTCTTCTTTCGGATGTGTTGAGGCGCACAACAAGTCGGAGGCGGAAGGAGCAAACAATGAAGCAACGCCTTCCAGCCGAAGTTATCCAGTAGATTGTGAATTAAAGTCGGTGCACTCGCTTACTTCACTTTGCGTTGGGCATATTCTCAAGATATCTTATTCTTCAACCGGGGCAGAATCAAAATATGATTCAGGGACCAAACATATGACTCCTGCGCGCCCTAACAACTGTCTGTTCATGATAACTAAAGGCAGCCACGATCAAAACTTCCCATTTCCTCCATTCCAATCTTGCTACAAGATCTGACAGCACGGAACAACAACTCTCCACCGCGAAGATGGAGTGTATTGTCCCCTCAAAGATCATAGTCATCCATATCTAAGTCATGGACCTCGCTGTTGTACCTGTCTTCCTCGCTGTTGGTACTCTCGCTGACCCCCTCTTCCTCCACTTCGTCGTCGATGAACCCATCATTCTCGACTTCGGCCTCCCAATTTTCAGGCAACGCGGCCAGCTGCGAAGCCCAGCGCGGACTCATGAAGATGCCAAAGAAGTTGCGAGCCAGTCTGATCTTCGATGTGATGTCGTTGCGGAAGTGGTGATTGGTGACATGGATCTCGGTAGTCTCAATCGCATCATCCAGAAGCTCCAAATGTTTGGCGATCATGCGTTGTTTCTTGACTTCGTTCTTGTCTTTCGTGAGTTGAGCCTTCTCGACTCTGAGATCGGTCTTGCGTTTCTTCTCTTTTTGTTCTCGGCGTACTCTGTCCTTGTTGACGCGTTTCATGAGTGTGCTGAAATGCTGCATGCGAAGCAGTGACTCATTGTACTTAAGGTAGATTTGGTTGGCAGGCTTGAGATGATCCTCAATCCACTGGTCCCATGGGATGAACTCGAGAGGCTTGCCTTGGTCACTGTCCAGAATTCTTCTTCTGACAGTGTGACATTCTTTTGCATTGTCCCATTCGACGCCCTTGTAGGGACCGTTGTCATGCTTTATCCAGATTGTGGACGTGTTCTCGTGGGTTTGATGGTGATTCAGGATATGGAGAATGTTTTGCATGCATGGATCCTTGGAGACGTCAGTGGGTTGTCTTCTCGAGTGGCTGAGAAGTCTTACTTCGCCGCCACTGTCGATGTAGTTGTTGACAGCGCAGCCGGGTACGGACTCAAGCAGAGTGCGAATGTGGTGAGCCATGACGGCCAATGCCGAAAGTCTGTAGGGCGAACCGATAGGTTGTTATGCTGCTGTGTTATATGTAAATTTCTAGAAGCTTGTATACCTAAAGGTGTGGATGTTATGATCTTCCGTGTTTATCTGTCACATGTGACATTGCACAGACTTTGGCAATATGATCGGTGCACTTCACATGTGAGCTGTAAGGACTTGTTCTTTGGTGATCTCAGTCTGGGATCACCAAAGAACTGAGTTTCCACTCACCCGCCGAGTAAACGAAGCACGAATTGAGACTTAGGCGTCAATTCAACATCAAATTCCGTCGTTAATGCTTCCTTTACCATTTCAGTTTCCCGTCTCAATAGCTCCTCCACGTCTGACTGAGCAACATCACTCGATTTCCCGGGATAGGTGCCTAATCGATCTACAAAGGCTGAGTTCAGACCTATGGTGTCTTGGACTCTCGCGTAACGTATGGCGTCCAGTCCACCAACTTCTTGTACTGCCTCGAGAGATGCTGGTGCATATATCCGCATGCTCTGCAACTGCTTGATAACAACGGGCAAGTGTGGATGGAGACTTAGGCGATGGTTAGAAAAGTGCAAAAAGAAAAAGAAGATTTGCCCGGTGCAGGATTCGAACCAACGTCTGTAAGGTAATTCTTAGTAGCGACTGAGTAACACAGATTGGAACACAGCAGCCGTTCCCTCACACCACCCCACCACCGGGTAAAAAACTGGTGGACCTGTGGATATCTATGCTATCAAAAATCAATGCTCGGGGGCATATCGCTAAGTTGTATTGTGCAGCTTATGCTGCTGTGTGATCTGTAAATTCCTAGGGACCTATGTATCTACAGTTGTGGATGTTATGATCTTCTGTTTTTATCTGTCACATGTGACGTTGCACAGACTTCATCAACATGATCTGTGTGAACTTCAAATGTGAGCTGTGAGGACTTGTGCTCCTGACTTGATCTTGGAAGTTTTCAGGTCAGTGGATCAAGACGGAGCATGCATTTCATTCAAAGGCTGTTTTTCGTATCTAATAAGCAGTCGTGGCCCATCAGTGGAGTCTTTCCTTCCCATTCCCGTTTCAGCTCAATGTTGTCTGTCCTGGGCCAAATGAATCGTCGTAGAATCTTCTTTCCCCTTGCCCAACGATTTTCAAGCCATCCATGTCCGACTGATGCAGCTCTACTAATCTTGGATGTTGTTGATTTGCTCGACGTAGCCGGCGATCTCCTCGTTCAATTCAGCGAGGTTCTCGGCATACTTCTTCATAACGCGAGCTTCCAGCTTGTCGGTGTGTTCCGAGAGCTTTGCAATGATTTCATCGGCCTCCTCATTCTCAGTAATGATTCCAGAAATGCGCAAGAGTAAGGTTTTGGTCCCGGGAATGTTCGCGAGCGCGCGCTGGACTCTTCCTTCGGCACTCTGGTAGTGCTTCTGGATGTCTGTTAGTGATTTCTAGTTTCTCTTTCGTAGTGTAAACATACCTCGAATTTCTGACGCATCCAGGTGATGAACACAGCCTTGGACATGTTAGAGGACTTAAAGAGGGTGAGGAGCTCCTCAGTCGACATGGCGTATACGAAGGGGTCTGTGGAAGAGAGCTTTGTGAGCATCTCGTTGGTTCCCAGGATGGAAGGTGGTGTTGTATTGTATTTGTCGTTATGGAGAAGGTTGGTCTACGAGTGCGGAAGAGATTGTTCTATGGTTTTTTTCCGTATTCACTATCAGTGAAGGCTCAAATCTACCGCGACAGTGGAGAATGGAATGTAAGAGGTACTTTCATTTGTTTGATCACAGAACCTCGTCTTTGTGCAAGGGTGGTCTGCAAAGTCCACAGGACACTTGCTGCTCAGATCTATCTATCCTCCGCCTCTGACACAAGAATCATCTCTAGTCTCAAGGATTCGTTCGAGTTTACCCCTTACTCTACGATCGTGATCTAGCCGTCTTCTCTTTGACATACTCCTCGGTATCCTCATAGCGCGCATGGATCCTAGCGATCTGCTCCTCGGCGATCCTGGCAATCTCAGCAGCGTATTCGGGACATTTAATCTTATACAGGCTGCGAGCCAAAGCAACATCATCTTTTCGCTCGTTGATTCTGTCGACTTTGTCTTGTGCTAGCCTCTTCTTGGTGTCATCTTTCTTAGCTAGCTCCGCCTGCAAATCTTTGGCGGGGGTAATCCGGTCTCCAACCGGATTGGCAGCCCGCGAAATCGCTCTTCTTGAGAGATAGTTGGGCAAGCCGTTGTTATGAGCCGTGCCGACGTTCGGAGCAGAGTTGGGCTGTTTAATTGGAGTGCTTGATTCTGTCTGAGATGCGCCGGATCCGGTTCTTCTCGCGCGCTTCCGGCTGCTGTGTTCGTTTGAAGCTGGAGTACTGTTGGTGCCGCCTGTCTTCGAAGGGGTGGCTGCATTGCCACCTACTTTCGATGTCGAATTCCTCTGGCCGCTGCCCTTTGAGTTTGAAGAGTTGTCGGGACCTGGACCCTTCTTGTTGCTGTTGCCTGAGCTCAAAGACTTCCTGGTGTTTCTGCTGACAGGCGTCACGACAGTTGCGGCTGCGTGAGTTGTGTCATGGATAGGAATTCCATAAGATTGGGTCGAGTTGTTCTGCTGCAGACCATATCCTTGAGGCTGGTGCGGACGATGATCGTAGAAGGCATTTTGTCCCGGAAGATTGCGCTGCTCCGCCTCTCTCGTTGCCAAATTCTGTGCGTCAAATTGTTGTGGCATTCTGTTCATCTCGGCAGCCCACTGGTTTTCTTCTGCGAGTCCGAATCTTTGCTGAGCGCTTCCGGCTTCATTCAAGTGGGGGAAGTGTTGTGACTGGCTATTTACACCGAATCCGCTGTAGTTGCTTGAGGCTGGCATACTTCCATATGCATTGCTTTGAGCTGGCAGGTTGTTCTGGTTGAATCCATTGAGCTATCTCGAATCAGCACTGCATGGGATGAGTTCAAGGGCAGACTCACCGGATGCGAGTTGAATGGATTGTTCGAAGTCTCGTAGGGCTGGAAAGGGTTGGAATGATAAGGGGCAGAATTGTACGAATTGGCGGTAGGGTTGTACTGATCAGGGGTATGGTTGTACTGAGCTGGGGGAGGGTTGTACTGAAAGACTGTCAGCACTGCGACACTAACTGAGATCTTTTTACTGCTTCGAGCATAGCAGATCAATGAACCTTACGATAGGTTGAGTGGACGTGGAGGGAAGAGAAGGTAGCGGTATGTCGTTGCCTACATGCTGGCTGCCCAAGTCCTGGTCGTCATTAGCTTTCCTACTGCAAGAGTACCTCAGACTGCCTCTGTGGGTAGATATAGGGCGTCATAGCACTTACTGGGAAGCCCTGTAGATTCCATTCTTGGTTTCCCTGATGCTGGTGAGCCAAATTTGCAGATGATGGCGATGTGGTAGTTCAATATCAGGCAAGGAGTAAAATGCTTTAAAACAGTTTGTGACAGGCGAGATGAACTTACCCAGAAAGATTGGTCGTGAGGTGGATCAACAGAGTCGTGGCCATTTCCGGGTTGAGCAAGGTCTTGTTCGAATGCCGCCCATAAGATGTTATCTAGAATGTCATCGTTGACCTGATATAATTGTTAGCTTGTTTGCTCATGATACGTGAGTATTTCCCAGAGATCCTTGAGGTATTTAACCCCTTCGACTCGATCGAGAGCTCGTTTTTGTGTTAGAAAGGATGAAAAGAGACCACTCACCGAACCCGACTGTGCTTGATTTTGTCCCGACACCACATCTTGGTCCTACTTGATGTTAGATGTCACGTGCAATGGATAGAAGCTATACGTACCAGACGAGCAATGGGGGGAACGTGTTGCACGACATCACCGTCGTTGTTGTGTTGAGCCTCAGCTGTGTTAATGTTACCCTGGACCGGAGCTTGGTTGTTCATGGTCGGGTTATCGCTGGGCAACTACGTTGTTGTCAGTAAGCCTGCTTTGCCTATCTCAGTGAGTTCGGTGATGATTGATATGGTTGCTTTTGCTAGATCCAACCAATTGATCACGTAATTGTAGACAACTTCGACTGTTCTGAATAACGAGTAGAAACTTACATGATCAAGCGGATCGATTGGAGGGCGAACCGGTGCGCGACGGTTATTCTGCTTGAGAGTTAGCGTGATACCTTCTGATGACAGCTTGACACCAGTCTTACCTGTTGATTGTCTTGATTCGACGTCTTTGCTGATATCGCAAGAGAATCCGTGTGATGACGAGCAGAAAGTCAAGTTGGATTGAGGAAGAGACGGCTTGTCTAGCGTCAAGGTGAGGAGTCTCGATTTTCCGGAAGTCGTCAGAGCGATGATATTCTGTTGCTTCCGGAAGTCTCTCCAAGCACTCTTGTTGTTCTACCTAGCACTTGGTGTTGTCTATCATGTTCCTGTAAGTGCTTTGGAGAGGAACTTTCCGTCTGTTCTCTTTCTGTACCTTTTCTTTTCTCTATATCAAAGTTGTTCCCCCTCTACGTTCTCTGTGTTCTCTCTGTGCGTCTTTGCCTCTCTGTCTATGTGTTACTTAGTCCACTCTATCATCCTACACAAAACCATGCCTCTACTCGACGACCTCACATGAAGGGGATCCAAAATGGGCGGGGTTTTTTCTTCTGACCTGGAGACGTATCATCGAGCCCATACTAAGATTAGCTATCAAGACATTGTTGTCTCAAGTCTTCGGTGCTCGACCGTCGCAGGCGTCGCTTCTGTTCGAATAGCTATCGTCGTTTCGTACTCTCGGCGACTTTCCAAGATTGACAACCCTTGGTCTGTTTTCCATCTCTCTCTCTCTCCTTCCAACATCAAACATCCTCGCACACGCGAGCATCAGCCACGATGTCTCAACCACCTAGACCCTCTGAAGCCAGACTCACAAAGCCACACGCAAGTCCTATTCCCCTTACTATCAGATAGCCCCCTCCCTAACACAATCGAACAGTATCTCCTAACCTGGATGAACGCAATGCAAGGCACCTACAACAACACGACCGTCTGGAGCCACGATACCACAACCGGCCGTCTGGTACCCACCGAACACGAGCCCGACTCTATCTCCTACCACAACGCTCTCGCCAACATCAAGGACAGTGACAATGCTCAGGAAGAGCAGAGTTACACTGTGGCTCAGCAGATGGTATCCGCGTACAATCGTCAGCGTCGTGAGCTTGAGGAACAGCAGCGTCTTTAGGTTTAACGCTCGCGTGGAAAGGCGGAGGTTAAGCACGAGACAGCTAGACTCAGAGCTGTTTCTGCTCCACTTGGCCCCGTCTCGCCAAAGATCAAGCAAGAGTCTTCTTCTCCTGAGGCTAAGATCAAGCAAGAAGCCCCTAAAGCTGTGAACACTATTACCCCGCTGGCCAACACCGTCGACAGCAAGAGCAAGCCAGAGCAAGATTCCTTTGAAGGACACAAGAAGAGTCTGATCGACGCAGTGGAGCACCTCCGCGATGTCCTGTATCAGAGGGAGATGATGAGAGGTGTTAGAAAAGAGGTCGACGAGTACCTGGGTGGCCTTGAGAAGGAGATCAAGAAAGCCTATGATCATGAGAGACGCTGATCTCATCATTCTGGAGATCCTGAAGTCTAAGAGGGAAAGACTTGGAGTGGAGCTCATAGAGGATGAGAGTGAACGGAAACATCAAACATCTCGCAAGTAAAGCAAGGAAGATACTCTAGTCTCTCCAGTCAAAAGCAGTATACAAGCACCACCTCTCCATCAGAGTTTAATTTTACCTACTCGGTTCTTGTGTTAGACTGCTTTGCCAATTCACAGGACTTTTGGATTATCCTTCTTCGCAAACTGTCCAGACTGTTGGAGCCAGCGTGGGCTTTGATATCCTTGCCGACTCAGAAAACGTCGGCTTGCAAGTTCAAAACTTGTCGCGGCCCACAAGGTCCCGGACTACCTGTACTCCCAAAGGTCGTCTCGTTGATCACACTATGTACGCTCGGCGCATTGCGTGAATGCAGAGGTAGTAGCGAAGCAGCTGAGTGGTATGCGAGAGCGATCGACGCAGGCTCCTTTGTAGACGACCTGCTTTTGAATGTACAAGTCACAGCACACCCGTAAACGAGGTTGCACTTCATCTCATCTCTCCCACCTCTCTCATCGCTCCGTGTAAACTTGTTCTCGCCTCGCACCACTGCAACAGTGGTACCAAAATAGACTCGCTGTAGCTTGAGATCACGTCGCTACTTTGCACGGTCACTGACGCCATCTCCGTATCTCGTGAGGCGTACATGTCACGCAGCGAAGACTCCACGATCAGACGTTCGATTGTCCAGATACTGGCAAAACGGTAGACCAGCAAATTGGCCCAAGCTCCGTCTGAGGAGGAGATGTCGATTGATATCAAGATCGACGAGTGCGATCGAAGGCTTTAAGTAAGCTAATCGTTGTGAAAGTCAGATGTGTGAATCGCAGAGTTGTGAAAGCCTGGAGACAATCCTGCAAGGTCAAGTGGCTTTTGAGATGAGTGAAAACGGGTTTTGTGAAAATGCGGTTGGCAGTGGATGTTTGTAGCTTCCAAGATGTTGCGCTCTCTTTCGCAATCGTGGGCCAATTGCGCCTTTGTCAAAATGCAAGAAGGTTTTTGACTTCGTCAGTTTGTCCACTGAGAGCCTTGCCAAATTGAGCTCTCAGTGGACAAAGCAGCAAAATCACACTCCTTTCTGCATCTTGATGAGGTGTAGTTGGTTTAGCCAGCAAGCTGGAAGATGAGAAGGGGAAAGGAAGCAGGCAGAATTCGAAATGGCAAGTGCAATGTGATACAAAATATATACAATCAATCGTGTTTCTCGTTTAGCATTAAAGGTTCGTTGAAGGGCATGTACAGTAAAGCTTTTTTGCAAAAGGAAAGAAAGAGAAAGCAGCAAAAAGGGCATAGACAAGAAGAGAAGCGAAAACAAATGCAGAGATCATCAGAGAGGGTACGAAAAGGGCGTGCAAATGCTCAAGTCAATGCTTAGAGCATGGTAGGGACGGGCACATCAAACTTGTGAGGAGCCTTGATGACGATCTGGCTTTGAGAGCGCTTGTGCATCTTGGGCTTCTTGCCGCCAAACATGCCGAGACCAGGCATGCCCCAGGCGTTGCTTGCCATGGAGACGGCAGGGCTGACAGGAGCAGAAGCGGGAGGAGTGTTGGCCTCGAGATGTTGCTGAAGGCGGACTTGCTGCTTCAATTCGACGATTTGCTGAGTCAAAGCATCGGTGGTGTGGGTCTGCTGTTGGAAGAGCTGTTCCATGCTGGCAGTCTGAGACTCGAGCAATTGACGGAAGGTCAACTCATTGGCAGTGCGTAGCGAATGCAGCTCCTGGTTCTTAGACTCTATCTGAGCGTCCAGTTGAGCAAGAACAGTCTTAGTGTGTGCGAGCTCGGCGTCGTTGCCAGCAAGGCCTTCGTGGAGTTGCTTAATCTCATCTTCCTTGGCTGTGATGGAGTCGCTGAGTTGGGCGTGTTCTTGGTCCTGGAAGGCGACAAGCGAGTTAAGCTTGGACACCTCGGTCTTCAGGGTAGAGAGCTCAAGGTCCTTGGTCTCGAGAGCGAGACGCGCATCCTTGACGTCCTGATCGATGTTTGTGAGGAGAGACTTGAGGTGGTGGATGCGCTCATCCTTTGCTTCGACATTGGCCTTGCAGTGCGAGAGTTCATCCTTTGTGGTAGTGTGAGCCGTGGCTTCTTCCTTGTGGGCGGCTTCTGATGCGGCGAGACGAGCCTCGAGGTCGGCGATCTGTTGCGATTGCTGGCCAATGGTTTGGTTCAGGCTAACGACGTCGGGGATCTGGCCGAGGTGCTCGAGCATGGCAGGAAGGCCATTGAGGTGGCTGAGGATCTGGACGAAGTTGTCGAGGTTGTGCTGCTTGTGTTGTTCGGCTTGGTCTGCGAGTGCCTGCGGTTGTGTCAGTACTTCTGCGCACAATTGGAGTAGCAGGTACAAGCGCACCTTGAGATCTTGAGCGAGGTCGGCCAGGCTTGCCTCGGATGCATCCGATCTGGGAATCTCTGCGATGTCGAAAACACCAGATGAGGGTCGGCTGGAAGACGAGAAGACTCCAGACGAAGGACGACTGGACTTCTCAAAGACTCCGGAAGAGGGACGACTGCCCATCGAGGGACGCAAGCTGAATTTGCCCATGTTGTTGTTGATGTGCTTGGGTATTGGTTTAGTGATTCTTGTTGACGGCGCCGAAGAAAAGCTGAGATCTTCTACGAGACAGAAGATAGGAGACCAGTAAAGTCAGTGTTGTATAGAACAAACCAACAAAGAGAGCTCAATGTGTTTAATATAACCAATGGCCTCGCGAAAAATGGCCTGTGGCGGTGTATCAAAGCTCCTGGTGGATGTGCGGTGAGAGGCCCGTTCATAGGCCTAAGGCCTCCCGATCAAGCCCGCATATTAATTTCGAGCGGTGAAACTCCAGGGCATAACAAACCATGACGAACACAAAGACAACATTCTGCTTGAAAGAGCTAGATGTAAACACACTAGGTGCTTGATAAGAAGAGTCGGCAGAAAATGCTTGCTCTGGACTTGTCGTGTTGCTGCGTGCGAACAATCAACATTCAATGAAAAAGACCTACACTTTGGCGATGGCTGCCAATTCTCAGATATTTGGTTGATATCAGGTGCAAAAGACGTTTGAGATCATCGCAGGAAGGAACGGACTTATGCAATGGTAAGGAGTCCCATGTTGTCAGCTGCCTGAAAGTGGCAGGAGCTCCTCGGGGAAATTGTTCGAGACACTTTGTCAAAACGTCTTTCCCGACTGGCCAAAAGTCGCATGACTAAGCATTTGAATCCATCAACCCAGAGTTCAGCTTCGTCTCCTCACATCACACACTTGTTATGCCTGGAATTGATTTTGTAACATGTTTCGGAGGATGGTCTACATTTTTCTGGAATATGGACTTGTTGTCTTGCGACTCCCAATTACTGTCTCCAGACATGTTCCATCTCAGCAAGACACAGGACAGCAACCAATATCTATTGAGCATTGTCAGCGATCAGCCGGCGATAACACTGTTCCATTGACATCAAAGTTCAATGGTATTGATAAGAGTTGACTTACGAGACTGATGTCGACTCCTGTGTTAATACGTGCCTTCCAGACAGTCCGATCAAGACCTTTCTTCTCAAGCGAAGTAACATCGTTGGCCTCAGTATTCATGATCGTGGCAAGCTCAATACCCTGATACTGGACGACTGTGGATAGCGCACCTCTATCTCTCGGACGAATCTCAATCGTATTTCCGATGTCATCCGCCGCAGACTCGCCATGTATCACGGCATCCAGGTTGGACCTATTTTGCGCCATCATGCCGTTAACATGCTTCAGTGAGCAGATCCTTGTTCCCTCTACGTCCTCAACAGCCCAGTCGTTCTTCATGGCATAGCCCATATGGCGAAGTTCAAAGAGCTTACGACCGCTTCCATCGGAAATCGCTCTTCGCCAGCTGAGGGATGATGCACCCTTGCTGCTGACCCTGAATATAGTCTGGCCATTGGCGTCATCGAGGACATCGACGCTCTTGAAGGTACGATCATGACAGTGGACTGTGATATTTGCTTCCTCTTCGCGATTGAAGCCGGGCAAAAGAGTAGGTAATTTTGATATAGACCCTGTGAAAGAACTCATGTTTGCGGACAGGAAAGTTCCGGTGGACTGCGGTAGGGACAGAAGAGAGTCGACGTGTGACTGGTGTGCGAAGAAGTCAAGAAGGTACCGAAGGGTCGTTTCGAGAGATTGGCCGAGCCATCTCTATCCGCTGCCAAGCTGCATGATTCAATGCTAATCTGATTCTTGGTTAACAGTATGATTATATGACGGTTGTAGGTAAGATCATCAGTTCCTTTGAACCTTTCTCATCCTTCGTTACTTTTGAACACATATCGCACCCTACACTTTCTCTAGCCTAGCAACGGCTTCGGTTAAATAATTAGTACCGACGTCGTTCCTTAGATTAACATAGCACTCCTACTGCCATGCGATCTAGACTACAATTGAAGCTAGAGCTAGCGTTGCAAAACAAAGCCACGTCCTGCACAAATAACAGCACTCTTTGGCCATAAGTGATGCTACGGCCAGCAAAAGAGATGATTCCGCCCGGGTTCGAACCGGGGACCGCCTGTGTGTTAGACAGAAGTGATAACCAACTACACCACAGAACCAATTGATGTGAGTGAGACGGACAACAAGCCTTAACAAAGCCTGCACGCATGTCGACGCCAAGATGGTTCTCGTGTACCCCGCAGTGCTGGACAAACAAAAATTGCAGGTCAAAACCGAACTCTGAGTCACGGCGAAACCGGGAGTATTATACTACTAAGGTATCGACCCTGTGCGGCATCGGAGTTCCTACCTGCAACTCGTCCGTACTCATTCGCGTAATCATGGCATGGCCAGGCAGTGCCGACTTCTCGGGTCTCCAACAGTCACCGACATCGACACCATTCGGCGGAGACGTGCCGCCGTCCCTGCAGCAGGTCCAACAGCAGCAGCAGCAGCAACAGCTCACGCCCACATCCTCGTCGACAGCAGGACCACCACGTAAGAGGAAGAAGAGCGAGATACAGGATGATCAGAGCCCTCAGGCAGACGCGTCAGGCGGACTGGCAAAGGCGCATCCGGTGAAGAGAGCCTGCAACCAGTGTCGACAGCAAAAGGTCAGACTCTGCACGCGACGAGAACGCGTCTGGGGTGAGATGCTGACGAGAAGAGCAGCTACGATGCAACATCCAGACAGAACCAGAGTTCCAGCCATGCGGCCGATGCATCAAGCACAACCTGACGTGCGCCATCGATCCTGGCTTTAAGAGGCAGGAAAAGCGACAGAGACATGCCGAGATGGAACGCGAACTCGAGTCGCTCAAGGCCGAGAATGCGAACTTGCGCATGGGAATGGCAAGAGGAGGCTTGTCCAACACGGCAGACCCTCTCCAACCGCCGACTTTCCCTCCTCAACCACCCTACGTGAACCCGAACAATCCCTTCCCCGGTCCGAATGAAGCTGCCGCCTCGCGTTCCCTGCTCGACCTGGCCCAAGGCATCGACTACCCGACACGAGAGCCGACACTCCACACGCTTGGAAGAGTGACATTGAGCGAGAACGAGGTCATGGACCTTGTCGGAATCTACTTTGCACGCTACCACCCATACCTGCCTCTGCTGTCTCCCGACACGCCATACACGGCCTTCTTCTCCATGTCTCCTCTGCTGCATTGGACCATTCTTACAATCGCCATGCGCCGATATGACGGTCGCCCTGGCCTATTGCAAGAACTCCGCCAGTCATTCACCGACCTGATGTGGACCACCATCGCCTCAGTCCCGCAGTCGTACCACGTCGTCAAGGCTCTAGTTCTCATTTGCACATGGCCCATGCCTAGCAGCTCGACATCACACGATCCGAGCATGATGCTTTGTGGAACTATGGTCCAGCTTGCCATGCAGTTCGGCTTGCACCGTCCTTCGCACGCTCAAGACTTTTCTCGCAACAGAATTGAGCTTCGAGATGAGGACATCCAAGATCGCATGCACACTTGGGTTGCTTGCAATTTGATTGCTCAAAACACTTCAACTGGGTACGGCATGCCTCAAATCTCTCGCTGGAATTGGTACACTCACGGCCTCCACCTCGATCGCATCTCCGGTGCTTTCCGCAACCGCATTCAGATTGAAAGATTCGTTGATAAGGTCACTCGCACTCTGTACATTATGCAACGGGACGAGTTCGTTGGTGGTGACGAAGCTCATCGTTCTCTTCTTATCGATACTCTCGGAAGAGAGTACGAGGAGCTCGAAACCTCGATCCGCGCAAACCACGCCTCACACGTTGATCTACTTCATGCTCAGATCGCTGCTCTCCATCTGCGCCTAACAGCATTCTTTGGCTCCCCTTCAGCGCCGACATACAAGTCTGATCTCTCAGCGTTGTACATTGCTGCTTCAACATTGCTCAAATCATTCTTGGCACTACCACCCAATGTTGGTGTGCATACTCCTGGCGGCGAACATCTGTCTGGTCCCTACCAATGCTTTGCTACAAATTACATGATGCAGATGGTCTTGGCAGCAGGCTTCACTCTCATGAAGTTGCTGAACTCCTTCTTCTCCAACAAAGTTGATGTCACCAGCGGTAGAAACTTGTTCCTTCAAACTGTAGCCGCTCTCCGCAACATCTCGGTTGTACCTAACGACTTGCCTCAACGTTTGGCTGAAGTCCTCGCCCAACTTTGGCAAGCAAACGGTGGAGGCTCTACCAACAAGCTCTTCCCCGACTCGCCAAACTTCATCTCAGATCCGGAACACTCTCTCCAACTCAAGGTGCGCTGTCGCATGAGTATGAGTTTGCTCTACGACAGTGTGTGGCGCTGGAAAGACCACGTTGGTGCTGGAGCTTCTAAGAACCTCGACCGTGCTATCCAACATCCTACCATTCCTACTGCTATCCCCAACAACGACACCAGTGATGCCCTTCCGCCATCCACAATGGCTCCTGATCAAGACTTGACCTTGAGCGGACTGGAGAACTGGGAGAATCTCAACTTCGCAGCTAATGCGCCGTTTGATTCGTTGGGTTGGGCATTGGATGGTTTCCTGGACATGCCCGAAGGCTTCATGGCATAAAAAAAGGAGTGTTAATGTTAAGGTATCGGACGGGGTTTTGCTTCTTGAACATAGGCGTTTTGCGCAGCGATGGGTGGCTTATTCTTTGTTTCTTGCTTCAACAGCTTTTCATGGAAATTGAAGTTTTTGATGGACGGGGTTTAGCTAGATGAATGATGGGAAAGGACGAAAAGAGAGCGACACAACAGATGAATTCACGATCAACTTTTGACATTCCGAGTCTATCCGATTTTTTCCAGTCTCAACTCATGTGTCTCGCTTGAGTGTTCTGTATACACCGGAGAAGTTGAATTCTCTCGTACGCAAAAGGATGGAATTGGAAACACCAGTGCGCTCGGATGTTTTGTTTGTGTTCTTGGTATGCTCACCTGACGAGGCGTTTTTCTTCGTCGTCGGGTGTTGGGCGTTTTTTGGAGCTTCTCCGCGGACGCCTCAAGCGGAAGTGTATCTTTCTATCAACGACAACTCTATCATCGCAAACAAAATTCTTCAGGATATCGATGGCAAGTATGCAACTATTGCGCTGCGTAGTGATGCTATTTGATCAAGCTTCAAGCATGCAGAAAGAATAAGAAAACATGCAGCTGAAGGTTGCACACCAGCCCCTCGGAAAAGCAGTCACGACGCTCGGGTGACGTTTTTCAGCTTTTCGGCGAGCTCAGGGAAAGACGAACAATTCTCACGTCACGCTTGATGTTTTCCTACCCTTGATGACCAAAGCGCAAATTGCCAATGGTCTCTTGTGGCTCGACTCGAGGTAACAGAAGGCATACAAGCTTGCTGTGACTCTGCATACAGGGCAGTATGTAGGGTTATTGCGGATGCTGCGGCGGTCCGCGTAACCCGTGTGATGTTTCTGTCCTGCTATATATGTGCTATCAAAGCTGAGCAGGTAGGTTGTGTTTTTTTGTTTTTCTTATCAGTAAAGCTTCTTGATCTCTTTCTACTTCAACAACGCTTGCACTACACCAAGACGATAAGCAACAGACTATCATCATGTCGTTGACACCAGACCAAGTCAAACTCATCAAAGCAACCGTGCCAGTGCTAAAAGAACATGGCAACACAATAACCTCCCACTTCTACCAGCTCATGCTTGAGGAAAACCCCTCTCTCAACAGCGTCTTCAATCAAACACATCAGAAAACCGGTCATCAGGCTGGAGCTCTGGCTGGAAGTCTATACGCTTACGCATCGCATATCGATGGTTTAGGCGTTCTTGCTCCCGCTGTGGAGAAGATTTGCCATAAACATGCGAGTATGTATGTTCAACCTGAGCATTATGATGTTGTGGGAACGTATCTGTTGAGAGCGATGGGAGATGTACTGGGAGCGGCATTGACGCCGGATATCTTGGAGGCTTGGGGAGTGGCGTATTGGCAATTGGCGAATATTGTAAGACATCTACTCCTATCCTCCTCCGCTTCAAGTATGGTTACTAATAGGAGACACAGATGATCAAGCAAGAAGACACCCTCTACAAGTCCGCCGGCCCTTGGACATCCTGGCGCGACTTTCGCATTTCCAAGAAGGTGCCAGAGTCCGAGGAAATCACTTCCTTCTATCTCTCCCCTGTTGACGGAAAACCATTGCCTTCTTATTTGCCTGGCCAATACATCAGTGTCGCCACCTCCGTGCCATCTCTCCATCACGATCAAAATCGTCAATACTCTCTCTCCGGCGCACCTTCCTCTCAACACTATCGCATAAGTGTAAAGCGCGAATCCGCAGTCCAAAAGGGCGATCTCACACATCCGGCCTATATCTCCAATATCCTTCACGGAGAAAAGCAAGAAGGAGATATCTTGCAAGTATCCCATCCCTATGGTGAATTCTTCGCCGACCCCAAGAATACTGGCAAAGGAGCTCTGGTGTTGATTTCCGCCGGCGTGGGCATTACACCCATGATCTCCATCTTGGATACATTTACACAGGAGAATTCTGATCGACGTATTTCTTTCATCCACGCGACTAGATCTTCTGGTGTCCAGGCTTTCGGCCCTCATGTCGACGATATCACTTCTTCTCACTCCAATGTCTCTGCAACAATCTTCAATAAACTGCCTGCAGAGGGAGCTAAGCAAGGTGTTGATTTCGACTTTGCTACACGTATGGATTTGGATGTTTTGGAAAAGAAAAAAGATCTGTGCTTGCAGGACAAGGAAGCATGTTATTATATCTGCGGCCCTAGCGGCTTTATGACGGATATGGGAGATAAGCTCAAGAGCTTCGGTGTTGAAGATGCAAGGATAAAGTTGGAGATTTTCGGAACGGGAAATATGTCTTGATATTTCGCTGGTGGACGGGAAAGATGTATCTCTACTCATGGCATTGTCGGTGTTGAATGTGTTTGTGCGTTCTCATGGCGTTTGTTTTTGGTGTTTGGTGGAGGCTTGCGATGAGGTATTTGATAAGTTGCATGCAGAAGAAGAGGTATCCAAACCTCCCCCATGGTCTTCTTCTCTACTCTTCTTTCTTTACCAAAACATGCTTTCCCCGGCCCAGGGCGAACCAACGTTACCTGTCGACTTACTGCGGCTGCGACTTTGCTTCTTCTCCTACGTTCTTGTCAAGGTACTCGGATAGACGTCTCGGGTCGACGTTGGAGACGAGCCTGGTGGGTAGCCTCGTATCGAAATGGAGCTTAGATACCGAATGCACATCTCTCACATAATGTGTTCTGAGGAACACAAACGTCAAATTGCAAGATGGATTTCGGAATTCTGTGAATGTCTATTAAGAGGGTATAGATGCTTGACTTTTTACTATCGACACCAGTTGTGCATTCTAGCAGTCGTCTTTAACAGCTACGATTGCTAAAACAAACGTTGTGGTTTTCGGGAAACCTTTGTGTGAGGTTTTCAAACTTCTTGATTTCGCTTCGGATTTTTTGTGCCGAAGATGTTCCAGCATTTTTAGCGATACGCGCAGGAGAGGTGTGTTCTGTTATGGTATAGACTCATTTTCGGCACGAAGCCATCTTGAAAAGTGTTTTCTTCAATATCATCACCACTACTGGCTTTATGGACTTCATAGTCCGGATATGTCCATCAATTATCTTGGAAAGGCACGCTATATAAAAACATTGGCCAAAATCAAGTCGCATCACCTCGCTATCGCCCTTCCAAACCCAAAAATGCTTGTTACACCTCCCACCCTGTCCTCCAACGCCCAGCCCGCACGAGCCCCATCAGCCCTTCCCGCCCGGCGCACTTCTCTCCGCCCAACGCAGCCAGCCAGTCAGCCCTATCAAAACGCACGTCCCCCCAGCGCAAAAACAAAATCTCTTTCCACCACCAAACCTTGCATACCCTTCGCAAAACAAAAGATATTCGATCGCATTGCAGTTGTGTAGGAATAGCCGAAGGCGGGGCTCGAACCCGCGACCTTGAGGTTATGGTTATCGTGAATGATAAGAGCCACACGCTCTACCGATTGAGCTACCCCGGCAGGTCTGATGATCGTAGTCCACTTGGTGAACTGGCGCTGATTGCGATTGATGGAAGGCAGTGTGGGTGGGTAGGTATATGAAACTTGTGGTGTGGGTGAGTAAAAGATGGGCGAAGTTTCATTGGGAATGCCAGCGAGCGTCAATGGATTTGTTGGTGGATGTGTTGATCATGATGGGGGAATTGATTCTCATTGTCAGTCGATGTGGTGAAAGACCATACTACTCACTGTTGGTCTTGTTGCGAGGGAGTGACACTCATGTCAATTGATGTGTTCATGCAACTCACTGTTGACAGTGATTGTGGAATCAACATGAGCAGTCATAAGTTCAGTCCGTTTCACTTCTGCCAGGCTCATCCTGAAAGTGTCTCCGCCAATCTGGCGAACGAGAGCTGGCGATTCCGCCAGGTTTTGGCACAAGAGTAGCTCGTGTTGCTGGTTGGGTGCTTGAGTTGTACCTACCTCCCTTCCAGTACAGGACACTCAAAGAAAGACCACAGGTCCATGCATCGAGCAGCTTTCATCAATTAAAGACCATGATCGATCATGATATATTCTGCAGAACGATACCATAGTAGGGATGTGTTGGTGAGAGAGCGGTCTGCAAGGGAGGATCATCGACCTGTTGCTTTCCCTTGAACAGAACAGGGGTATCAGTGCTGTTGCAAAGCTGTGACTCGCTCCTGCTCTTGAGATCGGATGCTTGCAGAGCAATACTCGGGGTTGTGGGATACGTATCTTGAGAAACTTCTTCTGCCTCCAATGATTCTTTCCATCGACAAAATGTAAGTAAGATGCGAGCCCCGTTTACACACATCTTCGAAACCCTTGCACACTGCATCCAGTAGAGCGGTGAAAGACGACGTTGAATAGAAACCATCATGCGTTGGTCTCGTAAGTAGCGATCGCCGAGTCCAAAAAGTCTGTTATAACTTCGAGAAACCTGTTATACCCCCCCAAGCCAACACACCACGCACGTATTTCGCAATCTTACGTACATAATCGCCGATTGTACCGGGTAAAGACGGCGGGCTCTACGTGTCTAGATGTACATACCCTGCATCACGGAGGCGGGCAGGCATCCCTTGGAGGATTCGACGGTTACTGAAGGAGCGTTCAGCTACTGGATCGTTTGTCTCGATCTTGAGCACAGTCCGTGTTGCAGTTTCGTGCTATCAATATGCAAGGTGAATTCGTGACTAGGATGAGTTTTCGGAGAGAGCGCGAAGGATTCTTTACTTGGAACTTGGAAGGTCATCTCTGCCCTGCAAGGCCGATAATGTGCGTGTCGAAATGCAGGAAGGGTTTTCAATCGGTGCGATTGTCCAGTGAGAGTACGAGGAATGCTATCTTTGAAAGGTTATCTCGATCTCTCCGGATGTACACCATGTACACAACAAAAGGCAAGATGATTTTACAATCGGTACAGCTGTCCAGTGAGAGCACGAAGCAGAGACTGCTCTCAGTGGACATTCAAATGATTCAATCAAATCAACAAATCTCCTTGCATTTTGATATGTAGTAGAGTCCACTAGTCTATGTATGAGAGACAAAATTTCGCCCCCGAGCAGGCACACCTCTCTGGCTTTCATCTTATCGGAATAGCAGGATATCACGCTGCATCTCGTCAAGGTTATGCTAAAGTAGTTGACACGAGTAGTCGGAGCTGGACTATTACTTTCGCGTTCGATACCCGAGAGTCGTACAGACCGACCTCGACGCGCAGACTAATTGGATGACATGGTACCGAACCACCAAATAAGGCGGTCGACTGCTGTTTGGTCGGTAGTAGTTGTCAGGTTTACTTCGACGTTGAGATCAAATATATACTTCGACGAAAGCAAATTTTTTGCACGTGCGGGCATATGATAGCTCAGACGCTGATTCCGAGAATGTAGAACAAGCTCCAAGTGATGACGATAGCATGTTATATATGTGATGGAAACGATGCTTCAAGTGACGATTTGATTATATAGCAATCACTGAACATAGTGATGGAGATATCGTTTTGGAGCAGAAAGCAAGGGAACGCAAGAATAAACCCGCGTAGCTTTTGTTGTTTGTTACGTTCTGGAATATCTGTCTCTCTCCGTGCACTCCCCGATCGTGACCAAGATGGCTTTATGCCTATAAAACTGCACAGTCTTTTTTGCAATCGATAGAGTGGTGGAGTGAGACTACAACTGAGCAATCGATCTCTATGAACAAAGCTTCAGTTCTTGAAACGATTGTGCATTTTTACAGCCGGTCAAACTCGTGCACTAGGAGGTCGAGAGAAGGACAAGAAAATATCGATCGCATCTTTTTCGCATTTCCGTAGACTGGGTGAATATTACATCTCTGATGGCCAGGACACTTACATACACAGCAGCTGCAAGAATGCAAAAGTGCTTTGGAAAGTAGAGCTACGTCCAAGAGGATGACGTGTACTGATCGCTCTGTGTGGACGTCCGGCCTCTTCTCAAAAGTATTGTGCATTTTGATAGGTGCATAGTTGCATGAATCTGCTGCTCGAGAGAGTAAAAAGTTTGGCATAAGGAGGAAGTTGAGCGCAGGCGACGGACACAGCTAGTTGGTGACCAAACTGTATAGGCTCTTCCATGACTTGGGATGCAATGGGCGACGCACACACGACTACATGAGAGCCAAAGGAATTAACCAATGATGTGGGCCCATGTTGAGCATCTTGCTTGCTTGAGTAATGTATGGGCATATGCCTCTTTCACTTCTTCACTCCGCCATCGACCGAGCGATGGAACAAGAACAAGCGTGAGATCGATCCAAAGTAGAGTGGTGGAAGCAACTTGCATAGCGGTGCGGATGCAGCGTTGATCGCACACACAAAGACTACTCAAAGCTAGAGCGGAATATCGGCGTGGACGGTATCGTTCGAGGCATTTGGTCCGAGATCCCAGATTGTCGATTGTCAGGCAACAGTATGACAATACCGTGTCGATTGGCTTGATCATAGTGGCTGCTTCGATAGCTGTTATATCCAGACAATGATCGAGTGGTACAGGAGTCCTTCAATCGATGTTGTGCTCGAAACTCATCGAGGGATATGGTTTCTGGTCGATGGCGGAGCGCTGACGTCGAGAAAGTAAGCCTTGATTGTCTGAACCTAAATCCAACGAAATTCATGGTTATAGGTCTGGAGGCAGATCAACTCGCCTCACTTGCTTCTTCTCTTGCTCCGATGCACCAATCCAATGGTGTAAGGGATACCGAATCTGGATACAGAAAGCCTAGCTCAGAAAGGATAGGACAGCACAGCAGTTGGTGGTCCCTATGCACGGCAGCATTCAGATTGATCACATCGGGAGCGAAAGCGAAGATTTCAAGCTTGCTAGGTGAAGAGTTGTATCGAGGTTTTTCGAAAGGATTGTGTGATGAGAGGGCAGGTGCGGTGTGGCATGGCCGCATGGGCGGTCGGGGCTGGGCAAGACGAGCTGCGTCGCAATGCCGTGATCTTGATCCGGTCTTGAGATTCGAGGTAGGAAGCTTTGGGTTGACAGTTGCGACTCACGAAGGGTGGCTGTTGGATGTCACAGTTGGCGAAGCTCTAACCTAAAGACGGTTGAGGTCAGCAGTGGATCGGCCTGGCAGTGGGCCAGAGCTGCCAGACTATATTCCTCGGGCTCAGCATGTTTAGGTAAAGAACAAGAAGTTGTCTGACTCCAGGATCAAGTTGCCCAGTCTCTCGGCGAATGAGCTAACCAAAGCATGGTATGGCTCTCATCCCATCTGTCGAGATGGATACGAGTGCCGTTGGGCTCTTACGAGCATCAGGAGTTGCCTCAAGGTCGACGTGAGCTGTGTTCGTCGTGTTTCCTCTCTTTTTGACCTTTCTCTCCGCCTGCAAGGCTGAAGATGGTAAGAAACACCGTCCAACGGAGCCAAAACTTTTTTGGAAATGATCTAGCATGTGCCTGCGGGCAGAGACATGGCCTTGTGGTGACGCATGCCAGAATATAGTTGTGTAAATCACGACGCTACCAGTTCGCTTGGATGTTGCGTAAGACAGCCAGGATCGAGCCAGGCAAACATAGTTGCCAGCTGTTTGTCTCCTCTCCTAAGTAGCAAGGACTTGAGAGAATTCCCAGTCTACTTTCCCTCCTCAATTCCAAGCAAGTGATGCATGCGGCAATGAAAGTTCGCACTGGTGCATCGAGTTCGTCATGCCCAGCCGTGACAATGCCTCCGAGGACTTCAGCTAGTCTGACCATGCGACGGTAAAAGTCGATGTGATAATTGATATTCTACCGAGCGTGATCTGTCCGAGAAGCGCCCTGTGTCACGTCTGCCGCGTCGAAGTGCCCCATAGCCCCTTACTAGGTCTGAGACTTGAGCCAAGGTTTATCAGTCCGATCTTGAATGTGCGGTCTACAAGCGCAAACAGTTCCGCGTTCGAGAAATCCTACATAACGGTTGTCCCTCTGTCCAATGATATGGCCCGGATTGTTGTTCCTGTCTCCGAGGCTTGAGAGCTGGCAGCTTGCATGTCAGATGCATGTCCGTAAAGTTACAAACTCTTGAGCTTCAAAGACGTAGTCGGCGCAAACGAGTGACGACAGCGACAAGAGTGCAGAGCCGACTGAAAGTGTTTTCGATAGCAGCTTGTGTTAGGGGTTCAGTGATACGAGGATTGCCAGAACGAGGGCTTGTTTCAGGGCATGTTCGGTGCACATGCAGTCGAGTAAAGCTTCCGTTTAGCAGAGGATATAAGGTTACAGCGGCAGGTTCCAATGAGAGCCTAGACTGCAGCCAAATTAACAGAGTTCGCCAGAGGGTAAAATCGATTCGTCGTAATCCTATCGCAAACCAAGAAAGGTTCCAGACGACTGCCAAATGTCGGAAAGCGTGAGTTTGTCAACCATGCTTTCCGAAAACCATGTTCTTGCTGTGAGAGCCTCTTATCAGCCTCCAAAACTCCACAAGCCCTATGTTGTAACACTATCCAATCAGTCGGGTCTCACGTCCTATCGAATTGTTGGAAGCATAAATTGCTGGAGAGCGATGGCCAGGGATTCAGAGGTGACAATCAACCTTGCTTACAGTGATTCGCTGGCTCTAGCGCAAGATTCATCATCACGCCTTCTAGCGGTGAACATGTTCTGCTTTGCCAAGCTGTCTATCCTCTCAAAGATCTTCGACATGAATTTTCTGATAAAGTCCACAGACTTTGCTTCAGTGTCGGGGATAATGATGATAAAGACGATCCCCCTTCGATCAAGATACTGTGCCTCATTTCCTCGATCGGCACTATGCATGCTATTGATGTGTGACTTACGGTGGATACTGCTGATCTCTGTAGCGAGTCCTGAAGGATCAAATCTTAAGCATGGACTTGCTGCAGGGAGTAGTATATGGGCTTGGTATACGGTGTACGTCCGAAACCGTGGCCGAGATAACATTTGCGTTACGGAGTAGCTTGCACAAGATCTGGTGATTTCTGTCAGCAGATTGAGATGATGACCTCGACAATGCGCCTACACTTGACATGTACATAGCCGCAGGTGCCAGGGCGCAAGAGGTCCTAGCGATATCGCATGAACTACGACACGGTAGCTAATTAGCCAATTGACCGTGCCTGGACCCGTTCGATTAATCAAAAGTAAGCTTTCCTGGCCATGGTGATCCCATGGTCTCTGGGAGGAGCCGTCCGAGTCAGGGTCAGAACGTTCCGAAGACGACAAAGGAAGGAGCTCCCGCCGGAACCGCGCTGGTTGGTAGATGGGAAAAAGACGTTCCCCTTAGCTGCCGAGGCAGAAAACGGCCACGACGACGCGCGCGGAGAAGCACCCGAATACCATACTTGCAGGATTGTCGACGATCTTTTTGGACATGCAGCACGGCAAGTGCCAGACACCTAATCTGAATTGCCACACTGTGGCGAGAAGGAAGTACCCTGTTGTGCCCAAGAAGTATTGGTAAAATGCAGTGTCTGAGAACAATTTCGGGGAGGTTTGTAGGTCGTAGTCGCGGCTGCCAAATTGGCTGGGCAAATCTCAAGCGAAAGAACGCCTCAAGTCGCCGAGTCGCGGGGGCCACGCGACTTGGGGCCTTCCCGTCCTGTTTCCTTTCGACTTCTCTGCCACGCGGTTGAACAGCCACATTACCACTCTTGACAGAAGTATCACGGGCCATATCCTGTTCCAGACTTAGCGACCTTCTCTGGTGACCTTGCATCTCCCAATTCGATCCGTCAATTACCAGCATGGCGCCATCCTGAACGCCATTGGCTCATAGATCTTCCCGCTCCGGTCACGGTGCGACAAACAAGGGATCTCTTTCGGTGTATCTGCATAATCGTCGATGCTGTTCCACCTATCTCTCGGTCTCTGTCACGCCGAACAATGGCAAGTAACTGCCGGTGTCTGGCAAGTGTAGGCCGGCGAGAAACCCTACTAGAAACAGCATGCCGCCCCTCTGATTTCATGCGATCCGCAATCAGCGATGACGGGGTCTAAGGCTGGCAAGTTTTGCTACGGAATACATGTCAATCATCCAAATCATGAAAAATCCGTCGTGTGCATGAATAGAGGCATGTTCATCTTTCTATTCTTGCATCGCCAATTCACAGCCACACTCGCTTCCCGAGCTTCTTCACGACAACCTGGGCTGGGTTGGTCGTGTTCTCGAAAGAGAAGGTGACGGTCCTCGTGCGGAAGCACAACCGAGCCGCCAAGTTGCGTGGCTCAGTCACAAAGCCCCCGTTGTGCTCTTGTTTCACGTTTCCACCATCCCAGCCAGCCAGGCATGATTCTCGCAGCGGGCATGTCATGCCGAGTATAGCAGAAAGTCAAAATTTCCCTAGCAATTGGCACCGGTTCAGGGCAAAATAGTGCATGGTCGAAAGAGAAGCGAAAGCGGCGCCTGGCCTACTCGAGTAAAGGGACTTGCCGTTCCAGTAAACGTCAAACGAAGCAATCTTTCGGCACCCACCTGATGATGCATGGTTCCTCGGTATCAGCTTGGGAGCCATGTCTCCTACTTTCTTGCGTCAACCAATCCGCTTCCCTAAACTCTCTTCCCCTTCCCCAATATATATGATCCACGATTGTGGCAATCACAGCATCGCTTAGCCTTATTGGGTCGCATCAATTCCGGGCAGCAAGTGTTAAGTTCGCATTCTTTCCCAGATAATACGGTGAATCGACTTCTCCTAGGGCCGGACAAGCATCCCGACAAGCCTTATAGTTTGACTCAACCTTATTCGCTCCTTACTGTACAGACCTGCCGACCTTACATCATCTAAGCGTGAGGCAAGAAATACCGACCGCCCCCTCCAATCGATATCCTGGCGCTCCTTCAGCCGCCCTCGAGGTCGAGAGAAGCTGGACCACGATCGATTGACCTCTACAACCTCAGCGGTTTATGCACCACCGCAACACTGGCGAATCCTTACGGCAACTACCCCTTCCAATATGGAAGGCCGGCGGAAGACGGAGAAGGTGACCAGGGACATAATCCGACCACAGGTGTTGTCTACGACCAACAATACCTAGATCATGGATATTCGACGTTGCCATCTTCCTATTATCCTCTGCCGGCGCAGCTCGATTATCACATATTGCCTGCACAACTGCAACATGCGATGATACCCCAGCAAAACCCCGGCATGACACATCCTAATCAAGAGAGAAACAGTATCGCCACCTCGATATCAAGTCAACTCAGTGGATCTACCCAGTACGACAGTTCCAGGAGACAGTCAGAATATGCCCATTCAGAACCATCCGCACGCAAGCGAAGCCGCGCCGAAGACTTTCAACAGGACACGCATGGATCTCCTACTTACAACGCCAACCTAACTCTTAATATCCCCGGCTTGATGGGTTCAGGTGGACAACGATCACAATCCCAGGCTTCTCCATACCAGTTCCGGGCTCCGCCGCTCCCTCCAACATCCTCCACAGACAGATCACCACAGAGCGATACGCAGCAGCTTCAGCTACAGCAACCATACAACCCAGAAAAGCCCTTGCAGACGACTCAACACCATCATCACCATCTGCCACCTCATTCTCCGACACTGAAACGAAGCAAGCACGGAGAGGAGGAAGAAGCATCATCCTTGAGTGATGTAGGTCCTCCAAGTATGGTTGGAAGAGAAGGGATGCCCGAGCCAGCACCCAGACCAAAGGGACCAAAACTCAAATTCACACGAGAGGATGACGCCCTACTGGTCAGGTTGAAAGAAACGAAGAATTTGACCTGGAAGCAAATCGCCGAGTTTTTCCCAGGTCGCAGCGCAGGCACCCTGCAAGTCAGATATTGCACGAAGCTCAAGGCGAAGACTACGCTGTGGAACGATGATATGGTAAGTCGAGCTTTCATTCGTTTTAATCTACATTTAACATTCTTCTGGATGGCTCAGGACCTGAGACCGCCGTGTGGTAGAAGCGAAAGGTCCACAGGCTCGCCATGGAATCTTTTGTCTATCACATGGAGCACAGGGCCCCAACTGCTCGAGATGGCACTTTGAGAGTGTTACGAGACTACTTTTCTGGATTCTCACGCGGAAGTAGGGTTCCGTCGAGTGGGCCCACAGTCCACGACACATTGTGGACGGATCGCTCAACGGTCTGGATCCCACTGGAGTGATGGACCTGGAAACAACACCACAAGTTCCTTGGTTTGTCGCGAGTCACTCCTTGTGGATCGTGATGCCTCCTCACCCCTGTTGATCACCGACAAACACCAATTTCGATAGCACGGGATTCCTGACCAAGGAAGGACCGACCTCCGCACGCCGATCTTCAGTTTCGAGGTACTTGCTTTAGGTGCGCCCGGAAGTGCGTATCCTCCGAGACTGTTAACTGAGGAATCATCAGTACAATCGAGCGTTTCCAAGACTTTGTGAGATATTCACACACCTCGGACCATGATCAGCGAGGCAGTCTCACACTCCTAGTCAAGCGGACTATTCTTGGGGCACTTACCGAGCTTCCTGTCTACTTGTACCGCGATCTCGTACAACGATGGCATCGCACCACTAGTGACCATGCTTCGCGGACCCTGGTTCTATCACACGGACTTCTTGGATCGCATGATTGCACAGAACAAGCTTTACGATGCCCAGATGCTAACGTGTCAACTCAGATTCAACGTCTTCGCACAGCGATTCAAGATTACGACAACGACCGCTGGCGGTTCATTTCGAGTAAAGTCGGCAGTGGATTCTCGGCTGCAGCATGCAAAGCAAAGGCAGAAGAGATTGAGGCAGAGGATATGGAAGCGGAAGTTGGTGCAGAGTCGGGCTCGGAAGACGATCGACATAATACCTTTGGCCGTCAAGACATTGAAGAGGAGGACCAGAACGAAGGAGAAGAGCAATAACATGAGGAGGGGTGAGCAAGATGTTTGAGATTGGACACAAGAGATGGACACACATACCTTGACTCTTTGATCTGGACGAGCAGGTCCTGGGTCTTGCGCTATCGAGCCTCGAGGTGCCAGCATGTCGTAGCAGTGGCTATTCTCTGAGATGGTTGGTCGGCGATAGTCACTCCGCCCCGGATGAGGCAGCGCGCCGCCGAGCCAAACCTCGCCCGTCACAGTGCTGGAGAGAGGATGTCGTGTTGGTGCCAACTGGTGAACTGATCTGCGACCAGAGCCAATCATCCCGCCAAGCGCACTGGATGCTGAGAAGCTGCGTCAGTAATCAGCGGCGCGGGCCTCCGGAACTACTTACCGAGACCTATACCAGTGGTGAGGAGGCCATCAGGGTACTTCACTGCTTGGTTCGCCGACTTTCAGATGTTTGTAGATGACAGGACACAAAAAGAACCGCAGAGGCACAATAGTATCCGATCTGGCGAAGGTCACAAAGTCAATGTCCTCCGATAAATCAGCAATACCACATCTTCTCACTCACCGAATTATTCGCACTTTTCTTTTCTTTCCGCACAACTTGATGAGCACAGCCGTCATCTCTGAAAATCGTTGTCGATATTCCACTGTGCGCTCTAGTGCCTAGAATAAATCAAAACCATGCGTCGTGCAAGACTGACCTATCAAACTAACTCACTCTACCACCCATGTCTCTGGTACACCTCAAAACTCTCACGCCAATAACCTCAAGATCCCCCCCCCCCCCCCCCGATGACAGCAGCGTCTATTTTTGAGCCTCAAAACTATAAGACATATGCGTGAATTTAAGCTCCTCCCAACTTTTCTCGGGTGAGAATGGGCGACCAAGCAAACGGTGACAGGTCCCCCCCCGGGACGTGGGTTAGGTGTGTTTCTCCACCTGTTCCTGACGATCTCAAAGCCCTATCAAAGCTAGAAGCGAAAAAACACTGCAAGGGGGAAAAGAAAGTCAAGGCGCGAAAGGTTGGTGTGTGGCTGAGTAGGTGATTTGATGAGTCAACATTTTTTCTTCGTTTTGAGATGCATAAACCGGATCGGGAAGTGGAGGACGCGGGAGGGGGTTTGGCGGGGGAGGCTTGTGCGGGAGATCCGCGATAGATAAGATGTTAGGATGTGGGTACATGGGACGACGGCTGTGATTTGACAACATGTCTTGGTCAGGATTTATAACACATATTGGCGGGTTGTTTGACGGATGGAGTAGACGAGAGAAAAGCTGTGATTTGTTTGGGTATGGAAATGGGTGGTTTCTATGGACGGTGTCATAAGTACACGGGTTGCGATCTTTTGCGCCTCGCTAAAGACAAGGCTCTTGGTTGTCGATGATCTCGAGGCATGCCGCGAACAAGGACGTGACCGCATTGGTCTACCGCGGAATGGAGTTCGTGAACAAGATGTTGATGACACTGATGAGTGTCGCCGTATCCTCAAGAATCAATTATCCAAGCTGTTTGAGGTCGATCAGTTTCTTTCAGCTCGTGGCTGAGCAGACGATGGTGAAGACTGGTCGGTTGGGAGGACTTAATTGGACCGTTCAGGAAACTGGCCTATGGATATGGCATTCGATGAGCGTACTAACTCAGCGGCAGGCTGGCTGGCAGCCAGGACCAATGAACCGAGTGAGGGTGGAAGAGTTTTTCGCTGGCAACTTCCATTACAATTATGCTATGCGAGTCCAGTCAAAATAACAGTAGTGGGGGGAACGACATTGGGAAGGAGCTAACAAGGCTCGTGGCTGTACAGAGTCACCTGCTTGGCACCTGTTTAAAACTCGAACCTCGAGGTTTTCTTTCGTTTTCATCACCCAAGCAGCTACACAATCAGAATCTCCGCTTATTCCTACCTTATGCTCATCACTCTTATCTCTACACTCTACACTTACTCTACAACCATGGCACCTTGGAGCACTATCAACAAGCGTGGTCTGTCTGCAGTTGCTTTGCCTACGCCCAGCGCGTCCGCAGCTGCTTCGTCTATGCCAAATCCCTCGGCAGTCGGTGTGCCAACATGTCAAGTCAAGCCAAAGAGGACCTCAAGAAAGAGTAGAAAGCAGGCTCCAAGGAAGCGTACAAAGCAAGCTCCCAAAAAGGGTACAACGCAGGTTCCGAGGAAAAGTCCAAAAGAGCCAACCACTGCAAAGATGAACCTCCGCATCTCCAAGCTCAAGGAAGAAATTAGCAAGGCCGGTGGTCAGGTACCAAAACCTTCAGGTCTCTCAATTAGCAACGATTTCTTCTCGAAGGTCTCACTCCAAGGCTTTCCATCTACCTTGAGTCGCTCACACTGTGGTTACAATGCCGACGAGCGCGAGTTCATCTGGTGCGCCGCAGACGACTGGGATCGTGAACTCATCGCAGTATATCTCGGTCGCAACGAACAAGCAATCCGCCTCGAGCTGATGAAGATCAGGAGAAGGCTTGCTGCTCAGCGTCTTCTGGCGCAAAATGGAGCCTCTTCTTCGGTTCCGGCTGTGCCTACTAGTTCTGGTCTCCATCAGGGTGCCGCAGACTCGGCGTTGGCTGTCGCTGGTCCTTCTCACTCGAACACTGATGTAAGTGTCGACGGTCCTTCTGACCCAGACACTGATTCTGGATTGGATATGTCTTTCGATTCGACTACTGAGTGCGCACCAACTGGCTTCTCCGAGCGCAGTGTGGCCATATCTCCCAGCGGAAATATCACGGCTACTCCCCTGTTGCCTTCGCCTGGAACCTGGAGGGGCTTTACAAACGCCTTCGACAAGGACTTCTTCGGACAGTGCGCCCTGACGCCCGAGGACCAAAGAAGGCTGAGACGAGCAGAGGAAATTCATCACTCTCTACCGAAGGGCAAGGTTGTTTCATGGAGGCTGACTTCGGACTACGAACGGGGGCTGACTGCTTGGCAGATGCAAGATATGAGCAAAGGTCCTCTGAACATCTTGGCCGATGCTGCGGTTGCGCAAGGCTCTTCTGCTATTTCCAGGTCAGCTCCTCCTACCAGACCAGGACGCGGAAGATAGCAGCACGCTCTTGAAGTCATGGGTGTTATCTAAGGGAACTCGGCGTACGGAGTCTTGGGAAATGGTGGATGGAACATTCGGCGTTTGGCGTTTGGCGTTTGGCGTTCGTCTCTTGTGTTGTGCACGCTCTTTATTCTGTTCTCTCTTTTATTCCTTCTTCTGTTCCTTCTTTTGTTCCTTCTTCTATGCGCGGTCGTGGGCACTTGGCCTTGTAAAAATGAAAATAAAACCACTAAGTCGCCTGAACGCGCAGGAACATTTTCTGACAGTGCACATATCTGTGAGGTGGACGTGTTGTGCCAGGTTGGCAGATTCTAGTCTTGTGCGTCGGGCAGACGCGATGCACGAAACTTGTCAGGATGAGAATCGTCTTCAGTGAGAGCAGATGAGACAGTGACTCTCACTGGACGACTCGATCAGTCTTGTAGTATCGTGCCTCTTGACAGCGATGCTTCTCGACTTCGAAGACAGGCAACAGACTCGGCTTCGTTGTATTCTCCCGGACCACCATCCGCACTTGTCGAGCAGAGGGCGAAACTGGCTTTCTGTTGACGTGCCTAGGCGAGGGCTGAAGGAGAGGATCGATGGAGAAGGCATGATCGGAATGAAGGCGCCTCGGGTTGTTGGAGTGTGTGCGCGCAGTCCTGAGAGCGACGAAGTTTGTGGTGAGCTCCATGGCAGGAGGAGACAGAGAGTCGAAACAAGGCGGCGCGAACCGGCCAGCGGTGTTAATCTCTTTCGAGTAGCGGACAGAGAGATATGGTCAGGACATTGCGCATGCGTGCGTTTGGTTGTTGGTTCATTGCGGCGAGAGTTGCAAAGTATGACTGGCGATCGTGAAACCTGTAGATTCAGGGGCGCGTTTTGCCAAAGTGCAGCGGACCAAAGACAAAGATTTCTTGGCTGACGAGGGAATGCGCCGAGAGGTTTGCGAGTAGGCGCGTGATTGTGCTTTGTTGAGCCAGAGGGGATGAGCGACCAAGAGTGAAGAGCAAGGGCCGGGAAACAAGTCAACGCAAACAAGTCAAAGCCCTCTGGCGTCAAGACTTGAGAATCGCTCAGGTTCCCACAAGGCCACCAACTAGACATGTGTCTGGTTCCTCGAAAGGAATCGAGCGTGCTGTTACTCTATTGTCTTGACTCTGTAAGGAGATAGGCCTTGCAAGCAAGAATATGAGAGGGCGTAATGCTCTGACTAAGCCGAACTCGACTTTGGCAAAATGATTCGAGCTCCTGACGAAGCTCGAACTCGCACCCGTCCACCCACGTGAATAGAATACCGGAAGCAAGCGAACACATTTTTCGCGCTCGCTGCTGGACGAATATAGCTCAACACCACGCAATAACTTGATGCCGCTACCGTCTTGTAAAAACATACAAAGACATATCATTACCATGCAGTGCATCCAAAAAATAATGACCTTCGTTGGAGCAAAACTGAAGATCAGAACTCTCTTACTGCGTTTGTACTTAGGACTTCCTCCCCGTACTCCTATCTCGGCGCGTGTAAGATGGTTTTTGTATGAGCTGATTACCATTGCGCCACCCCGGGTTGAACGGGCTGGCCGAAAGTCCGTGGTAACTTCGCCGCTGAGAGGTCTCCAAAATATCATGAATATATACCCTGAAGCTTGTTGGAATGAAGACGCACTTGCTGGTTGCTCCTTCCTCCAGCATCCACCTATGCTCTCCAGACCTTCAGAGAAGCATTCAGTCGTCATCCTCGATGTGATGCTCGTTATTCTGATCCAGATCGATTGACAACATTTTCTCCTTGTCAGACTCTTTGATATGCGATGTGGATTTTCGTTTGTACAGCATCCAATTTTCTTTCAATGTTTCAACCGTACATCTGACGTCTGGTGCTTGCCATATCTCCAACCCTGTTCGAGCTTTCGGAGTGACTGTGTTGCGGACAGTACGACTCACGATGGGAGGCGCACCCGTGACCTTCCTGATGTTGCGTTTGCTTGATGTTCTGTGCCCGCTGTGCATAAACCGCGTTCGCACATGGCTCTGACTCAACAGCATAAAACTGCCCATCATCGGTCATACTTTCACCGCAAATAGACGTATAACCCCTTGAGTAGTGGTCATCGGGGTGTACTGCTCTTCGCTATGCATGTAATCCCCGTTCAGAGTCGATTGGTCTCCAGAAGAAGGATGGACTTGCGTGATGTGTTCAAATGCGGGAACGATTCTGAGCTTCTACAGAGATGGCAATCGTTGTCGCGTTCTCCAAGATCAAGATGGCTTCTCGAATGCACAATAATCTCCACTGTTCTCAACCTGAGATAGGAGACCTGTCGTTTTCTATCATGAATGTCTCCTGAAAACTCGAGCCAAGTTGTTTTCTCAAGAAAATATATTGCCCATTCGTGTCTTATCGGCCAGTCGGCTCTTCAGAGGATCCGTTGGGTTAGGGGAACATCTAGTGCTTTTGAGTTGCCGACAGGTCCAACGCCGGTTGGTCCTTGGGTCGCGTGGGTGTCCTGTCATAGAATGATATTCTCTCAAACCAGACATCGAATTAGTCGAAGACGATGACTCTTTCTGCGCTTCCTATAAAAGCAGAACTGATCTTGCTTCATAGTATCTTCTCGATATCTCCGATCAGACTTCGAAAGTACACTGCCAGCCAGCGATTTCCAACACAACTCGACAGCCTTCATCACGTATCGAGTGCTTTTATCGTGTCTAACACAACACTCCATCGCGTCTCGGATATATCCCTCACGATTGAAAATTCTCCATCGCGTTTTGAGTTTTCTCATCGCAAATCGCATACCTCACGCGACACAAGTATAACCGACGCATTTCAAATAACCCTTAACATTCTCAAGAGAAACCATGGCTCCAATCAAGACTACCAGAAAAGGTCGCGCAACCGGAAACGCTGCTGTGGGTTCCTCAGGCAACAACATCGACACCACAGACAACATCCAGACTACCTCAGGTCACTCGACCCAAAAAGGCAGGGTCAATAAGCGGGTCGTGAAGAACAAGGCCAAGGACAACGCAGCCCAAGGTGCTGAGAAGTGGACCGAACAGGAGCGACAGACACTCCTTGGCTCCAGGGCCATTCACAAACACTGGAAACAGACCAGCGAGATCCTTGGTCGGACCGACCAATCAGTCAGATCGGAGTTCAAGAAGATGAAAGACGGCGAACGCAACAAGGCCGGAGGAGTTGACTGGCAGCAAAAGGCTGTCGCTTGCGACCAGCAACGTGTCAACAGCCCTCCTGTGCCTCAGGCAGGACCTGTTAGCACCCCAACGACTCTTGGTAGCAGTACGACCGCGATCAACAGCACAGCAATAACGCCTCAGAGCAGCACGCTCTCGGCAGCCAGCACCGTGCCCATCAATACTCCTTCGGTCCAGGTAGGACCGAGCAATATCACACCGACTTCGGGTGAAAGCTCGACCTCCGCCAACAGCGCCGCAAGGACCCCTGAGAGCGGCACCCTCTCAGCACTCAGCCCCCTGCCTGTCGACAGCCCCATCGAACCCGCGAAACAACACGTGCTGGAACCCAGCAGCCACACCATGTCTCTCGTACACAGCGATCAATGGGGCATCGGCAAACGCACAAGGGCTCTCACAGATGAAGTAGCTCACCCGAGCCATGTCAGGGGTGACTCAAACCCAGACACGGGGCGACAAAGCATGACGACGCCCCTTCAGCAGGACGAAGAGGATGATTTCGCCTACAGGGTACCATACCAATGCTTCAAGGCCCCGAAGGAGAGGAGGCAACTCAAGCCAACAGAGTTCCACCCGACCGATTACTGGGTTTACGGGCGAACTATCGAAGAAGAGCCCGAGCGCGAGACCAGGCCCAGCAAGTACTTCTTCCAAAAGGAAGGGTATCATCAAGATAAAAATGGGACTTGGTGGTACGATCACCCGTATGGTTTCTCGAGACCATGCCCTCTTAAGGCTGGTCCCGATCGAAAGGATCACTTCAAACTTCGTCCACTGCGAGCTGCAGAGATAGACGCAGACCTGCTTCTCTTCTCTGCTGCCTCTGGTTGATTGGTCTGCAGGGCCCTACTTCGCCCTCTCTCTTCCGCAACAGCATATTCGCCTATCAGCATCCATCGCAAGGCACGAACACGACCACAGGGAACAGACCCTCCGACGAGACTATGAGCCAACGGGGCTCCCGATGTCCAGAGAGAGCCATGTCAAAAACACCGTGCCTTTTTACACGCCTGTTTCAAGCTGACATGGCTCGCGGGAATGACATAAGAAAGAGATCAAGGGAATGACACAAGAAAGAGATCAAGGGAATGAAAGCTCGCGTTGCGACAAAAACATAGTGATAAAAGTGGCCCAACAACTCCTGTGGCTCTTTTTACCCATCGGGTTTTCAACGAGAACAGGAAGGTCGCGAATGAAATTTCAACTCACACATAATTTCCATCTTCATTCACTCATACCGTTTGATTTTCTGCTTACGAACGACAGAGTCGCCGCAATACCTTTCTGCTCCTTCCTCCTCCTCCTCTTCTTCTTTCTTCTTTCTTCTCGCTTCTCTTCTCATTCTTTTTCTTGGACATGTCGATAAGAGCGATGCATGGTTCGATCAGTCGTACAACCCTATCTTACACCTATTGACCATCAACGGAGATCGGCCGTTCTTGAAAGTCCAATCCCGTCGGAAGAGAGTATTGTTGATTGTGACCAGCTGGTTGGACTTTTTCGCAGCGGACCTGGGAACCTGATTGGCCGGTCTAGGCGCCTCCAGAGAAAAGACATCGGTCACCGGATACAAAGAACCGGGACATGTTGTGAGAAGCTAAAGGTTGTTTTGTTATACATCAATCAGGCAGAACTGTCTGCTCCCCCAAAACGTCGTCAACGAAAGCCAAGCTCTTCAAGCAACAAGCGTCAAACAGCAAGCGAGAAAAGCAATAAGACAGACAGCACTTTCTGCTCTACATGTAAGGCCAGGCTTTAAAGCGCTTCCTCGGGTCGACGACCACTTGGTTATCTTGTGAGCCCACAGGCCTTCTCTTTTCTTCTTCCCATTTTCTAGATCTCATGGAATCAACTGCTTGATTCGCGAAGCCTTCATCGAGCTGTGAAAACTGGCATTTCGGTCTCGTCCACGATGTCGGTGCAAATGGCGTGTCGAAGCTTATCCGTCCGGTACCACAAGTCTGAACTTCACTTCCACCTGAAAGTGTACAGGTGGCTGTGGTATCTCTCCCGGCATCCATGTCGGAAGAGTCTCGTGCCATGACCCTGGGGCCTCGCACCGGTGCGGTCGTTCCGGCGCCGGATCGAGAGGCTTATCCAAGCCTCCAGCTGATGACTATGTGCTTTTGGAGGCGGCGATGAGATGGCGGAAAGGCGCATTCGAATACTTCCATCAAAAGATGGAGGCCCACCACAGGGTCGGTTGTCCCGGAGGTGGTCGTCCGAATGCGGCGAGGTGAGAAGGGCGGAAAGGGTGTGAGAAGAGATTTCTCTTTACTCCCTCATCGCCGCCCAAGCATATATGTCGCCATTTCAAAACGATTTAGAGACCGAGTATTTCAATATTCGATGTCAGTCATGCAAGAATTTTCGCTTGCGCTGGACAACTAGATACATCTCCAGAATGTGCGTGTGCGTTATCCTTGGCGGTCTCAATCGTGGTGGCCTGACCCTCAGTCAGACATACAACTCTGCGTATAATCATTAATATTATTTCGTAGACTGACCTGTAAAGGACGCAATAATTCGAAATCTATGTTTGATTTAGTAACAACAACTCTAGTCTATTCGGAGGGCTCTTTCTAGTCCAAGAAATTTTGCTCACATTTCTGACGACGACAAATTCTGGCCGCTCGGAAAACTATTCGAGCTTTCATCACCTACGAGTTGAACACATTCTCAAACTGATGATTCTCTGCAACGTATACTGATTCATGTTCTGTCAAACCATTGGTCCGGTCTGACCTTGAAGTTGCGAAGAAACTCGACTTCCTCTCGAGCACTCCCAAACCAACGTCGTAAGTCGAAGTTGAGCCAAGAACTTTGGCCATTAACAATGAAGCTTCCTTCGCCTAACTCCAACAGTGCACCTTCCCAATCCAGGCATTTATCACTTCCATCAATCACCTCCTCCTACGACCGAGATACCTCCCTAGTTGCTTTGCATGAATGATTCGCATCTCCGTTTTCACGTGGCAAAGAGCCGCTCTCTGTCTACTCTTCCTGCCGACCAGATCCGAATACAACAGCCGGCAGTTCATGTCTGCAGTCCTTATCTTATCCACGAGGGGTTTCCGCGGACTTAAGAATGATCAACCAGCACATGTCAAATCCAAACAAAGCAATAATGTGCAGTCTGCTATGATCTCGTTGGCTAAAAGACATGTTCGTTGGAGTGAATTTTTCCTTGCCCGCGCACTGATAAGAACAACTACTCCAACTGATAGGGCGATAATGCAATGCACTGCACATCATACCCCCAGATAGGCATGTCGAATGTTCGGTGCGAGCATCTTCTTGCCTTCAACTCCCAACGTATCTTGTATCAGTGTACTGTAAGTCGCATTTCTAATAGGCTGCAAGGCAGGATATCTGGATATCTCTTCTTGGCTTACACATTGAACGGGTGGGATATGTAACGAGTCAAGATAGGTGAGGTTGATATATATGTAAGTGTTGCGATCGTCTATCTGTCAACTCTCACCCATCTTTTCCGCTCTCCACACTCACCCTCCACAATGTTTGAGCCTCACGACAAGGAAAAGGCGTTGCATGCTACACCGGAAGAGCTGCCTGAAGTTGAAATTGGCGAGGTCAAAGATGTCAGGAATGCAGACGCTGCGCTTGACTTTTTGCGACATGAGGGCGAGGGAGTTGAGATGACGGCGGAGGATGAGAAGAGGCTGGTGAGGAAGATCGATTGGATGATTATGCCGTTGATGTGGTGTTGTTATGTTGCGCAATACTTGGACAAGACGTTGATCAATTATGCTGCTGTCATGGGACTGTATGAGGATGCGAATATCACAAAGGCCGATTTCTCGAACTTGGTAAGTGTTATTGGTGATTTTGAACTTCAATTGTACTGACGATACTAGGCTTGGATCTTCTATGTCTCATACCTTGCTTTTGAGTTTCCTCATGGCTACGGTATGCAGCGCTTCCCTACCGCAAAGTATCTCGGCATTATGGTGGTATGCTGGGGTGCTATCGTTACTGTCACTGCAGCTTGCCACTCTTATGCTGGCCTCATCACGACCAGAGTCTTACTTGGTTGCTTCGAGTCCGCAGTCGCGCCATCACTCATGCTGATCACAACCATGGTATGGTCCTTTGCACATCACTCACTCATCTCCAACAACTGACACACTCTCCACAGTGGTACAAGAAGAACGAACAACCCCCTCGCACAGGAATCTGGTACCTAGGCACAGGCACTGGCACAATCATCGGCTCCCTCCTCTCATACGCCTTCCAACACGTAAACTCCGCCTCCCTCTACTCCTGGCAAATCCTCTTTCTGGTGGTCGGCCTCCTCACCATCTGCATCGGCATAACCGTCACCCTAATCTTCCCGGACAACCCAATGACCTCCCGCCTCTCCCACCAAGAAAAAATCTGGGCAATCGAACGCCTACGCGAAAACCAAACCGGGATCGAAAATAAACATTTCAAGAGCAATCAGGTCGCCGAGTGTTTCATGGACCCACAGACTTGGCTGTTGAGTTTGATTACGATTTCGAGTTCCGTGCCTAATGGTGCGGTTAGTAGTTTTCAAGCTACGTTGATCAAAGGGTTTGGATATGATAGTAAGCAGACTGCTTTGCTACAGATCCCTGGCGGTGCGTGTAGTGTGGTGTCTATCCTGATCGCGACATATCTGGCCGGCAAATTCGATCAGAGAGGGTTGAATGTGGTTACCCTGCTCATCCCTGGAATCTTGGGAGGTGCATTGATGGCTTTTCTGCCCGAAGACAACAAGGCTGGAAAACTCATCGGCAATTACTTGACCAATTGCATTGGCGCAAGTTTGCCATTGATGTATTCATGGGTCGGAGCAAACTACGCCGGTCACACCAAAAAGGTATCTTCCCCCTCCATGATTTTCACCTTTGCATCCTCATTAACAACACCGCAGGTCACCATGAACGCCATCCTCCTAATCTCCTTTTGCCTGGGCAACATAATCGGGCCCCTGACCTTCCGCGCCGAAGACGCACCCGAATACATTCCCGCAAAAATCACCATCATTGTAACATGCGCCACCGCAGTGGTGCTGACATTGATCCTACGGGCATACTATATTTGGGAAAACAAGAGGAGGGATAAGGTTGTGGAGGAAACGCGGATGGGACATAAAGCCGATATCGAGTTTGCGGATGTTACGGATAGGAAGAATAAGGAATTTAGGTATAGATTGTAAGAGGGAGGGAGGGGGATGAAGGGGCTAGGGGATAGGGCGAAGATGGGAAGAGTGGTGTTTTATGTATTTATGATGGCATGAAAATTGTAATGGTCTAGGGACGATAGAAAGGAAGGCTCGAAATATCAATCGCACTTTCCACGCTAAAAGAAATGGAACAGCGAATTTTGTTTCCACTCTCCCTCGCCCAGCGAGAAGGCCATCTCAAGCCCGTCATAATACACAGTTGAATTTGAAAAAACAGCACCGTGTTTAAAGAGAGTTGCACAGAACAATCACTCCCGATGAACCACTTCCCTAACCTCAAAGATCACCCTGCCTTGTGACACACCGCTTTCCTAATCCCTCGACCGCTATCGAGATTAATGCGCTAACACATCAACCTTAGGAACCCGACGTTCTTCAACTCTACTCTCCCATAATGCGACTGATTCGATATGACCTTGCGTCGCAGCACGAGTATGAACATTCCACCGCACACCGCTAATGCGATCTACTGAGATCACCTAGCCGGACATCGACCTAATGTTCGGAGTCGACGAGAGATGGCACCGTAGAGCAAGATATGATACCTTTGCGAGCCAAACGAATACACCACAACAATGATGTCGTCGCTTCTGTAATGATGTGAGAGAAAATTATATGCGTGTGTGTATGTTCATGTTTGTAGTCATAGGGATGCTTCTTATCGCTCAATTTTCTCAATTCGTAAACTGTTCATGTGTGCAAAACTTCGACAAAGTAACATGTTACATATTCGTTCAAACATGGCTTTATTCGCATACTTTTGAGTGAATGGAAGAATGGTTTTATTTGGTGGTCTGGAGTGCTGCAAGTTCGCGAAGAGCTGAGGAATAAAGAGTCATATATACACCTTCGGAGCCGTGATCCGAACACGATATTTTTGTATTCTTGATTAGGTTTGAGTTTGTACTCAGGATCTTCAGCTGAGGCTGTGAATCAAGGTTTTGCTTTTTTTTGGGTTTAGTGCAATGTTGGTTGCTGACCACCATCTTGATAATATAAAAGGGAGAATAATGGCTGTGAGGAGAGTAAGTGGCTTGTTTTTTTTGGCGCTGATGTTTAACCAAGAATCTGGGATTCGGGTGGTTAATAAGAAGTCTATAAGCGATGAGTGAGGGCAAGTCAGCTGGTCTTACTTCATAGATAGCACCATTGTATGATGATGCAGAAGGAGTGTGGTAGGATTAATGATGAAGAGTGGTTTTCATATTAGTGAGAGCGGAAAAGAGGCTGAGAACTTGATTCCCAACTCCTGCGCTGAGTCTTGACTACGAAAGATGAAGATATTCCACCTTTTGAGCAAAAATGACCTCCAGTTCAACCGATCTGCAACAAAACGGACAAAGACCGACGTGTAACGAAAGCAGCAAGGAGCAGAAAAGATTTTTCAATAAAACAGTGAATCAGAAGTGAAGGTAAAAGGGAGACGGAAGACAAACGAAATATAGAACGAAGATAAAGAGGAGGTGAGCGCCACATGCTGTCGTTCTGCGACTTCCCAATATCCCATCGAAAGATGATGCAGTGTTTGCGAGCAAAAAAACACAATTCCCTGTTCTGTAGAGATCCCAGTTGCCTCCCTTGATCGCGACCAAAAGAAGACGCAGCAAATTTGCGGACCCCGAGATGATGTCCTATCCACCCAAAGAAATTTCATATCCGTCATTTTTCCCGTGATCCCGTATCCCATATCGCGTATTCTGTATAGTGCTTGTCAAATAATTTTGCAACACCTTTTTTCCTCTCATGTGAAGATCAGAGAGGAGAAAGATGCGCAGCTGAGTTTCAGCTCTTGGTGCCGAAATGCTCTTTGGCATATTGCTCGCAAGCCTGGTTGAAGTCCGTCAGCATCGTATCTCTGAACCTTGTTTCCGCACTCCAAGGGCTTCAGCCAGCCTTTGGACGTCGCGATGACTCACCTTTGCAGGTTTACCGACTTTCTGTCCAATGACCTTCCATTTGCTCTGCTCGTATTCTTTGATGGCCGCGAGGAGTGCTGCGCTCTGTGGTAGGTGTTAGCTCGTCAGGGACTAATGGTACAAGGAATAGAGAGGCGGACGAAATGGCTGACCTCGTCTTCCGCGAACTCTGCGTAGTGCATGTCCTGTTTGAGAGAGAAGAGATGGTTAGCAAGGTACACCGAAAAAATATGGTGAGGTTGTAGTCATGTTGAGCAAGACAGATCGAGGATACGAAGGTGAGATGGAGGTAGATGATACACACCTTATACCAATGCTTCTTGACACTGCCTTCGGTCCGTGTGGGAAACGTCTTTGCAATCTCGCTCCAGCTGTTGCCCGCATCTCTCATCACCTTCAGCCTCTGCTCTTCCGCAGGTGTCCAAGGTGTATTGGTACGTCCTTTCTTTGGTCGTGCAGGTGGGGTGTCATGTCGAGGAATACCGGCATCACCTGGTCCTTGACCACCACCCGAGGGTCCACTCAAGACATAGTTTTGCTCGCTATTCTGACGATCAGGGTTGCCAAAGAGACCATGTTGGTCTAGGCCATAGCCACCAAGAGAGGAACCAGGAAGGGAGTCGAGTTCACTTGCGCGTCGCTTTCGTGGATTCAGTGGTGATTGAGGGATCTGTTGAGGTTGTGGTGGTGGAGCGAGAGGGTGTTGCTGAAAGGGGCTGTGTTGATGATGTTGAAGAGGGGGTGGTTGATGATAGCCAAACGGCGACGTGTTTGTCGTGTATGGTGACGAGTGATATGGGTTTGTGGAATACGATGAGGGAGGTAGTAACCCGGCTGACAGCGACAGCTGCTGTGGTGACGCCGACAGAGGTAAGCTTCCCACTTGTTGCAAGCCTCGCTTCTGTTGTTGGTTTTGCGACAGGTTACTGTGTAGTGGAAGAAAGGTACACATGTCAGTCATCAAGGTATTGGTATGATCCATGACATGAGGTATACGGCCGTACAGGCGCGACGCTACATGACCATGTATCGAAAGCTTAATGAAATAAGAAGGGAACTCTGGGTGTGTAACTTACGACATGTTGAACTGGTCGTGAGGGTTAGGTACAAGGTCCAGGTATGTACAGTTGCTGGGATGGAGAGGATGTATTTGAGTCATGAGACGTCTGTTTGCTCGCGCAAAGGAAGAGCACTGTAAGAAAGGGAAGTGTGGGAAGAAAAGAGGGCTGGCTGCAGGCAGACCCAAGGACAAGGCGAACAGATTGAGCCGGGAAGTATGCAAGCTTTTTTGCTGAAGACGTCAGAAAGTGTGTTTCCAAAGCCGCAAAAGGCGATAACAATAATGATAATCTCGTCGTCGCAAAAAGACAAGTCGGAGCGTAGGTAAATAGAGAGTCAGGTCAAACTTGGCGGGTAGCGAGACGACAATACTTGAGTATGTAATAATGTATCTGTCGCGACGACTTCATGGACCTCGAGAAAGGGAAAAGGAAAACGGAAACGGGGAAACATGAATGGTATGGTGAGCTCAGGGTGGGGGGGCAAGGACACGCCGGCAGCCGCTGCACCGCCTAGCTAGCCAGCGCCATCTTGGCCGCGGGGGCGGCATGGACCTTGGGGCTTCAAAGGAAGCAGCGCTCAGCGTGCATGCTGAGCACAGTCAGCGCCCTTCAAGACTGGCCCCAGTGTCGTATGCGGCTTGCAGGATGGAATCGCCTTTACGTCGTGATCAATGATCATCCTGAGTCAAACCCATGCGGAGGCAGGGCGGGGTGCAAGCTCGACAAACGTTTGCGGGGAAAGCACCCACCCAAACCGCTCGTTCTTGCCTCGTCTGGGTCGCTTCATCCACCTCTGATTCGCTGACATGATACGAGTCTTTATTTTTCGGCCTGGCTCCAGCAGCGTGCTGCTGCATGTCACATGGGACCCGAGAGTCTCTTTGCTGCTTGCACGCGTAGGCTTGCCATGCTCGCCATCATCCGTGGACAGATCGCTCTCCTCCGCACGATCGCATCCTCGCCATGACGTATTCTGCTTGACGAAGCTTGTGCTGGATGCATGCACAGCATGGACTCCCCTCTCAAAGGGCTGAAGAAGATGAAGTGATAATCCTGAGACAAGATTGAGCGCGTGGGATGAGACGGATAGCCAACGAGAATAATCGCGTCATTCACCTATCATGACATCTCATGCCGACAATCACCATCATCAAACGCGGGCTCTTTGCTCTCCAAGAAAACATGGCCAGCATCACGATCTTGGAAACGAGCAAAGCCCTACACTTGGCCAGACAGAAAAGGGTCATCATCACGCTTCGATTGTCTGCTTGCTCGCGAGATGCGAAAAACGTGGCGCTTTTCGGAGGCAGCCAGAAAAGCAAACGTGCAAGGTGCCAATGAGTCTAGCATGAATCCTTCCGCCTAAGCGGTCGCGGAATGGAGCTCGAAACAGTGGGCTGCGATAACTTCGGACCGCAGTTTTATCGACAAAAGGGCCGGCTTTATGCGGCCGCGATAACAGAATTGGGCATGTTGTTGGGCTTTCGATGAAAAGTAGAGACAAAGAGAACAGATTGGGACGAAATTTGAAGAAATCTCTTTGGGAAAGATGTCTCATGTCTCGCAGATCGTGCACAAGGGGAACGGGCGTTCTCACGGGTACAAAATGCCATATCTCGCAGATGTGCCTCACATGGGACCGGTGACAGCCCAGTGGTTAAGCGTGCCGCGCCGCCATCCGTCTGCATATCATGAAGGAGAAGGTCATTAAATCATGGCCCAAGCTCCGTGAGCAGCAGTTGGGTGGCAGGGCGGAAGACAAGTGACAGGATAGGGCTGTCTGCTTTGAGTGGAGAGCTTGTTTAGTTCTCTGACAGGCGGAATTGTCCCCACCGTTGCTTGGACTGATATCAATATGTGCCCTCCTTCCAACCAATGGGTATCAAAGCCGCAGCGACCTGTTGGACACCACGTTCGGTGGCCAGAAGGTTGAACTGAGAGGCAGCATTACGCGTGTCTGCAACCTCGAGGCGAATGCCCAGATCACTGATGTGCTTTCGTGTCTCTGGCGACACGGGCAGAATCGAGGGACCAGTTCCCAGGATGAGAAGATCTAGACGCATTGTCAGTACATGAGTGCATGTCGTGGTGGGATCAAAAAGGGGGTCTTTATCACGTACCCGGCTTGGGCCACACGGCATCGAGGAGACCCCAGCTGTGTTCGGCCACCTCCCACTGACCCTTTGTGTTACGCAGAGTACCTCCGACGCTTGAAACGCCCTTGTTGTCGTCGCCCGTTGCGCCTTCGCCAATGGTACCCTCCTTCCTCCCCTCTCTGATCCAGGGCTTCCAGTTGAAAGCATCGCCGCCGACGAGCAGAACTCCCGAGCCGGCGATCTTGAGGCCCGAGTTGAGGGCGAAACCGTCGTGTGCGCAAGCGTCGATGGCAGTGGTCGGGGCGGGTGTGTTTCCAAGGACGTTCATGGCGGCAAAGTCTGTTTGTGTGTCTTCTTTGCTCTCCGGGCCGCGATCCTTGGTCTTGGGTGGGCCTACGGGGCCTCTTCTCGAGGCGATTGCTGCTGTTCTCGTGGCATGGAACTGTCTGCATAGTCTCGGGTTTGGCTGTCGGAGCATTGTTCGGGAGGCGGGAACCTGTTCAACGCAAGCGCGCATCGAAGCGGCTGCTGGTCTGAATATGCTGGCCATGCTGAACTCGACTGCGACGGGATGGGATTGAGCAATTGATGTTGCTTGTTCGTCTTGTTCTTGAGTTCTTGCCTTCCTTCTTGATCAATCTCCAAAAGTATGGAGAAGCTCGGGCGTGCCTTCGCGTAGACGTCATTATTTCCAGCTTTCATCCTATTGGCTGGCCATCTTCCACCACCCAAAACCTCCCGTCATCACATCTTGCAAGTCATCACGTCCAAACATCAATGTTGCGAAAATGCGCCCGAAAGGCCCACTCGTGCCTACATCTGCCGTACCATCAACAGTCTACACAGAGTCTTCCTTAGCCCGCGGTGACCTCCCTCTGACCTCCAACCCAAAAGCATCTCGAGTCAAAGTAATCCCTTTCGACGCGTTATCCTTTCCATCACCACTCTTAGACTCTGGAATCACCGGCGAGAAGAAAATCATCTCACGATAGCGACGCGTCAAAGGGTGCCTGCGTGGCCTGTTTCACAAGAAAGCGGTTAGACTTCCTGTTCAGCCTTGCTTACGCCGGGCACGTCAGATCACACTGCATGCGAGTGAGCTAGCGGCTGGAAACACTGCTTTCAGGGATATGGTGGCTGATTTTGCTATCAATATTCTGCTGTCACAACGGTTGTGTCAGGTCTGCAGCCTTTCAGCTATCAACTGCCCTCAACGTTGGCCAGAATATGTGAGATTGGGCAGATTATGCGAGAGATGGATCCGCTGCTTGAACTCCTTGCGGACAAGGTGCGATCTCCTGTGCATCTCTCAGGGCGTTGTCAATCGGCTCATCTTGCGACCGCGGCCTTGCCTCCGACCGAGCCTTGATTCTCAGCCGCTTCTTTTACCCTCCACCTTCTTCAAGGTTTGATGCAAGATAACTTCGATCAAAAGGAACTATTTCAAGAAATCGGTTTCTCTGAGAGATCCATTCCTTTAGCATCGCAGCGGCACACGATACATACTCTGCAGAGCAAGCATCACGGTTGTTCATCATCTTTGCCGTTGACTCCTGACCCAGCCGCGCTGTCTGTTCCTATCATCTTCAAGACCCACTTCGTGAAAGCTTTGACGGAAGGAAACCCATCTCACAGCATCTTCTCCTTCGCGAGATTGCCTGGGTAAGCATCGCAAGCATCGCACTGAATCGCGAAACACAGCTTCAAGGGGCGCGCTCACGCAAAGATCGTGCCCCTTTCGAGAACACCCGTAGAGAAACATTCACAAATATCCAATCTCTTTGCCGCTCACCTTTGACCGAGCCGCTGTATCAGTCGCTACCATCATCAAGAGCGATATCCAGATAGCTTGGGCAAAAGGGACGCCAACTGAGCATCAATGACCTCTCTAGGCAAAGCGCCTATGTAATCGCAATACAAATCACACTTGCATCCACCAAAGCCCATCATGCCTTCCATCCCGCACTCTTCGCACATCTTTTCCTTTTCTGCGAAACCGCTTCAACACCAAGGTACAGTGCATGCCGAGTTTCTACATGTCCTTCGAACCGATATCCCGAATTGCACAATTGTGATGATGGAAGAAAGAACATAATTCTAGGAGACAGAGGCTATATCAGCATTTACTCTATTACATACCGCGCTGCAAAACACTGGCTAGACAAACAAGACTCTAACCCACTTGCCTCATCAAACAGCAGACCCGTGATTTCTTGAGAGACTATTGTATCCCTGAGTTGAACGGGTCTTTGATATGTATAATGTGTGCCTGCTTTCCATACCTCTAATTTATCCATTTAGGGTATTCTCTATTCTTGTTTTGTGTTCGAATTGACTCCTTTTTTCTCCTTTTTCCTCGATTTTTTCTTCATTTCCTCGCCCGAGTCAGGGTGATACCCCAAACAACCACTTTTCTCATAAAATCAGATATAACACCAGTATTTCCTGTTCCAATTCCTTCAATACTCTCCAGAATCCGCTTGAACCAATATTCTCTAGGAACACAAAGTAATATTGCAGTGCTAGGCTATTTGGTTAGTAATATGTCATCGATATAGTGGTTTGAAACTTTGGATTTTGGGAAAGGTGGGGTTAGTATCAACGCGGTTTGTACCACATTTTCGGTCTTTTGGATAAAGAGATGAGGGAAGGAAAGGTCACGTCATTGATTGATGCGAATGAGAGCTGAGAAACTGACTGTCAATTCTGCGGAAAATTTGATAGTTGTTGGGGGAAAGAGAAAGAGGTCGAGATGGTTGGGGGGAGGAGAGTCAGGAGTAGAAGGGTAAATCAGATGAATGGATCCAAGTATCTGATTGAACATCAAAACGCGACAAGAAGAAAGATGGTATCTCGCGTATAAGCTAAGAGTCGCAGCAGAAAACCGATGATAGCAAAATTCTCAAATTGGTCATAAATATCGTGTTTGTTGTGGTATCATATCATCAATCTCTGAACCAGCCAGAGTTTCGCACTTTCACTCTCCATCATCTCCTCCATCCTCCCCTCCATTCATTCATCCCACCATCCTCTCATTTCTCTATCTCCTATTCTGCTCGTTTCAACAACACAGGCGCCCCAATCCTCCCCTTAATCCCCTCTCTATATTTCTCCCTCTGCATTTCTTCTCTGCGTTCTCTTCGCTTCACCATTGTATTTCTCAATCCCATATCCCATTTCCAACTTCTGCGTCTTTTGTGTCTTTGACTCAACCTCCTAAGGCTTTCAGTCGATTGAGCAGCCGCACGGAGGAGGTCGGTGGATTTCCTTTTTCGGAGGGAAGGGAAGGTGAACAACCTTGTCAGAAGCCCTTGTCTCTGCCCGTCCATGTTCTTGATCGAGAGTGTTTTGGTGGCTGGAGGGTTGACGTGGTGTCGTCGCACATTGGTCCCATGTCGATCGATCCCCAATGAATTGCCCAGCATGAAACCGCCATTTCCTCTGAAACCGGGTAATCTGACCGATAACCTCTTGGCCCTCCAACCTTGCATGCCTTTTTGCTGTTGTTCTTCGACCGACTCCAAACTCCGAATATCGCTGGTGTCGCCTCCAGCAGGTAACTCGTCATCGGAATATTCTTCTTCCGAATCGGTAAAATCATCCCAAAACCCTCTTGGCCGCCAGAAAGGGTGGAGAGTGGTATCGCGATCTTCTGAACTTTTCGGTCGTTGCGAGGATACGCTATTTCTGCGAGAAGAAGAGGATGGTAAGAACGGCAGGATAAGAGTCTCAGAGTAGCGACGGGCCTTTTCGACCAAACTCGGTCGGCGAGAAGGTGGTGAAGGTGAGCGTGGAGTTGGTGTTTTGCGGAATTGACTGGAGGGCGTTGCAGGACTGATGATCACTGCGGGGAGACGCGGTGGCTGGGGAGCAGCGCGAGGGTTGCGAAGAGGACTGTCGACATCCTCACGGTCTTGTTCCATACTCGGAGGTGTAGGTATATCTATGACAGCGTGGAAGGTCGGATGCGAGTTCTGCTTGACGCCTTCGTCTTCGCTATCAGGAGTTGTGAGGGCATCGATGTGGCGATCTCCGTGCAGACTTTGTGCTTCGGCAAGTCGCTTCTTGGCTATGTGTTGGACCATGAGGAGGGATTTATTCTCGTGCGGGTAGAGGTTTATGGCTTTGGCTTCGTTTAGCTCCATAGAGTCTGTGCGGTCAGATAATTGTGAGAAGGGACTTGTACTTGAGTGAAGATGGCGGATGTCTTTTGTATCGGATGACTTCCGTGGTGAGGACTGCAAAGGATAGTCGAATAGAGCATGTGTCGAAGGGTTCCTTTGCTGGGAGGGGAGCAAGAGTCTGTGATCAATAGACTGGGACTGCTCGACAGATGTTTTCCGTGGACGTTCCAATTCAGGAGATTCGAGTTCGGCGTCGAGAGAATGCCTCTTCCATCCTTGCTTTGGAGCGAGATTCATCTTTGCATCCTGGCCATTGAGGCGACGGGAAGCTTCTTTGGGGGACGTCTTCATAGAGTTGGCATCCGTGCGTACCGGCGCAGACACATGGCGCAACCTTGTTCGTGGCTGATCTTGGCTGTGATCTGGAGATGCGTAGTCTAGCCAGATATCGCTGTTGTTGTGGAGATTTACTTGCTGGTCCAGCGAGGCACGAGGAGTCTCACCTTCGTTGTAGTCTTGCTTGAGAGAAATATGATTTTTCGGGCGGTGCAGGCGATTCTGCTGAGAAGTAAGCAAGTGCATCTTGTCACCCAACTCGGAAGAGCGAGAGGAGCGGCGCTCAGGAATGACAATTACCGGCACTTTGCTGATGCGACCAGTTTCTGGGTTAGAAGCAGATCTGGCTGCATCAGTGTCTCCATTGACCAAGTGCTTGCGGCCCGGCAAGGGTGACACTCTGTGCTTGATGACATGCTGAGACTCGACCGAACTTCGTCTGGAAGAAGCGTCATCGCGCAGGGTATCAACCCTACTGACTCGTCGTAGGGCTGGCTGTTTTTGTTGAGCCGGGCCTGCGAGCACAAAGGCTTCGATGACGGTTGATGTGGTTGATGCGCTTGACAAACGCTTCGATTTCTCGTTTCGCATATGTCGGTAGAGGTGATCGTTAGCCGTCTCGGGCCATTCAAAATCTTCTCCATCCTTGACCGTGGAAGGGCCTTCATCAATTCCCTCAGACAGCGGCATGACTGCTGTTTTCGATCTCTTGTGGCTACCAGTGGGTATATTCTGACTGGGAGTTGTTTGTTGCTGATCACCCGTACGCCTTTTGCGGATGGTCACATTCCTCATGAAATTACCCACTTCTGACTCGGGAGTAGAAGAAGCCTCTCTGTCCAGATCTTCCGGAGTGAGATACTCAACCAGGATGGAAGAGGCGGTCGGAGGGGCGGGAAAGGCGAGATGTGTCTCTTGCGTAGGTGTCGTATCTCCAGATTCAGACATCGAGTCTCGCAACTGTTTTTGGCGATCCGCAACTCCCAACTGTAGGCCACCCAAGCGCATACCTCTTGTCGCATCCAACCACTTATGGCCTGCCTCTGATCGCAAAGGTAGACTGGCTTGACTCGTACTGGCACTGGCTTGACTTTGCGTCTCTCTTGCAGTCATGAAAGATTCGGCGCGGGAAGAGGCAGCATGCGGCATGGCTGGTCGTGGCGGCGCAAGTTCTTTGGTACGAGAGTTTGGCGGAGTTAGATCGGGAGTTGGAGGTCTCTGTGGATTTGGCGGCGTGTTGGTGCCTGCCTTGTCTCCTGGCAATGGCACCAGGTGAGCGTGTGTAGCGCTGACATTGCGCGATTGTGTAGGTGGTGTAGGAGGAAGTGTCGAATTCCGGCGCATAAGGGAAATTGACGGAGCGTCTCTGGGCCGGTATCCTTCGTGCATATCGGCATCTGAGTAGTCCGAGTCGTCATCGTCATCGGAGAAGGCAACCTGAGTAGGCGATTCTGCCTTTTCGGTTGTTTGTCGCGAAGGTAATGCCTTGTATGCTTGGAGAAAGCTGGCATCCTTGAATGATTGCTCTAATAGAGCGAATGCCTTGTCAAATTGAGAAGTAGGCATTTCGAGTGGTGATTCGTAGTCGAGTGGTCGTAGAAACATAAAGTCGTTGCTTTGTACAAATGGTCGTTGGCATTGGGCACTGTCAGTGCATATTGAACAGGAAAAGAGAAGGGATCGGTCAGATTGAAGCCTGTAAAATCGCAAATGCTGGAGGGAAGTCTGCGCAGATGCAAACGCAAATAACCAGCGACAGCGATTCAAGAAGGTCGGTTACACGCGCGGCCCTCGGTCACTTAACACAGAGAGTGCAAGAGTTGGATGGGATTGGTTGGCAGACAGCGAATGCGAAGCGCATGCACAGCAAATCGGCTAAGCCATGCAACAAGGTCCGGGACACGCGCACTGATCCGTCACTGAGGCCTTGAGGGTGACAATGAATGGAAAGGAAAATGGTGGCAGCCCAAGCCAGAAAAGAGAGACAGGGAGGGCAGCACGCAAGATAGCAGACGCGACAAAATCCGAATCAAAAGTTGGAAATGCAACCAGGGTGCGACACGCTCGCGTTGTCAAAAAACGTCACTGCTCCGTCCCTTCTCTTTGGCGAAAAGGCGGAGAGGAAAGAGCTTGTTTCGTGCCGACCGCTTCCATCAGATAACAACCACTTTTGAAAGGCATCTCCGAAAGTCGGGAGATACAAGCCATGAATCAGAAGATTCCATAAAGCAACATGAGTGTTAAGATCCTAATTATGCTCCGAAGCGCCATCTTCATCTCTTTGATGCCGTCACGGAACGGACTTGTCTTCCTCATCGTCAAATACCTAGTCACACGCCATCTTTACCATAATCAGCCTATCAGACCTGCAGCTGCTTTTACATTTATGCACATTCGGCTATTCCATCACCAACTTCATCAATTTATCTTTTATCCCGGCATCCTTGTTGGTGGGATTGTGGTATTGCTCGCTTACAAGACGATTAGAACACGATCAAGGAGTTAATGGTTGGTAACACCCTGGTTTTGAAGCTTGATCGTGTTGTTTCTGATGAGCCACCTGCGCCTCGGAAACTGCTCTCATGTCTTTGATGATGTGGCTATGCGTGTGTAAATATATACTAAGACCATATTCTCGACCTCTGCTGGTTAGATGGTGTGCTTCAGGCCACTGCGCATTGAGGAGACCGAAACAGAACATGTCCGATGTTTGAGGCGTGCTGTTGCTCGAGGTTAGTCGGGATGGTACTGCTAGTTTGCGCATTGATTTTGCAGCATCTGTGGACAGTTGTGGTACAATCACATGGGTGATTGAGGTCTGGTGGATGGCCATCGATTTGAACGAGTTTTTGATTCATCGCATGCTAACATGACCTTTTCTGCCCTCCGACCGTCCCTTAGACCCCAGCGACGGATAAGGCAACTGGGGTCTCAGCCAGAGCAAGAAAGCGTAGACTTAGACGCCGAGCCCATTTAAAATCTCCACATGCATTTTTGCCTTTTCTCAAGTCACAAATCGTCGTTGGTCCGTCTGAGACTTTGCGCCAGCATTCAACCGAAGAAAAGATTTTTCATTTCAAAAAGAACAGGGGGGAATCGTTTAGCGGCGGGCCGAGTTCTCCTTGAGGACCTTCTTGACGATCTTCTGCTCCTCGATCAGGAAGGCGCGGACGACGCGGTCCTTGACGCAGTTGGCGCAGCGAGAGCCACCGTAGGCGCGCTGGACGGTCTTCTTGGGGCGCGAGATGGTAGCGTACTCGCGGGGACGGAGGGCGGGAACCTGAAGGGGACCAGGGTTAGTTGGTTGTTCGATTGTAGTCTTGTCCAAGAGATTCGTTGAAGTGATTGCGAAGGATGATAAGAGAATAATTGTCGTGATTCAAGTTGGTGTGTCGGAAGGTGGTCCAGGAAGTCGTGGGTGTTGGAGGAAAGTGCTTTCGAGAATCTCTTGGACGATTGTTGGACATCGACTTACGCCTGCAAGCTTGACACCACAGTCACCGCACTTGGGAGCGGTACCCTTCTTCTTGATGTGAAGGTAACGGAGCTCGCCACCGGGGGTCTTGATAACTCGGACCTTGTTGGAACGAGTGTTGTAGCTGAAAGAGGTCCATGTTAGCGCTTCTGTTTCCTGCGAGAACGACTGTATGATTTTGCGGTTTTTGGAGAATGATAGAGCGATCGGAGAGAGTATTTCGAGCGGTCGTTCGGTAAAGGATCATGTCGTTGGTATTGTGCAAAATTGCGGTGTTGACTTACGGTTGCCTGCGGCGCTGCAAAGAAGGTCAGTATGTCAAAATTACGAGGTTCAGCATGTCGGCAGGACGTACGTAGGTGAGTCTGTTGGAGGGCATCTTGACGGTGTTGGTTTGTCGCTGGGTGATGAATTGTCGCTCGCGGTTCGAACACAAATCGAGAGGCGCAAAAATCCAAGCGTGGAGGTGCGCGCCGCTTCGCGGCATTCGCCGAACTTTTCCCGCCGTGCCAAGCAATCGTGCTTTCCTCTCTGAGTCTGTCTCCAGCTTCATAGCGCCAAGGGCACGCTTCGCCACGACTTTTACAGACTCAAGCAGTTGGAAGCCATCGGCATCACTGCGCGACGGATCGACACGACAGGAGCTTCTATATCGACGTGTCGCCGCGCGTACTTTCATTTGATCACTACGGATCTATCTAGCTGAGGACGCGACACCTCAGACACCGCGGTCGGGGAAGCAGCACCAGCTGCCGTGATTAGATCACCACCCCCATCGCTGCGACCATCCACCTCTTCGCCAACAGACATATACCACCATCAACATGTCTGCACCACCACCACCACCTCCTCCAGGCTGGGATGTTCCTCCCCCACCACCACCTGGAGCAGCTCCTCCCGGCGCCCTCGCCCCTCCTCCGCCCGGCTACAAACCTCAAGCCGACCCTCACATCGCCAAGTTTGCTGACAAGAAGCAAAAATGGTTGCGCATGCAGAGACAGCGCTTTGGAGAAAAGAGACGTGGAGGCTTTGTCGAGACACAGAAGGCTGATATGCCGCCCGAGCACTTGCGAAAGATTGTAAAAGATATTGGTGATGTTTCACAGAAGAAGTTCAGCTCGGACAAGAGAAGTTATCTGGGTGCTCTGAAGTTCATGCCGCATGCTGTCCTGAAGCTTCTGGAGAACATGCCCATGCCTTGGGAGAGTGTGCGCGAAGTCAAGGTCTTGTACCACGTCAACGGTTGCTTGACATTGGTCAACGAGATCCCCCGTGTCATCGAGCCAGTCTTCCATGCGCAATGGGCTTCTATGTGGGTCGCCATGAGGAGAGAGAAGAGTGACAGAAGACACTTCAAGCGTATGCGCTTCCCTCCCTTCGATGACGAGGAGCCACCGCTTTCCTGGTCCGAGAACATTGAGGATGTTGAGCCGCTCGAGCCTATTCAGCTGGAACTGGACGAGGACGATGATGCCGCCATCTATGAATGGTTCTACGACCCCCGCCCTCTCTTGGACACCACACACGTGAACGGACCTGGATACAAGAAGTGGAACTTGTCGCTACCGCAGATGGCTGCTCTTCACCGTATGAGCACTCCTCTGCTCAGCGATCTGGTCGACAAGAATTACTTCCACCTCTTCGACCTGCCTAGTTTCCAGACAGCAAAGGCTCTTAACGTTGCCATCCCCGGTGGTCCCCGTTTCGAGCCTCTGTACAAGGATATCGACCCGAACGACGAGGACTTTGGCGAGTTCAACGCCATTGACCGCATCATTTTCCGTGCTCCCATCAAGACAGAGTACCGTGTCGACTTCCCCTTCCTTTACAACTCTCTTCCTCGCAGCGTAAAGCTCAGCACATACTCACATCCCCAGACTGTCTACCAAAGGACGACGGACCCCAGTCTTCCTGCTTTCTACTTCGATCCCGTTATCAATCCTATTTCTTCTCGCGCCGTCGCCCCCAAGAACTTGACTGTCAGCCATGAGGACGACATCCTTGGTGTTGGTAACAACGAGGATGACGAGTTTGAGATGCCTGGTGAGATCGAGCCTTTCATGTCTGATGAGGACCTCTACAACGATGAAACCGCTGCTGCTATTCAGCTTTGGTGGGCTCCTTACCCCTTCGACCGCCGCTCAGGCAAGATGGTCCGCGCTGAAGACGTGCCTCTCGTCAAGCAATGGTACCTCGAGCATGTTCCTGGCGGCCAGCCCGTTAAGGTCCGAGTCTCCTACCAGAAGTTGTTGAAGAGTTACGTTCTGAACGAGCTGCACAAGAAGCCGCCAAAGGCCCAGAACAGGCAAAACTTGATGAGCACTCTTAAGCAGACAAAGTTCTTCCAGCAGACCACCATTGATTGGGTTGAGGCAGGTCTTCAGGTCTGCAGACAGGGCTTCAACATGCTCAACCTGTTGATTCACCGCAAGAACTTGACCTACCTCCATCTTGATTACAACTTCAACTTGAAGCCCATCAAGACCTTGACCACCAAGGAGCGCAAGAAGTCGCGCTTCGGTAACGCTTTCCACTTGATGCGTGAAATTCTTCGTCTTACCAAGCTCATCGTTGATGCTCAAGTACAGTACAGATTGGGCAACATTGATGCCTTCCAGCTTGCAGACGGTATCCTGTATGCTTTCAACCACGTTGGTCAACTCACTGGTATGTACCGTTACAAGTACAAGCTTATGCACCAGATCCGTACTTGCAAGGATTTGAAGCATTTGATCTATTACAGATTCAACTCCGGCCCTGTTGGTAAGGGTCCTGGTTGTGGTTTCTGGGCACCTGCCTGGAGAGTCTGGCTCTTCTTCATGAGAGGTATCATCCCTCTTCTTGAGCGTTGGTTGGGTAACCTTCTCTCGAGACAGTTCGAGGGTCGTCACAGTAAGGGTGTCGCAAAGACCGTCACCAAGCAGAGAGTTGAATCTCATTTCGATCTCGAACTTCGTGCCTCGGTCATGGCTGACCTCATGGATATGATGCCAGAGGGAATCAAGCAGAACAAGGTCAACCTTGTACTTTCACATTTGTCAGAAGCCTGGAGATGCTGGAAATCGAACATCCCCTGGAAGGTCCCTGGTCTTCCTGCACCCATCGAAAACATCATCTTGCGTTACGTCAAGAGCAAGGCTGATTGGTGGATCTCTGTCGCTCACTACAACCGTGAGCGTATTCGAAGAGGTGCTACCGTCGACAAGACTGTTGCCAAGAAGAACCTGGGTCGTCTGACTCGTCTCTGGCTGAAGGCTGAGCAGGAACGCCAGCACAACTACATGAAGGATGGTCCTTACGTCTCTTCTGAAGAGGCCGTTGCCATTTACACGACCACTGTTCACTGGTTGGAATCGAGAAAATTCCAGCCTATTCCTTTCCCCAGTGTCTCGTACAAGCACGACACCAAGATCCTGATTTTGGCCCTCGAGCGTCTGCGTGAAGCATACTCAGTCAAGGGTCGTCTCAACCAGAGTCAACGTGAAGAGCTGGCTCTGATTGAACAAGCCTATGATTCACCCGGAACCACCCTTGCACGCATCAAGCGTTTCTTGCTCACCCAACGTGCCTTCAAGGAGGTTGGTATTGATATGAACGACAACTACTCGACAATCAACCCTGTCTACGACATTGAGCCCATCGAGAAGATCACCGATGCATACCTTGACCAGTACCTGTGGTACCAAGCCGACCAGAGACATCTCTTCCCCGCTTGGATCAAGCCTTCAGATTCAGAAGTCCCCCCTCTTCTCACCTACAAGTGGGCCCAAGGTATCAACAACTTGGACAAGGTCTGGGAGACTGCCGACGGAGAGTGCAACGTCATGATCGAGACTCAGCTGTCCAAGGTCTATGAGAAGATCGATCTGACCCTGCTTAATCGTCTTTTGCGTCTGATCATGGACCACAACTTGGCAGATTACATCTCGTCCAAGAACAACGTCCAGCTCAACTACAAGGACATGAACCATACCAACAGCTATGGTATGATTCGTGGACTGCAGTTCTCGGCCTTCGTCTTCCAATATTACGGTCTGGTCATAGATTTGTTATTGCTCGGTCTTCAGCGCGCCAGTGAGATTGCGGGTCCCCCGAATGCACCAAATGACTTCTTACAATTCAGAGACCGTGCTGCTGAGACTAGACACCCTATTCGTCTTTACACAAGATACGTCGACAGAATTTGGGTCTTCTTCCGTTTCACTGCAGATGAGTCCCGCGACCTGATCCAACGCTTCTTGACAGAACAGCCTGACCCAAACTTCGAGAACGTTATTGGATACAAGAACAAGAAGTGCTGGCCTCGTGATTCTCGTATGAGATTGATGCGCCACGATGTCAACCTTGGTAGAGCTGTCTTCTGGGACATGAAGAACCGTCTGCCTAGGTCAGTGACCACTATTGAATGGGACGACACTTTTGCCTCCGTCTACAGCAGAGACAACCCTAACCTCCTCTTCTCCATGTGTGGTTTCGAAGTCCGCATTCTTCCCAAGATGCGCAACCAGAACGAGGAGTTCCCCACCAAAGACAGTGTCTGGTCTCTTGTCGATAACTCGACCAAGGAGAGAACGGCACATGCTTTCTTGCAAGTCACCGAGGAGGACATCGCCAAGTTCAACAACAGAATCCGCCAAATCTTGATGTCTTCTGGATCTACCACCTTCACAAAGATTGCCAACAAGTGGAACACCGCTTTGATTGCGCTTTTCACATACTACCGTGAAGCCGCCGTCAGCACTGTTAACCTGCTCGATACCATTGTCAAGTGCGAAACCAAGATTCAGACCCGCGTCAAGATTGGTTTGAACTCCAAGATGCCTAGTCGTTTCCCACCTGCTGTGTTCTACACCCCCAAAGAACTTGGTGGTTTGGGTATGATCTCTGGTAGTCACATCTTGATTCCTGCAAGTGACAAGCGTTGGTCAAAGCAGACAGATACTGGTGTCACTCACTACCGTGCTGGTATGTCTCATGACGAAGAGACTCTCATTCCCAACATTTTCAGATACATCATCCCTTGGGAGGCTGAGTTTGTCGATTCTCAGCGTGTCTGGACTGAGTATTCGCAGAAGCGTCTTGAAGCTCAGCAACAGAACCGTCGTCTTACCCTTGAGGATCTTGAGGACAGTTGGGACCGTGGTCTTCCACGTATTAATACCCTCTTCCAGAAGGACAGAAGCACGCTCAGCTTCGACAAGGGTTTCAGAGCTCGCACCGAGTTCAAGATTTACCAACAGATGAAGAGCAATCCCTTCTGGTGGACATCCCAGCGTCACGACGGTAAGCTGTGGAATCTGAATGCATACAGAACCGATGTCATTCAGGCTCTTGGTGGTGTTGAGACAATCCTTGAGCACACTTTGTTCAAGGCAACCGCTTTCCCCTCATGGGAAGGTCTTTTCTGGGAACGTGCCAGTGGTTTTGAAGAGAGTAAGTTCAAGAAGTTGACAAACGCTCGTTCAAGAAGTTGACAAATGCTCAGGTATGAAGTTCAAGAAGTTGACAAACGCTCAACGATCCGGTCTGAACCAGATTCCTAACCGTCGTTTCACCTTGTGGTGGTCCCCAACAGTAAGTTTCGCCCTTTTCTAGTTTTTAATTTCAATCTCCAGCGCCTGTGTTGGCCTGCTAGATACCCATCACAATGCACAATTAGTTCCAAGCGGAGTGCATGTCCAGTGAGAGGCCACGATTTATGGCCTCTCGATGAAAGCACACTGTTTTGCGAAAAGTTGGTGCATTTTTACAGGCCTATTTGCCAGCACAAGGCCCAAAGAAATGCCATTCGCATACCACTATTGTTTTTCTGAACATCGCTGACTTATCTTTCTCATAGATCAACCGTGCCAACGTCTATGTTGGTTTCCAGGTCCAACTTGATTTGACTGGTATTTTCTTGCACGGCAAGATTCCTACCCTCAAGATCTCACTCATCCAGATCTTCCGTGCCCATTTGTGGCAGAAGATCCACGAGTCCGTAGTGATGGATTTGTGTCAGGTCTTCGACCAGGAGCTTGAAGCCCTTGGCATCGAGACCGTCCAGAAAGAGACCATCCATCCCAGAAAGAGTTACAAGATGAACTCGTCTTGTGCTGATATTCTTTTGTTCGCCAGTCACAAGTGGAGTGTTAGCACTCCCAGCTTGTTGTATGACACCAAGGACAACATGGGTCAAATCACTACCAACAAGTTCTGGGTCGATGTTCAGCTTCGTTACGGTGATTACGACTCTCACGACATTGAGCGCTACGTTCGCGCCAAGTACCTCGACTACACTTCCGACAGCATGAGTATTTACCCCTCTGCCACTGGTTTGATGATTGGTATTGATCTTGCTTACAACCTGTACTCGGCATACGGCCAGTACTTCCCTGGTCTCAAGCAGCTTGTTCAGCAGGCCATGGCTAAGGTCATGAAGGCTAACCCTGCTCTCTACGTCCTTCGTGAACGTATTCGCAAGGGTCTTCAGCTTTACGCCTCGGAGAGCAACCAAGAGTTCCTCAATTCCCAGAACTACTCTGAGCTATTCAGCAACCAGATCCAGCTCTTCATTGATGACACTAACGTCTACCGTGTCACCATTCACAAGACCTTTGAAGGTAACTTGACCACTAAGCCCATCAACGGTGCCATCTTCATTTTCAACCCCAGAACTGGTCAATTATTCTTGAAGATCATCCACACCAGTGTATGGGCAGGTCAGAAGCGTCTTGGCCAATTGGCGAAATGGAAGACGGCAGAAGAAGTCGCTGCTCTGATTCGTTCATTGCCTGTGGAAGAACAGCCGAAGCAGCTGATCGTTACCAGAAAGGGTCTGCTTGACCCTCTCGAGGTTCACTTGCTCGACTTCCCCAACATCTCCATTCGTGCCTCGGAACTGCAATTGCCCTTCCAGGCCGCCATGAAGGTTGAGAAGCTTGGAGACATGATTCTGCGTGCCACTGAGCCGCAGATGGTGCTCTTCAACCTGTACGACGAGTGGCTCAAGTCCATCTCTTCTTACACTGCCTTCTCTCGTCTCATCTTAATCTTGCGTGCTCTGCACGTTAACCAAGACAAGACCAAGCTCTTGCTTCGTCCCGACAAGACTGTCATCACCCAGGAACATCACATTTGGCCGACGTTGTCAGACGATGACTGGATCAAGGTCGAAACGCAATTACGCGATTTGATCTTGAATGACTATGGCAAGAAGAACAACGTCAACGTCTCATCTCTGACTCAAAGCGAAGTCAGAGACATCATTCTGGGTATGGAGATTAGTGCACCCAGTATGCAGAGACAACAGGCTGCCGAGATTGAGAAGCAGCAAGAGGAGCAGGCTCAGCTCACTGCTGTCACAACCAAGACGCAGAACGTAAACGGCGAGGACATTGTCGTTACCACTACGTCGCAGTTCGAGCAGCAGACCTTCGCCTCCAAGACCGAGTGGAGGACTCGTGCGATTGCCACGTCCAACCTCCGCACTCGCGCCAATAACATCTACATCTCGTCAGAGGACATTCGCGATGATGAGGAGCACTTCACATACATCATGCCCAAGAACATCCTCAAGCGTTTCATCACAATTGCCGACCTTCGTGTCCAGGTTGCTGGTTACCTTTACGGTTCATCGCCACCAGACAACAAGCAGATCAAGGAAGTCAAGGCCATCGTTATGGTGCCTCAGGTTGGAAACACTCGTGACATCCAGCTTCCTCGCAACTTGCCTGAGAACGATTACTTGAACTCTCTTGAGCCTCTTGGATGGATTCATACCAGTGCCGGTAACGAGACCAGCTACATGACCGCACAAGACGTCACCCAGCACGCCCGCCTAATGAACCAGCACGATACCTGGGATAAGAAGACTGTCACCATGACTGTCTCCTTCACCCCCGGTTCAGTCTCGCTGTCCGCCTGGTCTCTGACACCTTCAGGCTATACCTGGGGTGCCGAGAACAAGGACATGTCATCTGACCAACCCTCAGGCTTCAACCCTGGCGCCGGCTTCGGTGAGAAGTCTCAGCTTCTTCTTTCCGACCGTATTAGAGGAATGTTCTTCGTTCCTGATGATGAGAGATGGAACTGGTCGTTCATGGGTTCTGGATTCGGTGACAAGGAGAAGGGTCGCATCTACGTTGATGTCGGTGTACCCAAGCGCTTCTACGATGACGTACACAGACCTGTCCATTTCCAGAACTTTGCTGAACTGGAAGATGTCTGGGTCGACAGATCTGACAACTTAGCTTAGAGAGATGAAAGAAGGAGGGAGATGAGTTATGGATTTCGGGTGTTTTTTTTCGGGTCATAGGGATCACAATCAGCATGGCGTTTCTTTTAAATGATTTTCCATCACGAAGAAAATTGTATTCTAGAGTATGAGAACAAGGAAGGGAAAGATGTTTATAGTTGAGTAAACACAAGCATCAAAGCATTATTTGTACAATCGATCTGCCCTCGCGCCATCTCCCTGCAATCGTTAGAGAATCGGTGATTAGAGCTAGCTACATTATTGTACTCTGGTCAAACAAATCCCAAACTGAACATGCAAGGGACGACGATTGTTCTTTCCTCTTACCGCAATGGAGAGATTGAGGCACTTTTTTCTTTGTCGAAGTCTAGCCGTTCAAGGAAAGCTTTGATATGTTAGTTGAATGTCGTTTCTAGTCAACTTCATCCAATTTTGCCATCATCTTGAAATAGCGGAACAAGTATGCAACGTCAAGTCCTACTTCATCTGGATGTTTCCCTCAAGAGTCAAGATTCGCCTGATGTTCTACGAACTTTGGCTTTCTTACTCGATGCGCTCCTCATGGCTGAATGTTCTTCTACATTCATTTAAAAGACGAGGTAAGCTAGTAAATCAAGCCAGCATCTCCTTTAGAAGATGATCACCCGAGGGCGTCAGGGGTTGATGAAGAATCCGCCAATGGTGAGCCTTTATATGACACCGTGGTCAAAAACTTCTCATCGAGACAGCGGACCAGTCGGACTCCTCCATTGGGGACCCTGCTACGGCGGTGGTATATCCTATGGTGTGGGGGTCGGGCTCCTCTGTTCTCTAAACTTAACATCACTACGAGTTTCTTTTTTTGCAGGTCTAGAGTTCGATTCCCTCCTTGACCGTAGATTGATCTTTTGCATTTCCTCTGTACTTTTTTGTTAATCTTAACAGCTTTGAGTCGTCTGCGATTTCTAGATAACAACGGTGCCTCTGAATCTCTGTGTCCTCGCTCTTCTCTAACACGACTTCGGGAGCTAAAAACATACTTTACAGGCACATCGCACCCGGCATCGAACAATCTCACGCCCCAGAAAGATCTGAATATGCTTTCTGACGAACCTACCTCTACCGAGGATGCACCTGGTCCGAGAGTAATACCCAAGTGGTATTCAAATCGCAGGACCGCCCAAAGCAGTGTCTGCAGACACAATGAATGCACCGCCTTCCGAAACTGCCTCTTAAATCCCGAGTGTCGCGCGGGAGGTGTACATACTGTACGTAAGGAAGAGAGGCAGGTCAATGATCCTGCTGGAATCCTACACGTCTCGAAGAGAATCAGTTTTTCTCTTTACCTCGAGCGGTTTGTAGGCAGAAGTGGAAGGAGCAGTTGGGATTTGTGGTTCATCGACCTGAGAGCTTCTGCCGTAGGCTTGGTCTCGTGCTTGGGTTGTAACTTGTATATGCTTGGTGAATAAGTTTTTACCGTCAGAAGTCCAGTACGATCCTCTGGTAATTGCTTTGTGAAGGGGGAAGAAAGTCATCTATGGTGTTGAATTTATAGTCGACGAATAGCAGGTTACTTGTTGGCCATGACAAGTTGTGAGTTCTACAGTTCTACTGCCTTCATGTTTTGAATTGCTGGGTGGAAGAGATATTAGCATAGTTCCTGATGTGGTTTGATCATCTAAGTATTGGTCATCTAAGTTCTAAGTTCAAATCTCCTAACTTCTCCAACCCGAACCGGTTATGCCCAAATCAGTGTGTAGTCTTGCGACTGACTACCGTATGAGAAGAGAAAGGTCTAAATCGAGGCATCGAACGGATGAAATAGAACAAACAGTGCATATACTGCTAGTGCAGCATGATCGGCGCGAGGGGCCGGAAAGAGAGATAGCCAATGTATTGATGCTTTGAAAGTTTCTGCTTTCTCCTACCAATGCTTCAAGGATTTCTGCCTTCTCCTAAAAGGTGACCAAAAGATGAGAAGGTGAGTCAAAGGGAACACTAGGAGAAGGCGTCGTAGCTTGATCATTCAGTCAGATGCGGAATTGTTTTTGTTGGAAACTCAGAGCAGATACGGCAAAGTTCGGAGCAGGTGGAGCATGTGGAGACGGTGTGATGCAGGGATTTCTACCTATGTTGAGCTTCTGTACCTGAGTTGAGCTTTTGTACCTGAGTTGAGCTTTTCTGTACCTGCGTTGAGCTTTTGTACCTGAGCTGAGCTTTTGTACCTGTGCTGAACTTTTTGGTGCCTTACTCAGAATTTTGTGACAACCGATATATGTCTACACTAGACCACATGATTCCTACTTTGGATATGCCAGTGACTGTGACTGTCACCGATCAACGAATGATACCTCGAGCTAGCTCGAGACAGTCCGGCAGTCTGGCGTTTTGAAAGCCGATGTCATGTCTGAATAGTGGTTCTTTCCACAGCTCGGAGCAGTAGCGGAAAGTTCGGAGCAGGTACAAACAATGCGGTGAGGAGGCTTCTACCTTGACTAAGCCTTTCTACGTTAGCTGAGCTTTCTACCTTGGCTGAGCTTCTCTACCTCAGCTGAGCTTCTCTACCTTAGCTGAGCTTTTCTACCTTGACTGAGCTTTTCTACCTTAGCTGAGCTTCTCTACCTTAGCTGAGCTTTTCTACCTTGACCGAGCTTTTCTACCTTGATTGAACCTTTTTGGCAATCACCGCCTGTACTAGCGATGTAATCGAGCATAATATATCTACTCAATCCTAGCTTTCTTAGCCACCGGTCCGTCTTCACCTGTAGCCTCCCTCCCATCCACCTTATCATGTTGTTTATCAAGCTTGTGCTCGTGCTTCTGAACAATGCATCCAGGAGCATCAAGTTGCTCATCACAGCAATCCCAAATGAATCCCTCTGGAAAAGTCTTCCGATGATGCTCTGATTCAAGAGGATAACTCGGGTCGTGGTCATACTGATCATCGTCGACCCAAAAGTCATCATTGGTTTCCAGCTCGCCTGTTGTGTGTCAGGGTTGCCCTGGTCGCAAAGGAACTTTATCAACATACCTTCGTGGTAGTTGCAGCTGTCCTTTATATTTTCCGTGACGTCGAATTCCTTTTCACAGTTTTCGCATTTCAGGTATCTCGGCTGCCCGGGTTTGGTTTTGCGCAAAGTAGCACCTTGCTCTTGTGTGAGGAGCTCCTGCTCAAAAATTGCTCGTGTCTCATCAGAGACGTCGCAAATTGTATTGATCAGTGAACGCAGTCGCTCGGCCGACACATTTTGAAAGCAGTATTTTAGTTCTTTGCTAGACATTATGGCGAGTTGGTGACGGTGTGTCGGGATTGGGTATTTGAGTAAGAATGATGAAAATGTTGATTAATCGAGGTCTTGAAAGAAGAGGCTCAAGTTCGGTTGACGGAACAACGCGTCTCCGCTCTTTCCACCATCCTTCTTAGTTATTATTATCGATACACGACACAATGTCAATTCGGTTTTGATACGGCACTTTGGATGATTATCTGTATACTGCCGAGTTACTTCAACTCCGCACAGACATTTAATAAGTATGTATCAATACTCGAAGCATGCACTCTGTCCGAAGTCGCTCCTCTTGGAGACAGGAAAGACGATAATGATGACAGCGCTGTTGCGGCCGGCGCTAAGAAAGTAGTTAGTAACGGTAGGTGCGCAAGAAGAGATAGTTGTCTAATGTCGACAGTGAGTACTAAGGCAGTCTAATCGCATTTATCTCTGCTCTCTTGTCCAAGGTACTCAAGTCAGAACCCTTACCCCAAACCCCCTCACATCAAATCCCTTTCTTCCCAATTCCCACCAGCCATAAACGGAAACTCATTCTTCCTCATCAACTGCAACCTCAACGGCGGCAACCCAGCCCCTTTATATTCCAAAACCTCCAATCCACCATCACCTTCATGTCTAAATCGCCCACAAACAAAACTGACCTCCATGTACCCAGCACTTTCAATAACCACCTCCAACAATCTCGCTTCCTCGGCAACTTCCCCGGCCGAATCAGAGGGTGAGGATTGTTCCAAAGCGATAAAGGCGTCGGCGTAATGACATAACTCTGCACTCGATTGACCTGCTTCGCGGCGATTGGCCGTGCGGAGGAGATGGAGAGCACGTTTTCTGGTTGCGGAGTGGCGAATACGAAGGCAGATTGAGAAGAGAGTAGGCAGAATTGCGTATTCGAGGGCGAAACAATATTCCTGTTGCTGAGGGAGAGGTGTATAAGGGTATAGTTGTGCGTTACTGCCTTTTTGAGATGGCGATGTCGGTCTGCGTGGATACGTCGTATCGGGCCGTAGATATCCTTCAACCAGATCCAAGATAGCTGCTGCTTGTGCGTCGAAACGATCTATAGATTTACCGTAGGTATCTCGAGCGGTTTGGAGGGTAAAGGTGGAGTAGAAATGTTGAATTTGCATGTGGATCAAATCTCGACGGAGGGTGCTGCCTTGTTGTAGAAGTTTCACTCCGCGTAGCCAGGAGGTATGTGCTTGCATCAATTCTGCTTCGCGGCAGAGCAGGTGATGTCCTGGGGTAAGATGCATGGAACGACTGACGCAATAGATGATGCATTCCCTGATCGCGGGTCTTGTATTCCAGGAATCTGTTGTTGCAATGTATTCTGTTGCCAGTGCTAACAGATCAGTTCTCCAATCCGAAGCGGCAGTGGAGAGACGATCCAGTGCTTGTTTAGCATGTTCGAGGGAAGTGAAGTACGTCGATATACCGTTAAAAGGTTTGTCATGCAGGACGTCACCGCTTGACAATTCCTTCCGACCACAATTCGTAGACTGCGAGCCCATCCAGTCAAAAGCCGCAATAACATCCTTCGACGTCTGCTTCGAGGAGAACCTCAGTCGACCAGCAACGCCATCTTCAATAGTCCTCCGACCAAGCTTGAGATGCTGCATCGCAAGGCCAGTCTCATCTTGATAAGTCTCATAAGATACAAAAAGTAGACAGCAAAGCAACACAGGCTCAATGCTCGCTTGTCCAGATGCAGCACGATCGATATACTTCTGCAACGCTGCAGTAGCTTTACAATATTGCCGCAAGTTGATCTTCTGCTTCACCGGCGATGGCGGCGCGAAGTAACAATGATAATTCTTAGCAAGTCGGATATTGGCCACACTTCCGCAGGCAGCAATGGCGAAGTACACTGCCGGCTCGGTGACAGCTAGTTGAAGGGAAAGCGTTATCCATCCATGAGTTGGTGAAATGAGTTTCAACCCAGCAACAATGTGTTGAATGAAGAACTGGAATGAGTTATGATCTTCCAAAGTCGTGCTAAACGTCAAAGAAGAAGGAAGTCGCGATATTGTGACGATAGTTGGAGGTGAAGCCGAAGCCGGCAAGAGCGGTCGTTGCGAAGCCATTTCGCGACTGGGAACACCGGAATGATAGCCATCACAGGTACGACCAGTAGAGACACAATTTCGGCAATCAGGTCTTCCTTCATCGCACTTGACTCTCCGAATCCTTTGGAGAAAATGTTAGTGTTGTCCTGCAACGCTCGATAAACCATCCACTTACTTGCATGTCCGACATGCAGTCTTGCTGTACTTAGTCCCCGATTTGCGTTGCCGTTTGGGCTTGACCTCCATACTCGCGTGTGATAGGCATGGTTTTTCGAGAAAAATCAACAATATTTTTGGGGAAAGTCAGGAGTAGGTCGTTTCAATCAAGCATCTCGGTCGAGTTTGAAGGTTGCGGGATGAGCCCCACATTTGCACAACGCTGATTGGTCGGTTCGATAAAACCACCAACCAGATGATCGTTGGAGCTAAATATAGCGTATACCACAATCCTGATAATCTTGACGAACTGATCAAGTAGGATGATGTCTCTTCAACGGTTATATCTCTCATTGGCTGGTCCGATAAATCACGAATCGGGTCGACAGCTGCGAGTTCAGGCAGGTAATCGTTTGTATCAACATGGTTTGGAGTTCAGGAAGCCTGAGCAATGGATGGGTGCTATATAGTTGCGATGGAAGGAGGCGAACGATTTGCACGCTTGCAACTCTCTTCTTCAAGCAAGATCAAACTCACTACCTCAAGAACCAATAGATACTCTCCGCTCGAGACCTCATTATCATCATCACTATCATCAACACCGACCTCACCATAGATATCAACAACCATATCCACCCTATCATTTCTTTCCGACCATCTCTCGTCACCCCCGTCACCATCACCAAGGGTTCCTCCTCCGACCTCCCCACTCACAACAATGGCCCTCTCACACGGCGCAATAATCGCAATTGTCATATTCGGCTGCGCAGCATTCTGCCTCTGCGGATATGCAATCTGGGCTGTCATGTTCAAGAACTCCTCGGAAGAATTCACCAGAACAAGGCCTCAAGATCAACAAGCTGAATACATGCGCCAAGTACGACATAACAACCTCGAAGCTTTCTCATATCGAGCGGGGAAACACCATCGAGGCATATCCGATGTCGTGTAGATTGTCCTATGAGCATATGCTGGAAGAACGTAGCTTTGTGGAGAATGCCTGTGGGATGGGACAGAGATCATGGCGCCAGTGCCCGTCCGTCGCTTTTGTAGTGATGTTGAGTGAGCACAAGGACGAGACGCCATTGCGTACATGGAACCGGTGGACGCGGTGGATATAAGATAGGTCTGGCTGTATCAGGATGTGACAGAAGGCCCGAGACTTTTCCAAGTGGCCATCCGGAAGTAGAAGATGCCCAATACCACAAGCTTTGCCCAGGTCTGTGTGAGTGCCACGAAGCTAAATGAATTCTGCATGATCTGAGATATGCGCTTTGAGAAGCAGCGTCGGCGCCGACAAAGACTGGACCCTTCCCGTCAGCGAAGCGTAGAGTTGATACCCTTGCTCGTGCATGGAAGCATTTCAAACCACCGATGCATGCTTGTCGACCAGTGCCAGCATACGAGGAAGAAGGTCCATCACACGGAAAGGCTTAGTCTGTACCAAACGTTAGCGGAGTGACAGATCAATCCACAGCAATCACAACTTACCACGACCTCATCCATGCCAGCTTCGATACACGCAGCAATTTGCTCAACACGCGCGTTTGCAGTAATGCCAATGATAGGGACATGTCGGACAATCTCTTCTTTTTGTTCCAGTTCACGAATGCGTCGTGCGCACGTCAATCCATCCATGATGGGCATTTCCACGTCGAGCAGGATGACAGACAGAGGTACCTGAGCAATGCCAACGTATTTGAAGAACGTCGTGGTAGACAGAAGTTCAAGAGCGTCTTGACCATGATCGGCAACATGGACCTTAGCGCAACCAGTCTTGCGCAGTTGCTGGGCGAGAATTTTCTGATTGATCGCATTGTCTTCGACCACTGAAAAAGGTTAGCGAGGCTTTATCAGATCAACGATTGATACTTACCCAAGACATGGAGGTCTGCTGTCTGCGTCTTTTGTGCAGCTGGACCATCTACTACACGCATGTGATCGCTGATGGATGTTTGAGCCAGTTCTGCAGTCGGCGGCTCAACCAGTTTTTCAACACGAGCAGTTTTGATGTAGAAAGCGAAGGTGCTACCTTTGCCGTATTCACTGTGTACACCAATCTGGCCCCCTTGTAGTTCAACCAATTCCCGAGAGATGAAAAGACCCAGGCCACTGCCACCGTACTGTTGAGAAAGTCAGAAAAAGACAAAGCCGACATCTGACAAAGATCACGGACCTGTTTGTATGTTTTGGGTGAAGCTTGACTGAAACGATGGAACAGATGACCCATCTCAGTTTCTGTCAATCCACAGCCAGTATCACGCACACTGAAGATTAGGTAAATGTCTTCACCAATAGGGTCCTCGGTTATTGATAATCGTCGGGCTGCAGTTTCGACCCTCTCGCCACGAGGCTTGATGAGTGTGACCTGACAATCATCGGCGCTAGGTTGTGTTCGTGATGCTCCTATAGAAATGACGATGTGACGTTTATCTGAGTTTTTAGTAAACTTGATCGCGTCTCGATGTTACAGTCAGCATGTTTCATTGTCACCATTGAAAGAGTTGCTTACTTGTCATGAAGTTGAGGATGATCTGAGCGAGTCTCCCAGGGTCAAGCAGCACGTTGTCAACTGCAAGATCGGTGTAGCTTGGTTGCAGAGCCATAGAACCTTGAATTTTATCATAGTCTAGCTCTGCCTTGACCATCTTCAATACTGACTGCACGGTTTCTGTCGGTCGGATCTGTTCTGGCGCGAGAACGAGGAGTTTGGAATCCAATCTTGAGAAAGTGAGCACTTCATCTATGATGACCTTCTGATGTCTCGCACAAAGCTGAATATTAGCTGCAACATCTACAAGCGAACTTCGAGCATCGGCTGTGAGAATGCTGCTTTGAGTGGGGTCTGACACACAAGGCAGCGAAGACAAGATGCCATCGGCAAGTAGCAGGATCGCGCCCAAAGGATTACGCATTTCGTGTGACACCCTATAGCTATGTTAGTTGACAGGTATCGACATGGTTAGCGCAAGTGGTGTGCATACATGTCTATGAAGATCTCAGATCTCCTTTTCGTCTCCAGAGCATCAGCCAATTTTTGTTCAGCCAACTGCTTACGCGAAGATACATCTCTAAGCCAGACATACAAGTACTCCAGATGGCCGTCTTGATCATGGCGTTGCTGAGCACTAATCTCGAGCCAGCGAACCTCATTTGGAATGAGATTTGGCTTGACTCGAAATTCGGCACTCATAGGTTTGCCGGTCTCGATTGCGGCTGTCCAAGTTTGGTTGACAGCTTCAAAATCATCATCATGAACTGCTTCCCGCCAAGCAATTCCTTCCTCGGCTGCTTTGAAGAAGTTTGCTCTGCTCATGCCAAGGAGTTCAAGGAGGATGTCATTGACATAGACGCAATGACCGTCACTTCGATGCATGCACATGCCTATAGGGGCATCGCGAAGCATTCTTGTAAAATTCCGCTCACTTATCTCTGCCTTCACTGTCATGGTCTCTAGCTGCTGAGATAGAGCTTGGGAGAACTCCTGAGCTTGTCGCTGCTCCAAAGGTAGCGAACACAGTGCAAATGACTTGAACAGCAGGTCACGTATTGACTCGGCGAATTGACGAACGCTGGGACTAACGGATCTTCTCGGGTTCAGTCCTAGGATCGCAATATCAGACAAATGGACGCCGTCCAGACCGACTATCGGCAAGACATATGCTGTGTCGACAAGCCCAATGTCTGGAATGGATACGGCAAACTCTTTCGGTAGCGTACCCTTGCTTTGCTGAAGAACGACAACGTCACTCGTGGTGCCTCTTAAAGTTGCAACGATTTCGTCTGGTAGATTGTCTCCAATGCCTTTAATATTGTGGTAAGCCTCGAGATGGAACGTTTCCGTGTCCTGTATGGCGGGAGATTTAGACCTGGAGTACACGACTGCATAGGATATGTCCTTCGAGTCTGTGACTACCGTGCGGACAAAAGCTTGCCGAAGATCCGACACGTCGGTCACTTTGAGGATGTTCTGCAACAAAGCCTTGGACATTTCCCGTCGATGTTTCTGCAGAACCTTCTCGGTGACTTCGGTGAATTCGGTGACTACACCCAGGAAGCGACCCTCAGGAGAAGGAATTGGAAGTAGAACCACGTCGAAGAAGCAGCTTTCCGGGTAGCCGTATCTCATCAAGATGAATTCATGGTCTCGTTGAAGCACAGCTTTGCCTCTCTTGGCACCAGTTCTGATCATCTTGATGATTTCGGTAAGGACGACAATACCCCAGACCTTTATAAAAGGTTCACCAAGAGCAAGAGGATGCATCTCTCCAGTGACGAAGCGAGCTTGCTCGTTGTATAGCATCAGCATGTCATTGCCCCAATATATGATGCGGGGCTCCCTTGAGGCAAGAATAGTGGTATAGATTTGTCTCAACATCGTGGGCCAGCTCTGGACTGGACCGACGGCTTTTGATTCCCAGTTATGATTGACAAGAAAGTCGATCCATGGATCAGAAGTGCGATCGGCAAACAAGAGCCAGTCTACAAACAAATCCTCTAGCGGGGTTTCCATGTCACCAGATGCTAGACTTGACATTGTTGTCGATGTTGAATGGATAGAAGTGTTATCGGACTCCTGGCGCCTCAAGGGATGGACAATTGGAAGGGTCGCTTCTGCTACCGCAGTGACTTGGGCGACAGGGTTCGGCTCATATTGAGTGTTGGCAGGAGGGTGTTCATGACAAAAGACAGCAGCCCATGACGTTCCAATGCTCTTGCTGGACCAGATGTGCGAGGCAAAGATGCCCAGAGTTTCTGTCGTTCGTTGCTTCGGCACGGGAGAATTGTGTATGGCATCGAGGAGGCTGTCGAACCAGCCCGGCGTCGAGGGGTCGGTCGCGACGAAAGTGTCGAAGGCGGCATTGCGGTAGACGACGGTAGAGGTCAAGTGCTCGAGAATGCACGTCGGTCGCGCATCGTCGGCGATGAAGTCGACAAGGGCGTCAAGCTCCGGGGGGAAGCTGCCGGACGCTTCCCTCGATGCTGTATAGACATCATCGGCCAGAGCCATTCTCACACGGCATGCGCTACACACTCCGGACGTGTCAATGTACAGTAATCTGGAAATTCTGTTGTCACATGATTGTGTTCTGCCATTCGGAGCTTTCTACCGTAAGGAATCAACTCCTCAACGTTCCAGGCCTCGTTTCTGGTGCCAAGACCTGGTTTGACTTTTTTGAGCCGCCTACGCATCCTGTACTCGAGTAGACCGGCGCCGCCGCCCTGTTGACAGTCGCTGCCCAGGAGCATCATGTTGTGGGTGACGAGACAGTCTAATCGAACGTTGCGCGCTCGTCGCCTAGATTCAACTCCAAGGGGTCATGATAGGGGAGAGTGTGGGCGACACGGCAAACCTCTCGTCCATCGTCGACGTCTTGTAAGATTGACCATCCCTATGAATCACATGGCTGGTCTCTGTCAAATTCGCATGTGTAAGCTAAGTACCTATCTCGCCGCACCCATCGCTAAGCTCCCTCGAATCACAACATTCGAGAATGCCATGATATGGCGCTGGAAAAACAAGGTTGGTCGTGACGTCGTATGCAGCATCTCACAATTGTTCTCCGTTTTTGCGCCATAGCAAGCCGATGAGATGGGCACTGGAGCACGAAACGCACATATAAATTGCGAAGTTGAGCGCGGAATATGTTTCGGCAAGAGTATTGAATCTCAATCATACCTATCAATGTTGCTGCAAACAATCCTGCGCCCGTTCGGGTGTCTTGCAAGCCTGGTTGCTCTTTCCGAAAGCGCTGCATCAGCTCCACTACTCGGAACTCCACTAAAGTCCCTATCATCAATGTGAATGACGCCGTCGATGGAGCACTGAATGCTACCGCCTGGGTCCTGATCGTATGTTGTCTCTCTGGTTGATTGGACCAATTCGAATATGCCACCCTGCTTCCAGTACAGCTATACTCTCTACATCCTCGCCAATTTGCTGGTGATATGCTGAGAAGTGTGCCCGTCAACAACATTTACCATCAACGACAACTGTTGTCTCGAGACAATCCGGGCGTCATCAAGCCGAACATCGACACCTTGTACTCAAGAGTCGTGCTCGACCTTTCCCACAATGATGTTATATTGACCATTTCAAAGATTACAGATGGGAGATACTGGTATTATCCGGTTTATCATTCGTAAATCAATCAACCTGACGACAATGAATCGCAGCACGGTGGTCTTGTTTATGGTGCAGGTGCTAATGCATCTTATGATGGCCATTTCCAGGTTTTGGTGCAGAATGCGAATTCTACTCCTCCTGCTTATTGGACGGGCAATTGGTTACCTGCTTCCAATAGTTCATGGTAGATCTGTGAGTTTGCTCCGTCCATCACTGTTGTGTGTTTTGCATTTGCTGATGATATGCTACAGTACGTTTGTATGCACCTCAAGATGCCCTGACCAATGGCTCTTATGTGTTCCTACGCAACAGAACATCACCCAGATCATCTAGACAGGTATCAGCGACCCATACCGCCTCAACAATTCGTTTGCCGCATAGAAGAAGGGACCTCAGAATTAGAGGGGCATATTCAGACCTTCTCTTTGCATGATACAGGGAATATATTTAGTGTGAACAGAACGCTCATCACATACGGCCACAGTCAGCTGAAAACTGGGCATCCCGTCCGCTCTGCCATACATAAGCAGTTGAACGGCAGATTAGTACTACGGTGGGTGACCACGTGGGAATCCCTGCTGCTGTATGTTTTATTTTGTTCTTGAGTATTTTCCTTTTGTTTTTGCCATGCATTTGTTCTAATCTTTATGACTGTTGTTCTCAATTCGAATACGATTATGACTGTCGAATCTAGTCTAAGCTGTAGAGGTTGTATCTAAGCAAGCCAGATGTATAGCTCGGTGGTGTCAATTAACGTGATCCACTATATATTTATTGTCAATTTGTCAATCAAGATATACTAAACCGGTTATCTCAGTCGCCACCAGTTCCCTCATTAGCCACGAATGTAGCTGGGCGTTAACTAAAGCAGGGTGTGACGACCGATCAGCTAGGGAGCTCTGTGGAAGCTCCATACCCACTACCGAGCTTTGTCCGCTCTCGTTTTTGGCGCCGTTCTTGCCTCCAAACTACAACGCAATTACTCGTCAATATGCATCACTCGGGCTATGCTGCAAGACACGGATGTTCTCCGGCGTCTACTAGACGAGCCTTGAAATTGTCAGCCTACGTGTCACAACAATAGCAAGTGCTTTGCCGAATGTGATTCGAGATGCAGAATTAACGCTGCTGTGCCGCAGCGGCGCAGATACGCGCCAGCCCTACAGCATCAATCTATCATCGAATCACGCCTCACGCAACTTTGCTGTAAAGGATCGGAGCGATCATGAATGATGAAGGGCGGTGTTCCTCATCCTTTTGAGCTCAGGTGCTCTGTCAAAGTTACGACGTCGAATTCCGAGCGGAAATATGAACTTTAAGCATATCCCATATATCGCTCTTGAACGAACTACGACACGGAAACCGAGATCTGTGTTTTTTATTTGTTTCGGGAGTGCTGTTCTTTTGATTGCAGCTTATCGATTTTATACTTCGAGTGTCCATCCCAGCGCAGCTGCCCAGTCCCAATCGTCAACATTTCCAGCAACACCAGCCTGTGAGATATGGCCAGGCTGGCGCCCCACTATACCCAGTAGTTTTCCCGCTGATGATACGATATTATCCTCCTTGCGCTTAGGAGCCACTGAGGTGATGTCGGGGATTTCAGAGCGAGGCTGCACACCTGCGAAAGAACGTCTGGGACCATTTGGTCACTCGAGCGGCGATACCCAACCAGATCATCCACCCTGGAGCGAGGTCACGTGGGGAGCGCTTCAAAGTGACTGTGCAACCAAGCATTATGGTTCACAACATGCTGATCGAGCCATACCACGGAGAAGGCTGACACGCTTTGCACACGAGACCGCCAACGGATCGGATCGATATCCGCAAGTTGATGCGACGACTGGCCGAACCGCGATTGTTCTACGTGTTTGGGATGCCTACGAATACTCAGACAACCAACTCGCGTGGTTGCGCGCCATGATCACCGAGCTCTCCCTGGACACCAGGGGTCGCTTTCAAGTCTTCATCCTTGTTAATGTCAAGGACAACTCGATCGATTTGTTCGAAGAAGCTAAATATCAGGAGGTTTGGGAGCGAAGTGTACCACCGGAGTTTCAGGACACGGCATTGCTCTACAATGAGGCCATCCTTCGCGAATGGTACCCCAAAGTTGGCGAATACGGTGCTCAAGATCAGATGTACCAGGCCTTGCAGATCTTTAGCCAGACGTTTCCCGAGTTTGACTTCGTATGGCAGTTGGAGATGGATGTGAGACTCACAGGTAATGTCGCAAGGATGTTGTCCAATGCTGGCGATTGGGCTCGCGAGCAGCCAAGAAAGAACCTTTGGGAGCGCAACGGTCGCTGGTTCATACCCGGTCTATGGAGAGATTATGCCTCTTTCTCTGCAGATGTGGACGAAGAATTCGGAAACCACGAAGGTATTTGGGGACCCCATCCATACGCCAAGTTCTATCTAAACCCGCAGGGCCCTCGACCACCAGTCAAAAGGGACAGCACGTGGGGCATTGGCGAAGAAGCCGAACTGATCACTCTATCCCCACTCATCGACCCAGTCAATACAAAATGGACGTATGAAAACACAGTCCACGGCTTCGAACCGGCACTGAACCTTCCTCGTCGCATGGCCATCGTCAGCATGACACGCACATCCCGTCGCCTCCTCCGATTGATCTCGTCGGAACAACAATCCACCGGCTCCTGGGTCGTCAGCGAATCAACACCAGAGACCTGGTCTCTACTACACGGTCTAAAAGCTGTCTACGTACCCCACCTCATCGCCTTCAACTTTAAACCTCAGAATGCCAGCCTCGAAGCTTCTGGCAAAGAGTTAGATAAGATGCTGCACAAAGGACCACGATGGAATCTTGCTGGGGGCGAACACGCTGGGCTGTTATGGTGTAATGATGTAGGGTTGTCGGAGCAGAGATGGTTGGGTGCGAGTTATTTCTATTGGAAGGGCGATGCGCCGAGGATTTGGTGGGAGTATACTAATGGGACTTGTACCTATCCTTTGGTATTGCACCCTGTCAAGCAAGATTAATGATGCGAAGGGATAACGAGGGGATGGGAGGTAGGGATGAGAATTTGGCAACCATGTTTTAAAACCATTCGCAGATCATGTTCATGCCAAATTTAAAAGACGTGCGGTAATGTCGAAGATCTCCAGGACAATTCTGATATAGTGTACCACTTTTATTTTCTACGTATGTGAGGTGGATCATTTCTGGTGCTAAAAACTGGAAGATTTAGATAGACCGAAGCAGTTCACCAACGGAACAAGACCGGCGGCCGCCGAACGATACATTTGTGTTTAGCAGCCAATGGGAGTGGTGAAATAGCATAAGTTCACAATATGGGAGCCAGACAACAGGGATGCGTCATTGCACTGAGTTCACCAATCGAAGATGCACAAGGTCAAGCGAAATCCGAAATGTATTATATCGTCAACTTTGACTCTACACGATTCTTCTCACTGATTGTTGGCGGCCAACTCATGTCTTCTACCGGTCGAAGACAACTCATAAGGCGCCTCCCTCAAGATCTCGGACTTGCCAACGGATGAGGTGCTGCGAAGAGAACTAAACCTGTGATCAAAGGGATGCAGTGATTTGTTTCCTCCAGTCTCATAGTATTGTCCGGGAAATGATTGAGAAGGCTGGTCATGCCATCTCTTATCGTGCTTTGCTTTGCGGTGACGCCAAAATGCGAAGCCGAGAGCAGCGAGGAGGAGACCGACGCCGATACTCACGCCGACAGCGATGCCGATTTGAGAAGTTTGGGAGAGACCAGTGGGCGACATTGTTGAGGAGGGTAAGGCGGGGTCTATGCTTGCGGCAGGTGAAGATATGGTACCGACAGAAGTTGGTGATGCCTCAGTGTTCACTTTCGACAAGACCGGAAGGTTTGACGACGTTGTCTGAGAGGATTTTGTCGTGATAGAGGACGAAGTGGAAGTGGAAATGGTGCTGGACGAGCTTGGTGTAGTGGTAGGTGTAGATGAAGCCTCAGCCACCGATGTAGTTGTCGCTGCAGCCGATGCGCTGGTAGAGCTTGAAGTGGTAGTCGCGGCACGGCCGTCAAGGGTTGTCTGGAACGCAACAACTACTGCGTTACTCGTTGCCAAGCATCCATAGGAATAGAACGAATAAGAGGAGCTGGGAGCGTATGTCGTGCCATAGAGTAGGACAGTGGAGCAGTAAGGGACTTCCGAGCCACTGGAGAAGGATTAGCAGCCGCACATGGTATCTGAGGGAACACACAGAACGTACCAAAGGAATTGTTGATCCGAGATCAACACACCTGCACCCCTGTTCGAGTTTCCCATTGCTTTATAATCAAGACATGTCGAGACATAGCCACAGCCAACACCTTCTGAGCAGCATCCAAAATTCGGAGCTGAATACGGTGTTGTGTAATACGTGCACGACTGCTGGGGACCACATGTCACTGCAGAGGACCATGCTCCGCTGGTGTATCCGCAAGTCTGAGCATTCGTCAAAATCGCAGGAGGGTTGCCTCGTCGTAACTCTTGGATCAGAGTTGTTTGCGCAACCGTTGACAAGGATGGTAGAGTGTAGGGTGAAGCAGTCATCTGAGGCCCGTAGCCAGTAATTGCAGGTGTGAACATTGTGAACGAGAGACCAGAAGAGAACGATTCCTGAGAGAATTGATAGGCCAAAACACAACAGAAAGCAGCATCAGAAACATATTGTGCTTTTGTAAGCACGAATGCCCCCAGCCATCAGATTGTTTATAGCGACTTTGCATGCAGTCTTGATGGGGTCTTGCTGAATGGCCAACCACGTCGCGCAATAGGCGCTGAGCGAAATGGTACATATCAAGCGCAAATATGTAGGGCGCGGCTTTTAGTGAATTGACAGGGCATATGAAACACTATCATGCGCCGTTGATGTGACGAACGGGGCGACACGGAATCATGCATGCATGCAAACGTATTGGTGATCAGTCTCCTACCAGCATTTCTTGGTTGAAGCATGCAAAGGGTGTACGGTAGAATATTCCGAAGCGCGCGCCAAAATTTGACTGACTCGTGGTTGCTCGGAACCAGACTGTCGGGTACCTGTCGCCTTAAAATTGGATCCAGAAATGTGAACCGGAACAACGGCGATATTACTGTTTGCAAGCGATGGGCGGGCGAGAAACTCATAAGTGACCCTCTCGCCAGAGTCGCAATTGCGGCGAGGGTTTTCGTCTCAACCAGTCCATGAATTCTTTAGAAATCTGTTGAAGATTAGCGACTTCACTTGAACTTATAACAACTCACTCTGTCCGAACCTCCATCCACATAATCGTCGACCAGAACTGCTTCATCCAAACGCTCTCAGGACAAAATGGCCATGTCCCAACCATACTTTACCGCCACTGTCGTGTATGAACACGTTTGGAGGATCTATGAGACACCCAAAGAGACATCTACATACACCACACACTATGTAAACTCGCCAGGCAGTCACACTGGATATGCCATAATTGCCAACACCGCTCTTCCCTCTTCCGCACAGCTCGAGACAATTGGTATAACGTACTCGATATCGGCCGGAGAGTTATCCACCCAGCATGTCTTGGCGACAGTAGCGACAAGCATGCCCACGTCGTCCATTCAGCATTCAACTCAGACACCATGGCTCACTGCCACGGGTATTGCCGCTCACACGCCTCAATTGACCAAAGCGTCATGTCATACGACTTCGTTAAGCCATGGTTTCCCCTTGTTGTATGAGACTTACTCTGGCTATCTTCAGATGCTTCTGTTACTGCTTTTTCTTTGTGGCTATCTCTTGTTGCGCCCCAAAAAGGCTCGACGTAGCCAGGATGACAGTCTTGAACAAGGTGGAGACAGGCTCAGAGATCTTGGACAAGCGTTCATCGATGTGAAAGACTCTACTATCACTGCAAAGCCATAGTCGAGCAATGATATTGATCAACGGTCGCTTCTTGGGTTACCAGCACAAACCCGTCGCGCTTGGCCACGTTCTGACGCTTCGCCTTGCGACACATCAGTCTCGACGCTAAGGCGTACATCAGAGGCTCTGAGAACGATGTCGGGTCAGTCTAATGTGAGGTTTCAAGCATTCGACTTTCTCTGTGAGGGGTATTGCCAGTCGTCGATGATGTTATGGATAGTTAGCGCGGTAATGAGAATGACACGCTGTGGTGTTTGCGGGGTCAGTTTATTCGGCCAACACAGACTTTTGACTCTAAGCTGTGCCTTGCTTCTTGAATCTCCCTCGATCTCATTCGCTTGTAACAGTCTTGGTCGCTCCTCGGCATGTCTTTAAGGCTCCTTCGCACTTGTTGTTCCCTGAGATGAAGTACGAAATGGCAATATGATGAATTCTGTTGAGCTTGGCTGCCTTTCATCACATGCGTGTGTCCTGCTGATGCTCCGCCGCTTCTGCCAGCGCCCGCACGTCCCCTGGTCTCTCCTTCCTCCATGACGACCCCCTGACCGGTTTCTTCATAAACACAGCATGCCCTGCATTTTTCCCCATCTTCTCGTCTTGCTCAGCCGTGCGCAGTGTCACCAATTCCAAAACAATCCAGGCTGACGAGGCTGCAAAATCACATGAAATTTGCAAAAACGGTCAAAGGTCGGCTTCTCAGCTGAGGCAAGCTTTTGGGGCTGAGGCTGTCTGTATATATGCACGACTGCGGTAAGCCACAGCGAGAAAGACAAGGATAGCAATTCCGCATGTGCTGACCATTCCTTGAGTCGTTGTCGAAAATATATCAATTCCCACTGACCCGTCTTTCTTCTTATCTCGTTTGTCCTCATCTTGTACATACTCCATTCCTCCACTGAAGCATTGGTTTCACGTTTTCTTCCTGCCATCCAACATTCGAATTTACAGTCCACAACACAATCAGTTGTCGCAATCACTCAACATGCGTCCCACCTCGGAACCTCAACGACTACTGGTCTTCTGTGATGGCACCTGGTGTGGACCTGAAACAGACACACGAACCAACATTCAGATTCTGGCAGAGATGACGGGTATCGACATGAACAACCCGAAAGGGTCGAGAGAGCTCGAAGACCCAGCACGAAAACTTCGTGCCAAGTACTTCAACGGCATCGGTCTAGGAAGCACTTTCTTCGCCTATCTATTCAATGGCGCTACCGCAAATGACATAGGAACCACTTGCGTCGAGATATATCAATACATCGCCCAACACTACCGTGAAGGAACAGAAGTCTGGATGTTTGGTTTGAGCAGAGGTGCCTACACAGTCCGTTGTGTCGTGGGAATGATCAACAACTGCGGCATTGTCAAGAACCCTTCTCGCGATCTGTGCGACCAAGTCTATCGCATCTACTCGTCTCCTTACGATGCCGATAAGCCATCATCAGCGCAGAGTAAGGAGTTCAGAGCAAAAGCTAGTTGGGACGTTGCGACACCAGTCAAATTCATGGGCCTCTTGGATACTGTCGGTAGCATCGGCATTCCATCCCTAGATGCTGGCAATGGACCATCATACCCTACGCTTTGGGACCAAGTCGTCTCTAGCAGTGTTGAACAAGTCTATCACGCCTGCTGCCTACACGATCGCTTATCACTGTTCCAACCCTGCTTGACGAAGCGCGAGCGCGACAACGGTAAACCGTCACCCACTATCCATGAGATGTGGTTCCCCGGTTGCCACTACGACGTCGGACGCCAACGCTTCAAGTTCTTGCGGCGAAGAGCAGTCGACCCACTCGAGCGAGTCCTCTCAGTGATACCAAATCTTTTCTCCGGTACGCTGGAGCCGAATGACGTATTGGCGGATGTCGTATTGCGATGGATGCTACAAGCAATCGATAACGAAATGCCCACTCAAACAGCCATTCCCGATATTCAAACTCAAATTGCCAAACTTGAACAACAAATCAAATCTGGAAAAGATAGTGTTGGCTCTGGTGACGTTTACTCACCACAGAAATCTCTCCTATACGCACCTTTCGGCAGAATCATTTCTATTCTACCTCAGCCAAGGATAATCTACGACACTATCGCTGTACTCATGGCTCTCCGCGACCGTCGCATCCCAGATGAAGGCGCGCATGTCTTTCCTTTCGAGGAACACTTTGAAGGTGGAAAGAAGAGTATCAAAGAGCTTGGCAAAGTTACAAAAGAGAGATATCCTAGCCGCACGTATGAGAGTTGGCAGGCTTGGAGTGCGTATTTTCCACAAAAGGACGACCCGGCATTCAGAAATGGCGATGTGTCTGGCCGTGGCAAGATTGATGAAGAGCAGGTGGGGGGTAGCGAGCAGTAAATTGATGGTGTGTTCAGGGACGTCTGTAGTCTTTGTTGGAGGGACTTTTTGTTGATGGTGTTGATGCCACTTTTGTTCGGCTATTTTACCACTGTTTGATCATCACCGCGATGGCTCCGTAAGCCTTTGTTTCCATCTTTGCTTACGGTTTGACCTTGACACGTCTGATTGTGTCGCAATCTGGCCTAGAAAGAAAAAGAAAACAGCATGCTTGCACTTCAGCCCGTGATTGATCACTTTCACGCTTGCCAAGCTTGAAACAGATAGACACGACCTGCAGCTTCCCGAACTCTTCTGTTTGCACCGCACCTGCCATTTCATCCCATCGATTGGACCTGATCTCCTTCCATCCATCTTCACTTCTCTCCCAACTCGCTGTGGCACACAGAAGCAAAACGCAATGCGTTCAACAACTTCAAGCGCCTATGGCGGCCGAACCTTGGACACTCTACCTACTGAGGTCAAGAATAAAATCTTCTCCCACTTCCTCTTGGGCAAGAACGTCAGATACTCCACCAAGGGCAAACAACCTGGCCACAGATACAAGTTCGACATTTCCATCATGCGTGTCAATAAGAAACTCAACCAAGACGCGTCCATGTATCTCCGAAGCCACAACGAATTCATCCTCATTCATGCCAAATGGTTTGCCTTTGAGATCGACCAAGGCAGATTCCTCCCTTACGTCGCTGTCGGAAATGCGGCCAAGACGTTCAAATCTCCCACCGTGGAAGCCACGATCAAGCATCAGAGTACCAATTGTGGGTGCACTCCTGGCTCAGACTGTTCTGTCAGGCACCAGACAAAACCGGAGAAGGTCACCCGTGCTCTGTTGATGGCCGAAGATCTGAACATCTTCATCAGACATCTCAAACTGGCCTACCATATCTGGCCAACCCTTCCTATCTACATCCACTCAGCGCCTGGCGACAGTCTTGTCGAATGGTCAGCCAGTCCAGCCCAGACACACATCGACTTTGTTTGGAAGATCCACGAGCCCTTCCGTCAGGACCTGACTCAGGCCGAGCTCCGCAAGCGTCAGATCAGACTGCTGGATCCCGTCTCCAAGCTTGTCAATCATGGACAGAAGGTCAAGATACTTGGTGCCGAACATGATCTTGTCTCCAGCACAGTCAGAACCATGACGGCACGCCTGATCTCGCTCGATGTCGTAGGCTGGGATCTTTACGACCTCATCAAGGCCGAGAAGCAGTACTTGGATCAGCTGCCCAACCATCAAACAATGAAGCAACGTGGACTGAGCGACGCCTACCAGTATATCGGTTTCCTTGGATGGCTCTTTCCTGACAACAACGAATCAATCTCGACAGCCTTCGTCTTCAAGGCCGACTCTCTCGGCTTCGACACAGAGGGTGTTCCCTTGGCGTACTGGTCTATGGAAAATGGACAAAACGACCAAGACACCTCCTGTTGGCAATACGGCATACAGATCCTCAGTCTTGAGTGCATGCTTACTCTGGCAAAGATGGCTTTGGACATGAGGATGCATAACTCTTCCAAGTTCTTCATCCACTTCTGCAGCAGCATCTTGAACACCGGCTATTTCGCTTTTCCCGCCGAGATCCAGTCAGCCGTGTGCCATTACGACTGCTTCCTCTCGCTTTGGCAATCGGGCAATCAGAAACGTCCCAGCGCATACACTGATGTCTTGCTTACTCTGGACAACATCTTGTTGCAAGCCGGTTTTCAGGACGAGTATGTCCGTCAGGACAGGGATCGAGTTGCCCGTATTGTTTCAGTGAGTCTTTCCTGTTTCTTTCATCTTCACCAACACATCCACTGACCTTTGTTTAGAGGGAAGTCAAGATCTCCAACAACGACGTACAAAACTTCCCTGGTCTCCATCGCCGCCAGCGTATCTGGAACACGAAGGTCAACCTCCACCGCCCTGAAGGTTCCAATTCGATGTCACTGTCGCCTTCTCTGTCTGCTAGCCTGGTCGACTCCATCACCCGTATCGCCGACAAACGCATTACCGGTCAGGAAGATTCGGAAGAGGATGAGAGTGAAGATGAGGCCGAGCACAGCGATGATGGTGATTCGGATGACCTTGACGGCAGTGACGAGGATGGTTCGGACGAGGTCGAGGACAGCGACGAGAATGACCACGTTTCTGTTGGCGTCTTCAATCCTCGTCATTCCCGCGGGGAGACCACCCTCCGACTTCGCACTGAGACAAGATCAGATGGAACGGGAACCAACATCGTGCTTGTTGCAAACAGGCGTTGATTGGCCACGATCATGGGATTTAAGTATTCTGTGCAGCAAATGAACCAACAGGAGAGACTAACTACCTATGTCATTTTCGTAGTGAGCTATAAACTCATACCAATTCTAATCTCGTTCGTATCACAATCAAAACAAAGCTTCACTGTCTCCGTAGAAGATGTGTTTAGGAAATATCGAGGAGTGCTCTGACATCCTCGGCGTGAAATATGAGTCTCAGGTCTCCACGATCAGATGTAGCGTTCCAGGTCCATGAACCGGTTCTTTTGGTCACGGAGTATGTTACCCCTGATCAGAAGGAAACTTCGCTGCAGAGTCATTGACCCGATGGCCTTTGCCTTCTTGCTTCTCTTTCGGGAAAGCACTACTACTCCTAATGCATAGGAATCCATTACCACCACAGGCGTGGCATGTAGATCTCAGGATGAGCATACTAACCTTCCTCGGGCAAATCTCCGACATGTACTCGAAATCATTGGCGGAGGTATAACTTCTATAGATGCTGCAAGTCATAAGATATGCTGACTCTACACCATGTCAATACATCCTCAGTTGAAACCTTGTATAAAAACCAGCGACCTTGTTCTCAAAATCTTTCTTTCTTCCTACCAGAGAAATCCGCAAAGCTTGCGAGGAGCGAGAAGGTCTCGTTGGTAGCAATTGATTAAGGAAGCAGAGCTTAACATTGCAAAGGGAAAGTCGAACGCTGAGACCTCAACCCCGAGAGTAACTTCCTCAAGTAAACACGATTCTGCCCTCCACTCCCCTTACTTAAATCAAAAGAAGCATCTTCCACCAAAAACACAGTCAAGCACAAGGGTTTTCGGCGTCAAGAATCGTAAGGATGGGAGAGATAGTCGCGCGGAGTGATTCACAGATCGATTAACATGGAGCTGTGGAAAGTGTCAGGAGAGCTGTTCATCAGGTCTGTAAATCCTCTTGTTTAGTCATCGCTTCCTTGTAAGATGTTGCTGCACATTTGGCTGGTTGTCTGTTATAGGGGCGGCTTTTGGGTGATGGGATTCAGGGACCTGTGGTCCTGGTTTTCCTCTAACTTTCCAAGTCCCCAAACTCGTCAACAGGTTGAGAGCCCAGACGTTGCTAGTGTTTCCATATCTTTCAGGATCGCTGCCGCAAACGCGTTGTAGTCAGGCACTCGATGGGACCCGGATGGTGGTGAAAATACTTGTCCGATGCTTGGAGACTGGGAAATGGTAGTGGCACACTCTGATATTGGCGACTTCAAAATGCTTTGCTGAAAGCGATGATCGAGCTGAAGTTCCCGGTGGATGGATGTCAATCAGAGATACATCGAGGAATATTTCATTTCTATCCGCACACGCCCTCGGAGGTCGAGATAGAGTCCAAGGATATCCAAATTTCGTCAGATCTCGATACCAAGAAGTTTATGGATAAGATGGAAATTTTAAAATTGGTAGTAGGGAGATTGGAAGCGTATGTAAATCACGTCACCGTTCTTGCTGACTCCATTGAAGATCGAATACTCGATGACCTGATCTTGGTTTGCCTTAACCCTGTGGAGTGTATGATCTGGAGCGCAGGATGTGAAAGATTCCAAGCTATGTCTAATGCCGAGCCCGAATGGTAGAACAAAATCAAGAGATCAGGTCTGTGATTCCCGCCGTCTCTTCCACATATCCGACTGCCTTTCGCTGAGACCTTTGAATCCAGAAAATGCAAAGCCTTCCAGGGACGAGCAGGGATATAACTGCATCATGGACCTGATGACTTACTTACATGTGCGTGCCTCCTTGACAATCTATCAAAGAGCATCACTACTCCCATCTCCGTGGTGAGCTTTCTGGTCGCAAAAGCAATCCAGGCGTGCCCTTTCGGCCCTGATGACATTTTTCTCAGAGAGCTCAGACCTGCTTTCTAGTCTGTGGAGATCAATTTTGATTCAAATCTTGCTTTGTGCAACTGCAGGATCTTGGATCGTAGCGAACACGCTATCGATGGATCATGGTATCTCTTAAGGACATCATGAAGGTACTGAGATGATCTTCGACGAGTTGAGGTAATGGAGGGTGTGAACAAGGAGACATGGGAGAAGTATGAGAAAACACGTAATGCCGGAGCGCTGATTTGAAAAACGAAGTTAAGAAATGAGGAAGCTACCAGCTATAGTCGTATACACTCACCGTTTCAGACACCTTCTCTCCTCTTGTCTACTTATAAGGAATGAACTCGCTATGTTGGCAAGACTATAGAACTTCAAGCTATTTCTTCCAGAACATGTTCTCGCAAGCTACAATTTCTGGAGCACATTGAGCATTTCATGACAAGGACTGGGAGAATAAGTCATTGCATCTTCTACCTCTTTACCTAGGAGTATGCGATTTTACAATCTCAAATAATTCGTACTGCCAAAGGAACGAAGTCAACCAGGTCAGTGATATCTGATTTTCTCCATTAGTCTCAGTTATGCCGTTGATGGTTTTACTTGCAGCGCCTTCCCGTGTCTGAGCTTAGCTAACAGGAAGGGGGCGAGGAGAAAAACGAACCCATTAACCTCGTGGTCTCACTCGTCGCCCCCTGATCTAGCAATCTTCCAGAAGGTACAGTAGCGCTAGCTATGTATTGCGGAAAAAGTAGACCTTCGTCATGAACATCATGTCTTCAAAAGAACTATTGCTAGTTCGGATCTTTAAGCAGTGTTAAATAGTCTATCCCAACAATAACTTCCTGCTCGCGAGGACTAGCTACTTAGCTTAGACGAAGTAACATGAAAAGCATGCATCGACACGGAAGCAACATATTTCCATTCCCGATAGTTGCAGAAAGGTCAGAATGTAATTCCAAGGATTCCTTCCTAGAGTCATGTGGAAAAAGGCGATGTAACACATGCTCTGTTCGAGCACCTTACACTATAATGACAGAATCTTCGATTAGTAGTATAAAAGAAACTTTCCTAAACCAAACAACTATACTTGGCACAAATGGAAACAACAACAACTTCAGAAGATGATCTCGGCATCTTCGTTTACATCTATACATATCTACGACCCTACCCCCGCCGCCCGGCGACGAAACGAACGAGGTCGATGAATCTATTTTTGACCGTATACTTACTCCTAACTATGATTCTTCTCCCGAGGCCAGGCGACGAAACGAACGAGGTCGATGAATCTATTTCTAGCTTCTCATCCCGCTCGGCCTTAAGATGTCTTCTTTTCCTCTAGTTGAGATCTGTGGTTATAGGTAGAGATAGAGTCTCGGCGTTGTTGACCCGTGGTTCAACGTCTACTAAGGTCCTTGCCTTTTTCCGCAATTTCATAGTTAATGCTTCTTCCCACGGCATGAGTTTCAAAGGTAAAAACAGTGGGAAAAGATGAGTACATCTTATACATAGGTATAAAAACTTCCCCGTTTCTGCTTCTCTACAAAAATGGTTTGTACGTAAAGGACAACTTGTTGTTGTACTGCAGTAATGCACGAACAAATTGCTCCAAGACTTGCGGCCAGTGAGATGGATGAAGTAATCTCACACACAAGTAACAGAAACCCAATTTTCTGCTTTCGCACATATTGGGGTTTTGAAAGGTACTTCTGTAATTTGTAAGACGGTTTACTTTTTTTGTACCATGAAGTAATGCACGAACGAAATTTGCTCCGTGGCATGTGTCCAGAGAGAATGGATTGAAGTGTGATAGTTATTACATCCTTTGGATTCTAGCTGTTGTCGTGAAATCCCTTGCATCAAGGCAGAAGATGTTTTTCCATGATTTGACGTCGAGTAAGGAGACATCAAGTTATAGCGATGTTCAATCATGACTTGTCAAGCGACGTTGAAACCATATTAATAGCCGTCCAGCGTGGTAATGTCGACGCATCCACAACATCACAACCTCCCCCCTCCATCTCATCTCCAACCCCAGTCTCATCCTTAACCTCATCCCCACCAGCAATCTCAACATCAACTTCTTCAACCGTCTTTTGTTTTTCCCCACTCTTCCCACTATCCTTCTCCTTTATTTTAGCTTTTCCAACCCAACCTTTCAAATTCTTCTGTCCCTTCTCAATCGGTGGAACCTTTTCTGGACTGGAATACCACTGCCATCTTGCACGTTGTTGGTATTCGGCAAAGGTGATCTTTTTGTTTTTTAGTTGTTGATCGCAGCGCTGTTTGCGTTTCTGGAAGGCGGAGTTCTGGGCGCTGATGCTCGGAGAATTGACCATGGCCGATGCTCCACGGGACAAAGACACCTGGGAGTTGGTGAATTCAAACGCGGGGGCTAAGCTGCGGTAGAGTCAGTGGATGGAATGCGAATGTAGCAAGGAGCGCTAATGTACCACAAAAACTTGGACTTGCGAGACCTCTTTGCGAACTCGCGTGGGTGATCCGAAGTGGTTGTTCGTGGCTGTCCGACAAGAGAACAGCGCAAAAATACAAGAGCGCAGAAGAACATGAACGCGAACACGGTGTGAAAATGCAGTGATAAGATCTCGACAGTAACACACGCTTAGCTTTCGCTCCCAACACGAATGACATGTTCTCGAGGGCGAATCATAGAAGGCCAGTGTTGCAATACACAGACAATCGGATCAATGCCCCTGTTTCTCAACATCACAGGCCTGGAACTTAGTCCGCCTCTTCTCTATAATCAATACTGCATCATTCTTGAGCGCCTCTACATCCACTGGGTCTTTCCTTATCAAGTCTCTTTTCTCGCCCCATTGGGCAGACCAGGACTCGTGGCCTCGTCGGAGATGTGGCAGCAGATCCCACCTGGTCAGACTTTCGACTTCTGCGTCGCTCAGATTGAGCCATGCGTACAAGTCTTGACGCCGTTCGGATCTTTCGCATTGAGGCATTGTAAAACTTTCCTCTCTTTTGCGAAGAACGCCGGTCTTCTCGTCTTTGTGAAACTCCACGCTCGTCGGCCATTGGAATATAGTAGCCTTGAGATGAGAGCCTATCCAGCAGGTGTAGGGTGAGTAGCCAATATCTTGAGGCGGTTTTGACCATCGCCGATGGAGTCGTGAGACATCGCATCCCACGCCGTAACATAGCAGCACTGTGGACCCAACGAGCAGAATGACGGAGTATATCTGGGCGACCAGTTGTGCCATTCCGATAGTCACAATATGCACGGCGAATGCAGCCCATCCTAGCCATCGTAAAAGATGATAGAGCGTATCATTGAACGGTTCTGGCTTCCTGGTAAAGACTGAAACGATGAGACCTTGCGGAAGGAACATAGTAACCGCCTTCGAGTCTGGCAGAATGACTAAGGTCTTGGCGTACTCTACTTCTGTGGCTCCAATATCAGCCAGTGGCACTGGTTCTCCTTGTTGGGCATCGATGGCAGAATGCTTTTTCTGGCATGTGTTGACGTATTCAAGAACGCGGTGATCGATGGCTCTTCGATTTGCAGACACTATAAAGGCCCGAACGATCACCGAGATAGCAACAACCAGCGCATTCGTGAAGCCGTACCAATCTCCAGACAGTGCAGTCATAATCATGAGTAGTCCAATGGAGCAGAAAGAAATAGTTGCCGACGCGATCTTGTATCGAAGCCAATCATTTGGCTCGTTGACGACTTCCCAATACACGATACTTCGGGTAATTTCGAAGCCCTGTACTGCCATCCACCGGGTGAACCAAGGAGCAATGTCCGTGGATGTTATGCCACTGCTAAGATTGTACAACTTGACAGCATTCGTCTTCTCTCTGATCTTGTCGGATGCAATGACAAAGGCGCCCAGTAGAGGCATGTATTCCAGCCACCGACTAGCAACCAGGCGTCCGACAGCGACATTGACTTCTTCGGAGCCGAGGAGGGTGACGAGGCCAAGTGCGTCTATTTGGAAAGGCTGCCACTGGAGTAACGAAATCCAAGGATATCCCATCGTCTACTTGTGCTGTGCTGGATGATGATTTGATCGTGTCTGAGAAACCAACATTCTCTGGTCAATTTGAGGGCGCGGCGCGTATTTGACCGAAGTCTAGTATCCTATCGATGGCGCACAGCCTTACCAGACCACTGCATCTCTTCACTCTGTCTGACATTCTTCAGTCAGCCTGATTTGTGGCGCGGCGAAGGATCCCAGATATTGCTGCATGTAGCCGCCGGAGGACTGCGATCGACGTCCGTGGCGTTTCGGACCTCTGGCAATTACACGACAATATTATTGTAAGTTGATGACTGAACTTGTTAGAGGGATGAATGGTGGTTGGTTTTTGACTGATTAGAAACACATGAGAAACATGCTGGAGCCAGATCGAGATTGAATGGATTATCAGTCTTAGAGGTCACACAAAAGGCGACGTGCTTTGCGGGAAGGAAGGAGGGGCTGAGCTCAGGTGCTCCTGCCACCTCTCAATCTTGGGCCGACACTCGTTCTGTATGTATATAAGACAGGAATGTCTCCAACCATTCCCAATCACCACGACTGCAGCATGGCGCAGCAAGAGCAAGCCATCCGCCTCAGGAACGTCGTGAATCAAGGTCGCTTCTTTGAGCTGCCTTTCGACACAATCTTGTTCCTTATCAAAGCAGCATACTCGCACGAGTTGGAGACTTTGAAGTCTGCATATTCCGTCAAGTCAACGAATCCTGAGCCCGTACCAAAAACGCCATCTCCGTCTCAGATACTGTACCGCGTCGACTACGATGAAATAAACAGGACTCTGACCAGTATTCAGTCACTGTTCTGGATAGCCAGGAAAGACTACACGTCATTTGTTGGCGTTCAAGCAGCCGAGACACGGCTCTCTGTCACCTCGTTCGAATGGATGGTCGCATTGTTCGAGAACACAATCGAAACGAGCGAAGATTTGTACACCTTGATCACGTCAATCATCATCAACGATCTGGGCAAGTCTCCCTCATTAGCAACGGACTACTACACCATCACTCACATAGATGTGGCAAAGGACAACCATGACGTGATTCTGTACAAAGCAATAAGAGATTGTCCGCATCTAGTACCTTCTCTACAACATTTGCGTCCACAACAAAGAGAAGATCTGACAGCTGGAGTAAAACTGGCAGCGACGCTGAACTTTGGGCAGCTCGCACAAGCTGAGAATGTACCGGCTTCCTTGACCGGACTTGAGGCCATGAGAGGCCGTCCCCATGCTTTCAACATGCACTTCTTGGAGCAAACACTAGACGTCGCAGGAGCAGCTGGTCATGTGACGCACGGATATGCGGCCAAGCTGATAGAACCGGTCTTCGAGTCTTATAGGATAGCCCACGATGTTGCACAAAGTATCTTGAGACATGGAACCAGTTTGAGGGTTGGCTATGATCTCGTTCTGAAACATAAAGTTCGATTTCTCGAAGCCGCCGGATGGGCTGAATCGGCATTTCTGCACGTCGGCAAAGCAGAACATAGAGCACTAATGCGACTGCTGTGTATTGGAGGCGCCTCAAGCGTCGACGATGCGAATTTGATATATAAGACATTTCATCACGGTCTTCTCGACGAGGAGCGAGAGTTACTAGTCGAAGGGCTGAATCGTGATGGTTCGGCTCAGCATCCTGCAATTCAAGCAACATACATTCCTGCGATGTACCAGATTGCCATACAGAACACTAGCACTGGATCTGACCTTGAGAAATACCGAGCGTTGAGTGCGGTCCTTCGATATCTGGCCAAGCTGTTGCGTGTTGACGATGTGGAGGCTGGTAGACTTTTTCCAAAAGTCATGGGGATAGAGCGGGATGTGCGAGCGAAGCTTTGGGAACCCCTTATTTCAGATCGGTTCCGGCAAGCTCCGAACATAGTTGACCGAGTTGAGCTGCCAGAATTTGGTCCTGGGATGGGGGTGATGTAGGATATCTTCGACCAGTAGTCCCAGTCTCGGGAGGACTTCGTTTCTCAGAAACAGGTTCGCGATATCTTATCTGCTTCTCGGGATGAGACTTGCGACTTTCTGGAGTAACAACTAGATCAACCAATGGAAAGCGCTCCAAGTTCTTCTCATGTGCTCTGAATATTCTTTCGTCCATGAGTCCGTCCACAACGGCTTCACCGACTATTCGAGTGTAGTTCCCGTCTTTGCGAAGGACATAAGGTGTTCGTGCACCTGGTGCGACTGCTATCTCATCTCCCAGCTGTGCCGTGCATGGCCCGAAGCCCAGTAGACCGTTTTCTGTACAGAACATCCTGGCGGTCGCTGATGGTGAAGAGTCGATGGGTCCGTCTACGTCCACTTGATTGGCTAACTCTGTCAGCTCGTGCAAAAGAAGGAACACTTGGTGCCTAATTACACCCTCTCGTGAGCCTAACGACCGGTCTGGATACTGTCTAGTGGGCATAATAAGCTTGCATTGAGGCATTGTTGACAATCGTTGTGGATAGTCTCCAGACACCGGGTCATCTATGTCTATCAATGGCCATTCTGTGGGCGTGAAATGCTTGTATTGAGCCATGATAAAAGCACTGAGCCACCTATTAGGCCCCAGTACTGTGTCGGTGTCATTTTCCTCGGAGAAATTTTGAATGAAGTATTGAAACCAGTCCATGGGAGTAGTTGTAGTGGCAGAGGCGTACATGGTAAGGAGAAACCTCCAAAACGACAAATGTGACTTTGTCGTCTTGGACTCTGCTGAAAGTTCACGCAGTTCAGACATAAGCCCGATGTCTTGGCATGCTCGAGACCATGAATCGCAGTGTTGGTGGCTATCTTCAGTGTTCCAGTCGTGGGGGGTGTGTTCCATCTCTCGGTATGCTTCAGGATGACCCTTCATGATGCTTTCCAGGTCGGTTCTCAGCATGAAGCCAAGACCATGATACAACACAAGTTCTAGCGGAACATCCTGGGTAGACCATGACATATGTCTTATGGTTCCCGGGTAAGCAGGGTCCTTCACTCGGAATATTGTATGCCTATTGTCCCGGTCCGCAACCCTGAAATATCTCCCCTTATCGTCCGAGAGTCGAAGATATCTCCCGAGATCGAGCGAGGTCTTGACCGTTTCTGTGCTTCCGTTGTTCGTGCGTCGCTCAAAGGTGACATCTAGAATCGGTCCAAGTTCCCCAACATACACCGTTGGCTCGCGCAATGACGCAATTTTGGCATGATCCATAAGTCCGGTGCCGAGCGGATTCAACTTGCCATCTACCAACCCCAAGTGCTTGTTGAGATCGATGACTACACGTTTGCGAGACTTTCCTCGAGGCCTTTTCTCATAGGGACGACTCGAGATTGAGAAGATTTCTAGTAACAGGAACTTATCAGAGGTGGTCGAGGTGTAAAGGTGAAACTCGAATGCAGGCTTTGAAGATTGTTTTCGCACCGCTACGTCGTACCGAGAATTTGATCTAGTACGCTTTGGCTTCTCGGCTTCAATAAAGCGCAATAGGTCAAGTTCGAGACAGAGTAGCCTTTGGAGTAAGTCAGCGATTTTGTATGTTCGAGAAATATGGCGGAAACAATGGTCGAAGATGCTCGAGTTCCGACGAGAAGAGGGTTCAGAGAGTACGAGGTCGTTGAACAGAGATGAAGCCCAGAGAGCATGACTAAGAGATAAGCCTTGAGGGTCGCTCCTCTTGCCGTTTAGCTTCTTCAGGTGTTGAAAACAGTCCGAGTACGTGTTTGTACCGGCAAGAGTTTCCGAGTGGACGTAACGTATTTGATCAACATGTATGCCAAGTACACTGAAGATTGAGCTCGAGTCCCATATACAGCCTCGACTGTTGATGTCGCTCCAGTGTGGACATGCAACGAGAGGTAAAGTCAACGGGTAAGCACATGGAAAGGGAGATAAAATCAACGTTCCATATCTTGACCTGGAAATCCAATCCAGTCCTATGAGACGATCCTGTGAAGGCGGCGCGGAGAAGTCTGGTATCCATGGATGATCTTCGAAGCTGTGGGGCCAGGCCTCAGTCAAAATGTCGAGCGTGTGTTCTTGCATTATGTTGGAGAAGACAGCTTCTGTGCAGACCTGTTCGACCGCCCTGCTGTAATCGGGTACGACGTAATATTTATCAGGTTTGTCGACGAGACCAAGAATTCCAAAGACTTTGTCTCGAGGATCACTTGCAACTCTTGCTTGTGTTCTCAACAACCAATCTCTCAGAGAGTTCGGAAGGGGAGTCCCAATGTGTCCCTGTCTTATCGCTCTCAATGAAGCGAGCGCGATCGAGAACGCGCTGTCCATTTTTCTACTGTCTCGGGCTACTATTCCCACCTTGCGCTCGCGAGGAACTGTGACAACACCCGAGATAGTTTCGAAGATGTCGACAAACTGTGTCCAAGACATTTCGACGTCACCATATAAGACGGAGACGACTTTGGATACTACAATCTCTTGTACCGTCCAAGTTCTCCGCCACCACGCCTTTGTGCCGTGCATAGTCAAGGTGATGATGATATTCAAGTCGGAATAAGTAAAGTCGTTAGAAGCGGGTTCTCCAAGCCAGACTATGACACTGCAAGCGGAATGATAGATGTCGCACATCTTGCCGATTTGCGCGTTACGCTCCTTCAGATTCGGCTGGTTGATGCATATTGCGTCGATCCAAAGCAGTTTCGTTGATTCCTTTCCGCGCAGCCGCCTCAGTGCGTTGAACAAATTATCTGTGACCTCGTAGTTCAAACCACACAATACAATTCTTTTGCCGGAGAAAGGACCCCAAACATAAGACAGTGCCTCATAGTCTCCATTGGAATCTTCATGAGGAGATTCGAGCTGACGCGTGAGAAGCTCACAGCACACATCCTGGTCAGACGTTCCGGGTAAAATTCGCATCAATCGGATTTGCTTTGAAGAATCCTCGAGGCGGACATCAGGGTAAGGGTTATTGCGGATCTGAGAGGCGACATAATCCTGTGTATGATCGATTTGTGCTTCAGCACTCGCGGCTGTTGACATGATGAAGCATCGATTAGGAGATTCGTTGGCGTTCAACAACCGTAGGTCAAGGGGTTCGAGGGGACGACTGCGGTAGACTCGGCCGACTTCAGCACAGCAAGCAACCTAAGTGTCACTTGGGCGGCGATGAAAGCGTCGGATGAGGACCGGATGGTTGCGGAACAAATGTGTTGGCAAATGAAGTGCTGACCACTCGTGGCGTTGTCACACTTCAATGTATTACATGATCGACGCACAGCCCGACCTCACGCTGCGCAATCACGATCAACAGTAAGACGATCCATTCGGTTTTGGCGAGGTCCAAACGAATGGCAGGAGTCCGAAAAATATGCCGAGGCAAAAATCTTTTCCCGGAGACAAGCTTGCCATTTACAATCGGCATATCCACAACGAAGAGCCTCAAAGCACTTTGAATCCCATCTGCGAACGTATAGCGGGTCCCATTTCATGACCAGGTGACGAGGATGACGCCGGTGCAACCCATCAGAAGAGACATCAAGGGCCGAAACAGAATTTCACCGGGCATATCGTCAACTACGGAGTGCCAGTCCATGGCGCTGCTTCCGAGAGAGGTATATCCATGTCAAAGTCGCTGCCGAGACGGGCAGCGTAGCTGATTCCATGGTGAATGCCAGAACTATAGAGTTGACCAAGGCCAAACAACAGAGCCGGTTTGGATCTTGAAAGGTTGAGCACAGCGGACGGATCTTGCAAAGGTGGTCGGGGAGGCGGCGCTTGCAGGTGGGCAGTGCAGCCAAGCAAAGGGCTAGGAATCGAACGATGTGCTGTCAGACATCACTCCTTCCCACCGTCAACAACAAAGTACCTCCCCACCTTCTTCCTCGCAGCACCAAGCACATCCCAGGTCTTCGCACTCTCCCCCTCCTCGATCCTGTCCTGATCCCTCCTGATTCTCCTGTAATATGTCCCCTTGACCTCTTCCTTCTCAAACGCGTCTTTCAAATCCTTCATCCCAATCTCTTGCATTTCAACCCCAGCAGCAGTCTCATCCCGTAAACTTTGCAATGGCGTGAGGCCAGAAACATGGACTTTGCGAATCTCGTTTACAAAGTGGAGATGTGAGGATAGTGAAGATAGCATTTTGGCTTCTTCTGCTGCATCTTTTGGAGGTGGGAGGGCGGAGAGGCGGAGGAGGTGGTGAAGCTGTTTGGAGGAGATTGTGGGGGTGGAGGTTGAAGGAGTTGATGGTGGGAGGAGGGAATCGAGGGACCAGGTTGGTGTTGCTAGTAGAGCTTCGACGTCGATTTTTGGCGGTGGGGTGTGGAAGGCTGGTCGCGTGGTGTGGAGGTGTGCATGTTGGATGCGTGTGCGCAATGTGTTTGTGAGGGATCTAATAGGTGGCATTTTTGTGGTTGTGATGTTGTTCTTTGCGTGGGAAAGAAAGATGGTTATTCAGATGTTCACATGCTTGAGGGCTGGAATTGCTATCAAGCGCACAGCGTCTTCTTATCCAGCGTGCGCACTCTCCCGACGTTCGAGATTGCCAATACCAGCTGTCTGGGTGCACGATGTTCTTGGGATTTTTAGAAGAATCCACAGAGCTCCTTTACTGGACAATGATTGACTGCTCAACAATCCGGGCAATCTCTCAGCTCGATTGTTGTTCGCGACTACGGTTCGAGGCTCCAGACGCTGGGTTGGAAAGCTCATACTGTCGATATCAGCGGCCAATCACGGCTTGGCACGACTCCGGGGTACGTCAGCGCCGAGTGGCAGCTGCCCGAATACCAACAAGGTGTTGCTGTCTCCTAAACATTTCCCGTACTCTGAAAACACACCCCCAACATACAGCAGAAGCCACCTAATCATGGCTTCCTCACTCACAGCTGAGAATGACTTGCTGCAGAAGGTGATTACCTCTATCTTTGCGACGCTCCTACACCTCTACGTTATAACAACATCCCACTAACATGCGCTATCCCAGGCCATCAAGCAAGAAAAGAGCGCTTCAGGCGGCTTCTCCTTCTTCGGCGGCCGCGGCGAGAAATACGAAAAAGCCGTCGAAATGTACCGCGCCGCCGCAAACGCCTACCGCGTAAAACTGACCTCCATCGACGACCCGGAAGTTACCTCTCTCGCGATCCAACAAGGCGGCAGCGCTCTCGAAGCCGCCGCGAGAATCTGCACAGAAAACCTGGAAGAGCCTTTGGATGCGGTAAACCTTTACAACGAGGCTTTCAAGTTGTATCATGAGGTGCAGCCGGAAAAGGCCGCCACTATGTTGGAGATGGCTATTGGCAAGCAAAAGCAGTTGGGAAGATGGAGACCTGCTGCTACGAATACCGAGACGTTGGCCACACATTATCAGCAAGTCTTGGGTAACAATGCGAAAGCCATCGAGGCATACAAGGATACCCTGAAGTGCTACAAGCAAGATCCTGCTCCTGCGTGAGTCTCCCCGAAGTGAAAAGATGGTGCATGACAATGCTGACTGACCAACACCAGACTCGAGAACAAAATCACCCTCGCCCTTTCAGACTTGCAAGCACTAGAAAGCGACTACAGAAGCGCCATCGACGGCTACGAATCCGCAGCAGACAAAGCCCAAAACAACAACCTCCTCGCCTGGAACATCAAAAACTACCTCTTCCAAGCCGGAATCTGCCATTTAGCCACCGGTGTAAGCATCTTCTCTTTTCCACCCACCTCCTTTCTTCCTCCCGCCCACCTCTTCCCTCTCTTCCCCGTACATATCTCTTCTAACTCCTTTTCTCCGCAGGACATGGTAGCTACCTCCCGCGCCTTTGACGAATACCGCTCCAAACACGCACAATTCACCTCCACCCGCGAATTCCAACTCCTCAACGATCTCAAAGAAGCCGTGGAATCCGGCGACCAGGATGTTTTCGCAGACCGTCTGTTCCAATTCGATCAGATGCAGAAATTGAACAAGTGGCAGACCACCGTGTTGCTGAGGATCAAGGAGAAGATTGAGAGTCAGGATGAGGATTTCTCTTAGTCGTGTAGGAGGGGTGATGGTGGGGAATTGGGGCAGGGAGGGTGGAGGGAGGGACGGATGACAGGGTGATAGATGGGCGTTTTTGTCTTGCTTGGGTGGGGGTTTGATATCCTTTGTAGTGAGTGAGTGTGGCCTGTCGTTGATATTGACAGATCGAATGTCGTTATCATTTTCCATTCACACACTCTCTGTGTTGAGTGTTTCATACTCGTGAATGTAGAAATGCACGATGACGGTTGTGATTGTGGATTATGACTTTCAAGTCTCAAGCCCAATCCTTGACTCTCATCACTGGTAATGTACACAACGACATGTAGGAAGCAAAGCCGCGGTGTCATGAAACTATTCGCTCATCTACACGACGACACTCAACCTTTTATTATCCATCTCTGTTCATGGCTTCTTCTCACCCTCTCGAGGGCTTTCACTTCCACCCTGGCTGGCTCCGAATAAACCTAATCCCCACCAAGCCTTTTGTGGTGCAACATCTGTCTTTGCTTCGTTTTTGATGTGTTGGATCTCTGTCATTGCTTCATCTTTTGCTTCGTTCAGGTGTTGTTTTACTTCTGCGCCGATGGATTTGTTGTTGTTGATGTCTGGTATAGAGGGGTCGTGGGATGTTGGGGGGCTGGAGATGGAGAGATTAGTTGGGTAGGTGGAAGGTAGGATGGGAGGGTCAGAGGAAGGAGGGTTGCAGAGATGGGATGTAGGGTGGAGTGAATGGAGAGATGCAATATGGAGAGAAAAGACACGAATTTGATAAAGAAAAAAGGATGATGTTGGAATAGAAAGAAAGCAAAGATCTCTTTGGACGACGATGAAAGGATATCCCATATGTAGAATGGTGATGGAACAAGAACGCGGGTTTGAAAGTCGTGTAGAGGAAAACATCACTTACATGGCACCACCATGTTGCTCTTGGAATTGCTCTACATTCTTTCCTTCTCTTTCTGCTGCTTGTTTTTGAAGTTCTGGTTGGAATGCTGCGAATGCTGTATACATGATTTAGTATCAGTACTCATATTCAACTTCACCCAATCTCGCAGAGGATGCCGAAGGTTGAAAAGGTTGAGATCGAGACTAACCAGTGGCTACACCACAAACGGTTGCGAGGACTGGCGCAATTGCTCTATTCATTATTGCCGTGTTGTTCAATTGTTCTTGTTCTTGAAAAACATCAAGGTCGAAATTCGATGATGCTTGAGATGTCAAAGTCTTGGCGAAACGGAGGGATCGTGACGTCGCTGGATTTCCGTCGCGTGCACGGCGCGTTCGCAGCTCAAATTACTGGAACGCGGTCTAGACGCGTCGAACAGCATTCATCGTCGAAAAGTCATTGTTTGATTCAACAGCATACCTTATGGACAAGACATGAAGGCGAGGTCAAATGAGCGAATGGAGAGATCGAGGTTATGTCCTGGACTCGGATGAAGAGGATGTTGTTCTGGAAGATAAGGATATCAGCACGCCGACGACAGCCGTAACACCACTACGAGAAGCTTCTCCGGAACTGAATGATGATATCGGACCTAGACCCGTCAATGAAGAGACACTGGAACCCGAGGCGCGAACAGCGGACAACCCTGGGCCCTTGTCGAGTCTTGCGACAGACACAAACCACGCGAAAGAGGATCAAGGCGACCAGGAAGAACAACACGAAAATGGTGAAAGAAGACTGGACGGTAGTATACCAGACTTTATCAACAACTCGGTTCCAGGAATCGTCGAGGCTTCAGAAGAGACGGACAACCGGGACAAGACTTTCGACCTTCCACAAGACGATTCAGAGGCACAGCAGAATGCACATCAGCAACCTTCGGCAGGGCAACCAATAGTCTTGATCACCCAGCCTAGAAGAGCAGAATCGCCTCCAGAATCTACCAATCGAAATGTGAGAACGTACAGCCGGAAGTTCAAGCTAGGAGCGTTGAAGAGGATCAAGAGCACGATTGCCACTACGGAGCATGCCGGACAAGAAGAAGAGAAGGATGATGGTTTCACGGACATCGATGCATTGGTTGGAGGTGATGATGTTGAGATGTATCAGGCGCCAGTGTCGACGGAGCCGTTGTTCGCACCTTCCCAAGTCGGGCGTCGCATGTCAAGTTCGAGTTCGGATCTGTCAGACGTCGACATGCAGGTGCTCTCGTCTCCTCAGCCCTTCTTTGGCCATCTTTCAAGCACGGCAAGAACGACCAACCCCGCTCCGAATCTTGAAGACCGCCCTGAAAGAGCTGAACTAGAAAGTGCCATCAACTCTCTCACCGACCAAGACCTTGCTGCTCTTGCTGCTCAGCAACCTCGACGCAACCTCCGAACACGCAAAGCCATCCAGCTGCATCCATATCTCATAGAAGTTGAACAATACCGCCGCTCTTTGAAAGCTCGGGGACTTCGTCCGATCCACGTCGCTACCAGTAGTCAACGACCAAGAGACCAAGATGATTCACAAGATGCCGAGTTCCTTCAAGAAGAGAGTAAACCACCTCGTCGTCCAGCACAAGAGACTCAAGAGTCGACGCCACCAGACTCTTCTGCCTCTCCTTTACGTCAACAACCTCTACATCTCGACCCCGACCTCATGGACGATGACGATGACTTCCCTGACCTTGATGATGCCGTTCGCAGACATGTGATGGGTGGTACTCAGATAGGCCACAAGCGCCGCAAGACGTTGCAGACTCCTCACAATGCACTCAATACCCGCCCTCCGCCTTCTTCTACTGCCGGTGCGAGAGGAAAGCTCAAGTCTCTGCATCTCGCTCGAACCAATTCAGACATAGTGAGGCCTGCTTTACCAGATCTTTTACCGCCCTCTCCTCCGAGAACGTCCAGTTCCTCCAACTTGGAGCCTACACCTGCCGGTCCACCTCGCTTCAGGCTTCCACACGGTCTGACTCCTGCCGCCGTACCAACACCGCTCCCCTCTTCACCTGAGAGACCGACCTCAATGTCAGCGAGACGTCCTCGCCAAGTTGTTATATCCTCTGATGATGAAGTTGCCAGTGAGAACGACGTTGCTGCAAACAAGAGTTCCTCGGAGGAGTCAGGGCATGACGACCGGCAACTCTTGCGCATGCGAAGGAAGATCCGAGGTGTGTTGCCCGCATCGTACCTCAAGCTGGACAGACAAGCTCGGCCACGGTCACCGTCTCCTGCAATCACAGAGGCTCAGACGGAGACACCACGGCCCACTGCTCCTGTGAGAGGTGTGGCTCAACGAAGACTCACTAGTCGCTCTGCCACACTAGCGCGTCAGAACAGCTATGTCGTCTTCTCTGACAACTCGGGATCTGAGAGCTCGGCTGGAGAACGTCCTGCTTCACGTCTGCTCCAAACTAGGCTGCCGTCACCTATTACCAACAGACCTTCCGTCCAACGCCCTCAACTCTTGGAATTTGATGAACATGACGAGATCGATGCCATGTTCCCAGCCGAAGAGAGAGCACACTTCAGACTGCCAAAATCCCGAAAGAAGCAGTCCAGAGTTACCGACATCTTCTCAAGTGAGCAGAATCGGTCAAAACAATCTCGCACTGGTCACAAGCAGACAGCCTCTGGACCTTCAGCAGCCCGCAAGGCCAAGCCACATGCTCAATCAGGCTCCAAGGGGAGGAAGAAGGCTCCAGCAAAGAAGCCAGTGCAACTTAGCATTCTAGATGCCACCGCCAATCCCGTACCAACGTCCCCTCAAGCAGTCGCTCGGCCCCAATTCGTTCGCCTAGCTGCTAGACAGGCTCGCCATCGATCCGATCATGGCAGACACAGTCCAACCAACAAAGATATCCGGCTGGCGACAAGAGAAGACACGCAAGACGCGCTCGAACCGTTGATCTCGTGGCGGACAGGCAATTTCGGCCGCAGTTATATCCCTCCTATACGCCGACCTGCACGCTCGGTCAGTAGTGTGGCTGATGTTCTGAACGCAAGTGAACCTGAAGCCTCGAAACCCGGATCACGCTCTCCTGAGCATCGTCCGATAGTTCGAAGACCCGGTGAACCGCGGCCAAATCTATTCGCCAAACTGGCACAAGCCAAAAAGCCACGAATGAGGGACTTTGAAACACGAAAACGCAATGCTCGAAACACTGTCTTGCAGAATCAACGAAAGATGCTCGAACGCGATTATCGTATGCGGCCTGCTCAGATCGAGACCATAGCTCAGACTAGTAATCGTGACTTGGACCCTCTCACCTTTGCAGCTCCTCCATCTCGATTGATGGAAATCTTTTCTCGAGATAGAGGGGAACAATCGGCCTCGAAGTTTCGTCTTGAGCGCTTCTTGAAGGATAAAGAACCTTCCGCAGAGAGTGCTGCTCCAGCCCAGATGCAAGAGCTGGACACGGACATGACCGGTACTGGTGACGTTCAAATCCCCCACCGAGCCCGCAAAAGATTCGCTCGCCGTTTCGATGTCGAGACCGCTCAATTTCGGCAACCAGATGAGCCATTGCCTGTCGATGTTGTTTCAGTGCCGAATGCAGAGCCGGAACCTGTTTCTGCAGATGCACCTCCTATGGCCGAGATACTTCAAGGCCTTGGGCCATTCGGTACACGATACCCCACAGACTTTGATATAAGGCCTCTCGAACTTGGCACTTACTTTGCCGCCAGCACATTCGTAGGTAGTGGAGACTTCAATGATTGCTTAACGTTGCGTAACCGTGACCTTGACCTTCCGGCTGGTCGAATCACAGTTGAGGTTACAGGTCGCTCGCTTCAATGGAGTGCCTGGGACGAGGACGTCTCTACCGGACTTAGTGAGGTCCTTGCTGCTTGTACAGAAGACCTCCATGCTGTAGGCGAATTTGAAGGTCACGAGATGCGAAGGTCTGCTATGGACGACACCACGGCAAGGTTTGGCTACTTCTTGCGATCAGTCGTAAGATACATTTCCGGATGTCTTCACTTCCTCGACTCTATCGATCGACCTGCTGGGTTGAACCGCATCTCTTGCTTTGTCAATGACTTCCTGGATATGGTCAAATCAGAGACAAACCTCCTCATGTCACATGCAGATATACAAGCAGATGTTGAAAGACTCATTGTGGACTCGACACTATACTTGCTCTGCATATCTGCACAATGCGTACGGATATCACAACATCCCGCTGTGGATCACAGGACTCAAGAAGCTCTTTCGGACAAATGTGTTCAACTGAGCAGAAAGCTGATCCCAGTCGCTCTGCCACCTAGATTTACAAGACTGCGCGAGTTTCTGGAATTGTCTCGACAACATACTGAACGCGACGCTGGTATCCAAGAACAAGATCTGGCTGTCAAATCTGTTGTGACCATCAATCACGTTCTCAAGGCAATTGATGCATCTGCCAAGCTTCCCGAAATCTTGACTGCTTATCTGGATTGTACAATCAGCAAGACTTGCAATATACATTCGCTCGACCAGATCTGGTATGATGTCTTCTCGGTACAACCCCTTCTCGAGATAGATGCAAAAGGCATCTATCGTCCCAAGTCACGCTTTCAAGCAGGCAACGACGGTTGGGAACTCGTCAAGTCATTGCTGCAGCGCACATTTGAGCTCTACCCTGCAACAAGCAAGCTGCGAAAGCCGACACTCAATGACTACGTTCGAGCATGTCTGATTAGAGTGCATCACCTGATCGTTCACTGGGGTTGGCATCGATGCGAAACTGCTCTTAGTACGATATACGATTTCTTCGCCCGACACAACCTCTCCCAACTTCGTAATGAAGAAGGCAAAGGCTCACCCCATTTCCTTGAGGATCTCGACAAGAATCCGGAAATTGCGCTCGATCCGTCGGATTGCGCTTTCCACATATTCCTCAAGCTGATCGTGATCGGGTTGCGAGGTTTGCAAGAAGCGCTTCCGAAGAACAAAGTCCGCGGCTTTGCTTGGAGGTTCATCCCCAATCATGGCCGCACGTATCGAAAAGACCAAGAAGTGACGCACGACGCCCTTGACGCCTTGCGCAATCACCACGACTTGCTCTGTACTCTTTACTGGGTGATGCCTCCGGGATGTGGACCTCGTTTGCAGATGATCAAAGATCTGGTAGATCATGAAAACTCGCATCGTGAAGCCTGTCGCCTCAGTGTTCATGCTTGGAGCATGCTTGCTCGCTATCAACTTTCGCAAGCTGAACCCTTCAAAGACTCAGATGTACTAGCGTCGTGGTTCAAGGACATGGCCACTATCGCTTCATCTCAATACAGACTTGCAAGGTCGGAAGCTGAGGCAGAGTATGCTTCTGAGAAATCCAAGGGATCGTTCGACATTTCACCTGACATGCTGGAGACCATCATCACTACCAACCAACGAAGCATTTTTGCTATCCTGCAAGATCTACTCTTGGCAATGCGCAACTCCGTTAAGACCGCAAACTCGTGGCTTCCAGTCCGCCATGTCTTCGAACAGTCGAATGTGATTGAGGTGCTGAGGATATATGACATCAATCAGCCGAGACTTTCTGTCGCCATTGTTCAGGCACTTGAGATCGTGGAGGAGCTGCTGCTCACTAGGAATAGGCTTATCAAGCCGGTGCCACAAGAGAGTCAGCCAGGTAGTGATGACAGTCAGGACTATGGTGACTGGTCTTTCATGGATCAAGTTGTCGAGCAGGAGCCAGAAACTTCAGCAGCAAAAACATCAGAGGTAGCCTTCCTTCAGGAACCCCTCGGCGAACTCATGTCCACGTGCTTCGGTTCTGAGAAGAGTCCTGACGACGCATTGTTGAAGAAGATTGTCGACGTCTGGACCACCACTGCTCAGCAATCTGTACGAGATGGCTCTCATGACTGGTCAAATTTCTTGGACACCTACAGCACAACTTCGTGGTTCCAACTTCGAGACACGGAACAAAGACACAAGTACACTTGCTACTTCCTTGCTTCTGTCATCAAAGGCGACAAGTCAAGTCTCAACGACCATCGCAATCTGTTTATGAAAGCATGGTTCGTGTCGTTAATGGAGCGCGAGTCCATGCTCAAGTTCCAGCATCGGCTTACAGCAAGCCTTTTGGAGAGAGCAACGTCAGAGCCTCTTCTGAACAACCTGCCGTTTGCAGCCAACCCCGAGACTGGAGAGTACCGTGTCACCTTGAGTGAACTCCGTCAGAGGCGCACTAGCCTGATCAGCAGTGTACTGTCAAATATGCATGCTTCTCTGACTCTCGACTTTCCTTCAACCATCTCGGAACGGAAGAGAGAATATGTGGATATGCTCAAGGCTGCTATGCAACACATGCGACAAACATACGAGCAACTTCAAGACTTCTCTGGCCGGCTTGGTGGGTCATCTCACTCCGAGCTCGAAGGAGCGTACGTCAAATTCGTCCAACAAGTCATCTCGTCGATGCAACAATACACTTCTGAGATCTGTCCCGTCGATCCGTTCTTTGTGGACTCGACTGCTTTCCCGCTCCCGCACGAAGACCCAACGTACGTCATCTCAAGACTCAAGAGCTACGTATTCAAGCTGGGAGATGGTCGGGCTCGCAAGCAGCTGGCTGTCTTTGTGCAAACAGTGAGCGAACGAGCTGCGTCGGATGGTCAGCAGAAGTATCTTGAAAAGCAAATGTACGAAGCTCTCGCTGGCAAACCATCCCGGGGGCTCAGGAACGTCATGGTCACGGCTTTGCTACCTGCCTACATCTCATGTACAAACACCTCATCACGCGGTTGGGTTTTGGCAACACCGCTCGTCGATGCCATGTCTGTGGTCTTTGATAATATGACATGTGACCTCGAGCTTTGTGACCAGGAAGGTGTGGATGCGGACGTTGGCGCCGTCACCTCAGTGCTCGCCACGGCGTACAATTGGGCCATCACAGTCACTCTCGAACCTGCGACGCTCAACGCTGGACTTCTACGCCTATTCTCAGCCATGTTCGGACTTGTAGAAAATAGTCTGACATTCATCGAGTACGTGAATCGTGTCACAGGCAGAGCAAATCAAGCTATCGAACTGTTTTGCAGCTTCAGGACCTTGGCAGACAAATTCGTCATGCAGATCACAAGACCATCTGCGTCTCCATTAGATCCTGATGAGATGCAGGACGACGAGTTCAAGAAGTCTGAAAATATGGCATGCGCTTGGCAAGACACACTAGACTTTGCCACGCGTAGTCTATCCGAAGCACTGAGTCGATATCCACAAAAGGAATGGACGACTGATCTCCAAAGCTTCGAGGCCGAAAAGACGAGACTGGTGGATGCGGTTGAGATGTTCAGAGGCAGTTATTCGCGTGTCTTGGGTGTGCGAGATGATGTAGTTTCAGCTATCGTTGATGAGGATGAGAACGGTGGTGATGATGAAGAAGGAGACAGGCAAAAGCAGGAAATGCAGAGGGCTAGGCTTGATGATGTTATGAGACGAATGGAAGGCTTGGGATGGCATGGGTTGATGTAGATGGCTCTTGCTAGATGGGAAGATGATGTTATTGCTAATCTCGAATGAGACTATATTTTCAACGTTGACATGTTCTGGTGTGTCAGTCGGTCCCAAACCTTTGTGAAGCATTATATCGGCAGTACAAACATGATGCTACCATGATACTGAACTGAGCACAACCTCTATGGTAGTATTATCTTGATGACAAGGCAACGAGGAAAACATCTGGAGTGTACGATTGATACGTTTAGTTGACCCCGCGGTAGCTGTAGTAACAGCATGTATGTGTAGAGATGACCACGGCGAGGATGCAGAATGGAAGTTGTTTAAAGACAGGGTTGCCCCTATAACTAACTCTTATCAAACGAGAACGGAGTGTAAGCAACGGCAGCGATGGGTCAATTGACAATCAATCCTGTATGTTTTCAGACGTGTAGAGCCCCCGTTTCAAGTGTTACTGTAGGTGACTCGGTCATGTTTGGCTCGGAAGTTGCTTGCTGAATAATCAAAAATTTGTGATTTTCGTTCTCGAGTTTCTGGAAGCGGAATCAGTGAGGAGGATGTTGGGTTTGGCTTTTGTGGAAATCGAGGAGTAGGGGCGAAATAATGTCGGGATGGATGTGTGGAATGGATGGTTATGGGGTAAGATGGAAGATTGTATGTGTCAAGCATATGTTCAAGGGGTGGAAGTATATCTCGATAGTGTTGATGGGGGTGTCGTGACATGAAGCACTTGTGGAGGTGGAAGTGATGATATTTTGAGACAGAGTGACCGCCAGAGACGTTCCACGAGAACGTTCGTCAGAAAGAGTGGCGACATGGACTTGGCCTTGTTTGAAACAGTTTGGTTTACAGGTGGATTGTAGGAATGGATGAAGCAGCTGAGCGCACTTCACAGAGCAGATAAACAAGACATTCGCATTTGTTGATATAGAAGAAGCAGATCAAGAAAACTACAAAAGAAAGTCAAGATGAAGCAGCAAACGAACAAAAGGCCACGATCCGCTCCGTGAGAATTGATGAGGCAATCTTCAACAGAACCCAAACATGCGATAGCTCACTTCGATCTCACAGGGAGTTGTTGCTTCCTACTCGCAGAAGGACTGAACGAAGGTCCAAAATCCTCCTCCTCATCTTCTTCTTCAGCGTCTTCAGTAATAGTCTCTTTGTTGATGTTTCTCGGCGTCTTCGCCGGATCACCCCAACTCATGGAAAACCTGGGTGCTCCCCCGGCAGGTTGTGCAGGACTATTGGACAGAGCATAGTTATTCTGGAAAGGATTTTCGCCCTCATCGCCAACACTGCCATGGGATACAATACTAGCCGATCGCATCTTTTTGAGTAAATTGGTGAAGTTGGAGCCGTGAGCGGACATGCGGCGGGCACTGCTGTCTTTGTCGATGGAGTTTAGACTGGTGCTGATGAAATTGTCGAAATCTTCTTCGCGGTCGAAAAGGCCAGTGGCGACGGATTGGCGGCGCATGTCTTGAGCGCCCATGCCTGACATTGTGGAAAGACGACGGAGCGTCTCATAGCCGGTGGGGTTAGCGGCGGCCCAATTGAAGACGTCGCGGCACATGTCTTGTAAGTCGAATTCAGCACGCCAGTCCAAATCCGAGGCTGCCTTATCTGGGGAAGCGGTGACGGTGCCGAGATCGCCTGCGCGAGCTTCACCGACTGCGAAGGGAATGGAAGTTCCAGCGGCGTTGCTGAAGGCTTTGATGATTTCCAGTACTGAGTATCCTCGTCCTGTGCCTAGGTTGTAGACGTTGTAGTTGGCAACAGGGTCTTGGCCACCGAGTTCTTCACCTTCAGGGACGGCATCAGGTTGCTTTGTAGCTTTGCGCAGTGCTGCTAAATGACCCATGGCAAGATCGCTGACATGAATGTAGTCACGAACACCAGTGCCGTCAGAGGTGTCGTAATTGGAGCCGAAGACATGAACACGACTGCGACGGCGTTGGTATGCCTGGAGAATGACAGGTACAATGTTGTTGGGCGTGCCTTTGGGATCTTCGCCGATCAAGCCGCTAGGATGAGAGCCGGTGGGGTTGAAATAGCGTAGTGAGATGGCATGGAAATTCGGGTCTGCGATGCAATAGTCGTTGATGATCTCTTCAGACATCCACTTTGAGCGGCCATAGGGATTGGTAAGCAAGCCACCACCCGATCCTTTGCCGGCGACTTGGACTGTGTCTTCTGTGATACCTGCTTCATGCCCGACGCCATAGACGACAGCACTTGAAGAGAAGATAAGTACATTGACATCGTGAGACTTCATAGCCTTGAGCAAGACGACAAGTGCAGCAACATTATTCTCGTAGTACTCGAGCGGCTTTGTGATGGACTCTCCCACAGCTTTGAGAGCGGCAAAATGGATGACTGCGGTAATCTTGCCCCATGTCGTCGGATCCTTCGTCTGCGGGCTCGGCTGAGCTCTCTTCGCAGGATTCATTGTATAGTCAAGCATAGGGTAAGCCTTGTTCGCGGAGACCTCACCGATGCTCACCGGAAAGACAGTTCCCTCGGCACGGATCTTGTCAGACTGCCAGAAGTCGAAAACTTGGTTCATTGACTTCGTGCTTCGGATGTCGACTTGGTGAAAAAAAATTGGAGGGACTTTGCTCACTTGACTGAGGCGTTGAGCTTCGGTACGGGCAATGTAGTGTACTCGGCAGAGAGATTCCATATGACTGTTGCACAGATTGTCGATGACCACGACAGCAACGCCAGCATTGAGTAGCTCGAGGACGGTATGGGAGCCAATGTAGCCGGCTCCTCCTGTGACGAGGCATACTGGGTACGACTTGATCTCCTCGCGAAAGCGATCTGCTCTCTTCTGGAGCGAGTCTTCAGCTGGCCGGCTGTGGGATGGCATTGTTGTGTTGACTGTCGTGTATCCTGAAGATTTGTGAAGGCTGCATCAATCGGTGAAGAGATTGGTGACATGTGCTGTTTGCCTTGCTGAAATGCCATGATGGATCCAGGGGCACATTCGCATCATCACAGACTACACAACGCGTCAGTTTCCACGTGCAGATCTGAAGCTCTACCGCGTTGACGGTACGTGCATGCCGTTACATGAAGGCCAAATCCTGTGGGATTGACTCGGAAGTCAAGCTGATGCTTCATCCTTTCGACCATAAAAGCCGCATCGTTGAGACGCAAAGCATGTCTCGGGTTTGCTTGTTCAAAACCAAGTCAATGCCGGCAATAAAAGGGTTCGGAGGGGTGGGTCTCCAGTCTACTGTTAAACGCAATGTGTCGGCCAAGTGCTTTCGTGGGTCAGATCCAGTTTTGCTTGTTTGAAAGTCACCGTCGTGATCGATTGCCGGTTTCGTGGTTGTACGCGCCACGCATGAGGAACTGTCACTTCTTGAGAAGGCCCATCTAACCACCGACATGGGTATTGTCAGACCAGAAGCCGATGATGATACTTCTCAATTTGTCGCGAGCGGCGTGCCAGCGTAGCCATCGTACGCAATGCTGTGACTTGAATGCTTACACTTTAATCATCAACATCAAAGACCCACTCGGAAAACTCAGAGCTTCGAGAGCTTCGGAGGCGTGTTTGATGATTGCTGAAGGAAGCGACGACGCGGATGAAGGAAGCACGATGCGAGGTTGTTCAAAAACACGTCGTCCCAGAATGGAAGGTGGGGCGAGATTCTCCAATCGCCGCTTTGTACGAGTAGCCCTGCGACAAACGCGCAACCTTGCTTTCTGCTTCATCACCGACCGTCTTGAGTTCGAGTAGCTGAAGCCTTTAGCGATTGATGCAAACAGCGTTATGTACACCTACTCATATATCTCGAAGCTCATTGGGAACGCAGGACCTGGTCGCCTTCTTGAAGGTCGCGACGCGTCATCAGTCAAGCGGTTCCTGGCTGCACGAGATTCTGTTTTGTGAGGGAAGATGTTGTATGATTTCACAATCAGGGTCACTTGTTGGATTCAAGTTTCAGCGGTGCAAGAAGCCTCCAGTGACCTGCAGCAAGTCAAGGTAGGCTGTTGTTAACTCTAAAATAGGCTTGCTTTGCGCGACTTATCACAACGACATGATCTGCCATAGTTCCCCTTGAGCTGTGCTCGCGGCTATGGGAAACATTCATCTGAACGTCATCACTGAGGTCGCGTCGTTACTCGGCTAGAGCATTGGCATACTACCGCTTCGATGAATTTTCGCTGCGGCATACCGATGGAGGCCGAGTTCACGCATTGCAAGCATCCAGATGCCAGATAATCATGGCATCCTTCTTTCAGCCATCTTTGACTGGACCGGATGTCGATGTTGCTCCTGGCACAAAATTTGCAATTGTTTGGAATGCAACGCTAAAGGGATCTCAGCTCACTCTTTACTGGTACCAAACCCTTGTCATCACAGTCGGGTGCACCTTCTTCGTCGTTGGGCTCGCAAACTTGATATTGCAATACACCCGAAAGAAGCGACGCTTAAAGAGGAACCCTTTACCGCCGAGCATCCAACGATTTCTCCAGCTTCCGAAAGCGTGGTTACGACCAAAAGAACCATCACCGAAAACACAAAAGGATGAACGAATTCTCGATGAGAAAGCACCGCTCAAGCCTCTGTTCTCTCCGCCCAAACTGTCCCTGGTCAAGACCTTTTGCGTATCCGAACATGAAATTCCTGTTCAACGGTTCCGTTCCAATTTCGACCTGCACGTTATTGGATTGACCGGGGAAAGGGTAGTCGAGTCAGCGCCAGAGCCTGTGCCTGTTTCACCTGTTGCGACTCAGAGCAATGGCGAGCGACCGCCATCCGAAGTGCAGAGTCCTCCGGAAAGCGCAGTCTCGTCCCGACGTTTGACTCAAGAGTCGCTAGAGAGCACCGCCCATAATACAGCTCGGGACTCAATGCACCCTCCCCGAGCGTCCGCCGACGTTCAAGATGCAGGCCAGACCCAGACAATCTTCTACGGCGCGCCGAAACCCACTGCAGGACTTTCAGGAAAGAGCATACAAGAGAGAGCTGCCTTGATCAACGATCTCCGTCTCAAACAAGGATTGCACGGTGTGGTGATACCATACGACGCCAGTAATTCTGCTGAGGAGATTAATGCGCTTCTTGAGGCGTTGGGAAGCCTCCATGTGTCGACTATTCTCATGGGCGATCCTGATTCGAAACTCCTCGAATCAATCCACTTTGGACTCATGGACGGCCTTATAGTCCAGAACGCCAGTGTTCTGCCTGATGGTCAACGTCGAGATTTCTTCCGGGCAGTACAAGTAAGAGAATGTGTCGCAAGGTGCAAGCGTCAGATGAAGCTTCGTCCTGAGTTTTTTATGGGTTTCCTCGAGATGTGGACAGTAAGGCCATCTGCAGCAACGCTTCGACGAGCTTTCAAGCTTGCAGACTTCTTCGGAGCTGTGATCCAAGCACAAGCGACTTCTCAGCACAACACTCGGACCGACATGTGCCTCAGCGGATTTGACTGGCTCAAGCGCCCTGAGATTGTGTATCTTCAAAAGTGTTGGATTGAGAATCCTGCGACAAAGGAGGTCTCGAGTCTCGACACTGGGAGCAATCATCTTGATGTTCAAAAGCTATCGGAGGTCCTCGGACCGGCAGAAGCACTCCTTGCACCGGCCCCCCTGCCTCCAGATCTGCTTTTGGTAAAGGGCGAACATTTGGAGACTGTCTTTAGCCCTGATTACGTTACGGATGCTCCGAGAAGGGACAGTATCTGGGACGTAGCTAGTTGTGGAGTGCCACTCTGCGAGCTTGGATGTTTTTACTTACGGGATCAGATTACCATGGAACACTATGAACGGATCTTGCAGACACAGCGTGGCTTGAAAGAGTTGAAAATGCTTCAAGTGTATGCAGACATCGAGATCATGTCGCTGTCCAAAACCATGAGCACAGCATTGAAACATTCTTCTCAACCAAAACTGTTGCAAGGAATGCTCGACTATCTTACCAAGGGCCGCCTGCGAATCTACAAAGGGTTGGATAGTGGTCTTAGTTTGCCCGATGATGGTGGACATTTGCTCGGTCTATCGGACAGCTACCAGGAACATGGGCATCGTGTCATTGACATATACATCTCTCTCAAGAATGTCCACGATGCGGCCACGATTTGGCACGTGTGGCTTGCTCGTCATGGCATACCGCGTCTGCAATGCTACGAAGAAGAACTGTTGTTCTTGCCAGGCGCGCGTCTTCCGAAAAGTCTACAGCAAGAGCTGAACCAATGCACGGAAGCCGAGTTGATCTCGATTGTTCAACAAATCAGACTGGCGAACACAGAGCATCCATTTAATAAGGTTATTATCGAAGTTTGTACTGCCCTGCTGCTCGAAGACAGTAGCATGACCACCTGGAAAGCCATACACTCCCGCGCTTGTCTCGATGACTCGATGAGCATGTCAGAGATCATTCAACTACGCCTCGAACAGTTTGCAAAACAAGGCGCCCACGAGCTGCCCCGACTAGATAGACTTGTTGAACTCTCTGAGCTTCTCGAACGAAAGCTACAAGACGCTTTATTCGCCACCGACAGATCCACCTTAAATCAGCTGTCAGGTCCCTTAGTTGATGCCTACAATTCTATCGGTACGGCTCGTCCGGCTGGATGTGTGCTCGACCTCTACGGGCTGATATACTTCTGTTCTTTACGGAAGCTCGCGTATGAGGACGTCTATCTCGAAACCACCGACAGATGTCCACTGTTCTTGCAACAACACGACCAAGCTGGAGTTTTCTCTGAACTTTGGGTTCTAGGCTCGCAGTGCGAGATATACTTTGGCATCCTACCGCGAACACTTGGAGAAATCACCTACGACAGGTATCATGAATATCTGACAGATCATCCGCCGCCACCCGAATCATGGGATGGCAAGGACGTGTTCACCGCATACTCGAACACAGAAGCTCGGATCAAGCTTGAAGGTCACGGTATCATGTCAGGTTCTGGGTCTCCTGTAGAGCTGCCGGGGCAAGCACCTGGCTACAAGCTGGACGAACCAGACTCAACGAAATATCTTGCTGACGCCGCCGGTGCGTTTGGTGCTCTCTCCATCTTCTGTTTTCCTGCTGTCATCGACGTTTTGTTGCTTTCATTCCTCGGCCGTGGCTTCTACTTGACAGCTTACATGGACAATGTGGTCGTAAACATGGCCAACTATGCTATTCTTACTGCACTCCTGATGACAGGTGGTATCACTGGCTGGGTGGGCAGTACTGGTGGCTTTTATCTCTTCAGCGTAAGTTCGGACTCGTGAGTAATCCATGGCTAGCTCTAACATGCACAGTTCGCGTTTGACAACATGGCGCATTTCATTGTTCAGCGTTTTTCAGCGGCGTTCATCCTGACCACAATCGTAGCATTCTGTGGCTTCTTCGCGTTTGGCGCCCAGGTGTCCTGGTTCGGTGGTTTCATTTTCCTCATCTACCTTTACGCCTTAACGACTTTCCTAAACTTACTTGGTAGGTCAACGCAATCCGTGCTCTCGACTGATGCTGACTATGTTGCACAGGTATGTTCGCTACGATGCATCGACTCGGCTGCCCTCTGACTTCTGGTCGCACTGCGATGTGGAGATGCATACCCATCCTTTTCATATCGCCAATCCTCACCACCTTCGTCAACGGCCATGATCTACTGATCTATCTCCTTATCATTTACACCTTCATCATAACGCTCCTTGTTACCTTCCGAAACCTCCTCCACGAATGGACAACTTGGCTGGCGAAAGTGCCATCAGTGAAAGAGAAGGATTTGATGACGTGGTACAGCAACAAGATGAAGGACGAGAAATCTGTCTTGGAGAGCGACTCGCAGAAGCTGGCAGCTGCTGCTCGTCTTGCTCTGAGACAGGAGGTTCACAAATATGGAAACAGAAATCTGTTTCGCAAACTCTTCAAAGACGAGAAAGGTACGGACCCTTTTGTCAGGAAGATGGGCATTGGTCATCCGTATGCTCTCTGGCTTCTCGAGAAAGAAGCTGGTGGAGCAGATCTGCCTGAAAGTTATACCACCACTTGGTTCGTGCAGCTTGAGCTTGCTTTTGCCAACCAGCGGCAGTTGATGCGTGGTCTGAAGGAGCACAGTCCGTTCATCACATTTCGCTACTCTAAGTACGATGTAAGTAACTTCGTCTCCTGTGCATTCCACGACTCATCGAACTATAGCTTGGACAAAACGTGGGACTGTTCCTTGGTGCTCTCATGGACCGCTGGATCGACATTGTCATGAGCGCTCGACGGCCTGTGATTGTCACCTATTTTGACGATCGGGCGCGATATGGAATCTGCTTTGGCCTTCTTTACTTCCTGCTTGGTGCCGTTGCAGTCGACTTGGTGCTGCAGAAGTATTGGCCGCTGGCATCCGCGCTTCCAGATCGCAAGATCACGGAAATGTCTGTCTACAACGAATTGAAAAGCAATCAGAAACGGTTTGTGTTGAGAGCCGTCACGATAATATCTTGTGCTAACCTATTTCAGTCTTCGCAACATGTATTATCGCCGCGCTTTGGCAGAGCTTTTGTCTTACTTGGCCATCATCTTCGGTGTCATGACCATCTTCATATGGGTCTTTGTGATCAATCATCAGTCCATCGTCCTTTATTTTCTGTATGCTTCGGGATACACAGCAGTGTGTCTGTTCCAGGTAAAGAATACGACATCGCAGCGGCTCTAGCAACACTAATACCTTTTTCAGTTCAACCGATGCTTTACTCAGAACCCCAAAGCGCATGTAGTAGCGGTGCTGATGTGCTGCGGTGTGGGGTTCGTAGTCGGATGTGTCCTCCGTGCGGTGCCTTCGACATCTCATCTATTCTATGATTATGTCATTGGCTTGAACGTCACCACCATCTCAGCCGCCGTAATCACGTTTCTACTGACTGGCTACTTCTCTTCACCTTTCAACAACATTGACAACGTTGGAGACGATATTACGAAAGAAGATAGAACTCGAGGGAAACGCTCATCAGCCAGCAAGCAAGCTGAACCAATGAGTTGGGCAACTTCCTTCAAGTCACATGGCGACACTTTGTGTAATCTGTCTCACAACACGCATCGCAAGATTTTACAGCACTTGTCTCTCGATATCGACGTAAATGTACAATGGACGAAGATACCAGAAGACGTTCGCTGTCTTGTCTTGTGTCGTTTGCTGGGAGTTGATGGTCACACGACCTCCTCTGCTCGAGCATGGCTAGCAGCACAATCAAAGAGCATAGAAGAGTCGGATGAGTTGCTCGAAGATTGCTTGAGAGACTACAGAAGAAAGGTAACCAATGTCAGTCAGGATTCGGATAACGCGTTCAAGATCGCAGGCTCGTACAGAGATCCCGAGTTAACCTCAGCCTTGGGCAGAAAGTTTGGAGTAGTCTCAAAGCTCAAGCGTTCTATCACGAGTATAGGCTTTACTATCTATGAGATCGTTAGGTGGACAGCCCTGATCTCTGGCGGCGCTCCAGATGTCAGCCGTGAGCTGTGGTTCGCTTTGAGAAATAACCCATCACGAAAGCCACTCCTTTGGCTGCTGCTCAAAGTTTGGAAAGCCTGCTGGTTCGTCAAGAACTTTTGGACCTACCTGTTTCTGATTCTCGGCAAGCCGTCTCTCTCTGTTTTTCTGGATATGAAAAACCGAGGATTACCAAGGACGCTCCACGGCGATATTATCACAGTTGACACACCCTTCTCAAAAACCACAGGCTTCCTGTCACGAGATGTGGATGGTAATCTCGTGGTCGCGGCCTTCGACGGTATTCATGCGACTCCACCCGAGTCTCAAGCGCTCAGAGGTTTGGCAATTTACGACTCATCGTATCGAATCACGCATTACGAGACGACACCAGGTGATCACAAGATGAAAACAACGTCCACCTTCGACTATCAGAACAAGGAGTGGAAACGTTGGCCGACTAGGAAGATTACCAAGGAAGCATCAGGCCGCGAGGTCGTTTCCACATATGATAAACACGGTCGTATTGTCAGCGGAAGATTGTTCCGTGGGGATGTTGAGTTCTCTTTCGAGTATCTCTATCAGAAGAGGCCGAAAGGCAACACCGAGATCCTTAGGGCCAAATACACTCAAGAGGATACAGAAGACACTCCACCTACAATCTCGGTATACTGGAGCGTGCAGCCTCGATCTGGTTCCGATAACGTCAAGCATTGGGTTCCTTCCGACAAAATTAGACGAGTCGTCGCAGTTTTGGATGGTATGACCTACGAAGTCGATTGGGTATATAAGCATGCAAGAGATGCAGATCTGGAAACGAAAGTCATTGATGAGACCGGGGCAGTATGCACAGGTGTCGAAGCTCCGGCATCTATCTTGATGGATGAATTTGGGCTACTAAAAAAACCAAGAGATCTGTCCTTTGACAGTGTTGACTTGCTCATCTACCATCCATTACGCTGGCTTCACAGGTTTCCAAAACATGGAGATACACCTTCCAAGCCACGTTCGTGGGTTATGTCTCTGATGCCCTTTGGCTATTCACCAACAAAAAAGAAGGTCATCTATCGCAAGCTGCCGACATCAGTGTTGAGGACTGCACTCTGGACGTTCTGGGCTAAACCACCTCATCTGGATGCAGTGTCTGCATGCTTTCTAGACGAGATGATGCTTCGAAAAGAGCCTCTGCTTCAGAAATATTGGAGCCTTCGAGACGCTGGTCATCTGCTCGAAGCTTCACAGGCCCTGGATGAAGATTTGGACTTGATAATATCCGCCATCGAACCATCTGCCGAGGCGTCGCAAACTTGTCCACTTCTTATCAAGGCGTCAGACTTGTTCGTCATGGGTCTTGGAAAAGATGCAAATCAAGTCACAGCTCGTCCAGAGGATGCGTATCGCGATACCTCAAAACTCACTTCTGTAATCTTCTCTGACAATGGGTGTTGGCCAGATAATCCTGGTGGTGTCTCAAATTGTCGACGAGATTTGGTCAACGGACATACCACTATCCGAGGTCACTGTCTGGCGGAGTCTGCCAATGACTTCGGTATCCCTAGGTACCAGATTGAACAAAACATCAACTCTCTGAAAATTCTTCCGCTTTGGGGGTTGGACGGAAAAACGCCATATCACGGTGTGATTGACAATCTGCTCCAAACTCAGATCGATGAGAGGATCTACGGAACGAGAATAGAAGAAGATATCAAATTCATCTTCATTCCTCTTTTGACATCATTTGTCAAGGGCGCACGCATGAGACGCTACACTCGTAGTGACTTGGTTACCTTCAGCAATGTTGTTCTAAAGATGAACAGATACTTTGAAAAGTGCGACTTCAACAAGACTTGGGACAACAAAGACGTCCAAGATGCCTGGATTCAAGCCTGGCTGATTGACTACAATGATCCCAACATCAGCAACTACCGTGACTTTTTCGAGATTGAGCAAGCAACCATGAGCGACTTCAAGGGCGCTCTTGATCTGTACATCTGCTATTTCTTCATCTACTCGGTTGAACTCCCAGCAGAATGCCCTACCGTTTTCCAAAGCACTCATCATGGAATCAGCAGTCTCTACGGTATGCTGCTCAAGTATCGACGCGGTACTACTTGGGGCATCTGGGATCATGCAATCTTATGGAGAGAGACATGCTTGAACATCAGTCCAGCGCAATGTTTACTCCCGATACCAGTCCAGTCAATGCTTCTCGCTGGTATCAAGCTAGCTTGTCACCTGGCTTACACTCATGTGGACATTGTTCTGCCATGTACGTCCGTCTTCAATCCTGATTGGGAAATCGATCTTGGCACGGATCAAGGACTGCGTGGTAGCAAGAAGCTGTTCGCTCGCAAGATCGACCCGATTGTGAACGGTATCGGAAACATGGATGCTTTCCAACCAGTTATGGAAACACGAAGCAAGCTGCCAACCTGTGTGATGCTGTCCAACGTCCAATTCATCAAGGACGTGAAGAATGCTGTCCTAGCTGCGGATGTTATCGTGAACAAGTACGGCTTTAGCGATTATAGGTTGGTCGTTTATGGTGCCCAAGACCGTCAGCCAAGCTATGCACTGGAGACCACAACGCTGATCAACAATCGTAATCTGAACGGCAAAGTAATTCTCGCTGGATTTGGTTCACCGAAAGAAGTTCTCAAGGATGCTTGGCTATTCATGAACTCTTCGCTTTCTGAAGGTCTCCCTTTGGCCATTGGAGAAGCTGCACTGTCTGGTATTCCAATTGTCGCAACGGAAGTTGGTGCCACGGCGCTCGTGCTCACGGATCCAGACGACTCTACGAAGCGCTACGGAGAAGTCGTGCCTCCCAACGATCCGGAAGCACTTGCAAGGGCGCAGCTGAGCATTCTTGGTATGCTGGGTCCGTGGACAGAGTATACGAATGACAAAATCAAACCACCACCGCTTCCAGACTCTTTCAAGCCCGAAGATGTTGCCTGGATCCTCGCGCGTATGTACGAGAAGGCGAATGATCGTCGCGCTCTAGGCCTCAAGTTGCGAGATGTCGTCCTTCGCAGTTTCCACGGATCGCGATACCTCCGAGAGCACGAACAGATGTATTGGATACAACGCAGCTGGGCAGAAACCCGTCGTTCTCCGCACAAACTCAGTCGACACCCGCCAGCCAATGCCAATTTTGGTGAGTCGAACATCTACGAATACGACGATACAGCGGATACTGGTGAAGATGCCAAGGCTCGCTGGCAAGACTTCCAGCTGGACATATTGCAAGCAGACAGTCATCCAATGCCTCGCAAGTACAGCTTGGGCACATATGAAAGGGGAATGTCAAGGGCATAATTATTTTGGGGCTCTCATGGACGATGAACAGGGGAGTAGCGGTATGTCAGAGTTCAATTTCCTCAAATTTACTTTTCCTTGTTCTTGGCATACATGCTCGTATGACTTTTCAATGCCCGACAGTGTGGATTTACGTTGTAGGTAGCACGTGGGAATGGTTTCGAATACTCTTTAAATCGACTCTCATGTACTCAAATAGGAGGAGTGAAGCGAAGAAACTCTTGTGATTCGCTCCCACAACCACTCAATGTACCCGTTACGACGCCAAAGCCATTTTGTCTGAACGTTTCGCCCAAGCGTACGTTTTCTCACAACGAGTGACATCTCTCAAATTATTCAAACATTGGCGAACGAGAGTACGGGTACCATATCTGCGAAGATGCCGCTGTCAAAACGAATGGCTTTGTTCTCATCGAGTTCTAGATCTCGGTTTCAGAAAATATTCGGAAACAAAACATCGACTTCCAAGATGGCGATGAACATGCATGTCGCGCTTCCTCTCTACGTATACCCATCATCCGGAGCATGGCAACCGCTCTACGATGCGGTGACCAACAATCCCAGCGTCACATTCGATGTTATCATCAACCCGAACAGCGGACCCGGAGGATCACCACCAGACTCCAACTACATCGCCGGTGTCTCCAAAATCAACTCCTACAGCAATGTCAACATGGTCGGCTACGTGCACACCAGCTACGGTGACCGCGCCCTCTCCGACATCGAAGCCGACATCGACACCTATCAATCCTGGTCCACGTACTCAAACGCCAACATTGCACTCAAAGGCATCTTCGTCGACGAAACACCCGCCTCCTACAACGATTACAACTACATGAACACCATCTACAACAAAGTCAAAAACACAATGACCCATGGAAATCTGGTCTGGACTAACCCTGGTGTACCTGTCGACTCTTCTTTCTACAATATCGCCGATATGATCAATGCTTATGAAAACACTTACGACGATTGGATCAACAACGGTGGCAACACGAGCATTCCGGTGCCTCTGCGCAGTCAATCTACCGTGTTGATCCATAGTTATCCAGATAACACGAATACTCTGATGTCGGATGTGGATGGCTTGGTGGATGCGCCGTATTATGGCGCATTGGTGATTGTTAATGATCAATACTCGAGTTTCGATGATTTGTGGTCGACTTACACGTCCGAGGTTGGGCAGTCGAATGCGGATATGGTGAAGTGCAAGTAGACACTTTGCTTCATGCCAACATTTCGACGTATGGGCAGTTTTTGGGCTGAGGTATCACAGGCTGGTCTTGTGGGATGATGATTCGGGCTATTCTGGACTGTAATGTGTATTAGGCTATCGTCGATGGCGATGTTCGACGACAAGCTCGAGGAATTTAATGTATGGTTTAATTAATGTATACGGTACATAATCTGCTGCACAGCTCTGCACATCTCGCTCATCCGTACATAATTGCGTAGAAGCTTGGCTTTGAAACTGTGACTTCCCCGCTCACCAATCCGACTTGACTTCCTTCTCCAACATTCAAGGATCCATCCTTGAGCAATTTCCAGCATTTTCCTCCCAGCCTCCGCAATACGTACGGTGAAAAGTGTCTCCGATGATGCGGGAAGTATAGACTTTCGTTGAGAAGATCACTTGCTGTAGAAGGGCGAGCACTTGAAGCCTACCACAAGCATCAATACTACCGCAAATCTCAAACATATCGATCTGCATCAGCTTGACTAAACATTGGCCTTGCGACGCAACTATAGGTGAAGTTAGAATTGAGACGGCAAACTCAGGCCACGTACACGCCACCACTACGATCGCGATGTGGTGAACGCCGAGGAAGACGTGTTTAGGACGCGATGACGATACTGACAATCCAACATTTGTTTTGTGTAAGGTATGTGATCTGAGCTAACCACATAGTGAACAAAACCTGAACAGCTGCACTGCACGTACGAGCGGTATTCGTCCATCTTGCTTGCATTACGATGCTGCCTTATTCCCATGAACAACATGCACCTCCCGATTATGCCCTCCCCACCTTCAAAGAGCCTTATCGACGAACATCCACCAGTATCACCAATACTTGTTGCGAAAGAAGACAACCAGAACTCACCTCGATGGAAACATGACTGGCGCGCATTGCTCGTCAGCCGAATTCAGTCATTTTGTCCGAATTGGAGAATTGCATTGCGGCACAAGAGGGACGCCATGACTTGCAGAGGCACTTTGCGAAGCTGTAATCTCGTTATGGTTCAGTGAGGGGCATCAACACTGTCTAGTCAGTGGTGAGCCAATGACGTTCTGACCTGGAGGTCAACAAAGGCAGACGATCGAGAACATGCCATGACAACAAAACTATCTCGGAACCCAGACCTCGAGTTCATCAGGTTCATACCACTTGAGAGCAAACATGCGTATACCCATCTCTGACCGTTGCCATCTGGCACGGGCAGCCAGTACTCTCGTTGTCGGTGTTTCCATATTCTCAGCTCTTGTCAATGGCCAGGTCAGCAATTCTACTGGCGGAACTACTGTCGCCAACACGATTCTGATCTTTGCACGCGACCAACCGTCTTCCTACTCTGCTACGTCGGGTCTCTCTGGCTATGGCATCCCGTTTCAGCTCCAGCTAGTCCCTCAGGCGGGTATCACACTGCCAACTCTCAACTCCTCGGCCACTCAAGGAAACTTTGGTGGCTTCATTATCCTCGGCGAAGTGTCTTATGACTACGGCGGCAACAATTGGGCTAGTGCTTTGACTGCAGATCAATTCCAGCAGCTATATGCGTACCAAAGTGCCTTTGGTGCAAGAATGGTCCGCATCGATGTGTATCCTGGACCTGCCTTTGGCGTCACTCCTACTATTCCTGGCGCTGGATGTTGTGCAGCTGGCGTAGAGCAGCTGCTGAGCTTCACGAATACTAGTGGTTTCCCCACAGCCAATCTCAAACAAGGCGCCACGATCAGTACACAGGGTATTTGGCACTATCCAGCAACCATCACCGACCCTGACAATGTTTGGGAGGTTGCAGGACTCGCAGCAAGCTCTGATGGTACTTTCTCAAACCCTAGCTCTGCTGCAGTCATCCATCAAGCTGGAAAACGTCAGGAGATGGTCTGGTTCTCGAGTTGGGCCACCAATTGGGCATTGACTTCCAACTACTTGCAACATGCGTACATCGCCTGGCTGACTCGTGGCCTGACCGTCGGTTACCGTCGTATCTACTTGAGCACTCAAGTTGATGATGTTCATCTTAACACTGCTTTGTATCAGCCATCGAATGCTTTGTTCAGACTGAGGCCAGCGGATCTGCAGGCGATCGCTGATTGGACGCCGCAATTGAACTCGAGACTTCCCGCTGGCTCAAATTACTTCATGGAACTCGGCCACAACGGAAATGGAAACATTGTCGCTGGTATCACATACGAGAACACAACGACTTGCAAACCAGACCCTGCCATCATCTACACCGGCGACATGTCTTCGACTCCACTCGAATATCAGAAGCCGCTAGGAACTGGAATCGACATCTGGCCCACCACACCAACACTCTTTACTTGGAGCAAGGCTTGCTGTCTGATCGATCCACTGTTCAAGTGGTTGTCTACGCCCGAAAACTTGAACGCCTTTGCCCACGTCTCCCACACGTTTACTCATGAATCGCTGAACAACGCAACTTACAATGACACCTTCAAGGAGATCACTTTCAACCAGGCATGGGCAAACACCACTGGAATCAACAAAGCAACAAGATGGTCACCAGGTGGCCTCATCCCTCCAGCTATCACTGGTATGCACAACGGCGATGCTATCAGAGCTTGGATGACCAACGGTATTACATCTGCAGTTGGTGACAACACCAGATCTGTGTTGATGAACCAGCAGAATGAGTTCTGGCCCTTGATCAGTACCGTAGCGAGCAATGGATATGATGGACTTGAGATTATTCCTCGCTGGGCTACCACAATCTTCTTCAACTGCGATCTTCCCGACTGCACCACAGCCGAATGGGTCAACACATCTGGTGGTAAGGGTGGCTTCACTCAACTACTCAACGACGCCCGTACTACCAACGTCCGACATCTGATGGGTCTTCACCACGACCCTTTCATGTTCCACCAAGCCAATCTTCGCAACGCAGATGTCAACAGCACCACCATCGGCTCCATCACCGGCCAATTCTCTCTCATTCAAATCTGGACCGAAGTGGTCACCCAAGAGATGTCTCGTCTGACCAATTGGCCCATCATCTCTCTCAAGCACGATGATATTGGCATCGACTTTATGAACCGCATGGCTCGTGACAAGTGCAATCCCAACTTGAGCTACCAGTATTCTGCTGATGGAAAGAGTGTTACCTCTGTCACTGTCACTGCCAATGGAAACAGTTGTTCTGCTCCCATTCCTGTTACCCTTCCTGTTGGAGCTACTAGCAATGCTCCTGGACTTGTTAGGGAGACTATTGGATCTGACCCCTTGGTTATTTGGGTGCCCCTGACTGGAAGTCCTGTCACGTTGAACCTTGCATCACCTGTTTCATTATTGTAAGGGTCGTCAAGGGAGGAGATTGGTTGTGCCCCTGAGGAGGCTTGGCATGAAGGAGGAAGATGGGAGAGGAGAGGGAAAAGTTGTTATATTGTAATTGTAATGTCTATTAGTGATATCTTGAATCTTTTATTCAAATGAAAACACTCTTCTCCCACTCTTCGGTCTTGTGCGTCTTCAAAGAGCGGTAAGATCTCAATCGGATTCCTTGCGGTTTTATTCTCACGCCTCATTGCTCTCTTCTGAAGCGACATAGCAGACAGAACACGATAGAGCCCGTGCTCGATATCACGACTTTTGCACCTTCCTCATCATGCCGACATTAATATGACAAGATCCTTGGCACGAAATTCCTTCGTCATCATCATCACCTGCACGCTGTCACATGCTAGACACCGACAACGCTGCTCTCATCTAGACAAGACCTTGGAACCGAAAAGCAGCATGATCCGAAAACATACTTTCCAAGAATACGCTTCATAGCAAGCTTAGTTTTTGACGCGCCCCTGCACTAACCCTTAAGTGTCAAGTCTTACACGGAAGTCACGCCATGTAATGATCAACAGGGTAGAAAGTATGTCTGCGCTGCTGAGACGTACAAGTCGAAAAGTATGCTCGCTCGCATCTCTGAGATCTGAATTGAAAACTGTTCAAGGTCAATGGCTGTGCTGTTGAGATCTACAGACAAGGGCGAACCATGTCTATAAAACTGAGATCTACGAAAGGATAAAATGACACGAAACAAGCATCAGCAGATCTGTTGGAAAAGTGCGGAGGTCTAGCTTTGATTTCTTGCTCACTCCACAAACGCTGATTCCGGAGAGATCTGGAGTAGCATCAGACGAGTACATGGACGTAGGTGAACGTTTGGAGTGGGAAAGCATCGTTAGAAGTCTAAGGACTGCTTGTGAAGGGGAGGTAAACTATGCTCAGGGCTTGAAGGCTATGAGTCAGCGGGTGGAAGGCTAGATGGAAGGATCAAGACGGCCAAGCGGTCTTGCGGAAAGCGCTTTCTAGGGAGAGGGGACTGTGTCGCTGTGGAGTCATGAAGATGTGGAGGCAAGAAGACGATGAATATGATGATTCTGTGGCAGTAGCGGTGACGAAGTGTTTGCGGAAAGAGCTTTGGCCAGGCAGAAGACTCTGGAAGGAGCGACCGCTTGATCACGTTGACGAAAATGAATTGAGGTGCTACGGAACACATATGCGAAGTCATGGCAAAGAGACCCTGACCAATGTCAACTTCTCAGTCAGTCATGGTCAGAGACTACAATCACTCCAACTGCGGTGTGAAGATGTCAATCAGTAGCTGGAGACACGGAACACATAGGAATACAATTCGCATTCTCGAAGCAGTATCATATAAAGAGGCACACTGCTAAGCAACAAATCAGCATTAGGACTATCCAAGCACGAGTCAGGATGGACTGGCCAAGAGGGTTTTGAAACAAGACATTGGTCGCTTCCATCATGTGCTTCCTGTAGTTGGAGCGAGTACACAACGGAACAAATCAAGCAGGTCTGTGATTCAGACATCACTCCTCTGCCCCCGGGCTCCTCCAAGTTGAAGTTTGGTCTGGGAGCTCAGCGTCAAAGATCCGAACATAGCAAGAAAAACAACGATTCAGCGACCTCTCTACTTCGTTCCTTCAAGCCCCTCGTCTACCTCGATGATGAATAGCGATGAATCACAGCTTCTCGTCCAATGTACGAGATAAAGTGTCTCGCTGGTCTTATGCTGCTATGATCAAGGAAGAGACAAATTTATACCCACTGCGAGTCATGCTATCCAACTACAAGTGGGTTGTTTCCGTTTGCTATGCCACCGCTCCAAATGCCTTTGGACTTGATGTCATACCACTAAGCTTGTGGAACCATCAGCACACCTTGTGGACTGGTATTGTATTAGAAGTATCACCTTTTCAAGCTTCCTAAAGGAAGAAGCCACACGTCAAGGTACGTGCAACAGGTTTTGCAATTCGAATTGAGGTTGTGGAAAACAGTGTCGAGAAAGACAGCACTGAAGCCGTGTAACAGAACAAGAAAGCATCAAAACCTCTGCAATTCGCGGCAGAATGAGAACGCAGCTAACGCATGAGAGAATGTGTCGATGGATGGTTGGAAGAAGCCCAACCTTACTACTATTGAGCATTACTGATTAATTATAGCGGGCAGGGGAGTAGGAACAAGGGGTAACTGATGCACAACTCCCACAGGCATCTCTGAAATTCTCTTGAGCTTTGCAGAAAGGTAGACTGAAAGGATCAGAGCTGAGATGTTGAGTGTTCTCGAGGAGTCACTCGCCTGCCTCCTTTCTACGGCATTTTGGCTATCTTTGGACCTTCAAATCCATGGCAGTCAATCCCAACTCTCTTGGCTTGCAGATCCATGACCTGTAACCTCAAGATAAGCATCACGCTCTTCTTCCTTCTCTCCAAGGGGTACAATGATACCCGCATACTTGGCAAGTATGGCGTTGAGGATCAGGCGGCAGGTACGAACATATCTGTCGGCAAACCGATGAATGCTGACGAACCAAGGCGAGTAACTTGGAACGCTCCAACCTGGTAATTCTTCATCTTCCCTAACGAGAAGGTACAGGCACGAAAATTATGAGATAGTATACTTCTCGTGGAGCCGAGGTCGCGGTCAGAGTAGTCTATGGATGGAGTAATAATCCACTCCACTGGAGTCTACTCCAGTGGACTCTAGGTTACTAGACTCTAGTAGGCATTAGAGTGGAGTGGATTAGAGGGCTTCCCACTCTAGTACTCTAGTAGACTCTAGCTTAGCGCGCTAAGCCCTCTTCTGATTGGCTAGCGGCTTCTTCCGGCACCTCTAATTAGCTAACTCTAACGTCCTCAAAAATTCTAAGAAGTTAACACTTAGGCGCGTCGAGTTAACTCTACATTACTAACCCCTTTAACCCTTAACTATTTTTATGGCTAATACTAACACCCTTTCTAAAGTGCTATCCTCTGCACTAAACACCTCTAAAATCCGCGTACCTACCGAGCTCTAAAGAACTAACGACTTCCGTAGTGTTACGCCTAACCTATCTAAATAAGATTAAGCTAATATTACCTACTATTCCTCCGTCGATTAGTCCCTTCTACTACATCTTAAAGGCACTAATAATGGTAAGGGTGCTAGTAAGAGCTACATCTAGCAGTATAGCTAGCGGATATAGAAAAAGTAGGTAATGCCGCGGATGTACTTCTAGGTCTATATAAGCTACTATAAGTAACGTTCTTATCGGACATATAACTATAACATTACTAATGGCACGGATAGCGCTATCTCGTACCTTCTTAACGTCTATAACATTAATAGAGACGGTTTAAGGTTAAAGAGGACTCGCAGTATTATAGATTAAGTCTCGAGCTAGCCTACGTCATTAAGAGTCTTAAATTCTTCCTATAGGTAGGACATTAACCGCTACAGCACTGTTTTCAATAAGGCGGCTTAGAAGGGCGCTATTACTACCCTTATTATATACGATAACCTTACCTTCTAGTTACTTAAATCTCCTTACATATAGTAATGCCTTACGATGCTAAATCTAGCTATTAAATTACGAGGTTGCCTTCCTTCTTATAGCACTTTACGCCGGTAGATTTCTTAGGTCTATAATAGCTATATCAGCATTATTACTAAATAGCTACGCTTAGCTACCTCCTCTATCTACTTCTCCTTTGATCTTTAGACTTCTCGTAATCTTAAGGCGCTTTATAGTATTAACGTTCATTTCGTAGATAAGTATAGTAACTTAAAGACCTTCCTTCTTGCCCTTCCGTAGTAACACGATAAACATATAGGCACTAACATCGCTAAGACCATTACTAAGATTATTAGTCGCTTCTTACTTAACAAAAAAATTGGGTTCTTTGTTGCTAATAACGCATTAAATAATAACACCTACATTGCCGTATTAGCTAAGGAGTTCTCCTTTAACGCATAGCATCGACGACTATAGTACGCTAGTTACATCTTTAATCTTATTATATGCGCATTATTATAGGGTATTAACAAAGATGCCTTCCTTGTAGCCCTTACTAGTGTTAAGGTAACTAAGTAGGAGCTCGAGTGTTAGCGACGTTATAGGCCTATTAGTAAAGTTAGAAACACGATTGTCTATATACGCGCATCGCCTTAGCGAAATAAGGAGTTTAAGAAGGCTTAGAGGGAGCACCTATTACTTACTAAGGTCGTAGAATTGTATGCTATAAACGACACCCGCTAGAACTCGGTATTCGACGCCCTTCGAGTCTTTATTCTAGTCCGCCCTACTATTAATAACTTCTATTACAAGACTTAAAGAGACTAGTAAGACTACGTTAATAAGAAGACTAATTTTAGTGTAAAGCTATACCCTAAGAAGATGCGTAAGAAGCTAGGAATATTAGAAGATTTCATTACTTAGGACGACTAGGTAATGCTAACCAAATATTATAAGATTCTTAAGCTAGTATAGTAATTTACTTAGCGCCTTAAGGGCCGCGGTACTAGTACTAGCTATAGTGTTATATAGTAAGTTATCCCTACTATAGAACGTCTATTCTTGCATTTTAAGAAGCTTAAAGATTAATACACCATCTATAAGCTAGAGTAGGCATATTTAAGGGTTCCCTTACTAACGAGTAATACCCCTACATCGTAAAGCACGGTAGTAGTAAGTTACTAGTCTTAATCTTAGTCCTAAGACACCTAGAACATCGACCTCGACGAAGACCTACCCGTTTACTAACCTATACGTAAGGTAGTTAAGACCGCTAAAGGAAGGCGAGCTACTACATAGATAGTACTACTACCTCCTCTACCTCCCCCTCCGTCGTTATTACTAGTAGTACCGCCTACGCTAAGTTAAGAGTATCGCATGTTAGCTACTAGGGTTAACCTAGTATAGAAAAAGCTAGATAAATATTATTAGATGATAGACTAATCCCTAGTCTATGTTATAGTAGTCGTGCTACATCCGGCTTATATATAGAGATAGCTTAGATTAAAGTAGAAGAATCGATAGGACTAGCTTATTACCTTAGAGCGAGCGGTACAGGAATTTTAGACGTCCTATTACTCCTAGATCGTAGTTAAAACTATGCCTACTAATAATGACTAGGCGACTAATGCTATAGCATAGATAGATGCTACCTTAACCTTAGATAAGGAGGACGCTAACATTGTTACCCCTAAGACCGATAAGTATACTAGGTAGTGCGTTAAAGGCCGTGTCCCTAATGTCTACTATCCCCTCGAGTTCTAGTTAAAACTATGCATTAAATACACCTATCCTAGGCTATCCCGAATAGCCCGCGATTTATTCACGATACTAGCTATGTCTAATGAGCCTAAGCGAGTCTTTTCTAGCTATAGAAACATAGTAACACCCTAGAGGGGGAAGCTATCCGGCGAGGCCATTAAAGAGGCCTAATATATAAAGAGTTAGATGCGACATAGCAAAATCATAAACCTAGGTGCGACCTTTAAACTAGTTACGGCACTTCCGTAGGAGGTCTAAATTGTAGAAACAAACATGGCAAACACACAACTATATGCTGTTCCGAGTTTTATTGAAGATTTGAACTATTTAGACAAAGTTTGACAAAGTGCAAAAAGAGAACATCTACGTCGCGACCGAGGCTCGAACGGTGGTTATCCCTCTATAGGGGGCCCATACCACTGGACTCCAGTGAACTCTAGGGTTAGAGTCCACTAGAGTTCACTCCATGCCAAGGCCTACTGGAGTGGAGTGGATCTAACCCCAACTCCACTCCACTCCATCCATGGACTACTCTGGTCGCGGTCTTCACAGACAGTCGTCGTGGAAGCCATCTTTACCCACTATAGTATTTAGTTACAGTACATATGCTTTCTCACCATCATTTCATCACTGGAAGGTCGCAGCTCACCCCATCATCAACGCCCATGGCTGACTTGCTTATCATGCAGCTTTAACACGAACTTCCAGATTCAGCCCACTATGTATCACAGTCATCTACCCAGTAATCGCCATCAGAAAACAATCGCAAGCTCCACATCCTACTTCGGCGAAAGTGATCGCATCTCGATTCGTCAATGCTTGACATTTTCACCGACAGGTTCGTTCACTGAGGTCGAAGACATGAGTGCAGGGAGAAACGCCTCAGGTCTGTCAGACTGACAGGGCTGTCATGTTTTACATACCGTAGTTTCCTACCCCAGCCACAGCAAACAAGGGACGAACTAGCAAAATGAAGCGTTACTGACCCGGCACTTCTGCTCCCCTGAGTACGCACTCCGATTCATTCTGAGATGGTTGTTGGTAGCATGATCTGTTCAGCGACGACCGACGCAAGCATGTACCAGTTCGGGGATATTTTGAAACGAGCTGTAATTGGTGAAATATCGGAATAAATAGAGATTATCATGACAGGATCTCGCGAACAGACTCATCACCATACTTTTCACGAGGCGTCTGCTTACCAGAGATCCAACTCTACGATGCCTCAAGTTTAAGAAATTGGTTTTCAGCCTGGGGATGTTGATTGAAACGCCGATCACTACTCTTGCCCTGTGTCTTTTTAAAACTCGACACGAGTATTTAATGCAAGCGCATGGAGAAGTTCCAGCAGGTATAAAGAACAGTTTTCTTGCTTAAGCGACAGAGCTACATCACTATCACCGGGCGGTACGCCCTCGCTCTAGAGAGCCACACACTCGTGGCGTTGATATGCTCCCAGCAAGCATGAACACGCATCTTGACAACAACCAACAAAAGGGACTACAACAGGTCCGTGAAGCTGCTTACAGAGTTTGAGCTCCTGAGCCTTCTAGTCTGTCCAGTAGGTATGAAACATGCCGTCAGGCGAGAGAGGGGCGAATCATCATGGATCACTGACCTCAGTCCCTGCCTTTGTCGCTCAGTAGATAGGAAAGGCTGAATCGGTAGATCTCGCCGAACATGAAGTGCCTCATCTGACTTTCTCCTCCTCGGCGGCCTCCCTGGCTCGTCGAAGTCCTATGAGAAATGGAGTTGGTGCATGCTTTATAGCATTCGATACGGCCATACGTCGAGATAATCATGCATTTGAGTTCGAGTCTCTGTAGATATCTTGCTACACATTATCTCTAAACTCCATATCGACTACAGCAACCGACATCTAGGATTGTACGGCAGTATTGAAAACAGTACCATCACAATACTCAACCCACCCACCAAGATCCTTCCCCTTGATGACCTCCGAATATCCGACATTGCCATTTATCTTACAGCTCTTAGCCAAGTTCTCCGCACTAACCTTCCCAGGCGCACCAGCCGGATACTCGATCTGGAAAACTGGTTTACCAGCAGCGATGAAGTTGTTGTAGATAGCGCATTGGTTGTTCGTGATGCAAGATTCGATAATGGAGAATTCGACCATGCAAGTGGCATTTTTGGCGATGGATCCTGCATTCTTGAGGCCGATGGCCATGTTGTGAGAGGCGGCTGTTAGGGAGAGGAAGGAGAGGTAGTTCAAAGCTGTGCCAGCATTGAGGGGAAATCCTGTGTTCGTTTCCTTACACTCTTATTAGCTGCTGCTATCAAGAAGGGCCTTGATCAAGACTTACAAACCCATCCATGTTGTCCGGGTCGACGGCGTCACAACCTTTATCCGCAGCCAACTTGATTCGGTTGGCCATGATATCTCTTACTGCCTTGCTATCTGTGTTAAGCCACTTCTCGCCAGGCCAGCCACTCAAGTCATTGCCAATATCTTGTGGAGGGAACATTCCAGCATCAGGTCTGTAGGACTCCCAACTGCCGGCCGAGAAGTAGCAAATGACCTTGATGCCTTGGAGATGCATTTGTTGGATAGTCAAAGCAGTGTTGCCGTACATATCGATGTCATAGACTGATAGAGCAGGAAGAAGAGGCTTAGATGCATCGATGGGAGCGTTGAACACGATTTGCCAAGGTGTGCCAGGGAGAGGTTGCCAGATTGGTGTCGTGTTGGCCTGTACGGTCAATCCTCCTAAGACGCTGAGGCTCCCAGATTGGCATCCTGATGCGGGTGATGCGGTCGCAACGGGAGGGTCGGAGCGCTTGTTGGTTATCATGGTAGAGGAAGCTGGTGGACCTTCCTCGCTGCCTGTGAGTCCGACTCCAAGACCAACACCCAGTGAGATGCCGAGGATGACGATAGTGCCGGCCACTGCGGACAGGGTACGATATTTGTGTCTCCGGTACCAGGGCACTCGGCGGATTGGTGCTTTCTCGTCATCGTAGAGTTCCGTCATTGAAGACGTCTTGTATGCTTCGTGCATTGTGAATACAGATTGTTCGCAGCGATTATGGCTCGACAGAGGAAAGGGCGATGGAAAATGGAATGAGATAGTAGTGTATGAGAAAGACAGTGCGATTGCAGAAGACGTGGATGTTATTCAGTCAAATATGATGTTTGCTCGTCGACGTCGTTTTGTCTTGGTTCACAGCCTCCACGGCTACTCGTCAACTCGAAAGTTACAGAGTCTAAGCCTGGAGGTTGTTCGTGAATATCCAATGAGGCCCCTGACTTTGAGACCTACATGTCATTCTTGCGTACGGAAGATGTCCCCGCCATTTGTCAAGCGCGATAATTCGGGAAGTCGTTGTCAAGGAAGGAGCGTTCCGATCTATTTGTCGCGATCATCAAACGCGTCGTCGCTCCTTAAGGCTTGGTCAAAAAGATTCGATATCCATGACGCCCTCGAGAACATCTGGATGTGTTTCTTCTGGTCGCTACATTAAACTGTGCGAAAAGTAGTTGGCAATTGACGATCGAGCAACGCGACTGGAGAAAAGTGGATAGACGAGCAGCGGTGAGAGCATCGTACGTGAAGGCTGAGAGCCGCAAAGTCTTCACGTTACGGGGCCAACCCTGACTACGCTCGATCAAGGTCAAAATTCCTAGCCAGACGGCAGTCATAAGATCTCCCATTTGACAGTCAGACCTCAGCTTCTTCTGGAAGCCGTACAGGAGCAAGGCATGGAAGACGAATAAGTCTTGTCTTATCTCCTAGCACTTAACCTCGGTGATCTGTCTTTACACATTCTGTACAAAACACAGACAAAGACAATGAAGCCATTCCTATGAAATAAGAGAGAGCCATAATAGCAGTGCACTCTCTTCGGACAATCTAGATTCTAGGACTACTCTATGCATTACTGCAAGTACACATATCATGCAGCAATTTCGTAAGAGACGCTGCCAACTTGCACTATATTCCATTTCTATACCATCTCACCAAAATATATAACCCACTTTTGTTTCGTACATTCTACTAAAACAAAACCATTGTAGCTGCTAGCAGTAGTTGGCAAAAAGAAGAGGTTAATCCAAAGGCGATTATTGTGCTCGTTGCTATATCTAATATCTCTCCATCTTAGAGATCTCGACGTCGAGGCGTGTCGAGAAACGTCTCCGGTCGACGAACCTTTACCTAGACTCTCTCTCCTACGTCTGTCGGCTAGACACGAGAGAAGAAAAATCAGTAAGATAATAAGAGATAGAGAAAGAGTAGGAGAGACGAAAGAAGGTTCATTAACCCGCCCCGTTTCGTTCGCGACCCTCTCGATCGATTAGATATTATAAAGCGGTACATCGGTACATTAAGTTAGCTACAAGACGATTAGGAAAATTGCGTATTTCTGTACGTGGTAGAGAAGCTGGTAGGTAAGTAGAATATTATATAGAAGAAGAAAGGGAGATTTTCGTCCCTTACATGACTTTACTAAATTGCTGTACACTAGAGTTTGGCAACGCTGCAAGGAATAGAATAAGCTACAAATCGAGAGGAATGTATAGAAGTAAGCTATGTATCTCGTTACAAGATTCTACTAAAATCAGAGTGTCTTGGTTATATACTAGCAAATGACCAACTGTGACTTGTGGGTTTCATTCATATATGAGGTACGCCGGACTTTTACAGCTAATTAGTAATCGACAGAACTCAGAGATGCGAGCACTGGTAGACTGTCAATCCCATGGTCTCTTCCTATGCATTCGCGACTGAAGACGGGCAAAGGACAGAAACAGTCAGGTCAGTGAATCTGCCATTATGAGCTCATCTTCCATGAGAGTAGAGGGTGTCTGTTCGGAAGAGGACAGATTTGCCGCTGTATCACCGACCTAGTCTTCTTCTTCTTTGCTTTTCCATAATCCTAACTTCTGTAAACGATTCCAAGACCCTCTGCTGTCTACGCGTTGTTTCTGGCTCTGTTGAGGTGGGATAAGGGCAGCAACATCGCGGAGTGTAAGAAGGAGAAAATATAGCAAGGAAAACGTACAATACAAAGCATTGCAAGACGACAGGACGTGATCCTGATCATTGAACATGTTTTCGATTTGTTACACAACGAGATCCGTGTACAAGGATTGCACAGTATTACGAAGTAAATTCCGCATATTTCGGCCGCTGCTAATTCGCATGCTTGACATTTCACAGACTCAGTATGAGCAGTAAGAATGTGTATAAGAACCATCAAGCAGGGGAGAAAGCATGGCTTTTCAATCATGCAATGCGAACGGGAGATTGTGAGAACTGGAAGGATCTTACGTCACAATTGCTCAGCGCAACAAACTGTCAGAAGAAGAAAGAAGTAAAGCCAGGAGTCAGGTCTCTGAGACGTTCAAAAACTCATCTCCCGTGCACTGCCGGAAAGAGTAGGGCATAGAAAATGCGAAGCAGAAGGTAGGGAAGCAACGATAGACTCACAGACTCGATGCCCTCCTTGCCTTCCGAGCAACAAGAGAGTCCCGTACTTTCCGACGAGCAATGTTGCGAATCATTTGCCCCGAGAAGTAAGAGATGCACAGCATACTCAAGTTGGAGGGAGATTGAGGAGCAGCTGAATTCTTTATGCTCACTACCGATAATTTCTGACGTAGGCGAGTCTTCCCAAAGCGCTTCCGAGAGGGTATCGGCTCTCAACTGATCATGTCTGGGAATACTATGGTGGTGACAACATCCCACCTGTCTTGTCATCAAGTCAAGGTCCTCCAAGTGCCGTCAGACGTGCAGAGTATTACCCTCGAGCAATGAATTTGAGAAAAGTATATATCAACTAAGAACTTCCCAACATATAAACCTTCTCTCTCCTAAGATAATCAATTACTCAACAACGATCGACGGAAACGCAGAGTCGTTGGTGTGCGTGGCAAGTCTGCAGTAGAGTCTTGCTGTGAAGATACACTTTATACATGGCCCGATGTTGAGATGTGAGGCAGTACTACATAGATAACGAGCAGGTCAGTGATACCAAACTCTGATCTTGTGCTCCAAGTACCCAGTCAATCCCGCTATACGGAGAATAAAATCCAGAGCTGAGTTGCAAAATAATCAGGGATCATGGACCTGAACATTTCTTCTCTTTCAAGCCTCAAGCTCAGACCTTGCTTGTCCATGAAGTTAAGGGAAAGCTCCATGAAGTTGCGAGAGAAAAGCTTCGACGTCCCTACCTTGTTACCAAAAGTGATTTTAGTCTGGACCAACTTGAAATTTCAGGAATGGGTGATCGGACTATGTGAACACATACCACAGTGCTTGCACTAGAACCAAGATGTCAGGACTCAGGAACATCTTCAATCACCAGAATACCGTCTTGATCAAGAAAAGTCAACCCACTAAGTAAAACTATCCCATTGCTATAGTCGGCTAGGATTGTTGCAACTTCGACTCGCTTTCTACGTGGAAGGAAAAGGGCAAGGGACAGAACACAAGTTATCACTGGTGTACGACTTGAGCAATTAATAGCTGTGGAATTTGGCTAGCAACTCGTCCCGCCGTACACACAGCTTATACACTTCTCATTGCACCACTCGCTTCAACCCACAGAATGCCTTTCCGTAACGTTACCGCCGTGTCCAAGAAGCGTATGGCTGCCAGATCAGCAGAGGCATCAACAACACCACCACTAGAAGGAAGAGATCAGGTCAATGATTCTGCACGTACCTCGCGGGTCTTGAGACAACGCACTATAAGATAGCGACCAGGCAAATAGCCATAGAGTGAAGGAAGAGACACAGCAGAAGATTCACAAACCTGACGACCTCCCTCACTCATCTTTCCCAGCTAAAAGATGACTAGAGTTTGGAAAGCATGAGAGAACACATCAGCGCCTCGCTTGAGATTTCGGATTCGGCGATAAGATGAAGATCGTCATGTCTTTGGTCAGTAACCAGAACACTACACTACAACGACAACCTTTTATACTCCCCTCCTAAACTAGCAAAATGCAAAAAGTAAGAACATTCGTATACACGACTACCAAAAAAACCAAGTATACTCAACGCGTTCAGTTTCCGAAAATGCCATTAGGACATGTAAAAGTCTCATACCTGATTCCTATAAAATCTAGCCATCCCGTTTGATGCTCGCTAGTGGACAAGCACGAAGCAAGCTTGGCATACTACGAGAGACCTCATTCCGAGCGAGCAACTTAAACCTAGCAAGTCGAGACCAGGAAAGAAAGACACCAGGTCCACGATCCCACTAGCTGAACAAATCTCTTGCCAGATTCAACATATGCAAGAACGTGAACCAAAGGAAGCACAGAGAACGTAAATATCTAGGAGACTCACTGACCTAACCATTCTCTTTTGAACACCTTGGAATTCGGTTCTGCGAGCTTCGATATCGCTGGTCGTTTTAATCGAGCCGATTGTTCGTTCCATGGATATTTGGGGGTGATGTTCTTGAGACATGCTCCGTATCATATTACCAATTGTGGTCTAAAAGAGAGGTTTTATACTTTGTGCAGCCCACCAGCGCATAAGATTTGGACCCTCTTTACATCAGTAAGAGAAAAATACAACCCTGGAGCTCGCATTGTTAAAGACCGAAGGTCACCAACTGAGAAATATGATGAGATGAGGACGTGAATGACATACTGCAAACAGCATCTAAGTGACTATGAGATTACTAATCCGCACACCTTTGCTCGTGAAATAGTACCTCCTCCTCACTCCGATACCAGGTACCTCTGTATCTTCTTTCTTTGCCTTTGCCTTTGGCTTCGTCGTCTTCTTTGCTTTCTTCTTGCCGGTCTCTTTCGGCTGAGATTCTGTTGCTCCGGTCTCTGCATGTTGTCCGGGTAAATTATTCTGTTGCCGACTTTCCTGGATGGTGACTGCACCAGTGTTGTCTACAATGGCAAATGTGCTGGCGCCGCGAACAAAGGTTTCCCAAACCGTTTGGCCTCCAGGTACGAGAGCGAGGCAGATGGGATGACGTCTTGGCAACCCTTTTGGCGTTAGTTGTGCTTCGTCAACCAGAGGTCTAGTCCCTTCGTCGCTACCAAAGCTGACGACTAACACTATCTGTAGAGCTTTTGCAGATGGTGGAAACGAAGGGATGGCGGCAAGCTTTTTGCTGAAGCTACAACCACCTCTTCGAATGATGAGAACATTGTGTGTGGAAACAAGGTCGAGAGGTAGCGGCGAGGTGTTACAGAGATCAGAGTCGACGACAAGGATGCTGGTGTAAGGAAGATGACCGGTAGGAAGACTGCGTGGATCCACTGCTGAATCGATTGTTGCGGGCAATGGTGCCGCACCAGGTCCAATAGGTAACATTGCCGGGGTGGTGAAGCGTTGTAGTCCCTTCGGCTGCTGGTAAGGCATCTTGGTGGACGATGAGGCTGCTGGTGACTTTGATCGTAGCTGTTTAGCTGCATCTCGAAGAGCATCATCAATACTATCAGCGTCTGGCAGAACACCCACAAGACCATCAAGCTGTTCAGCAAGGCGATGCACGTCAGCAAAGAGGGCTTTCGGTAGGGAATCCAATACCATTTCTCCAGGGCTGGATGTGGCATCTAGCGCGTCCAAATCGAAGTCCAGATTGAAGTCAAAGACATGGTCGTTCATAGCGGAGTTGTTGTAGACCAGAGCTTCGATAGCAGGTTCTGCAGGATGCGGTACATCGATGATGAGGTCCATGGCTTCGACATCGCGCATGCGTGTGAAATGTGGATCCGTCGGATTGATCTGTGACAATGTATCTCGGCTCAATGCGATGTGCTCATCGCGGCCAAGAGCGAAGTTGCCTAATGTGTATATCCTGTATTCATCCTCGTCAGGCCCAGCGTCCTCTAAGACCATGCCAAAACGTAGTCCAGAGATTGAATTGACAAGAACACCTCCGTCAATCTTCTGAAGTGTGCCAATCTCGAGACCAGTGCCAACAGTAGTTGGAAATGTAAGGTCGAAAGTTGGCTTGTTGGACAGCTTGGTACTATAACCGTCTGCCGGAATCAGATCTAGAGGCAAAGTCCAAGGATAGAAAGTGAAGTTGGTTGGCGATTCAGGACCGAGCATGGTCACACTTGGATGGTCGGAAGCCCAATCCAATGACGGAGCACCAGGCTTGTTGCCAACGGGCATTAGATGGAGTCGAGCCAGGGAAGCAGCGTGGAATATGTCTGACCGAGCTGCAGTGGAGGATATCGTCAGAGGTAACAAAGGCGGTGGGAGCGGACATTGCTCGGCTGTCGGTGGTAGAGCGGCACTGAGCGAAGTATCCTTCTCGGCGTGGTAACGCCTCGTCCTTGTTCTGTTTGCCTTGGGTATAATCAATGGGTGGCCTTCTGTGGTGAAAACCCAAGGCGCATCGATATTGTTGAGCGGATGATCAGGGTCAAACAACAAATACATGTACTTTGCTGTCTCACCCAAGAAAAAGCTTTCCATGCGATCGCTTTGCTCGCCTGTTCGGACATCTTGCAGACCAGCCCATCCACATTTTGTATAACATCTGCGCTTGATATCACGCAGTGCCATCTCACCTATATGCAGATACCAAGGGTCTTTGGTGGCATGATAGATGTACCATGTGGATTCAATGAATTCTGGTCGGCCACCCCACCACTTGAGACCACCATGAATTGCACCAGTAGTTGCATCCCATCTTTCAGGCAAAGCACCGTAGCGCGACCAAAGAGCAGTATACAAGAGGTGAGCTGTCATAGCTTCATCCAACTCACCAGCCAAAACCAGCAGACCAGGGTAGTAAGCACTGAGACTGTCTATCCAAGTAAGTCGAGGCCCGCCGGTATAGAGGTCATTCTGAGCGTAATGCGGATGTGTAAAGTATGCGTCCCGATAAACATGTCTCATAATGGCGGAGTGAGCATCTTTCCAAGTCTGGAGGAAGGCGTCTGGAGAATCCTCGGTCATGTTGTACGAGTCACCTGTCAATGCAGATAACAAGATGTGCGACTTGAAGGCGTACTCGAAGAAACTGTCGATACCAGCACCGATACCAGTCCAAGGACCGATCCACGCACCAGTCTCTGCGTCGATGCCAGCACCGATAAGGCCGGAAGCACTGCGTCGTTCCCAGACAGCCCAGAAAGCACGCTTGGCCAGACGTTCGAAGCGATCATCATTGGTCAGGCGCGAGAGTGTGGTAAATTCGAGCACAAGACTTCCAGCACCAGCGCTACAAGTCTCAGTGATCTCACGAGCCCCCTTTGGCTTTTGTGTTTTGTGACATTGACCGTGTTCCGCATCGTTGTTGAGGGGTGAGTTTTCGTAAAAGGGAGTGCCGTAGCGAAGATTGACTCGCGGATAAGGCAGTCCGGTTGGAGTGTGGAAGGCAGGCAAGAGACGCTCTCCCAAGTCCTGGGCAAGTCGCAACAACTGACCATCATAGACAAAGCCGTTTGGCCAGTGTATCCCATCCTCTTGAATGTCTGGTTCGTAGCCGCGGATAGGCAGTTCACCAATGGCAAACAGATGAGCACTCAAAAGGCCACCCAAGCCACGGATTGTCGTCTCAAAGACTTGAACTTTGCTATCCAAATCAAAACCTCTAGCACGTCGACCCTGACCAGCAGGACCAGGCGAGCCATCTCCATATTCTTCTATCACCAACTCGACATACTCTTGAAAGTCATCCAGGGCATTGTAATGGTCCAGATCGGATTCTGGGTCTGAAGCGAGGATAGCAAGGGTGGAAAGACTGTCCACAACCGAGAGCGAGTAGTTGCCGAGAACATCATTGACCTCGATGTGAGCGGGATTGACACGATCGCGCGTCAAAGGCAGACATGACAGGGGTCGCAATTCATCGTCCGGGTATGCAAATTGGCGATAGTTGGTCAGACCGTGGTAAAAGACAGATCGAGTTTCTTTTCTGATGCACGTATAAGCATTTGTATCAAGTCGTGAAGGATGAAAGATAGATGGTTACCTAAGAGCATTGATCTCAGACTTGGTCATTGCCTGGCCAAGGGAGGCGCAAACTATCAGCAGGCATGATATCGAAAGCCATGACTGGAACAAGGCCTGAGATCGCGGCCGAGGGTGAACAAGCATTCCCAAGGCTGCATGGAGAGGAAATCAGGGCATGGTACTCAATTGTGATGTTCGTAGAGAATACCTGTCTTGATTCAGCAGGTGCAAGAGGCATTCCGTCATCGGTGCTTTGCGACGCCGACTGGCAGGCAGCTTTCGAGACTTTCCCGTTCCTTCCACTTCTGTCGAGCCACATTATTTTGTACCATCTTGTTCCGCGACTGCCAAAAGGACTCGACGAGTCGCATACTCTAATCTTCAGCGCGGGCGCAATCTCGATCTAGTCTTCATCTCCGCGCATAACCTTGACACACGATGCTTTCGCGCGCAGCGCAACGTGCGGCAAAGGCCCCAATTGCCCACTTTACCACTTCTGCCCGCTCTCTCGCAAAACCCAGTCGCTTTGTCCCTGCAGGTGCTGCTGCCCCCAAGACTGCAAAGCAAGCTCCCGCTGCAACTCCCCGTCAACCTCCTACCACTTCTGCCCGCCAAACGTCACCGGGCACTAGCATTCCCAAGGACAAGACATGGAAGCCCACAGATAGCATCAAGTTCGCTGCTCCTGCTGCCGCCGCTGCTGCTTCGCAAGCTCCCAAGCCCACCTCCGAGCCTGTCCGTCCCGCCGCCGATGGTCCCGTATCACCAGATGGCTCTGCCAGCACAAGGGCCGCTCCCAGCGCAAACACCGAGCCCACATCCCAGCCCGGTCCTTTCCCCAAGACCTCATCCTCTGAGCAAGCTTCAGAAGCTAGTAACCCTGCTTTCTCGGGTCCCCAATCCGCCGAGTCAAACACAACTCCCACAGAGCAACCTACCGAATCGCAACCCTCAGGTCCTCTGCCTGACTTGCGCCAAGGCATTCCCTCAACTTTCGATTTCGAGTTCATGAAGAAGGAGGCTAGTGCACAGAACCCTACTGAGCAAAAGGTTACTGGTGAAGAGATTCCTGAGTCCAATGCTGAAGCTACTGGTTCTGGTGGAAGACGTGGTGGTGAGGGAGAGGATGAGCAATACCGTCGCGAGGACTATGAGACATCATTTGACAAGCGTCGCGCCAGAATGGCCAACTACGGTTATCTCTCGTTGTTGGCTTTCGCTGCTGCCGGTACCGCTTATTTCACCAGACCCTACGGAGCCGACGAGACCCCTCAAGGTCTTGAGCCTGAGCACATCACCGGATGGGCACCGCAAAGCATGTACGCTCGTGTCAAGAACCGCATGAGCAGCCAAGCCGCCTACTACACCGAGCCTACCTTCGACAAGTTGCTTCCTGAAGTCCCCGAGTCTCAGCGTCCCCCTTTCACCCTCGTCCTCTCCCTGGAGGATCTCCTCATCCACAGCTCATGGTCTCGCGAGCACGGCTGGCGTACTGCTAAGCGCCCCGGTGTCGACTACTTCCTCAAGTATTTGAGTCAGTACTACGAGCTGGTTCTCTTCACCTCTGTACCTGTCGCCATGGCCGATCCCGTCATCAAGAAGCTTGACCCCTTCCACATCATTCAGTGGCCCCTGTTCCGTGAAGCGACCAAGTACGAGAACGGCGAATACGTCAAGGACTTGAACTACTTGAACCGTCCTCTTGACAAGGTCATCATGATTGACACTAAGGCCGCACATGTCAAGAACAACCCCAACAACGCGTATGTCTAGCCATTTTCCTGCTTACTGTAATTTATACTGACTCTCGCGCAGCATTGTCCTGCCCAAGTGGGAGGGTAAGCCTTCAGACCCTCACGCCAAGGACCTCGTCGCTTTGATCCCCTTCCTCGAGTACGTCGCCACTATGGGCGTTGAAGACACCCGCAAGGTCCTCGAATCTTTCGCCGGCTCCGATATTCCCACCGAGTTCGCCGCCCGCGAAGGCAAGGCCCGCGAGGCTTTCCAAAAACAGCTCGCCGACGAGCAATCACGCCGTCCCCAACGTTCCATTGGTGGTCTCTTGAACAAGGCCCTCGGCATCAAGGCACAACCCGGCGGTCTCTCGCTAGACAATGAAACCACCGTCGCTGAGGGTCTTTCCCAAGGCAAGATGCTCTCAGACCAGATCCGCGAGCGCGGCCAACGCGAATACCAACGCCTCGAAGCCGAGATCCAAAAGAACGGCGAGAAGTGGCTCAAGGAGATGGAAGAGGAAGAGAAGAAGTTCATGGAGAACATGTCCAAGGATATGAAGAAGAGTTGGTTCGGCTGGGGCTCAGCATCAGGAGCCCCTGCCGCCAGCGAGACGGCAAAGAGACAGGAGTAGATCTTCGAGTCTCTGATGGCTGCCTTTTCACGTTCTTGCACTAGGGAAGCCATGAGTCCATCTTTTTACATGGGTTGACATTGCGAAGAAGATGAAAGATGAAAAATTTGATGATGGAAGATGGAAGAAGATGAGAAGTGCTCATCACATGTATTTCTATTGCGGCATGCATTGCTTGCTTGCCTTTGCCCTTCGGTGTAAAAATGTATATCACGTCCTTTACTCTTGTACTCTCACGCCTTCTCATCATCCAACTACTCCGCTGTCAGCATATCCACATTTGACGCGGCAGTCACACTGGTGCATCAACAGCGGACTCGTTCTTTTCACGGGCGACGCGGAGTTTTAATACCACTACCTTCTGTACAGACCATTGTCACACAACGCTCGACCATAGCGTCAGAAGCCAGTAACCCTCCTGCTTTCCCAGACCCATCACTCGGTCAGCTGGAGCGGAGTGTGACATGAGAGGCGATCAGGTCTGTGATCCTGCTGGACTACACATGATCTCGCACTCGTATGACAGACGCGTTACGGGGGGATGGACCGGAAACCTCCACAAAGAGAAGAAGAGATGTCTGATAGTGCCATTGACCCGATCGATTTCCATCGCTTTGCTTTGTCTTCCATTATGTCTTTGGATGAGTCCATTTCTTCCACCGAGCACCGATTTTCGAATTGTGGTCAAGCGACATTCTTCCAATGCCACTTGAGTCCTGGTGGCAATCTAGGAACGAGAGAATTAAGTGTTTTATAACAAGGAAGGAAGTCTGCGGGTTGAGAAGCTGGGGATATATTTTGACGAAAGTTTTGATATTATTCAAGTCACCTTGTACGTTGATATCGTGAAGCCAAACTTCGCTCTTACAGACAGAAGAACTCTCTTGCGTTTCGCCTTTCGAACACTTACTTGCTACATCTTTAGTTCCCCAGAGGTTTGCATTGCCCATTTCCTCCAATGATGGATATGTGTGCCACGAATGGTAGGATATTAATCAAGCATAACATCGCTCTGACTCAGTTCTATCTCTTCGGAATGAACGCCATCAAGGACTTTGATACTGTGTTTCTCGATCTGAGTGCTTTCGAGAGTGAGAAATCAGGGTAGCCTACTAGCCTTGCAGGATAAGTGGTAACGAGGGCAACCAGGTCAGTGATCCTGTCATGTGTTTCCATATCCACGATGTCGAAACTTGAGAAGGTGATTGGGGTGTAATTGTAAAATCGAGGGGAAGTATGGGTATTGGATTCACGGACCTGATGATCTCCTCTGTGGTCTCCCTTCCTATCCGGCTCGCCCCTTTGGATCCGCATGAAGGAGAACCCCTCTCACCTCCTCAACTTCTCGGCGAGTGTTTCTTGTGTATTGAAAACCAACTTTCGCTTTTTGCCCATGGCGGTCGACGTAGATGGGGTAGGGTAATGATCAGGTGCTAGTGTCGGTTCGACCGTCGGACTTTGGCTTACGAACACAGCGGCAGGTGAGGTGACAAGCGAAATGTCAGAGTCAAAAGTTTGGTTGTAGTCCGGGTCTACTGGAAGACCGGTGTCGTGAGCGGCTTCGTCGACGTGAACTCTCGAGTAATCGCTCTTGTCGTCTTTGACCCTCGACTCATGGCTGTCGCCGTCTTTGATCCTCGAACTTCTGATGCTGAACATCGTTTGACAGTCAGTCCCATCGCATGATTGGTCTTGTTCTTCTGCTCTGAGAATGAACTTTGTAGCTCAATATCCGGAAGTCAGGTCGTAAGGGTCACGCTTCTGAAGTTGAAATGTTTCTTGTCGACTATCTGACTATCCTTTTTTACTGATCTTCCAGTATCTGTCCATCTGTCTTTTTCTCTCATTGATAGTCTGGCACCTGGCGCTTCTTAGTGTGAGCAACAAGAGCACGTCTTGCTTTCCAACAATAGCAAGAAGTATATAATAACCACTCTACAGACAAACACTTCTCACCCTATCTGTATTACAATCACAATATACCAGACGTGCGATGGACGTCGACTCAGAGCGAGTATCCATCTCGATCCCTGCTATCTTAGCCGTGTGAGTGTCAAAACAAGGAGATCGTGTATGATGAATCATGGGGTCTGTGATACTGTTAGACTGAAGGTACTCTCGAGTCTGATGATACGTGGCTGTGTTTTGAAACAAGATGTGGGAGAAACGTAGGAAGGGGAGATATTTGAGGTTCATAGACCTGATCAGTTCCTTCTTTTTTGTCCTTCTGTTCCTTGAGTTAATAGAGATCCAGATTCAAAGCACGCATCTCTTGTAGCCTTGATCGTTGTAGGATGATTAATACAATTCGATGGAATCTTCATTGTGATAGTGACGATCACGGTAACCCAAGGAGCAATATCTACACAGGATGACTGCTGTCTTTCTAATCTGTACTGAATCTTCCATTTTCATTTTCCCGTGCTGTTACTTCATCTTTCACCTCATACCTGTCTATCTCTTGAGTCACAGATTCCAATCAGGTATGACGGAGAGTCTCGTAGCCATACAAATCACAGTCTTGGCCACCGAAAGTCGGCTGTGTAAATGATATATAATCCAGCATTCCCGAACACTTTCCAATACTCACTATCCAGTAATTCGGAAACACACTATTGGGTTAGAATCACAAAGCCATGGAAATGCGCTGTCCAAACCTCCGGAGAATGCAGCAATATCCAGAACACTCACGTACAAGAAGACATCAGGTCAATGAGTCCAGACCATAAAACTTGTTCCGAAGTTGATGGTCTTAGATTGCATCAAGATAGAGAGACACAAGTAATACAGGAGAGGGGGCTACAGTTTTGGTGTCGTGGACCTGATTGCTTTCCAACCTCTCCCTTGGAGTTGCTCGATTTGAGGAAGATCAAGACACTAGCAAGCAAAGCATCACACAGGAGTTTCGACTCTCGAAGATGAGAGGTCGTCAAGCTTAATCATGGTATGTAGTCTTGGTGTCGCGGAAGATCCTTTTTATACGGCTTGTGTGTCGAAATCTTGTTCGAGCTTGACTCTTTGCGAACTTTATCTCTTGAGCATCATTGTTAGATGCGTTCCATCGCGCTGGTCTCGCGGTATTGATCTAACCCGGATGGATACAGCTTCATCGCAGCCAGAAGCCTCGGAAACTTGTGACTAGGGCTCGAAGGACCACGAAGTCAATCCAACTTTATGTATTGATCATAAGTGTCACGCTCATCGTCCACTTGCGGTCAATATCCAGAAAGGAATCTTGAAGCCGAAACGAAGGACGATGGATGTTGAGAATCAAAAATGGACCCAACCACAGTATAAAAGACGCTTCTCACATCGCACTCCTACAATCAGAGGAAGATCTGCACGCAGCACACGAAAGACAGTGCGCTCAACCGGAGAACAGAAACCACACACCTTCATTCTACAGCGGAGAGATGAGCCCTACCAGTGACCATACAGAAGAAAGCACCAGGTCAGTGAGTATGATAGCGCATGCAAGCTCCCAAGCCCAAGAAGTAGAATATACGCTAGCATCTCAAAGCAGGAGAAGGGGTCGGAAGTCTAAGCATCACAGACCTGATGATCTCCCTGCCCTTCCACACACTGTGGTTCTTGTTAGAGGGTGGACTACGTTAGGCACAAATTCGAAGGACTCGTGGCGGCGAGAGGACGGAGGGATAGTGACACTGGAGTGCCATGCTCTGGTCAGGAATATATATATTCGAACTAGAATATGACCGTGGGCTTGCTTTATAACAACTAGTTTTGAAATCGGGTGACTCTCGAACTTAGAGGCGATAAAGCATTTGAAGACTGACAACGATGGCGGCCCAATCCACGAATTCAAAAGCGTGATGTGCGCGATTTGTGCTGGAAGATGAAAGAAAACAGTTCTTACAATCCAATTACGAATCATTACCACTCATAGGCAATCCATCAGTACCTCTACCATGATCCTCCTTCATCACTTCACCACCAACAACCAATTTCTCACAATCTTGCAACACAAAAGTCATCCTGGCCCACTTGTCACTACTCGGGTTCCTCCAACTGTGCATAGTCGCCCTCTGCACAGCGATGTCACCCGGTCCCATCAGCTGTCTCTCTCCAGAGTCCAAGACCAATTCAATTTCTCCCTGAATCACGATGCCATAATCCAGACTTTGCGTTCTGTGCATCATGCACTCAAAACCTGGGGCGAAGTCTACCGTGCGACAAACTGTGCCGTGAGGGTTTACCAGACCGAGTTTGCCGGATGACAATACGTGGTCGTAGGTCTTGATATCAGCGTTATCGTTGAGGTCTGCTGGGAATTGAGAGGTCGTGTAGGCGACGTTGAAGGCCATCTCTTTGTTGTCGTAGACGGTCCAGTTTGCAGGGCGTGTTGCTTCGACAATTGCTTTGCCGGTATCATTGTGGCCGGTGAGATAAGTTGTTATAGATGGCAAGTCTGAGATCTGAGGCTGTTGAGAAGGCATGATGATGGTGTTCTGTTGCTTGGCCGATGGTTCAGTCAATTGAAGGTCGAGTTGCTCGGACAGTGAAATTGTAAGAAGCGATGCGAAGATTTGGCAATGATAATCAATTAGGAAAGAGCGATTGTTATACATACACCTTCTGCGTACCCCGCTTTTGATCATTGTGGTCAGGCATCGGGTAGGTCGCACTTGGAGTGGACGCTGACGCTCTATTTCGGGACCCCTCGAATGCCGGTGGTATTCGGAGAATATCATTAATAGAGGGGAACGATCGTCAGGTCCACCTTTGAGGTTCATACATACAAGAGCCTTCACATACCGATGCATGCTCTCTGTTCAGTCGATGCAAAGGGAGCACATAGACATTGCAACAGATAATCGAGCAGTGTTGTTAAGTTCGGGTGGAGGATACGGTGACACCACTCCATTCCGTTGTGGTCCATCCAAAAAGTGGCTCAGTCGCCGAAACGTCTGACCGCATGTGAGCCCTCTAGAGGCCTGCAGACTCGGAATGCTTTGGTGAATCTTGAAGATGGTCTTGCCAGAGTGAATGAGGTGTCGCGTTAGTGCAGCCAAGCTCGTTCTGCCATGGCTGTTCACCGCCTTCCGAGCCACATCGACGTTGTGCCCGCCCGCCCACGCCCATTCAGAAAAATGTCACATTCGATCATTCACTGGGTGGATGAGGACATGGAGTACCAATTGGCTAAGCACTGCTCAAAGCGAAGCTTCGAGCCGAGTCGAAGACAGACACAAAAAGCGAAGCAGGAGAAGTATCACAGGTCAATGAATCATCTCTTGATCATCGTATGAGAGTAAGTGGTTATCCTAATCATATTGGCAATGGGATCAGCAGACAATGAGAGTAGGGAAGTCATTGACCTGATACTTTTCTCTTCTAGCTTCTCGACCACGAACACGGTGATCTGAACGACGCATTTGAAAAACATTGGCAGCACGACAATGAGGTGGTATGCCCATTCGGTTGGATGGAGAGACTTGAGTGGCTTGAAACGTAGCTTATATACCTACACAAGCTGCTGCTTCTTCCTCATGAAGGTAAGACATCGTCCGGAAATGGTAGGGTACAAGGTGCAAAGAGAATGTCGGGTGAAATTTTGTCCCGAATTGCAACATTCGTTTTATCAATCTCATCCGCCAACACGAGTTGACTATGCCTCCAATCTATTCACACAACTAGAGTCACAGAGGCTATTTCATCACTCCATATTCTACCATTGCCCAGCTATAAGATCTAACCTATCCTGAACACTCTAACAAGAACATTGTTGGAAAGAGTCCTAAACACGGGCAGGCTCGGCAGAATCGATGGGATAGAACGTACAATCGGCGAGTCCGGAGACTCTAAGGTCGAAGCTGCTCTAAAATTGTACCAGTGGGAAGAGCGAAAGGGCCACAGGTCAATGTAGCCTCGTCTCCATAGTGTGCCCTTGTCTCGGTGTTGTAGGCGGAAGTTTCCCTTCCAAGAATCGGATAGGGGAGAGAGTAAGTAGCTTCATTGACCTGATGTCTTGCCTTCATTTCGAATCTTTTCCTGCCTTGAAACTCCCAGTTGTAGAGCAACACCAGATGTGAGAAGCGGTAACACCGACCGTCTACCTCCGAGTTGAACGGATTGCTCATGGATGAAATTGTAAAGGTTGCCGGTGGCGGCTGGCAACAATTAAATATGTAACGTGTTCGCCTGTTGAGCGCAGTCGTCCGCAGCATTGAGAGTGAAGACTAAGATCACCGCCATATCCCAACATCGTCTATCTCTCGTCACACCGACTGAGACTGGTAGGGGCTTCGTATACACGGTAAAAAGCGCATGCTAATCAACAGTCCTCACCTACAACTTTGATCCACAATGTCAGCTATATAAGCCGTGTCTTTCCACCTACCCAAAGCGCTCACCTACCGTCGTACCGGGGTCGAGCAGAGATGCAAGGTCAAAAGCTTTGGTCAATCACCTCGGGGTCTTGTACTATTCATACGATGGTTGACATTATTGAAGCAGAGGAAGCAATAGAGAGAAGATACACAGGTCTGTAAACCATTACTTTCGCGACCTCATATTCCCAAAACGAATTTGGTATTCATGTAGCAAGAAGCGTAGAGAGCGGGTAGGATCATTGACCTGATGCTTCACTTTCATCATCTCTCCTTTTACTAGCAGCTAGAGTTACAAGACACAAATGAACTAAGCGTAGCAGCAACTACGATAAAGGGTAGTCTGTTGAAGTGAGCTCACAATTCTGTGTCGCCAATTGTGCGTATGGAAGAACCCAAGACACCTTGGAGAAGAATGTTTTTTATACTTCTTACATCACTGTTCTTACCTCTAAGCTTTAACTCTTGAACAGCACGATCTCTAACACAAGAGCATAGACATTGCACAGATAATTCTCCTACTCCGAGATCGTTAGGTACATCTCTAACCGCGAATATATAAATCTTGTACCTTGCTAGCTTGAACTAAATTCACTGAAGAAACTGGTCTCCACGTTGAGTTTCAAACGACGAGTAACATCTTGCAATGGCAATTCGGACTGTGATGTCACAGAAAAACAGGAAGCAAAGGCACTGTTACAGGTCTGTGAAGCATAACATTTCCTCTGCCGCCTGAGCAGTAAAGCTTTGAATGGGAATCAGATACGATTACGATCTGTTAGGCATAGAAGTGCTAGGGAGAGGCATCACTGACCTAATGCCCTTTGCTTCCGCCACACTTCCTGTATGTTAGCCGCAAGATCCGAGTAAACGATTTCGTAGACAGCACAAACAATACTCGGGTGACCCAGATGGCCAGAGTATGATAATTGTGGTTATAGTTATGATCCGGACTATAAAGGCGTAGAGGTGGAGGTAAGATCGAGCATCCTGCAATATTTAGCAACCGCAAAAAGATGAGATACTGTAGCTTTTACTGCATGTATTGCGGACGTTTAAGATCAGTTAATTCGTACAATCGCAACCTCTATATTTAGATATATAGAGATCCCTACCAACACGCCGATAACATCTACGGAGGGGCTCCCTCTCTTTATCAGGATACTAGCATCTCGGCTTCTGTATACAGATCTCGGATAAGGAGCTTCACACGGGGAAGAGAAAGAAGAAGGAATAACAGGTCCGTAAACCAAAATCTCGCCTCCAATACTCGACGACCAGAGGTCTTTCTCTCGAATCAGAAATTAGCATGGCGAGAGGCAGAGTTCTAAGAAGTAAGTAAAGACAAAAGTATCTCTGACCTGATCCTTTCCCTGCCCATCCCTTCCTCCTCTCCTTTATAAGTCTACTTTTCCTATCAACCACGACTTATGGTTGAGGAGTGAAAGCGATCCGCTGTTCATTTCTCATGCAGTAATCGTAGAATTGCGAGGCGGGGTGTTTTATACTTCACACCTGGCCTTATATCTAGAGCGCACTACCTTGTAGAATAAACCGCAAACACATGAATACGAGAAAGCAAGAGATATGTTGTAATCTCAAGTCATCATGTACATCTCTATCTACAACTATATAAACTCCCTATTTCCAGTCTTAGTTGTTTTTTTACTACAGACGTCACAGATATGCACAATGGTGTTCGTAGCGGACATCGCAGCTACAAGTGCCATCAAGACAATCTCTTGATATAATAAAGCAGGGAGGGGAAGAACTAGCACAGGTCAATGAATCACTTTTGCCCTACCTACACGTCTAGCCAAAACAAGATCAATCTTTCCAAATCAGATATCGAAGTCTTACAAACCACGGCAAGGAAGAAGGCAAGACAAGACAGAAGAATCATTGACCCGATCCTCACCTTCCCTTGCATCTCCTTTATACCATCTTCTGGTGAAAAAGTCGAGCAAACGACATTCCAAAAGAGGCAGGCAGCATACAGACTCCACACCAATGGTGGTTAGTGCTGGCGATCATGGGGTTGAAAGATAAGGTGTTGAGAGGGGAGATTTTATAACATCCACGACCGCTGTTAACTTGATCTCTTTCACCACATGCATGACTCTTGAGCATATCCATGTCGCGTATATGTAAAAAGCAGATTTGAAATTTTGTCCAAAAAAAAAAAAGAACAGTCGTTATGTATATGCACCACTCTTCCACATCTACCCATGGGTGTATGTATGTATTGTATGCCTAAACGCCATTCCTTGTATACAAAGTCCCAAACCCTTCACACATCACCACACCAATCTCTTTCCATCACTCATCCCTACACCCCCTCAATTGCTTGCCCATACACCCCAAACACCCACACCTTCCAGGTCCTTCCCCCTGACATTCCATCATCAAAGCCGCCGGACCCTCTCTAACAGCCGCCGCGACGGCAAATGCCAGTGTCAGAGAAAATCTCACCCACAGCCATGGAGAATGCCTGCTCAACATGGGCGCTTCCTGTTCTCTCCTCTGTCTTCTTTCATCTTCAAACGTACACGCAGCAGCAGAAGCAGAAGCAGAAGGAATTTTCCTACGTCGAGAAGGACAAGGCGATATTTCCAAATCTTCAGAATCCGCGTCAAAAGCTCGCTCTTCATCATTTTGATCTACAGCACTTCTGGAGGAAGAGCGAGAGGAGCGATGGCTGCAGGTTTTGCGGTGGGGTGAAGACATGAGAAGAATGGCATTTTCATGCAAAGAACAAGCCATTAATCTTCTGGTCGCCATGGGACCGAGAAGCGCGTGTAGCAGCATCCATTGGAATCTGTTTAATGTTCTGCTGAGCAGGAAAGCTTGATGTGCTCTGCTCACACATCGTCTGGCGATTGCAAAAGGGGAGCGCAATAGTTCTCTGACCCGGGCTAATACACCATTTTGTTTCGGGGGTGATGGGCGCGAGGAGGAAACTTGACGGGAAGGTGGATACAGGGATAATCCGGTGGCTTCGGACATACTGCGTTGATGGCGCAATCGCAAGTTTCCGGAGATGTTGCGTTGTTGTATTGAGGTCGTGTGAGAAGCTACTTCCACAGGTCTGGCGTTTAGAGAAGCGAAGGGTGTAGGGCCGGAGGAGGCAGTTTCGGTCTCATCGTCGTTTCTTGCTGCGTGAAGTTCTTCGAGGAGGTTGCGGCCTAGATTGGGTCCTATGGAGGAGTAATCGCGCGGTGTGGAGTCTGTTGCCGTTTGGGGAGGAGTTGGTGTTTTGTCGTCTTCATCTTTGGTCGATGGTAATGAGCTTTCAAATTCGACATTATTGTTGGTCGAGAAAGTGTGCAAAGAAGATGTACCCAAACCATCCACAGTTGTCCTCGCCCTTCTCCGTCCAGTGACAGGACTGACATCACTCCAACTATTTCTCCTAGGCCTCACATCAACATCCGGGAACGGAAAATGCCTAGGAGATTCATGTGGTTCCATGACGGGTGCGGTAGCAAGAATAGGCGCCAATTGCGCAGCCGACAAGATCAACGGTTTGGGCAAATGACTTCCTCCCTGGAATCTTCTCATTCTTCGATTGGGGCGAGCGGATGCGCGAGAAGAAGAGGCAGGAGGGTCTTGGGAGAGCAAGAGGCTGAAATCGATACTGTTGCGGGAGGCGTCGCTGATGAAGGATTCTCGCTTAGAGGCATCATATTCGGCATCGCTGGTGTGGTTGTCGAAGTAGTCGTGGACGATGGCGTCTGAGCTGTGAGGTCTGTTTTCGTCTGGTTCCTGCTGCTCAGGCATGGAAGCTTGTTGAAACAAGGATCCAGCAGTCGGGAAACGGTGGAAAGACAATCTCTTCTGACGGGTGCTTCTTGATTCCTTGGAGAAAGGCGGTTGAGCAAGTGGCGTCTCAGTCTTGATAGGCGACGTGACTAGCAAGTGTGCGAAAGTCTCTAGTCTGCGTTCAAACTCGACATTGGCTGCTTCTGCAATCTCCAGGGCTTTTCTCGTGGCGTCGAGTTGTGCTTGTAGTTCTTTAACTTTTTGCATGTGCGTGTCGCTGTCGGCTTCGAGGAGGTTGATTCTAGCACGCAGGTTGTATTCGACACCATCATGCTCTTCCATGACTTGCAGGACCCTCTCGTCAAACTCGGCTTCCCACCGCTGGTTCTCCTCTTCTAATCTTCTGATGTCTTGGTTCAGCAGGCGGATCTTTTGACCCTTCTCTTTGGTCACTGATGGTGAAGTCAACGATGCTAACTGTGTCTGGTAGGCGGCGAGTTCTGATTCAAGGTAGGCGATGTGCTGATCTGCTTGCTCGCTGTCGGGGTTGCTCTTGTACGATTGAGTGCGTTGGTGCTTCTTTCTCGACTTTGTGAGGTTGGGTGCCTCTGGTGGGAGACTGTCGCGTTGTTGTCAGTGTAACTGTTCATGCAAGTAGTGGGGCAGTCTTGTCCTACCATGCTGGTGACGACTCGAAGCTCCATAGCTTCTCGTCGCCATTCTCATCTGCAAAGACAGACAGAACTGAGTCGTGTTTGTTCTTGTTCTTGTCTTTCCGTCGCAGACTTGAGTTGCTGACTTCCTGTAGTATGCTGGACGATCTCCCTCTCGTGCTTAGGTCTATCCTGCTCGACTCTGCTTGCGGTAGATCGGATGTGGGTGTGTCATGTTGCTGGACGGGCGACGACCATGCTTCAGAAGTCTTTCGCTTGGGTGTGATGTTGCGATTGGGCAAGACGCGTCCTTGGAAGCCCTTCTTTCTTAATTGTAGTCGTCGATTTGCTCGTGTTGTTCCTGGTCCTGCGAGGGGAGACGATCTCTGTTCCACCTCTTCCATGTCCAGTGCTGGGTATGGTGATGCCATGACACACAAACTCTTGTCGTTTCAGGATTTACTGCATGGGCATGTTGGACTTGTCCAGAGAAAGTGTCGTAGAAGAGACAAGACACCTTGATGATCCGCGTCGTCCTGTTTCTCACACAAGGCGACCAATTGTTCCGTGCCTGCCTGTTTGTCAGGCCGAGTTGTCGTGTAGCAAACGTCTCAAGTCTCGTGGAAAAGAGGAAACGAGTCGTATGCAGTGGAGAAGCGAATGCGGTGCATGTGTTTGATTTGTCAGGGCATTTGTTTGGATGTTTATGCTCCCCATCTCGGCGCTCGGCTGTCGTCAAGTTCGCTGCAAGGTCACGGTCAAAAGTCTAATTTCCCTTGTTCGAAACGTGCTTGCTTTGCTTGCTTTGCTTGCCCTCCATATCATAAGGCAGCCCGTTGTACAATTGTCAATTTCCTTCCATGTCCATGTGAGAGATGGATATCATCTACACCGAGGCCGCTGTCTTGTTGTTCTGAGACTTGTACAATTGCATGTGCCCCTCCGTACACCGCCTTCACCTCGCCAAGCCCTATACACCGCCTTCTCCTTGACGAGAAGAACAGGGACGAAGACGTTTCAAATAGCTACAACATGACTCTGCCATCCATAACACTCCTCTTATCAACTCTGACGACTTATGAGAATAGTTATTCATACATGTCAACAGAGATCTTCCATGCAGTGTCACGTCCAACCATCTTCTGCATATGATCAAGCATGTGCAAATCCTCTACTTCCCAATGGCTGCACAAACCGTTGCCTATTCCAACATTCACTCCATCTCCAAGAGATAAGAACCTATCCTGAACCACTCTTTTGTCCACGAGCCTCCACCGACGTTGGACTTCGTGATGGCTGTCGACGCCTTGAAACGCTCACAAAAGTCTGCATGACTCTCCGCGAAATTGCTGTGCTGAAGTCACATGCAAATTTGCTAGTCATGTGAATGATCAATCTTGGACTTCTCAACACAATGGTTGCGATGATTTGTTTAGCCTTGCTGAAGAGTAGTTGTTGACTGGACGGCTGTACGAAGTATTGCTATGGCGCTTGTGACTGTTTGTTAATAATCAGAGAGTCGTGGTCCTAGAGCTGCAGGTTTTCATGTCTGATGACGGGCTATTGTGTCGCATTGCTAGTCGTAGTCCTTCTAATGCATCGAGATCATCTAGGGCTTATGGCTGTCGTAGCAATGGCGATCTTCTGGAGATTGTTCGCGCAAGTAAAATCAAGAGTATTGAGAGCGACCATGACGGTGACACTGTAGGCAAGTGAGGCTACTCGAGAAGCATGAAAAAGAGCTGGCAAGTACGAGAGAGCGTGGGCTATGGTTAAAATGGCCCTCATGGCCAGTAAATACGTTAGCATCCAAAGTGTTAACTAAGGACATGAGGTGCTCAAAGCGGATCAAGATGCTGGTTAGATAGTCGATGCCTCTGCAAGATCAGCTCCATTGTGCACATCACTCAGTTCTTCTCGGATACCTTGCCTGTTGCCACGCTTATCTGCATCCCCAAATGCAGTCGCTCTAGTTTTGTCCACGGGCCATTTTCTCGACGGGCTTACAACATGCACCTGTGCAGTACAGACAGCTATACGTTGCTTTGATCGCCAGGCGTTGTGATCCTACAGTGGTAGGCAAAAGCTGTACACAAGCGCAGAACGGTGTTGTAAAGCTGTATGACTTGTCTGTTCTTGCCTTCCGGAGTACGAGTATGTCAAACCTTTTGCGTGGGTTGGAGAGTGGTAGAGTGTTGTATGCCTTTGCCGTGCTTGCGTGCCGATTCGGAATCGATTTTACTCTACACAATCCGGGAAGTCCATGTGACCTGCGAATTCAAGCTATTGAAGCGGTTGGTATGGGCGATGCAGCTTTTGAAAAAGCAATGAGATATTGTTGACAGGCGGAATAATTTCTGAGTCGACAGGTGAGCGCATCAAGATTGTTCATGAACGAGCCTCAAGCTAGCAGTGCCAGTCCACAGCTGAGGGCGTCGAAAGCTGTCATTCTTTCAGCTGCGGCAACATGCTTCCCCAGCCGCCATAACACACAGCTTGAATGTGTATGCAGCATACCGCCATCAACATTGTGTTGAACATTGTCAAGTCTGCTTGTCGCATTTGAGGTCGACGTCCGGTCAAGCTTTCCTACCTCTCGAATACTTGCCCGCGCTCATCCGGAAAGGACGCGACGCGCCAATATTTTGGTCGTTGAGAAGTTCCGTAACAAAGTTTCGTGGCGAACGACTTTTGGACGTTGTTCCAGCCTCCGCGGTAAGAAGGTTGTGTGTGCGACCAACCCTCTTTTGTGTTGACGCTTGGATAAATCCTGATTATCAGCTATAACAAAGTCTAATCGCTCAGGAACGCTTGATCGCGGAGAGATGTCCTGTTGAGAGACGGCTGGAGTTGTGATCGAGGTTGCTGGGAACATACCGAGGCTTCTTTCAAGCTGCGCTTTGCAAATGTGGGAGGGGTAATTTGAAGCGTGCGCGCATCCTGAATCCTGATGTCGCCTTTCGAAAAAGAGGTGAGGTTGGTGATAACAATGTCAAGAGGAGGTCAGATAGATGAAGTGAACTTGTCAGGGCATGTGGACTCATGATTGGAGGTTGTGTTGGAGGCGTTCTTGCATCCAATAGCTAAAATGTGACCAGCCAAAAATAGGCGATTTATCGATTGGTCTATTGTTTGATGCAAGTGTTGCGCGAGAGCGGCTTGACAGACACAAGGTTGCAAACCCACCTCTTGCAAGATGTTGGACAGACGCGCTTCCATACCGAAGTCAAAGTGATGTGCGGGTTCTGGCAGGTGTTCATTGATTTAGTCAGACGTCGATGAACGACGTGCACCACTTTCGTGGGCGGTAGCAAGCCATGGCCGGACTTCTTCGCTTTGCGAAGATGTCAAGAATGAGGCTCCCTCGGCTCGTATTGTATGACAAGGCATCATTGAAGAACTTGAGCTTGGCTCTGCACACCACAAGGATGGTGATTCCTGCTCATCTCAGATCTTTCGGAAAACACAGGGGTGAGGTTGATAATATAAGGTCGTCTGAGTGGTAGATCCCCGTTGAATTGCGCGTACAGTGCAGGATACATGCAGCATGGAAGATGCTTCTTTCGCTTGTGGAGAGACATGGCTTGCAAGTTGGTAGACGGCTTTTACGGAGCCGGTCATGATGGAAGAATCGCATCAAGAAGGTGATAAGGGTTGGATGGTTCTGGCGGCAGCCAAGACAGAAGATGACAGCGAGACTCTGTGTAGCGTCGCCCAGTTTCATGCATGAGCCTCACACTCAACCGGAGGACCGGGAGCTTGTGTTTAGATGAGATGGAATTGACAAAAGACGGATGGCAGCAGAAGGGATTGCGCGTTCTGCAGAATGGCAGTGCTGATGGGTTCAGATTATCTGGAGATGTGTCTGATGTGCATAGGGATTCGAAATGGACATGTTTCACGATGCTTGCGAGTTTTCAGCGGCCCACACGACGATCAAAACAAGCAGTCTGCTGCCATGTTTTGGTCGTACGGCGCAACAATATCAAGCGCAAGCACACCGCAGACGGAAAGTTGGCGGAGCATTCGGCAGTCGTGCAGGACAGGTGCAATATGGAGAGCTCGTAGTGCAGTCAAGATGACAGGAAAGCAGGGCTTCGTCCCCGGAGTGTAGTGGATGCATGACGAAAAGAGCCTGAATTGGAAGAGCGTGGGAGAGCACGGAGAGTCAGTAAAAGGGTGTGGCGCATCGGCCATGCAGGACGCAGCGAGATCTCCAAATTCACAGGCCGGGGGCTGCGTAATGCGACATTGCTTTCCGCGGGCAGAGCAACACAAGACGATTCTTCTTGCAACTAAAAGTCCAACGACGCCTCTCCAGGCCCAAGGCAATTCCAAGCAAACAAGCGTGCGCTCAACAGAAAATTATAAACTCTTGCCCAGCTATCTCCGGACTGAAACAATAGACAGGCGTGTGGCAGAGACGATAACAGCGAAGAGTGGAAGAGTGTTCGCTTTGGCTTCCTTGTCCAATCACAGCGATCGTCGGCAGCTGTTGGGAGACTTTGGACTTGTTAAAGGCACACGGACCTCGCCGCCGTTCGAGCCTTCAATCATCGCTGTTCCACTTGCACGTAGTGTTTGATCTTGGAAGCGGCCCGTTTCTCCTTGTTCACTGCTCGCTCCCCCAAAGCCCTTCTGGACGCTGTCTGGAAATTATTCCACAAGACTTCCTCTTCCTCCTCTGACTTTGTCCATCTCCTCTCTCCTCTGCATCCCCTCGACCAATCATCCCCCTTTCCCTCTATACCGCAATTGCTTCCTCAGCCAGCCAATACCAACCTTAGTCTCGCCGTCTACTTATACTTGTCCCAACCTCCCCGGTACACTCGGCTACCGCACAACGGCTGGTCTCGGCTTCCGCGTCTGCATACCTTGGCTCTTTGATCCAACTCTCGTCGCTCGCTGCTCTTGTATTTTTTCGCAAACACCGCCAATCTGGAAGACTACAAAGAACGCAAGTCGGAGAGTAGCCTCTCCAGTGATGCTGGCGAAGGACTGCCTAGCATGCAACCACAGCAACAAAGCGGTGCGCGTCTGCGCCATCTGAACCCGCTTAGGCTATTCCACGGCAACTTTTCGTACCAGGAGCTGCCCTCCGACAGCCGCAACACTTCGCCCTTCACATTGCAACCTCTCAAGAGAGTGCGATGGCCGTCACCAAGACGCGCTGGAGAGGCCATGCGTTCAGTCAGATGGTCTCCGCTGCGCATCCTCCTCTGGGGCTTGACATCACTTTTCGTGCTGTTGATGCTTCTCGGAAGTCGCCATCACAGATTCCACCATCCCCCGGAGCCTGCGAACCCAGACCCGGAAACGAAACCTGCGGGTTATCCCTGGGAAGAATACATTCCGTAAGTCGATCAGAAGTCACGACATGAGTGCGAGCACTGACAATGCATTGAACAGGCTGAGAGGTTTCTACAATGGTATCCGTACCTTGACTCCTGCCAAAGAGTGGGTCCCGGAAAACCGCTACAACAAGTCCGTCCCCGAAGGCTTCGTCGACAAGAATGAAGCCCGCAACTTCGCCAAACAGCCCGCTTTCGAGCCCATCAAGCTGAATCCCTACCCCGATTACACCTCGTATGAATACACACAAAAGCATGGAAAGGTCGAGACTTGTTACATGGACGATGAGGACAAAGTTGAGGTTCCTGATGTTTACGTCTACCCTGGTCTTCCCAGAAACATGACTGCTCCATTCTTTGGCACCCACAAGGAGCTGGGAATCAGAGATGATGTCTGCTATGACAGATTCGGCAGACTTGGTCCCTACGGATATGGTTACAATGCTACTGCCGGTGGTCTTGGTCCTGGCCTTGACTCTGAAAATGTTGGAGCGGATAAACTGTTCGACAAGATGGGCACAGTTGACTATTCCAATGTCAACTGGGGCAAGGCTATGAAGAAGTGTCACGACAAGAACAAGGCCCGTTTCGAAAACAAGGACGCTCACCGCAAGGTTGCTCGTCACGCCTACATCCTCCGCATCTGGACCGGCTACAACTTCAACTACAACCAGCTCTACTCTCTTCGCGCCATGATCGCTGAACTCTCGCTCAAGTCTGGTGGTGAGTACGATGTCTACTTCCTCCTCCACGTCAAGGACGAGACTCTTCCCATCTGGGCCGATAAGAGCGTGTACCAGAAGGTCATCGAAAAGAACATGCCCAAGGAGTTCTGGAACATGACCGTTCTCTGGTCAGAGTCTCAGTTGCTCAACTACTACCCTCCTCCTTTCGCAGAGCCCTTCGAGAACCCTTCCCAGCAGAGTGTGCACGGTGTTTACCGCTCTGCTCATTTCGCCCTCCAATGGTTCGGTCAACAATACCCCAACTACGATTACTACTGGAACTGGGAAATGGATCTTCGCTACAACGGACACTACTACGAATTCAATACTGCCATTGGTGATTGGGCTCGCAAGCAGCCTCGCAAGGGTATGTGGGAAAGAGCTGAGAGATTTTGGATGCCCGAGCTTCATGGCACCTACCAGAACTTCACAGACATGGTTGAACGCGAGACTCGTGAGAATGGCAAGACTCCTATCTGGGGTCCTCCTGCGTTCCAGCACGATGGTCTTGTCCCCTCTCCTTCCGATACCACTCCTCCCATGCCTTACGACAAGGATGAGTTCAAGTGGGGAGTTGGCGAAGAAGCTGATCTCATCACTTTCAACCCCATCTTCGATCCTAGCAAGACCAACTGGGTCTTCCGTCTGGACGCTACTGGCTACAACCTGCAAATGCCCCCTCCTCCCCGCCGCTGCGCCATCATCACGGTCTCCCGTCTTTCGAAGCGTCTGATGGACATCATGCACGAGGAGACCTGGAAGTACCGTCACACCATGTTCCCAGAGATGTGGCCTGCCTCATGTGCCCTGCAACATGGTCTCAAGTCTGTTTATGCACCCCACCCCGTCTACTTCGATCGCGATTGGGATCTTGAGTACATGGACAGAATGTTCAACCGTCCTAGAATCGATGTCGACAGTCCTTTCGGATGGGGTGAGCACAACTTCATTGGCAGCTCGTTCTACTACAACTCAGGATTTAGTGGTGCCCTTTGGCGCCGTTGGCTCGGTCTTCGCGAAAACAAGCATGGCGGTACCAGAGACGAAGAGTCTGGCACTGGACGCATGTGCCTGTTGCCATCTCTGTCCCATCCTGTCAAATCAGAGATCGGCGAGAATAATTGAGCTTGACTGGATGAGAGAGTGGATGAATGATTAATGCATCTGTTTCGACAACTTAGAAGGTGTCCAGGCCACTGGGATGGAGTTTTTTGATCTGTTTATACGTGCACGCCACACCCCCCTTGTATCTTTTCCCGTTCGTCCTGTTTTCACATCACACGCCTATCATTCCCTAGGAAGAGCAAAAAGCGCCCATCACTCTCTGTTTTTTGCTTTCTTCCCCCATCAAGCGTCTTGTTTGGGTCTTCTGTTCTACTTTTCGGCATGGCGTTTCAACCCGCAAGGAGCTGGTCTTTGTTGCATATTTGGATTGGAGTACCTTTTTTTCCCGCTGCTGCTGCTGCGGCTTCTTATCATCGACGGATCCTCCGTTTCGCTCTTGCTTTTTTCTCTCCCTCTGGCTTTGTCCGGGTTGTACATAATGGACATACCTCAGCAGCATATCAACGCATTTCTCCGCTGCGAGATTGCGTGCACAAGCAAGGATCAAAGAAATACAGGCATCGAATTCCGAAAAACATATATTTAATTATCATCGAAAAGGCACTATTACTTTAAAAACTTTTCTCCTTCCTGATGACTTCAGCTCTCGTTCTCTCCCTACCAATGCTCGACTTGTTAGCCACTTGTTAAAATGCGGGATGTTCTTCGGAATCATGATCGTGCTTAGTGGGACAGCATTCTGTGGCAGCTTTGTGGTTGTTAAAGGTAGGGTGACCACAAGCACAAAACAACGTCGGCGTTTCGGCGATCGCAACGGTGCATGGACTTTGGGAGATGGACGCGGACCTTCCTCTATCACTGTGACTTGCTAGTACTTCGTTCGTCTTTCCTACGTTACACCATTATACCTATGACGCCTTAAGGCTAATTGTCGTAGGAATTCACTAAAACAGTTTGTCGCTAATGAATCGTTGCATTGTCCAAGCAAATCTTTGTCTATTAACATTTATTACTCTCGTTTCCGTATGATCGATATCTCGAAGTCTGCCATGCTCTCTATTGCACATAGATGATCCTCAAACCTGGTTTCTCGCTGTCGGGTGTCGAACATCGCTACTTCGCCAGACTCTGCCAGCAACATACTGATGTCATGATCTGTCGGTCTTGCTGCGTAAAGACTTTACCCATTCATGGTTTACATCGGCCATGTTTGGCGAAAAAGTGCCACTCGCCATCTTCAATTATTTCCCTGCCCTTATTCGAGACACCGTGATACCATGACGGTATGCTTATCGAACTTGGCGAAATCCTTCCTCGGAATGACGCGGGGACAGTGTAGTTCAGATCCCTCGCCTTCACGGAATTGCTGCAATATCGTCTCAAACCACAATGGAAATTGTCAGCCCACTCTGTTCGTGGCAGGAACATCTCGAATCCATTTATACACGTCAAAAGTCACGGGGACAATCTGTTCCTCTTTATGACATCTCAAAGGATCTCTTCGAAGATGCGATTGGACCAGAAGAGGCAGCAACAAAGATCGCATCATGCGTCTGTGTTAGCGACGACTTCCAAACTGCGTATCTGGATGTCATTTGCTTTCTCATCGGCGCCGCGAATAACCTCTCGGAGCAACACGATCTTTCCAAACTTGCAAATCTCACATTGGCATTATCTCGATTACCGGATGCTCGGAACGAGACTCGGAGAACCATTCAGCTATCTTTCGACTACAAGAGCTCTGAAATAGGACCTGGAGATATTTTCGTGGTCGGTGAAGGGAAGATATGGGCCGATTTGCCACAATTTGCGGTGAATCTTGGTGATTCCATGTATGGTATGATTCATCTGTTTCTATCATCGGTTCTGCAGTTGTTAACCTCCGTTTTCAGGTCCTACCGCCTATATCAGCGACGGGCTAGCAGAGCATTGGGTCCATTCGACTACCTCTATCTCTACACCTTCAGAACTATCACAGATTCACTGGAATACGACCCCAAGACTGAAAAAGGGATAGATTCACTACACAGTCTGAGATCTGCATGTCGTTGGATCACGATCGCCGGAGAACAGATCTGGACGGAAAGTATGCGGAGTCCTCGAAATGCTGTTGCTGGACCGCTGTGGCATAGGAAATGTCACGCCGATCTTGTGAAGAGTGGGCAGTGGGAAGAAAGGTCTTTGATCACATCGCAACGGTGGTTGGCTTGGGCGTCGAGGCTCGATGAGCTTGCTGAAAGCGACATGATTGAAGACGAACTGGAGGGTATGGCGAGGTCTTCTGCAGAGATGATTAGGATGTTTGAGAGGGAGTGGGTTTTCGACATTGAAGATGAGATTCAGTAACCAGAGGGAGGGGAAGTGACTTGAGGTCTTCATTGGAATTATCCAAGCCATCTCACATTGTAGAATCTATCGAAAGTGTTCCTTGTCCGGCTGACATGGCGTCCCCATATGCTAAACATTGTCGCATCAGTTCTTGTTTCTTGGGCCACAGCGACGTTCATCGGAACCGCCTATCAAAATGCACTTAGCGAGAGCACGTCGTCCACAAGGAGCGATGATCTTGAGGCTCTCTCCTCAAGCTTAATCCCAATGTCAACATTTATCGTGCATTTTCAAACGATTTTCAGTGACAAAATCTAGCGCATGGAGAGGGGGGAAAGGCGTATTCTGATGTCGGGATACCTGGTATCAAGGTGCTGGTATAAAAAGCCCTGTCTCATGTTTTATCTTCAGGTTTTCGGGTTTTAGGTTTCTATGTTTTGTGGATTCTTGTCCCTTTCTCGAATTCACCTTAGTTGACCAAATCCCATCTGACCTCTGTCACTCATCTGGAACATAACTCATAATGTAGTCGCCAGTCCTAGCTCGTCGTTGCTGCCTATAGATTATTAGAAGCTCTGTTTGGCTCAAAACTTGAGTTGATCGGATAGCTTGCTTTTGGGTTCTGAACATCTTGATTGCCCGTTCCGGTGATGTGTACCAGTAGTTCTCTCAACTTCGAGTTAGCGCTAATGTTAGTGTAGGCGAAGTTAACGAACGAGCTCGGTGCACTCTTCGTGGATCTATACGGCAGAACAACTTGTTGTAGTATTCCAAACCTGCACCTCCCATCATCCGACAAGTCGGGTATAGTACGCTGCTAATCGCGCACGCTTTACGTGTAAGCTATTGTTTTCCTAGAAGAGCCCGAACAGCTCTAAAGTCAAAAATGCTTTTCCGGAAGAATAGTTCGCTAAACCTCCTATACATCTACGGGGAGAAGTCGGAGGGTCTTGTCCCCAATCAAACCAGGTAGTAAACTGCTCTCAAGCTTGGAGGAGAAGAGAATGTTTGATCGTTACAAAAGTGGGACGTGGCTTTAGTCTGTCCAGGACGTAGCGTGTGGCTCTTCTAAACCTCCAAAGCGGATATTTCCATCCTGCCCCGAATTGAATTATATCAGATGACAAATCATCTGGGGTTTCTTTCGGTAGGCAGACGAAGGACTGGACGAGGTAGGAGATCGCTCTCACGTACACGTCAAGTGACTTCGTGTCGTGGTCTCTCGCAGTCATGTTTGTCGCCCAGTAGTTCTTTTTAAGCTCGGTCTGGGTAATCTCTCGGCAAGACCACACTTGACCCCGGGTAATCTGTCCCATCCAAAGCGTCGTAAGATAACGCTATGTTCTGACTATTACTCGCTGTGAGTTTCACCCGCAGCCACACTGTATATAGTGAAGCTATGTCCGGAAGGTCCAGGCATAAGGAGTCAAATGTAAGCTGTAGCACCGCGTATGTGGACTCTCGAGCGGAAAAACTTGGCCAGTTTCTTCCATTTGTGCTGCTCCACGAATGCAAACTTCGACGGGTGTAAGATCCGGTGACTCTAGTGACTCTGCCAAAGACAATAGCTCTGCAGAATGGACAGTTAGTGCGCTGAGGCGTTGCCTTTTGGAATGCTTTTGTGGGCTTTATCTGCTGAGACATGATTTCGGACATTGAGAATGGAGTACCGATCTTGGTCTGCGTTGATTGGCTATAGTATACAGTCTTGACGACCAGCGGGGTCTGCGAAGTACCAGTATTATTGACTGCACTTGAAACAGGGGAGGTTTTGTGGTGTCGGTCTCGGTCTCTGCGGACTTGTTTCGGTAGAGGATGACCCGCATCCCACTGCTGGAACTCGGGAGAGCGACTTAAAACGCCTGTCACGCTCGGGTCGAAGTTATAGAATCTGTATGGTACGTTTTGGAACATGCCAACGATTCGGATATCGAGCCCTACAACCTTGCAGCCTTTGACGACGGCAATGCCAAGTGAAGATGGAACTTGGCGAAATCTGGGAAGATCTGGTGGACGGTGTTCGGGGATGTCAATGATCTCTTCATAATGAGTCCTGAGAATGCTTAGATGAGCAAAACGAATCTTGATCTTCTCGAGGATCTTCACGGCCTTCTCCAAATCCTTAGAACTCCGAGTTCTTGTCTTGGTGGCTCATGATCTGCTTCCAACCATCACTAGGCTTTTCGGAGTAGCGGTAGAAGTCCTCGGAGATGCAGTCGGCGCGCTCGAAGGTAGGGTAGTTAAACACCGGGTGTCATGTTCTACAATACTATGCAGCTGGGGAGGAGGCGCGACCCTTCGTCAATTCGACACATCTTAGATGGCACCAGATACCTGAATCTTTGCCCAAAAAATGGGATTGTCCAGGCCACGGTTGAGCCTGTCTTGATCCTGTTGGTTGAACGAACGAGAGTCTCTCATCCCTTCCAGCATCTCATCCCTCTGACTCACGAGCGGGGAGCCTGTGTACTGGTTGCGTCGCTGACGCTGAGTCACCTGGCTGTCCGCAGCAATTATCTTATAATGGTGGGTTTTGAGCGCCACGAGCTCCTGGGTGCGGTAGCCGCACTTGTCACACACAATGAACTTGTGATCGGGAACGTGGCGAATCACATGGGCCATTACCACTCCCCCTCATCTTGCTCGACACACCTATTGGTGGTCACGTCTCTTCCTGTGTCTGATGAGCTCTCTGAGCTCTCTGAGCTCCTTGGTGCGATAACCGTAACTCCGTGTCCCTCCCATTTCCCCTCGCTTTGCTTGACGCACCTACTGGTGTTCGCGCTTCTTCTTGTGTCTGGTTAGCTCCCTGAGCTCCTTCGTGCGATAATCGCACTGGTCGCACTTGATTGGCTTGTGGTCGGGGATGTGGCGAACCACGTGGGCCATCAACAAGTCTCTTCTCTCCTTACGCGTCCAACCGCACGAGCCCCAGTCGCAGCGGGGGTTGTACTCATCGTCATGACCGACGTGGTTCTCACCGATGTGGTTCTGTTAGAAAGTCAGTGTCGAGACTCAGAAAACGGGATTGAGGGACAGGGGTGTGAAAGTTTGGAATCGAAAGCAGGAGTACGGTACGTACAATGAGGTGCAAAGTTAGGCGTAGGGACTAGCTAAACAGGAGGACCGGTTAAACTGCTAGAGCGAGGGGGTTTACGGCGGCGATGTTAACTAGTAGTTCCGGAGTATGGGCGGGGAGAGCGGTGAGTGATGCCTGTATATAACTCTTCACTCAGTGCTTGGGCCGTTGCGAAAATTGTTACGGTCGGTGGTAAGTCACCTTCTTGCGGTTGTCGATTGCGATGTTCCCGTCCTGGGCGTCACGGTCAATGTGTTGGTTAAATGTCTCGCGGATTCGCAGGGCGAAAGTTTTCCATCGTATATAGAAGCAGGTAATCGAAAATCAAAAAGAAGATGTTTAGAAAAGGGATAACAGCAGAAACTCTCTGACACATAACCACAGAGAGCAACATAAGTATCGCATTGCTTTGGACAATTTGGGGACCCGTAAAATCTTTCTGCACTGGATGGGGTCGACAGAATGTCTTCCTTGACGCGACGCAGGCGAGTGGCGGAGGCGATTGGCGTGCCATTCAGACTGGCATCAGGGGACGAGCTGGCTGTTGGGGAGGTATTGCTGGGAGTGAGCGAGGCGATGGTTTCGGCGACGCCATCGTGACGAGCCTCCGACCTTTCCGCCGTTGAGAGGATCGTGGTCGACGCGTGCGAGATCCTTGATGCCAGCTTCCTTCACGCGGTCCTGTTTTTGACCCCTTATCTGGTGATGGGAGAGCTTGCTGCTCGTCCTCATTATCAATTGGCTGGCGGCGCGAGCGAGTAAGGGGAGCGTAGGTATAGGCGGAGGGAGACGGGCTAAGACAGGCACGCGAACCACTACGGGAACGCGCACCACCACTGGCTCCGGGCGGATGACCTGGTTGTACGCATCTTCGAAGACTTGGTGGCCCATAAAGGTGCCGGTGACGGTCGTGTCATTGTAGATCAGGCCGCTGTTCGGTGTCAATACATCGTCAAGCGGATGGAAGAGGAGATAGGGTAGTTTTGGACAAGAAAGGGAAACAAGGGGGTTAGTATACGTACGTGTTAAGGTCATGGGTCGAAATGATAGTGGTGGTGACAAGCAAAACGGGGTTTCCAAGTCGATGTTGGCCATGTTGCCGCCGTGTGTCGCGTAACTGAGTTGTGCGTGAGATGCGCGAGTGAGATCATGCTTTGCGCAGTGGAGGGGGGTGGAAACTCTCAACCGCCCGGAGGAGAGACGAATCCTTCACAAACCACGGTAGAGCTCCCATCGAGCCCTGTTCTTGGTCTTGTTAAGGACATTATCCGTCTCCTTGAGATGCCGAGTAGCGTTCTTGAGTACCCTTCGATATGATCTATAAGGAGGTCGTCGTAGGTCTAGGAGAGCCGGTACCAAAAGTGTTTACTTCTTTGGCCAGTCTCAGTACCTCCAGGCTGGGGTTACAAAGTGGCTGATGGTGATGTGGCGTCCGTCAGAGGCGTGAGGGGTTGGCCTTGAAATTGTGCTCCCTTGTAGATGATCACGCCCTCATCCTCCTCACCATAGCCCTCCTCATACTACATCCTCTCCTCCTCCTCCGTCTCACTAGCAAATCTAGCACACTACTGAATGTCACCCAACAGGCTCGCAAAAACCGGATTACCCCTACCCACATTGCACAAAAGGTCTTGGAAGCAGATATACTCGTTAACAGCAGCTTGGATAGACACGGCAGTGTAGGTAGAGGCAGTGTTGTAGCTTTTGGATTTGCTGTCATAGCGGTCGTTGAAGACGGTGAAGAAGAAGCGTTTGACGAATTTGATTTGTTGAAGGGTGGCGGCGTCGATGACCTGGTTTTTGCGGAGGCTGCCGGGTTGTATAGCGAACGTGGTGGAGAATAGGCAGTATAGCGAGAGGAGCAATGTCTGCATGGAGGCGCACGATATGCTCGGCGTACACTTGCTGGCGCACCAGAGATTGGTCGTCTCGCGAAGTACATCGTCGTTCATGGTGACCCAATCGCTAAGGACTTTGCCATCGCTGTCCACACGGTATGTGAGGCGGAGGAAGCCTTCAGCGGTGATAACTGTCTTGGGGCCGTCGCCACTCTTCCCAGTGTGTGTGTGTGTTTCACTTCAGAGTGATATTTGGCCGTCGAATACTGCCGGTTTTCTTCTTGATCGTCGCATTCCGGCCTTTTGAATTTGGATGTGAGCACGATAGGTTGAGAGATTCTTCAGAGGCTTCACGGAGGCCGGCGAGAACTTTGATGCTGTCGGTGCTGCCAAGCTCTTGCGGTTCAGAGTCCAGGCGAGAGATGGTAGTGGGCTCGGTACCGGGAAATGGGCTCCGCTGGCAGGCGTGGTGATAGGGGTGCGGTTGTGCTGTCCGACGGCGAGATGCCCAGGAGTCTCGAGGACGACGAGATCAGGGCCATGAGCTGGAGGGGGGTGGCCGGGTTGTTGAGAGGCTTGGGCTCAAAAGTGGCAAGGTGATCCCAGGAAGGGACAATGAGCTCATGGGGAAGAGCTCCATGCTCGACGTAAAACTTCGTGTCCGTTTCGGTGTCATGGTAGATATGTGCTAACTCTCTGGCGTTCAGACCAGACTTAACCCGATGCGCCTTTGGTCAAGTGGAGGGCTTGGTTGATGGTCTCTTCGACCAGATCACGGATGTATTCGAGAGTGGTTGGATCGAGCATGTTGTGTTTTCTGGGTCTATAAGTCTTTGAACAACAAGGGTAGTTGTTATGTATATACTGGTCGTGGTTGCGACTGGCAATTGCGGAAGAATGGTTGTGCGCGCGTGGCGTTGCGATGTAATGTCTGGAAGAGAAGGAGAGAGAGAGCGCAGGCCGACCAGTAATCTTGAGACACAAGAAGTTTGATCTTTTCGTCAGAGTCACGATTTTGTTCTGCAAAGCGTGAACTGTTGCTTCCAAGTTCTTCGAGTTGTTGAGGCAGTGAATCACACAACGTTTTGCTGTCAGTAAGCGTTGGCTCTCCGTCGTTGCTGTTCAGAATGTCATTGCGGAGCCTGGTGTGGGGGTGTTTTCGACCACCTCGAGGCAGCCGTCAGGGGTGAGTTGCCATAAGGGTAGTATCGTTCTCGCGGCGTTGATGGATATTGCACGTCTTCTCCGTATCCGACCCCAGGAACTGCAGCCCAGGACAGAAGACCTAGGTTGATGGTAGTGTTCGCCATCTGCAAGAGCAGCGAAGGGCGCCTTACTCATGAGCTCCATATATAACTTGCGAAAGCTACCGGTCGTAGCCCAGTCCAAACAGACACACGTTCTCGAAAATGCACGGCTAGAACTAGATGTCTCAAGACAGGCCGGCGATGAGATCGAGGGCTCTGCGCAGACGGGCCTCGTGCTCGGCAACACGTGCCTCAAGCTTGAAGTCCGAGGCATTCGAAGCTGCGGTGCACCCCTTCTCAGTCACTCCTTTCCACTCCGGATCTCTAGGGTCGATAAGAGTCTTTTCGCCAGGTAAGATAAGGTTGAGATTGCTCCAGTAACACTCTGGGAATGACAATCTGCATCACAAATGGGGTCTCATGCTGCTGGCAGGGCTTGTGATACCACTATCAGAAGGCAAGATGGTTTTTCAATTGGCGTGATGGCCCAGTGGGAGCTAATGTGATTGACGCTCTCTGCGGCCACAGCCAAGATTGTGAAAAACATCTTGCAGTTTGATGGTGAGAAAGGCAGGTGCGTCTGAAAGTTGAGAGCTTGATTGATTGACAAGAGAAGACATGTAAGTCATGATGAGATTGAGAAGGCAGACCCGGTCAAGACGGTCATCTTATATCCCACCCAGGAAGTCATACGAAGATTGCTGAGCGATAATGACAGAAGGACGGAGAATCTTGCAGAGACGACGGTCAAAGACCAGATCATTCAAGGTGTGCAGAAGCCTTTCCTGAATCACCTACCATACATCCAGGTTCGTGTTTGATGATGTTGCTTAGTTCCACTTCCTTTGAGGGTGATACTGCCACTGCCTTTGATCAACTGGTCAACAAGCAATACCTGAGGGACTTATTGAGGTGATGGATTGGTAAAGACGGTAAATGCGGCTGTGAGAACAGGCTATCAAACATTGGTGGCTTTGTAAGTCCCACTCTCAACGAACTGTACCATATGTCGGCGGTCTAAGCAGGCCGTTGGCGAAGCTGCCAGGATCTTGCAAACTCACAGCAAGCCGCGTTTCTGCTTTGTTTACATGATGTTGGAGAAGATCTGCTGAGACGTCCGCGACTGCGCCATCAATAATAGAACGACCCCGGATTGTAGCAAGGAAAGGAGCGGCCCCTTTCTTGTATCCCCATGCATGAACATGACGCCTTTTGGGTGATTTGTGTCAACGATGAGATGAAAGTCGTAAGCAAGCAGAGCCGAAAAGGTGGTCGAAACGCGGCTATCGAATGCGGGATGATGCAAGTGCCAAGGTTGAGCGCGCCCAGACGTCATCTCGATGCAGGGTTCACGTCATGCGTTTTTTCGTGCGTCGCGGTGCCGGGTTTCCAGGGACAAAGCGAGAGGCTCCGAAAGCGAGATGGCGCTCAATTGACAGTCAGCAGGGATGCCATGTCAAGGCTTGGTATCCAAGATCTCGTGAAGTCGTATATCTTGCGAGATCCTTGGTATAGGGACGGTGGCAGCAATGGAGGTGAAGGGGGTTGGTCGATTTTGAAGCCTTGACTCGCTTCACCAACGCACCATCAGGGTCTCGTCGTAAAACAGCTCGAAAGTGGAGTAAAATAGGTGCCTTTTGCGAGTCTTGAAGAGCGACTAAAGCGCTGGGCTGGTCTGTTCGAAAAAGCGGAGCCCACTGTTCCCGGAGCAGAGGCAGCAAGAGGAAAGCAAAAAACGGCCGGCGCGCGGCGGGCGCCAACTGTCTTTCTCGACATCATCCTGTAGAGCTACAACTCCATGTATATGACCTCAACTGCTGTGGCTGTTCGATCTCTCTTCGCCTAGAGTCCCCTTCTTTTCACCCTTCATAAAACATCCGTTTCCGCCTCGTCGTCCAGCCTTCGGCTAGTCAAGCAAACGAGACAGCCGGTAATCGCGAACGAATAACGAAACGAACGAAACGGGGAAGCAAAGACAATCGCCAGCCAACTTCGAGGAAAGGCGACGCCGTACTTACCTCACTTCACTCATCGTCGTGCAACAACAGGGCATAAGGATCTCATCTCTCTTAGATTAGGAACCCCTCTTGCGCACAAGCAGCCCCTGCAAGGTCTCGAGATTGGACAAGTTGTCGATCGGCGGGAGTTGTTACCATGTGGAAAATCGAGGTTAGTGGTTCCCCTGCTCTCACAAGCAATCCTTCCCTCTGCCTGGCGCCGCTCATGGCGCTCCTTCCCCTTCCAAACTTCCCGTGGGATGGCATGTCTTCGCAGGCCTTCTGGTGTTCATCTTTATTGAGAACATCATCGAGGTCGTCATCAGCTGATTGGAACGATGATTGGCCCATGCTGGGGGGCTCGTGTGTGTCATTCCTCCCAAAGACAAAAAACAAAGCACTTTGCGTTGGATGACAGCCTTGACCCCGGAGCAAGAGCGATCCGACGTCATCAAACCCTATGATGCAGTTGCTCGTCTAACTCTTGCTCCAACCCTGCATCCACCCCTCGTTCCCATCCATCCATGATCCATCTATCCCTCATCCTCCCATCCACGCTACCCGCTTGATCATCACCCTTCACTACCACGTTTCTTGTGCTTTGCCCTTGGCTTAGCCGTTTACACAACCACACCACTCATCTTCTCTTTGATTGACTTCTATCATCGTCGCAATCTCTTAATTTTCGTCGTGCCTTTTTCCGAAAAGGCGACATACACCTATCTCGATTGCCTTTGCGCGTCATACAACACACCACAACAGCCCGACTAATCAATCATGTCAACGATACAGAATCTCAAGAACTTCATCCGTCACGGCAAGCAGGCGCGGGACCAAAACCCAAAGTCACCGCCTGACCAACCTGCCGTGTCTAATGTCCACGCCCAGCGTCACCACAACACACAGCATGCCTCACCAAGGCAACAAGAGCAAAGGCATCACGACCAATACGCCATGAGTGATCCCAACGTCTACGCCCACCAGCCTCTGCAAGCAAATGCCGCTCAGGGCGACTTCTCAGCAGCCGCCGTCGACAACCGTCATGTCGCTGCCAAGGCCGGAGCTGCCGCTGGTCAGGCCGTCGACAAGCAACAAAAGAAGGAACAAGCTAGAAAGGATGTCGACCCCGAAGTGCTCGAGCGCATCGTTGCAGAGGAGCGTGAGGCCAAGGGCAAGCTCCCTAGATACCCCGGATTGGAAAGATGGAGCCTCGTCGAGAAGATGGGCGATGGTGCTTTCAGTAACGTCTACCGTGCAAGAGATAGCCAAGGTGTCTACAACGAGGTTGCCATCAAGGTTGTGAGAAAGTTCGAGATGAACTCGACCCAGGTACGTGTCTGCGATCCTTCCTTGCTTTGTTTCTTCTTTTTCTTCTTTCTTCATCAACATCTCGTACGTGCAGCAGCCAACAGTGCTTGTGGAATAGGGCGACAAGGTTCTTCATCCGGATTTCAAGAAGACGCCCAAGGGAGTGGAGGTGCGCCAAATCCTTTTCTTTTTGCTTTCGTATCTCCTTGCAACTTTCAAGAGGATATCTGCTCGACAGCCACTGACTTAATTTCCAACAGCGTGCCAACATCCTCAAGGAAGTTCAAATCATGCGTCAACTCGACCACCCTAACATTGTCAAGCTTGTCGAGTTCTCCGAGGCCCGCCAGTACTACTACATCGTCCTTGAGCTCTGCCCTGGTGGTGAGCTCTTCCACCAGATCGTCCGTCTCACCTACTTCAGCGAGGACTTGTCACGACACGTCATCGTCCAAGTGGCCAAGGCTTTGCAGTACATGCACGAGGAAGCTGGTGTTGTCCACCGTGACATCAAGCCTGAAAACTTGCTCTTCTACCCTACACCCTTCGTCCCTACCAGAAACCCCAAGCCCAGAGGGCCTGATGACGAGGACAAGGCCGACGAAGGTGAATTCATCAAGGGCGTTGGTTCTGGTGGTATCGGTCTGATCAAGGTCGCCGACTTCGGTCTCTCCAAGGTCATCTGGGACAGCCAAACCATGACTCCTTGCGGTACCGTCGGCTACACCGCCCCCGAGATTGTCAAGGATGAGCGTTACTCCAAGTCCGTCGACATGTGGGCTCTCGGCTGTGTTCTCTACACTCTTCTCTGCGGTTTCCCTCCATTCTACGATGAGAGCATTCAGGTCCTCACCGAGAAGGTTGCCAAGGGCCAGTACACTTTCCTGTCTCCTTGGTGGGATGACATTTCCAAGTCTGCCCAAGATCTTGTCTCACATCTCTTGACTGTCGACCCCGACAAGCGTTATGACATCAACCAGTTCCTCGAGCACCCCTGGATCCGTGAGTCCGAGGAAGAGACCCACGCCGCCGCCGATGCTCCTCCTCTCGCCACTCCTCTCTACAAGCAACCCCACTCTGCCGACTACGACTCAAAGACTCCCCTCCAGCCCAACTTCGCTTACCTCGACGAGACTCCCGGTGCCGGAAAGCGTTCGGACTTCCGTTCGCCTGGTGCTGTCAACTTGCGCGAGGTCTTCGATGTCTCATACGCCGTCCACCGTCAAGAAGAGGAGGGTAAGCGTCGCAAGAACTTCAAGCAAGGATACCGCGGTGCCAATGGCATCAACTCTCTCAACGCACCTGACGAGGACGAGGAGGATGAGTACGGCCAATCACAACCTTACGACGCTTCATCAGCAAACCCTCCGGCCAAGGTTCCCAAGTCCGGTGCACCTGATGTTACTGGTGTCGAACGTCAAATGCGCAACACATCATTGTCAGCTGCCGCCCAAGCTCGCCAGCAGGCGGCTCCTCGCGCAGCACCGCAGGAGAAGGGCTACGGTCAGCACAGTGCCGCTGTCGCTGCTGCAGCCAAGCGCCAGGTCAAGAACCGTGGCGCTTTCGAGCTGAGCCTGGATAACGCCACACTATTGGGTCGCCGCAAGAAGCCCGAGCCCAGTGGCTTGAGAGAGCAGATGACTGTGCAATAAAGCGGACGCTGACGATTTCTTTTAATGTTATACATCTTCTGTCATGACGGCCACATTCCACCGGGGGAAAAGAATGGGTCACGCTACATTTTCCGATCGGGAGGCGCAACGCAGCGATCTCTCCAAATTTTCCTTTTACGTGCTATTACTTTGACTAGGATAACGAACATGGGCGAAATCATGAGAAACTGGGACGGGTTTTTGTGTTTTCTTCTCTCCTCTTTAGCTTATCATAAGTCAGGGTTCTTTCCTTCCCTCCTTTCTTCATCATGAGGGCAGTAACTATCATAGATTGAGAGCGCGAGACTGAAATGGCATATCTACCTTTTGCATTGTAACACCTCAGCTTCACCTCGTCTGCCTGCCATTCACTGCGACCTCTTGTAAGACACATCTTTCCTTGTGAGTGCAGTGGTCCCACCATTCCAAGAAAAGCTCGCTTGAATTAACGTCACACAACGAAGACTCGTGTCGCAGCATGATGTTGACTTAGAACATCTACGTCTGCTCAACGACCCTTTTTCTCTTCTTGCCGCTTCGATGCGACTATTTGGCGAAAACTTTCCTGTTTGGACATCTTCTTTCAGCACCCTTCTTCTCATTTTCCATGGGCATAGTTGAAGTCTTCTTATGAAACAACCATCCGTTCCCAGAAACATGTTGTGGGATTGTGGCGGTCTTGATGGCGGGTTGCAGAATTCGAGGTCTGGAAAATATGATATCGACGATAACGCGACGACCACAAGACATAACCGCTGATAGCTTCGGATCCTCCTGGAAAAAAATGATTCCAGTGTATAAACGGAATATTGGAACGAAAAGAGGAAAAGGTGATGGTGGAATAGGAGGGTTTGTCGAAAAACTACTTGTGAATGGTGTCACCCTGACGTTAGAGAAAAAAGAAAAAAGGGAAGAAAAGGAGAGGGATGATAGGAATGATGGAAATGGAAATGGAAATTAAGTTTAAGTAGGTAAAGATATCACTCGTCGTACTAAGAAGGTAAATGGAATTCTGTCGCCCCTAGATCGATGTATCAAAGTAGAGATTATAATAGCATACACCTTTCTCGTATAAATCAGGCTGGTGATCTAGCTGTCAAAAGGCAGAATGATATTGAAGAGATGTAATTGTCCAGAGAGAGTGTGTAGAAATGCTGCTCTCTTTGGACATGACCCCGATCTTAAATACCATCCTGCATTTTGTCAGATTTTCGAGAGGTGTAGTTGAGACGGGGAGTGTCGTAACATCTAATCATCTCTTCCTCTCTTAAGGTTCATGCGATGCCGATTTCATGCTTGCAGAAAGGCAAGATGGAATTGATTTTGGAGTCATTGACCAGTGAGAGTGGGAATTAATGCTACTCTCTCTGGACATTTCTAATGATTCGAAAATCATCCTGCCTTTTTACAACTGGCTGTATCTTGTCTTAAAGGAGTGGAGCGTTCAAATACATGTATACATAGGAAGATAGAGTAGGAGAAATAGTGCTATCATCGACCTTATTACTTTCCTCGCCGGCAGAAGCTGTGACCGGGTTATAGGACGACATAAGAGTATGGGTCAGAAAGCGGAGATGGCAATACTATCATCGACCCGGTTGCTTTCGTCGGCGATAGAGGCAGTGACCGGGTTACAGGACGACATAAGCATAGGGACAGGATAGCGGCGATAACGGTAGACGCAGAGTCAGAGAGTGTAGTGACGTTACGGACCCGGTTGCTTTCGTCGGCGACACCGGCGATCAATGGGGCGTAGATTTGGCAGAGAAACTTATACCGAGACGAATTGGTCGGCTTGCTATGCTTGCTCGAACATCGACGAGGATCGGCCTTGTTAATAAGAAGAGGAAGAAAGAGCAGAACAGTCTGTAATTTATAGTGTCTGGACAAGAAGAATTTCTTCTATCGAAAAGAGGAGAAGTATACAAATGGAAACAGGCATTACTTGATGTTGCTTTTAAGATAGACAAAGAATGTAAGGATCTTTAGGACAAATTCACCGACAGGAAATCACTCATACTTTGCAACTTGACAAGCAGCATATCAATGTTAATTAGGAAAAGGTATAGGAGTTGACACACTCTGCTTCCAAAGTATGCTTACATACAAAGCTAAGTACGTGTGACACTTCTCTTCTGCAATCTAGAAGTCTAGATTTGACATGCACAAGAAGCAATGGTTAGTATGCCACTCCTGCCGCTGTCAACCACTGGCTGAAACGCAAAGCTCAAAAGACCGTGGCAGTCACCAAGGGAGGAAACTTGCCAAAGTCGACAAAGGCTTGAAGGACAAAACCAAGATGACATTCTCCAAATTGGACCAATTCTGGTTATGCTACAACACCTGGAGCATTAAGTGACAAGAACAATAAGGTCAATGAACTTCCTTTGTCCTTTTGTTCTTACCAACACAGCCTTCGTTGCAATTTCTAGACATGCAAGACTTTTGTATTCTTTCTTCTGAAGGAGCAGCAATGTAATAGAGGTATCATTGACCTGGTCTCCTTAATGTGTGGCTCTTGTTGATGTCGGAAGCAAGGTAAAAACTGCATGGATGATGGTAGACTCCTGAATGGGATCACGCCTAGCGAGACCCCTTCTCTAGACCTACGTAGATCTTGGTTTGGAAAACATCAAGACAGCTAGTAACTCAAGATTTTTGTATCTGCAAGGCTGAGAGCAAAGCCATGTTCTATAGTACGTACCGGTGAAACCATGCCATTCCAAGGTCGTGACCGATCAATTCAGATGTATCTTCACAATGAAAAAGTCTGTTCAAATTTCTTACAGCCGTACATGACCTCCACAGACGGAAATCATCGCATGGGCGAAAAGAACTTCAAGAACAGCCTGATTGAGTCAACATCTTCTGGCTATATATACACCATCAACACTGGGAGGATTCTTGCATATGCACCCAGCAGGTGGAGGTCATTCTGGTGGCTGAATGGTTTCATCATACTGGCTGCCCTGAATTTCTACGTAGTCTGGCTATCAGTTCGGGTAACTCCAAGGCAGTCCGATAGACAGGACCCTCGGGTCAGTGAAACTGCTAGCATCTCAATGTTCCTGTCCAACCCTTTCTACCTGTCATGATCTGGTTTCCGGCCCAGAAAGAGATCAGGTTGTGAGATTCACAGACCCGGTGGTCATGCCTGTGTACCTTCCCTTGCGCTTATGTTAGCAGTGTTCGTCTGTATCAGATACATGCGGCGACAGCGGTGTCGCTATGAGCTCGAATGTTGAGCTCGACGTCACAGACAGAAGCAAGATGGCCTTGAAGAAGTTGTGGTGAGTATGAAGTTGGTATTTGGACATTCGTTTTATATGGATGTAGGAGTACTGGGTTGATGTGTGACTACTGCCTGTTGTTGACTACCAACGAGATGGTTCTGTTTCTTGTCAATCTTCCTTCTGTGATTGTAAACATCATTAATTCAGAATACCCTCGCGAGTATGACCGATATAGTCATGCTAAAAAAGCCGCCACATTATAGTCACAATACAACAACAGGGCAGAAAGATTTACGTAAGATCATCGGTATATCACAGTGTGGGTGTATCTCTCCAACGAGGTTCTTTCCATCGTTCGATCCCTTTCAGCAGCGCATGTGTCTGCTTATAAGTCATCTCAATATCTAGATCTGAGCTCGCCCTCAAAAGCTCAAGACACCTCAATGTATCCAACAGGTCCATGGTCTTGCACAAGTCTTCCTTATCCTGCACTCTCCGTCTCCACAGAACGACAGTTTCATGTATTCATCTGTCGAGAGCAGAGACAAGACGACAAAACTTGGCATCATGGACCCGAGTCTCTCCTGCCTCTGCACAGAGGTCTTAATCAGGCTTGAATCTTCATGTCAGTTGAAAGCCATCAGCTCTAGTTCAGGGGTTTACTGGACCCCAATAGAATCTCATCTTGATGGTACTGGGTCTTGGTGTATAGGAGGACCGTGATCCTTTTTATACTAGATTTTGGAAGGCAAAGTTTGGTCAATTGCTACATGGAAATTCAAGAAAAAGGCGTCTCATGCGGTGGACGTTTGTTTAACATGCAAAAGATATTTGGATATACGATACAAGACTGCTTCCTGTAAGAGTAATAGAGGAGGATAACCCTACTATACAGTCCCCCCTCTGAGAGTAAATCAGAATTTGGATTAAGACAACAGATATCATTGAGCGGGTCGGTTCATGACCTTCGTAACAAAATTTGTGTTCCTCATTTCCACGCATTGATACCCAAGTTCGACAACAAGAGCTTTCGAGGCTTGTGCATTACATATATAATTGGCACAGAAGTTGTCTAATTTTGAAACGGCTGCGTGCACAAAGAGCCAGAGTTTGCCGATTTCATCGGAGCTGGTCTATTCCTAGTCGACGATCTCGTGGATGACACTACCCTGTTTATGCTTCGATACGCCTATGTGCGAATCAGGTCAGTGAAACATGTTCTGTGCATTGCTTCTCCTGTATAGAATACATGTAAAATCCCATGACAGAATGACTGGTAAGAGGATTGCAACATCAGAGATGTTTTGTTAGAGTCAGCGACCTGGTAGTTTTGTATGAGCTACTGTTTGCTCCACTTACTCTTGCTATCTGCTACCATAGTCTTGCTCGCTGCATACCGTCCTGTTGCCTGTAATTTAGTCTTCTTCGAGTGTGTTTGTAAGGAGAATTATAGTACGATGGCTCGGTCTTATACCCCCTTCCTACAACAAGTTTGAAATTTTTGGACCATCGCGCAGGAAGCATAGCCACTCCAAAACAATATGTGCACGATCAAAGTATTATCGAAACAATAATATGTTCAATGTATGGCGAGTACGCGTAGTTGAATTGAGCCACAAGTAGTCTTTTGCACGGTCACAACGAGCTATGCAGAAGCAAGGACCAAAACACGATAGATTGGCGAGACAGAGACAGGCGCCCAAAATCCCTGCTTGATGCCCGACTTCAAACCACTTCTCCAACCACCAACACCTCATCTGTGTCAAAGTCACTCTCTCCAAAACTCTCAATTGAAAATCTCAATCTCCAGAGACTGTTCATAGGGAGACAACGCAAAAAATATCCCAGGTCAATGATCCAGACCGTGTACACGCATCATCATCTCCTACTTAGCTCACCTGCTCAGCTCACTCCCCGCAAACCTCCTTCTCCCATCTTTATTTTTCGAAGTTGAAGTTGCCTTTCAGGTGTCTCACAGACCTGTTTTCCTCACCTCAATTAGCAGACGACTCCATTGGCCCCAAGTTCGGGTCTGTACGTTCACTTTCAAAATTGTCGACATGAGTCTGCATATCTAGTTTTGCCGGTGACCTCTTGCAGAAGGTCCGATTGATCCTTGCAATGACACGTTTCCCACTAGTTATTCCGTCGGCCATTTTGTATGACTTTTTAAATCCTTTTCTGCCCTTCTGCATATCTCTCTCACATTTTCTGACTATTTTCCCGGTCTCGATTGAGAGATTTCGAATGAGCAGAGTAGGTGATATCTGCCGGGCTTCACCACAATCTAAATCAAACTGGTTGGGATACTGCATGTAGACAATGATGAGGAAGCTGGATTGGGTCGGAGAATGATTGTATGGAAGAATCCGAGAAAAGCTATCTATGCTATGCTTGATGATTTGGTTCTTTCCATGTCCCAATGATTATCTTTTCTTTCATACCTCTCTCGGCCCAGTGAGTTCAAGCGAAAAGAGCTGATGCAATGTATGGTCTTTTTTCCAAGAGCTCCAGGGGTTCAGTGAGATTATGGAGGCTCAGTTGAAGATGCTGCTACGAGCATGTTCGGTAGCCTTACTAGCGTTGTGCAAGTGCTGGGTGGCGTCCAGGACAGTCTTGATATGCTTGTGTTGCAATAGCTCTGCCTTACGGTTGGCCAACAGTTGAGCTGTCTTGAGCATGTTCTTGATCTGACGACCATTGAGCTTGAGCAACGAGAGCTGGCGAATCTCTTGCTTGGTGATGGCGTGGGGCCGAGTCAGAGCCTCGTGTTTGGCCTTTGTAGCAGCATCGTCCTTGTCTTCTTGAGCTTCTGATACCGACTTGATTGACGAAGCTGGGTTCTTGAGCGGCGAGAGGCGAACTGTCTCCTGGGCGTCATTGTGGCGTCGCAAGAAGTTTTCCCAGATCATGCGACGGCTGTCGGGAGATAGCTCGGGATAGTCGATACTGATGTGGATACGAGACTGGAAGGCTGGGTCGAAGGTCGAAACGCGGTTGGTGGTTAGGAACATGATGCCCTCATGGTATTCAAGCACGCGCAGGAAGATGCTGACAAGCTTGTTGCGTTCCACCTCATGACGGCTGCGCTCCTCAAGGAAGATATCTGCTTCGTCCAGTAGTAAAATGGCGTTCCAGCGAGTGCACATGCCCAAGACGGATAGCAAACGAGCTTCGATATGCTTAGAATCCATGCCTAGGTCTCCGGCGGACATGATGAATAGCGGCACCTTCATTTCCTCGGCCACGCTTTCGGCTGTCAATGTCTTGCCGACACCTGGAGGACCGCAGAGCAACAGAATGATACCACGGCCTTTACCTTCGATGACATCGTCATATGCCATACGAGTTGATTGTTGTGTGCATGTGAAGCCGAGTATGAGTTCCTTGGTATCCTCAGGCAAGACCAAAGACTGGAAGGCAGAACTGTTGAAGGCGACGTCCTGCACTGAATTCACGAAGAAATTGAGCCAGATCTTTTCCTTGAGAGCATATCCACGAATGAGGTGTGTACAGAGTACCTTCTGGTCGTCGGTAAGGGATGGAAGCTTCTTGACGTCCTCTTCGTCGCCAAAGTGTCCTGCGCAATAATTAGCTGTGTACTTGAATCACCAGAACAGATCAATAGACTAACCATCGAGCGGCATACCGCCTCCACAACCGTCATCAAGCGATTCGCCGAAGGTCGGCAGGAACATGGCACGCAAGTGGGGCGGCGCAGACTTGTCGCTGCCCTTGCTATCGAGTGCTGACGTGAAGATGGCCTGGTTAGGGTTGTATCGATTCCAACCGACAGTGTCGACAATGATTCTGCCTTTGACGCTGTGACGCTCCTTCTGGCCGTACATGTCAAGCTTCCATCCAATTCCATCATATGCTCGGTAGTGAGTGCCGACCAGAGACTCAACGTCCGAACCGCGCTTCAGTAGCTTCTCGCGCAGAGCGTCTTCATTGGCATAGAAGTTGATGGGGTAAGCAGCAAGCGAGGCGATAGGGCAGGTGCCTTGGTAGTCCGAAATACTAATCTTGGTTTGTCTCCAGCCGAACTTTGTGCCGTCAAAGTCAATGTAGCGCACCTTGAGCCAGAAGACGGGTTTCTCTTCCGCATCCAGACCGTGCTTGCCTGATAGCATGTTGTAGACGCGGTCTTGACCTTCCTCGCGAGCATAGACGAGGTGACCTGGCTCGAACATGGTCCAGAGAGCTTCGTACGTCAACACGCCCTGAGCCCTCATGTCTCGAGAGGATTCAAGCAAGACTTGAAACTCATTGAAGAGGAGGTCTCGCAGCAGTACTGTGTGCTTCAATCTTAGTTCTGTGTCGCTGGGAGTTAACTCGGGAGTAAGCTCAGAGGCAGACTTGGTGCCATTGGTCTTGTCCTGACTAAGCTTCTGCTCCTCATCGCTCTTGCCGTTGGCTTCCGCGACTTCTGAGGCTTTATCTCCACTGACAGGTGTATCGTGCTCGCCAAGGGACACTCCAGACATTTCAAGGTCCTCGTCTGTGGCCACTTCGGCCGAGGCGTTCCGTTCGTCTTCGAGCTGCTTCTGCAGTGTATCGATGGCCGAGTTGAGTTCGGGAAAGCGGTGGATCAGAGCTTCGAATTTACCGGAGAACTCGAGGCGTTGAAGACCAACAGTGACGTTGGGATAGCCAGCGAGTACGTCCTCAAGCACCTTCTTCAGGAGTGGCGACTGGATGACGACGGAGTGCAGTGCCAGCGTTCTGCGAGGATCGCCATAAACCTAGTTATTGAGATCAGCCTTGGACGTCTAGTAATGAAGGCTCTCCAGCCATTGGATAAGCGCTTTGCGTGACTGTAGCAAGAACAGCAGTGCTGAGTCGAGCGATGGACTTACCTTTGTATATCTGGCAACAAAAGCCCACTTCTGGGTCTCAGCATTCTCAGCAGGCGGCACAAGATCCTCCGGGATGGTCTCCTGCCACTGGAAGCGGCCTCTGCGATCTTCCTTTCCAGCATAGAGATTCTTGAAACCGACAGACATACCCACTAGCTTGGGATCGAGCTTCTCTTCCTTTGGCTTAGCAGGCTTGGAACCATCAAGGCCGTCGATGGCGGGGACAGGGAAGGACAGTTGAGGCTCAGAGTCGGGGTACTGTTCGGAGTCGTAGCCTTCTTCATCTTCCTCGCCTTCTTCATCTTCCTCGCCTTGCAAGCGCCGACTAAGCTGAGCAGACTTCATTCGCTCGCGCTGAATCCGTGCACCCATGATTCTATACATGTAGGCTTTTTGAGCCTCGGCAGACACAGCAGGTCCTCCCTCCATATCTGTCGCTCAAGCGTGGAGGGTTGTTTGAGTTGGTCGAAGTTGTGGGTGAGGGCGGAAATTGATGAAACAGACAGCGGAGCCGGAATCGTATGGAAAGCTGTGTGATGATTCTGAGTGAAAGCGGGCTGTGAAGAAGGTGTTATTGCGAGACAGATCAATCGGCCCCGCAGTTGAGTGGCACAGTCTGGTCAGGCAGTGCAAATTAATGATCGGAATTCCTTGTTTGTCGTTCGAGTTGATAAGAAATTTGCAGGTGAACTTGTTGGTTGCGATGGAAGGCGTATGATCCGAGCCAGTAAAGAGCTCCGTCTAGATGGTTGTTTGAGGCAGCCCGATGAAGGCGGCGCTCGGTGGACGTTGGCTGGTTTGCAGAAAGGTCTTGCCTTGCGACAGCCTGAAATCTGCGCAATAATACGACAGAGATGTCGATTGTGACTGATGATAATCATGCGTCTTCTGATAAGACAGGCCAGAAAAAGATGAGAGTGAATTGCGATGAAGTGAGACGAAGATGCTATCACATGCGGCCAAGCTTGGACATGCGGGTTGATGCAGGCGACAGCCCTCGAGCCCATCTCCATGGACCTCTCATATTCGATTCGGGCGGCTATTCACATTGTTCACCTACCTCATTCGATTCAGAACGTGCAAAACTGATCACCACGTATTCCTGTCATGATGTTTCATACAGTATAGTTTCGACTTCAAAGCTTTCCAATTGCGCAATCTGTATTGCTACACCATTCTCCGCCATGCTCCCATCGTCTTGATGTAACGAGAACCGGGTTTGTACAAGACTTCGCCAATCATTGTTGCAAGATCGACGGCGACATGACACTAGGGTTTGACGTGTCCTGATTGAAGCAGCGGCTATCGACAGGGCTGCATCTCAATCATCTCATGCATGATCCAAAAAGTCGACCAAATCTTCAACACCAACAAACTGGGTCAGGTGCATTCAAACGTCTCCGAACTGGCTCAACTGAATGTCTTCACCCGCCAAACACTCGAGATCGGCAATACTGATTCCATGGGCAAACTTTGGTGGCGTGGGTCGCGCTTGACATCCAAGGCGACTAGAAGGTGCAGGACGCTTTGCAGGAATCATTGGTGGAGGCATCAGCTTCCTGTCCATGTCCTTCTCTGTACCAACCTGCTTCCCAGTAGATTTTGTATACCTTGCCTCGCTCTTGCAAGGGGTTTCAGGCACTCTCGACACGGATGAATTATTCTGTGAAGCTATGTTCTCGACTGCCCAATCCAACTCTTCAAGATCGTCCACCGAGAGGTCAAAGTCGGCGGACGTAAAGGACGATATGCGGTCGAAAGAGCGCGTTGTTGGAGGTGTTGGCTTCTGGTCAACAGAGAGGTCTCGTGCTAACTGCGAGCTGCGTTCGAGAAAATCATCCCAGCTTCCGAAGTCGTCGGTCGTCGAGGGAGATAGAAGCTCCACATTGGCAGGACCCTTAGTAGGAGTCGCCCGTGATGGTGTCTGTGCAGATGGTCCTTTCAAGGTTGTGACTGGTGATTCGCCGGCGAGATCGAGTAGAGTGTCATCGTCTACGCCGTCATGCTCCCAGGGCTCTTGCGATGTTCTCTCTTCTTGAGCCGGCAAAGGGGCGGGACCAGGAGCTTTGGGCTTCAAGAAGGCGCCGAGATGGAATTGACTCCTCGCATAGCCAAACTTGTCGTTGACGCGTTGGGTTCCCAGAAGGCAGGACTTTGTGGGTTTGGTGTCTTGGATTGACTTCTTCTTCTGCACTTCTTTGCGACGCGTTTCCGAGTCCTTGATGCGCTCTGCACGCTGCAACAAGATGGCGCCGCGTTCGAGTTGACGCTTCTCGGTATCGCTGACGAAGGTCGAGCCTCGGGCCTTGAATGCTGCCTTTGCTTGCTTCAGCGTCTGCTTCCCATCATTCACCTCCTTCTTCTTCCGACCCATCACAATTCATGTCGTAGTGTTTGGGCACAATCTCTTGGTCTGCTGATGCTGATGCTGATGCATAATTTGTTGGCAATCGCCTCCCTCTCGGGCCCTCGGTCAAATTGCCCGCGCGCGAAACGCCGCCCAGAGAACGAGCCAATCACGTGCGGCCGACTAGGGTCCTCTTTTCCAGAACCGTCTCGAATTGCTTCCATTCCTCCGTCGCAAGCCACACACCGATGTCGCATATGTATCATCATCTGTACAGTACTAAAGACCAAAACCTATGTGCAGCGAGTCAAGCTAAAACAAAACCTTTGTTATGTATGAGCAAGCGACGTAGAAAGATCGCCCAAACAAACCGTTGTCATCGCGCCTTGTGACCTGTACCGAGGCAGATTTTGACGACATGCTTGGGCAAGCAGTACCCTAACTAGGTATTCGACGTGCTGATGCTTCTACCATAGCCGATGCTGCCCATCACCAGGTCACAGCGAGTACTCGAGTATGGGTTGCTCAGCGGAGATGCTCGTTACATCTTCAACCCTTCACGTCAGTGGCAGCTATGTTCCCTTTGTACAGTTGCATCATTCGTCTGCGACTCTGCCATGCAGTCATCAAGATCTACACTCTACTTGCTCTTTCCATGCTGTTTTCTCCTATTGCCCTAGTAGGACTTGGTATGGCTTGGGGTAACACCGCAGTCTTAGCATCCGGAATACGTGCGTATATTCCACCTGGCATTCACGAGGGAGGGTCCTATGTCGCCGCCGCGCCGGAACACGTTCTCGTCGTCGCGCCGAAGCACCGTCCATATCGCTGCTGCCTTCAACTCATGCTTTACATCTCAGTCAATGCTTGTCATATCACTCGATCAAGTTGATCACACGGCACGTGAATGTCGTTGGAACTGTCAACCGAGGCGGAGCGAGACCTCACGAGAGACTGGCCCGCGTTGGCCCAAACTCTAAGCGCGTTTGAATCGTGGAGAAAGCTGTGGAGAAAAGCTTGGTTCGTGACGTATCTCAAAGGTTATTGCTCATTTTCATGACAGAGCCACCAACATTCGCGACAATCCTTTGCCGTATGGGAGTTGGGCAGCTTGTTGGAGATGCGGTCAGATTGGTGCCGAGAGACCTTGTGACACTACAGCCTTGCTTCCGGCCCGCACCTCTTCTCTTGCCCCATACAAGCCACTTCCGCGTGAGCTCCCGTGAGCTCCCTTGAGTTTGTCCTTTGGCCACTCACAATGCGTGCCTGGTTCTCCACACCGTCATCCCTGCTCAAGCTGTGGACCCTTGGGGTTGTGGAGTAGCCAATCGCTGTCATGCTACAGCTGTTGCATCTTGGTAAACACAGACCGCAGAGGAGAAAAAAAGTTGTAGGAGACGATCCCTCTCTCGTCATCTTGACTGTTGGTCTGAACACCGACTGCTGACTTGCTGCAACAATGGTCTCGTGGTCTTGTGTAGCACTTGTGGAGTCATTGTGGAGGATCTACACCTGAGATGATTTACGTTAGTTGTAACGGGCAATGTGGACTGAAGGTGAGACATACAAAAGGCAGCAGGAGCCCGTTATTTGAACCTCGTATTTCTCCACATCAAGTACATCTCTTTCCTCCTTCAAACCTGGACGAAAATCTCTCAAGACCCTTGTACAATCTATCAATATGCTGAGCAAAGCATTACTATCCTCTGCCCTTGCGGCACTTACTCTGCTACCATCTGCTAGTGTAGCAGCGCCATTGTATGCATACGAAGCTACCTTGCCGTCCATGACTCTTGCTAACAAGCTCTTGCAGAGAACAATTCAAGCGCGACCTTAAATTCAACTTTGGCAATGACAAAGTCCGTGGTGTCAACCTTGGTGGCTGGTTCGTACTGGAGCCCTGGATTACACCCAGCATCTTCGACGCAACACCAGACAATGTAGTAGACGGTACGTTGCACAGACAATACAGATGAAGAAGCTCTCCTGTCAGCACGAGACTCTCCGGAAAGGCCTGTCGCAAGGCACAATGTTTTTGGAACCAGCAGGGTCCTCCGCTGAGAGCGAGTGTCACCCAGGCTCTCACTGGACATGGCTCTGGTTTTGAAAATCATTGTGCCTTTTGATGAGGCTGCACTAGCCCCTGATAGGCGACGGAGAGCCCAGTGACAGGGGCGCTTTGCAGCTTCCCTCATGTTGTTCTCTTGAACTGGACCAACACTGACTGACCTCTACAGAATACACCTATTGCGAGACCCTCGGCTCCGATGAAGCATACTCGAGACTATCAAAGCACTGGGACTCCTGGATCACCGAAGATGACTTGCATCAGATCGCTGCTGCAGGCATGAACCACATCCGTATTCCCGTCGGTTACTGGTCAGTCATCAAAGACGACAACGCACCCTACGTTCAGGGTGCATACGAATTCCTCGGTAGAGCATTGGACTGGGCTAGCGGTGCAGGACTCAAGGTCATGATTGATCTCCACGGTGGTAAGTAACACAGCTCGCCTGATCAAAGCATGCTCTGACAGAAGACATAGCTCCCTACTCGCAAAACGGCTTCGACAACTCTGGTCAAAGAGGAGGCACTGGCTGGGGTCAAGGTGACTCGGTCAGCCGAACAATTTCCGCCCTCAACAAGATCCGCGACGACATGGCTAGCCACCCTGCTGTCTCTGCAATCGAGCTTCTCAACGAACCCATGGGTTCCTCGGTTGGCATGGACACTGTTCGCCAATTCTACATGGACGGCTGGGGCAACCTCAAGAACAGCGACGTCGCCATCACCTTCCACGATGCTTTTGCTGGCGTTACCTCTTGGAACGATTGGGGTAGTGGCATGTGGAACTTGATGCTCGACACTCACGTAAGTCCATGACTGTTTCTTTTGCCAGGACAAAAACTAACACTTCTTCCTCAAGCACTACGAGATCTTCTCCAGCGACCAGTTGACCATGGATTTCGGTTCCCACATTGGTACTGCTTGCGGTTTCGGTGGCTCAATGGCTACCAACAACAAGTGGACCATCTCAGGAGAATGGTAAGTGGAACTGGACCTGCTCTACCTTTGTGAACCTTGCTAACAGTAAAACTCCAGGACAGGAGCTTTGACAGACTGTGCAAAATATTTGAATGGTAGAGGCGTTGGAGCAAGATATGATGGAACCTACAACTACAATGGCCAATCTTCATACTACATTGCTAGTTGCGACGGAAAATACACCGGCTCAGTCAGCGGACTCGACAGCACCTACAGAGACAACATCAGCAAGTTCATTGAAGCTCAACTTGACGCCTACGAGAAGGCTGCTGGTTGGATCTTCTGGACATGGAAGACTGGTATGTTGGAATATCTATTTTCGTCAGCAGAACCAAACTAATGATTATGCAGAGGGCGCACCCGAATGGGACATGCAGGCACTGCTGCAGAACGGAGTCTTCCCCAATCCCGTCACCAACCGAAACCGTAAGTCTATTTTAAATGTACTCCCTCCGAGGCGAAGCAACTTGGCTAACCATGGTTTCTTTGACAGACCCTGGCCAATGCAACTAAACGTCGACCACCATCTCTCCAACTCGGCACGACGCCAATATTCCTTGACTTGATGCAGGAATCTATTCTCCGGCTCGAGTCATGACTATGAGAACCGGTCAACACATAATCACACCTCTGTGTACACAACTAACCAATCGGATGGGAAGTCATTCTCCAATCCTGGCTACCACCACTCGTTACGAATCACGATGAAACGCTACCATTTTTTACGCTCATGTTCGCATCTCCATACCATCGCTAGAAGAACTTTACGACACGTTTACCACGAACCTCACGGAAAGTTGCATCCATGACATTTGCATACCCCACTGGACTTGGGAGGTCACTCGCATCGAACAGCCTGGTTGCTGATTGACGTTCGAGGGCTTTTTGTTGTTCACGAAGGATTGTCGCGAATTTCGATCAGCGAGCGTTTTGAAAGTTTCTTCCACCTTTTTTTCTCTCGGCGTGCAAGCGTTTGGGAGAACAGTTGAAAAGGAAAAGGAAGGATTTTGTACATGTAGTTATATTCTTTGTTTCGAAATATGATCCTCCTATTTGATCATCACATTGGACACCCAATCTCCGCAAGATTTTGTTGATCCTCCATGTATGTTGTATTGATTAATTTCCTTGTGCATGGCGCCTGTCAATGTTCCAGAGTGGTCGGCAAGCGGCAGAGTCAATCGGTTGCAGATTCGATATTCACATCGCTTGCGTGTGACGATTTAGTTTAAATCCTTCACACATTCAGGCTCTTGGGCAGAAAGGCAGACATCATCGCGTGTAGAGTGCTCGAGAGTGAGACAAGTTCAAAGGAAGGCGGCAGCGAGTCGAGAAACTCCACGGCTCGACGGTCGGAAATTGCGCCGAGCCCTGACTTTTCCAAATGGGAGCGACGCCTTCCCTTTTGTTGTCTAGCACTCCTCGACAACCTCATCTCGGGCGCATCTCAACCACGTCCGATTGGAGGTGAACCACGGAATATACGTTGTTCGGGGTTAGAGGAAGACCCTCTATGTGATTGCTATGGTCGCGATGGTACCTGAACAGCTGCCGCAACCGGGCGAAGCTGCGACGGCGGTCGACGTTCGGCTTGATTGTCACGCAGGTAATAAACTCTAGGCTTGCTGCAGGGCGTTTATACCTGTTGCTGCCTTCCTGTAAGTCAGTAGTGCAATATCATCAAAGGTTTAGATCCCGTTGACACTCTCTTTCTCGTTTCTATAACTTCCCTCCGTTGCAACATCACTCCTTCCCACGTTCGTTTCATCCATTAAAAGGTAAATCACCGCCTATCAGTCACTCGTTTCACCAACAACCAGTCCACTCTTTTACAAATCGCCCTCGTCGCTCCTTGTGCCTCTTCGTGTTTTATATCTCTACGGGCATTCACACGACTACATCATATACCATTCCCAAGAGAAAGAACAAGAATATACGATAATGTCTTTCCGCGCTCTCTTCACCGCCGGCCTCGCTGCCTTTGCTCCTCTTGTCTCGGCCTACACTACCCCCAAGGGTGATCCTACTGGCAACGCCATCTACGAGCCCGGTCTTAACAGCATCGTCCCCGTCGGCAAGCCTTTCACAATTACATGGGAGCCCGACACCAAGGGCAAGGTCTCTCTCGTCCTTCTCCACGGTCCCTCTACCAATGTCAAGCCCATCGCAACCATTGTCGAGAGCATCGACAACACTGGCAGCTACGACTGGACTCCCGACACTGGTCTTGCTCCCAACAAGACCTACTACGGCATTGAATTGATCGTCGAGGGCACTGGCCAATACCAATGTACGCAGACCAGTCGCGATGGCCATGCGATCAACCACTAACACACTTCACCCAGACTCGACCCAATTCGGTATCTCCAACGACAACTACAAGGAAGAGCTCGCCAGCACCGGCGCATCCACCGCATCTGCCACCACAACCGTCAGCGTGAACATCAAGTCCCCCGTCTCCGCCGCCGCAGCATCCGCCTCCGACGCCGTCTCCTCGGCCGCATCCTCTGCCTCGTCCGTCATCGCCAGCGCCTCATCCTCCGCCGCCTCCGTGCACTCATCCGCCTCCTCCGCCATCGCCATGAGCGCTTCCGCCGCCATGACATCTGCCTCCGTGAGCCACAACTCCACCGTCCACACATCAATGTTCCATCCTGCTAATGGAACCGTTTCTGTAAAGTCCTCCGCCTCTGGTGTTGCCGCTAGTGTTTCCTCCAGCATGCACAGCGGTGCCTCATCTGCTTCTTCGTCTATGAGCACGGCGAGCAGATCGGCCAGTAGATCTGCTGCTTCTGCTAGTGGATCTGCTTCCGCCAGTGTCAGCGCTGCTGCTCAGACTGGCGCTGCTGTCAAGGTCGGCGCTGGTTTCGGCGGCCTTGCTTTCGCTGCTGGTGTTGTTGCTCTTGTTTTGTAAGAGGTTCGCACTGGAATTCATGACGGTGGCTTCTTGTCCATAATCCTCAGGCATAATGTATTGAGCGTCTGGATTAATGCGTGGGATATGCATTGTTTTTGTTCTTCTTCTCTCTCTTTCTTTGGATATGGTGAATGGAAAGGGCTTGATAAAGTATGTGACCTTTGACTCTCAAGCAGCGGCGTATGCGCATCGTTCCAGCCATCAAAATGCATAATGATTTTGAGTAAGAGGACATGGTCCACAGAGAGCGGCTATCCGACGGCCTCTCCTTGGACCCGGCTCTACTTTCGAAAATCATCGTGCATTCTGACAGCGCGTATTAGTGACAAACTTTAGCAACACAGGGAGGTTCTTCTTCCACAACACCGCCTTCCACATCTCATCACACGTATCCTCTACCCCGTCCTTCTTCACTTTCCCCCTCTCGATTTTCCACCGACTCAAACGCGTATGAGGGGTTCCCAAAAAGCCATGACGCGAAACTTGTCAAATACCGTTTTCAACAACAAAAACCCTGTGGCTTGCAGCACAGTGCAACAACCAACGGCTTCCCTCTTCGATATGGTGTGGGGAAGTACACGTATCAGGTCACAAGGCTCGAGATTACACCTCATCTGTTATCTTGGCAAAGCTCGGCTGTCATATGCGCGCCAAGCCTTCACTCATCTAGTGGCTGCGAAAGCTCATCTGACTTTTAGGAAAGTTGACCTGATTTTTAAGTCTTTTTTTTTTTACTAACCCTTCTAAAGCTTTATTTACATATTTAAAATAGAGCATATACTTGTTTAATTTTTTTTACAACTAGATGTATCATTAGAACACCTAAATATTTTATAACATGTTTAGAACACGTTTTAAACATGTTTGAAACGTCTTTTTAATGTCTTTTCTGACTCTTTTAAATGTCTTTAAAACATGTTTCAAACGTCTTTCAAATACGTTTATAACATGTTTTAAAGACGCTTAAAAGACGTTTAATAGATATTTCCTAATAGATCTTAAGGCCCTTTAAAGTAAGATAGTAAGAACATGTTTAAAAGACGTTCTAAACATGTTTAAAACATCTTTAGGAGTCTCTAAGATAAACTATTATAAAGAAATTTCTAACATATTTAAAACGTGTTTAAAAGACATTTAAAAGACATTTGAAAGACGTTTGAAACACGTTAGAAACATGTTAGAAGCGTCTTTCAAATTTATTTTTCTTAGAAGTACTTAGAAAACACTTTAAATACTATTTACTGTTACAATATGGCAGTTAGGGTAACAGATGTAGCAAGAGGAAGTTAGGTAATGCGGAGAAGCCGCAACATAAAGACTTCCGTACTGTAACAGTAGTTAACTAACTTAATCATAACACACGTATTAGTTCCACCCCTTAATACCTATTTCCTCTAGAGCTCTAGCTTCCAACTACTAGGCGAAACTTTTTAACTAGTTATAAGCCCGGGTTCGCAAGAGCTCGGAGGAATATAAGCGGTATAAAACTTACACTAGGATCGCGCCCGACCCGAAACAGCAGCCGTAAGTTACCCTCGCGTAAGAGGACCTACAGTTAGCCTGCTCTAGTATCTTTAGTAGAAGACTACTAAATCTAATAGTACTTAGACACTGCTATAAGTCGATAGATAGACTTACCCCCGAACCCGACGATCGAACACGAAATAGACGACGCCGAAACATAGAGAGGTAGGCTAGTAGCTACCCTCACTAGAGAAAACTAGGAACTATGGTTCTAAAACATAAAGAGATAGCTATACAGTAAGGACTGCTAGAAAGCAATTAAGACACCTAAAAGCAAGCATAAAGCGGCTTTCACTAAAATCGACAATACAGCTTTGTACTAGATTAATAAATGCATCTTAGAAGACGACCAGATGCGTTATGTTAACATAGCCAATTTAAAGACACTTTAGGACTAGTTGCAAGCTAGATACAAGAAGACTCTACCTATTTAGAGGAGACTGCTTTTAGAATCGTTCCACTCCTTCTAGAAGGACCAAAACTAGACGATTTAAGATGCGTAGCTATATCTTTAACAGCTAGGACGAAAGATTGCAAGCTTAGACCTAACTAATGCGAATCTAGGCAAGCCTAAAGCTAGGATTTAAAAGCTACTTATAAGTCTTCTAGAGGAGTACGACATAACTATAAACGCCATTAACGTGCAAAGTCATCTAGACCTAGAAGATATCCTTACACTTTTAGAGAACTTTAAAGCAAAATTGAACTCGAAGACGACCTTACATGCTTATCTTACAAGGAATAGACAGGGTCCTATTAAATGTCATCTTTGTAAAAGGGATCACTTTGTTAAGGACTGTCTATCTCTTCTAGCTGCCTAACGAGCAGCAAGAGAGGATCGAAGACAAAAGCGGTCCTCCTAGTTATCCCGCTAAGAACCTATGATTGCTATAAAAGACCTAGAAGCTATAGTTGCTAGGGTCTTTATACAAATTATGGAGGACAAGGCTAAGGTCTAAACTAAAGTTGCAAGAAAAGAGAGAGCCTACAAAGCAGAGGAAACCTCTACTATTAGCTCTGCAACTTCGAAGTCACCTATTGCTATCTCATTTAATGATTAAGTATCTTATAAAGTTGCCTACCTTTTAAAGGATGTTACGAGTAAGAACCCCTCCTAATGGTATATAGACAGTTATGCTAGTTCACATATGACTAACAAAAGCAACTATTTTAGAGGACCATTAATTTAAATTAGGAGGAGGTACATCTAGGTTAGAGGTAGGATCCTACACTTAGATTCTATAGGAACAGCTATACTAGCTAACCACATGGGAAGGGAATTAGAGTTGCAACAGACCCTCTTTATACTAGGACTTAGTGTAAACCTATTGTTAGTAAGAAACCTCTGTCTCTAGGAGAGACTAAATGGAAAGTTTAACTCTAACTCTATAACAATGGTAGATGCTAGTAGAAACGCAGTAGTGCATAGCAAAATACAGCATAGAGTGTATGTTGTTACCGACGTCTATCTAGGAAGACTATCTAGACAACTTTACACTATAATGCTAGCTACGGCTAATACTACTATACATGCATTTAACGCCATCGTTTCTCCTTAGGAGGAGGAATTAAGCTTAAAAGCATAGGAGGAGTATCAACTCTAGCATAGAAGAATTGCACACCTAGGACCTAAGAAGATTAGGAACTTGCATAAAGTTACTACTCTAGAGAAGCTAGTCTAGGTGGCACCTAACCATTAGTGCATCGTCTGTTTAGTTGCAAACATAAGAAACAAGAGAGGTGCAATAAGTAAGAGAAAGGAGGGAATCCTTGAACTTATCTACGTTAACACCTATAGTTAGATGCCGGAATCTCGTAAAGGATACATCTACTTCATTTCGATTATTAACAACTTCTTAAGAAAGACATGGATCTTTCCTATAAGGGTAAAGTCAGATGCAGCTCCTATTCTAAACTAATAGAAAAAGGAAGTTGAAACTGCAACAGATCTAAAGATCCTAGCAGTAAGGTCTAACAATGCACTAGAACTAGAGAACCTCTTTAGATCCTAGAGACAAGAATTAGGTATGCAACATGAATTAACTGTCCACTACATGTTAAGTCAAAATGGACTAGTTGAAAGATCACACTAGACAATTCAGAATGGCACTAGAGCTATGCTAAAAGATGCAAATCTGCTAGTAGAGCTATAGGTCGAAGCTACATAAGCAGACGTCTACATTAGGAACAGAGTTTCGAATGGTCTAATCATTAATGGAGTACAAGTTAGCCTAGAAGAAGCGTTTACTAGGATTAAACCATCTATTAACCATTTAAGAGTTTAGGGATGTTAAGCAGTTTCATACATGAATCTAGACTCCCTACCCTAGGGTACTAGGAGAGATAAGTTCATAGATAGAGGCAGACACTATGTGTTTCTTAGATACGTTAAAGGAACTATAAAGCAGTAGCTTTTTTAGGCTCTAGACATAAGAAAAGTGATTAAATCACATAGAGTAGACTTCTTTAAGAATGAGCAAGGAGGAGACCTACAACTAGGGATTCCTAGACGAGCTGCACTAAACACAGCTCCCCTAAGAAATCTAAGAGGTCGGCCACCCTTGCAACAGACTCCTATAATAGATGCAACAACTGTTCTACTAGTTGCAACTGCTACATTAAAGAAAACTGAACCACAAGTCGAGATCCTAGCATTCCTAGAGCATAAACGACATCTCTATTAGGACTCTATATAAGGATCTAGACAGCTATAACCAGAAAATGGCGCTAACTTACAGGAGGAGCGCGACTTAGAGCTGTTAGAAGAGAGTAATGTTAAGTCTTAGGAGGAGCTACGACCATCTCTACTAGTAATGGCTATAACAATAGTACTAGCAGCTGCAACTGTAGGAAGAAAGATCCTTTCTTACCTTAAAATTCCCCGAGTATTAAAGAGGATAAGAGAAGAGTATAGCATACTAGAAGGGCAACCTAATTTTAAGTTGCATAAGGCAATGCTAGTAATTAACCTTCCAAGTCTAGGAATTGACTTAGAGGACAATGATTAACTTAACATCCTGTATCATGCCTTTATGGCAGCATTCTTAGCGAAGGAAGAAGTGCCGATCCTAAAGTCATATTAAGCTACAATTAATGATCCTACATAGGGATCATTATAGCAAGAAGCATTTAAGCTTAAAACAGATGCCCTATAGGCAAACGGGACTTTTGAAATCACTAAGCCACCTATAGGGGCAAATATCATCACAAGCAGATAGGTACTTGCTACAAAACATAATCTAGATAGCTCGTTATAAAAGCTAAAGGTACGCCTTATTATAAGAGGGTTTACCTAGAAATTTGGAGTGGACTTCGACTATACCTTTACGCCTACTCTCCGCTATAATACACTACGGGTGTTCTTTGCAATTGTTGTAATAGAGGATCTTAAGTGCCATGCTGTCGATGTTAATAATGCCTTTACCGAGTTAACATTAAAGGAGGAGATTTATATAGTAGCACTACCTAGAATGAACATCCTACTAGGTTGTGTACTAAAAGTACTAAGATCGCTCTATAGCCTAAAACAAGCTGCAAGAGATTAGAATTAGAGCTATATAGAATCGTTGCAGAAGATAGGTTTTATCCAAATAGACGCCGACCTATGCCTTTTAAGACATCTAGAGAAAGAAATCCTTATACTAGTCTACGTTAATGACATACTAATTAGATCAAAACAGATGGACAACATTAACTAGTTTAAGAAACACTTTAGAGAGATCTACAAGATCAAAGACCTAGGAGAAGTAAGCAAGATCCTAGGAGTTTAAGTCATTCGTAATAGAAAGAACAAAACGATCACCCTAGATTAGTCTCACTACACTAAGGATCTTCTATTAAGGCATAGAATGGACAAGGAGAAGGCTAATCTAATTAGTATTCTACTAAATGGATATGATCTATTAAAACTAGCTAGTCTACAAGACAAAAGAGTAGACTAGAAGGAGTATTAAAAGATCATTAGCGGCCTTATCTATCTAGCTATTCTAACGAGACCTAACATTGCATTTGCAATTAGAAGGCTAAGCTAATATCTGTCGGATCCATTAGAAGGGCACTTTAAACTTTTAAAATCCCTTATAAGGTACCTACGTTCAACAACAGACCTTAGCCTAGAATTCAATATAGAAGGTATGCAACAACTTGTCGGCTACTCTAATTTAGACTACGTAATGGACAAGGTAGACAGGATATCCATTTTAGGAAGTGTATTCATAATAGGCAACTGCCCTGTTAGCTAGTCTAGCAAGAAGCAGAAGTTAGTTGCAACCTTAACTATAGAAGCTAAATATATGGCTATGTGTTAGGCTGCAAAGCAGTTACAATAGCTAGCTTAACTTCTAAGAGACATAGGCTATAGCAAGTACATTAGTTGCAACCAATATTAGCTAACTGTAAGAGAGGAGCAAAGCTTCGTTATTAGGTTACTAGTTAAACTGTTCGGTAACAATTAAGCTTCTCTATCGTTAGTTAGAGATGCCTATACTTACGAGAGGTTAAAGCACATCGACGTTGCATACCATTATGTTAGAGACCTACACCGGAGGAACAGGATTAATGTCGAGTTCATAGGAACAAGAGATATAGTTATAGATGGCTTTATAAAGCTATTGCCTAAGCCGGACTTTGCAAGATTCATTAACTAGCTAGGTCTTACTAACATCTACCGTCTAGACTAAGGAGGAGTGTTACAATATGGCAGTTAGGGTAATAGATGTAGTAAGAGGAAGTTAGGTAATGCGGAGAAGCCGTAACATAAAGACTTCCGTACTGCAACAGTAGTTAACTAACTTAATCATAACACACGTATTAGTTCCACCCCTTGATACCTATTTCCTCTAGAGCTCTAGCTTCCGACTACCAGGCGAAACTTTTCAACTTTTACTATGTTTCTTTTAGAAGGTTCCTATAGTTATACCTAACAAAAACATGTCAAATATTTTTTTACTATTGTTCTTCTTAAGGATTCTCACCTGACAATTTAGAAAGTTCAGCTGAGTTTAGAAGATTTCACCTGTTTTTTGCCACCTCTTGGCATCCTTAGCCGAACTTTGCCGAAGTACCAAATGAGGTGTACACTCCAAGGCTCTTCCTCTTTGCCATCACCGTTATGGGGTTGCCGGCGGTGAATTGTCTGATTTCTTACGGCGTTGCTGATCCGCTCACTTTCTTCAGGCGAATACCCATCCAGGATTGCGGGAAATAAGAAATGGTACTTCTGGCAAAAAGTGAAGAAGGGACAGCAGAAGGAAAAAGAGGAAAAAAAGCAGTGTGTGTTCTGTGATGATGGTTCTTTTGATATTTCGTGCATCCCTTGTTCGACCGCCAAAAGAGAGAAGGGGGAATACCTGTCCAAGGCTTTTCCTTTCTCTGCTGGGATCAGCACAAGTGGTGTGTGGTTGTTCTACATACTTTGGTATAATCTATATACAAACTTCTTTCGCATGCAAGTTCCATGCAATTTTTCCCCCCCCTCCCATGATCCCCCAAAACCCCCAATCACTTTGCCCATTTGTGGCAATCCCCCAAAAACACAAAAAAAAGAAGGATATTGCAAAAAGTCTGATCTCGGGGTGGTCCTTTTCCCAGAGAAACATCAAAACTCTGCAAAAAAAGAAGAATGGAAAAAACGCCACTCGCTGTGCGTGATGAAAAGAAACGAAAGAACAAAAAAATCCAAGTCTCGCTGGCAGGGGACTTCACAAACCAATCCCTGCGGAACCTGAGCAAACGACCACGGCAAAAGCAGTAACAGCAACCCCTTCCGCTCTACGAAGAAGCAACCAACAACCCATTGCTACAGCTCGTTCCACTAGCAGTCCCACCCATCCCGAACCAAACCAAGTCATTACACATGTTGAACCCGGTGGTGCCCACACATTGCACATCTCCATTTTCCGCGCAAGCGCCCGCGCCAGAGGGGTAGGCGATGCGGTCGTCGCGGTAGAAGCCGGCTGGTGAATCTGCTTGTTGGGCGTAGACTTTGGTGGAGGAAGAGTAGGGGGAGAAGGAGGGGACGCAGGAGGCGCCGTTGCCGAGGACGCGGGCGTCGCGGTAGACCCAGGATGTGCTGCCGTCGGAGTACATTGTGCTGTCGCAGGTCACCCATGTGGTTGCTGAGGTGCAGATGTAGGTGCCTGGGACACAGGGGAGGTATGTGCTGAGGTCTCCGGTTGCGAATTCAGTGTCTGGGTCGATGGGAGTGGAAGATGCGGCGGGCGAGGCTGCGGAAGTTGCGGCAGAAGAGACGACGGAGGTCTTTGCTGTGGCGCCGGCGGTGGTGTAGACGGTGAGGGTGACATCTGAAGGGCACTCGTCGTCGGTGGAAGATGCTGAGGGCAGAGGAGTAGTCGAACTCGTCTTTGATTTTCCGGCATTGACGGTCGAGAGAGTTACCACGGTCGACGCGGAACTCTTGATGCTGCTGCTCTGAATCACAGGAACGGAAGCAGTGGACTGCTTGACGCTAGATGCGGCAGAAGATGCGGCGGAAGTCTTGGTAGTCGACTTCAAAGTGGTAGGGACTTGAGAAGACGAAGCGGCGGACTTGACAGTGGTAGGCGAAGATCCAGTGTTGCCTCCAACAGTTGCGGTTTGAGGGTCTGCAGTATCGCCGAGACTCTTGTAGGCCTTGCCGAAAGGGGTGGCTGCGTCACAGACGCCAGCCACGGAGTTTGCTGGGCTCGAAGAGGTCATCTTGCCACCATACAGAACATCAGGTCCAGGCATGGGGTAGACAGGATCCTCACCCTCAGTAGTTGTGCAAGTGTTGACACCAGGGACGTTGGCCTTCCAGATGAACGGCAGAGCCTCGAAGCTCGATGTGTCGCGCTTGGATGCTGAAGATCCTGAAATGGCAACTTCTGCGCAGTTCATGTAGTACTCGCGGTTACCCTGCTCGTTCTGCCATGTCCATGCGAAAAGAGCGTTTCCGTTAGGTGCATAAGAAGGAATGGTAAAGTCGTAGGTCGAGGTCAAAGGACATCCTCCGATCATCGACTTGATGACTCTGAAAGTAGCACCATTGTCATACGACAAGGAAAGTTGGCACGAACCACCACCGTGAACAGCGCTACCAGCGATAGTCATGTTGTAAGTCGATCCAGCTGAGTAAGTAATGACAGGAACAATGGGTCGGTCGTTTTGGTAGCCCTTGCAAGGGAAGTTGGAACCATCGCTGAACAATGGTGCTGTCATACTGTAATCAATGACAGTGTAGCTGTTTGAAGGGTTGTATTTGCTGTGAAGGGGATAAGGCCAGCTCATCTCCATGTGTCCCAGCGCCTGTGATGCGAGCGAAAGAAGCGTACCTGTCACCAGGACAGATCGCGTTGATTTCGAACCAGGCATCTTGTATGCTGTGTATGTGTTGTTGTAGTTGTAATGCGCGTAGTGAGTGTCAGTCAACAAGAAAAAATGAAAAAGCGAATGTTTGATGCGTCTGCGTATGTGGTAGGTAAAAAGGACAAGTGAATGGATGGACGACCAAAAGAAAGGGCCAAGAGATGCGATGGCTGGATGCTTTACTTATACCATTTATTTCTGGCGATGCTCCTTATTGGAATCCAGCCACTTTTTCCTCTTCCCTCACACGTTCCATGAGGCAAGGCACGTTAAAGGGTCAAGTGTAAAACGGCTTTCCCAATACGCAAACGATGGTTGTCAGAGGGAGAAAGATAAAAGCCGTGACCAACGAAGCCGTTACTGCGGCTTTTGCATTGACGTCCAGTCATTTTCCAAAAACCTCCCCATCCCAAGACAATTCAGAATCAATTATTCACCCATCCAGTTCTTCTGATACATGTTTCGTTGATCAAAAGAAACAATGGCAAAAAAGAGGCGTGTTTCAAAAGGGGTGGATGTGGTGTTCTCAGGAGCAAGACCCGGTCAGAAGTTTCAACGGTCGTATGCTGTGCAACCGTTGCGCGATACTGCTGCAAGGAGTATTTTTCTTTATGCGCTCTGACGCGTATAGGGAGAAACAACGTGAATAGAAAGCATGAACAAGAAAAATCACAAGACCAAGCGACAGTCGTTTTGCGCAATCGATTGTCAAGCGAGACTCGCAAGTAAATCAAGCAATCATGCGACTTACGTGGTGTGAGCGTCAATGCTTGCAATGCCTGCTTAGCAATGAGCATTTCGGCAAGGTGATGCCGAACATGGTGCTTTTTTGCATGTCGTGTATTGTCTCCTCCTGACCTAGATGGCTCTAGATGCATTGCCTCGGCTTTGGAGTATCCTGTAGACTGCATTCCACATCCAAACCTAAACTCCTTGCTCTTGACCATTACTTGACTCCTCTTTCTTTGTCCGCTTGTCGCAATCTTCCTTTCTTCAATGCGACATGTGTTTCGCTGTTGAAATCATCCGGCACATTGTCGCTCGGCAAGAGAGACCCCCTGATCGATAGGCTTCGACTTCAAAGCTTGCCTCAAGCAATCGCAATCGCAGCAACGGCTTTACCGCAAAAGAATGACGAGGATTCCAGAAGCCATGTGGGCGACAATAAACGATGACCCGGTGTATCACAGGCGACAGCGAGGCCGATGCTTCGATAGACGGAGTAGCGGTTTGCACTCGTTGCTGCCGGGATGCCAACCGTTATCGTCCAAAGTCAACGGCTTGGCTATTCCGAGTTGTCATTGTCCGTTTCCATGCTCTGTCGTCGCGGCGATGCGAACGTGTGTTCGTCTAGATTGTGATAGAGGAGGTAATACGAGATGACGAGTATGAGTTGGAGATGTGATGGAAGAGTGGGAGTTCTCTTCTGGTGAGACAGTGGTCCGTGCTGGACGCATGAATCGACCTCCATCGCTGCTGGAGATTCATGTCTTCCTACCAGACCGACACACATACTGCACCGGAAGGCGTTCTTCAAGAAACTGATGGGGGAATTTTAATTGTTGACATTATCTACTGACGGTCATCTCTCTTTCCCTCCATATACGGTAGCCATTGTTGAGTCGCTTTTCAAGGCTCTCGTCCACATCTACAAGCGTCTTCATCAGCTCTTGCGATAGACGAAGTCAACTGACGATGGTAGTCTCCATGGACAAACTGCAGTCGTTAAAGATAGTCGTCAATCTCTGCAGTGACTCCAGATCCATTCCTTACGTCCGAAATTTCGCATGATGCAACCACCGAGAAGTTCAAGGCCCTCAATGGTTGGCTTGACGCTCTTACCCTTGCCATACCTCTCGCCGAACCCATTCATGGCCATTTGGGCCGAGTCACGAGTACGAATCTCCTCTTCCAGCGCCTTCGTATACAGAATGAGTATTTCCGGATTGGAGCAACAGCTGTCGAGCCACTTCTTCTTCTTATCACTCTTCTCAATCTGCTGGCCAACGGTCCAAGGGGCCTTTGTCTGACATTCTCGGCAACCGCATTTTAGTGGCTGCGCCCATCTAGAGACGTCAGGAATTGAAAGATCGAGTTGGATGCCTTTTCCTCCATTGATGCCCAAGCGCGTGATGAACGAGAGTCGACGAAGCCTAACGACGTTCTCGGATCCGATCATCTGCAGCCATACAAGATCATAAGGGTGCAGACGCACGGTTTGGTGGGTCTTGGCTGTCTTGTCGGAGCGGCGGATGATGCAACGACGGGTGCGCAGGCGAAAGCAGTTGATGCTGAAAAATATCTCTCTACTCTCTTGGCGTACCTGCTGGTTGATCTGAAAAAGAGCCGGTGGCGCGTGCGAGTCGTGCTTGAAAACACCCTGGTGCAAGAGGGCTTGTTCGTACACGAGCATTCTTACCTCCTTCGGCAGTTCCAGGAAGCGGAGGGTAGCGGTTTTGTCGGCAAGTTCTAGGGCGAGGCGACATTTAAATCTTGACTCGGAGTCTGACTCTGAAATGGCGATCTGTCGGTTTTGCAGCGCGGACAAGATGTCTTGACGGCTCCACTCGAGATGTGGATTGGTGAAGCAGTCGTCTTGTCGCAAGGCACGCGCCTCCTCTGCGTGGAACGGCGACCGGGGTAAAGTTGCGTGACAATACCAAAATCCTGTGTATAAGAGAGAGACGAGAGTTTCAGCTCCTCACTGCAGATTGATGGCCTTCGGACGCACTCAAGGAAGTTGCGTTCGAAAGTCTCTTGAATGGCCCGCTCTTTTGCAGAAATCTCGTGACGATGACGAATCCAGAGGTAATTCTATATACCCGGTCATTATCATGCTCTCAATGCTTGGTGCGATTGTATCCTTACCTCGTAGGTGATCTGGTCCTTTGACCTTTCGGTCGGTCCGAACTTGGGATCCACTCTGCGCGCTCCAGGCGACAAAGTGGCCTGTTCCATCAGGCGCAACAGGTCGTCCATGGCGGCTGAAATTTGCAGTCAGCAATCATGAGCTCGACAGGACAGACGTGATAACGTCGACGGACCAAGTAGGAAAGAACCCCTAGATATGTGGCTATCACGTCGAAATTATAGTGCTGTGCAGTTGACGACCAGCATGAAAGCAAAGGCGCAGTCTCAAGCCCAGTGATAGTGTCGAGATATCTCAGTCGGCGAGCGATCCAAAAAGTTGTGAAAATGAAAGACAACGCGGCGAAAAACTGCGCATTCCAAACTTGTCCGAAACGACGAGTGAAAGTACCTTCTCCACGGGCTTACAATTTGGTTTGACGTGTTTGTTGCTACAATGCACGCTTATCCACGATATTGATGCTTCGATTGGCAGAATGCTCGATGGAGATAGAGTTACGGGTGTATTTTTCCCAACTCCTTCCCCTGCCTTCGCTCTTCCCCCTGAACCAGCAACAAATGGCTTTCTGCAGACTTTCAATGCCAGATCAACTTTACTTGATGATCAGGCAGATGTGTTCGATGTCGATCTAATCATTATTCGCTGCACATCCTTCTTCCGTGTACGCGAGCACCATTTTCGCTGTTCGGTGTTTTCACACGCCAAACAAGCCATCGTTGTAACATCGCCTCCTACGCATCAATATCCTCCGAGAATGTCCTTAGGCAAGAAGAGAGCAAGGACGGCGGTAGCCAGGATCTCGAGGCCTTCGATCGTGGTCTTAACCCTCTTATTCCAGAGATGGGACTGGATGGATATCCAGTCCAACTTATCCAGTCCAATCCATATCTAGAGGACCCCGTTTCTAAGTCCACAATATCTAGTTAATATCCAGTCATATCCAGTCATATCCATTAGATATTACCGCATTAGGTAACAAGATTTTGCCGTAGTTCGAGTCACGGCAGGGTTCTTCTATTTTTGCATTAAGTGATGGGTTTCTTAGCAGTCACCTTGCCTAATTGGGCCTGCCAAGACACTAGACTGGATATCCAGTGGATATTCAACTAGATTTGGACTGGACTGGATATAGGGTCATATCCATGTCCAACCTATATCTAACCTCATATCCATTGGATATCCATTTCGATATCCATCCAGTCCTAGCTCTGACTTATTCGTACTACAGAGCTCTACAAAACCATTCATGGCGAGCTGGGCGGCCTTGATCTCTTTCTGGGCTTCTTCGATTGCGTACAGACACAACTCCAGCCTGCGGGTACCTATAATATCAAACATTGAAATGCCAACGTATTTCTGCTTCTTTGATTGCCAGAACTTGAGGCCTTCTCCTAGAGTTCTCCAAGGCAATCGTTCGCAGTGTGGCCAGCGAGCGATCGTTAATGATAATTATCATGATAATTATCAGATGAGCTGATTGATACAAGGCCTCAATTTCTATCAAGTGATCGCTCTAACACCGTGAGATTATCATGAGTGTATCATGATAATTTGAGGGCAGGGTTATCCCCTCAGCGAACCCCTGGATATCTAGGGCTGGCAGGGTCGCACCTACAGAATCAGATAAGATGCGCAGATCTTCTAGATTCGGTTAGTCTAGCGGGATCTTGGCAGTAAATGAGCGATCATGATCGATCACGATTATCACGAGCGTGAGCGAGTGAGAGGGTAATTTCTGCCGAGCGATCGAGACGAGACCAATTATCAGCTCATTATCACTCGCTGACCACACTGATCGTTCGTACGAAGATCGTGCTTTTTCGACCCATTGGGAAGCATCAAGGCATGCCAAATTGATTTGCACCTCTCTGCTTCCGAACGCGAAGGACAGGCGACGGAGCTTGGTAACTCCTTCGGTTCCGATCTTTTGCAGAAATTGATTGGTTCCATAGTCCAGGTGTGAGTCCCACTTGTCAGATCTGAGCCCCAGTGAGGAAGGCGACACATGGTAGCGGGGATTGTTGACCGTTTGTAGTCGGAAGCGATTGGTGCGGAGGATAACTTCTGTTGATTCTTGTCGAACTTGACGACTCACACCACTCAAAGCTGGCCAAATTCTGGAATCCTTGACGACATCGATAGGCTCGCCGGTGTCTTGCCACAGAGCGAGCTCATACACGGGTGAGCTGAGCGAACTGGAATCTAGCGAGAAGCTCTGGACCCATGCGATACGGGCCCGCCTCAAAGGTGCCGACCATATGTTCGTCTTGAGCTCTATGTTAGTTGATTGCGAGAAGAGATGGAACTTCTGAGCGTAAGGTCTCCGGAGAGACGGTTGACTTGGACGATGCTGCGGGGAAAAGGTCCATGGTCACAACTCTGTGGATGAAAGAGAGGATTGTTGAGATAGTAGTAGTGATGATGTTGGAGAACTTCCGGTAGTGTGTTTGGGAGGAAACAACGAGAGTGAAAGAAGCTGAGGCAACACAATGACGTTGCAAATCCTGCCGGCATGCACACCATAGTGAGTGAAGCTGCTATTGACTACCGTCACCTCCGGTTCAATATCTCTAGCCCAAGTCTGATACATGTCTTGCAAAGCCCAGCAGGGTGCGTCTTTCATTGTCTTGATGATCAAGTATGCACTTCTGTCCCAGAGAGATTATTTTGTGAAATGGTCAGGTGCATTGCTATTTTGAGCGAGCTCGAATCCCTTTTTGCTGAAACGAAGACCTCCATCAACACAAGCTCGGTCTGTTGAGAGCCTTAGAGTTGTTCCATCGCCATATCGTATCGTATCGAGTGAGCTACCTGAAAGCATAATGTCCCAAAGATCCGTAGAGTATCCGCTGAGAGGGTGCTGTCTTGACTCTTCCCGGGCATGATGCCAAGGTCATATCGTCCCAGATCTTACTTCAGAGACGACAGCCTGTAAGAGAACCAATATATCCTCACTAGTGGCAGTGCAAGAATGCTGCCAGTGTCAGAAGCTTGATGCCCTCCACCGAAGGCTTCACTTTCTTGCCTGTACCGCAGAGTTCTCGAAATCTACCAAATGAGGTTCGAAGGTCAGCGATGGTTTTCCTCAGCTTAGCGGCCCGGTATTGGCCATGCTCGCGAATGCCATCCTCTTTCATTTGGTTCCCGTCTTCATCTCTGTATTCCGTATCTGAGAGGGCATCGTTGAGTTTCTCGGTCAGCGACTGTCGGCATCGATTTTCGCATGCTTGGGGACACTTGCAGATCTTCCTTCGGATCTGAATACAATTCGAAGCATCGAGGCATGATAGATCCATCTGTGTAGTTATTGTAGTTGACCAACTATCGTAGTGGGCGAACGACAAATGACGGATGTTTGCAACGTTCTCTGGCCCAATGTTAACCAACCACTGCAGCTCCACGCTGCACAGCTGCGTCCGTGGTCCAAGGCAAGATGGCGAGACGTATCCATGGTCGATACGAAATTCGAATCTGTTGACACGAAAGAAGATCTCGCTCGCTTCTTGCTGCACTTGCTTGCTCACAGAAAGGAGAGCCGGCTTTGAGGAATCTCTTACGACAAAAACATCTTCAGCTGACAACGCAGCCTCGTAGACCATGAGGCGCACTTCTTTTGGAAGCTGCATGAGGTGAAAGCTGCGTCGGTCATCGGCTTCTTCCAAAGCAATGCGACAGTGCGTTCTGGACATTGACTCGATTCCAGGTATCAAGATTTGGCGTTGAATCAGAGCGTTCATAATCTCGCGGCGACTCCATGCGAGATAGTTGTTCATGGCGCAGTCGTCTGCTCTCATCATGCGGCGTAGCTTTCGGATGCTTTGCGCATTAGGTCGTAAGAGCGATCTGGTACTCGTGCTGCCAAAGATTTCAAAGATTGAGATCAACTTGCCTCGGCAGATTGACTGTCTGTCCACACATTGCANGTTGATGCGTTGATGCGTTGATGTGTTGATGCGTTGATGTGTTGATACGTTGATGCGTTGATGTGTTGATGCGTTGATGTGTTGATGCGTTGATGAGTTGATGCGTTGATGTGTTGATTCGTTGATCTGTTGGTAAGTTGTAGCTATGAAGACGTTGTAGGAGTTGACACGGTGGTGGTGTTGTGAAATGGAAAGATCAAAAGGCGTGGAAAGCAGTGAAGCACAGTCTTGTCGGCGGCGTTTCCAAAAGTGATGCGAACCGCACAAATCCTCGTCTCAAGTCAGCTGCAAAATACAGAATGATTCTCGCGATAGTGTCAATTGCCAAGGATGGCAGTACTTTCTTCACTCTCTCTGGAAAATTGTAGCCACTTCAAGGACTTTCTGCCTGGAGCTCACTTGAAACGCAGGCATGAGAACGCATGAGCGTGCTCTCAAGCACCATGATCTATCTTGATCTCTAGATGAAGAATGGTGAGTTATTTTCCTTTGTTATCCTCCAACGCCGATTCGTTCATTCAATTCAGGGAGGAAGCTCTTATTAACTGCTCGACAGTACAACTAGTGAGCGTACAAATGTGGAGGAAAGGACCGAAGTGTGTTTGTTTGTGACGTCTTTTGTCAGAAGCTTCTGTTCTCCGGTGGAGGCCGCCATGGACGAACGGAGCTCGGTAAGTTAGCGCAATGTCATCTTGAACACACCAAAACGACCTAGAGACATTGAAGGAGACACAGTTACAATTGTAAGCATGGCTCAACCCGCTGCTAGAGCTATCCTTCGCACTCCCTCCACAAGCCTATGGTCTTCTTCGAAGGTGAAGCAGAGTCTGATAAAGTTCTTGAATGGTAAGTCGACCTCCAGCGGACGAGTTACCGCAGTGGTTGGGCCGATACTGAAAGATACACCATGTGTTGCTGCTCGTGCCGCGAGTTGGTAGCAGTCGATACCGTCTGGAAGTTGTAGCCACATAAAAAATCCTCCGACTGTTTCGCGGTTGATCACACTCTCGTCCAAGCGAAATCCGAGAGGGTAGAGATCATGCTTGATGGCAGCGAGAAAGAGAGCATATCGGCGAGCATACTCTGGAATCAATGTCTTCTCGATATGTGCTTCCAGAAAATTTTCCTTGAACAATTCATTGATGATCGTTGACATCATTTGAGATGGAGCACCACCTGAGCGAGTTGAGCCACTTTGCAAAGTCAGTAGAGATCAATGAGTGGAGTGGATGGGTTTCATACGCTTGTGTAAGACCGTGAATGAATCTTGGTGTGCTCTCCCCCCATCCAACACGACATCCTGGACCAAGTATCTTGCTGAAGCTTCCATTACTGACACAATTCCCGAAACTTGTTGCATCTTTTTCATCATCCAGAATGTCCAGGTCCACAATACGCGGTAAAGTGGCCGTTGCCTGCTTGACTTCTACACCGGGCCTAGATGGCCAACGAAGGAAATCATAGACATCGTCACATATGAGTAGTGCATCGTGCTTCCGGGCAAGTTGCAGAAGCTCCTGTCTTTTTGAAAGAGGCATAATCAATCCCGTCGGGTTGGAGAAAGTTGGGACGCAGTAGATGATGTGTCGATAGATCTTGCGGTGAGGCTGACATGGCTTGATGGGTTGTTGCTATGTTGCTCGTCAATCATGCTTCTCTTGATACCGTGCCAATCACGCAGCAAAACGACTTACTGTGGTTTCAGCGGGTGTGCTCTCGACTTGCTTCATAGCTGTTTCGAGAAATCCAAGATCCACTCCTCCTTCATCAGGCGGAACACCTCGAAGTTTGTCACCATGGAAACCTGCATCCTCAAAGATGCGAAATGCAAGGTAGTAAGATGGTTCAATGATCCAGACTGTTCTGGTGACCAGCGGGTCTGTAAAAACTTGTAAGATGCAGGCAAGATTTTGACTTGCACCTCCAGTGATGCAAACACGATCCACTGATGCTTTTCTTTCTGGTGTATAGAAGTTGGCGAGATATTTCCTCAAGTTCTGGCGTAGAGGGAGGTATCCTTCATCGTCTCCATAGTTGAGCCCGGCTCTGTATGTCTCCGGAATCTTCAGGACCGCGACAGCTGCAGAAGATAATTCGTTGGTGGGGAACAAAGACTGAGCTGGCCAGCCACTCAAAAGATCAATTGTTGTAGTTTCGGCCATACCTTGAGCTTTGGAGACAAGACCTTTTTGTTTGAGAAGGAAGGCAGTGGACCGAATATATGTAGACAAGAGGACGTTCAAACTCTACAGTTGATATCGACCGGCGTGGCTCGCCCTTGGTGCGAGCTAGCCTATTTCGGAAAGAATGGCGACCTGGCCAATGAACTCGAGGGATGTGTGTCAGCTTTAGTTTCCGATGCCGCACGATTCGTGATATAAAAGGTCATGAGAATCGCTCTCTCCAACTTCTGCTCTTTGCAGAACTTCTCCAAGCCTTCAAAACAGATTGACACACTACCTGTCCAGCATGGTCCACATCAAAGAATTTGCCGTCGAAAGGGTGCGTCCAAGAGATTGTCACGTACACACCTCGAACATAGCATTGAATTGACTCTTTCAGTGGATGGACGAATACGAAGATAATGCCAGATACAACCTCGCCGAAACCTGCTGTGCCTCTGTATCCCTCAACGACCTGGAAGTGTTCGCCGGAAGCAAGTCCACAAACATCATCGACTTCTCTAAGAAGCAGATCTATGGCGCCATCCGAGGTTCTAAGCAACTGAGACAGAACATTGCCAATCTCTACTCTGGAGGCATAGACGGAGATGTCAAGCCGAGTCAGGTCTTGGTCACTAACGGTGCGATCCAGGCGAATTTTCTGACTTTGTATACCAACGTGGGCGTTGGTGATCATGTGGTTTGCCAGTACCCTACTTATCAACAACTCTACTCTGTCCCCGAGTCTTTTGGTGCCGAGGTGAGCTTGTGGCGCTCAGATGAGACCAAAGAGTGGGGGCTGCATCTCGAGGAACTGGAAAAGCTTGTGCAGCCGAACACGAAGCTCATTATTCTCAAGTAAGTTTGCTTCTCGGACCTTGATCAGGTCTCCTTACTGATCAGGCTGTCAGCAACCCGCAAAATCCAACTGGTGCTGTGCTCAGTCGCGAAACTCTACAAGGCATAGTAGACTTTGCTCGTAAGCACAGCATCACCATCCACAGCGACGAGGTATATCGACCCCTCTTCCACTCCACAGGATCACAAAATCCTCCCTCAATCCTTTCATTCGGGTATGAAAAGTGCTACGCCACAGGTTCAATGTCCAAAGCATTCAGTCTGGCAGGCATTCGCTTGGGCTGGATTGTCTCCGCGGACACCAGTATCATCGACGCATGTGCTTCTACAAGAGATTACACAACAATCTCCGTAAGCCAAGTAGATGACCAGATCGCCACCTTCGCACTCAGTCTTCCGACTAGAGAAAACTTGATGCAGCGAAACATCCAGCTTGCAAGAGAAAACCTCGCTTTGGTTAACGCTTTCGTTGAAAAGTTCAGTTGGGCTTGCCAATGGACACGTCCGAAAGCTGGAACTACTGCTTTCATCGAGTTCTTTGGCAGAAATGGTAGACCCATTCGAGATGTCGAGTTTTGCGAGCGTTTGTTTGCAAAGACTGGAGCTATGCTGGTACCTGGAAGCCGTTGTTTTGGAGGCGATATTGACTTCCAGGGATATGTCCGTTTGGGGTACGTGCAAGAAAATCAGATCATCGTTGATGGCCTCAAAGTGCTGGAAGATTTCATGCGCTCTGACTATGAAACGTTGCCGACATACTAAAGCTAGAGATTGCCAGCTAGAACAGAACAAATACCGAGCCATGGTTTTCGAGATACTGTCCCCATGTCAGATGAGTGCCTGAAGACCAGTAACTGTTCATGGCAGCTCGGGCTTGCTTGAAATTTCCAAGTCCGAGTGATTCCATGTGTTGCATTCTCATGTTGATAGAACGCCTCTCCTCAGCATTTTCGGTCTCGCAACCAGCACTGAAGATCGGCCAGAGTAACAAAACAATCGTTGTTGAAGAGGCTGTTAGATTTTCCACTGCACGCAGGATATTCTGGATGGCCGTGCGTACCATGTGGTGATCTTTGGGAAACTGATACACTCTACGATATAAATGTAGGAGGGCAGAGCTCGCAAAGGCGTTGTTTGTGTTTCTCATCTTCTCTTCACGTGTAATCGGATCTGTATCGGCCAGACTCCCTGGTTTGTCAGGCTCATAGAACATGCCAGTGTAGGCCTCGAGTTGAGAAATCTCATCAAGTATCACTGGCGATGACCAGAGCGAAGGATCCTGATTTGCAAGCTGCCCAATTCGAGATATCAGGGGCATGAGCTCCAGAGAATAACCACAAAGATCGTCCGGCTGAGCAAGTCGCGGACGAGGTAATGTTTCAAGCAGAGGATAGCTGTCGTTGGTGATTACAGATCGATAGGAGCCAGATGCACTTGCGCAGACATCGAGGGTGGCAAACCATTTTGCAAGCCATTGAACAAATGAGTTCTCATTTCCAGTGTGTTCTTGGTCAACCAGACTCTGCAGCAAATGTTTTGCTCCGCTCAAGTGTGTATAAAAGGAGCTAGGGTTGCCATTACAGGCGTCGTTGGTGCAAAGTACAATGGCAGAGGCGACGTCTGACAACTCGACCCTGTCGGCCTGGCTCGCTAAAGCGTTCTGTAGCGCGGTAAGGGCAATGTTAGTGTATCTCAAAACATTCTTCTGTGACGTTGAGTTGCAGGCTAGGCGTGCGTGATGGCTACATGAAGCCGCCAGAAGAGCATAGAGGAGACTTGGCGCTCTGAGTGCCGACGAGACCAAGCGCTCCCGGAATGACGGAGGTGCCAATGGGAACAGTAGGATGGAAGTCTGTGTACTGAAGTGATGAATGTAAAATCGAGACTCGTCATCGACTAGATGACAAGATAGAGGCTGGATGATTTGTTTCGGAAGGCTGGAAACCGTCGACTGAATCGGGTGTTTGATTGTCTTTGAGGTCGTGTTGGCCCAAGGTACGAATTTCATGTCGTATTTGCATAGTCTTGGGAAACGACTGCAGCGAGTACACACAGGCTTGCTTCTGCAGCACTTCACTTTTTTCCTTCGACATTCGGAACATCCAGTAGGGCTGCGGGCTGCGAAAGTGGCAAGCGAGCCTGTCATTGCGGAAGGAGCTCTGCCTCCTTGATCGGCGTTAATCACATTGGAAGAAAATAAAGACGTTTGGTCGTTAAGAAAGAAACTCCTTGCAGTCGTGGTGAGTTTCCAGACCGCAGGAGCATCTTCGGGAGTCCAAGGTTCAGGGTCCATTGCCTCTGCAAGCTGATTGGTCACGTCGCATTATTGACCCAATAGGGTTAGTGGCATCTCGGCCAAACTTCTTTTCGAACCTCAAAACATGAACGTTGGTCGATGAGCGAAAGTCATCTCAAATTTTGGTCCTGTAGTGACTAATTACGAAATCGAATCGTTGGGTAGGGCTCTGATTCACTGAACGAGCTAATCGGCTATTCGCGATTACACCCAAGTTGGGCAAGTGCCACAATTGACGTGGATTTCTGTCCTGTAGAGCTCAGTTTTATCATTCGATCGACCTATCGACGATCACAAGCTCTTGCGTATGCTAGCAATTCAATGCGCATCAACCTCCATCCTCTCAAAGCTCTCGCAACACCTTTGAAATGGCTTCCAACCCCTCCTCCAATTCGCTTCTGGTCGACCAACCGTATCCTACACGGAAGGACGTGTCTGGCATCTCGAACCAATGGCCTGGCCCAACGTAAGTACCGTGCACCTCTAGCAGCCTCTTATAGAATCCAGCCGTTCCTCCGACTGGTTCCCTGGTCATGCGCGGGAAGCACACAATGCCACCTTCAGGCTGGACCCACTCGAGAAGCTCTTCCTTCTCAATCCAAGCCGCAACAATGCTTCTCCTGATCTTCATCTCTGCCGTGGTGACTTGGAGAATTTCTGATTTGCGTGCCAGGAGCTGTTCAGCAATCCATTCGTCAATGACGCTTCCACTGATGCTCATCTGCTCCTTTGCAGCCAGAAAGGTCGTCTGCAGGGATTGGTCTTTGCAGATGAGCCATCCTACTCTGATGCCGGGGGCACCGAAGGACTTAGAAAGCGAGCATACACTGATGACATGATCACCTAAAGATGCGGCGATGGGCAACTGAGAGCCATAGCTGATATCCCGATAAGTTTCGTCGACCAAAAGAAGGCAATTATGCTTTTTGGTGACGGCAACAAGCTGACGCAGAGAATCCTCCGAGATGAGTGTTCCTGTGGGATTGTGGGGGCAGGTGATGGAGACAATCTTGGTGTTGCGCTTGATCGAGGCTTCTATAGCTGCGACGTTGATTTGGAATTGATCTTCGTATGTGAGATCAATGAAAGATATCTCACATCCAATAGCTCTAGGCGTCTCGATGTTGGTGCTGTAGTTTGGTCGAACGACTACAAGATGGGACTCCGGGTTGAGCTGCGAGGTTGAGATGACGAAAAGCGCTCCGGCTGCTCCTGAGGTGATAAGAACATCATCTTCATGCAGTGAATCGCCGCCACTAGCTACAAGCTTTCTGAGTTTCTTTCCTCCTCGGTGCTCATTGTAGATCAATTTGAGGTTGGGAATCTTGAGATCCAGAGACTCGAGTGTTTGATCGGTGAACGAGCTTTCGGACAAGTTGCATCTGATGTTCTCGTATCCGTACTCTTCAGGGGCCTCGATCTCGATGGGCATACGATCGTAGCGCATCCTGTAGGACTGGTTAGCTCTGAGATGTGGAATAATAGGTGTAGTGGACTACATACTTGAAGCAATGACAACAAAGTCAACGGGAAATAGAGAGAACAGAGGAAAAGATAGTGGTGTAGATGAATCTATGGATATGAGCAGCACAGGGTCCTTTTATAGCAAGCTGCACAGTACTCGTGTGCAAGCACATGGCTTTGAAGCTAGCAACGTATCGAGCCACGCTCTCAGCGAGCGCAGTCGGTCAAGAGGGTTTCAGCGACTAGCTCTGGACCGGCTGGCTTCCTTGTTTTGTCAGAAACAGCCTAACAGGACTTGAGCATGTGACAATGTCATCGGGCCCGCTCGCAGCCACTTCTCGAATCGAGTAGCTGTTCCGGCCGCGTAGAGTCAAAGTCTCCGGAGGCCAGACGGAAGTCGTTGCAGACTACAGATATCATTGGCTGCTGCTGCATTCCTCCTTTCGTAGTTTAAACTCGCCAGCAAAGGCTTTCGCTTTCCACATTTCGTGTCCTTATGCTCAGGGCGGACTGCCATTCGACTTGGTTTCTGCAGCGGCCAATGGAAGCAGACACGTCTTGATATTAATTACCGAGGACGGTGTTACGGCTATCAGGATGAGAGTGAGGTCTATCGCCGTACAATCGGCCTCCAACCTGATTGGTCACGTCGCATTCCTGACCAGATGAGGTTAGTGCACTAGCCACCCAAAGCGTTCTTCGAACACATTGTGTGAAAGTTCTCATAGCACAACAACAACGAAAGATCACAACGAAACTGAAGATGATGCGGGATGGCCAAGCAAAAAGGAAGGTTGCAAAAAGACGGAAAGCTTCAAGCGTGGTCCTTAACAGTCGCCGGAAGAACGTTTATCCGGCGACTGCGGTGTACCTTGGTGTTTGGGCAATCGCGTCCTTGCACCACTCGCTCCTACCACATATTTTGTCTGTTCCATCCACTCTGACCGTGAGAAGCATTCAAAGCGTGAGGATGAGCAATTGTGGCAGCCAAATTCTCGCCACGACGCGCTACGAGTCGAGCACGCCATACTCTCACGGGATTTTCTCATGCTGAGCAACGCGAGATCTCCAGCCAACCAAAAAGGTTTCTAACCATGCTTCCGAGATAAGTGCAGTCTCCTAGATTGATTTACATTTTTCCAGGGAGATCAGTGGACTTTGACAACACAGCATTATGACTATAGCTTGCGCGATTTTGACGAATGACGGCCACCGCTCAATCAGTGAGATGCTATAAAGCAATGTCGCGTTCTTGCCTCTATTTTTTCGCTGTTTTGCAATCTTGACCAGGCGCACCATGGGACTCTCAGTAATCGCTCTTTCGCTCGCAGCGTTGCCTTTTGTAGCAGCTGGAGGTCCGTTTTTGCAACAGACAAGCAACAACACTTGGATTATCGGCAATGACCTCTGGAATATCACTCAAGGATCCATCTATGGTATCAAGCTATACTATCAAGGCAAAGATGCTATTGGCAAAGCTGCTGGACATTATGTTGGGGCCGGTAAAAACCAAATCGTATTCTTTCCTCGTGCCTGAGATTCTGACGCACTGCAGATGGAGAAAATAACCTTGTCTGGGAGTCAGCAAGTATTGTCAATGAAGGCAACGACTTTATTGACGTGAGCTTTGTCTCTGAAAAAGGCGATCTCCACTGGGTGATCTACGATGATCTTGCTGGCTCGTATCAGTATTTCGTCAACCGTGCTCTGGGCGACATCAGCATCCTGCGTTCACTTTTCCGCCTTGACCCTGATAGGTTCCCTAACGGACGCACTTACCTCAAGGATGAGCCTCTGCCTTCTTTCCAATCCATTCTTGATGGAACTAAGGTTCAAGATGAGACGTTCGAGACGTCGGATGGAACATACATCACGAAGTATGATTGGTCTAACTACGTGAGGGACCGCGACTTCAACGGCGTTTATGGTCCATCTACTGGATCTTGGTATATCCACCCCAGCACAGACTATTTCAGCGGCAATCACCTTAAGCAGACCCTGACTGTAAGCGCCTTATCGAACCTCTCTACCATGCACTATCTCCATTGTACATGGCTGCGACTACTGTGCGCGAGCTCACGAACACGTGGGCATTTTTGAACCTTCAACTGACCGTAACAGGTTCATCGCGAAAGTAGCACTGGAGATGCCGTACAACTCAATGTAGTACAAGACACTTCACACTTCCAGACCCAGGTCACGACCACTCAACCCAGTGGTAAGATTTGGGGACCATGGCTATGGTATCTGGTGAGTTTACGATGAATTTGAAGCAAAAGCTCTTCTAATTTTACCAGAATGATGGCTCTATCACCGATGCGAAACAGAAGTTCCAAGAGGAGCTAGCAAAGTGGCCCTATTCATGGGTCAATGATACAGCTTACCATTCTCGCGGCGCCGTCTCAGGAACTCTCAAGCTCTCCGATGGACGTGTTGCTGCTGGTGCCGCTGTTTTCCTTGGCGACTCTGACATACAAGCTCCATTGGCTCAAGGTGTGAACTACTACTACACTTCGTACGCAGATGCATCTGGAAGGTTCAGCTTCTCGAATGTTCGTACAGGTCAGTATGGCTTATATGCTTGGTCCAATGGTGGCAAAATTGGCGACGTCTACACCAATTATACAAAATCTGGCATCAACGTAAAGGGTAACACAAAGTTGTCAACACTGACCTGGTCTGTCCCAAGCAATGAGCGTGTTTTCCAAATCGGAGACTTTGACAAGAAGACCACTGGCTTCATTGAAAGTGGACCGTATCACCACGGTCTTGCTGCTCAGTCACCCGCCAACTTTACTTACACTGTCGGCAAATCAAACACTTCTGACTGGTACTATGCATCGTCCAACCTCGGCACCTGGAACGTAGAATTTGACGTCGCGACGCTCGAAAAGTCGTCCGCACGCCTAATTGTTTCTCTGGCTGGTTACTCTCAGAGCACTGCTTTGACAATCTCATCGAACGGAGCTGTCTTGGGAAGCTTAAGCAAGGACAATGTCACGACTGATGCCGCAACTTACAGATCAGGTACTGTAAGCGGAGAATGGCATCAATTCGTGTACCCAGTCAGCAACTTGAAGCAAGGGAAGAACGTCATCAGCTTCACCGTCAATAGATATGTTCTATGGAGAGGCTTCTTGTGGGATGCCATCGCTCTTGAGTGGGCTTGATGGGAATTCTGAAGGACAAGCTTTGGGTGTTTATCCGAGCGTCCGATAAATATCATGCTCCGTCTATGTGTGAAAGCCATCGGTTGACAAGCCATTCAGTCTCAAGAGTACTTCGTAATTTGACAACCAGCTTTACACTATACGATGGATCATGTAGTTTTATGTCTTCATACTGTAACTTGCGTATGCTTGTGTAGCAATGTTATCAGTGGGTCATACCGACGCTTTGGGCAGCTCACATAAATTGCGGCACAGCATGCATGTACGCGCCGCACAAAACATTCTTTCTAAAAATCGCAGAAGACAACTTGTGTTTTGCCTCTCTTTTTCAAATTCCCACTCTTGCCTTTCTATACTTCGATCGAACATGCTTCCTACGAATCTGCCCCATCTCGAAGCCTTGATACAACAAGGAACAGTCCGCAGACCTATCAACGACTTCTATGGCACACGCGATTACACTTCTCGGGAGCTCGCAACCCTAGAGCGCTTGGAGACTGACGCCAGTAAAGCGATTGGACGTGAATTGTCAACTACCGAAAGAAAAGTCTTGCTCGAGTACAAAGCACGACTCATTGCTTCCCAATCTCGCTGGAAGGTCTTGGGCTTCGATGCCGGCATCTGCGCCGGTGTGGGAATCGGATGGTTTACTCCCAGAATCAACCGACTCTACCAGAAAGGTCGCTACGTGCGCTGGGTCTATGGTCTTTTCTGGCGTGCCGCTCTTGGTGCATATGTCGCTCTAGGAGCTGCGAATAACTATGCGCGATACCTCGAACAATCACCTCTTCTAGCTATACAAGTCGTCCGCGACCCTCGTATGAGCGGATTTCTTGAATCGATCATGCGCAGAAAGGAGGAGTTTGGTGGACATGAACCCATTCTTGTTAGGAGTTGGAAAGAACTGAAGAATCCCGAGCCACCGATACAATGGTTTGAACACATATTCGGGCACTCCAGACAGGGACCGTTTGACCGACCACCTATCACTTCTCATCCTGAGCTCTCATGGTTTAGAGCGTGGCCTTCGGAATGTCAGGGTGAGGAGTTAGACGACGAGTTTGTCGCGAGTCAAGGTCAAGGCCTAGGCCGCAGACGAAGCGAGCTTTTAGACAACAAAGCACGGATGAAGCAGTTGATGGAAGGCGTAAGAGGATCAACTTTTAGACACCACATCGCCGACCTTGGGTTGAAGCCTTGCATGTATGTATAAAACACCCGAGTTGTGGACGGCTTCGGGACCTGGCTATTGATTGGTGCTCCCGATGAGGCTTTTAGGGTCCACGAGAATCGCGAAGATGATTCGGTTTCTGTGAGCAGGTCGAGGCTTAGGTATTACTGTAGTAAGCAAGTGTGATGCTACCTCAATGTCCACAGAAGAAGTTTAAGTAGTCTGTAGGAACTGGGCAAATATCATGGGGAAACAGAATTATCACTTCATTGCCCTTCACCTCCTTCGACATATAAGACGCTATCCTCCTCGCACTCGCCTGCTTCCTTCTCTATTATCGAGCATTTTCTCTATCAAGAGAGCAAAGCCTTACTTGTCCTATGTGTGTGTCGCTGCCTGCAGCGGCCATTGTTTTTGGTGTCGACCGTGCAGACAGGAGAAGCGACGAAGGTAATCACGTCGGTGATGCTCCGGTTGCAAAGTATTATTTCGTAAGCGGAGAGGGCACGAGGGGAGATGTTCTGATGTTGCACAATGGTATATGAGCAGGGTGGCTGGTTGCAGGGAGTACGAGAGCCTGACCTTCTTGGCCCTTCAGAACTATGATGAGATACTGGAAGCTGCGGACGCCTCATGCTTTTACAGAAGGATATGAGTCCTGTCCGTACGTTCCGTTGAGAGTGACTTTGCCACTGATGCTTCCGTCCTCCAATCTTACCCATGTCTGCACCTCGTCTTTGCCTTTACGTAGCACAACCTGTCTACTTCCTCTTGTCCAAGATCCGTAGCCGCCGTACCCGCTGCGTCTGTCGAAGCAAAGATCCAGCCCGTTACCGGTCAGATTCATGCCCTTGAGCTTGGAGTCCCATCTGAAGCACCAGTCGTCGCCATGATCATGGCCTGAGAACACTGCTTTGAGTCCTTTGGTGTCCAAAAGAGCTTGCATGAATGGAATGTCTTGGCCGTTGTAGGTGAACACAGCACCACTGACATCGCCTTGACCGGAAGCAGATCCTTGTTGGGCCAGAGGATTATCATCATTGATACCGGGCTCACGGTGTGTGTCCACGCCCTGAGCTTGGAAAGCTGCCATGGCGTTGACAGGGATGTGGACGAAAGCGACACTGGGTACAACACGGTTGTGTTTTTTCTCCAAAGCAGATCTAGTTTCAGTAAACCAGTCAACGACGCTTTGAGCTACCCAATTGGGTTGAGGGACAGATTTGCTGCTGGAAGATGACTGTTGGAAGTAGTTGCCACCTCGTGAGTCGAAAAACCAGAGCAGGAATCCAGGTACGGCTGAGTCGTTGCCGTAGACAGGCAGATAATAATTCGAGACGCCGGCATCGGAGGAGGAGACCATGTTCTTTGTACGACTAAGCGAGTATTTTGACTCTTGCTCGAAGATGCCTTGACGTGAGATGTTGAAGTCGCTATCGTGATTGCCATAAGTGCTGGCCCAGCTCATACCGCGATGCACCAATGGGGCGACCACAGCGTCGAGGTATTTAGTAGAGTTGTGAAGAAAAGTGTTTTCGCCAGTGATAAGATCGCCGTTCAAGACAATCAAGCCGGTGCTATTCTCTGCATCAAGCACAGAGTTCATGACCCTAGCACTCTTGACATCTTGCAGCGGACCCCAGAGCGTATCTTCAGCTTCGCCAAAATGCAAGTCACTGAATATGCTGAGCTGGAAAGAGCCATCGGGACTCAATCGGAGGACATCTGTGGGTTGAAGGATGGGGATCGCAAGAGTAGATACGGTAGAAGCAGCAACGGCAAAGAGGAGAGAGTGTATAGGAGACATGCTGAGGCGAGAAGTGAAGTGGCAGACATCGATTGGGAACATGAAGGCGATTACTTGGACATTTATGTGTCTTTTTGTTGAGATCGCTGATCGGCATGAAGTTGTGAGTTTGTTGATGAGAGCCACTCGTGGGATACACGTGGTCGGAGAGATAACTATACGAGCAAGTGGGTGATTTGTGCAGTATCACTCGCTGACTGGATCCATCGTGGCCCCGAAAGATTTTCACTCCCAAGACAGTGTCTTGCCAATCCTTTCTCGGAAGATCATTGATGATGTTGGGTTGTGATGTTAAAGAAGAAGGTGCAGTCAAGAGGAGGTGAAGTCTGTCGACGGAGATTGGCGGGCGTAAAGTCCGACGCAATTTCTCAGGAAGGCACGACTTGTTTCAACTCTTGGAAAAGAGCAACAACAATGCAGTTCAAATGCGGCTCTCGGGCGTGGTGCGATATGCGTTTCTCGCCTTGATCATACCAGCCATTCTATCGACCATCTGGTTATATCTTTATCCCATCGCGAAGAACTGCCATTTCCCGGCGGCTCCATCCAGCTACCATGGCGTGGCGCCCATTCGACTACTCGCCCTAGGCGACCCGCAACTCGAAGGCGACAGCTCCCTGCCTGATCCGAATGCGCCGCTTTTTCCTGGTCTTGTTGGCCTACGACATGGTCTATGGGTCGAGCCCCTGGACAAGGCAGCGCGCCTCGCCCGACGAGCGATCACGGACATTGCAACGAGAGACATTCCGCGATACGTGCAGACGCAGCGCAAGAGGTTGGATCTTCTGGGTAACGATTACTACCTCGCACACATCTACCGCACGACCAAATGGTGGACCCAGCCAACCCACATCTCCGTCTTGGGTGACTTGCTCGGTAGTCAATGGATCAGCAATCAAGAGTTTGACCGACGAGCCGACAGGTTTTGGAATCGTGTCTTTGTAGATGCACACTTTTGGAAACACAAAGCCGAGGGAAAAGAGCTTGAGGACGTCCATGGTTGGGACTTTTTGGATATGGCCAACGCTAGCCAGGCGCCCGCCCTGCTGAATGTGGCTGGAAACCACGATATCGGATATGCTGGCGATGTCGATCAACGTCGCATCGACCGCTTCGAAGGTGCTTTTGGTCAGGTCAACTGGCGCATCAGAATTCCCCATGCTGTTCCGCAGTCCAATCTCACCACGGAGCTGCACCTCGTAAATCTCAACTCGATGATCTTGGATAATCCTGCTTGGAATCAACATCTGTATCATGCGACCCATGAATACCTGGATCAAGTCATCAACGACACACATACTCGCAGCCCTCAAGATGCTGTCATCCTCCTCACCCATGTACCTTTGTACAAACCGGCAGGTATCTGCGTGGATCCTCCTTTCTTCAGCTATTTTGAGCCTCGCCATGGTGGTGGCATTCGCGAGCAGAACCACCTCTCCGAACAATCGAGCGGCAAGATATTGAATGGCCTGTTTCAGCAGAGTAGCCGAGAGAAGCGTGCCGGTATTGTACTCAACGGTCATGACCATGAGGGCTGTGATACATGGCACAACCGCTTCGAGGCAGATCAAGAGCAATGGAACCACACCAGGTATTCTGCCACCAACAAAACTGCAACCGGCATTCGGGAGGTTACTGTACGCAGCATGATGGGAGACTATGGCGGAAATGTTGGCCTTCTATCTGCTTGGTTTGACGCAGACGATGCTGTCTGGAAGTTCGAGTACGCTACTTGCGCGCTCGGCAAGCAGCACATCTGGTGGGCCATTCACATTGTCGATTCCGTAGTCATTGCTTTGGGACTCGCGAGTGTAATCCTTTTACTTTTGGAACTGGCCAGGGGGAGGAATGTTACCCCGGATAAAGAGAAGAAAAACAAGTAGCCTTGATTGCGCAGTTCTTTCAAAGATCAAGCGTCGTCGCTTTACCGGACCAACATGACGCCGCTGCGCCTTGAACTACAAAATGCTATTCTGCAAACAGCAATCAAGCATCCGATGATTCGGCTGAAAGCCACCGAACCTAATTAATGATGGACATTTATCCAGCCCATCACGAAAGCCAAGCATCCGCCCCCTCCGCAACACGAACATCAATCCCCCCAGACTTCTCCACAAACCTTCCTTGGCATCAGATCTTCGGTGTGCTTTCATCCGTGATTCTACAAATGATCAGCAACCATGCATGGCCACATGGTAACGTCGTATCCGAGGGCAGGAAGTGTTGTATATAACCTTGATCGATCGCCCTTCATGCCTCACAAATCATATTTCTGTCTACCACACCATGCGATCATTACATCTTTTAGTGTCCTCGGCTCTGGCATTGCTGGCCACTGCTGCTGAGAACACCACTTGCTCATCTGATCTAGAAGCCTTGACTGTAGCCAATATTGATGACGTTCGTGGCAACTTACACCTTCCGCCTACGGCCAAGAGCGGTCTCAATGTCACCTGGAGCAGCAGCAATGAGCCCGTCGTGTCAAACGATGGCATTGTCGGCCGACAGAACGCCACTACTCAGGTTGGCCTCACAGCGACCATAAATTGCAACGGAAAGCCAGCCACTCGCCAATTCTCTGCTTCAGTCCGTCAAGCAGCAAAGATTGGTGCATTCGAGGGCTATGCATTTGCCTACTTCACCAACAACACCAAATCTGGAGAGAACATTTATTTTGCAGCCAGTAACGGCAACAATGCTTTGTCATGGAAAGAGCTCAACGGTGCACAGCCTGTTCTGAAGTCGACCCTTGGTACCACTGGGCTCCGCGATCCTTTTATCATCCGCTCTCACGAGGGTGATACTTTCTACCTTATCGCGACCGATCTCTCCATCGGTTCCGGAACTTCCTGGGGCGACTCAGTCAAGTTTGGAAGTCGCTACCTGGAAGTCTGGGAATCTCACGACCTCAAGACTTGGTCAGAGCATCGTCATGTCTTGGTTTCCCCTGCTGAAGCGGGTAACACTTGGGCCCCTGAGGCATATTATGATGAAGGTATTGGTGCTTATGTCGTCTTCTGGGCTTCTTCTCTCTACAACTCAACTGATGTGGACCGTACGGGAGCGACTTATCACCGCATGCTCTATGCCACAACCAGAGACTTTGTGACTTTCAGCGAGCCCCAAATCTGGCAAGATGCCGGCATGTCGCGTATCGACTCTACGGTTTTGAAAGAGGGCGATACCTACTATCGCTTTACAAAGGATGAAGGTGCTGGTGAGACTGGATGTACCGACATCATTCAAGAGAAGTCGACTTCGTTGAGAGCCACGTTAGGTTCTTGGACCAATGTCGCTACTTGCATTGGTAAGAAGGCCGGCACTGCCAATGTCGAAGGTCCTACAGCTTTCAAATCCAATCCTGGAGATGTGAACGGTGACAACTTCTACCTGTTCGTCGACGAATTCACCGGGCGTGGATACATTCCTCTTTCGACCAAGAACATCGCCAGCCCCAACTGGACAGTACCTGCATCTTACAAGCTCCCTCCTAGCCCGAGACATGGAACTGTCTTACCTATCACTGCTGCCGAGCTGGCTAGCCTCAACGCAGGCACTGCCAACACTTCATCACCCACAGCACCCACAGCTGGAGGCTCGCCAGTACTCAAAGGCTACTTCGCCGACCCCAACATCGCTGTCTTCAACCAGACATATTACATCTACGCCACCACAGACGGCTTTCCTGGATGGGGAGGTCAAGTCTTCTATGCCTGGAGCTCGCCCGACCTCGTGAACTGGACACGCAGCGCAGAGTCCTTCCTCACATTGAACGGCACCAGCGGCAACGTACCATGGGCAACAGGCAACGCATGGGCTCCCACCATCGCCGAAAAAGACGGAAAATACTACTTCTACTTCAGTGGTCAGAACCCTACATACGACAGAAAGACTATTGGTGTGGCTATCGCAGATTCCCCCACTGGCCCATTCACCGCTGAGCCTACCGCCATGATTTTGAACAACGAGCGCCTCACGACTGGTCAAGCCATCGATGCCGATGCCTTCCTCGACCCTGTCAGCGGAAAGTGGTATCTCCTCTGGGGCAACAGCTACCCTCTTCTCGCAGAACTAGCCGACAACATGACCTCGATAAAATGGGACACCGCACAAAACATCACCGGCCTCGTTGACTTCCGCGAAGGTCTCTTCCTCGTATACCGCAAAGGCCTTTACCACCTCACCTACTCCATCGACGACACTGGCTCCGAGAACTACCGCGTCGGCTACGCCACTTCCACTTCCATCACTGGAAATTGGAATTATCATGGTGTGGTGTTGCAGAAGGATGTTGGTCAGGGGATCTTGGCTACGGGACATGACTCCATGATCAATGTGCCTGGGACGGATGAGTGGTATATTGCTTACCACCGTTTCGCGATTCCTGACGGTGATGGCACGCATAGGGAGACGACTATTGATAAAGTTACTTTTGATGAGGAGACGGGATTGATGAATGTGGTTGTGCCTACGTTGAGTAGCGTGGAGCCTTTCCCTGTGCCTGCGAATTGAGATGGAGTGGTTTTTGATGACTGGTTTGTAGTTTTGACTCTTGGTAAATGATGATATTCTACTGCCTAACGCTGTTGTTCATCGCTCATTCCATATTTGAACCATCGTGCAATCTCACTTCTGTGTTTAACTATGCCTAGATCTTCCCTGATGGACGAAAAGGCTCATGACAACACTCCTGGACAGACTGGACTTCAACAAACATACAAGAGATGGAGATGGAAGAACCCCACGACCCAAGTCCTCCACAATGTGGAGATCAACCATGGAATCGCCGACCAGCTATTCATTTGCGCCCCATCTGTATATCATTATTAGTTCACAGAGGCATGTGGAAGGGTGAAAACAGTTTGTAAACATTCGAAAGAGTTCTCTAACGCTTCCGACTACCGTATTTGATCCCCAAAAAAGTACCATGCACTCGATACTTGTTCTCGACACTATCAACCCATAGCTGAGACGAAGTCGGAATCGGATCTTTACACATTGCCCTGATGTAAGTCAAGGCCGCTAGGTAGAAGGCAAGAAGAAGGCACAGGTCAATGACACTGCAAAAACAATTGTGTTTCCGCAAAGTAGGCCCCGAAAGTTTGTAGCAAGGCTGCAATGAGGGGAAGGCTGTTGGGAACTTGAGCTTCACTGACTTGATCGTATCGCTCGGTCTTTCTCTGAGCAAGCAGCCTTATCGTTCAACAGTTTCTGCGAGGAGCAAGCACCAATGCGCTGAATGTATACTGCTCCTACAGTCCGATGGCTAGCTCCAAGGATAGAAGTTCAGAAGTCGAGCGAAGTAGCTGGTTTTATATCTCTCATCTCCACTGCAAAGAGAAGAGGATACGCATTGACCAGTCCATCGATTTCATCAATTCTACTGCCATGGCACTCACAGTATGTCAGATGGAATTTTGATCGTGACTATAAATCGTCGTCATCTCCACTAGGAAACTGCTACAATCAACCGCCCGCGGAGAATGAAAGACTCGTGTCAGTAACACTACGACCAAACCACTTGCGCCTTCCGTCCCTCGCTCTTCGAATTATTCGGGGAGCCACAGACCATGCGGCTACGTAGGTAGAGAAAACAACCAGGTCACTGATGCTGGCTCAAGAATTGATGCACTTCTTCTCTACCTCCTCCTCCCAGATCCCATGCTGGAAAACAGTCTGGACTTCATTGACCTGATTGCTTTGTTGCATTGCCCTTGCCCTTGCCCTTGCCCTTGCCGTTGTCTCGATGTTCAGGTTGGTGTTGATAGATCTACTCCACGGGAATGGTGTTGGTTTCAGTTTCAGGCTCCAAATGGAGACGTTAGATGCATGTATAGTCATTGCAAAGGTCGCGGATACTGTTGTTTTTATATGTGTCTCCTTTCCACCCAAGACGGAAGTAGCGCTCGTAAGACATAGGGAAGCTGGATGCAGTGATGCCAATGAGTTGTGAGCACTCACTCATATAACTCATAATTCATTCAACTCATGCTATATGAGTCATGAGTTAGAAAAGTCATAAGTACTCATAACTTATGAGTGCTCATGGAGAGGACAGGGTCGCCCCCACGGAGGACAGGGTCACCCCCGCGGCGGACCCCTAAAATTTCCAATCTAGGGTTGACCAATCAGATCGCTCCCTGGCCGCAACCAATTTCATTACTCACTTAACAACTCATGAGTGCTCATGAGTGCTCATGGCTATGAGCACTCATGAGTTAATGAGTGAGCTTACTCATGAGCTATAGAGTCATGAGTTATCCCAAAATCCATGAGTGAACACTCATTGGCATCACTGCCTGGATGTCTGGTGGCGTGAATGGCGGGAGCATTATTCACGGCAGAAGATTGCACCATACCTATGATCTTGAGCGAGAGGCATCCATGCGTGCTTTACTCTTACCCGTCAGCACGAAAAAACAATTCACTGACCATGATGTATTCGACTGCATCTGGACAGCCAGAGAGAGACAGAGAGGAAAATGAGTAAAGCAGTTCCGTCAATCACTTGCTGGCTCGTAAAGGTGTACTGCTGACCACTCAGATCTTTGCCGGAATATGATTCGAGGTTTGTTGGTGCTCATCCACATCTCATCGAGTGCTTCCTCTGTTTCTAGCGATTCTGGCATTCCGGTCCAGAGTTTTACTGTAAGCCTGGTTATCAAGTATGACGCATTCAGAGATTTGCTCTCACTAAATTCATCAGAACAGACCGAATTTATGATTTGCCACCGCAGTGCTGGAATTGGTCACGGAAACAATGAAAAGTCAGTAAAACACGAAAAGGCACGAGTATAAGGATCATCGCCAGCAATTTCAATGCTGAGACCTATTATCCTTAGTAACAGAAAATAATAACAGGACTAGCCTTCCCTCTGTGGCTGTCCGGTTTGTACTTGACCCAAACGCGTAGTAACAGCTTTTCAGGAGCAATGGAGAGGTTAGCAGGTCAATAAAACACATCTCAAGCCTGATCACCTATTTACGCGTCATCGTTATAGAAGGAGTTTCTTCTCCGAAGGAGTAATTAGCTCTCCGAGATTCATTAATCTGCCGTTCTCATCTTCGTACAACGAGTCTCCTGCTACAGCGTCAGAATGGAAGATTAGGAGCAACATCTGCAACATCTTGTGCGCAGAACAACCTCTACTTTCATCCGGAATGTTGTATGAGTTTTGAAAATCTCGAATCTGGTCCTGGAAATGATTTTATATAATCTTTTTCGCTCTAAGATGTAAGGCTATATGCACAATATTGATTGTGGTTGTAAGTTTTTCTTCGACAATTTACAGTTGATGATTTGCTGGCTTGAGTATGCAACACCAATAAGAAAGAAATGAAGATATCATCACATACTCTGCTGATCATTGCTTTAATGACTGTACTATTTTTAATACCGACACCAAGAGCTCGAGATCCCATCGTGATGAAAACAGGAACCCGGCGACAGTTAGATTGGGCAAGGTTCGTTGCTTGACGGAGATACACGCGAAACAAAGAGGTCTGTGATACCGCGCGTTGACTCAAGAATTCAACCATTCACCCTGGTTCCACACTTGGGAATTTCTAGAACCACGCTAGTTCATGGAGAGTCTCTTGAGTCTCGGGTTCACTAACCTGATCACCTTCCTGGGCTCTGCGTTCCAAAATGCAGTTTCTGTATGTTTCGTCAGCTTAATGTTCTCTTGATGGTGATGGACAAGCCTCCATATAGCTGGTGTGGTTAGTTTGATTGCTCTACAACTGTGATTGCAATTGAAACCTTTATACAAGAGCTAGTAATAGATCTTCACCCGTAATTCACGTCTGAAATGACCGGGCTACTGCCGAGATCATCTCTCTTACTCTCTCTTAGGTACTCATCGGCTATGACATTCCGTAATGAAAAAAATACAGAGAAGCATCCATAAAATGGGAATACAAAGTCGGCGCCTCGGGTCCATGTCGAGAACGACGCATACCGGGCTACTACCGAAATACAGTAGATCTCTCTTACTCTCTCCTAGGTATGCATCGGTCGTGATATTACGCAATAAATTAAATACAATAACCGGACAGAGGGAGGGAATGCGCGGTATTATCGACCCTGCTCGTTTCGTCGCCTGTTTCGCTACGGGGTTAGGTGAAATCGACTAGACATGTCGCAGAGAAGTTGAGAGAACTCATTCTGGTTTCGCATCGGCATTGAGGGCTTAGTAAAAAAGGAAGAGAGAGTTCGAACAAAGGGCAGAATATATACTCGAAGGAGAACGTCCCTTGCTTTACTCGAGTACTTTGTGATAATTTTGCCTTGCATGCTCTGGTTAAATTGCTATGATTTCGAACATTTGGCGCTGTAGAAATGCACAAGGTTTTTCGAAACAGTAGCTTCGTCCGCAGAGAGTGAGGAAATGGTAAAAAAAGAAAGAGAGAGCAGAAACATATACTCGAAGGAGAACGTCGCTTGCTTTACTCCATCATAATTCCACCTTGCATGCTCTCTTCCGTTGCTATGCTTTTGAATCTTTAGCGCTGTAGAAATGCAGAAAGTTTTTCAAAACTGTAGCTTCGTCCGCAGAGAGTAAGGAAGGTAGGCCTCTCGTGAATGTTACGACTACATGACCATCTCATCAAGAGCGTTGCCACGAAACACAAGGTCACGCTCGCAAGATGACGATTCGTATCGTCGCAGTGTCACAAGGATGTCCGCAACGGAAAGAAGCAATGCCGGTTAGACTTGGCTTGCGGGTAGCTGCGGCACAGATCGGCTTTCTACGGTTGAACGCGGAGATAGTCATGGACCGAGATGAAGCAAGTTGGAGCGGATTGATCGGCTTCCGGATTGTGATGATTGCGTTGATCGCGAAGATCTGATTGTTGATGCCGATATCGAATCACCGTAACGCGAATATCGGACATAAAGATCTACTGTCATCGAGATAGTGAAAAGGACACCAGGAAGAAAACTGTAGGTTTGTGAAAGATTTTGAATTGCATTCATGTCTGCTTGAAGGGGGTATTTGGTATCGCTAAAAAGGTTGCCCTCGGAATGTGTAAAGAAGAAGCGTCTATGTGCATGAAAAGAAACCATCCCTATCCAGGGGGTTGAACGCCGGGTCCCAAATCGCTAGAAACGCCAGGGAAATGCTTGTGGGTAAACAAAAAGAGAAAATCGTCATCGCTGTCCAGTTGCCATGTTTTGCCAACCATCGTTATCATCAAGAAGAATCGGACTTCTGGGGGATCAGAGAAGTCGTGGAGAGAGAGGAAGCTTATGCGAGACCGAAGGTGGCCTTGATGCGGCGGAAGATCTCACCGCGCATGGCATCTCTGCTCTCGACGGTGCGGGTGGCGGCATCCTTGTTCTCAGCAGCGCGGCGGAGGAGGTAGTTCAGGCAGTCGGTCATGGAGCCCCAGGCGGTCAACTTGTAAGCACGAGGGATGTCGACCATCTCTTCAGGCTTGGCTTGAGTGGCGCTGATGAGCTCGCAGCTGACCTCGTCGGCCATACCCTGGAGCTGAGCGTAGGCGCAAGGAACTCTCTCCTCGCCGGAACGGAGCTGGTTGGTGCGGATAGCCTGAGCCTTGCGAACGGAGTCGGCGTTGTGGGTTGCGAGGACGAGGCCGACGTTGCGGGGGAAGACACCATCGTCGTGGGCAGCGGGCTTAACAATGTCGTTGTAGGTGCGGGTAAGAACAGCTTCAGCCATGCCATCGTAAGCGCGGTGAGTGTCTTGAATAGTGTCCCAAATCTTCTCGCGAGGCTCAGAGTGCAAGTAGGCGCCACGGACGAGCTTGACACCGAGAGTGAAACCCTCAGTCTTGGCCTGGTGGAGATGGCTGGAAAGAGAAGCAGGTGCGCCCTTGAGGTAGCATTGGTAGGTGTTGTAAAGAACGATGTTATCGGGCTTGTTGTAAATCTTCTGCAAGTTCAAGGTCCAGGCGTCAATCATGGGGTTGGTGGTGGTTTCTTCGGCAGAGGGAACGAGAGCGATACGCTTGGCGGAAGCAGCGTCACAAATCTCCTTCATGGCACTCTCCATGATGTCGATGGGCTGCTTGCCCTGCTTGAGGAGCTGCATAGCGTAGCCACCCATACCAGACCACTTCAGGCCAATGATGTCGCCAGGCTGAGCGGCCTCGACGGTCTCGAGAAGACCCTTTCTCCACATCTCGACATCGCCAGCGGTATCATTCGAGGGAATGTCGGACAGGACCTCGCGAGCGTACTCGAAGATGACACCAGAGTAACCAAGACTTTGCAATTGAGCGCGAGTGGCGCGGACTTCGGCCTTGGTCTCACCACCGCAGAACTGCTTGTAGAAAGTCTCTCTGAGAATGAGCTTGAGCAGAGGGTTACGTTCGACGTTAAAGATCGGACCCTTTGCGTGGAGCATGGCAGTCAAAGCCTTGAAGCAGGCAGACAAAAGTGCGGGCTTGCATGAGATGGAGGTGATCATGTAAGTTCTGAGGACCATGGAGAGAGGCAGAACGGCGAGAGCGGGAGTCTTGTTGGTCTTAGTGACCTTTGATCCAGGGATGTGGTTGGGGAGAGTAGCCACCTGAGGAGCTGTCATGGAGTGTTGTTCCTTGGGAGTGCTGTGCATGTGTCTGGCAGACATCAAGAAGGGAGTAGCGACGCGGCCATCAAGGCGGCGTGCCATTGTGGAGCGCACTCTGAGAGAAGACATGTTGTTGTGCGTGAGATGTCTTCTAAGGTACTGTGGAAAAGGTCGATAAGTTCACTTGAAGCTCTCGACGACAACAGAGGGACATGTGCCTTTAATACTCACTCGCTTTGTGCTTAGGCCGCTGTTCTCCTCTCACTGTTGCCTCGCGGCTATCCTCGGCCTTGAGCGTTGGTGTTGATAAGAGAAAGTTGGAGTTGCTTTGTTCTCCATACCACGCTAGCCCGATATGGCCTCGCTCGGCTACAGTTTGCTGTCGCACCGATGGCCCAGATCTCATGCAAAAACTCTCTCCACCAAAATCCGTTTCAATTTCATGCTTTTGGTAATCACACGCTTCGGCTTTCGAGGCTGTCATCTCGGTCTTGTCGAACGGCCTGTATCGGTCTTGGATGCGAACTCCCTTCTTTGCTTCATCTCCGCAGGTCGCTCCTTCTTCAGTTCTTCGCTGCGAGTTCGGAGAAAGCTGCGTCGAGCTGATTCAAAACTGCTGAGTATCCACCTCTCTCATCAATTTCTGCACCGCCGATATCCGAGCATCACTTGAGCCGTTCATCTTGCTGAGCAATGTGAGAGGGCGAGTGAGGACTCCATCGCTTGACTGCGGCCATGTCTTATCAGCATTCAGCTTCCCGGTCTGATGGCTCGCGTGACCTCCAACAGATACGACAAGCATAGCAGAGTTTCTTGACAGTCCAACAGGATGGACACGAGGATGACGAGATCACACTGCAAAGGAGCTCGCGCTCCTCTGCCTTGATGGTCGTGACGGTCGTTTGACGGTTTGCAGACGTCGGGGCAAGCTGTCGTTTCGCAAGCCACGTCGATTCCCGAGCGCAGGCCAACATCGTCAATTTGCCTCGACCATCACCTTTTCATCACCACCATCGAGAGCCATCGGTTTGGGCCTTTAACAACCTCCATCTCGACACGCAACCATTGTTGCTCATCTCGCGCACCCTTCGGTGCTGACGATGATGACCAAGGACGACCCCTTGACTTATCAGCCATCTCAACGCATCGACGCTGGCACCATGTTTTTCTTCTTTACCTTGAGTCGGAAGATTTTCGAAAGATCTCTCGTCTCTGGCTAGAGATCATGTGCTGATGGCGCGCTCGCTTTGACTTTGGCCGCTCGTCTTTAACTTTTTGCCGACTCGACAGCAAATGATATCAGGTAGGCGCCATTCCAAGCTGCGTTGTTGTCGCGGGCTCTCAACAACACAAACGCCAGCCATTTGTATCCTCCACACCTTTCTGGTGCACCTATCGTGTCAGATATCGACTGGTTTTATCGCATCAAATGATAAGGTAGAGATCTTGTACTGCCTTTGCTACATGGGACGACCACCTCGGTCAAATTTGACGTGTACCCGCAAAGGACTGCGCACTCTCCTGCGCCAATCGGTACCAGAGCAAGCGGCACTTACATTGATCATGCTGCCAGATTTCCTTCAAGCCTTCGCTTCCGAAAATAGTCCTGGCGATTGACAACCCGTCGACAACAAGTTTCTCGGCAACAATGGTCAAAGTGCATCGTTTGATACACTGAGTCACGTCCATCAAGCACGTATGTCTCTGCTCCTTACCTGGTAGTCTCAACGTTGCCAACCCTCGAACTTCGCTCACGCGAGTCAACAAACCGCTCCTCTGAACTCGAGCAATACTGGTGTACTTGACTGCGCTCTGGACTCGCCAAGGATCTTTGACCATTTGATCAAGAAAAATCATTCTTTCTTCCTAGACGACTTTTCAGGGCGGTGTTTCCAAGGCAGCGACACAGTACCACCTCGGTCAACGACATGCAACAAGGACCGTAGATTTGTATGCTGGCGGGCGATTCCTGCTTGACAACATCAGCATCAAAAGTTGAAGTGAGAAAAAGAAAATTTCCTTCACTCATGGACTACATATACCTTACCACCGGGGACCTTTCCGGGACCGTGCTTCTGGTGGCCAGGTAGGCCCTTGTGGCCCACTGGTAGAGCGTCTCCCCTCTGGAACTCTTGACTAACTTCTCGCAGGTTCGAGACGTAGCAGTCCTCTCCCCCCGAGCCCTGTGAACTCGTTTTGCGCTTTTTGCAAGCAGACAAGTCACGGGACCTTCTTTTTGCACAGATTTCTCCCTGAGTTATTGGTATAGAGCTCTTCGGTGGTGTCACAGGAAGAAGCGGCAGTGCCATTCCTGATTGCCAACCAATCATCGGATATGAGTGTTTCACGAGGGTTTCACGACTATCTGCTCTGTCTGTCATACTCTCCTCCTATACGGCATGTCGCAAACTGTCAAGTAGACCCTGTGCCGCATCTCAACACACGAAAGTCGTTCTGGCTTGCTGTTTTTCTTGGAAGGAAGGATTGTTGAGAAACGCCCATGATTGCCGGCGAGATCAACTCAACCGGCGAGACGTTTCCCTCGCGATGCGGTGCTGATCAACTCAACTCCCATTATCGTTTCCTTCTTCCGACATTTCTTCCTGCTCGGCTTGTCAAGAGAAAAGCCTCTGACGAACCAGATGAAAGATCAGCTGCAAACCGCAGAGCTTCAGCGCTTGATACGCAGCTGGAGTGATGCTCGTAGATGATTGACTTTGACACCGCAACCTCACCAGCTTCTCACTCAGCAGGGCTCAGACATGATGTTTTCTGCATGGAGCACCAAAGCTCGATCAGAGTAGTATCTGTGGATCATCATTGCACCGCCCAGAAAGATGACGCTCGCCAATGACGACTTCACGAGCAATAGAAAATGGCCCCTGCAACAGACTCTGATCAGATTGAGTTCAAGAGCTGATCCGACTGAACTCGGCAGATGACAGCAAGAGTCTCATCTGTCGTGTACGTGTGCAAGGGAAGGAACGAGAGCCTCACCTGCTGCAAACAGTCGCCATCAACACCATATTTGTCTAGCACCAGCAAGTCAGCCATTGTTCATTACGAAAACAGAGGAAGAGGGGGAAGTTGCTCAGACACGGGGCTTATCGCCAGAGCACTGGTCAATCAAAGCCGCACAGAAGTCGTCAAGACCGGAAGACGAAATCCAACCAATCCCAATCATGGCCGCATCGTTGTCTCTCGCCACAGGCCCCTCCTCCAGATCTCGACTAACTTGATTTCTCGCCGCTCGGCGACATGACACTAGTCAAGCCTCACGGCGCAAGGAAATCGCCCATCAGAAGACGTGGATGCCTTGCAGTACGACGTCAATGAACGGAGTGTTGCAAAGACAAAGGAAACGTCGTACTCACCGCCATGCTCTGCTAGGAGAGCTGTTCGTTCCTATCTGCTATGGGTTCCAATATGAGGTTTCCCTGGGATATCACTCACGTCAGCAGAAGCTCCTTCAATTTTCGAACGACTTTGCTGCCACGCTCTCGTTTTTCAGGCGTTTGCGGGTGATCTCGTCCATCACGGCTGGTTCACTCAAGGCCGACTTTTTGCTCGGGGAACTTTGGAGGGGACTGCCGTCGACCTCGGAGTGGCCATTACACGAAGTCTGAGCTTTTCATCACGACAAGAAGCGGGCAGCAGAAGAAAGAAGGGAATCGACTCACTTTGAACGGGAAGGGCTCTCAAGTACGACGCGCCTTGTTGAATCACGCAAACTCAGAACTTGCTGCTGTCTCGGACCTCGACGACAGCAGTCCGCCATCGCGTTTGGTTGTCATTCGGGACGTCCTTGGATAATTGTCTATGAAATAACCAAGCTGTCAGTCTTTGGTTTGAATTCAGAGAATCAGACCGAATATGAGACAGGTGGCTGTTCAGATCTCTTTGTGAATTCATCCGGGATCATGAGATCAAGTGTAAACTGGTTTTTGATCATCACGACAGCCTTGTCTTTCTCGACCTCCAGAAGAAGCTCACTTACCAAGGTGTTTCTCCCCCGCTATGGGGCACGGATCTGCTATCGCAAAAGTCAGCACATGTCGCTTCCCATGTTCTTGGAGTACGAATTATGTTCATGGATGCTAATCAGTATAATTGATGGTGTTCTCATGCTTGATCGAGAGATAATACATGGCTTTTGTCATCATATGCGGGAAAGAGAAGAAAGAAACTCTTTTGACTCACCAAGATTTGCTCATCAAAACCCGACATTCACGCAGCGCGTTTCTGGAAGACATGCCAGCAAGCTTTCTCGAATCAAGCTGAAAGGAAGTTTGAGCATCCTGCTGCTGGTCACAACACCGAATAGGTTTGTTCTCAACCTTGATTCAAAAGACGAAATATTGTTTCATCATGATCTCTCGACATGCTAGCAAGGTCTTCCGTGGTCTTCGGAAAGAAAGCTGTTCTTTCGCGACCTGTGAGCGAAAAGACGTCAGCAATGGTATCGAGGCCGCCGACCTAGGCCGCCATCTCCTGGAGGTGCTGCTGCGATGAAACATCAGCACAGGTTCTGCATGCCAGGTTGGAACTCATTCTGGATTTCAAGCTGCTTCTTCAGACCACTAAGGATGTTTTCTTCATCTTTGGTTCAAAATGCACAGTTTTTGTTCATCATGCAGCAGGATAGGGGCACGCATCTCAGACATACCAGAAAATTGTTGGAATCCTCTGTCGAAGGCGTCATTGACTCAGTCCTGAGCAAAAAAGCGTCAGCGATGTTCTTTCAGGCCTCTCAAGATACTGCAGAGAAGGATTGGAAAGCCGCTCAGAGTTGCCGTGAAGCACTGGGGTGTTCTCATGCTTAGAGTCAAAAGGAAGCAGAAGAGAAAGGGGTGTTCATCATGGCTTTAGGAAAGATACTTGAGGTAGATGCACTTACTGAAGATGAGCTGAGCTCTGATTCCTCTTTGCAGATTACAGCACGATATTTTGACAGAACACTGCAAGAAGTCAGCCAAGGCCCCTGACAAAGAGCTGAGAATGTTCTGAGGCCAATCAGAGGTGCTCCGAGGGCTACAGTACATATCCCTGGACTCATCACATCTCGTCGGCAACCTTGCAGCTTGGCATTCGACTGCGAACGTGTCAGCGAGTGTCTCCTACGAGCTGGAGTAGATTGAGTTCGTTTGGGGCTGTCTCAGTGCAAGAGCAAGAAAGGTTCATCATGCCTCAGATGCTTAATTCTTATGGTGTTCATCATACAAGTGGGGAGCGAGGAGAGAAACAGAACGAGAACGACATGCCTTGTTTCTGGATTTCCTTAGAAACCTCGATGGAATAGAGAGAGAGGTCGATGTATCATTTCCTACTGGCCATGGCGCCTTCGCGTCTGTCTGACTGGCTCAAGATGATGGTTTCTGCCGCAGCAGGACTGCAAGAAGGTCAGCAAGTCATCTTCCAAGCTTGATTAAGTCAAGTGAGGAAAGAGCGTAGTCAGAAGAAAGAGCATGAAATGTCGTCAGGATTCAGTTCGACGAGTCTTTTTTGTCCATCATTCGCGAGGAAAAATGGACAAGAGCAGCGACATACCTGCATTCTTATCACAATGTCGTGGTACAGATGTTCTGCATGCTACCAGTCAGCATCAACCTCTGACTTGATGACCAGCCGGTTCGCTTGCAGCGGGGTGTCACCAGCCTTGGTGCTTGCGGCTGAGTGGCTTTTTGTCGCTGGAGCTGCAAAGGGCGTTCTGCAACCACTATCATATTCTTTCTGGTCCTCCTCTTGAATCGGCCTCGAGCTCGAGCAGCCATTGATCGTACAGAGCGATCTTGTCTCGACAGCCTCGGGCCGGAGTAGGGGGTGCGGGAAGAGGAAGATCTGCAAGATCATTGTCAGCACTTGCACAAGAAAAACCAACAAGCTCAACGGGCCTTAGAGCCACCTTCGTACTATTAGGCATTATGCTTTGCTTCAAGATGACCTGGAGACGCCGGGCAGAACTCTCGAAAGCCTTTGTATCGTCGAAGAGCAGAGAGCAGACGTATGGCCTGCATGATGGTTAGCATATGCTTCAATGCGTCAAAGGCTCCACCGCAGCTCGGATCAGGTTGCAAGTCAGACTTTTGCATATTGTTCTTCATGCTGCGGTCGGAGGTGAAACTGCGTGGTTGATCATCATGAAAGCAGAGCCTGACAAGGCTGTGATGGACGAAACACTTACCAGGTCTAAGAAGGCAACAGTCGCGTATCTCGAAGTTTCCGCAAAAACAGGAGGATCCAGAGAGTCATTTGCCAAAGATACCTGTATCCCAGTCAGTCGAAATGCTCCTCCAGAAACTCAATCGACAGGGGCTAGGATATAAGCCACATCAGACACGCAACCGATATCTGTCTCTTGATCCGGCACTGGGTTATGCAGAGAAGAAAGCGACTTGCCTTGATGAATGCAGCACCGCTACAGACGTGGCATGAAGCATCTGGAAAGTTGTCAGCACTGGGCTTTTGCGACTGTATCATGAGTGCGTGGTATGGATGAATATGCCTCAGATTGCGACCGAGACCGTCGCAAGTTGCCCTTCTTCTCCGCAGTGCGAACCGCCGCAAGATTAGGATGCACAAGAACTTTTCATCATCTAGCAGAGGAGGAAAGACTTGGAGGTTGACTTACCGTGTCAGACCCCGAGGTCGATGAGAAAGCCCAAGGCCATGCGCAGCGCCATGTATTGTTTGGAGAAAGCAAAGCATGATTTTGCAATAGCGGGGGACAGTAGCCGACCTGTTCATGAGGCGCTGTCAGTCCGAGGTCCCTTTGGAGTTCAAATTGTGCGGTTCATTGATCAGAGATCTCATCAGAGGTCTTTGCGTGTATCCGTCATGGTGATGAACGGGCATATCGACAATGCTTGTTGTCATCATGGAGTTAGAGGGTGGACGGAGGAGACTTGTCAACTTGCAAAAGATCTCTCAACCTCTGAAACCGCCAACATATGGTTCTTGAGGCGGCGACGACGCCAATGTTCTTGTTCAGAAGGGGCTGTTGCGCGGCGCACATGGCTGTTCTAACTACTTGAATGATCAGCCATGTTCGGGGGAAGAAAAGGACGACGACGCTTACCTGGCTCTGCGTTGAGCACATCTTGATTGCCTGGAGGCTGTCAGCTTGGACACCTTACCTTCCTCATGACTGAAGAACGTGAGCATCGAGAAGAGGTGTGGCTCACGCCGTACAGGCATCTCATAAGACACAACAGACGACGCACGACTTGAACAGACTGTAGATCAGAACGTCTCATTGCACCAGTCCATGACAGAGCTTGATGTTTCCAGCATTGATCTTGGCTCGATGTGAGAGGTTTGCCTCTTTGGAAAATCGATGGCCATTGAAGGAAGCCACAAGAGTCTGCGAGACCGAGCCGATGTTGAGGGACAAAGGCTTCGACCTACCTTGGAAGATGTTTGTGCAGAGAAGACTTCAAGATCTGTCAGCAAGTCAGCATTGTCACTTCAAAGACATCAAAGCGCAAAGAGTCTTGATGGGAGGGGATGTATGCTTCTCCGCTCGACCTGTCTCAGAAGACACTGACCAGAGGAGTACAAAGTCTGGCACTGGACGAAGAAGCACTGGGATTTTATCTTGGCTGGCGATATGCTCCGAGTGGCAAGCTGACCATTGAAGGGTCACCTGAGCACATCATAGCCGTGAAGGAGTGGTGTGCAGAAGGAGAAGACTTGACATACCTGGTTGATGAACTTGCGCCGATGGTGAACGATGATGTTGATGACGATCTATCGTTGTTAAGTCAGCAAGTTTCATCGGCGGCGGCGAGCACAAGACTGACCACCAAGCGCACTCAGCGCGAGCAATGCCGGCAGGCAGCTGATGGAAAGCGCCATGGAATCCCATCAAAACTTGATGAACCAGAGCAGAAGATGGCGTAAAGTCATGATTCTGAGTGGTCACCAAGCTACTATTGCGCGCAGTCGGCATCAGCAAGTCAAGTCGGAAGCAAAGGAGTCTTACCTGATGATAATCAATGCGTCAGAGAGACTCTGTTGATGATGAACGCAAAGCTGGAAGGTGTGCGTTGAGTTGAGCTGTGGTGATGAATACGTCAAAGAGTGAGAGGTGCAGGCCAAAACTCACGCAGGCAACTCCCCACTCCTCGTTTCGCGCTCTGTGCACCTTGGCGATGACCTCTAGAGCGAGATGAAGACGGCAGGAACGCTGATCAATCGTCTGAGAAGCTCTTCGGATGCAGCCATCGAAGCAGAGAAGGAAGTCGCAGTCCTTGCTAGAGGCATCAGCGCTGGCCCAGGCGTCAAAGCATGGCAAGAGTCTGCAATACACCGACCTCGAGAGAATCAATGCTCGTGAGAAGCACTACGTTCATCAGTGCTAAGAAGGAGCAAAAGGCGGTTTTTGCGTGGCTTGCGTGCATGCAGTTGTGTCGTTGCGATTGCCAGAGCCACGTTCGTGGTTTTACGAGGCGTCAGTCCCGCAATTAAGCCTACGAGTTGAAGAAAATCACGTTTTGAGGAAGTCACCATCTTCGAGTACTGTTGCTGTCATCGAGGGAAAGAGCGAAAGCCACCCTTTTCCACAAAACCATGGAGACTTCGCTGTTGCTCAACAAAGACCTGGGTCTTGCATATGCATACACTCCGCTTCCGTTGAACATTTTCACGACGCATGCTTATCACAAAGGGAATGCATGTTTGATATGCTGTTAGTCTTTTTTGGACATTCAAGCTCTAGCTATGGCGAAGGACCTTCCATGCCAGTCTTCCTGTTCCTTCTGAGTCTATCTCCTGCTCCCTCTGCATCTATCTAGTCTGCAAAGATGCACCGTCATTCTCAAGCATGCTCGGTTTTCCGCTGAGAGCATCTGCTTCCTTCGACAAAACGTTGTTGTGGTTGTCCTTGAGCCCTCATCTGAACCTCCGCAACCCCACCGTGGTTCCCGAGAAGATGCAAAAACGTTTTCGAACTCGCTACGACCTCCACTGACAGCTCGGAGATTCTGTAGTAGATGAAGAGGATGCTCGAAAATGTTCGATCTTGGCCTTTGGAGCCTGTCCAGGAAGCACTGCGATAATGCAGGAACGCTTTCGAATTTGCTTCAATCTGCGCCGAGGGCTCAGAGAATGCTGCCAATCGAGAGGGTGTTCGATATCATCGGGTTGTAAGCACTGGATGACAAACCCCTGGACCTCCAACTTTCTGAACATGCACTCATCCCACATGGCGCAACGGGGGCTGTCCGGCTTGCGAATGTAACCCGAGTCAAAGAGCATGCGCAGACCCTCGACATTTCGGATAGGGTTGTATGCGCTCGGCTGCGCGAGATGCAAGGTGGGCTTCTTTGCGCCTTCTTCTTCTTCTGCGAGGCAGTCGGCGTGCTTGAAACCTTACGAACCGACTTCAGAGTGAAATCGTCGTCGTTGTCTTCTTGCTCAACTTTGATGGCCTTTGCGGACTTTGCTTTCTTCTTGATGGACAGTGCACCAGGTGGAGGTTCAACTGTCAAGGGTCGTGTCTTAGACCATTGGCTTCCCCTGATAGCTAGCAGAGTCATCATCTCGTCCGCCACGTCTAGGCTTAGAGGCCAACCAGGTCGGCCATAGTAGGGCAAATGAGGCCCTACTACAATGGGCCGAGGGGTGTAGATAGGCGGCATCGTGCCAGGTACGCCGTTGGCGTCCTCTTCTGTGCCGGGTTTGACGTATATGAGTGTGGCAAAGTTGAGGATCTCCTTGTCACTGTACTGAGGATTCTCCTTGTCCTGCTTTGGAGCAGGCGGCGACACGGGCGTACCGTATGTCGAAGACCGCCTGCTCCTTGTCGTCACCGGATTATAAGCACTGACCCACGTCAAATCCAGACGGTGGGAGCCGAAGCTTTGGTTGCATTGACTGTGCATCGACTGGTTATGGAAGTCCAGTGCGTCGGTCCGAGGACCACAGTCCAGGAGGTCTAAGTTGCGATCCATGTCAAAGCTAGGGGGTGCGTTGATCAGAGTGTCGCCGGATGTCTCGCTCGGCTCGACATGGACATCCTCCTCGCGCCTATCATATTTGCGTGGCTGCTCATTCTCTTTGGTCGGGGTCGGAAGTGGCAGCGGCTGTCTTTCTTGACGGGGTCTTGACTGGAGAGGAGTTGACTCCAGTGGCTGCCATGCCATTGGTCATAGCGCGGACAGGGGTGTCTTCAAGAGGAGCCTTGCTCTGCATCTTCTTCAAAGGTGTATATCTCTTCGATTTTGCTACACCTGAAGGCTTGTTAGGGGAGCCCTTGCTGGCTGATCCCTTGGTCGACAGTTGAGCCTTCTTCACCGGGTTATAAGCACTGGCACGCCCACAAGGAGTCAGTCAGGAGGCGGCAGGCCATCCCTGCGGGCAGTCAGGAGGCGGTAGGTGTGCCTCCTTCCTGTTGACCTTCTCCTTGCGAGCGTGTTTGGCGAAGGGAGAGCTTGTTCCTCTGGCCGGCAGTACCAAGCGCACACGAAAAATCGAGGCCGCGCGCCCCTTTTACCGGGCTGTCATACCGCCGTTGCCATGAGAAACAATTCTTTGCTCTACCCTTGCCCTGCCAGCCACCGCTGTTCCTCCTCCGGCACCACGAGCACCAACACACAGATGGACAGTGTTGGTGGAAACGGTGCCAGAGACTGTACTGGGTGCACACCGACCTACCATCCAAGGCCAGCCACCTCTTCGATTGCCTGGACCTAGGATGGCTTGAAGTGTTGGTCAGTGTGCACCATCCCGGGCCAAGCCACCTCTTCTATTGCCTGGACCCAGGATGAGTCCTCGGACATCTGAACGTCGACCTTGTTAGTTCTGGCCGAGGCACGGGTGGCACGGCCGATCGAAGGACGGGCAGCCATCTTGGCCTTCAAGGCGGCATGCTTGTTGGCGGTAACTCTGGAAGATCTGCCAGAGGCAGTAGGCTTGGTAGGAGCGATCTCATCGGCCTCGTCGTCATCCTCGGAATCAGACTCGGCCTTAACGGGAACAGCCTTTTTGCCACGGCTCTTCTTGACGGGAGAAGAGGGAACGGCAGAATCCTCAGCCTCGGCCTCATCAGCCTCGGCGGCGGCGCTGACAGACTTGATCTTAGCCTTGAGCTTATGGTAGGCGGTGTTGGTGGAGGCCTTGGTCTTGTAACCGGCCATGCCAAACAGCTTGTCCATGTCAACCTTGAGTTTTGATGACACCGGCAGGAGGAGAACGCCCCGGCCCAGGCTACCTCTTCTATTGCCTGGGGCAAGGGCTGCTGAGTAGTGAGTGTGAACTCTTCTCCTGCCGGTGGTGACGCAGATAACAGGTGTCGCCAACTCACGGTCCCAGGCCAGCCACCTCTTCAATTGCCTGGACCGAGGACTCGCGGATGCGCTGGTGTCGACCGGTATAAGAGTGTCAACGATCCCAGGCCAGCCACCTCTTCAATTGCCTGGACCGAGGATCGGACGTCGGAGTCGCTGAGATGTCGCGGCAGATCTCGTTCTTGAGCTTGTGATAGGTGGTGTTGGTAGAAGCTTTGGTCTTGAAAACACGACTTGCTTGAGAAACGGCGGTGAGATACAGTCGACCCGCGGTAGGCAGCTTGGTCGCTACCAGATCTTGTCGAAACAGAAGATCTTGAAGCTTTTCGGCTTGTTTGATCGTGAGAGAGCAGCCGACGACGATGGTGGAGATATCAGCGACAGTGTCAATTGCAGTGGTGACGCTCTTTGTTCGCGGCTTTGTATCGGAGGAGCCGTTGATGAGACGTTTGTCGATGGCGTTATGACCGCCGAGTCACATCCATGAGTGTCAGGCGACTCGATTGGATCGTCAGAGGACTTGAGCTGAACGATTGTCCAAGATTTCTTTGAGGACTGCATCGGGAGAAGCTGGCAGACACCCATCAGAGCCGACCGTAAAGACCAAAATCCTGAGAAGACTATTGAATGTTAGTCAAGATCTTGATCGGTCCGAACAAAGAAAGACATACTGAGAGGCGAAGAGCCAACATGCTATCAAGTACTGAAAGATAGTTGAGCATCTTGAAGTACTGAATGTCGAGTATGCGCATACGAAGCCGAGCTTGACAGGCCAGCAAGGTGGGCTTGAGGATTCCGGATGGAGTGTGTCAAGAAGAAAACCCCGGTTGAAGCGCATGTGACGACCTTGGCTATAAGCCGAGGTGGTTGAGACGGTAAAAGCTGCTGGCAACTTGGGCAGACTAGATCGACTGCTTGTGCTCACCAGTCAGTCAGCACAAGATCTGATCATAGCTTGATGAGAGAGCGTACCTGGTTGAGTCGCCAGCAAAACGGCCAACGCGCAAGAGGGATTGAGCTACAACAGATGACGTTGTAATCAGCCAGGATCTTGTGCTGTTGGCTATCAGTTGCGTGCACGTGGATGCAACGACGATGAATGCTGATCTCAAATGTCAACTCAGAAATGTCATGAGGAAGGCGCGATGGAACATACCTGAGCCGCAGACCATAGCACGTGCGCTTGGAAGCTGTTCAGCCGCAAGCAGATGCAGTAAGTCGGCCAAGTGCAAGAGATCTTGCGATGATGCATCAAATCTTGACACGAGCAGACACATGCTCCAGTGCGGCGCCAGAAACGTTGCTGTTGATTCTAGTGTGTTGAGTCAGTAGAGATGCTGCAGTCAAGGCGTCAAGAAACCAGAAAGACGTACCGGGTGCATGTGCGCATGCGCGCACACGTGATGTCTTGCCATCAAGTGATAGCTCAGGCTTTGATGATGGCCATGAAGCAATGCCCATCGCAGAGAAGAGTGTCCTTCGCGTTGGCCTTGAGAACTGTTGAGGTCTTCTGGAGTGGGGTGGGAGGAAAGATGACAAAATTCAGCCCAGACGCGGGATGAAAGCTGAAGCTTTGAGCGCAGCACTTCACACTGTGATGCTACCGCCGGCCGACAGTGAACTGGTAGTACAGAGTCTGAGAGCACTGCAGACATCATCCTCATGGTTACTACTGCTTCGCAAATGCTGCTAAAGGACTTCACAGGCTGCTCAAATCACGAGTCTCTAAGGATCACCTTAGCGGCAACTATGTGAGCACATGTCTAGCAATTCTAGCTACAGTAGAGGTCATGGCAGCATGATTGATTGGTCATCCAGTCGAGAAATCACCACAAGAGGCCCTCGCCAGATGTCCTGTGATTCTTTAGAGAGGACATCTGCGTCGTCCGCGTCTATAAGAACCTGCGCCGGAGAGTCTGATCTATCCTAGAGTACTCCCAGCTAGTTCTGTGTCATGGCATCTACACGATGAGTTTACCTGGTTTCTGATCTTGATGGGAGACCCAGCATCGCTTCGCTCCATGCTGCCTTCCATGTGCTACAAGGGACGCTCTGGTCTTGCGGGCAAACATGGCATAACGGTGCTGTTGCGAGGTCAATGCGATGTCAAGTGTAATTCGCAAACACCAATCACGCCAATTCTTCTCCAGCTCCCAGTCAAAGACCAGAAGACACTGATGAAAAAGTGTATGCCCACAGAGATAGTCTCTGTCAGCTATGAAAGCAAAAATTATGTCACTAGGACAGACTGAATTCGAAGAAACTGTCACACCCTGAACCACTGTCAGCAGAAACCAACAATCTGGACAGGGATGAAAAAAAGAAGGGAAACTGCTGAGCTCGACTTTGAATTTATACCTGCTGGCAAGTGTATCGATTACTAAGCGCGTGGTCACCGCTTGCTCGCCCTCGCAACTCATCTGCTGGGAGTGAACAAGCGCATCCTACTGTGATGCTGCTCTGAGCAATGAAGCTGCTCGTTCTCCGTTGTCCAGAGCTTCCTTCAAACCTGCTGTCAAAACGCAAGATTGAGTTTGTAAGCACCGGTTTGTCCACTGAGAGTCTCTAAGAACATGGTATAGCACCAGCTCTCAGTGGACAAGTTGAGTCTACAGCTCTTGACCTTGCCTTTTGATGTATCCAATCCCCTGTACACTGGTATAGAGATGTTTATGATGCTCCTGATACCCTGTTCATCTATCTCACTGTACCTTGCACAAGGTGACGCTCTATCAATAAGCTAGTTCAATGTCTTCACTCCTTGCTATTGAGCAGCATGAGATGCCTAAGCCACGCCATTGGCCGATGGAGAAGCTGCCCACGCCCGTGTTTCCAGCTCCCTTGACTAAATTCAGCGCGCTCTTGATCTCCTTTCCCCTCTCGCAAGAACCAAAACAGCGACAATGCGTCGCCACCTCAACCATCCTGCCCACAGGGCCCGCAGACCTCGCCCCTCTCTCCTTTCTGGAGTAGAGACCCTCCGCCGCCTCGAGGTGGCTCGCTTGTTGCGCCGCCTCAGGGCACAAGCAGCACCTGAGCACCTCTGGAGGCTCTGGTCGGCTTCGGCCACCACCCTGTCATCTCTCTGGGGTCTGGGTAGCGCCCATAGCCAGGTACGCTTCCATTCTCCATGCTGCTGTGAGATCTTATACTTATGGATCACTACAGGGCACCCTGCCTCACCTCCCACCTCCCGGCCTGGGCACGGCCACCACTCCTCCCACGGCACCTCGCCCTCGCAAGGCAGTGCCTGTGCCCGGCTTCCGTGGCCGTCTGCCTCCCTCGCAGGCAGTCGGCCAGGAGGGCGATCCGGTAACTCCGGAGAACCCTCCTACCACTGTGTACGGAGCCCCCTGAGCCACAATGAGCCCAAGGCTGGTATGTTTGAGCCTATCCTGCTGTGCTTCAAGGGTATCCTTACTGACTGTGTTGGTACAGAAGATCAAGGAGAAGAAGAGGAAGAAGGGAAAGAAAGCCCTGTCCTGATGGACGTAAATCATCCGACCACGGGTCGTTAAACATGTATAAATCAATCTCCGTTCGCCGCTCTGCTTTATTCGTCCTGTGTGCTATGATGTGATGCAATGTGACCATGTACTCCTTGTTGTGTTGAAGAAGGAATTACCTGGTTGTACCTGATTAGGGGCCCAAGATATAGCACATAGCAGCTTGGTAGGAAGGGCCTTCTCCAACGACCATACTCTCCCCCAAACATGCTATCAAAAGGCAACAAGCCTTCCATATCAGATGGAAGGTCCAAAGAGAGCAATATCATCTTAGAGTTTTTCAAAGCTTTCAGTGGACAATCATGGGGAACCGAATATGTTTGTGCAATTCAATCGATATATCAGATATCTCATAGGGCTTTGAGAGCACGTAGATATCAAGTATTTGTAGGACAGGTAGCTTCAAGACAATAACTTCCATAGCTGATCGAAACGATAGGCAGAAGAATGAAGCACAAAACGAAACAAGAACCTCTAGAATAGAAAAACGCCAGATATATCCCAACCACTAACCTAAGCCGAGATGAAACTCCAAAGCACCCAAAGACAAGAACTAGGCCATCCTCCAGTGATGAGCTGGATACTGCTGTAGTTATCGGCAGCACAGACAGTGCCAGCAATACCCACACCATTGACACTGCAAGCGGCATCTCCATTGGGTTGAACGGCACAGCTGAAGTAGGACTGAGCAGCAACACCTTGCTTCGCAAAGTACAGTGGAGAAGTAGCCGAAGTTGTGGGGCCGAGAGCAAAGGCCAAACCAGCTGCACTGCCAGTTTGAGCAAGCATGTAGTTGTTTCTCTGGTTGACAACAAATTTGGTAGCATCGGCTGGGTTGGAGACCAACTTGCTTTGTCCATTGGCGCTGGAGATGAAGATATACTTGTTATCGGCGCTGGTACCGGATCTTGAGATTTTAATGTAGAAGGGAGTTGATGTAGGGTCGGTGGTGCTGTAGGTAGTGGTGACCTTGCCGTTCTTGGAGCCAGAGACGACGTTTGCGCCAGCGGGGGAAGGTGAGCCGAGTTTGCTCTTGAGCCAGCAGCTGCCAGGGCCTAGACCGTTGGTTCCGCCAACGTAGGTCCAAGCATTGCACTTTGAGTCATTATCGCAGAAGTCCATACAGTCTTTGTACGACGTCAAGGCCTGAGCGTTAGTATAAGAACCTTGTGTTGAATCTGAGGAGGCATAAATGTTGTAAACATTATCTGCAGCATCAGTAGCAGTCGATGGCAGGCTTGAAGTAGCAGAAGGCTGAGCCGCAAGGGCTGCAGCAAAGGCTGACTTCATGTATCCAGCACTCCCAGCAATCAGAACTTGGAAATCGCCACGCAATGGGCCGAAATTGTTGGCGTTTGCTGTAGCCACTACACCTCCCCACAGCACGCACTTCACATTGACGACACTGGGTGGGTTCGAGCATGAGGCGTCAACAGAAGTGCTCGGATCTCTTTCGAAGTAAATGTTGACCGAGTTGCAGCCCGATACAGCAGTGCATTTGTCCATACATGCTTTGGGATCGTAGGATGTCAATAGAGAGAATCCCATGTACTTGTCAGCAGAGTTTGAAGCATTGATTCCGGCGAACGATTGGACCCAGCCGGTTGGGACAGATGCCAACACGGCTTGACTGTTGTAGTATGTGTCGGCGACGAATCCAGCTGCAGAATCTGGGACTGATGAATAGGCGATTCCAGAAGGCTGAGGTACACAAGTAGCAGCGCGCTTGGAAAGATCTGGAGTGGTGGCGGTGGCTAATACAGAGGCGGACGAAAGGGCAACCGCTACGTCTCCTTTTGAATCGAAAACGTTGGCTGCCAGTGGGTCCGAAGATGCTGTCGCTGTGCCAGTAAGAGTTGTGGCGGTGACAGCCGGAGCATTCTCCGCGGTCACATATACCACAGGAAGGACAAAGACTTCCGAGGGCGCAGGGACAACAATGGCATCAACATCAATTGTTGGGGTCGATTGGGCTCCAGTCAAAGCCGCAAGGGCTGCGAGAGCTGTTACTGCTCGATTCATGTTGGCAAAGTTAATCGATCTCGAGCTAGGAAGAGAAGGTGAGGCGAGTGGAGGCCGAGAAAATTGGCGACGATGTGAGAAAGCTGTTGTTGTTGAGGATGAATGATAGTATTCGAGATGCTACTGGTTACCTTGCTGGCTTCTGGCGACTTATATACTTACACCTCTGCGCCTTCTCAAGCACCACATTGAATAACGCAAGCTCGGATGCATACTACTCTTCTTGGTCGAGCGAACTTAGAAGCCACCACCATGCCATGGTATAACCAAATCTGCATCAAGTCTCATATCTCAGCTTCGGGATGGCCGTCCAAAGTGCTCCGGGCACGAGCAGAGACCAAAATAGAAGGAAGGCTCGTGGAAGGACCGTTGCCATAGTTCGATGTACTCATGTCTCTCCAAGATGCAAGCTATCCCCCTATGGCTCGTCGCCGGCATCGCCGTGACTGCATAAACCCCAAGAGGATACTTGTCGGTCATGCCGCCATCCGAGTGAGTCGTCAAGCTGGTCCCAGCTTCGTTCAGCAGTGTATAAGTAGATATCAACGGGTGTTCTAGAGCAGTTTGTGTCGGGTTCTAAGTCATGGCTTCTTTGAGACATGTTGGGGTGAGAAGGAAAACGGCAGGCGCAGCCAGGTCCTCCGCAGACAAAAAGTGCCGGAAAATCTCCGGTTCAGCTCGGCTCGTGTAAACTTGCCTGTTGTTGTTGTTTGAGAAAGCTGAGTGCAATCTGCACTTGACACCAGTCGAGATGAGATATCGAATTGTTCAGCTATCAGATTCAATATAGAGGAATGCATGATTCAAGGTCCCAACTTGGTTTGCCACGAGATTTATGGTAATTTGAGAACGAAGTTGCAACAGGGTTTGTCAATGGTCTTCAAACCCTTCCCACAAAGAATCACTTCTAAATCAAATGTCGAGGTCCAAAGAACCAGCCCCTGACATAAGGATCTCTGGGCCAGGAGCCACTCATATCGTCGAGGACCCGGTGAGCGACGTATGGTGCCGGCTTTTGGGAAGTGGCCGCACAAGCACAACATGTCGTCGTCTGTAGACTTCGGTCCAGTGAAGTTTCAGTATCAGGAAGATGTGAAAGAGAAGGACATTTGGAGGTGGTTGCGATTTTATGTATATGGAGGCTGAGAGGAGTGAGTTCTAGTGGACATCGGATTTAGTAAATGGCGTTGGGTGGAGGCTTTTTCTTGGCGAAGGTGAGAAACTTGTTTCCATCGTGACATGATTATGATAATTAGATTATCACCCAAGTTTGTACGGAGAATTGTCTCTCATGATGTAAACCTCGCCAATTAGTACCGCACAGCCAACGGCCATAGAAGTCGCGATGATGGGAATGTTCTCCCGTGCAAAGTCCAGCCGTCTGACATGGATATGCTTGCGAGCCAAGATGTCTCGCCATAGAAGTCCGGCCAACGATGCACTGAATGCTGTGCTGAATGCTCCATAGTTAACACCTAAGGCCATAGCATAGACAGTCGCCCAGAAAGTGCGATCCGTGATGGGTATGCCGTTGTTGATATGAATCTGCTGCCAAGCTTGGATCACTCGGGAAAGCAAGATGGTTGTACCAATGTTGGTTCCGGCGAACTACGATTATGTGTGTCAGTTTTGAAAATGTAGAATTCGGAGGCTGGGGGTCTATACTCACGTTGCAAAGAACAACGCCAAGGAACCCCATACCACCGATGGCACCAACAGTTCCGGTCTTTGTTACCCAATGGTCCCAGCCATAAGCAAACACAGGTACCCAACCTTTGGTAACAAGGCCTTGGATGAGCACAAACATGGAAAGTGCGAACGGCACAAGCTTGAAAGGCAAATGACTCAAGACTGCCATTACGGTGGGGAATGTCTCCTGTAGCCATCGATACTCAGATGCGACAAAGGATACGAAAGTTTCGTGTTGCTCATACATATCGTCGTCCTCGGTGTATCTGACTTTCTCTTCATCCACTGCCCGATCCAAAGCGGCGTCTAGCTTCTTGGTATGCGAGTAGTTTGTTTCCGGTAGCGTGAGCGAAAGTTGGGAGGACGAATATTGCCGTGCTTTGTGATGTGCTGGCCCGCCTTGCATCGAAGCTTCTCCAGGTGGGCTGGCGTTCGTCATGGATCGAATACTTTTTTCGGAGCCTGGGACATCCGGCGTAGGCGGCACTACATGAACGAAGGAGCTTGAAGCACCTGGTGTTTGGAACAAGCCATTACTCTGTCTCACACTGTTGGCGCGCTCATCTTGGGCTTGCTTGAATTCGGCCTGTCTTCTTTTCGCGATGTCGCGAGTCTCTTTGCGATGTTTCCATCCGAAACCGACATCCCAACAAAACATGATGAAAGCAGCTGGCAGAGTGATCCAGAAGACGGGGTGCTCGCCGATAATTGAGCTGGCAGCGTTGATGCCCAGAAGTGTGATGAGTGCGACTGCCATCACGACTGCTCCAAAGGTAGCACCTCCCTTATCCAAGAAAGGATTCATAATTTCCGCAAGTGCAAGCTCCTTATTCTCCAAGGACTCATCTTCATCTTCTCCGGCCTTCTTGCCCTTAGCTTGGGGAATGTTGGGATTGACCGGCTTCTTGTTTTTGGCTTCCTCTGATAGTGTCTCCATCTCAATGGAAAGCGGGATGAGTTGAGGGCTCGCAAAGACCACGTACAATAAGAACGGAAATAGCACTATGGCAGTGACCACGACCGGTACAATCATGTTTGCGGTGTAAACAATGAATTTGATCTGGAAGGCTCCTGCAAGTACCAGATTCGTTGGGTTGGATGAGACCAGGATAGCCGAAGCGATATTCGCAATCGCGAACTGTGAATACATCCATGCTCTAGGATGATCGATGTTGCTAGAAACTCTTGTCATATATGCCAGGAAAGCCGTGCCAGATAGAATGATTGGATCGTTTCCGACGAAGGTCCCCAAAGCGAAGAAGAATGTGTAGAGATAGAAGAAGAGCAAGTGTCCAACTTTACCACCTTTCTGCAGCACTTTAAAAGCGAGCCATCTGATGAGGCCAGAAGCATCAATTGAAATGGCAATGTATGCCAGCGTTAGGAAGAATACCATAATGTCAATAGGGCTGATGTTGTCTGCCCCAACAGTTCCATCGTGTACTTCTTGACGTCCAATGGCTGAAATGGCCAACAAGAATAAATCTGCGATCAAAGGTGCTGTCGAAAAACTCATTGAGAAATTCATCCGCACAAATTTTGAGGCTCTGTCAACACTGCCGTGTCGCGAATCTTCATGCCGCCGCGGCGCAATTATGCGACAGGCACTCAGCGCGTCCAGTATAGCATTGTAACATACTCGTGGTATGTATATCGAAACTTTGAAGGGAAATAAAACCACAATATCTGTTCTCCGATCAGAATTGTGTTGGTACGCGATGGTGGCGAGGTGCGGACTCACTGGTCAACAGAAACACAATGAGTGTGACGATTGACCGCCATTCTCTGATCTTGCCGGTGTCTAGATCTTCCGCCATTTTGCGGCCGTCGTGCCTTCGAGCGTAACACTCTTGAGGATCTGTATATTCGGCGGTCGTCTAGCCCTGATTATGTCGTCGCGAAGGCATTGATCAGTGCGACGCGAAACCAGATATACCGGACGTGTTGTGGTGCAAACGAAAGGGGCTGAGCGTCCGTGTGACAAAAAGTGCATGCAAGCCTCTTTATGCTTATTAGGCAGGCGGTCGTCTAAGACACCTCGAGCGCCCCTTCCCAGAAGATGGTTTAATCGACAGCAATCTTTGCAGACAACCGGTCAAGATCGTCGACCCCGCCTCAGCGTCGCCTTGCTGCACCCAAGGACCAAGAGGACCCTGTTCCTTCCCAGCCAAATAAGGCAGCCACCAGCAGCCTATGTACCCGAGGGATTCTGGCACGTTTCGAAGGCGCAGTGCCGCATTTGAAGATGGGAGTTGGCCTTTCTGCAAAACCCAAGTTTCTTTACCTTGGACGTTTCTTGGTGGATAACATTGAATTTTTGAAAGTTCGGTGACCATTCTTTGCAGACGAAGCATTTATCCGACATTCAACCACTGCCCCCGGCCTTCCTTCGGCGACGAAATCGACCTTGACATGCCACCTATCTCGCCGTCATTCCCGATTGGAGAGCTGCTCTCTCGAAACATCACGGCAGCGAATGGCACAAGTCCTGGACTGCGTGTTGTGTGTGCCTGGCCTGTATCGGGTCAGTACGGGCCAGGTTCAAGAGTCTTGTAAGCGTCGTCGTAATCTCGTGATAGCATGCCACTAACAAACTCAGATATTATGTTCTTGTTGTGTTGTGTGTTTTCGGTAAGAAGACAGATTGGATAAAGAATGCATGTCTTGCAGCAGTGCTACTGTTCCCAGCGGTCGCTGCTTTACATGGCATCACACTTGCTGCTCTGCATAACGACAGTAAGTGAACATGTTCGACCAACATGACTCATTTAGCTAAAGCCGAACTTCAGACGCTGTAGACATGGACATATATGGAGCATTCCAACTATGCTCCCTAGGAATTTTGGCCGCTCCAGCAACCGTGAAGAACTCGCGAACATACTTTCTCGATCCCGGTCGAAACATCATCTTCCTGTGGACAGGCCTCATTCTTTCTGGTAAGCGAGAACCGGTTTTTACACGCTTTAAGCGTTCAGAAATGCTAAATTTATTATGAAGGTTTGCTCAGCCTGGCTGTTGAGTTCTTCCGCACAAAGACACGGATCTGCCATTCAGATGTTGCAGGTCCCTTGACCATCGCAAACCTCAATCGTGGAAACACTTGTGGTTTGACATGCAATGAACAAGACGGCCCGTTCTCGCCGATGCGTAAAGATGCCGCAAGCAACATTTTTGTCATACCTGCTCCGAGTCGGTTGACCTTTGGGACAGTGACACTTCTCTGTGCTGCTTGCTGCATTCCGGCTATTTTGTCGCTCATCTCCATGTGGAACAAAATTCTCGAGATCAATTGGAGATCACGGTCAGGCGCCGAGGCAGAAAAGGATCCGGAAGAAAGAAGAGTCAAGGACATCAACAACCTCATCAAACGATTCTTGAACGTCATCGAGGCTCCGTTATTCGGTGTTGCGGTAGTGGTCATTCTGATTCTTGGTGAGATCAATCTCTTCAGCCCACAAGTCAGGTACCAGACTGAGCCGATTCAAAGTATTGGTGAGTTTCTCCTTCTGCAAATCTTCAGAGACAAATAAATTGACTGACCAACAAAGGCCAGTGGGCACCAATCGTCGGTACCGGATTGGCCGTTATGGGGTCTCTGATTGTCAACATCACCAAAGCGACAGCCGTTCCCGAGAGTGACTCCGACTCCGTGCAGCCTCCTGAAGGTACTGACACTAATTCCATCTCCATTTTGTCTGGCCAAGGTAGCGTCACACCTAATAGTGATGCCCTCAACCACCAAAAGACAAAGTCTACAGATCTTGTGCCCGTCACAACTCGACGTAGCATGGCCAGTACCGTTTTGACCGACAGAGGAGGTCGACGGAAAGTTGCCAAGTTCATGACGACAATCGCTGATTATATGGGCACTCCTGGTCATGGTCAATTCGACAACACCACGTTCAGACGAGACGCCAGTGATTACCCAAAAGTACCGGGTGAAGATGAACGCAATCCAGAGCTCGGAGTCACAGAGAAGCGATATAGACCTTTGTCGAGATCTGCTAGTCGTAGTTCTGACATCCGGATGTCAAGTCCCTTTGTGCAAGACCTGCCACAGCGGCGTCCGCGGTCAGATTCAGAAGGAGCGAGGACCATTGACAGTCAAGATCCACCCTCGCCGCTGACATCTGGACCTTCGGGCATCACAAACCCGGAGCGTCGAGATACTCTCGAAGTGCCAAGCGCGGCTCATATATCCCTACGAGATACTCTAGAGAGGTCTAGAAATTCGAATGGTTCGACCGGCTAACGCTGTTACACTCAAGGCCATCTACAGAACCTAAGCTTGTAGACTCAAGATCATTCGTTGCTTCTTATGCAACAGACTCCGATGCAACTGTCGCGTACCGGGCTCCCCAGCACCTCCATTGTGCAAACGTCCGTTTGTCTTCTGGGATATCGGACCTGTGGCACAAAGACTATAATAACCGAGCCGTGGTGGAAGCTAGAGGGTCTGTTTTGTCGCTGCCGTCGCACACCGGGCTGTAAATCTCTCGCCATTCTCCACACACTGGACCTGCAGCATGAAGATCACAATCACTGAGCTGTAAATCAGGGGCAAACAGAGTGTCTACCTTGTCGCGACCGACGCGTAAAGGGCTCCCTGCTTTCTCTATCATATCATACATTAATACGCCCTTCGTGTCAACGGAGTCATGGCACAGGCATCTACCTGCTCGCAACGTGGGGCTAGGAGTGACAGGGCCATACCGCAGTATCCGCGACCTGTTGCGTTACTATCGGTGTCGTACACGGCTCATGTGCTGCCTTGTAAAGTCACGGAAGACTTCTTGTTCTTGCTTTTGTTCTTGTTGTGAGCCAAGTATGTTTGGTCTCGTGTCACAGTCTCAATGTACTGGTTCAGAACGACTTCTGTGTGGTCCATGAAGACAAATACAGAAAGTGTGTCTATAGCCGCTTCTGAGCAAGGAAGTGGCGTTTGGTCTCTTGTGTTCAACCACGTGGAATTGCAGTATTCTTATGAGCATGGTGGCGTTGTTGATGATAGAGAGCGGTCATCTAGTTCGACGGACTTTCACTGGATGAGATGCTGTTTCGAACATGATTGTACATTTCTATGATCACAGATTCAACAAAGATAGATACATTGAAAGCAGATTATCTACCAGCTTGCTACATGAGCCACAGTCTGCATGTTACAAAGCTGATACGCGTTCAACATTCCAGTAAATCATTTTCTTCTCCGGCCGGTCTTACGGATGTTCGGCATGGCAATTTATTGTCTTGTAATTCTCCTGGCAGAAAACTTTCATGCGGCTCCGATGTATCAGAGACCGCCAAAAATTGTTGTAGACAGCAGATCATCACACCGCAGGAGTTTTCAAGCACTAGGAAGTAGAAACCGGAGACGATTATCAAAGCTGTTCTGGAAGGGTCGGGCACGAGCGCGGCATCGCTGTTCGGCGAGACTGACACCAGTGGTCTGGGTTAGTTCGGCCACAGAAAACAACACATGTTCATCTCGATTTTCTCATTAGCAGTGGTGTCCGAGCTGCTACAAGCTGTTAAGGCTCTGTTCGTTATAGCTAATTATGACACAAACAGGCTCAATACTCAAGTCCATACTGTAGACCGGCTGCGTCCTAGTCCGGCAGACAGAGCGACTATTGCTGAGACCGCTGTTGCTTTCTATCACGAACCCTAGGATCAATTCTGCTTCTGTCTCATGATCTTGCTGATCACTTGTCGAATAGCTAACCCAGCCTTAAATACTTCTCTCTTGGATAAGCCGGTCATGACACTGACTTTAAGTGCAGGTCGATGCAACCACTCGTTATGCTTGAGAGTTGTATCCAAGACGGGCGGAACGCACTTTAGGCGGGAAATAAGGATTCTACGACTGAGTAGCTAAGAACATGCTTAGTAACTTCGGTCACATACATGCAAGGGGATGTTCGTACCTCATTTATGATGGCCTGAAGTAGCTCTTCCTGTTCTATGATGTCTAATTTTTCAGAGTTGATGACATCCGTCTTGAAAACCAGGATTTGAACGGGATTCAGATGTGAGCTCGTAGAAATGACCCAGTCAGATTTTGCAATTTGTTCCCTTAGAGCGGCGATCAAAGAACGACATTCCGATAAGAGTTCTGGTTGGGCCTGAAGCATACCGATTGATGCTCCAGCAGTCGTGGCTAGCATTCCTGGCAAAGCACAAGAATAGCAAAAGGCAGGCGAGTTAATCCGTTGGTGTTCTACCACCTCTCGCGAGCTGGCGCAAAAGCCGCCTGCGGCGGCGAAGGGACCTGACAGTGAGCCCCCCAGGATATCGACTTGCGATATATCTACGTTGTAAGCTTCAGTGACGCCACGACCTGTTCGACCGAGGACTCCAATAGAATTGGATTCATCAAGAATCAAACGAAATTTGTATTCTCGCTTTAGTTTGATCTCTAGACTGTTAGTAGTGATTGTGATAGTTGTATGCAGGCAGCCGCACTCACGATTTCAGGTAGATGGACCATATCGCCAACAATATCGAACAAACCCTCGGTCACGATGAACCTCCTGCTTATTGTTTTAGAGTCTTTGACTATCTTTGCCAGAATCCTTGCGAGATCTTCCATGTCGTTGTGTCTATACCAGTAGATCTTGCTTCGAGAAATTCGAAGGCCGTTGCAGATCGAGTAGTTGCACGCCTCATCGGCCACAATGACATCGCCTCTTTTCGCAAAGGCGGAGATTATACTCGACATCGTAGAGAAAGCCTGTGAATAGAGTAGACAAGATTCCGTGCCCAGAAAGGAAGCAATCTTAGCTTCAACATCCATGTGTAGATCCTGTGTGCCATAGAAACCCGGAGCACTGCAAGGTCCAACGCCATACTTGCGCAGAACCTTGATAGCATTCTCTTTGATACGATCATCTCCAGCGAAGTCATAGAAATTGTACGTAGCCAGATTAGTAACTGTCCTGCCGGTTTGAAGCATGCATCTTGGACCTGTCGGACTATGTGATCGTCAGCAGAATTCGTATTCATGGATTGTGAGCGTAAGTGCGCGTGGAGCTTGATGCATACCCAACGATAATGGGCAAGTTCTTGAGAGCGTTTTCCTCAAGTGGAGTCAGAGCCGTGGTAAGTGGCTCTGGTGTCCAGGCTTCAATCAGTTCATCGATCTCCTACGATAATTAGTTCGCAGACTGAAACGAGCGCTATGAAAACCATGTACATACACTTTCTGTCAAAGAAATGCTATTGCTTTGTCTAAGGTTGTATGAGTATGATCTTGCGCAGATATATCTCAGGAAGATAAAGACGAGCATTAGCTCGACGGCGAAGAAGAGAGGTTCAGTTTCGCACCGGGAGCGTACATAGCCGACCAAGATGGCTGAGCCCGGGATGTTCCTGAAGAATGCCATAACAACATCCATGGCGAATTGATTCAACTGCAAGCACTGAAACAGAAGCTGCCTGCGACAAATACAGGGGAAGAGGATTGACCTCGTTTGGCTCTGCCAGAATCAACAAAAGCCTGACTAAGCGGTTGTGGGTGGGCGCTGACTGTACATTGCAGGGTCCGCGACGGTGCAACTGTTACTTTACAGGAGTGGGTCTTATTGGAATCAAAGGAGTAAGGGCACGATAGTCCGGAAGAAGAGCCGAGATCTGACCACGCAACGAAAACGGTACGTAAGTGCGACAACATATGGCAGAGAAAGCCTGTTCTGACAACCGAGATTCAATCCAGTGTGTGCAGTCAGGTGCCACCATATTTTGCAGCACAAGACGCTCTAGCGCATCATCTATATCATTAGGAAATAACGGCAAACGAATAGAAAGTCACTCAGTATTTCTTAGTCACTATTCTAGATTACGTCCTCCAGCATCTGAGCCACCGACGTGTCCACTCGACACACATCACCGTCGATGCCTGTGTTCATATCACAAACCTGGCTTGCAATTTCCAGAATAGTGTCCTGATATTGTCTCAACTCTTCCGCAGGCCAATGCATGGATCTCTCGTGAAGTTCCTTCAGGACTGGTCCTAGGCGTTCAAATCGACTGCGCTTCCGAGCCCAATGCGCGAGAGAGTCGTCGCGGAAAGCAGAGGTGTAATATTGAAGTACCGCTTGGTGGATCGTCAGGCTTCCTCCGGTCGTACTCTGTGAACGACTCACCTGTGTCAAAATTGTCGATTCCAGCTTCTTTGATACTGAGTAGTATATGGGTGAATTGTTTTTCTAATGGGTCTCGAGGCGTAGGAAGAGAGCCGGACTCGCCTTTGGATACAATCGGCTGACGCGGTGCAGGTGACCAAGCAAAGTCGTGACCTGAGGGAAAGTTTATTCGAGTGGCTGCCGCTGATTGTGTTCTGCTGCTCTCGGTAAGGTCTGTTGTAGGACTGAGTGCGTAATGCCCAAAGCTGTTGCTTGTCGGACGTCTTCGCTCGGCTCCATCTTGCCTACTCACCGGTATTCTGGATGTCGGAATGACAGGCTGAGTCGATCCGAGAGGAACTTCGGAAGCTTGACTGCCGCCACCCTCGCCATATCTGTAGATTCCACCTTCGAAGTCTCTGTCGGATGCCGAGAGCATAGGTCTTTGGTATGCAATATCTGGGAAGTAAGATCCGGCGATATTGTCCGACTCATTGTGAGTGTCCATGTTCAGTGACATTGTTTGTGTGGAGCCTGCTGAAGGATACGTATACTGCGTGCTCTCTTCTAGTTCGAAATCTAGAGGGGGTAGGATCCGGGAAGCATGATCTGGCAGTGCTGGCGAGATTTGGTCAGGCTCAATAGATTGAGCCTGACGTGTGACGATAGATTGAGGCTGATGTGTGATCGCGGCTCTGACAGGCTGGGCTGAGGATATCTGGGCATACTCCCCATCTGCATGTAGAGAGTGCCGAACCTACAGATCTTAACCACTTTTACATGACTGGTCAGAAGACTACGCAACGCACCTCTCGGACCAATCTTGACGTCGGATTCTGCGCTCTTTCTCTTTCGAGCTCTGCGATGCGATCTTTGAGTCTCCTCCCTAAGGCAATTCAGTACTGGTAGTCCCTTACGGCACGATTATACATACTGTAGTTACGTTGTGAGACCCGATTTTGCACCCTCTTTTGTTCTTGAGGATCAGATATGTGTGACCATTCTGGTTCGCCATCCCTATCATCGTTCTGCATCGCTTTGTGACGACCAGAAGCGACAAGCAGAGAGGTCCATAAATGAAACCTCTTGAAATCAGCTCTGATTTCAAGTTTATTTCAAGAGCTTTGAAATCGATATAGCTAGATGTCAGTTTCAAGCAAATTTAATTTCAATTTCAATGCTCTATACAGCTACCTCGTCGTCGCTACAGAGTTCTTCGATATCGATGAACTCAGCGTCCTCGACCGGTAGTTCCTCGAAGTTCTAGTGTTTCTTCCAGCTCTTAAGGCACTCTACCATCTCGACATGTTTAAAGTTCAGCTAAGCTCTATCCCATGGTATAGCACGTCGACAACTGCTAAATACCCTCTCTAACTTAGCAGACATCGGGTTCGCTAATAGGACATTAATAGCCATCCGAGAGAGGTTTAGATACTAACGCTACTACTAAGCTTCGAGCCACCATTATAGAGGGTTGTCGATAGCAAGTAGGTCGCCCTTAATGAAGTGGTCGAACTTATCGGTAACCTTCTTAACTAGTGTAATCGACTCCTTCTAACTCTTAAAACATTGTTTAACCTAAGGGGAACTCGAAGCAGGTGCGGGCAGAGGTGCCTTATAATACTAGGTCTTATAGAGGGATCTTACGGCCTTAACTGCCTTGTCGACCTAGTCATTAGGCTAGTAGTAGTCTACGTATGCTGCTCGATAGGACGGATAAAGGAGGATCGTAGACTAGTATGCGGGTGTTCGGTCGTTTATAGCGTACTAAGACTCGTAGACATAACGACTTAACTATAGAGCGGTAAGGAAGGGGGTGTTGCTAGCGTGCTTAATAGTTACTTTATCGTAATGGACTCGGAGGTAGTCCATTATAATGATGACCTATAATAGTTAGCAAGAGCTAAGTAATGCGCATCATTAGACTAACCTACTTAAGTGTCGATTTATCGCCCTTAGTCTCTTTAGTAAGCACGAGGAACTGCTTCAAAAAGTCGTATGTCTTTTAGATAACTAGCTAGTCCTCCTTATGAAGCGCAAATTTCCTAAGTTCTAGGTATTTCCATTGCTACTTAGAGAGGGTCTTATAGTATGCTAGCGCACGCTCAAACATACGGTAATAGCTATTCTACCGCGTGGAATTGTTAGTAATAGGAACAAGGCTAGTAAGCAGCTTAAACTTCTGCGTAAGGCGACGGGTGCTTTTAATAGTCTTCATTAAGCACTTAAGTAAGCGAACTAACTAATCTGCTACCTAACCGGTATCCTTGCGTGCGATGACTAAGGCGACATCATCTAGATTCTACTGCTTAGCCTCTTTAATTGCTTCCTCTATTACGTAGTTCTAAAAGGCTTAGAGGATAAGGTTGTTCTAATGACCGAAACAGCGAGTCCTATATTAAACAGGATCCTAGTTAATATCGATGCCCTCGAGGAGCTTTAAAAGCTCTGCCATTATAGTGTCGTTATAGGTAGCATTGTTAGAGGTAATATAGCTAGGGTTCTTAATGCCTAAGGACTAGATGGTTTTAAAGAGACAAGGCGCAGTGAGCTTGCCGGCATAACCATTAGGTAAGTTATATATGTTTAGGAGTGCTTTACTTAACGTACTATTAGGTCTAACCTATCTGCTAGTTATTACGAGTAGTTCTAAACTACCGTAGTTAGACGTCTAACTATTAGCGGTGAAGTAGATCTATAACTTAGACTACGTAATAGACCGTCTAAGCTAGTCCTACTAAAGATAATAGAGTCGCTCGATGTGCCTAGTAACACTAGTATGACTCTTAACGAGGAGGTTAGTAGTAGCTAGGTTAAACATAGCAATTAGTTGATAGAACTCTAGATACTTAATAAAGCGGAAGGGCAAGTGGTTGCGAGTAATAAGAGTAACAAGAAGCTCATTAGCAGCATTAGAATCGACTAGGTTCCGGAGCTAATTTTGTAAGGCCATCTCTGCTTGTTTCTATAGCTTCTTACTACTAAGTAGCTTGTCGATAGGACCGACAATAGGCTCTAGTAATGTCGAAAGCTTAATACTATGTCCCTCGAGGTAGTCTCTAATCTGTTAGTAGTTAGTAGTATTCTTAGAACAACGGGCGCAATACTATATCCGCTTAGTCTTTTTCTTCTCTAGTTCGCTACTACGAGGAGGTCTTAAATAGCTAAACAATTCCTTACTATCGCCCTTTATAACACGCTCTTTCGGTTACCTACGGAAGCTTACTTAAGGTCGAAGAATATCGGTTAACTACGTAGAACTACTAGTCTTAGAGGGGGTCTCGATAGTATCGGGTAGGGTCTCGGGTGCGGTCTAAGAAGGCTTAGATGTAGGTAGTATAGGTAGTGTAGGCGCGGGAGCTATACGAGAGGTAGGTAGTGTCTTCTTTTAACGTTTAGCAGGTAGTAAAGGAAGGGGTTCGGGGTTAGATTCTTCGTACTTAGATGTAGCATATATAGACTCGGTGTTACCCTTAGAGTTCTAATACTCGGCCTATAGAATAATAGTCTTTCTCTTACCTCCATTGCGAGTGCTATAACGAAGCAATAACTGCTACTTACTAGCCTTACTAGCGCGAGAGAGTTAGTTGTTAAGGCATTAAAGAGAGGGATCTAACTAAGATTCGGGAAATTCTAAGTCTTAACTAGCTACCATTAGCGCTTGTATCTAGTCCATTATATAGTAGAAATAGAGGGTTTAAGGACGCGAAAGGGGAGAAAAGGGTGTAAGAAATGCAATAGGAAAGACCTCTTATACGTATTAGAGTGTTAGAAGATTACAGAAGTAAGCGAGGATTAATGTCTAGAATTAAGCGTTTTTTAAGAGGTAGTTAGGTTAGTATAAAGAAGTTTAGGAGTTAATGCGCGCGTAGCGACAAGTAGCTAGTAACGCTCGGGTGTTAGTTGCTAAGTGCGACGGATCCTAAGGCTCTAATTAGTTAGATCTTATCTCGGAGATAAGATCTGTTACTCCGATAGGCTAGCTTCGCGTCGTGTTCGTGTAAAATTTGCGCGTTATGCCTAGCAAGGCTTCGCTAGCAGTCCGCCGAGCGTAGCGCTAGCCTACGAGCAGCGCACTTAACCTAGAGTCGACTTAGTTACTAACAGGTTTACCCTGCTCTCAATTCTCTATACTACGACGACGAGGTCAAATCGGACCATTTTTAGCAGTTAAAACACCTTTAAAACACTGAAACATTTAAATCTATGATTTCAATGTAATTTCAAAGCAATAGTTAAAATATTAGAGCTCAAAATGTCAGTTTTAAAGATTTATTTCAAAGTTGGTTTCATTTATAGACCTCTCTAGCGACAAGGCTAGCTAGAGATTAGATATCGAGAGGTGTGTTAGGATTACATACACGCAAGTCGTAAACAAACGTAGGAGCTTACGGGATTTTAAAAGTATAGTATATGCATGTCTACTCTTTAGGAAAGTAACCCTATACAATCCTTTCGACAATCGGTGTTATTCCTCCGCTCTTTTTAAACTCCTAGTTAGCTAGCGATTATCGGCGAAATGCATGTACGAGGTTCGTCCGTATCTGCTAGTTCCTTATCCCTTTCCTTAGCCGGCAGAGATTTTAGGACACTTACTACTGCTCTTAGTGCGTGTACTTGTCGCTAGCCCGAGGATAGTGCTATAGATCGTAGTTCTAATTGTTCTATTAGTTAGAAAGCTACGGGAAGCCTATAAACAGAGCTATCTTAGCCTTCCTCGAGGTAGAACGTCACTAAAAGATACTTATTCTCGCTAACATTAGTCGTAGGAATTTAAGCGCGTTAGCTTTAAAGTTAATCCTCTAGGGAGCCTTCTATCTTCTTATTAGCTATACAACTCTACTACCACATTAAATTAAACTGTTATAATTACTAATATAACTACTTCTTAAGATGCTTAAACTATCCTTAACGTTATTAATAATACCGGACCTCGTACGCGCGCGCGATCCGCCTTAGAAGCTCGAACGACACCCGTAGCCGAATCTAACCTCTTAGACGCCCCCCCCTCTCTATTTATAACACTAGTCTCTATACGCACTAGCAAGAAGGTTACCTTCGAGAAGGAGCCTATAGAGGACGTTAAGGAAGGCCCTTCTATAAGACCGAGTCGTTCTACGCGTAGTGTTGCTCTAGTTCGACTTATTAATGCTAACGCGCCCGTAAAGTCGACCCCTCGTAAGGTAAACAATAAATGCAAAACATCTACCTAATAACTATAACTACCTCTAATAACTCTAAAAAAAAGTAGGAAGGTCCTCGTAGATGTACTAAACACGTTAGGAAAAACTAGAACAATAAGTACGTTAAGAAAGGCAGGAAAATAAGCACTCGCCGTCTTAAAGTTGCCTATAAAGCGGTCCGTTAAACTAGTCGTTAGACATCGTACTACTACCTTAAGGTTAACTACTGCTAATATAGCAACCAAAATTTGTAAGGTACTTACTAATACTAAGAAGAAGGGCCCCTCGAACAGAGTATAGCAAAATACTAACTTTAGACCTTCTTAGATATCGTCGCTACCGCCTCCTCCGATTCTAGCTCCTATTACTTTTAAGCTTTAATTCGAGAGCCGCTAGGTCTACTAAAAGGTCTCTAAGGACGACACCGACATCGTTAATACTAAGAAGCTATAGGCTACGGTTCTTAAAGAGATAGATGCTACTATTATCCCTTAGTTAAGGGCTAAGAACATATATAACTACTTGCCTTAGAAGATCCGAGCATTGCTTACATTAACCGGTGCTCGCGGCATCCGTTAGACTAAGGCAGTTACTCTAGCACGTATTAAAGGCGCCGGTAAGCGCTAGCAGAAGGTAATGGACCTTATTCGACATAATGCTAGTAGTAGCATAAAAGATTTGTCTATTATAATCGAGTCTATATGGACTTCTAACGGTAGCGAGCTAGAGCTAGAACTACCTCCTTCGTACGAAGTAGTAGCGTCCTTAGTAGTAGCATTAGTTGCACCTCCTTCGACTCTAAATGCTGCCTAACCTCGTCGCCGTCGCTCTAAACGTTCTAAGCTATAGACTAATACTTACTTCGAAGAGCGCGCCTTATTCTAGGACTCTATTATATAGCACTAGTAATGCCCTACCCCTAACTATTACTATATCTTCGCGCGCCGAGGACTAGTATGTCTTATTTATAAGGGACATTATTACGAGGTCCTCTTCGACGTTACTATAAAGTAGAGAGACTCTATTAGGGCCGGTCGAAGCACACTTAAACGACCTAATAGAGAGATAAGACAGCTAATAATACGTCGTCATCTCTAGCACGAGGTAGAGCTTTAAAAGCGGTCGAGACCTACTTAGATATCGACCTAAACATCGCTATCTACCCTAGCGACTATTAACTACTTCTACGTCGGTTAACCGTAAGGGTAAGAGTAATAGACCGCTCTAGCACTAGTCCTCGCTACTCTAATAGTCCGTTAAGTGTCTCCTATTCCTGTCGAGCTTAATACTATAGCAAATTAGGAGTCGTTCTAGGATAGGGTAAAATTCGCCTACCTAGAGTAGTCTAGCGGCCTCGATCGAGCTAAGGTATCGCTTAAGTAGGACTACTAGAACCTACGACTACTATTTAATTCATCTAATAGGCAGTTAGCGCGTGTTATTAAGTAAAGTAGTCTAAGAATAGTAGTGCTAGAGGAACTAACTAAGTTCGTCGATAATTATAAGCAGACCTATCGCTATTCTAATGCCTCGCTACTATCGACTAGTTAAGGCTACCCTACCCCTCCGACTAGCCCTCCGAGCGTAACTAGCATCTCGTCGAGCGCATTAAGCTCCTATATATTAAGCTCTAATTATAAGATTTAATAAGGTACCTAGCTCCTAATAAATAAATTCCTAATACTAACATCGTTTAGAGCCTAATGCGTCGCCTACTCTAAATGAGTAATCTATTACGCTATATAGGCTATAGGACCTATATCGCCGACCCGAGGTGCTAGATCTCTATTCTTCCGAAGCTATTACTTTAAGAGATAGAAGGTCTATTTAATAGGGTTTAGATAAGGAGAATAAGGCGGTAGGTAGAGCAGATGTATACCAAATTCTTGACCTAATTCGGTAATCTAGTCGATGTTAGAGTATAGCTAAAATACACCAATTTTTGCACCTACCTTATCTAAATGATAGGTAGAGCAATTATCTATAATAACAATTGTAAAGGTATAAAGGTATGTAGCAACGTATAGATTACTCTTAGACAATAGGTCTGTCTATAGCTAAAGCTATTTGTTGCTCTACGTAGGGTAGCTATAGAATTCTTCTTATGTGCTGCGCTAGCGTGTCGCATAGGAAACGCCGGCTTAGTAAAAGAGAGAGAAGACTAGGGTAACCTATCCCGTTATAATAATCGACCTTCTACTAGGGAATAGCTCGCATTAAGGGAGCATAATATGCTCTAGCTAGTGCTCGTAGATAGCCTAGGTAATAGCGCCCTCGACGACGAGGGTTGCTCCGGGTAGGTATCTATAAACATCTAGAGCTAGTAACACTAAACACCGAGTCTTATTAAGCAACTCTAACCTTATATATGCTAGTAGGCCTATCTAGCTCTATAACCGGTTACGAAATAGCACCTTCTCGCTTACTACTAACTCGTCTAAAAATACTAGCATTTCTATAGGGTTAATGTTAATCTCCCTCCTACGGCGCATTAGAGCGCCGAGCTACTCGAGGTATAGACCTTATTAAGCAGTCGACTAACGACTAGCAATACGTATGTTAACCTTATTCGAGAGTTCTTATTCGCGTAGCAGGCGAGATATAGTTATATAGCTTACCTCGATGTCGAACTAGCACTATAATTTAAAGACTACCTCTTCCTTAAAGAGGTCATTCCTATACGAGAGTAGCTCGGCGACGTACTCCTCTATAATAGGCGTAATCTTCTTAGGGGGACCTATTCGCTTAAGGGTAGTAGAAGGCTTCCGTACTTGTCTAAAAAGCTTAATGTTCTGCTATATGCGATAGAGCGTAGTCTTAGTAGCATAGGGAACTATTTTAAGTACTATAGCAATATTGTAACCGTCGCGAAACATCGCCTATATAAGGTCTTTATTATAGTCGTTAAGCGGCATTATAAATGTAGGAATCGATGCCTAATATGCGAGTCAAATGACGCTCTAATTTTGCTAGAAATACAGGGAATTCAAGGGCAGGGTTACCTTAAGCTATTACACCAACTATTGAAGGAAACAGAGCTATATAGAGCATTAAATAGCATGGATTACGGTCGTAGAGCTGTAAAATCGAGCAATCAAGAGGTTGAGATTGATGACGGGGGTGGCGAATTCCCACGACTAATGTTAGCGAGAATACCCCACACACGAATCTGACGATTCTATTGGCTTAAACCTCTAAGTTCGTCCTAATTCTTCGGAGTGAGAGTGCCCTGAAAACAAGGAAAGGGATGGTACCATGTGCAGTTGTTGGCTGGTGCTGTGGCTCTGCTCATACGGCCGTAGACGGCGTTGCCCGCTCAGCAGGGCACCATCCTTAGAGAGGTTCATTTTACCCCTAAGGCGGCTAGATCTATCTCTTGTACTGATTCTATACCATAAGAAGCTTGATGTTATGCCGAGCGAGAGCTTTCCGCAGAGCGTAGAGATGTGTGAAAAAGAGTGGAAACCCAACACTGATTGTCGAAAGAATTGTACAGGAGGATCAAGCCATGGGATGATATGCAAGACCGTTTCACCGACAGCCGATATTCGGATCCACCCGGATTTGCTATGCAAGTTGCACCTCGTACACGATTTGAGCAAAGCATTTCGCATTTTTTGTACCTGGACTGCTGGATCTTGAATATTCTCGTCTCGGTTCTCTTCCTATTTAGAAGCACGGGCAAGGCGTCTAGGCGTAGCTAAACTCGTACTGTACCCGGACCTCAAACTTCCACACCAATCTTGGTGAGCATCCAATAGTATGTAAAGAAGACGCGCAAGATATCGTGACGCGGTGCCAACAGGGTGCCCAGCTTCGAGCGAACCTCTTGACTCAAGTAAGTATACACGGGGATCGACATCTGAAAGTCTAAAGCAACTTGCAAAAGGTTGAAGGTGGTATACGAGACTAGCACGCGTGTGTCGAAGGAATAAAGCAATCCTTGCCCTTTGAGTCGTCGGAAATCATGACCCTTTATCAAATCCAACTCGGGGTCAATACCCCACTTGCCATCGATGCAACAACCCGTTGGGTGCGATTGATGCTCACAAGGAACCAATGGGGAGAAGAAAGCTCTGTTCGAGTGTTCATGGCGTAAGCTGTGGTTACCTGTCTGCATGGAGGAACTGTTTGTACGAGTCAAACGGGCCGAGTGGAACCAATTTTGTGGACAAAACTCTGATTTTCCAATCTGAGCTTCGTAGCTTACGCCTTTTTCAGGTTGTGTTTTTGTCTACAATACCGGTGAAGATGTGCTGAGGTCGCCAGATCGTGGGCGATTTCTCTGGAGCCCATTGGGTTAGCATTGGGTCAGGGGCAGAGACACCAGAAAAGGTGGGTGACAAAGAACAAAAGGCTTACTCATCATGGATTCTCTCCAATGGGCCATAACTCCAGGTGCTCGTGAGAGGCATGAAAGAGCCAAAATTATGTCCGTCTCAAGTCCGCTGCAAAACTGTTAGCACTCTTCGATGCCGCCAGTTCAAACTATTATCGTCCTTACAGCGCACTGTATAAGAAACAGCCGTAGAGATCCGCGTTGCACTTCAACTGTCTTGAGGTAAAGTATGGATCTTCTTCTGCAATTCTGTCGATCTCCATCGCAACTCTCAAAAACTGATTTTTGTTGAGGTCTTCCTTATACTCGTCGATAAGTCTACGCACGAGCTTTCCACGCGGGTCTCTGACTTTGTAGATACGGTGACCATAACCAAAAAGGCGGTACCTTTTCGCCTTGACATCCGCAATGAGGTTCGGAACATTCTCGACTGATCCCACTCTCTCGAATTCCTTGTATGCCATTTCGACAGCGCCCCCATGGAGAGGACCATATGCCGAAGCCACAGCGGCCACGGTGCATGACAAGGGATCTTGGAGCGTTGAAGCAGCAGCAAGAAATACAGCGGTAGAGTTCGTCATCCCATGTTCCGCCTGTCACCTATTTTAGCTGGTTCACAAAGGTAAGATCTGAGGAACATCTTACATTCAGAACCCATAGCCGCTCCAGGCAATGTTCCATTTTTTGGTTCGGACCACCATCATTTTGCTCGACGAGGCCCATCATCAGCAAGATGTTTCCGATGTAAGAGCCCGCAGGAGTAGGAGGCGTCCAGTTCCGACCGCGTTTGTGGCAGTATACTAGAGCCACTGTGCTAGCCAGACTAGCGAGAGTGCGAATGATGGCATCGTCGGCTCGCTCTGGAGTTCCGAGATATGCAGGCTTGCTAGACTTGTGTACCAAGCGCGTTCCGCTATCCAGAGCGGCGAAAGCGGCGATACCGGCCAGAATCATGGGATGCGTCAAGCCGTCCGGCCTTGTGTAGAACATGTCAGCTTCGTGTGTTCGCGCGGGCAGCAGCGGGACTTACGCGAAAGCCTTGATGGTATCTATCACAGATTTCGGAGCCGTCATGTGCGCGGCCAATTTGCGTCTCAATGTTGATTTTTGCTCTGGACTAGGTAATGACCCCCAAATCAAGAGATGAACGACTTCTTCATAGTCATTATTGAGAAACAGCTCCTCAATCGACTTGTTGCGATATTGCATGTAGCCAGCCTTGCCGTTGCTGCCTTAGACGTGAGCGATCCATGTACACCATCATCATTAGTTTTCATGAAAGAATCACTTACATATGTATAATCGACGTTTCACAACACGCCGTATTCCAGAATCCTTCATCAAGAATTCTGAGACTGTTGTCGTACAGATCGGCTACCTCTGCGCCCAACCCTGCAGATGTGATCTGCAAGAAGTCAAGTGCTTTGACTGCATTGTTCTTTATCTCGATGGTGTAACGACGGCCTGTGCGTTCGTCGGTTATACCGAGGGTTCCAGAAGACGGTCCAACAGCGGTATGGCCCAGTACTCTGTGGAAGAACAAAACACCTGATGTAGCAGAAGTGCACACCAAATTCTTCCATATCTTGAAGGCAGCAAGGATCGTGTCAAACATGATGATTCAATCGTCGTGTGAAACTATGCTTCGGGTCACGGAGGGTTGCGCTGGCAGATAATGTATGTCATCTGACCGCTGGTGAGGCTGGAAGCACATAACGAACCTCACTCAGAGGATCGAATGTACAAACATGCATGACATCTACATCTACGATACCGGGCTACTGCAGAAGTTTACTAGTGTTTAGATGGACACTGGATTCGTTGGGAAGTTTTGCTCGATACAATCACTGGTAGATTTCCGGCTCCAACGGTAAGTTTAGTCAGACCTTTGTCAGCTTTGAGCGTTCTACCTTTACTAACAGTCCCGGCTCTCCAAATCTGGGATAAATGCTGACTAAGTGGCTTCAGGCATTGATGATTGGACAGAAGTCGTAGTATCACAACTTCCATGCAAGCATTTTCTCTGGGTCATGCCAGCCAAATCCCGTTCTTGGTATAAGGCCCCGGGAATTCACACTGCTTTGACGCGTAACGACATGGAGACAAGTATGACAGTCACTCCCTTGAGATCTCGCAGCCGATCACCAGCGAATGCTCTCATTCCGAATCTGGGTGTTCATGCAACTGGCTTGCAAGTATGGTCTTAAGTCGACTTGACTACAAACTACCGCTGACTGGATACAGTACTACACAAGAGCTTTGGTCGGTTCTAGTGTGTCTCCTACATGGAGCAAAATCAATCAATGGCTGCCTGCCCGAGGTGGAGATACTGACTTTTGGTGGAAAGTCACGGGGTCCCATCTAGCGAGCATGCTCTGGCAGGCCGGATACCCGCCAGAGACACAACTTGAGTACCTTCTCTTTCACCATCAGGTCGTGGTACCCTACCTAGGCGCCACGCCTCTGTCTACTACGCGCCTGCCATACAAGAGTTTCATGACGGACGATTTCTCGCCGATAGAATACAGCTGGAAATGGAAGAAGGACCAAAAGCCAGAAGTACGGTTGAGTGTAGAATTGATTGGAGATCGTTCTGGTACAGCTACGGATCTGCACAATCAATGTCCCACTAAATGTCTCTTCCAACAATTGAGCGGCATGATGTCCAGCGTCGACATGACATGGTTTGACAGGTTCTTGGAGGACTTCAAGCCCCAGGTCGGCCAAGATGACGAAAGCATCGAATGGGAATCCTCCGTCTTCGCAGGCTTCGAATTGGGTAAACATGAGATAGGCTTGAAAGCATATCTTGTTCCTCGAAGTCGATCCTGCTGCGACAAATTCCTAACCTCCGGGTTCAAGGAAGCAGTCTCCGCTGTTCGAGGCCGAAACTGCGAACTCGATGCCTTCAGTACACTTACCTGGTTCTTACAGAATGACCCAGATGGTAGGAATCTGAACATGGTTCTGCTAGGCATAGATTGTGTCGAGCCATCAAGATCACGTATGAAGGTTTACATGCGTACTTCTGTGACCTCTTTGGCACATACCATTGCGATAATGTCCTTGGGTGGCAGACGATGGCTAGGACCTTCAACACTCTCCGACGTGCGACAGCTCTGGACCTCGGTCCTAAAACTTGATTCAGAATTTCCGGAAACAGCAGAACTGCCCGTTAGGACACACCAGACGTCTGGTATACTCTTCTATTTCGACATAAAACCAACTGCGACAATCCCGGACGTCAAGGTGTACATTCCAGTGCGTCACTACGGCGGGACTGACGCAGAAATTTCCGCCGGACTACTGGCCTTCATGATGAGGAGGTTTGGGAGCAGGAACTGTGCTGAATATTTGGACATGTTGCGTGGGTTTGCGAAACAAGAGGAGATGAACCGGACAAATGGGCTACAGACATATATCTCTTTCTCAGTCGGGAAGAATGGAGAGCTTGATGTGACTTCCTATCTTAGCCCCCAAGTTCACAAGAGATTAGGAAATTTGGGCGTTAAATAGGCAAAGCACTGGAGATATAGCAAAGTAAGGTCAGAAGTCGAGAAATCGCCCGCACATATGTCTAATTCTTCTGATCCCAAACACGATGCCCGTCATCAAGGACAGATATCACACTTGCTACTTGGTTAGATACCAGGATGTGATTGCAGCCGTCGAATTCAGCGCTCTCAATGATTGGCCGCTGCATGGAGCCTTTTGTTCAAAGTTCCAGTCCTCCACTTGGGTCCTTCCCTCATGACATACCATAAAAGTGGCAAAGCAACGACGTTGAGGATTGCGAACACCATCACTGCCCAACCGAACCCGATGGCGTTGATCAGCGGAACAGTCGCCGCAGTCGCGCCCGCACCCAGGAGACATCTGAGCAGATTATTGCTAGCCGTCACAGTACCTGCTTGGCCAGGATACAAGTCCAGCATCAGACAGGCGACGCAATTGAGGGAGGAAGAAGTGCAGAAGGCAATGACGAACAAAAGAATCAAGGGGCCCGCCAGATTGGTCTTGCATTGTACTGTCCAGCCAAAACCAATATTGCACGCACTTCCCAATATTATCATTGGAACAGCCACTTCGAGACGCGCACGTTCGATCGGAAAGTCTTTAAGGTCAGTCTGCTTGTTATTGTCCGTGTCAACTCCCAAGCGTTTGGCGTGGCGTTCAAAGTTGGTATCGATCATCCGACCGCGATTGATTGCTGCGACTAAACTCCCAATTCCAAATGGGATATAGCAGAGGGCGATTTGTAGCTCGTTGAAATGGTATGTCTTGCTGAACTGAGACGGGATCGCAGAAAGAGTTACATAGAAAGAGCAACACAAGATCGCACTGTATAGTAGCGCAAACCCGCATTCTCGTTGGGTGATCAAGACGAGACTCCCAAAAGGGTTAGGCAGGCGAGGAAGACTGATACGAGCCCGTGAAATATGTCTGTCGGAAGGCACCTCCACGCCTTGGTTGAGGATATTTCGTTCGCGGCGAATGTTTGTGTAACACTTATTCCAATCCTGAGGGGGGATAGATCCATCGCCTACGACATTACGGCAGGTCTCGGGAAAGGAGATCGACATAGGAAGGGCAACAGCACAAGTAACCGCAACCAGAAACCAGAAACCAGAATGCCACCCTGCATATCTCGAGAGCAGCCCACCTATGACCGGTCCGAGTGTTGGGCCCAACATAGGCGCAGCAGCAGCCCAAGACACGTAGGTCCCACGCTCAGTGGACGTCGTTATGTCAGTGGCGACCCCGTAGGACAACGCGGCAGTCCCACTGCTACCAGCACTTTGGAGGCATCGCAAAACCATCAAAGCGATGTAACTATTCTGGAATGCTAGGCCGAGGTTTGCAGCAAGATAGAGAAGAAGACAGACCATGTACACAGGCCGTCTGCCTATCGTATCAGACAATTGAGCCGTGAAGGTCGGTGCAATACCCTGAACAACCTGACAGCGAGTTGTAAGCAGCTCGAAAGGATCGTAATACTTTCTTTTCATGATACTGACCACATATGTCGTAATGGATAGATTGATCAAGCTGTCAGTGACATGTAAATCTTTTGCGATGACGTCCAAAGCGGGAAGATAGATCTGACTTGAAAGGGGAGATAACAATGACGCGAAAGAAGCTGCCAAAATGATCATCTTCCTCTGCTTCGGTGTCCATATCGACCAAGGTCTCCCTGTTTCATCGCTGCCCTCATCGTTTGGATTATTCTGGACCTTGGTACTGTCCTGAGCTTCATCTTGCAAAATGGGGACGGATCGTTGACCCAGCCCATCATCCGTAGCGTGGTGGGCCAAGTCACTCGTGACGACTTTGTCTTGTAGTGGCATGGCCATGGCTGACGAATATCGATTGCTCTGAGTGTCACAAGGCAAAACGCGGTTGAAATCATCAACGTGCAGGTAGGGACATCTTAGGGCTTTTGTTCGGAGGCTTTGCGACCGTGCGAAATGGCTCACTAGAGTGAACTGTGAGCTTAAACTTAAACATCAAAGCGTTCTCAGACCCTTTAGCTATTTCGTACTGACGTTAGCGCTGAGTCAGAAGAGAATCTGCCTTAGTAAATGTTTGAACTTGGCGCTAGCACGATGGCAGTTCTATTTGTTTGACAGAGCTCTAATTTGTGAAGCACTACCCTTTGCATAATCCGGCAATTAGATGGATGTGCTCGGATGATTCACCTGTAATGTGGAGCTACCGATATTCCGTCAACCACTATGGGCATTAGTAAAGATCTTGTACTTTCGCGATCCTTAAAGGGAACAGGTGGTTCATTAGCAAGGTATAATTCTACGGCAAAAACGTCTTACAGACCGCTGGAGCATTAGAAACCACGATTCATGGACATGGATTCGCAACCTCGCTTGATAGACAAACTACCGGAGCCTTCTAAAGGCGTGGAAATGGAGGTTTTGTTGCTCGGTATGCCACGTACTGGCACAATTTGTAAGTGTTTGGAGTCTTTGTGCTTCTCTCCGAAAAATTGACTTCCCACCCTAGCACTGCTTTCAGCCTTCAAAGTGTTAGGCTACAAACCTTTCCACGGTAGCATGATGGAACAGTACCCCCACCTGCTTAATATATGGTTAGAAGCTCTCAAGGCGAAGTTTTTCGGCATCTCGAGCCCATACGGTCGCAAAGAATTTGACAAGATGTTTGATGGGTGGAACGTCACTTGCAACATGCCAGGCTCGCTTCTGGCGGAGGATCTGATCAAAGCATACCCGAACGCAAAGATCGTATTAAGCACCCGCGACGTCAGCAAATGGCAGCGTTCAATGAGGGACTCAGTTGATACTGCGGTAAGATGGAGGACTTTCGATTGGCTCGCTTCGTGGGACCCGGTACGTCTAGATTCGGCAAAGTTATGATCTGGAATCATCTACTAATTTGCTCCAGGACCGGATTGGTCTGTGGTGGAGCTACCACAAGTTCCAGCACTCTCTGAGACCAATTCTGGCTCCAAATGGGGAGCGCCAAGCATATCTTGACCATTACCAGAAGATCAACGAGATGGTTCCTGCGCATCAGGTGCTGAACTTCAGCGTTGGCGAAGGATGGGAGCCCCTCTGCAAGTTTCTCGGGAAAGATATCCCTACGACACCTTTCCCGAGAGTTAACAATAAGGATTCTTTCCTGGCAGATCGTGAACGGCGTTGGTGGCAAATGGTCCGTATTATGCTGTGGAAGACATCGGCGCTCGCAGTCCTGTTATTGGCTATATTTCTCATGCTTTGGACAGCTATTGCTAGTCGGCGCGGAGATTTTTAGCTGGAGAATCGACTCATGCATATCTAGGAGGTTTTGTTAGATCCAGTCCAGAGGCGAGATGGAATCTCGAATGGATTTCTGTGAAAAATCCATTCGGAATCCACTAGGTGAAATTGACCTTGATTCCCTGAACTCCAACTCTACCTGGAAACTTCATAGCACTTGATGGACTTCTGGGCTTCCATAGAACTCTATGAGTTCTTGGACTTCATAGATATTCCATGGAATTCATGGATCGTCTGTATGAACATTGTACACTTCTACATAAACTGCACACACCACATAAGGCTGCACATATAAACACGCACAAGCATATACATATACATATGGTCATACAAACGTTTCAGTTAGACCCGTATGGTAATGCTTCTTGTACCTACTTATAGTATTCTTGGCAATAATCCACGAATTCTGTGGCTTTGGCATGCAGTTCCAAAGGTCTATTGAGTTCCAGAATTCCATGGGAAATCAATGGGTTTTAGAGTTGCAATCAGGGATTTTCCACTTAGAGTTGGAATGAGGGTGGGTTCCGTGGATTTCGTGTATTCCGTCCAGTCCCTTCACTGGCTGAATCAAGCCGTCGAACAGTCATTCCACTCGATTCTAATTTGGATGAGCACTCTGTGAGCAAGCACTGAGATAGTTCACCAAAGAAACAAAATCCTATTCGGTACGCCCAATTTGCCATGCTTCATACACTTTTACTTTCGTAAGTACGACCCGGATTTCGTGTCTCTCACAGGCTGTAGGTGATCTTCGATAAATGTCCTCTAAACCTAGCGTAATTATGCCTTCAAACCAGTGATAACATGGTATCCCCTGTGAAAGTTGGCAAGCCAGCCACAAAATCGTCGAACAATGACTGTTCGACAATCGGTGCTGTTACGTACGCCTCCATATCGAGCTGACCGATAAGCTCTTCAGTGCGAGACTCGACAGCACTTAGAGCTTGGTTCTCGGTTTCCCAAAATTTCTCTCTTGTGAGTAGACCTTTTTCGACGTACCAGCTGAGATTTTCCTTGATAGCACCTACTTCCCAGAGGGTAAGTAAGTCTTTGTCAACCTTACGAGCGAGCGCAGTCTCGTAGACCATCCGATCCCCGATACCCTCAACTATCGGTCGACAATGGGGAATCAGCTGTCTGTTGAACTCTGTACTCCTGTGGCCCTCGGGAATTGAGTTGATTGTATTCATGGCATCTTCAGCCAGACCCGCTTCGTATTTCGCCAGCAAGCAGTCGGTCCTGGTTGCCTCAGGCATCATATACTTTCCGAGACATAGTTCGACCGCGAGACCTGTGATTCATCGTTTAGTAGTGGGTCATATATCGCATTTGGAATCCTTACGAATGCTTGTTACGAGCGTGTCGCCTTCTGAGATAGCGCATGCGCGTACCATGTTCTGGCAAGATTACTTTCAGCCATGATCTCTGAAGCTCTGGAAGGTGTGACTCACGTCCGCGTCACAGATTTGATTGTGGTGGAATAGTCCTTGAGCCCCACAACGCTCCACCAATTCCGGAATGCTGCGTTGTGCCATGCGAATGAAAACCGCCTTCATAATCACAGCAAAACCATATCTGACCTCAGGCTTGAAGGAAGTGTCTTTGAACCATTCAACGCACTGCTTTGCGAATGGCACCATGACAGCCAACTTTGCCAATGCGTGAAGGATAGGCATCTGTTGTGTCCGAAAAAGGATGATAGGTATGCGTTTCTTCTCGGCCACTCCTACCGTGCGACGAAGGCTGTATTTTCCTGCGATGTACGTTACAAGCTTCAGGGCGGGAATCATAATCATCGACATCGCGAGAGTGCCAGGAGATATGCGACCAATCTGATTGAAGAAGTTTTCGCGCATGTTGGCTGGCTTCTCTAGGCTGCCTAGTACTGCATTGGAGGGCAGAATGACATTTTCGAATGATGTGATGGCATATGGGGCCTGTATACCACCCATGTATGGAAGTAAACTTGTAAGATCAGCCTCTAGACACAGTTTGACAATAACGAGAGCACCTACCGGGAAGTCACACCTTTACACATCTGTGTTCCGTCTCCAAGAGCCACTATAACAGGTCGGATACCGAGATCCTCCTGCTTGACCACGAGCTTGGCCATAACGATGGCTATACGCGGAAGGTTCGCGATGGGCATCGAAGGGGGAACGAACCTATCAGCGTGTCAATTGCTCATCCCAAAAACAAAAACATCTGATACAAATGAGCTCACTTTGCGGCCTCCTGCCGTGGAGTGTGCAAGATGAATGTGCCGTCGTCTTGCAGCCTGACCTCAGTCTCGAGGTTTTTGCAGTCCAGCCCATGACCGAGCTCTGTTAACATAAATCCGGCGGAGACTTCGAACCTCAAGATTTTGTCGAGCAGATCTTGTAGTCCAGGTGATCTTCTTACATATGGTGCGATCGTTCCTGCAGCGAGGTTATGCTGGATCGAGAGCAAAGCATGGGAGCCCACATCGCGGAGAATTATGTCGTCACAGTGCATGTCGAAGAATTTTGTCGAGAGGGAGATTATATCGTCGGCAGTAAGTCCTGGGTTTCTATCAATAAGGTAAATCCCTGCCAATTGAAACAGACGCACCATAGTGATCGTTGAGAGCCTTGGCCCTCTGATACGACAGTTCGAATGCTTCTTCACGGGTGGCATCTAGTCTTGGCTGGAACAACGGGAGTTTCGTGAGATAGATCGTGGAAGAGGTCTTCGCTTGCTCCAAAGTTCGGTCTTGGAATGTTAGCAGACCTGTAGGTAGTGTCTCCATTCTTGCCGGTCTCGTTTTGGTTTCGGAACAATGCGATGAGTACGGCTTTGGCATCCTCACCTCGTGAACTAGGTCTTCTCGTAGTTTTAATTGTCGCACATTTCTTAAACATAAATCAGCAGAATTTTGGAGCTTCTAACATCCATCATATGGGTCATGCGACCGTGCGTCCACCCGTTTGTAAGAAGGGTTAGTCTGATCTTTCGAATTGAGAAGAGGATTGACGAGTTGTGTCAAGCATAGCTGGGTCACGACGTTAGTCCCATAAGAACATGACTAAAATAGGTCAGGCCGGATCAATGTTTCCCACAACAAATTTCGAGGTAGACATTCAACCAGTCGGCAATCTGATGATTGCTGGGGGCAGAGTGACAACACGAATGACTAAAGCTGTAGTAAGCCATTCAGAATACAGCTGGCTTACTGGTTACTCGACTCGCGTGTTCTAGCCCACAACCATATGCTTGTCTAGGTTGGACTCGTGGTTATATAAATCCTAGCGCGCACGGTTTTCACGTCTTGATTCCATCGAAATGGATCATGTCTACATCTTCTAGCTAGAGATATCCTGAATTCAATTTTGGCCTGCATTTCCCGGCTCAGCATGGCGTTTGCACGGCTGTTTACGACATCATTGTTATTGATGATCCTTGCCATGCTACATTACGCCACCACATTTTCGTTCTTGTCATGTTGTTCCGTTACTACCTGTGCGGTAGTCCTGTTCTGCTTCCTCTATTGGTGCGTGCTGTACCCTGAGTTCTTCTCGCCTGTGCGGCACATTCCCTCTCCTCAGGTATGTCAAAGCGATTTGAGTATATACCATACTTGTTTCTCACAACCAGATTTTGTACAGGGCCGATCTTGGTTATGGGGCAATTCGAGTTCTTTGAATCTGCAATTTGATCGCATGCGTCGCTGTAGCAAGGAGGTTCCTAACAATGGACTGCTGCGCTACTACATGGTCGGTAACATCGAACGAATCTTGGTGACAGAACCGAGGACACTTAACGAGGTTTTGATAGCCAAAGCGTATGATTTCATGGTTCCGCAGTCTTTGAGGATCAAGTTTCTCCGCTTCACGGGAGATGGAATCCTTCTGGCGCAAGGGGACAAACACAAGGTATATTCCTTATACATGAAGGGTTATCGTAAGAGACCAGACTAGAATACAAGACTGACATTGGATCCATTACAGACACAACGCAAAGGACTTCTCCCCAGCTTTTCCTATCGAAGGATAAAAAATTTGTACCCTACCTTCTGGTCAAAGTCGGTTGAGGTAGCTGATGCGATAAAGAAGTATATCGATGCGTCCCCATCCCCGGAGAAGCAGGAGGTACAGATCCGCGGTTGGGCGCATCGAGTGACACTGGATATCATTGGAACAGCTGGAATGGGTCACGACTTTGGGGCCATCCAGAATCCCGAATTGGAATTCCATCAACGATACAAGAGCCTGGCACTGAAACCATCGACTGGCACCAGGCTGTTAATGCTTATTGTTTCGTCCACAATAGGCTTTGAAAGGATATTTCAGCTACCAACAAGATGGAACCGGGAGTCCAAAGCAGCTGCGAGCTACATCCGAGGTGTGGCACGTGAAATCGTGCATGAGAAAAGGTACTCTATTGGCGATGCACAAGGCAAGGATATTGCTACGACTGCCATATCTAGTGGGTTGTTTTCTGAGGAGGAAATGGTCAACCAGATGATGACATTACTTGTCGCCGGCCACGAGACAATCGCCGCGTCGTTGCAGTGGGCTGTATACGCGCTTTGCAGCCATCCACATATGCAAATTCGCTTGCGGGAAGAGATACGAACGTACTTGCCTTGCACGGTGTCGAAGGAAGGTGAACCGGCTCCCAAAATCACCGCGACTCAAATCGACACAATGCCGTACCTGAACGCTTTCTGTAGCGAAGTGTTTCGATTCTATCCACCTGTGCCTTCTACCATCAAAGAAGCTAGGGTAGATACAACTATTGCGGGTACATTCATCCCTAAAGGTACCACGATGCTAATACCCATTGGGTCGGTCAATTTGGACCAGAATCTTTGGGGTCCAGATGCCAGCGAATTCAAGCCTGAGCGCTGGCTCGGAGAATGTCGCTCTGGGAGTGGAGGCGCCAGTAGTAATCACGCAAATCTTACCTTTCTAACAGGGCCTAGAGGATGTTTGGGTCAAACCTTTGCGAGGTCTGAGCTACTTTGTCTAGTAGCTGTGCTCGTAGGTCGCTTTGAATTCATTTTTCAGGATCCAACAAAGAAGATTGAGACTATAAGGTCTATCTCTATATCGCCAAAAGATGGTGTTTTAGTTAATTTGAGATGTATAGAAGATTAGTTAGTCGCTAGTATATGAAGAGGGCTCCAGGGCAGCCCTTCAACACCGACCTACAACGAGTGACAATTCGCTCCTCGACGAGCCGTTCATGAGTGCTAAGACTGCTGTTTGTAAATCTGGCATCCGCGACCAGACCCAACCTTTCTTCCTTCCATTCTATTCCCCCTTGTCTTCCATCTCATCATATCAATGAAACTCAGCCTGCACGACTCCATATCCCACTCCTCCCACCCTCAACTCAAATACAAGATCTGCACTCTGTATCCGCATACAAAGCTCAAAGTCTAGATTGAGGAACTCAACACCTTTACTTGTCTTCAGCCTGGTAAAAAGCTCTTCCGGTACTGCCGCTAGATCGGTCTTCAATGTGCAGACGGTCGAGAGTGTTTTCGTCCGCGAAGAAGGAGCAGAGTCAGCGCCACAAGCTATTAACTCGTCCTCGACAATGAGACTCTGATTAGGTCGGAAATTGCGCGTGTAGTGGAAAGATATTGGGGTATCCGGTGAGATGGCGGTGCCCTGTCCATCACGATTAGCTCCATACTTTCCAAGCTCTCCAGCAGCGCCCGGAGAGATGCATGCTCAAACTCACTTTTGAAATATGCCATTGCATGCGATCACTGACCATCCACCTCTCCCAGAGCGGACTCCAATATCTATCCGCCTGATCATGTTTCGTCTCGTCGAAAACGGTGGCGTAAGAAGTGCCGTAGTGTAATCTGCTGCGACGGGACGATACCATTGAGTCGTCCAGTCCTCTAATTACGGCGCCTCTGACAACTGCCGTCCATGCGTATAAAGGTTGAATGACTTCCACTGCAGGGTATTCGTTATGTTGTGTTTGATGTTCCGGTTTCTCCGAATATGCTGGGGGTGCAGATGAGGAGGAAGTGTTGAAGTGAGATTTTAGTCGATTGTAGAGATGGTTGGATTGGCCGAATCCGCCGACGAGGATGATACCGGATACGATGTCGCCTTTTGCTCGGATAGCGTCGACTTGACCATCCAGAAGTTTGAGCACTTCATCGATGACGGGGTCGAAGATTGCTTTGACTTGTTGTGTACTCATGACCATGAATCCAGAGTCAATGCCCGCTTCTTCGTCATCGGGAAGACCAGGAAAAGGTACATTTACCTCTTGCTGCTCGTCCTCGTTGTAGTTCCTCTTGACGAATTCTTCGAAGTATTTCAAGCCCATCATCCAGGTTTTGGGCTTCTTGTTGCGCATGCTGAGGTAGCGGTCCATGCCCAGTCGTTCCTTGACGTGTTCTTCGAATCGAAAGTTCAAAAATGCAGAACCGCATAATCCTCCCGTACCCACAGCAGACTCCTCCACTCTCAATGGCGATAGCTGTGTGATTTTATACCCGATGAGATCTACCGTACCCCCTCCCGCATCGCAGATGACAAAGTTGTCTCCTTCCTTGAGGTTGTGTGGTTGTACTGTTTTCAAGGCATGCAGCATGGCGGCTTCAGGCTCGGAGATGAGGCGTAGTTCATGTTTCTTTCCCATTCCTGCTTTTTCCGCCGCTTGTAGAGTGGCATTCTTTGCTGAATCTGACCATACTGCTGGAACGGTGAGGACGAATTCGACCTTCGTCATGGCCATGAAGGATTCGCCGTATCGTCTGTTGAGAGTCTCCATGGTATGTGTGTAGATCTGACCCAGGTAATCACTCACCGCATCCATGACAGTGCGATCGCATTGTCTCAGATGGGCTGCTGTATCCAAAGGGCTGACGAAATGTGGGAGTTTTTGATTCCTGTCCAAGAACAGTTTTATGCATTTGAGGCGTGGTTCTTCGGGTTTGAACTGGAAGCCCCATTTTATCTTTTGGACAGTGGCTCTGGCGCCGCCTTGTTCGGGAGTGATTGCGGTATTGGTTGTGGTGGGTAGTTCGGCGGTTTCGTAGGCGATTTCGGTGGGGACTTTGTCGGAGGTTATGCCGTTGCCTCCTGGCCACCTTTGTATCCTCTCGTCAGTCTTTCTGATAGTACGTATGCAGCAGGGGCCCGGCTATTGTTTCTCACGTCTTGATGATCTCGATATCGTCAGGGGTTGCGCTGTATGCTGCTGCCACACTGGACAGTTGTTAGTCGTGTGTCTTGCAGTAGTCCGAACGCTCAAGGTCGCTCACCCTGAGTACGTGGTGCCAAAGTCGACGCCGACTATCAGTCGGTCAGATGTCACCTGGGTGTGTCCATTGCTATTGCCATTGACGATCGGCGACGGTGCAGAGAAGCTGATATTCGGTCCAGCCATGATGAAGTGCTTCTGCGATCGAGTCAAGTGGAAGGGACGTTATCCACGGAGTCAGTCAACGAGGTTAGTCTGTCCAAGAGCTCCAAGCGACAGGCACTGGGCAGTATCAAAATGCAAGTCGTCGATACCCGGGATCAACAGAAGGGACGGCAGACAGAGCGGGTAGAGAGAGGAAACAAAGTTGGTATTATGACAAGCACTGTCAGAGAAAAGGAGTCTCGCATCAACCTTAACTCTGGCAGGTCCCCACGAGGTAAAGCGAAGGAGAGGAAACAGACAGACCCGGGACATGCAGCCAGCCCAATGTCAGCAGCAAAAGAGCGGTACGATGACAGCTCGGAGCCCTGCGTCCGACAAGTCTGAAGCCCGACTCGGCAGAGAGCTGAGGCATGGTTTGAAAACACGCACCGTCCAATTCCTTGCTCCTCAAGCAATGTACTTCCCCCCCTCGTCCGAGTCCGAAACCAGCGGGAACCCAAGGCTTCAGACCGGTCTTGTTACAGAAAGAACCTGCCCGCAGTGGTGAGAATATTGATCAGACGCAGCCCGCTTGTCCAGAGCCCGCCCGGGACTGCCCCACACTCCCGGGTCACCCTGACTTGTCTCGGACATTTTCTCGCTGATCATTTCTGTTCTCGGCATTTCCTGGAGAGCCGCGTCCTCGGGTTCGCATGTCGACAGCATCATCATCGCTTGGCTAACTTTCCTTCTCTGTACATCTCTGGCAAGCTCTTGACCGGTTTTGATCAGTCGTAGGTTGATGGACTGCTCAATCAAGTCGTGCAGCTTGAGGTCTGGCCCGCTTGAAGAGATTCACAGCTCCGAGGACAAGAAAGCACAAAAAGCTTCCAGTCAAAATGTCTCAGCTTGCGACCTCGACTGCGTTCTGAAACTTGCCTCACCATTGCAAAACCTCCCTCCTTCCGAGAAAGATGATTGTAAAAACAGTGTTTTGGGTGTTATTCTTGGATCTCCTTTCGCTAGACCAAAGACGGGCCAAATATGGTAGAAGCGGAATTGTCGGGAAGTAAGGTGATTAGTTAGTAGATGATCAGAAGTAAGCTCTTCCTTGTGTATCCTTTCCAGAAGCTGCATCAACCCGGATACATGTGAATCCTTACTGCTCAACTCCTGTGTGTTCGAAAATCTTGACATACCCACGACATACGACTTGAACGCCACTCCTGGACTTTTACATCATGGCGCGACCAGACACGACAAAACGACGAGTCTCGAATCTAGTCGGCCGCTTCGAGCAGCTCGCCCAAGCAGCTCCAATTCGTGAGACTTCAGACCCAACATCTCCGACCTCACCACGCCCAGCATCTCATCACGGCGAAAAGTCATGGCTCCAACATGAAAGGAGAAGTCTATCACTCTCTTCAATGCCGAATACCTCAACACTGTCTGCTCAATTGGAGAGAGAACTCAATCGCAATGCACAGTTGCGCCAGGAAATCGAGTCGCTCCGAAGACGATGCCATGAAGATGATGACATCTTGACCACGCTGTCGCAGCAATTGGAGGAGGGAACAGAGTTGCAAGCATCACTGCACATGCAAACCTCTGGCTTACAGACCAAAGTCAACAGACTAGCCGACAAGCTTGCTCGAAGAGACAAGATCCAAAAGGCAGAATATGAGCGTAGGATTGTCACCGTGGCCAACGAGCGCGACATCGTGGCTCAGCGGCTGAAGATGGCAGAAGCGAGTGTAGAAAGAGCACGAGTTGCGGAAGAGAAGGTTAGGGGTGCAGAGGAAAAGATCAGAACTGCGGACGAGAAGGCTCAGATTGCAGACAGCCAAATTTCGGCATTGCGGAATCAACTACTCGAACTCAAGACTGACGTTGCTGCAAGATCCGGGAAGCAGGCAGATGTTAGTGATCAGGAAATTCTGGACATGATGAACAAGCTCAACCATCTGGTTCAAAATTGGTGTGTTAGCACTTTCCGGAAAGTCAAGATTGGTATGGATTGTATAGGCTTTCATGATAAAGCATTGCTGACAAGCTCCAGATCCACGGAGAATGAGTTGCAGGTTTGAAAAGATAGAAGCTTTGCAAGAAGCCAGGTTACTACGCAAGCTCTACTCCATGTTCGATACGAGTATCAAGATCTTCACATTTCAGGCTACGGTGCTGCATCTCCTGATGCCGATTTTTGATGCACACTTCTTCGGATTACCAGAGGAACTGCAAGGTTTGGAGACAGCCGCCTGGGCAATGCAAGGTATGCTTTTCTGATATGTACTGGTGTTCTTTTTTGCTGACTATCGTGCAGCAACACCAAAAACAGCCTTTAGTGAATGGCGAGCTGCAACATTTGAGTTTCTGCAGCATGAGGATGGGGTTTGGCAGAAATTTCGTCAAGTTTCCGAAGCTAAAGCGCAAGCACGATTGATGGAGCAAATCTGCAAAATAATGTCAACATTGACTGGTTTGACCGTCTCGGAAGATCAGAGACGCACGTTGGTCGCAGTGGTCGAGCACGCTGTCTCGCTGTCGCGGACACTTGGGCGACAGCGGGCTACGTATCGGTGTTTTCTGCCAGAAACTGATGAGGAAGGCAACCTCAAATTCGATGTCGCCACGATGGAGGATCTAATGGATGAGCATGAGGATGATGGTTATGCTAAGGACATCAAGTGTGTTGTGTTCCCAGCATTGTTGAAGATGGGAGGAGAGCAAGGTGAAGATGTGAGGATTCCTTACAATGCCAAACGGGTGAGGTTGACTGACCCTAAGCAGATGGATGTAAGAAATCTCCTCTTGAAAGCCAAAGTGCTTTGCGTTGAGGAAGACTCTGACGACGAGTGTTCCGTAGACTGAGACTAAAGGTCAAGGAGTTTGGCTCAAAGAGTGTTCTCACGTTGACGTAAGCCTAACACTCTCCTATGCACGTCAGCGACGGGCTCGGATCTCGAAGGTACATGGCGCTTGGAAGCCGAGGCCTTGTTGATGCGCGTCATGGTTGCGTCCAATGTTTGCTCAATATGGTGCACAAGCTTGTCTGCACTAGTAGCATCAGACGTGATGGCACGCAGGCGGATGAAGATAGCATCCAGGAAGGTGTCGAGGAGGGCGAACATGTTGTGTTCTGGCTCTTGGCGATGCAGTTGCAAAAACGGCATGTAGACGAACTCATCGTACAGGGTAGCAATGCGGCGGAAGATCTTTGCCTCGATGTGCGTCGGTCTGTGCAATCCACTAGTCGAACGTCAGCTTAATGTGTGGACCAACTGCGAGTACATAACTGACTCGATAATGTCGACCCATTTGATGACCTCTTCCAGCGGAACCTCATCCTGCAACTCGTTGTCGGGAAGCTTAGCATTTGCTGAGTTTGCAGCATCAAGTCTTTCTTGGAGCTTGTCTTGGACCAGATCCAAGAACTCACAGATGTCTTGGGCGATGTTCTCAATATCGTGTGCCACATCTTTTCGGAGTATGTGTGATGGTGGGAACAGCTGATGGGAGATGTACACCATCATGCGGACCGTAGCTAGGAACATTTCCTTTGTGGGCCTCTCAAGCTCGGATGTGCGAATCAAGTGCATCAATCCATGAGGCAGTAGACTGACCTTGGATGAGAAGGCCGACGAGAGAACAGATGAGGTTGGCGTGTCCGGAACCAGCGCATTGCGCCTAGGTGAGCCGACTGGAGACTGCTGTGGCGGCACATCGTCTAGATAGTAGGATGGTATCCACTGAATTGTTGTGTCGAGATCGTCGGCGTGTATGAAGGGTCCGCTGTTGATTGTCGAAAAGGAACCAGTCGCACTGCGCACCGAGGGAGGCTTGGTGGATGAGTAACTTGAGCCGTGCTGGGATGATGAATTGGTCGCCGTGCGCGAGTGCGACGATGATATTGATCGCGGCATGTCGATTGTCTTTGTGTCGAAGTTTGCTATGGTGGAAGGGAGAAGCAGTAGAGGGATGGCCGTGGACAAAGAACAAATTCGATGGATGCGGTTGCAGTTGCGGACAATCGACAAAGAGGAAGGAGCGACCGTCACAGCGAGAAATGTTATAAAACAGTGAATTCGGCATTCTTTCGTGGGAAGATATGATTGCAATTGAATGTAGATTCTACAAATCAGTAAAGAGATGTGTCAATCTCGTCGAAGCCATTCCGCCATGATGATTCGTTGCCGACGGCGGATCAGCTACCTTTTAAACAAGTTGACAATGCCCACAAGCCACCACCCAAGTGAACAAGACGTTCGGTTTGGGTAGCAAAGAAACTTGAAAAGCGTTCAATCTCCGCAAGTAGACTCGATCACCACGCCACTGAATCGTTTCCACCAAGAGATGAAATCGGAGGCATGACAACTTTAAAGAAGTGCGGGTTCTCATTGGAATTCAAAATCACATCACTCGTCGTCCTCGTCGTGCTCTGCACCAGGGACGTCCATGACACGTTCTGATGCAGCCGCGAGGGCGCGTCGACTCCAAGCTCGCACGCCTTTCCAGACAGCCTGATACATGAGTCAGCTACGTTCGAAAGTTGAGCAGGAGCGGAGGAAGCGTACCCAAGTGAAAGTCATGATGCCAACTGCTACGGCAAACCAGCTGATTTGAGCCATTCTGTCTCGACCTGTAGTGCGACCACCACCAACGCCAGTGGCACGGAAATTGTACATTTGCCATGGACTTAGTGTAAGAAGAAACTTGGCAAAGCCGACCAGCCCCAATGATGCGAAGCCTTTGACAAAGTGCTCAGACCACGTAGATACCTCATCAGTCAAAGTCAGAGGCTGAGAACCATGAGCGAGAGTGTCGTAAGGATCAAGATAAAGGTTGATGATGGGGTCGGCAACATAACCTAGAATGAATGAGGCGACGATGAAGATTGTCATAGTAAGCATGATTTGAGCAGCTTTTGCATGTCAGTAGGTTGGATTCGGACCAGAAAGTCAATTGCAGCTTACCGGTACCGCTGATCCAGTGTGCCCAAGTCATTCGTTCCAGACGATACTTGTACCTACATGTGGGACATTGCCAGTAGTTACGTTTTGCTTCAGGATTCTGCAAACGCCAAGCCTGAAGACACTCCTCGTGGACATATTTCTGGCTGCCTTTACACAGACAAGGACGAAGCAGGCGACCACCATCTTCGCTCTCGTATGTTACGCTCGGCGAAGAGCGCAAGAAGGCAGGTAACGAGTCTGATGGTGGATTGTATGTGGGCAAGACAGTCTCCAGACAGATGCGGCATGTGCGAGGAGCGTAGTGGCGTTCGCGTGGCGGTTGGTGGCCTGTCGAGTGTGTGGAGCCTGTCGAGGATGAAGTCGGCGGCGGAGTCTGCTTTCTCTCTTCCTCGGAATGCTGGTCCTCTTGTTTCGGACGGAAGTGAGGCCTATTTTCCTCTTTGACATGGTCGGATGACCATGCACCAGGCAAGTCGTCCGGCCAAGTCCAGGAGGCAGGATCGATCGAGGATGAATTCATGGCGGGTGTAATATGTTCAGGTGCCGGCGAAGACGAATATGCAGGTGGAAGGAAGATTGCCAACGGTCATGATCAAATGGAGAGATTGGAGAGGCCAGCTGGTGTCTCTGCCTTGTCTTGCATGTCACGGGAGTGAAAGGGAAAAGCTTCTTCTGTTGCAGGCTGATGCTTGCGGAAGAAGAGGAAAGAAAGAGCTCCGCCTTGGCCCTGGCCTTGGCGTTTAGCGGATGGCCCGAGCTTCACCGAGCAGTAGCGCGTCGGCGTCACTGAGAGAGCGGCCTTGGGCGAAGGCCAGACGAGCTCCATACAGGCGCCATCATCCATCCGTTCATCGCCTGAAGCTGTTTCCTCGTCTGTTTCCCTCTTTGATTGCAGCTCTGTCCATCTCTCTGCAATCTCTCTCAACCGCTCCGACATCCCCGCCTCGCCTCTTCTCTCACCATGGCGGACCGCTACTCGTTCTCGCTCACTACCTTCTCCCCCAGGTATGCATAGTCTATTTCGTTTGCGCATCATCATTGCTAACTTCCTATGTAGTGGAAAGCTGGTACAGATTGGTATGCGCCGATAGCTTACTACCTACAAGATTCCCACTCATGCCTTTCCAGAATATGCTCTCAACGCCGTCAACCAAGGTGTTACCGCCCTAGGCATCAAAGGTAATCATACAACCATCCTCCGTCCAGTCATTCAAGTATTGACTGTGTTTCCTACAGCTACCAACGGTATCGTTCTCGCAACCGAAAAGAAGTCATCATCGCCCCTCATCGACGCCGCTTCCGGAAGCAAGATCTCGCTCATCACTCCCAACATTGGTACTGTCTATGCCGGCATGGGTCCCGACTACCGCATCCTCGTCGACAAGGCCCGTAAGGTCTCACACACAAACTACAAGCGTGTCTACAACGAATACCCTCCCACCCGCATCTTGGTCCAGGACGTTGCTCGTGTCATGCAAGAGGCTACCCAATCAGGTGGCGTGCGGCCATATGGTGTCAGTCTGTTGGTTGCTGGATGGGACGACGGCATTGAGCCCGAGACTGAGGCTGCCGATGCTGGTGATGACGCCGAAAAGAAGGCTATCAAGGGAAAGACTGGTGGTATCCTCAAGGGTGGTCCTTCGCTGTACCAGGTCGACCCCAGCGGTTCCTATTTCCCCTGGAAGGCTACTGCTATCGGAAAGAGTGCCACCTCGGCAAAGACTTTCTTGGAAAAGCGCTACACAGACGGTCTCGAGCTTGAAGACGCCATCCACATCGCCCTGCTCACACTCAAGGAGACTATTGAGGGTGAGATGAACGGTGACACCATCGAGATCGGTATCGTCGGTGCTCCCGCCGACCACCTACTGGGTGTTGAAGGTGTCGAGGGTGCTCAAGGTCCTCGTTTCAGAAAGCTCAGCTCGCAAGAGATTGAGGATTATCTGACGAGTTTGTAAACGGAGCATTTTAAAGGGCATGGCGTTTTTCTTAATCTTCCACACATGACGAGGGACGGCTCTGTATACTAACATGAGGCTGCTGATATGCTGGCCAAAATGACATTCACCTTTTTGTCAACCTCTCCCATGCTCATTAGTGAGTGACGTTCGTGTACTGTTTACTAACATCTCAGCGCTACTACTTGCCGTGCTAGACATAATCACTCGTCTCCACGCTCGATCGAGGCTTTCTCGAAGTCGCAAGCAACCATCATCAAGCGTCGGCTGAAGGACAAAAGTCATATCACCTCTTACGCGGCGTCCAGCCAACACTGTACAACCATCCATGCTTACATGTTTTCCCAACCAACAGACGTTTATTGGCAAGACAAAGAAACCCTTTCAAGTTTTCCCTGGGACCGCCTTGTCCCAATTTTACACTACTATATCAGGGCCGTGTTGATTTCGGGGATGTTGACATGCCGATTGCTAGTCTTAGAGTCTTCGCTTCCTACATCCATGATTTCCCTCCAACACAAACGCCGACATATCTCCCGCTCCATTGTTGTCATCCTAGGACGACAATGTCGAGTCAATGGGTCCTTATTCGATTGCATCGAGAAGGAATATGAGAAGTGATATAAGAAGGAACCCCAGATAAGAGCTGCAGATCAGTCATTGCTTTCTTGTGATGGAGGCTTAGGCGAAAACGTTCAAGACCAGGAAGATATACAGTTTCATCATACTTCAATATATAAGCATACCATACTTAACCATAGAGGTAACAATATTCCCAAGTTCCAGTCGACCAGCGACCACAGTGATATCCAACAACTAAATCAAGATTTCCAAAACATGCAGCCATTTACTGCAGATCCAAGACCACTCTACCCTGAATCTTTTGATCATTCATCTCTTGGAAGATAGTCGTCAACTCATCCATCTTGGCTGTTCGGTAATGCGTCTTGATGATGCCTCTGGCAGCCAAGTCCAAAGTCTCAATAGCTTCTTTTCTGTTTCCCACAGCTGAGCCAACGACTTTTTGCTCCTTGGCCACCATGACCTGAGGGAAACAAGTAGCGATCGGCTGCAACTCACCCTCAGGCAACCCCACACAAACCAACGTACCGCCGAACTTCAACAATTGCATTCCACTAGCATAAGCGCCATTAGCCGCTGTGAGCACGAGAACTGCTTGTGCGCCTAATCCGCCGGTCAGAGCTTGCACGTCGGCTGTGACGTCTTTGCTGGTGGTGTGGTCGATGAAGTGTTCGGCGCCTGAGGAGAGGACGAGGTCTTTTTTGCTGCCGTGGTCGATGCCGATGATGCGCATGCCCATGCCGCGGGAGCCCATTTGGGTGGCGATGTGGCCGAGGCCGCCGCCGGCGCCGAGGAGGACGACGAAGTCGCCGGATTGGGCGGTGGATTTGCGGAAGGCGGAGTAGACTGTTACACCTGCGCAGAGCCTGTGTGGTATATCAGTGATTCGATCTTGCAAGGGAGAAAAGATACAGAGGTGGGAGAGGATAAAGAGGGTCGGGAGTGTTGTAGTAGAGGGAAGACACTTACATCGGTGCAGCTGCTGCTGAGTCCAGTTCATCAGGGATGGGAGTAACATAGTCGGCAGGACCGAGAACATATTGTTGGTATGTGCCGGGAGTGTAATATCCAGATACCTTCTGGTTGAAACAAACGCCGTCGTGTCCAGACAAGCAAGCTGGGCATCCTCCACAGATGCCACTGATCCACTTGACTCCAACTCTTTGGCCGACCTTGACGGCAGCATTCTCAGTTCCTGGTCCCATTGCTACAATCTTGCCAACACCTTCGTGGCCGCCGACTTGGCCGGCTTGGGTGGGGTGAGGGAGGGCTTTCCAGCTGTTTGTCATGATACCCAGATCACTATGGCAGACACCGCTGTGGGTAAGATTGATCAGGACCTCGCCGGGGCCGGGAGTGGGTGTGTCGAGGTCGACTATCTTGGTGGAGATCTCGCCGGGCTTGTCGTAGATGACCGCCTTGTAGGACTTGGGAATGTCTGGAGAAGCCATTGTTGTTGGAGTATGGAAATGGTTTGGTAGGTGAAAGATGTATGTGTGCTTTGGGACACTTTATAGGCGATTGGTTTGGGGCAAGGCAAATTGGATTGGTTCAGTGAGAGAGGAGGAGGAAAGTGGACAGGAGCAAGAGGAAAGCAGTGATAACTTATGGATTGTGAGACGAACTACTGCAGGTAGATAAGAAGGCTTGAGTTGATCAACGAACCCTTACCTTTTCAGTAAGTGACTGCCTTGGGTAACGTTCATGTTGCCCGAGTCCCGAGGCAAAGGTGAGCTTGCAAGTTGTGTATGCCGTTTCAATGCATGTTTAGCTATGGTGGGGCAGGACTGCGGGGTAGATGGCTGTAGACGAGGGGTTTGCGGAGATGAGGGAAGGTCAGACGACGGAATTATACTTTTGCTTCATGTGAGACGCGGCAGAGAAGACATGATCCTTGATCTGGAAATTCTGGCGATGCTTGTGTCGAGGTGGTTGTTGGAACTGCCGTGCTTGAATCAAGGCGTGTGGCTGGAGTCCTACAATATGGTCTGCTAAGACCTGTTGAAAGATCATATATTGGACTTCGAGTAAGTGTAACTTAACCTGCAGGCAGCATCTCAGCACTTTCGAGTGCTTAATGAAGCATTGTTCTCTGAGTACTTATCTGCCAGCTGGTCCATTGTTCCGTAACAGGTTTGAGCGATCTTCCACCGCTGTGGCTCCGTCTGTAGTAAGCACTCTGCATCGATGGCACTACGACGTGTAACACCGAGATCCTTGAAGAATCGTGTGTGTATCCGAATACCGCAACTTTCGTGTAGTGATATTGGTGAGGAGGCCTCTCAGAGCTCACGCGAGGTTCTCAATATCGTGCGCGATGCAGCTCTCCAAGCCGGTAAACCCACAAAGCGGAGAAGCTCAAGTTTGCTCTGTTTGCAGAAAGCCCTTCGCTAGAGGTATAAAAGGCTCGCCACCCCAGCACCCAGCTTTTCTCTCTCATGAAAGTTTATAAATCCAGTACAATTTGATTTGATCACCTGTCGTACACTCTTGTGTATCACCGTGGGACATCGAATTGAACGTCTGGAGAGAGCGAACCGTCTTATTAAGAAGCGGCACCCCAAACACTCTGGGTGTTGACTCCCGTTGTAGACTCACAGATCTTCTTTTTGTTCATCATCTTCATCGGTCTTCTTCAGTTTCGAGATGTATTGATTCCGAGGCGGAGCCACGTGATTATGGCTTGCGCTGGACACGACGTTTAGAGACCCTGAACGCCCCTTCCACATCCGTTGTACATACTTCTACCTACGAATCAAACGAATACAATACCCACATACCGCATTGCCACCTATGGACTCCTCCGTCGCATCGTTGTCCTCGGACGCGCCTACGAAACAACCGTTCCCCTTCTTCGAGCTGCCGTCTGAGTTGCGCATCAAGATTTATCAATACGTGCTGTTCATTGAGCACGGAAAAGGCGTCGTGGACCTGGACTATTTCAACGACAGGCGAATCGCTCCACGTCTGACCTGCTTTCGCGCTTGTCGGCGCATGCATGAGGAAGCATACCCAATCTTCTATGGCTCGTCACAGCAGCCATTTAGACTATTTCCTGTCGGTGGACATGTCTACAGGACAAAGAAGCCGCTGCTTGAACTCCTGACACCCACATATCGAGGAGCTATAAACACTATTGAGCTGCGCCTTGGGCCTGGTTGGGAAAGGGTAAGTCCATCCCGAGTCCTCATCTCGGTGGAGAGTTGCTAACCTGTCTTTGTCTTAGGTTCCCAAATGCTGGCATACTGGTCCGTCACTAGGCCTTGCCGATTGTCTCTCCCTGCGTAACCTCAACATCTTCGTACAAATTGATCCTACAGACACGACCTTCAAGGGCCATCATGGAAAAGGCAATGACGAGAATACATACAAGAACCTCTGTGTTCGCTGGTTACAAGACATTCTCGAGCAAGCTCCTAGCATCCGCAAAGTCCAGATCGATGCATGGGAAGGTGTGGAGGTTGAATCGCCAATGCTCAACGCGCTTGCCTCTACGGTCTTGTTGGCTGAGAAGCGGTTGACATGGGGCCCTGAGCGATTGAAGAAGCTGGACAAGGAGAAGTTGAGACAGGCGCGCCTAGACTCCATGTGCGGCATGGAGCAATTGGAGGATCTCATGACATATATGGTCATTGGAGACCAGCGAACCTATGCATTCTGAGAGCATGCGATGCATGGAGCAAGAGAGGCACAATGTGCGTTGTAGCGATTTGAGCATTTGATTCTTGGCCCTCTTCTATTTTCTTCTACTGCAGCATCCAAGCAAGCAAGTCTTCGTTCATAACCAATCGCCCCACGAGCCCCCAGTGTTTCTCCAGGGCCCCCAGCACTGTCAGCCTTGTAGTGGAATCACATGTCTTATCGTGTTGACGAGTCACGACTCGCCATGTTTCTTCGTGTTTCGCTGGAGGGTCAAGCAAACACGGCTTAGGCCCTGTTCGGTTCGTCGATAGCGACTTCGGATTCAGCTTCTTGGCCGTCGGTAATAGGGTTTATCTAGCGTGTGGTAGACTACTTTCGAAGTCGACATGAGCGTTCGGATCAGCGGTTCGGATTGCCCACGTGATCTTCTCTGCGGCGTGAGTTTCTGGTGGGGGTTGTTAGCAAATAAGACGGTATAGAGAAACGAACTTGGGAAGATAGCAACCATGGCCCCTTCGATGCCACCCCCTCTGAAATCGGCCAGTCAATTACGTGATGAGGGTGTTATAGACCCTCGCCTCATGGCAATGTCGCCGTCACCATCACCAGCTAAACAACAGCGTCGTCGCATGCCATCTATGACTCCCGCCGAGTCTATTAAAGGAAGAGAAATTAGCTAGTCGCCAACACTAGCTCGCTAGTTGTTCCTATCGACGAATCCTCTAGGTAGACTAGGCAGCAGCGTGCCTCCTACTCCTGCTCGAAGTGAGTTAGTTATGTCTTCGTCGAGTGACAGCGGAAGCGCATACCTAGCCTAGACCGATGCTATGGTCGCCGAGCTGCTTAATAGATTAGAGGACCAGTCAAAAAAGGGCAAACGTGCCGGGTCGAGTTAGAAGTTAGAGGCCTAGGTCGTCGTTGTTAAGGCCGTGAAGGAGGTAACACCTGCTACGTAGAAGATTATCGTAACGAGGAAGAAGTGTAACGATAAGGTAGCATGGTTTAGGAACCGCTAGAAAGTCTAGGTCCACATGATGAATAATTCCGGTTGGGCCAAGGATAAGGACACTAGCCTGCCGGTATCGAGTTAGCAAGGCATAGATGACTACCTCTTAAAGCATCCGGAAGGTAAGAAGTTCTTACATTAACGTCTCGAGCGAGAGGATTAGCTAGACTTTCTCTTCGCGGCGACGACTACGACCGGCGCAAACGCACGTACTATAGGTAAGATAGCACCTTCGGCGATACCTAATGCTAATGGCGATGATGACGAAGAGGAGGAAACAACTAATGAGACTAGCATAAGGAAACGAACGTTAGTGACACTAGGTGGAGGTACGAGGAAGAGACTTACTCCGAACTAAGAGTTCGCTGCTCGTGTCGACTTAATAAGCAAGCAGTAGAGCAGAAGTAATGAGATCATAGCCTTTAATCCTATTACTAACGCTGCTCGCGAGTTCTATAAGGAGTTTGCGCACCTCTATATCGACAACTAGATAGCTACTTTAAGTGCAATGGCAGAGGGTAATAATGCGCGTCTGTTCTTAGTGTCGCTAGCGCTAGCAAGAAAGGCCTTTATAACGAAGTAGATAGGGCTAGTCGTCGTTAATGTAGTTTAAAGAGTAATAGAAGGAGAGGAAGTTAAGAGGACTAAGCAACGCGAGCAAAGTTAGACTTGTACATACACCTTCTAAACATTAACTTCTTAGCCAACTATCGCCTTATAGTCGTTCTACATCTGCTCTGCAATGCGCTCTCTAAATGCTATCATCTTCTTGTCGTCGTTCTTATTACTCTACGCGCGCGCACTCGATACGAAGGAATTGTCCTCATCTTCTTTAAAGTCCGCGTTAGTAAATGGTATGTTATCCTGTCCATGTCGAATTATCTAGTTATAAAGGGCCGTTAATGCGTAGACTAGTCTTGTTTGGTCTACAATAGAGAACTTATGCGCTAGTCGTAGGACCTTCTATCTTTTCTTAATAACACTAAAGGCGCGCTTAATCGCATTGCGTAGCGAAGAATGTCTAAGATTAAAGAGCTCTTCCTTGTTCGAAGGACGTAGGTCTACCTGCTGCCATTCCTATAGGTAGTATCTAGTTCCTCTATATAGCACGAGCGCAATCGCAGAGTTTAAATACCCTGCATCTGCTAGAAGATATCGCCCTTTAGGAACAGCTAATGTCTTCGATAGCGCATCTTTAAGGACTCTAGCATCGTACGCACTTCCTTCCTATCCTACATAGATGTAGATAAACTGACCGTCGAAGTTACAGATCGCTAGAACGTTCTAAGATAGCTAGGTCTTCCTGTTTCTCTAAGGTATTAAGTCCCTAAACGCAAAGATAGGTACGTAAGACCCGTCTATTGCACCGATATAGTCTCTAAAGTAGGGGAAGAACTTGCCGCTATCCTCTATCCTTTCGGGTGTTAGCGCCTGCTTATCTAGCATCTTAACCACTTCCTTGTGTAGCTCGACTAAACCATTAAGCACCTAATAGAAGTATCTGCTAATGGTTAATGCCGAGTGGTGATAGACCTCCTATAAGTCCCGATAGCTAAGTCCCTTTGCGCACAACTTAAGGAACATTATTAGCTTTTTAGTAGCTAATATGTGGCGTGTGTCTCGAATAAAACCGCGGGTCTTAAGCTACTTTAACAAGTCCTTAAAAGCATCCTATTTTAGTCTCGTAGCGCGGAACAACCTCTTCTCGCTTACTCGTAGATCCTCGGTATGTTTATGCCCCTTCGTCTTAGATGTATACAAAGTCCTAATACCAAGGTTCGAAGCGCTCTAGTCTAGCAAGGTGCCCCATCTCTACATTAACACACTCGCCGCCAGGATGTAGCGGACTACCTGCTTCCTTTAATCATCCATCTATAGAGTATGGCACGTGACGCACTTAAATCCGACGAAAGATTGACCTCTTGACTTCAATTTTGAATCCGAGGGCTTTGCCTGCAAGAATTCGACATTTCACGCTAAAAAAAGTCACCATCCGTCGGTGCCCAGATATCGACCGATTCCTCTGCCAAAACGACCGAATCCGCGGGTCAAACCGAACGCTACCCTCGACTTCCACTTCGACTGTCGAAAACGACGATATCGACCGCCAAGTAGTCGAATCCGTCAGTCGAAGCCGCTGAACCGAACAGGGCCTTACAAAGCTGTTGGGCGGCCACTTTTCGCTCTGCATCCGAGATAAACGGCGAGCGGTGAAGTCATGTGGAAGCCCGTGCGCTCTATCCCACTTACTCGAAAGAACGCCTCCTTCCTGAAGACTGTCTCATTGTGCTGCAAGCCAGTCACACAGTCTTGCATCTAGAAGCCATGTAGGTCACTAGACATCTGGCTAGAGGTTGCAAATGTGACAGGAGAACGGCGACCCATCTGCCGGGTTGTGACACGAAGAAAATGGTATGATGTAAGGCCGGAGATAAGTATATGAAACAGCAAACGACCGCCGGCCGAAATTCGAAGATGGCATTTGGAAGAAGAAGGTGCGAGACAAAATTTCTAATCGTTGATCGTACGCGTATTCATATATAGCAATCAGGGCTCCCCTTGCTTGCTACATTCCTTCCTCCTCTACACACACTTTATCCCACTCACCTCTCTACCACCTTCACACATCACAATGTCTACCGAGCAGATCCCCGAGAAGTTCTCTGGCTGGTTGGGCCACGAGCCTGAGGCCGCCAAGGGCAAGATGGTCTGGGGCGAGTTCGAGCCCAAGGTGAGTCTGATCAATCCTCCAATGCCTGTAGACATTCACTAACGAAACATGACAGACCTTCGAGGAGACCGACGTCGACATCAAGATCTCCCACTGCGGTATCTGCGGTTCCGACATCCACATGCTCAGCTCCGGCTGGGGCCCTACTCCCTACCCCTGCTGCGTCGGCCACGAGATTGTCGGCAAGGCTGTCCGTGTTGGCAAGGAGGTCAAGAACATCAAGGTCGGCGACCGCGTCGGTGTCGGTGCCCAGGCTCAGTCCTGCCTTGAGTGTGTTGACTGCAAGAACGGCAACATGACCTACTGCAAGAAGGCCGTCAACACCTACGGCTCCATCTACCCCAACCAGAAGGACAAGTCATACGGTGGTTACTCCAACTACAACCGTACCCACGGTGCCTTCGTCGTCAAGATCCCCGAGAAGATCGAGTCTGCAGACGCTGCTCCCATGCTCTGCGGTGGTGTCACCGTCTACTCTCCCCTCGTCCGCAACGGCTGTGGTCCCGGCAAGACTGTCGGTATCGTCGGTGTTGGTGGTCTTGGTCACTTCGGTGTCCTCTTCGCCAAGGCTCTCGGTGCTGACCGCGTTGTTGGTATCTCCCGCAAGAACGACAAGCGTGACGACGTCCTCAAGCTCGGTGCCGACAAGTACATCGCCACTGGTGAGGACAAGGACTGGGCCGCTGAGAACGCCCGTACTCTTGACTTGATCATCTGCACCGTCTCATCCGAGAAGATGCCCATGACTGAGTACCTCTCCCTCCTCAAGGTCGGCGGTACCTTCATCCAGGTCGGTGCTCCCGACGGTGGCAACCTCCCTCCTATCAACGCCTTCACCCTCATTGCCAACGGCATCAAGGTTGGTGGCTCTCTCATCGGTACTCCTCAGGAGATCGAGGAGATGCTTCAGCTCGCCGCCGACAAGGGTATCAAGCCTTGGATCGAGGTTCGTCCCATGAAGGAGGCTAACCAGGCCATCATCGACTTCGAGAAGGGTCTTCCCCGCTACAGATTCGTCCTGGAGAACTAAGCGTCTTCTAACGAGGACATCTTTTGCTTGGAAGCTTGCTTGTTTTGGAAAAAGGGCATTATGAACAAGCCCCATTTATGAATACCCCCATAGACTTATAGACTGTAGACGCTACGAATTGCATTTGCTCTCAAACAATCTTTTTCAACTTGATCAGATTTCTGGAAGCGGGTTGCTATCATTGACGCGCAAAGAAGTCGCGCAGACTTGGGAAGAACAAAGATTCGCTGTTGTGAAGCCCGATGGGTTCTCGCTCTGTGTCATACCACTATGCCTACTGACTGAAGGCACAGTCGAGTCCATACTCTATGAGTGACCAAAGAAGCACATGAAGCGCGTGCCAAATATGCTTGTACCCATGAAACACATTCTATCGTGTAACAATTGCGAGATCACCCAAGGAGCAGGGTTCCCCAATTTGCAGAGACGCGGACATAAGATAACGATAAGAGATAAACTCCACCATGATTGCCACCAGGCAGACGCGCCGAAACATTTCTCCCTCACTCGGAGAAGGAACTCGTCCTGTGCAACACTCTTTCACTCGTAGTCGGCAGCAGGCTGCTTTGATCCCAACTCAACTTTTTCGCCTTCCAACTTTCTCTTTGTTACTTTCTTCAGGACATATTTCAGCTCCACTCGCCTCACTACACAAAAAGATACACGCAGTACTTCACTTTAGATATACATCAAGATGACTGGTAGACGCAATGGAAACCGCATCCGTGGACCGTAAGCACCATCCCCTCCTCAAACCACTCACACATAACCTAACAATGGCATCTAGACAATCAGCCTTGACCGACTTCCTTTCCTCACACAACATCTCCGCACAGCAGATTCGCGATGACTACGAACGCCGCGTGCGCGAAGCAGCACAGTCAGAGAATGCCGGAGAAGGTGGTTCCAATGCACCGGCACCACCTAGCGACCCGGACGCCGAAGCTGCCGCCGCTCTAGCAGCAGCAGACGCCGCAGACGCTGCCGCCGAGAAGACCAGGAAGAGAAAGAGAAAGGAGGAGGCAGCCATTGAGAAGATCAAGAAGGCAAAGGGATCCAAGGGTGGAAAGAAGCAGAAGAAGAAGGCACCTGGCAGTGACGACGAGGATGATGATGATTTCGATATCCTCGATGTCATGTATACCAAGGCCGCTCCTCTGCCTGGCCAATTCGAGAACTGCGAGGTGTGCAGCAAGCGATTTACTGTCACCCCATACAGCAAGACTGGTCCGGAAGGAGGTCTTGTCTGCACACCCTGCGGCAAGGAGCTGGCCAAAGACGGAGATGCAGCAGCAGGAAAGAAGACAAGGAAGCCTCCAGCTGGAAGAAAGAGAAGACAGGTTGAGAGCGAGCGCTTGAATGGTATCGCTGTTGGTGGAGCGAAGACACTACAACAGCTCTGCATTGAAAAAGTCGCACAGTACCACGAGGACGTTGATGAGCTTGGAGAGTTGCCCGAGCCTGTCATGTTGCGCCTGGCTGAGATCTTCGCGAAGAAGCGCGTGCTAAACCCCAAGACTGTCAAGCTCTTTGTACGACCGGACTCGGATGCTGTCTGCATTCACGATGCTGCATATCTGGAAGTTGAAGACTACAAAGGAATCTTCGCCGTTGCCCCTGGACTCAAGAAACTCGTCCTTCGCAATGCCTGTCAGCTCAAGGACGAAGTAATCGAGTACATGATGGAGAAGTGTGATTCTATCAACTTCATCCAGTTCTATGCCGGCAACCTGGTGTCGGACGAGATGTGGTGCAGACTCTTCCAGCGATACGGCAAGCAACTCAGAGCAGTCAAGCTGTCCTGGTTGGATGCCGCGTTCACCGATGATACCGTACAGGAGCTTGTCAAGAGCTGCCCGGATCTGATTCGTTTGAAGCTCAAGCTTTGTCGCAAGCTTACGGAAGAGTCCATCGTTGCTCTTGCTGGACTGACCAATCTTGAGCGCCTGTCGTTACAGACTGGCGTTCAGCCGTCATGCGAAGCTGTTGTCAATCTCGTCAAGTCTGTTGGCACCAACCTGCGCACACTGTCCTTCGAGGACTTCCTCGACATTGACGATACTGTTCTCGCGCAGATCAAGGAATCCTGCTCCAAGCTTGAGAAGTTTCGCCTGTCAATGAACGATGTCGCAACAGATGCTGCTTACGCCAATCTCTTCACCAACTGGAAGAATCCTCCCCTCACCTTCGTCGACCTTAGCGGAACTCGCGATGTCGACAACAATAATCCCAAAGGTCCTGAAGAAGCTATCGGTCTCGCCTCTGCTGGCTTCAAAGCTTTGATGGAACACTCAGGCTCAGCAATCCGCACACTCGACATTGCCTCTTGTCGTCACATCAGTCTGGAAGCCTTCCTCGATGTCTTTGGCAGCGGCAAGACATACCCTAACCTCGAATCCATCAACTTCAGCTTTTGTAGTAGCATGGACACCTCAGTGGTCGCTAGTGTCTTCCGCAGCTGTCCATCTATCAATAAGGTCATCGCTTTCGGCTGCTTCGATGTCACTGACGTTGTTGTACCCAGAGGTATCGCCTTAATTGGCGTTCCTAAGGCCCAGGATGCTATCGAGCAGATTGGTACGGGTATCGATGTTGCTGAAGCCCTTGGTCGCATGGTCGACGTTGGCGCTTGAGAAAGTGACGAGCAATTGATTCTACTGCTTCTCCTGGCATCAAACTTTTTTTCTCTTTCTTTACATTTCGGCATTAGCAAGGAGTTCTCATGGCGTTCTTTTTTTTCCACATTGCGCGAAGCTGCTTAGAAAGGCGGCGGCCTTTTTCCATCACAAAAGATCGCAAATAGCGATCAGAGATGAGCTTTTTCTCTACACAAAAGTAATACAGTATTTTTTTCGGCCTGCACACAAGGCCTTTTGATCACCATCATTTTGTATTCCTTCTTTCCTCTTGTCTTACATCTCTATCTATTTGCAGCCGTGACAGCCGTGATGAACATTTTGATAATCAATTAGGCATTTTGGTGCTGGACCTGAATTTCCGGGATAGCCGAAGCTTTGCGTGTTTATTTCTGGATTTTGCAGCACGTTTTCCATCAGGGCAGGGCATCCATGAACAGCCGCAGCATTGCAGGAAAGTGCTGTTCTCGCAGCTTCTACCACATTAGGACTGGGTTTGTGTTCTTTCGTGGTCTTTGACGGGTTCGGAAAATAGGCAGGAAGAACATGTTCGAGAAAGATCGACAAATATCGCGCTACGTCACCGAACCTTGTTCCTGGTGCTGAGTGCTGCGCCGATCAGGGTCGGCTTAAACTTCCTGCCAAAGCCTCAACTGTCTTTCAACGACATGAAGATGGAACCGCCTTGCATCGATCTCTCCTCTGTCTTCGGTGACGAGATATCAGGAGCGACGGAAGGATGTGATTGATGCCGCGCTCGCGATTATTCGATATCAGCCGATGTTTGCAGCTAGAGTGGTAGGATGATCAATCTCCTGATGTCTTTGACTTCCCTATCTAGCTATCTATTTTTTTCGGATGGGGCGGCTCCGTTATATACGCGTCCGAACACGAATAGAATTAGAGGAGGCCCCAACCTGTCGGCGGCGACATTGGATTCGTCATACCCTAATCCTTCCTATCAAATGAGTATAGCATTACGCTTTTTCTGTTTTCTTCCATTGCTTCTTTTCCCATGAATGATACTTTTGGCGTGTATTTCCAGTACGACATTTGAAAACAGAACTCTCTTTTTGAATCTCGATACAGGGTGTTTGTTTGGTGTGAATGAATACACTCTAAGCAGTTGTCATGGACCGGCCATCTGTTGATCGTGGCCGTCGTCTACGCTCTGGTGTAAGTCATGTCGGCTCTAACTCTTCATACATATAGCTAATGTTGAACAAGTCCTCCGTTCAACAACAAGAAAACCTTGACGTCCAATCTCCAGGCCCAGATAACAACAACAATGAGGAGCCACCACCTAACCCAGTCGTCAACAGAGCCCGAACATGGAACCTAGCAGACTCATCGCCAAGCGCTGGTATTCGCCGTAGAGGCACAACAACAAGTTTCCGCCCACGAAACAGATCTCTAGCTCGTAGAGCTTCAGGAACTAGCTTTGGAAATGAGGAACCGTTCAGTCTTGCCGGACCTCAGGATATCGTCGCCGTGGCCCATCAACATACTCCATATGTGGATCCCGGATATGCACAATTGAACCCGGCTTATGCTCAGCCTATGCATGCTAGGCCGGTATGGTCGTTGGCGAAACCCTTGCCTAGAGTCGTGAGGCCGGGTATGGTGCCTACTGCGAGTGAGCTGGACAGTGTCAACAACCAACCAGGAGATACACAGATCACAGAGGGTGATGTGGAGCAAGGACCAGAACCGACTCTACGTCTCGACCGTGTGTCTTCAAAACTACAAGCCGTGCGTGCAGAACGAGAGAGACGTTTTGTGGAAGGCAGAAGTGGATCAAAGAGGACGACAAGGACAAGAGCAGATTCTCAATCTTCAGTACACTCGCAGAATCAACAACAACTGCGACGGGAGAACAGTGCCCAACAAGGATCTACTGTTGATGTTCTCCCAGATGTGGTCGAAGAACTTGAACCCACCGATCACGAACAATTCCCTGCTTATGAGGAGAACTTCGACCCTACAACAACCTATAGACCAACCTACGAATTCGACGACAGTTTCTCAGCAAAGACCGCGCTGGACGACATACCCGAAGATGACGACCTGACTTTGAACAACGACAATCTAGAAGACGAAGTCTACAACGCACACACCCATTGGTCCGTCCTCCGCCACCGCTTCCGTCAAGAACTCGCAGAATTCCTCGCCGTGGTCGTTCAATTGACTCTAGGCTTTTGCTCAGACCTCGCCATCACTGTCGGCGGTGCCCCAGCAAACAATGCAATCTTTGCATCTCTGGCTTGGGGTTTCGCCACCATGACTGGAATTTACATCGCCGGAGGACCTTCTGGAGCGCATTTGAATCCTGTGGTTACGATAATTCTATACATCTTCCGCGGTTTTCCTAAACGTCAAATGGGTGGCTACTTTCTGGCACAGATACTCGGTGCTTTTGTCGCTGGATTTATCAGTTATGGCGTGTACAAGACACAGATTGATGCGTACATTGCTGCTCCTTCTGCTGGAACAACCACTACAGAAACTACTCAGAACATCTTGAACGCATTTGTTACGAACCTCAGGAGCAGCAATGTCACCCTCGCAACTGGCTATTTCAACGAATTCGTCGCGACAGCCGGATTAGCCATTACCGTTCTCGCACTGGGTGATGACACAAACACACCCCCCGGCGCTGGTATGACTGCCTTAATTCTTGGATTCGTCATCACTGTGCTTCTCCAAGCCTTTGGTACAAACACTGGTGCTGCTCTAAACCCTACTCGTGATTTAGGCCCACGTTTAGCTCTCTGGTGTGTAGGTTTCACACGAGATCAGTTATTTGCAGGGACGTGGTGGCTATATGGACCGTTCTTGGCTTGTATACCTGGTGGAATTGTAGGGGCGGCATTGTATGATATCTGTATCTTCACCGGTGGAGAGTCACCGGTCAATTATCCTAGGAAGAGAATTTGGAGAGCTGGACATAAGGCGAAGAAGAAGTGGAGTAGGAGACTTAGACCTTGGAAAAAGGGCAAGGGGAAGAAAGTGGAAGAGCAGAAGACTTGATGGTGCAAAACAATAGAATATAGCCTTCTCCGCGCAATAGAGTGCAGTTGATTCGAAAGAAGAAGCCTTGCGTAGTACCGTACTCGAGGAGCGAGAAACTATTATTACGAATCTCCCATAAATGTTGAAGCAAAGAGATAAAGGCCGCGGGGTACATTTATATAGTACGACGGTGTGGAAGCAAGGACAAGTAAGTAATGCGGGGTCGTAACAGGATTACATGTGAGAGATTTACGCTGGTAGGGAGACCGAGACAGAGTATGTGTGGCGGACGATCGAGTAGTATGATCTTTTGTCTCAGAGGCAGCTGGCTACCGCATGTTGAGCATCTCGAGAAGTCGGTCTTATGGCGCTGTATATCTTGCTCCTCAAGATGGGCATCTATCAGGGCTGGCAGGGTTATGGTTGAAGATATAGTGTTGATGGTTTCGATCGAGTTTACGTCAATATCCTGTGGTGTCTGGTGGTATATCGCCTCGCCGCAGGCGCAGAGCTTCTTCTTGGTTGTGTTGAACGATACGCTCGGCGTGCCACGAACGCCGAATTGGCAGAAATCGATGGGCTTGGCCATGGAGCCTGCCTTGATTCGCGATTGAGCAGCGATACTATCAAGAACCGGTTGGCGATATCTGTCGACGTATGCCGTTAATTCAGATGCGCTCCAGTCTGTGCGGAGTAAGTCAAGCGTGTGAGAGGCACAAGCAGTCGTATCGACAGGGTGGGTAGCATCGCATGGTCGTTGACGGTCGAGAGTGGATTGGTGAAATGATTAAGAGGACTGCCCGACATGCTTTCGAGGTCAGAAACGTAGAGCTGGACTCAGTCGCACCAGATGACACTCCAAGTGTAACTAGCCTCTCCGTCAATATATCAAGCAATATAAAGACCACTTACTACGGCAGCTTTCACCTCTACTCCCACACCAAGGAGTGTAAGGTTTCGATAGGGTACTAGAACCATTTTTTCATGATCAAGACCTCATCATTGGGGGCAGATCTTTTACTTGACTTCGTCTGCCGCTGAAGGTAAACCCAAAGTCTTCTTGCCTTCTCATTTTTGCCTTTTGATAGCCAAATGACACACCCGCTAGGAAAAGGAGAGGTCAGCCAAGGGTTCACGCTCCAGACGCGGCTGACATGTCTGGTATCGTATGCTGGAAAGCCGTCTCTGATTGAGTAGCAAGCCACAGGTTCTCATCGTAGATTCGTGATACCCTTTGAGCTGCGCGATCGTGATGATTCAATGACAAGTTCAAAGACAACAAAAACCCTGAAGCCGAGAGAAAAGCAAGAGTTTTAGCGATATGCTCAAATCATGACCAGTCCAGCTCGCCAGAACGAGGCAGTGCAGTTTTTCAATGGCTTAGATCAGGGAGGGGGTATCCGAAAGCTTGGCCAATACATGCAGCCTGCAGGTCTCTTTCGCGATGGTGAGATACGAAACGGTGAGAGTGTTCCGCACACGACATCCTTTATCCGGAGGATCCGCCGTTTCGATACATGTTGGTTATTCATCAACGACAAGACAGGGCACTTAGTTCGGCTTGCTCGTGGCTGCAGATGCTGAGAAATCATATTTGAAAGACTTGGTATCCGAGAAAAAAGCATGCCTGTCTTCGAAACATGAATTTCCATCCATCCGGGACTTGGTAAAATCCCATCCGCCGATTCCGCAATGGCGAGTTCGACAGAAAAGGTAGTAGGTGGTCATTCGGACTTGACGTTGGAAAGATGGCTGAATTGCAAGAGGTTGTTGGATGACCGTTACCTCGATGATCCAGACTGTCTTGAAATCCGACATTTTTCCGTCGCAGGCTTCGTTGTCGCTTCGACACCGATTCGTAGCTTGCTACGGTGTAACATCGGTAAAAAGTCGACAGACAGTCTGGGTCTCCGAGGTAAGATGACCGTTCCTGACACGATACTGAACCCCGCGTTCGCGTTGAGTGTGGGGGGCCGATTCCAACGAGTGTCTTTGGCTACCAGATTTCTTCCAGTAGACGTCGCGGTTTCCTCTAAGATTAGCCGAAGATGACAGATTGACGATCAATGTTTATCGCGATTACTTTGCAGAAGGAGTGCATCCCGATTGTGGTCAAATGCATCACGAACCGAGGCTCCTACAGCCTGCTGCAGTCCTTAGCGACTTGGCAGCACCGGACACGCCGAAGGTTATCGCAAGGTTCGTTCTTTCCCCTTCTCCACACTTTCCTTTCACTTCATCTCTTCCATTAGCACATACCAAAGACGTTCGCCCATTTGTCAGCTGCAAGATGAAGCGGAAAGTAAGCATCTCTGCCTGTTGGTGGCTCGCAGCCTCCTGCTGGGCAGGGTGATCAAAGGTACATCGCGTAAACGCTGTCAAGGCGGAAAAATCAATCCAGGTCGACTTCCAAGATCCAGCCTCAGCCACTACCTCCTTGGCACAGCGGCTCCCCTTGGTGCGACATTACAAAGTTCGAGACTCTTGAGACTCTAAGTATCGAATCACGCACGTGGAGCGCGCATGCCGCCTGCAGTATCAAACTCTCTCGTCTTTTCGCCTGCTCTGCCGTTGGGTGGAATCAAAACATACAGCTTCCAAGACTGGTGGCTTTGCTTGGCCTTTCATCCGACGGTGCAGAATGCCTCGATAGACTCGAATTGGATGCTGGGCACCGCTGGCAAGGTTCCAATACGACCAACGGCATCAGACTTGATTTGACTTCTCCAGACTGGGGTACGGTCTGGGGTCTGGGGTACGGTCTGGGGTCTGGGGTACCGATAGACAGGCAGTGGCATATAAGATGGCTCCGGCCGTATCACTCTGCATGGTAGATCTCATCTCTCATTGACAGCGCTGATCAAGAACGTTCGCGTTTCTTACACACTATCGCTCATCCTATCGGCATCTTTTATCAACACCTTTTCTTTCGTTCACACTACACTTCTCACCATGACGATCATGGCAGAGACAAAGCACACCCCTGCGGTCGATGAGAAGGGCACTGTCGAGCTCTACGAGACTGTTTCGACCTCTTCAGACTCGCAAGAACATCAATTCGACGACAAGGCAACTGCTCGGTTGATCCGAAAGATTGACTTGCGTCTGCTTCCTTTCCTGGCTCTGCTCTACCTGTTGAGTTTCCTCGACCGTACCAACATCGGAAATGCCCGCCTTGCTGGTCTCGAGAAGAGTCTTCACATGGAGGGTTTGGACTACAACGTGAGTACATTGTAAGGATTTATCATAATCAAGAACTAATAAACATCGACAGATTGCATTGGCCATCTTCTTCCCCTTCTACGTCTTGGCTGAGATCCCTTCCAACATGATGATGAAGCGCACTCGTCCCGCACTCTGGATTCCCTTCATCATGGTTCTCTGGGGTATAACCACTACCCTCCTCGGTGTCGTGAAGAACTACCACGGTCTCCTTGCTGCTCGTGCTGCCCTCGGTCTCGCTGAGGGTGGTCTCTTCCCTGGTGTCACCTTCTACATCACCATGTGGTACAGACGCCACGAATGTGGTCTGCGTCTCGCCATATTCTTCTCCGCTGCTACTGCTGCCGGTGCCTTCGGAGGTCTTCTCGCTCGTGGCATTGTTGAGATGGACAAGCTCGGAGGTCTTCCTGGCTGGAGCTGGATCTTCATCCTTGAGGGTCTCCTTACTTTCATCGTTGCTATTGTCGCTTTCTTCTACATGAACGACTACCCTCAGACCGCCAAGTTCCTCAACACGGAAGAAAAGAAGGAAATCTCCCGCCGCCTCGAAGAGGACCGCAGCTCACTTGCCGATGAGTATGGCAACAAGTACTTCAAACACGCTATGGCCGACTGGAAGATCTGGGTGCACATGTTCATCACCATCGGCATTTACACCCCTCTCTACAGTTTCTCCCTTTTCCTGCCCACCATCGTTAAGACTCTCGGCTATAGCAACGAGAAGGCCCAGCTCATGAGTGTCCCTCCTTACATCGTTGCCTGCTTCTGCTGCATCACTGGTGGATACTTCGCCGACCGTTTCCGCACTCGCGGTGTCTTCATGATCGGTTTCACCCTCACTGCCATCCTTGGTGTTGTTCTGCAAGTCGCTTCCACCAACCCCCACGTCAAGTACGCTGGTGTCTTCCTCTTCGCTTGCGGTATCTACCCCAACGTTCCTCAAGGTGTTGCCTGGAACGGTAACAATATTGGTGGCTCCACCAAGCGTGGTGTCGGTATTGCTATGCACGTCGGTTTCGGTAACCTCGGTGGTATCCTCGCTTCTTTCGTCTACCTCAAGAAGGATGCACCAAAGTTCCACAACGGCCACTTCATTCTCATTGGCATGTTGAGCATGAGTCTGATCCTCCAGATCTTCATGACCGTCTACCTCCGTCGCGAGAACGCTCGCAGAGATGCAGAGTACAAGCGTCCCGAGGACTACACTACTGAGGAGAAGACCTTGGAGCGCGAGCGTGGTGACAACGCCACTTTCTTCCGCTACACTGTTTAAGATACCCACAGGGACTAGGAGTTGGGCTTGGGATACGGATATGAATATGGTTACCGGCACGAATATGTATGACTCTCTTTTTGATATGTAGACTTCTCATCTCCCAATAGAGATCCATCTGCAATGAAACACTTCAAAACAACGTCTCTTCTTCCGTTCCACCTTTATCAAACCATCTCAACCTTATATATCAAATTCTATCCTTTCCTCCTCATCCTGATTTCTAACTCTACTCTTGAATGTGTTGTTCATAGATAGAGACAAGTAGACTACTCCATCAGCACACATGACGGAGACGGACAGTTAACTAGATTTCCTTCGAAATCATAGACTTCAAGTTTTTTTGGGGGGTTTTGATTTGGCCATCGTAAGGCAAGTGAAGCAAGGGATGTCGTTTTCTCCTTCCAAAAATCTTTAAAACTCAATTCTTCACCCTTTGCTCTGTTTATTCTCTTACAGTATGGCTTTCACTTTGGTATGGAAGTGAATGTTGCTAGCAATCTTTTTTTATCTCGCTTAGTCGTTGATGCTGCTCTTTCCCCCTCTCGCCGGGTATAAAAAGAGCTCCTTCCAACAAGATATTGCTTCTTACACAACTGCTACACTAACCTGTCAGATCCGCCAGATTGAAGAGGAGTTACTGCTTGCAGTAGTACCTACTCATTAAACCCTTTGCCCCGACGTAGCCGGCAAAGACGACACTCACGTCTGTGTATCGTCTATATAATCTTGTCTCATACGGTCGCCGACGAAGGAGAGATTAGCATACTTTGCATGCCATTAAGTATAGAAATAACCATGTCGCTGTTGGCCGGGAGAGATAAGTGGTCATAAGTGCGGTTGTCTTCTCGATGTTAGCCCGTGATAAGAAAGGGGGAACCAGGACATCCCTTGCATGCACCATACTAACCGGAGTAGGGTCGACATTAAGGGAAGCAAATCGAGACCTCTCGTTCGACACAGTAAGGAGAGAAAGAAGAAAACGGAGAGCATGCAGCGTGGGCCTAGTACGAGTTCAAGGAGAAGATAGATTAGCCATAAATGGTGCTCGACAGAAACCCGGGATCTGGAACTTGACGGAGCCCGGGAAGAATATCGGACCTTTACTCTCGTATCTCTACCTGATAGAAATGTAGTAAAGTTGCGTCAATGCACGATACTTACAAAGTACGACATGTCGTCTGCTCGCTATACCTTCTCAAAGTGCTTGCCGCTCATTCTTGAAACACTGCAGATCTTCAGATATCCCCGCATCTGTACCCCTCCGGTGTGAAGGCCGATGTGGGTTCAGATTGTGGGGTGGTATGGTATACTTCCTCCCTGTGTGCTAAACTTTGTCACATCAACTTTCATGCCGCAGCGATACGCACTGATCCACCCACCGAATTGCAAGAAGGTATTGAGAAAAAGCATGCCGTCCACGGAGAGCGATGCTCGGAGGCCTTTTCTTTAGACCTAGCTCTATATTCAAGAATGATCGTGCATTTTTACAGCAGTGTCGGTGACAAACTTTAGCACGCTGAGAGGCCATGGATCTCTGAAGTACCCCATGCAGCTCCTCCATAGCATGTCGATCATGACAGGTCAAGGGAAACAAAAACATCCTGTGACCGCTGCATTTCTTCTGAACTTCTCACCAAGCATACCAAGCAGTCCAAGAAAAGCCTTGAATTATTGACCGCTTTCAATCATGGGCAAAGAAGTTCAGGCCATGCTCTCCTCGCCAGGAAGCTCAGCGAAAGAAGACATCATGCACATCGAAGACAAAAACATGACCAAGGACGAGAGAATCGCCGCCATCGACGCCATTGCTGAGGACCCCTCTGTCACGCTGGAGAGCTTTGCACATCTGGATATCAACAAGATCTTGCGAAAGATTGATATGCGATTGGTACCCATGTTAACTATCTTGGTAAGCAATCATATCTGCTGAGGCGGAACGAGCAATAGACCTTACTGACGAACGATACAGTATCTCTTGAGTTTTCTAGACCGCGGAAACATCGGAAACGCAAAGATTGAAGGATTGGCCGAGGATCTAAAACTCACCGGTGCAGAATATAATTGGTGCCTGACAGGTAAAATATGAACACCTTCCGCCTTTTGAGATGCAGACGTTGACAGCAACAGCTTTCTTCTTTACATATTGTGCTTTCGAGGTACCGAGTAACATGTTGTTGAAGAAACTTAGACCTTCAATCTGGTTGCCGTCGATTATGGTGGCATGGGGTATTGTCGTGAGTCTATCTCGTTTATGGAGAAGTTTGATGAGACTTGCTAACGAGACGCAGATGACCTTGATGGGTTTAGTAAAGGATTTCCACGGTTTGCTCATCGCAAGAATCTTCTTGGGCGTGACTGAAGCAGGACTGTTCCCTGGAGTCGTTTTTTGTGAGTTGATAACCTGGTCTTGAATTACTATTATACTAACGGTCGTTTCTATCCAGATAACACCATGTGGTATTGTCGTTACGAGGTCCAGGTCCGACAGGCGTACTTCTTTAGCGCGGCAAGTGTAGCAGGAGCTTTCTCCGGACTGTTAGCTTATGGCATCTCGTACATGGAAGGCGTGGGAGGACTGGCAGGATGGCGATGGTAAGAGCCTCCAATCATCTCCTGTCTTTCGCTGACCGTCCAACAGGATCTTCATCCTCGAAGGCTTGCTCACTTTCCTCGTTGCAATCGTCGCTTACTTTGTTCTTGTCGATTACCCCGAGACGGCCTCGTTCTTAACTGTCGAGGAGCGTGCCTTCATCACATATCGTCTAAAGTATGATGGACAAGATGCCAACACCGAACACGGATATCGCGTCGCTCAAACAGATCGCTCTGACAAGAAGTTCTTGTTCGCTGCTTTCCGTGACTGGCAAATCTGGGTCAACATCGTCGTATATTGGGGTTATGTCTGTCCACTGTACGGTATCTCGCTGTTCTTGCCTACGATCATCAAAGAGCTTGGGTACAAGACGACGACAGCACAGCTGCTGACTGTCCCAATATACGTCGTTGCTTCTGCTATTACGATTGCTGTAGCATACGCGGCTGATCGTAAGCGACTTCGCTCGCCATGGATCCTTGTCGGCTTGTGCTTCCAGGCTATCGGCTTCATTATGTGCATATCGACTAGCCATCCCGGCGTCACGTATGCAGGTATTTTTATTGCTGCTTGCGCGTTGTATCAATGTCAGCCAAGCAACATCACCTGGCTGAGCAACAACTTGTCTGGAAGTTACAAAAGGGCTGTCGGAATGGGTATCCAGATCAGCGTTGGCAATTTGGCTGGTGGTATGTCCTCTCTTCATCTATGTCTCTTGTCTAGCCCCGCTAACACGCTTGATAGCGATGGCATCAAACTTCTATCGTAGCACCGACGCTCCAAGATACATCCTTGGCCACGGTCTTGAGATTGGCTTCATTTGTATGGGTATTGTGGCTCTTCTGATTCAAGTCTTCAACTATCGGCGCATCAACAAGCAAAGAGAGGCTTCATTAACAGCCGGCGAAGCCGAGAATTTTACTCCTGAGGCACTTGGAGATCTGGGTGATAAAGCTGTGACGTACCGGTACACGCTCTGAAGGAATTGTTGGCCGATTGCCACAAGACCGGCTACCTGGTTGGTTTCTTCAAGCTGTGACTGGTTAGATATTTCCGCGGGAGAGAAATCAGAACAGAACAGAGCTATAAGGCTGTCATACCTTTCGTGTCAGGTCCGACTTCTCCGTATGCCAGAGTCAGCTCCTCAAAAAGCAGTTACATGCGTGGTGAATTCTTGCAGACCTTCACGATCTTGTAGGCGGGTCTTCGGCTCGTTCCCCAGCTCCATCCCCAGATTTTCATGGCGAGTTAATCGAAAACAACTGCACCGCCAAGTGGTTAGTGTTTTGGCAGGCGGCTATCGACGATGCTGACCAAGACGAGCCCGCGATCATCACGTTGATGGAGATTCTGAGCATCTGTAGAACAGGTGCGCAGATCGAACCGGAGATCTACCTCTGTCAGAGAATCGCAGCTTTGCCGAAGTGGCAAGGACTGCAGAACCAGTGCCCTAGTATGGACATACTGGTGGATCAACGTGGATGTAGAGGCATGGAAATCGCACCGAAACCGAGCTCTTGGCCTGGCAAAGCGCTTTTCTGAACAGACTTCAACAGGCACAATGTGTTTGTTCCGAACATATCTGTCCAGAGAGATCACGATCAACGGTCGCTCTCAATGGACATGTAGCGGACCTTCAAAGCATCTTGCTTTTGTACAGTATGGCCAAGAGCAAAGTGATGGCTGAGCTGGAACCTGCAGACACCTCGCGCAAGTCCACATCTGCGTTCCATCGTGCCATTAGCGTCAGATTGATCCTGTCTTCTTTTGCATCAATGTTGTGCACCATGGTACGGCGCAGACGAGATCGACTTTGCTCGGATCGTAGCTCGGACCGTGGATGAGCGCGACTTGACAACAGGCTGTATTACACCGCCGTTGACTCGTGCTGTATAGAAGCAAGGTGGACAGATCCATAGGAGGGAATCGATGCTGAACCGTCTGCCTTTGTTGCAGTCCGCCTTTTGAGAACACGTAAATACAGCCTTCGACAGGGCAGCTGATATCGTCTGGACTGATGGCGTCGTGCTTTGCTTTAATAAGATCTTCGAGCTCTTGCTGCTCTTCCTCTGGCTTGTCGTTTATGTTTCGGGAGGCTTCTCGGTGCTTGAGATGTACCTCAAGAGATTGCAAGATGCCTTCGACGTTGTTGATGGCTAATGCCATATTACCGGGAAGATGTTCGTGGTTGACTCTGGAGATACCACAGGCGGTCTTTCTACGTTGTTGACCCACATGCGATTTTCACTTGCCCTTGATCTGCTGGAGTGAAAAAGATCCAGAAACAGACAGCGAGGTCAGCACGAGTGTCAAGCGGCTTAGGCTGTCGATTGCTGTCTAAATTCCAGAATCTCCTTGTTCTGGCCCTTTCGCGTCCAGTTCTTTGGATGTATTCCACAAATCCGCACACAGGGAACAGACCGAGGCATTCCGAATGATGGACTTGAGCTTTGCCAACGGGAAACGTTGACAACAGCATCAGCATCGACGCTTCGTCCTGCTATCATTCAATGGCATGACAGCAAAGTCAGACCTGCACCATGATAGAAGTCGAGGGAATGCTGCCAGAATCTCGAAGGATTCATGAAAAAATTTCGATGCTTCTTTGCTGCTCTTTCACCGCTTCAAGCAAGACCGGAATGCATCTCCACGGTCAAAGAAGCTCTGGCCAAGGCATGTACGTCATATTCGATGGTTTCACCCCGCTCATGGCAGCTCCAACCAATGATTTGTTGTTGCGATTTGGAATTGCATCCCACATCGTTCGCGACAACAAGCGCCAGGCTCGCAGACAAGGAAGTCATATCGCGGTGAAGAAGTGTGATGAGCCAAATGAAGCTTAGAGGCCATGTCGCAAGCTCATGAAACAGGCAAGCTGAAGCGCGGGCTCGCAGGATAGGCTGATAAGCAGAGGAGTTGAGCAAGAAGAGGAGCAAAGGCAAAAGGCCGAACGAACTCCAGAACACCTAGCATTTCTAGCTCTGATGTCAATCCTCAAGACTCAAATACCTTTTCGAGCGTTCGGCTATAAGTGACCGCTTCGCCCTTTCCCTTCTTCCCCTCCTTACACCACTCCATCTTCAACACCAGACCTATCCTCACATCTCACCCACCACACATAGCAATCATGTCTACCTACAACGGAGCCTGCCACTGCGGAGCCACCGAGTGGACCGCCTCCCTCGACAAGGACACCAGCAGCCACATCCTGTGTCACTGCAACACCTGCAAGATCCTGTCCGGTGGCGCCTACACTCTCAACCAGATCGTCCCCAAGGACAGCCTGAAGATCACCAAGGGTGGTGACAACCTCAAGAACTACACCTACAAGGGTGACTCTGGCAACCCCGTTCACTGCTACTACTGCCCCGAATGCACTGTAAGTTCTGCCTGTCACATCGCAATGCTTTACAAACCATCGCGCTTCAACTCCACTGAAGTGATCGCTGACAACTTGGTTTACAGACTCACGTCTACCACCACCAGACCGCTCTCGGCGACGACAAGATTGTCCTCCGCACAGGTCTTCTCTCTGAGGGTCGCAAGAACTTCGGCCCCGCCGCCGAGATCTACGGCAAGGACCGCTTCTCGTGGGAGAAGGAGGTTGCCAACACCTTCGAGGTCCTTCCTCCTCAGTAAACTCTTTGCATGAAATAATCTTGGAACTCTTTGGTATTGGAAGCATCAGACAGACAGACTCTGCGAAGAGCTATGAAAATATGAATCACTATTGAACAATCCTCCATACATGCCCAACCTCGTGTCGGTCCAACCCTGCAAAATGGCTTGTGAAGCTGCACGATGCCTTCCACCTTCTACCTATCCAACCATCCGCACGGCTGGCTCACGAACGCACGTTGACTGTGGGTAGCCTTCTTTCCAGTACTATGCCGCTGAAACGGCTGCATCCTCGTACGCATAACCGCTCAGCGAAGCAAGAACCAGCATCTCGACATTGAAGATCTTTTGACCTTCTAACCTCGTTCAGAGACAAACCTAAGCATGCGCGCAGCAGGCTCCGAACTTTCTATCTTACTTTCCAACTGCAGATTCCTCATCGGCTTGTATTCTTGCTTGCTCCCGTGCCCAATCCTGCTTTATACCTCTCGACTACTGAGCGGCTGCGCGAGAGGTGGCATGTCGACAACCCTATTCTCGAAGTCGTTGCCTGTGTACAACCTCAAACAGCGGAAATTGAGATGGATGGTCGGGGCCAGAAGTAGAGACTGTGTGACTCGTAGGAGACCTTCGATGGTGAACGTGCTTGGTTGCATTGATGAGGCCAGCCTTCTGAATGAGGATTCAAACGCGACTTGTCATTTCCAGATCAATACACTCCTCGGAATGCTCTCACTGGAACGCATCATCAGTGTCAAGAATATCTTGCATTTTGACGGCCATGGACTTAGAACGCGTCTGTTGATGAAATCGATTCGGCTTTCGATTCAATCCTCATCTGACGTACCCAAGAAACATTCCCATCAACATTGCAAGACACGTAGTGCAGTCGCTCTTCTTGAGTTCTCAAAAGGTGAAGTCTCGCTTCTTGGCCCACAATATGACATTGTTGAGCTTCTCTAGGCCGGGTTTCTCGTCAGGAGACTGACCACATATCCATGATATGGCGTATGTTTAAAGCGGTGGATGGCTTTAGAGGCGGCACAAGGGCGATGCTTGCTGGACATAAGAGCGGACTTAGACGCGCAATCGTGAAAGCCGTGGGGTCCCCCACACGGCAACTCTACACGACAGCTTGGAGCAAGGACACAGAAAAGCACAGCTTCAAGCCTGGGAAACAGAAAGAAAACATGCCAGACAAAGTCGTTAGGCAACCGAATAACGAGAATTGTACATCGTTCATCGTTTAGACCGTATGTCGAGCGTATTCGGAACTGCGGGAGCCGAATCACCTCATGATGGCCGCCGCGGGGGCGGGACGTGAACGTAAAGTCTCGTCATCGCTTGGCCACATTACGCTGACATTCGAGGTTGCTATTTAGGCAGCCAGACCTCTGCCATTTGGTAGGTTTGATCTATCCATTCTATCAGCAAAAATGAGGTTCTCACACATTCTACCTTTGGCTGCCTTGAGCGCCGCATTTGTCGTACCAAACGAGCAGGTCTTCAGTGAACTATCGATTGATGATACCACTCACGCCCGTGCAAACCAGGGAGCCTGGTCTGAGCAGGTCCTTTCTGAGCTGAAGCATGACTTTGCTGAGGCTGAGAAGGGCATCAAGGAGGCTTCAAACAATGCTAAGCACGCCCTTGACGAGGCCTTTAGCTCCGTTTCGGATGCCTCGAGCTCAATGACGACCAAGTTCCAGGAGACCGCCTTCGATGCTAAGTCTTGGTTCGAGTCCAACGCCAACAAGGCCTACGAGGATGCATATGAGGCTTTGGACAACCACGGAGATCACCCTCATCACCCTCCTCCCCACCACAAAGACCCTCATCACGGTGGCCCCCACCATGGCCACAAGCCTAACGAGACTGTTTGGCAGCTGCTCAGCTCGTCAAAGTACACTGAGAAGTTCTCGAAGCTCATCTCCGAGTACCCTGACCTCGTCGAGAAGCTCAACTCGACTGACTCTGGCAACTTCACCATCTTCGCACCTGCCGACTCGGCTTTCCCTGACCACGATCCTCACCACAAGCCTAGCAAGGAGATGATCAAGAAGTTCCTCGAGTACCACATCAGTAATGACTTCTACCCTGCTGGCAGAGTCCTCATCACCCACACCATTCCTACTCTCTTCGAGGGCGAGCATTTGCCCGGCAAGGCTCCTCAGAGACTCAGTGTCCACCTTGGTCTCAAGGGTTTGACTATCAACTTCTACTCCAGAGTGGTTGCCATCAACGTCTTCGGTACCAACGGTGTCATCCACGGTGTCGACAGCCTTCTCATTCCTCCCCCAAGAGCTTTCAAGATCATTGACCTTCTTCCCTCTGAGTTCTCTACTTTCGAGTTGGCTCTCGGCAAGACTGGCCTTCTTGACGCCTACAACAGCACCGACCATCCCAGCGGTACCCTGTTCGCCCCTTCCAACTTTGCCTTCCAGAAGCTTGGTCCTAAGATCAACGCTTTCCTCTTCAGCGAGTACGGCAGAAAGTACCTCAAGGCTTTGATCCTCTACCACGTAAGTAACCTCGTCCGCCTCGAGCTTGTCAAAGCGTCATACTAACACTCAATACAGACTGTCCCCGACAACGTCCTGTACAGTGATGCTTTCGTCAAGGCCGAGGGTCATGATGGTATTCCCAAGGGTCACTGGCACGTTGATCTTCCCACTGCTCTCGAGGAGCACTCCTTGTCTATCGACGTTGGAAGATACGGTGGTCTTATTGACATCAAGGTCAACGCCTTCTCCCGCGTTAGCGTACAGGATGGTATTGCTGCCGATGGTGTCATTCAGGTCGTCAGCGATGTCCTCATCCCTCCCAAGAAGCTCAATGGCGCTAAGCTTAGAACTTCCAACTGGTTCGGCTCGGAGAAGGAGCTCAGCCTCGAGGAGTTCAAGGCCAGATTCGAGCCTCACGTCGAGAGAATGATCGACCTTTAAATCAGAGGCGATACTTCTCGATTTATGATATGACCACACGATCCTTTCTATCATCTTTAATTAGTATGTAACATTAGTAATTGCCCTTTGAGGCAACTCGGAACAAAAAGGCTTTGAGCTACTGTACAATCTCAAAAATATTTTGTCAAAACGACTCTGTTTCGAGTACAATGTGACAGTGCGTATCACCTGGCGTATTGTATGTAATCCTGGACTAATATTGAAACTGTTCTATGGGCATTTGTTGTAATTGATTCTCTGCTGATGTGATGGAAGGCGGATTGCTGATTCTGACGCCTGTCAGGCAGAAGCGGACTGAACATCGCCGGTGATAATTTTGCTAGATCACACCACGAATCGACTCACTCAGTGTCAAATCGAGCGATTAATATAGAAAGAAGACACTACAGATGTCAGAACTGGACTTTCGTGTAATAGAGTTGCAAACATGGTCAGAACGAGAGATGAGAAGATTGAAGCAGGGTGGCCCGACCGACAAGCAACGAGCCAATCACGACATTGGATTTGCGGAGAGCGGCGACGGACGTTTGACGATGCAAGTCCAGAATGTCGACGAATTAAGATTTGAGCAACTCACCCACTCTCGCTCTCTCCTCTGTCCGGCCACGCAACCAGGGCAGCTCAGCATCTCGGCTGTCAAGTCAATCGCGCCATGGTTGCAGAATAGACACGACAAAGTCTCCAATCACAATGGTCGCCCACCTCCACCCGCGCTCGCGGTCCACAATGTCGCTCTTCAGCGGCTGCCTCGCCATTTGCTTCGCTGTCGTGGCTGCTCCTCACGTCCTTCCATGTCCCGTCGACAAGACACAGCTCAACGATAGCCCCCCGGCAGGCGGCGAACCGAGACGCCGCAGACGTCGCAAGCAAGCCGCTCCATCACCCGACTCGGATCTCCAAGACGACAACGACATGAGCCAGTTGGACCGCCCGAAGCGCGAATGCCCTGTACCCAAGCCTAGTGGTCTCATTGGCCAGGCCATGGGTTTCAAGCCTCAAGAACAACGACAAAACCCCACTGTCATCATCCAAACGTTACGGGAACGACACGCCAGACAAGACTCCGGGTCCAGCGACAAGTCTGTCTAAGAGAATAGGACGAAGAAGAATCTCTCCACTTCTGTTTCATGTACATACAATTTGCGCACCAATCAGCCGACCACCAACACTCTCTCTGGTCAGGATATATATACCCCCCTTCATTCCGAAACAATGTACATTAGACGCTATCCAAACACAAAAGTTACGAACACCCGCTTCCAGAAAGACCATGCACACCTCCAGGCGACATGTAACTACAACTACCCGTCCCCGTACTCGTCGAGTTTTGCGCCGTCGTCAGCGTGACATTGTCGAAATTGATATTGAAGCACGGATGCACCTTCGAACAACTCACACTTGCCGTCCGATTCTTGGACTCCTTGCCAGACAACCAGCCAGTGAAGTTGGTGAAAGCAATATTGCTTATATCCATCAAGCTGGTACCCGCAAAACTGCCATTGTTGCCCGAGTTTTGATCGATGGTGGGACCTGCATCTGCGCCTTGGACAACAAAGTTCGAGAAGTGGATGTTACGGACGGATCCCCAGCCGCCACCGCGAGGGAGGCCTGCATTTTCGTAGTAGCCGTTTGCGGACGGGTTTTGGGGGACCAGGGCGCCGACCCAGGTTTTTATCAGGACGGAGCCGTGCATATCTTCGTTCCAGCGGATTATCTGGGATAAAGGTTAGTCGTTGCTTGGTAGCGCTGGTAGATTGGAGTGGAGACTTGCCTTTACATCATCCACGATTACGTTCTCGACAGTGTTGTCCTCGAGGTATTGTCCTACGCTACCAATGGCCATGCCGTTGCCTCCTCTGCAGGTTGCATTCTGGACGAAGATGTTGTAAGATCTGGGCTTGATGGCAATGCAATCGTCACCACCTTGGTATACGAAGTTGGTGAGACGGATGTTTTTCGAGTCCATCGTATCTTGCATCAAGTCAGTACAACTGGTCATACATTGTCGATCTTCAAAGCAACTTACCAAATCCATCGGTGTTCTGCACCCAATTCTGACTTGTGTTTGCTTGTGTTGCGGTGGCGTTGCAGTATAACTCGTCAATCCACATGTCTGTGCCATTCATGATGTTGAAACTCCACAGAGGTGGATCCTTGACGAAGAACTTCTTTACTGTCACATCCGAGACGTTCCAGAAGACCATTGGCATGGGTCTGCCGGGTACTGTATGCCCAGCTTCCGCAGTATACCTGTCAACAGACATAAATTTGGTGTATTTGGAGACTCGATAGATGTAGAACTCACCAGGTATCACCATTTCCAAAGATACCTCCTGTTCCATATCCGTTGATGCGGATGTGATCGCCCGTCAAGATGAACGAGGCAGCATGATTCTGGAAAGCGATCGGATAGGTAGAGCTATTCTGTCTCCAGTACTCGATATCCGGAGAAAACTGGTCTTCTGTTAGCACCTTCTCTCATCATCGACTGTTACACTCCATGCTTACAGTCCAAATGCCCCGCCAATCAATATTGACATCGTTTACAACAGGATTCAACTTTGAAGCAATGTAGTAGTTTTGGTTTTCTGGGAAGATGATGTCGCCTCCGTTTCCACATTTGCTAAATGCTTTGAGAATGTTGGGAACGTCGTTGGTGGTGCCTCCATTGGCGAGTACTGTGCATTGAGGTCGTTTTCCATGAGTAGAGTAATGCACACCACCACCTGCTGACACTGTGGGAGTCGCCAACGCAAGAAGTGTCCAGAGATTAGTTGAAATCATCTTTGCAATACAGTAATGAATTGTTCAGACCGATTCTCTACAGGGGACATCCTTCACGTTTATATACTCTATCAAGATGTACCTACTGTCTCCGCAAAAGAGAGAGATCTACACTTTCTGCAAGGAAGAAAGACAAGGGTGGTTGTGATGGAAGGTAAGCATTTTCGCTCCAATCATCTTGTCCTGTCCCGTGAGGAGTAAATGCAGTTTGAAGGCATGATGTGCAGTATCCAAACTCCAAAACAAGCATTTAGCCATTTGCTCGGCATGAAACATACCGAGAGTCCTCCTCTCTCAAAAAGGAAGGAGTAAACGCGGGGAAGCCGCCATCGACCCATGACGTGTGTTGTTTTCTGCAAGGCACCGCGACTGACTCCGTCGTTCAACCAATGCCATCTTCGCATCAAGACACCAATCAATCGATCCCACATCCAAAGCAGCAGAAATGGTAGCAGCAGTATTGGCTAGGTCTCGCTTTATGGCATCTTTACCACGCAGTTACATCCAGACCTTCACGCGAACATACACCTCCACCGCACCCAAAAAAGCAGCAAAGAATCGTCTCTACAATCCGTGAATCCACCTCTAACCCCTTCTCTCATCCCAACTACAGTATACTAACAAAATCAAACAAAACAGTGTACGCTACGAAGATGAATTCGAGACCCTCAACCTGCTGTCGGCTAGCAGTAGAGTCCCATTGATCACGCTGTGGTCGGCTTCCTGGTGTCCTTCGTGTAAAGTGATTTCGCCATTGCTCAAGGAATTGATCACAGAGGGAGTAGGGGAAGAGCAAGGCGGTGTTTCGTTTGCGGAGATCGAGCTCGACAGTCCTACATTGGGTGGTTTGGCGTTGAGGTATCAGGTACGTTGCTCCCCTATCCCCAATCACCTATGGGCGTGTGAGCTTTGGTCGTTCGAGGAGACTTGTGCTAATTGATATGGGTGGCTGTGTAGGTTAACTCATTACCTACCTTACTGGCCTTTGACAGACAAGAAGCACAATTGGAGACAAAGGTTCACAAGGTGGAGGATATGAAGAATAGGCAGTTCTTAATTAGCTGGATCGAGACGGAAGCTAAGCGTCATGGCGAAGGCGGTGCTGGAGGAAGCAGCTTGTTCGGGCTGTTTGGTCGCTAGGTTAAAGTAGTAGGAAAAGATTGCGAGATTTCAACGAGGACCTTGAGCAAGGTCTGCTAGTCTACGCTGAGCACTATTGCCTGATGACATTTCAAATAGATACACACCCCGGAAGATTGTTTTCCCCTTCAAGGTAGTTCACACAAGATATGCGAGGTAATTTGGAGAAAGATAACAAGGGTATATATATGGTCTAGTAAACGCATAACAGTTTTTCAGCTAGCAAAATGCAGCAGACGAGCAAAAAGATCAGATTCATTATTGCACCATGTAACGCCGCATGAACAAAACCACCAATCCCTCCTTTTTCTTTCGTGTCAGACATGATCAGATCGTTTTGGCACCATTCCTTCTTCCTGGACTTTCAGGAAACCTCTCAACGAGACATTACGCGGTATACGCGGTATTCGCGGGCGTTTATCCGCATGGATCGAATAAAAAAGACAGAATTAGAGAACCACAAAATTGGGAATCAATATGTAGTCCATGCCATGGTAGAAGTTGCCCAGAGGTTTTCTTACACGAACTGTCGTGCACTAGGCTTGATAATACAATGCAGACTGGTTGGTGACGGGGTTGGGTGCCACATACACGTTCTGATATGGGTGTGATGGCATGGTGAAATCGGCATTGGCAAACATTGGGTTCACCATGCCCGCTGGGGGACGTCTGCTCGCAGCTGGAGGCTGCGCGGGTGCAGGCGCGGCAACGCTCGAGATAGTGGTCGAGTATTGTCCGTATTGTTGCTGCATTGGCACAGGGCTCGTGAGCAGTGACGTCGAGACAGGGGCCACAGGCTGTGGAGGTGGCTGAGGTTCGTCGTGCCAGTTCCACTTCTCCTTGAGTTCTTTGAAAACAAAGTTGATGCGCCATCCGGTCTCCTTGTTGATTTTCTGGAAGATCTGAAGCACTTCCTCTTGTTCGCGACGCTCGGTCAAGCACTCAGCAGCGTGTGCCAAGGAACGGATAGCTACACTAGCAACTCCTCTGCACAGTTGTTAGTACTAAGCGATCGACATCACTAAGAACTGCACTTACCTGTCTTTGACGTGAGCCGTAATACCGCAGATCATTTGCGAATGGCGGTGCTGCATGTCGTGCATTTCAGGGTTATCCAGACCAAAATAGGGATGGATTTGTGAGAGAAGGACCATAACGGTGTGGTAGAAGAGGCGAGCGACAATGGTTGTACGCTTGATCAACCATACTTCTGGGAAACAAGATTTGGATGAAGTGTGCTGAGGGTAGAGGTAGGCCATAGGGTGCATGGTACGTGGGATGTTGTCGTTCCAGGCATCTGTCCAAGACTTCAACTTCTGCCATTCACCGTACCTGTTTTGGCGGCGCATTTCTTCATCACGCTGGTCTTGCTCCTGGTGTCGAGGTATGGTAGCTCTGAAGTTCGCAACCTTTGCAACGATGTACAACATGCGATGAGTCCAGATCTCTTCCCGACCGTTGTGAATCTCGCGGTTGAAATCCATATCAATGCCCCAGTCATCAGGATCCCAAGCGACCTGCCAGTTGAAGTGGAGACAACTCAGGACCTCCAGTCCAACGTTCAGCCAGAAGCAAGCAGCACCAATGCCTGATGAACGCGCGTTCCATCCACATTCTTTGATGAGAGCACGCGCACCTGCAATATGATTCATCCTTTGTAGCGCGCGCTCGCTCATAATCTCATAGACGTTCAAAATTACCGCAGTAGTTGCACAAACGATAGTGTCGCGGTTAGGATTCTGAAGGTTCTTGAGAAGGTATCGGGTTGCAGTATCGTAATAGTGCAGAGCCTTTTCTTCACTGTAAGCAGAATTGACGAGGACTAAGTGGCGGGCACCACACGCCAAGAAGGCGTTCAGTAGCATTGGCTCGCCTAACGAATGGAAGGGTAGCAAGCGGGAAAACTGAGGGCGTTAGTCGAAACCTGTGACCAAATGTCCAAGTGGTACGTACGTGTTTCATCGGATCCATGCTGTCCATCCAGAGGCCGACCTCCTCGACGAAAACTTGCATGAACAAAGTCTCCTCTTGGGTAGTCAGAAATTCGCGTCTGCCTTCAGCGGGGTCATCTTGATCTTGCTGTTGACTGTAGGCTGATATTGAGTTCCTCTGTTGATTCGAGAAAGGAGAATCTTGAGTGGCATGATTTGATGTGTTATAGGCATCATACTTGTGATCCTCGACCTGAGGATATGACTCGGGGAGTATGCCCTGGATAGATGGAAGCGGTTGGTATGCCATATTTGGGGCAGACGGAGTAGCTCCTTGCACCTGCGCCTGGGCGTGGGCTTGTGCTTGAGCATGGGCCTGAGCTTGAGCATGGGCTTGAGCTTGAGCGTGGGCATGAGCATGAGCTTGGGCTTGTGCCTGGGCTTGAGCGTGTGCATGTTGTGCTTGAGCGTGTGCCTGAGCTTGTGCTTGAGCATGTGCATGTGCTACAGCAGCCGGGTTGTATTCGAACATGGGCATGCCCGTCATGTCGGTGGCTTGCAGCTGCGGCTGGACGATTGATGGCCGCGAAGGGCGCGCGTCCTTTGCGCCGTACTTTTCAAGACCTCCGACGTACTCGGACGCAATTTCGCGAGACTCGTCCACGAAGTCTACCTTCCATTCCAGAGTGGGAGCCTTTTGCGGAGGTCCCTGGCAGTTGGTGTCGATGAAGTTGAGGCGCAGACCGCGTTTACATTGGCGATTGGACTTGCGACAGTTCTGGCAGATGGGAGCTCCTTCGTCGCACTTGAGATGGCGCTCGCGACACGTCAAACATCCGGTGCGAACGCGTTTTGGTTTGGACACGACGGCCGCGCCTGCGTCCGGCGCAGGCACATCGCCATTGCCTGTTGGCGCAGTCATGGGACCGGAAGGTCGGTCGCTTCTCGTCCTTGAAGCCTACAAGTCGAAGCTGGCTTTGGTTCGTTGGCCGGGAGCGTCGTTCGCTCGAGTTGTGTCGAGTCAAGCGGAAAACAGTTGGCGAGGTTCGACTGGTGGATGCAGGCACGTCGCTCTTCAACTTGGCCAAGTCGCGTCTACCGGTCGGCACTCTTCGCACCGCGGCGCTCTCTACAAATTCAGTTGGGTCGAGAGAGATAGCAATAGAACATAGAGGTGATGGTGAACTCAAAGCGCGATGTAAAGGTGGGAAGTTGCTGCCGAGTTGACGCACGTCTGCACATGCCTCCTGCCCTCGTTCAACGCTCGGACGCCCTCGCTTCTGCTTTGCTCCTTCCTAATCCTCCTCGGAACTAGTCTCTTCCTTGGACTAATCGTTCCTCTTGCTTTTATGCACCCTTGTACATTTCTTCTCTCGTGCTGCCAACTCGACCCGCCCGCTCATGCACTCTGCTTAGATATTGCTTGGAAGTTGGAAACACGTCCTCCAAAAACTCTTGCCTGCTTCTCATCTCGGCTGCTTGTGCAGAGACCCTTGACTGCTCAATTGGCAATCTGAGCCTACTCACGAGCGCCTTCCCGCTGTCATCTGTCACTTTGTACCGACCAGCTCTCATGATTCGTGCCTGATCAGGTTTCATACCTCAGCTCTATATACGTACATGGCTTTGCTACAGAATTCTACACTGCCTCCCGCACAGCCGGCCTATGTGTTCAGAGGTCATAATGCACAGATCCACAGCATTTGCTTTGTGCGCCATAACACTCGTCTGTTGACTGGTGACGCCGAAGGCTGGCTCATCCTATGGAATCTGGCTTCTAAGCGACCTGTCGCTGTGTGGAGGGGACATGCCGCTGCCATCCTAGCTGTGTCCACTTGGACCGATGACAAGCTGATTACGTGAGTTACAGGCACATGTCTTTTCATCTGTTGCCATGAACTAACGCATGTCGAAGACATGGGAGAGACAGTAAGTTGCGAGTCTGGCAGCTCCGTGAGTCGGATGAGTCTACCTTCTCTGTTGTTCTGCCCATAGAAGATCCTGTCACTCTGCGCCATGAGCCATGGCTGTTACATACAATCTCGGTGAACACTCTCAACTTCTGTTCATTCTCCTTTTGCGAAGCCTCTCCATCAGAAGCCGCACAACTCTCTTCTGAAGCCAAGGAGACGACGCTTCTGGTCGCTGTCCCAGGAGATCGTGAAGGCGATATTGATATTTATTCCTTACCCTCTAAGACGAAACTGTCCACTGTCTGTGCGCCTAAGACTGTCAAGCTAGGTACGTTTTTGAACCTCTATATCGTGGTATCAGGGCTAATTCGACAATAAGGCATGGCCATGTGCGTCAAGATCTCGATACAAGGACCCCAAATTATCCTGATCGCAGGCTATGAAAGTGGCCACTGCTGCTTCTGGCAATTCGACAAGGACCGCAGTAAATGGATTTTGCTCTCCACCAGTAAAAGTCATAGCCAGCCGGTCCTCTCCTTGGACATCGCCCACTCACTCAAAAGATACTATACATCGGCTGCAGATGCCACTATCGCTAGTCATTCTCTTACAGAACCAACTACATCCCAACCTCTGAAGACAATCGAGACTAAACACTCCGGTCAACAGTCCCTACGAGTCCGATCCGACGACAAAATACTGGCTACCGCTGGTTGGGATGGTAATGTGCGAGTTTACTCTGTCAAAACAATGCGCGAGCTCGCGGTTCTGAAATGGCACAAACAAGGGTGCTATGCTCTTGCCTTTGCAGACTTACTGCCGGAACAAGTCGAAGATTCAGAAACAAACAGTACAGGCTCGAGCGAGGGCACGGAAGCACTTCAGACGGCCGTCCAAAGACGCAACACCAAAGCACAAACAACACACTGGATAGCCGCTGGTTCAAAGGATGGAAAAGTCTCGCTTTGGGATATCTATTGACAAAGAAAAGAGAACTGTGTACGCTACGAACCTGGCTCTTAACCAAGGTTGAACTCTGAAGCACCTCCACCCATCATGGCCTTTGTCTTTGCACGCATGATCCTGGCTGCCTCCTGTGAGTCTGTCATCTGAGGAGCGTCATCACCATCAGGTGCTGATGACTTTCCGCCAGAACTCTTTGCACCCTTGATGTTAGCCTTGTGACGAGAGTCCTTGGACTTCTTCGCATCTTCCTTGCCAGGACGCAGACCGGGCACCTTGATGCTACCGGGCTTATCTCTGAGAGCAAATGCTTTGGCCAGGTGACCGAGATGGAGAGTCTTGATGTTGAAGATTCCTCTCTCGGCAGCTACGTGGGTAGCGTAAGCTCTGATATGACTTTGGTATGCACGACGAGCCTGCTCGAGATGCTTGGGACTTTCAAGAGCCCATCTTTCGACATCAAGTTGCCAGTCCGTTGCCTTTTCTTCCCACTCGCGACCAGACGATACTGTGCCAGAGGTGGGAGTCAGACCCTTTTTGAGAAGTTCAATAGCGTCATGACGAGTGAGACCATGTCCGGCGTCTCTTCGACCCTCTTTCAAAATGTCGACGTAGCCTTCCTCGTTACCGGGCTGAAGGAAGATCAGAGCTCGTCCCTCGCGACCTGCACGGGCTGTACGACCAATACGGTGGAGATGGTCATCCTTGCTGAACGCAGGATCGTATTCGATGACAAAGTCGACATTTGGCAAATCTAAACCACGGGAGGCAACATCCGTACATACCATAACCGAAGCATCCTTGTTATTTGTGAAAGCCTTGAGAGTCGAGGTACGGATATTTTGCGGAAGGGAACCGTGCATGCGGAAGATGGAGACATCGTTTTCCTTGCCCGAGATGATGGGTGCGATGGCCTCAGTGCACTGGTCGTCGATCGAACCTCCTTGTCTGATCTTGCCTGGTGCCAGTTTCTTCTCGTAGTTTGACAATTCCTTCTCTTTCTCTTTCTTCGCAGTTGTTGTAATAGGGTTCATCTTATCCAGTTCAGACAGCTCCGGGTTCTTTTTCCTCTCCTCCTTTGCCTCGGAGCCAGTAATTTTCTTCTCTCCACCGCGTGTCAAAACCTCGAAATGGAAATCCACCGAATCGGCACATGACATGAACACGATCGTCTTCATGACTGATCCCTTTCTAGCAAATGCTCGTCGGAGAATGGCAGCTAATGTGACCAGTCGTAGCTTGGCCGGAACGACTGCATACGATTGCTTCAACTGGGCGGGTGCTGAGAAAGCGTGGCCGTTCTTTTCTGCGTCTTCTGCGTCCCTAGGCTTTTCGGCAGAGATTGACACGGCCTCTTTCAAGGTGATGTTGCCCAATCTCTCGACGTCCATCTTGATTGTCGCAGAACACAAAACTGTAGTTCGCTTCTCAGGCAGTCCAGGGATTGGTGCTTGTTGTACTTTGCGCATACGCAGATTCATGAGCGAGACGATCTTTTGAATGTCGTTTTCGAAACCGAGTTCCATCAAACGATCACCTTCATCGAGGACCAGCCATCGTACGTTGCTCACATCGAGTCTTTCGGTATGCTCCAAATGATCGACCAGACGACCAGGAGTGGCGACCAGAATATTCAGACCCTTTCTCAATCTTGCTTTCTCTGATTGTTTCTTCTCTCCACCAATGACGGTTCCAGCGACGATCCAGTGCGCGGCTCCGAGTAGCGATTCAAGAACGGTCGAAATCTGCTTGCTGAGTTCGCGAGTGGGGGCCAGAATGATGGCGAAGAGTCCAGAGTCTCGTGTCAAACCGCCGGTGCCACCATTGGCTTTCCTTGCTGTCTCTGACATGGTGACCAGACGTTGTACGATGGGAAGGAGGTATGCCAGTGTTTTACCGGAACCAGTTTCGGCCTGGATGAAAGCATCCGAATCGTCTTTTACTAGTTGTGCAACAGCCTTTGCTTGAATGGCTGTGGGTGCCTTGATTCCCATCTTTTCGAGCAGGTGGCGGGCGACGTTCGGCGACAGACCTAGTGAGGTGAAAGTGTCGAGTTCTGAGCTCAGAGGAGCGTTTGAAGGTTGTACGGGCTCTGCATCTTCTACTTCCTCCTCTTCCTCGACAGGTGCCGTCGTGGCAGTAGGGTTGTATGTGAACAGAGACGAGATGACCTCCTTAGGACGCTGTCTGGGAGCATTGTTGGGGTCTCTAGGACCAGTACGTCCGGTGGTGTGTGTGGGTTTGTATTCGCCTCCGTCAGTCTTCTGACGCTTGAAAGGTCTGGGTTCCGAGTTCGAGCCTGAACGAACGTCGTTTCTCGAATCGTTCTCCTTCTTGTAATCCGGGTTGCTCTTATTCTGTCCATATTGCAGAGCCTTCTTCGCCGTCAAACGATCCTTCCAGCGGCCACCCTTGTATGCGGTTGTTTTGGGTGCCCATGGGGTATCGCCAACCGCAAAGTTCAGAAGCATTCCATCGTCGGCCATGGTGACTTAGTTTCGAGTAAAAAACACAAATGTTGATGCAAGTCCGGAAATTTTGCAAGCTTCACCAAACGGAAAGATTCAGGAAACTCTTTGCAGATCTGGGGTAATCGCCAAGCTTTCGAGGGTAGACGAGCTCGGGCCAGCCACATGCTGATGGCACAAACGAAGGCTCGGAGTCTCTCTCTCCGGCCATCTCTCACTTCAAGGACAACGACTGTCGCAACGCACAAAACTCGTCAAGATGTCAGAGGCTTCCACTGGGAATTTCATCTGCCCTTCCTGCCATCCGGTCTCTCAATGATTGGTCTCGACAACCTTAAGACTTTGTGCCTTCTGATAGGTCACATTGGCTCTTCCATTGGCCATGAGATTGCTCCACAGCCACAGCGCATCTCTTTAGCGAATTTATATTACCCACTTCAGCTGAGCCCAGCACGCCGGATTCTGTTAGACGAATGGCTATCTTCGCTCAGCGCCGTAAAGATGGCTTTGTTTCAGGCCTGCCATGGTTGATCTACGCGTATGCCAGCCTGCCAGCACTGAGACACGAGAAACCGTTGAACCATGACGTGTGTTGAAAGTAACATGCAGATGCACTGATGCACCCTCTGCCGCTCTCTTGCGACCTGCATATCAGGAATTTTTTATCCTCCAAATCTCTTTGTGATACCTTGACATACAGCTCTCTATCATGGCTCAACGAATGCGCGCAGTACAGTACACATCAGTCCAGGGTGGACTTGAGAAGAACCTACGCTATACCGAAGACGCCTTGGCTCCACAACATGACGAGCAGATGCAACGAGGAGATCATGTCATGGTTGAAGTCATCTCTGCATCCATAAACCCTCTGGACTGGAAGATGCCCGAAACCCCTGTCCTTGGAAAAGCTCTGACCTATTCCTTTACCTCTTCGGCCTCGATACCTGGTATGGATTACTGTGGAAGAATCAAATCCACAGGCTCCACCATCGATAGCTTGGCCATTGGCGAAATGGTATACGGTCGTTTGACCAGACCAACATCTTCAGGAACCCTTGCTCAGTACGTCAACATCGACCCTGGTACCTGCATACCCCTTCCACAAGGCGTCAACCCAGATCATGCTGCCACTCTTGGCATTGCTGGTGAGACGGCATACCGCAGCATTGTACCGAACGTCCAGTCTGGTGACCGAGTCTTCATCAACGGAGGCTCCTCAGGAACAGGCACTTACGGCATCCAAATCGCAAAACTTCTCGGATGTCATGTGACAGTATCTTGCTCAACAGCTGGCATGGAACTCTGTAAAGAACTCGGCGCAGATCAGGCTTTTGACTACACCAAAACCGACGTTATCGCCGAGTTGATTGAGAGCGGCAAGTCTGGGGAGCCATTTGATCTCGTGGTGGACGATGTTGGCGTACCCGCAGATCTGTACAACGAGTCACACCTATACCTCAAGCCGGAGGGCAAGTTCATTTCGATTGGAAGCAAGAACGACATCAGATCGCTTGCAGCCCGCACGCTCCCGACCTTCATGGGTGGAGGAAGACGCAAGTCTGAACAGGTCCATGTTCTGCTCGGATCACATCGCGATGACTTGGTGCAGCTCGGAAGATGGATGGCTGACGGCAAGATCAAGGCTGTCATCGATTCCACGTACCCCCTGGCGGACGCAGCTGAAGCATATGGAAAGCTGAAGGGTGGCCATGTTCATGGCAAGATTGTGATCAGAGTGGGCGCGAAGCAGTAAAGTCTTGATAGAGTCTAGGATGTCTGTAGCATTAGGACGATGTACAATATTTAATACAATTAGTTACAATTCGTCGTCGGTCACGAGTCATAGAGCGTCAACCGTTATGAGATGTAGCGCGTATTTTCAGGCACAAGCAAGGGTACTGCCCATACTCAAAAGCACAGCGTACTGTCCATACTCGATCAGAAGCAGTTGCAATTTCCACTTGCCAAAATGCTGACAATGGGTTGAAAAGCACCACGTCGACCTCGCAAGTGCGGGGACAAGCAGATCCAAAAACAACCCATCATCGTCTATCGAACCACCGCAGTCACGTAGTGGAGGCGCACCAACATGGCGTTTCCGTTATTCCGCAACTTCCATGGTATGCACACATCCGGTGCTGCTCGAAATCAATTGGCGTCATCTGACAGTTGATAGTTGCTCTCCAATGCCGATATTCTACGTCCAACATTGCCAGGCGTGCGATACACACATTCCGCGAGGTCCGACCTCTCCGCACATTCAGGAAAGAGCTCCAGGGATCACAACGGACCGTGGGCTTTGTACCCACCATGGGCGCATTGCATGAAGGCCATCTCTCATTGATGCGCCAGGCAGCAGCCGAGAACACGGATGTATTTGTGAGCATCTACGTCAATCCCACTCAATTCGGCGTCAACGAGGATTTGGACAGCTATCCCAAGACATGGAATGAGGATGTGGAAAAACTGCAGGCTTTGGACAAGGAACTTGCGACTCGGACTGGCTCGGGTCGCATCACTGCCATCTTTGCGCCTACCACAAAAGTCATCTACCCGACACTGCCGCCGTCTTCTGAGATCACAGGTCCTGGATCCTTTGTTACAATCACACCATTGGGAAGCCTGCTGGAAGGTGCTTCGCGTCCTGTCTTCTTCCGTGGTGTTGCTACCGTCTGCATGAAGCTCTTCAACATTGTCATGCCCGAGCGGGTCTACTTTGGACAAAAGGATGTACAACAAACGGTCGTCATCAGACGTATGGTCAAGGATTTCCACCTCGACACAGAAGTGAAGATTGGACACACTGAACGCGAGGCTGATGGCCTGGCTTTGAGCTCGAGAAACGTCTACTTGGGTGCCAGGAGAAGAGAAGTCGGTGTGGTCTTGTCTCGTGCTTTGAAGGCAGCCGAGAAGAAGTATCTACAAGGGAAACGTACCCGCGCGGATATTCTTTGGCCTGCGAACGAGGTCTCGACAAGCAAGATGATGGAGCAAGACGATCTACCACCGTCGAAGCGTGCCAGAGTCGAAGTGGACTACATCTCGTTGGCTGATCCTGATACCATGGAGGAGATTAAAGTTGTAGATGCTGCCAAGGGTGCTATTCTTAGCGGAGCTATCAAAATGCTCCCTCTTGAAGAGCCTCAAGAAGGTGAAGACTGTGGACTGGGCGGCGGTGTCGTGCCAGTCAGGCTGATTGACAACATTATTCTTCAGCCCATAAATTAGACAACTAATACAATATAGTCACGGCGATGAGCCAAGAGCAATGCCCCAACCTAGCATTGAATGCTTCGCTTGAGACCAGTCGCTCGTCCAAGCCATCATGAACCAACCAATGGCTAGGTGACCACCAAAGATAGAAGATTAACGAACCCGATCTACACCTAGCCTTGTACTCCATCGGAGCGTTTTGACATGCTTAGAATATAGATCAACAGAATCAACGGAAAGTCGGTGGTTGGTTGTCGCCGGCGAGTGTTGATGGTTCGCAGATCCTTGCCGAGACCAGATGCTTGAAGTCCGTAGCGGGGAACCCTTTTTCTACACCTCATGACGACTGTTGCTGCATACCTGCATGCTTGATCCTTGGTCAACCTGCCGATTCACAAACAGAAACAACAGGGCTTCTATCGTGTGCTGTTCGCACGGTTCACTGCCTCATGATACACTGATGATTCTGCAAGCCGCTAGCCGTGCGAGGCAGACATCCATTGGACATGTGTCTGATGTCTCGGCCACGATTTGAGAATTGTATTCGGACCAAGTGACTTGAGTAGGGCGATACTTACACTAGGAGCCTTGAGATCTAAAGCCCACCATTAACAAGGTGTTGCTGGAGCAAAGACCAAGGGGAACTGCGATAGCCTGGTCTAGTCACCTGCATGACTCTTACATACATCGGCTCTCCAACAGGCAAACTTCGACCACAGAAGCATCATCATCAATGATGTGAGTGCGCGTGTCACCCTCCCCTAGCAACAGCCCGCCAAATCTGTTGGTATATCCTCCCGCAGGCGAGTTTAATCAGCCGGGCAATCGGCATCAGATACCTACCGATGGATGCCTCGTGGATAAGCGTAAGTGTGGTGGAGTAAGTGGCAGCTCGTCGTGTTGGACCTTGTTTTTGTCACTCTTGCTCATGTCGATGTCTATCTTTTTGTTCCCCATCTCTTCCCAGCCACTGCTTTTTCTCTTTCTCTTGCATTTTTGATAGACCCCAGTGATCCCTTATGGTGAGTAATGTCCGAACGGTCCTGCAGCTTCCCTGCGCAGAACGAGATGCTTGTATGAGATGAATATTCCTAACGTAGAGACCAGGCTTCAACACATCAGAGTGCGCCATATCGGCCTGAGGTTCAGAGCTTGGGCGGAACACCCACAGTCCCAGTCGACATACCAGTATGCGCCGTCTTCATGCTTTTGTATATCATCGCTGGTGTCTTACATTTTGGAACGTTCTTGAGAAATAAAAAGGTTGGAAAGAAGTTCATCTTTGGTGGAATGATGTTTGGTAGGACCTCGAATCTCGCTCCTCTTAACGTCTGATCACATAGCTTACTTGAACTTCCAGGTCTTTGCAAAATCCGGATAGTAACACTCAGTCTTCGCATTGCATGGGCATGTTACCCTCGCAACATCAGACTGGGTATCGCAGCACAGATCTTCGTCAACATCGGTGTCGTATTGCTATACTTTGTCAACCTCTTCTTCACGCAACGCATCGTCAGAGCACAACATCCCAACTTTGGCTGGAGCAAGTTGTTCACGCCACTGATCCCGATCATCTGCGCCATCACCGTCTTGACAATCATTGCTTTGATTGTTGCTGTCATCCAGTCCTTCTATACCTTGCACAAGAACATCCACCGTATCGACCGTATCATTGAGCTGTATGGACCCACAGCCTTCTCTGCAATCGCCTTCGTCCCCATCGTCATCATCACTATATCGACACTCCTTCGACTTATCCCCAGCGTCCGCGGCCAAAAGGCACTCGACAAGTTTGGCTCAGGCAAGATGAGCACAAAAATCGCCATCGTAATCCCCAGCGCAGCCCTCCTTACCCTCGCTGCCTCTCTCAAGGCCGGCACCAGTTATCTACGTCAAGTCCCGCTATTGACACCAGACAACACACCCGAACCTACACCTTGGTACTTCAACCGCGGCATCTTCTACGGCTTCGGCTTCGGCGTGGAGATTATAATCTTGTTCTTCTACATGGCTGTCAGAGTGGACAAACGCTTCATCATCCCCGATGGTGCAAAGGGGCCTTACTCGTACGCCGGCGGCTTCGTCTTTGCCGGCGAAAGCGGCAATGAAAAGAGTAGATTGGGTCAACGCGACTCTACCCGCAACCTCACGGGCAGCTCTCAGTCATTGCAATCGTGGGGTGGCAGCACACGTCGTGGTGGCAGAAGCAAGGCACCTTCTGTCATCAGTTGGGGTGGTATCAGTCAAGCGGATACGGAGATGGGGATTGGAGAGGATGGCGTGGAGCCGGTTCCTTATGTCACCACCGAGGATGGTGAGATTGCTAGACCGGCGAGTATTGCAGGTGCGGAGCAGGAGATGGGCTGGGATTCGAAGAGTGGTAAGTGGAAGCTCAGACCGGTCTCTGGCATGTCTGCTGTTTCCACTGCTATTCCGATGATGCCCAGAGAGGATGTCTGAGTTTGGGAAAAGAAGGAAAGAAACACAGCACGTTTCGGATAAGCAAGATGTGTGTGTAAGGAAGCAGGCAAAGGGCGTTCTTAAGAGGACGAGCGAGGAGTTTTTGTACTTGTCATGATTTCGTGTTTCATTCGTGTAAATAACCACAGCCTCTATTATGAAATTACAGACCAGATTTCCTAGTCTTTCCTGATAGTCTTTATACCATTGTCATTCTTCTTCGCCTGTTCCTTGAGGAAGGCAGCCTGCATGGCTTCCAGGTCTTCGTCGTCGCCGCCAGGTTTTTGCGAGTCTTCTCGTTTCGATGGCTCTTGTTCTGGAACACGCCGTACCTCAGGTTGGCCTGCCTGGCGCGCTTCTTCAGCCTTCTGATCTTCCATCTGCTTTCTCTCCATTTCGTCAAACTCATCGCGCCTGTCGATCCAGCGTTCCTGGACATCTCGGACATCGATCTTGCCTCCCCAGACTTCTTGCATGGCGACCTGCCAGACCGAGTCGTTTGTGCCCTTGTCTGTGCCAAAAACGTAACCGCTGGCCCTGTCAACGGCGTGAAGCAGGTTTGTCATTGAGACTTTATCTTCGATAGCGAGAGTCTCAAAAGCCACGAGACCAAAGTCGCCAATGAGTTGGATCAAAGCTTCGTTGAGTGCAGTGAACTTTGACTCTGGCAGTTTTGGAAAGTCTTGTCCTCCGGCGCGATGATCCATGTTTTGTACTGTCGTGTTGTTCTGTTCGGCCTCGAGGTAAGGCAACATGTAGTCTAGATCCTGGACTTCGGTATAGTAGTCGAGGTTGAAGGGTAGTGGTTCGGAGTTCTTTGCGAGATTGTCGATTTTGGTCAAGACGTTGACGAGCGGAAAGGGTAGATGTAGCATGCTACGCAGACATAACAGTAGCGATGAGATATAGAGGGTAGGGCGTGAAAGGGTGAGGGAGTCGAGCAGATGTACAACGATTAGCTAGACAGAGTCAGTGTACGGTGTAATGGCAGGAGAAGTAGTAGAGGAGACGGACTCTGAAGCCAATCTTTTCAAGACGGTGGAACAAGTTGGGCATTGTATTGTGATGTGTAAATAGCTCGACTTGGCCAGGGCAGTCGAAGAGAATATACGAGTCGCTGAGTTCTTTCAAGCCTTCGTCGAGCCACTCAAAGTTCTCCTGCAGCTCCTCGAGCGCATACATGACACCGCCATTAGGGCCTAGCTCTTCCTGTTCCATGACTTCTTCTAGTGAGACCAGGTCGCGAATGTCCAGGGCGCATGGATATGAGGTCTTGTCGTTGGCGGGATCGAGGTTGACGACGGCGCATTTGCGACCGACGGCTGTAAGGAACTGGTGCATGCCATCGCAGTATGTCGACTTGCCCGCACCAGGCGGACCGATTACCAGTTGTGCGAAAGGCATTGTTGCTGTGAGAGTTGATGATGGGAAAATAAATGTTTGCAATGACGAACAAGAGGGCGGCGTGGATTGCCCCGCAAAACATTGGCTCAAGTTGCGCCGAAGCAAGCGAAGCATCAAATCCATCTCTCACTTCCTGATCAATCACACACGACAATGAGCGGTATGTCGCTTTCTCCTTTTGATCCCTTGACAATACTGACACCCTCTCGCAGGCCAAATAGAGCTCGCCAATGCGCCATCCGACGCCATCTCGGCCGTCCGCTTTGCTCCTCAATCACCAAATCGCCTGCTGGTCGCCTCGTGGGATCGCAATGTCTACCTCTACGACACCAAACAAGGCGAGAACGGCTCCTTATTGCGCAAAGTAGAGCACCGTGCTCCCGTATTGGATCTTTGCTTCGGCGACGATGATGCCACTGCCTTTACCGCTGGCCTCGACTGGGACGTCAACAGAATAAACCTCGAAACTGGAGAGAAGACCGTCATTTCATCACACGAAGCTGGTGTTAAATCCATCGTCTACTCGGCCCAACATCACCTGCTCGTCTCGGCATCCTGGGACAGCACCCTCCATGTCCACATACTCAATAACGGTAATGTCGCCCACGCTCCTGCTACCGTTCCGCTGCCATCGAAGCCCTTCTCCATCTCCTTGACTCCTACAAAACTTGTTGTCGCCATGGCATCGCGTCAGATCTTCATCTACGACCTGGCTTCCTTGAAAATGCTCACTTCACAATCCGCACCCTCTCAAGAATCCGGAAACTCAAGCATCCTCGAGATCCAGCCATGGCAACAGCGCGAGAGCAGTCTGAAGTTCATGACGCGCGCTGTTTGCTGCATGCCCAACGATCAAGGCTATGCGCTTTCCTCCATCGAGGGTCGCGTTGGTGTCGAGTGGTTTGATCCCTCGACCGAGTCACAGGCCCGCAAGTACGCCTTCAAATGCCATAGACAAGCCGACGAGGGTGTTGATGTTGTATATCCCGTCAACGCTCTGGCTTTCCACCCGGTACACCAAGGCACTTTTGTCAGTGGAGGCGGTGATGGCTTTGTCGTGCTGTGGGATGGCGTGACCAAGCGCAGAATCAGACAGTACCAGGCCTACCCTTCCAGTGTGTCGAGTGTCTCTTGGAGCTCCGACGGCAGGTATTTGGCTGTCGGTATCAGCCCTGGTTTCGAAGACGGCAAGGAGGTCATCTCGGAAGGCCAGGTCAAGCTGTACATCAGAGAGCTTGCTGACGGAGAAGCAAAGGGCAAGAGTGCCAAATAGAATCAAAGCAGAGGTTTGGAAGAATTTAGAAAATATGGTCTTTGATACATTAGCGTAGGCGTTTTCCATCCTTTTCAACTCGAGGGGGTCCTGACATGAATTTATATTTCTTCTTCGCCTTCCTCCTTCAATCCTCGTCCATCTGATCTTCATCGTCATGGCTGATGATACCCATCGAGGCACCAGCTCTTGTATTCGCCATGTCGTCTTTTCCAAGCATCTTGTCAAGTATAAACTCAGCACCCTTGTCCCTAGCAGTGGCTCGTATAATCGCGGCTTTGGCTCTTCTGATAGCCTCCTCTTCCGCCTTGCGAATAGTTCCAGATACCCTGACGACCTGGATAACGCAGTTCTGATCGATCGGTTTTGGTAGACGAGTGACGAAACTCAGGGCTGCCCATACGAGTCGATAATGCGCGCGTGATACCCGGACGATTGCCGTACTGGTGGCGGGGGAAAGATATTTTACTGCTTCCGATCAACACTCGCTCTTTCATAGATGTATTCATTCGGAAAGCGGTGGAGAGTGGAAACTTACCGACTAGACTAGCCGCTATCATACCACTTCCATAATCGCCGAATAGTTCTGCCACGCCATCTCTGATTATACGTGCTAAGAGTTGTGCGTTGAGTTTGTCCGAGGACGGGCGGCGGAAAGAGATTACATGTGGTAATTCGGCGTCTGTCGAGGGCTTGGTTGGAGTTTCTGCATCCGGGTAGAGGATGTTCAGAAGGAGGTAGCGATGCTTCAGTCGGACCATGATGACGGCTGTGGGCGCTTGTGATGGACGCTGTGGAGTTTGGTGGCGGATGCGATCGGCATCTTATGGCGCAGAAAGTGCTTGGAAAGGCTGTTCAAGTCATGGTGATTTTTGCGACGATGATGCTCGTCTTGCTTTCAGAAGTCCGCGACGGCTTCGAGAAGTCTGGAGCTTGGCATGCGGTCACTTTTTGACATGTGATTGTTCGAGAAATGATTCAAAAGAAACTGGCAATATGCTTCGAGATTGGGGGTATCTATGCTAGGTATGCTTTTCAGAATGTACAAGGTTTGCTCTATGCGCGCTTGGTTCTCTTCTTGCGCTTCTTGTTCTTCTTTGACTTTTTGCTCTTCTTGATTGTGGGTGCAATCACATTGCCCTCATCGTCGAGCTGTTCCTCATCTTCATTGTCCGACTCTTCGTCTTCATCTTCCGAGTCTGAGCCTGCATTCTCCTTTGCCTGTTTCAGCTCCTCCTTTCTTGCCTTCTTATCCTCGGCTTGTTGCTTCAGCTTTTCTTCCCGTCTGATTGCGGCTCCGTACTTTTGCTTGACTTCCTTCTCGAAAGCCTCCTTCTCGAGCTTGAAAAGCATCATGGTTGCTCTTGCATCCTCTACTGAACTGTGCTCGCCGCCTTGAATGTCCATGCCAAGGAACTCCTTTGCCAACTTGCGCAGCGCAGGGGCTCTTCCCATTGACATCTTGCGGAACGTTGCGTGTCGTGCAGTATCCCGGATATCTCTCTTGGGATGTGAGAGTAGCAATACGTCCAAATCGTTCTTCAGAGCGTGTCCAATCAATATCTTTCCCTCCAGCAAAGCAGCAACCTCTTTCTGTACCTCTGAGAACGGACGTGCGACATCTGCCTTCAAGTGGTGAGGACGGATACCACTGACGAAAGTACGGTAGTCGGTGACCTCGACGCCAGGTACGGGTTGTACGAAACTATCGTAGATTTGTTCGCCGTGGAAGTTGACAATCGAAACGCGCGCGAGCACATTATCGTCGAGGGGTCCAGTACCGACCATCTCACAGTCGATGGCCAAGAACTTTCCAGGCTTGTGTGTCGGGTGAAGTCCTTGGTTGACGAGAGAGTCTGTGGAAGTTCGTGTCGAAGCGACTACTTCGTTGACAGTTGCAGGTTCGGCATTTGATGGTGTTCTCGGCGTCGAGGCAGGAGACTTGGAGGCTGCAGAACCCATCTTGTTCTTTCGTTGTGCGAAAGAAGGTTTGCTCAGCTCAGTCCTCGCTCTCTTTGTTCCATTCGATGCGCCTTGGAATCTCTTGAACTTTTCGTCTTGCGATTCGGTCGTTCTCTTGCGCTTCACGCTTGGGTGGTCGTCATCGGCGGTGGGTTTCGGCTTGAGTGTCTGTTGTAGTTTCTTCCAGTTGCTCGACAACTTTGCAACTTCAACCTGTGCCATCTCTTTCTGTTGATGTGGGTTGCTTTGCTTTGCGTCTCTGGGGAATCTCTCTCCAAGAGTCAGACAATTGTCTAGGTTTGGTCCGTGCATTCCTGAGTACTTTTTTCAGTCCGCGGCCGGCTGCTGGGCCGACCGAGCGGCTTAACGCCGGCCGGCTTAGAAGATCTTCACATGCCAGATCTTGGATCAACAGGTACGGAATACAATCATTCTTTCAAGCCTCTTGCGAGGACAGTTATGATCGTATATTGGTATAACCACAGATCAGCCTACACGGCTTCTCTGAAAGAAATGGATCAACCACCTCCGTATCATGCCGGTCCGCGACCAATCAGAAACACGCAGCCTCTGTAGGAAGCACTGTTTTCACATGCAAGACTCAATCACGTCACTGGCAGCACGGCGAGTAAAAAGTACGTCAGGTTGGTTCAACAAGTCCACCCTGTTCGAAAGGTCAGCAATCTTGTAGAAGCCGTTGATATATCTACCTATCTCCAACCTAAGTTTCCTAAGTAAATCCCTGTACATCCTACCATGCCTTCCGCTATAGAACTTGGTGCTCCTGACCGTAAAAACGGCGATTTGACCGCCACTGGAGATTCGAATGAACTCTTGTCTCTGCTCAAAGATCAAATCAACAACTTCCCCCCTGGAAAGCAATATAGTATTGCAATCAAAGAAGTCCCTGTGACTGTCGAGCGTCTGCCTTACTATCCTAAAGACGGAGATCGTCTCCAAGATCCCGGCACCGCTCGGGTCAACATTGCTGCTTCCAACGAAAGTCCAAATGGGACCATTCAAGACAACTGGGCTGAAGAGCACAAGCACCAAACTGTACGTCTTGATCTTGGGGTGAAGTATAATGTTATTCAAGATTGCTAATGCTATCTCAGGTCGTACAACAACACGTCGTCTACTGGGACAAGGACCAAGATGGTATCATCTGGCCTCTGGATACTTACAGAGGCTGCCGTGCCTGGGGTTGGAACCCAATCTTGTGCTTGATCGCTACCTTCCTGATCAACGTCAACCTTTCCTACCCTACATCGCCTTCCTGGATCCCGGATCCATTCTTCCGCATTCACATCTCAAATCTTCACAAAGACAAGCACGGCAGTGACTCCATGGCTTTCGACAACGAAGGCAGATTCAGTAAGCACTTGTAAACCATAAGCTATCATATTCCTGAACTGACCAATTCGCAGAACCCCAAAATTTCGAAGACCTGTTCTCAAAGTACGATCGTGGTAACAAGGGCGGACTCGACGCGTATGATCTCATCAGAATGCACAAAGGTCAAAGAATGGCCATGGACTTCTTCGGCTGGAGCGCTGCTTTCTTCGAATGGCTTGCCACTTATCTGTTGCTTTGGCCTGAAGACGGTATCCTGCGCAAGGACGATGTTCGCAGAATCTACGACGGCAGTATCTTCCAGTTCAAGGCTGATGAGTACGCTGAGAAGAAGAAGCACCACGGGCGTGCTAACAAGACCATCGAGAGCAGGAAGAAGCAGACTTAGTTGCTCGGAATGAACAAGAGGATGATGGCAGTGCTATTTGAGCAGCTTCGAGGACCAGTCTCGCATTCAGTATAGATTAGACTTGATGATTATCATCATAACATAGACTTCGGTCAGCTCTCGTGTCACAGCGATACACACTGAATCACCTGTCAGAATGCACGATAACTTTGAGTGGGATCGCCCCGTCCACAGAGAGCAATTCCCCAAAGCTCTCTTTCAAAGTTCAGCACTTGGGGAGAGTGTTATGAAGAAGAAGAAATGTATTAACAACAACGCCTCGCTCGTTCGTCTATCGCATGTAATCAAAGGACTCTCCTGCTCGCACGTCTGAAACGCTCTGCATCTCTAGTTCCAGTCCGGGACGACTCTCTTTGCGTATCTCATAAACTTCCAGAAGCCTACCGCCCACTCCACGCTACCCTCGGGGTCGGTGACTCTCTCAGGCCATGCGATACCGGCACCGAAGAGACCAGGAATCTGTTTGCCGTCCACGTTCTTGAAAGAACCAGTGTCGGGTTGATAATTGTAGGTAATGTCCGAGCCAGCAGCATCCTTGAGTCCAGGCAGAGGATCTCTAGTGTAGCCAATAGCTTGGACATAACGATTACAGCCAGCAAGTTCTTGCTCGTAGGTCCGAGTCTCGTTCTCCTTCTCGTAGGCAATCTTTTGGATGAATCGGCTGACGGGTGATGAACCGAACTTTGCGGGTTCGAGGTTCTCTTTGGCCCATGCCGCCGCGGCGCCCTTGAGGCCTGTGTTGTCGCGCTTGATCCAGCCTTCCATAAACTCGGCGTAGCGGAGAGGGTGTCTGGTGAACCACTTGATCTTCAGATCAGGGTGGGTGGTGGAAGCGAGATTGTAGAGGTTTATGAGCACCAAGACAGCACTGTGGGATGCGCCAATGACAGCAACAGTGGTTGACTCCTTGGGCAGTGACTTTGCCAAAAGGGTCGGACTAAGAGCGTGGTCTAGCTCCAGTGGCGAGAGGTCGGAGATTGAGACTGGGAGTTGCTGGTTTGTCGGAGATGAGCCAGTGCAGAGGATGACTCTTGATGAGATTGCTTTGCTTGTCTCGCCGCTTGAGAGCTTGACGTTGACTACCCAATCGTTCGTTTCGCTTAGGACTGCATCAGTAACCCTGCCTTGACGAGCTTCAACACCAGGTGCCTTTTTCAGACCCTCTGTGAGCAGCAAACACATGTCCGCAGCATAGCCGAGATCGCAACCAGTATCCTGGGGAAGCCCTCGGAGGTAGTCTACTGCATGGGGTGACGGTGTTTCCTTCAAGATTTTCTGGAAGGGTGATACTGCTTCAGCAAAGTCGACAAACAGTTTGACCTTGGTATTTCTGTCTAGGTTAGTGAACAGTTCAGTATATAGATTTCAAGTGAGACTTACGAAGGCACTTCTCTGTATGCTTTGTTCACTCTGCCGGCCTCAAATAGGTCATCTACCCAAAGCACTGGGCCAACCTTTCTTTCCAGAAGGTTTCCAAGTACTGTAATGCCTGCAGGGCCGCCACCACAGACTACGGCAGCGTATTTAGTTCTGTGAACGGACATGTCGGACTTGAATCGTGAAGGAGAGGAGAATGGCGCGAAAGTAGATCCATAAGACGTGCTGCTATCTCTCAAGCATTTCAATGGAAGTGTCCCCGAAGAACCCCTCAATGCTCCCCGAGTGAAAGACGCTCCAGGGACGCGCCATGCTGCTGTGCTGTTCGTATATGCGCGACATAGTGGCCTCGTTAGTTGCTGTCGTGGACATGCAGACGTAGCGAGCACTGCCGCATGTGACAATGTCGGTGACATGGGTGCTGGATAGGGAGTAAAACGTGCAGGAGGAACAGTGGTCGAAGATGACTGGTTAAAGAGTAAATATATTCAAGGGTCCAAGGCCATTTTCGCCACGACTTGCCTCGCGTCGCGCACGCCATGCAACTTTGTTTCAACCTTCGATCAAAGACTCCGCGTCCTTTGATATGGCTCTGGACGAATCGACCCGTTACTGTCCTCCAAGATATCCCTATCTCTGGTGAGCCCCGCAGATTGGTCGTTGACCATTTCAAGGCTACTTGGAATCCTACAGGGCGTGTCTTTCCTGCACAAGCTCATTCGTGATCGAGCACCTTTCCGTATTGTCTCGCGGATCTGTTCCGCTGACAGTGCTCGGCTTCGTTCAAACACCCCGAGCAGTAGCATGTCGCCGTCATTCGTTATTGTCTTCTGCCCAAGATGGAGGTCGCCGTTCTTACATTAGAAAGTTGAGTCTTGACATCAGGTTCCAAGCAAAATACTTTGCTTACTGCATTGTCGCGGTATACTCAGACCTGACGTAGCGACTGTTGTGCCAATGCAGACCATCCATGGCCAATACGACAGAGTCGTTGGTAGCGGTTTTTTTCATCATGATATCGCTTCAGACATGCCTATCGCGGCAACACCGTCCCAGTCATCCTGGTCTGGAAGTTGGAAGTAAGCTTGATAGGCATCATATGATGCAAGTCTCCACCAACGCAGCCATGACAGACAGGATGCTCTTCACCATTTTCTGACTAAATTTGTAATTTGGACACGGAGTTTCCTGTCAAGTCCGATCTGGACCTTCCAATGCTAGTCATTTGACGAGCTCGCGATCATCTAAACAAGCACTGTTGAACCATGACTGCTGGTCTAGTGAGTCGACTTGTCAAATTTCAGTCAGCTTGACGGCCCTTGAACATCTGAGTATCTCTCGGCCCCTTTGCAATCTCGATACGCCTTAGAACCGAAAGGATAAACAGTAACAACATGTCCTCACGACAGAGCCAAAGACGGATAGCTGAAGTATACCGAAATATTTGGGCACCGTAAGTCAAACGCAGCATCGCACGTGACATGTCAAGACTAGCCCGTCAGAGCTAGCTCGAGCCTCGGCTGGTCCTTGCGAGAGATATCGTGCCTGGATGCAGAGCTCTTGTTGTCCTTGTTGTGAGATTATTTTGCTCGATGTCGTCAGTGATGAGAACATTATGATTGGATGGACTGTCGTCCCTACTTCGCTATATTCCATAACAAGAGCTCACTTTCTGGAATATTGGAACTCTCGAAACACGCACGCAACGATAAGGTCTTATCGGTTGTATATTATAGGTACGGCAGAGCATATTGTGCATCTCTCATGTCTGTTATCTGCCGTTTCCAAATTACTCGTGCATGGAAGGCCGCATCGAGTTGGGGGGCACAGAGAGACGACACTTAGGAGTCCATGTTGAGGTCACTGATGCTCTTGACAAGCATTGAACAGTGGCCTGTCTGGCAAGCAGAGCACTTGTCGATGTAACAGCTCCTTGTTGCTGCTGTCGTAGACGACGAGCATTCCTCTCTAATGAACAACCTTTTGGTTACATATTCGCAGCTTCTGCCTGAGATGAAAGGTGGTGATTCCAGCTTCTCGACCTTGGACGCCGATAGCCTCAAGGAGCTGATCAGATACTAGTCCAACAAGTAGATTGGATGGATTGGAACAGTGCATGTTGATGATATGAATTCTGGACAGCAATATCGGGCCAGAATGATCGGGCAAATGCTGTATGTTGTTGCGATCGACTGTGGACTCTCGCACTCAAGAGCCGTATCAGGCCTGATTGTGCAGTTGAAAGAGGTTTCGCCTGGAACAAAAAAGAGCAGAAGAAGCTGGCAGACATCAAGGGCATGAGGACAAGGGGCGGAGCTATGTGGCATAAACACATCGCTTGTGCAGACGTGGTAACCATGCTGCAAGGTGGGAAGATCACAAAGTTGTTTCGATACAGTCAAGCATGTGACAGCGCTGGGGAAGAGATGTCGGTGAGAGAACAAATCCAAAAAATTATGTTTCAGCAGTCTGAATGACGCACACAGCCCCGCAATCGTTCACGATAAGGCGATAAGAGGCAACATAGCGACAACGGAGTGGCCTCCTATGACTTGTTCTCTTCATTGACAAGTCAACCTTTCTTCCCTTCACACATAAGCTTCCGATAGTAGGACACAACAACCATGGCCGAAACAATCACTACAATCTCACCCATCACCAACAAGGGCATCATTGAGCGCAAGGGCCTCAGTGACTCGGAGCTGAGTGACTTGGCTAGCAGATCCGCCGAAGCCTTCAAGACATACAAGAAGACATCGCTGGACGAGCGCAAGAAGTACATCAAGAAGGCTCTGGACATCATCACATCCAAGCAGGATGAGCTCGCAAAGGAGATCACTGAGCAGATGGGTCGACCAATCGCATACACAGCCGTCGAGGTGAAGACTGCCGTCGCTCGTGGCGACTACTTGCTCAAGATTGCCGACGACGCTCTATCAGACACTCCTGGTGAGCCTCAAGAAGGCTTCAAGCGCTTTGTTCGCAAGGTCCCCCTTGGTCCGGTCCTCGTTCTCTTCCCTTGGAACGTAAGTCTTGCTCATGTCTGCCGTCTGGTAGCTCCGTGCTAACCATAGCTCCTGACAGTACCCATACCTGACCCTGGTCAACTCAATCGTACCCGCTCTCTTGTCCGGCAACAGCGTCATCATCAAACCTTCGCCTCAAACACCAACCATTGCTGAGCAAGTTGTCGCTGCATTCAACGAAGCTGGCCTCCCCAAGGACGTTATCCAATTCTTCCACTGTGGTGATTTCCAAAAGATCGAAAAGCTCGTCAAGAACCCCCAGATCTCGCTGGTCTGTTTCACAGGCTCCGTCGCCGGCGGTCTCGCTGTACAGAAGGCCGCAAGCGACAGAGTCGATTCTCGTGTCGGTCTCGAGCTTGGCGGAAAGGATCCTGCCTACATCAGACCCGACGTCGACCTTGCATGGGCTGCTGAGGAGATTGTGGATGGTGCAGTCTTCAACTCGGGCCAAAGTTGCTGCAGTATCGAGCGTGTTTACGTCAACGAGAAGGTCCACGACGACTTCGTCAAGGAGGTGCAAAAGGTCCTGGCCAACTACAAGCTAGGTGATCCTTTCGACAAGTCTACACACGTTGGGCCAGTTGTCTCAAAGCGATCGGCTGAGACTATCCGCGCTCATGTCAAGGACGCTGTCTCCAAGGGTGCCAAAGACGCAACCCCCCAGAACGCATCCTTCGAATCGCCTCCCGCTGATGGTAACTACGTGGCTCCTGTTCTCCTGACCAACGTTTCGCACGATATGGATGTCATGACTGAGGAAACTTTTGGCCCTGTCATTCCTGTCATGAAGGTCAAGGATGACGCCGAGGCCATTAAATGGATGAACGACAGCCAGTTCGGCTTGACTGCCAGTATTTGGACAAAGGAGACTGAAAAGGGTTACGAACTTGCTGATGAGGTCGGGGCTGGAACTGTCTTTGTCAACAGATGTGATTACCCTGCTCCCGACCTTGCTTGGGTTGGTTGGAAAGACTCTGGCAAGGGTCAGACCCTTTCAAAGTTCGGATTCGATCAGTTCTCCAGACTGAAGAGCTACCACATCAAGAACTACCCGAAATAAAGGAATAGCTCCACGTGGGACTGTGGCATTTGATATATGCAAGTATCGACAAAGGGCCATGTGGATTCCTTATCTCGAAACCTTAACAGGAAGGAATGAGGCACGTTCACCATCACCATGCAGAGGGATGTTTAGTTAGTACAGGGGCCAAGAGTGAGACAACACCCCTCTCTTAAGCACGATCAGACTTGATAATCGCAATAATGATAGTACTCGAAGACCAAACATTTTCGCCTGCTGTTCTGACCGAACTTGAGAGTGAACACATCCTCGTTCGAGACAGTCTTATCCGGGGTTATTCTGTCAACGATCTACGCATTCCTCGGCATGCCGAAGCATTCCAGACATCTTGTTCGGCAAGGTTGTCTCGGAAGGAAGGAAAGAATGTGCCAACCATCATGTCTGATGGCCTGTATCAGTCAAAGATTGTCCTAAGCAAGGCAACTGCAACTGTCAGAGCTTCGATATCTGCCAATAATTCGGTCTCTATCAAGCTCGTCGGGTCAACGCAATCTTCTGCAATGTTCAACCTGCAGCTAAATGGCAGGTTTGCTGATTTCGGTTGTTCCTTCGACTTCTGATACCACTTTGTTCGTCCTGCTACTCCAGATTCTTCTTTCTTGTGCCTTTTTGTTGTACCATTTGCACACAACCGGTCGTTTCTCTTCGCCTGTTATTGGGACTTGCCCTCATGTCCCGCTGTTCCTATAGACTTTCGTTTCATCTTTGGCGTGCTCTTTGTCCCTCGTCTTAGTGCTGCTAAAATTGCTTGCGTGCTTCTTTGTCCCTTCCGGAACTGTCTTGACTGCATCGACAGACCGTCTCTCCTAGCGCTACAAGGCTCACACACTTTTTGTCGTCGAACCCCGGGTCTACCAGAGAAAGTGATACTTCCCCGGCTCCTCGGACCGCTCGTGTTGCGTGAGCGTACATAATCCTTTGTTTTCTCCTCGACTCTACGCTCATCGCATCGACATCGAGCGACAACAGAAAACAACGAAAACAAGACAGCATGTGGGCAAAGATCAAGACCTACTTGTGCTGCGGCGAGGAGGATGAGACCGAACGCCCTGTGTTCGTTATTGTAAGTGCCACGGCGTTCTCGACGATGACTCGACTAACGTATTCGCGTTATAGGGCGAGCCCTTCGGATTCGAGCGCAACGAGGTCATCCTCCCTGGCCTGACCGCCGAAGAGTAAGCCGCATTGACTTCACGAAACACATCAAGGCACACTTACTTATGTGACGAAAACTAGGCAAAGCATGATCAACAGTCGCCCTGTTGCACCCACCTACCCCATCAATCCTGATGGAACTGCCCCTATCGCTCGGCTGGACCGTGCCAGAGCTCATACTAGAGCTATCAGCTCCTCGCTCAGATCAGCCAGATCCAATGCCATGTCCAGTGTTGGACACAGGAGTTCGGGGTACTCGGCTCTTGCCAACACTAGTCCTTCCACTGCACAGCCTCACAAAGCCGATGACGATGAGGTTCCTCACGAGATGAAGGAGCTACTTCCTCGCGACGCTGGCGGCCCCGAGACCAGCAGCAGCTTCACCGGAAAGGGAAGCGTTGAGACTGCCATCGCCGGCTGTGAGGAGGACGATGACGGTGGCAGAAGCTTCGGTCGTACCAAGTGAAGAAGTCAGCGCAAGACGTACCCCAATCGCAGTTGGAGGTCGGCAAAGTGAAGCTTGAATGGAGAGAGCAGTAGATGGGTTCGTGAAGAGCGGTAAGCAAAGAGAGCTGCATACGGATCAGATACAATTTCTAAAGATGAGGGAAAGAGCCGGCGGGCTGTGCAAAGCTCTAATTAAAAGTCCTCGATGTCGTACTTTTCTGTCCATGGTTATGCCATGATTCCCTTCCAAGTGCCTGTGTTTGGCATACCAGTAATCGCTTTTTGCGTGACTGTCGGCTTGTGTGGGGGGTTTGGCTATTTGTATGAAGCCAGAATAGTTTTCATGTGAATGTCAATCCAGTGGTAAGTGACGCGGCTTCTGCCTTCATGATGTGTCCATAACATCGTCCAGAACGCCGGCAGGTATTCTTCCTTCGTTGAGAGCCTTCTCCAGACGAGTGATCTCGGCCAAAGTCTTTGCGTTTCTGATCAATTCTTCGATGCGCTTTCTCTCCTTGTCGGTGAGCTTGACACGCGAGATCTTGTCAGCCCCATTCGCATTGGCTGTCGATGAGCCCGTGTTGATTGATCTCGATGAACGGGAGGAAAGAAGCTTCTGGGCGAGTTCGGTTGGCTCTGCCACAGTGCCAAATAGTTCGGCGGCTGTGCTGCGCTCAGCATCCTTGACCTTCTGGAAATCGAGAAATCTGACAGATGGACATCTCGCAATGACCCAGTAGCGGTAGTTCTGTGTGATGTCAGATGGATAGGTTCGGCAGATGGGCGACTGGGGCATGACTGACCTCTCTTGAGGCAACGGGGTTGTCCAACAAGGTCAGATGTGTCAACTTCTTCAGCTCAGCCAACGGGTCGAGGTCGCCAAGTTCGGACAGGGAATTCTGGGTCAAGACAAGAGTGTCAAGGTTTGGGATAGAGTTGTGCAGGCCTGAGGCGATGGCGGTGATGCGGTTTCGGGCGAGGTATAGAGCCTTCAATCTGTGGTTCTTGGGGAAATTGGCCAGTGCCGGGATGTCGTTGTCGGTGAAGTCGATTGCATCTTCATTCTGGCAGCGCAGTCGCATCAGCTTCACGGTCGTTGTCGCAATGCTTGTGGGCGGGCGTACATACCGTGATGAGACCCAAGTTCTCCAGAGCGGGAATTTTATGACCTTTTGTATGCCTATGAATCAGCTAGTTCAAGTATAGTATCTGTCCTTTCATGACAAGGGATGGTAGTACCTCGCAAGTCAAGTTCGCGCTCCTTGAGCGGGTTGAGGTATGAGAGCGAGTGGTGCACAAGCTCCGCTGTGAGTCTCATTGCGTCGTGTGTGTCGAAGGTCTAATCGCGATGCGGATGAGCGTCGTATATGTGTGTCGACTGAAGTATGAGAGAGGGTTGCTGCACTCGACTTGGTCTTCTGCCATTGTTCGAGGCGTCGCAAAAGTGTCGGCGCGCGCAGCTCTTGGCATTCTCTGTATCCATCATGCGCGCTTTCCAAATTGCTTTCCATCGCCGACAGCTTCTGTACATGGCTTTGATTGCTTTTATATCTACTCCTTGAGCGTGCTAATTCTTCGTCTCTCTTTTGCTCATATCCACGTCTTTGTGACATTTGTCCAACCGTTTCCGTCTCCTCATTCAGTACAACAACCCCTCTGCTCCATTTCCCATCGCTTGTCGTATGTGTACATCGCAAGTATGTGATCAATCCCGCCGTATCTTGTACACTGTTGCCTCTCGATCCATTCAACCGATACCTTCTGCCCTCTACACTTGCTCGGCTCCCCAACCTGCGTCGGCATCCCTGTTGTCGCGTGAGCTTTTTGATCATGACAGCACTCGTCGACTCTTACCTCATGTTGGCCGGAGGCTCGATGCTGGGCACGTATTCGAGCACGACATAGGCGATACCAACGAGTATGATGACACCACCTACCAGGTACTTCAAGATGTTGTCCGAGAAGCAGAGGCCTCCAACAAAGATGTAGAAGACTCCGCGTCCGATGAACGAGAACATAAACGAGGCATATCTGGCGACTTGAGGCGGGATTTGGAACTCTGCACACCTCGTTAGACTTGTCCGGTGTAGACCTAAGGGGGCCACGAACCAAGAAGAGCATTGGCAAGACCGAAGAGGATGATGTAGACGGCGCAAATGGTGCTTTGCACGCTGACATGGGGCCAGAATTGACTGATACCTCCAAGAACCTAGTGGTTGACTTCCCATCAGCACACGCTCAAGTCCACCGAGTAATGCGACCCTACCATCAAGGCTCCGGTTGCTAGGTTGACAATGCGGCTGCTTCCGTTAGCTTTCGAATCCATCGTAGACGTCGATTGCCTACGCACAAAATATCTGAGAAGTCCATGACGGCGATATTGCGAATTCCAAGATGCGCAGTCGAGTAGCTGTCAGGGAGTCGTGGGAGAGACAAAGAATGGCAACCTGGAAGCTGTCAATAGACAGCTCGAGGCTGGGGTCTGCGCCAAGCTCCACCGTCGTCACTGCCGTCCTCAGCCACGCGCTTTCCCGACGGGAGTGCTAAAGCCAGCTTCTCTTTGTGCTTGAATCGCAACTTCGTGAACGCTACGTAAAGTCACGTAACTGCGTGCACACATTGTTTCCACGCGTATGCCCATACAAAACTTGATGCTGAAACGAATCTGAAGCTGAAGCTGAAGAGACCACACCTCTGTCAAGAATTTCATTGTTCTTATGTACTGTTCACTGACTTCTCGGACGGCTAGCTTCTACAGGCGAGCTCTTTCAGCCAGAGACTCTTCGACAAGCTTGACTACGGCGGCAGCGCAGCCCCATGAAGTCTGATATCCGTATCCTCCGTGACCGATGCTGTGGACAACCTTGATCCCATTGCCATCTGGGCTCTTGATGGTCTCCCTCTCGGTTCTGATCCCGCCCTTGCGCATTGGTCTCAGCCCAACGCCGTGTCTGATGATATCCAGGGCCTCAATGCCTTTGCCTTCGGGTACAAGACTAGGTGTAAGGGCAATTGCGCGCTTCATGATGCGGGTCGCTAGATTGGGATCTACGGCCGAGTCCCATCTGTCTGCCTGCAAGCAACCTCCGAGGATACAACCACCTCCCGCCGCACGGTGCATAATGTAAACTGCTTCATCATCGCCATCGTCTGTTCCAGAAGTGGTGGCCATGTATCCTGGATCGTTGCGCACGAGAACGATCTGTCCGCGAGCTGGGTACATGTTCTTGTCTTGCACGCCTTCCATGAACAGAGAGAATAAGCCAGTACAGTTCACCACCAGGTCGGCCTTTTGTCCAGAGTGATGCAGTGATGTGGCATCCGCAATGTGCTTTACAACGCCTCTCTTGAATATGACGCCATTCTTGAGGCACTGTGAGACTAGCCAAGGGAGATAGATGGCAGTATTGATACAGACCGAAGTGAAGGAAGTGCCGCCATCCATACCTTCGGGCAATTCTTCCTTACTGAGAACTTTGAACTATGAGATCAAATCGAATCGTTAGTAATCATTGGGCAAAGATGAATGTGGTAGTGTCATACGTTTGGCACAACCTTGCTGAACCAAGCGTCTTCACGAATGAGTTCTGCAAACCATTCGCTAACAGGTCCCTTGTCCTTTTCTCTGCGATAGATGAGAGTGTCTGCAGGGGACAGTTCAGCATTTTCTCGTTTATGTTTTTTGTCCCTCAACTCACCTTGGAAATGAATACCAGCTTCGGGATGCTGTTCAGCAAGCTTCGCTAGTTCCGGCCATGTGTTTCTCTCATACTCTTGTGATGGAGTCCCTTCCTTGCCAACACTTACAACGTCAGTCTGGTTCAAGATCGTAATAGCCACGTGAACTCAAAGAGTACAGACGTACGGTAAATAGTTTGCACCGGCCCATGGAGATGCGTATTCAATGTCATAGTCTCCAGGCATGTGCTTCGCCGCAACAGTGATGCTATAGTTCTTGTTCTTCGATAATGTGAAAGCTGCCGTCAGACCCGACACTCCAGCTCTACAGCTTGGTCAGCAGGACGTCTTTTGAAGGTCTGCTTGCTGTTCAAACTGACCCTAAGACAACCACCTTGTGCTGAGGTGCCATGATGACTGGATTTGATCAAGTGATTGGTTCAGTGTGGATTGCTGCCTACTGTGAGTCTATCACACGCAGTGAGTTTGAGCAAGTGAGCTTCACGAGTTGGAACGTTGGCCAGAATCAAGGCAGCTCGCACTTATATTCTTATCCTTGCTTGTCCGCTTACTTCTTACGCTCGTTGTCCTTCAGTCATCAGTTTCCCGCCCCGCACCGCCGCATTATCTCTCCGCTGGCCGCAAGCCGTGATCGGCTCAGATAGACTCCTGATCTTGCCCGCCAATAAGCGCACCAATTACCAAGAAGCGCACGATCAGATAACGGCAAGTCAGAAACGGAGGAGAGGCTCTGGCATCTGGCATGTAGCTGACTCAAAAGTACGAGTAGCACGGGGTTAGCCCACGGCAATAAGCGACAGAACAAACACAAGAGAGCCGTGAGTTTTGATCCGTCCATGCGCTCATGATTTGGCGGCGTCTTTTCTCGTGAATCTGTGATGAAATGCCAAGCCCTCCAGCTTTCCAATTCTGCTCCTTGTTCTTCACTTACAACTCCTGATCCCCGAGCGTGCTGCTCTACACTTTCACCTGTCATGTCTTTTTAATTTGCTGTTCAATTCGCACCCATGCCTGTCTGCTGTGTCGTTGACTTTGGCTCGCTGATAAACCCTCCCTTACAGCACAATGGGCGGCAGTCAAGAAGAATTTCCACTCTTGAACAGCCTTGGCTTGTATGCTGCCAACATACTCGGTGATGGTATGGAGTCTTTCCATATTCTTTGCCTTCACCCACTAATGTAGCCAGGAAATTGCCTTTTCCACGCACTCAGTGATCAGTTGTACGGACACCAAAGAGAACACCAAGTCATACGTTCCAAGGTCATTGGATACATGCGAGAACATGCCGACTATTACAAGCAATTCATAGATGCTCAGCCTGGAGGTGGCACCCGAAGAAATCCCAAGAGAAAGAATGTCGGTTCATTCTCTGCCGTCTCGGCTGCTCCCTCCGAGGCAGACATCGACCATACGTTCCAGAACCACCTAGAGAGGATGGCAAAAGGTGGCACATATGGTGACAACATGGAGATTTCGGCCTTTAGCTCTGCATACAACGTGGATGTCAAGATCTATCAGCGGGACTTTGCCTACATGATCTCAGGATCTGGTGACGCAGGCGAGAGGGAAATAGCCCACATTGCTTACCATGTTGGTTTCCATGAGCTCGCCATTTCGTACTCATGCTGACGCTTCACAGGCCTGGGAGCATTACTCGTCCATCCGTAACCTCAACGGCCCTCACTCTGGCCCACCCGAAGTCACTGTCAAAGCCTTGTCGCCGGACGAGGAGCAGAAGCAGAAAGAGAAGCTGGCACAAACACCTCACGTGCTCCCTTGGATGGTCGACGTCGTCTCGTCTTCCTTACCCTTCCTCGCAGACAAGCCAACCATCAAACGCACACTTGAAGAATGCAAAGGCAACATCGATGCTGCTGTCGATAAACTCATGGGTGCTGAAGAGAACGGTAGCCTTTCGTCTGCACAAGAAAGCTCAAGCGTCGAGCGTGAGCCTGACAGCGATGAGGAATACCCTGGCAAAGACGGACCCAACAAGAAGCGAGACCGCAGACCGTCGTCTCGACAGCAGTCTCGAGAGGCCAACTCAGATGAGATGCGAGCCAAGTTCGAAAGCCACAACGACTCCGTCGAATCGGTCAAATCCGAGATTTCAGAAACTCCAAGCTCACAATCTGACAAGAAGGGCGAGGCAATTCCTGACACACGCCCCAGACCCACTATCAGACTCAAGTTCAACTCACAAAAGGCTCCTTCTCCAGCACCTGTCCCCGCCAAAGGGCCTCAACGACAGACTGCCCGAGACAAGAAAGACATGAAGAAGCAGGCTCAAAAGGCTGCTCGTAAAGAGCGGGAGCAGGCCGCAGCTGACAGCGATCGCCCTGACAGCCCCAACACATCTGGTATGAAGCTGCGCAGCAAAGGCATGGTCAACACTCCACCCATCGAGTCTGGTTTCCGTACCCTCTTCATCTGAACTGGATGCTTTTCATGCCTATGGCCTTTCGGTATCGGATGAAGGGCGGTCATGCCGGTACATGAGCAACACGCCCTCACATCCTCTTTTCTTCTTTTATGGCTCTCAATGATGCATAGCGTGGGCACTTTGACGGTCCGGAACTGTGATTTTTCTATACCACCATGAGCATGGCGACGGCGTACACAGGAGTAATGGTGGTGCATTTAGGATACGAATTGGCATCGATATGCCAGAAGCATGGCATGATGACACTAGACGGGTACTGTAACCCGAGCTTCTAATCTTTTTGGTTTCATAGCGATCAGTAACACTCAAGACGAGGTGTAACGCAATACAATGTCCCTCTGATCGATCAGTGCTTCCCCCTGAATATGAAGTTCTTGCACTGTGAAATTTTTGCGTTTTCGGCTCGCGAGTCCTGTGTTCGTACGAATTTTCTGATATTCTTGCTGTACAGTACCACAGTCGCGGCGATCTATGCCTGTTCCTGTTCTTGTTCAAGATAACGTCATCGAAATTCGTCTACAATGTCCACATCGCGCAAAACTGTTGACCGAGCTTCGATCTCGGACTCCGGTCAGCAAGTGTCTCTCAACAAAGTCCTACGAGTTTCTACCCGATCAACACATGTCGACCCCCATGAACTACCTAGTAACCGGCGCAGGCAGAGGTATTGGACGCGGACTCGCCCGCAATCTCCTCGCGCAAGGCCACCGAGTCTTCCTCTTGGATAGCAACGAGAGTGAGCTTTCAAACACTCTTTCACTTGCATCAGACTGGGCAAAGTCCTCCTTTTCGGTCTCTAGCAACAGCCTTTACAAAGGCAAGGTTGTTGATCTCAGAAACCGAGAAGAGATCAAGAATGTTGTCGGCGAGGTGAATGAGTTCTTCGGCGGCAGACTACACGCCTTGGTAAACAATGCATTCGCAACTCCACACACATGGAGAGACGAGAAAGGCATGGAAGATGATCCATCGTCTGACGACATCATGGATCAATGGGATGATAAGATCGCTGTCGGACTGACGGCTCCATTCCTCCTATCGAGACTCTGCGTGCCCATGCTCAAAGGCAAAGGCAAAGAATCAAGTGCTGGTTGTATTATCAACATTGCCTCCACTCGGGCAGAACAGGCAGAAGATAATCACGAAGGCTATAGCGCAGCCAAAGGGGGGATCCTTGGGCTCACACAAAGCATGTCCATCAGTCTAGGACATAGGCACAACATCCGTGTCAATGCGATAATCCCTGGCTGGATCAATGTCGAAAACGAGAACAAAGCAGCAGACGAGAAAAATGCCAAGTGGGAAGACGGCATGACGGATGAAGATCACTCCTGGCACCCCGCTGGTCGAGTCGGAAAGGTCGAGGACATCTACAAAGCAGTCAAGTTCCTCGTCGAATCTGACTTTGTTACTGGCGAGAAAATTGTGGTCGACGGCGGTGTCACTCGAAAGATGTACTACCCAGAATAGGACACGCCGAGCTATACGACTAATGTAACGTCGAAGGTTCCGTTCACATGATCAAGGTGCAGACGATATTATTTGGCTTAAGCACGCTGTCATTTATAGCGGATTCTTGATGCAGTGCATTGCACACCTCCAACGTATGATATTGATGAAAGAGGTCTTCAGGAACATAGATACTCAAAAAGCCAGACGTGTTGCCCAACAAGAGTACTAGAGGACGACACGATTTCAGCAGCCGTTGAGGAGGTGCAATTATACGCCTCTGTTGATTGGAAATGCTCGCGGCGACGTTATTCTGTTTCAATGGATATCTCAAGGGCTTTCACAGACGTTTGCGAAAGAGCGGTTTTGCAGTTGTGTGGTTTCTACAGAGCACCTGGCCGGGTGAGCTCAATTCATTTCCGCAGAACTCCGCCTTCTCCGTTTAGATACAACCACAAAGCCGCCCCTCCTGACGCTGCTTCTTGGTATGATCGCGAACCAGATGCACGGGCCCGTGATAGAAAACGAGCCAACCGATTTCGGCCTGATTCATAAACGAAACCCGCCCTTTCCATACGCCTAAATTCGAGAGATGACTATCACTCTCATGACCATACTAGCTGGGAACTGAGTATCATTTGTTTGATGCTGATATGGCGATGAGATCAATCTGATCAGGCAGATTATGCCAAGCCAAGTTATCAATCAGATAAAATGGCGCGGATCAATTCGAAGCTAGTTCACTAGCGCGGGGCTCATGGTTTCATCCAAGCCATCCATCGTGCTTTTCTCCTTCCACAGGGCGTACAAACCTATCTACGTGGCCGATTCGGCGTTATACAACGGCTGGCGTCAGACCATCTTATCATTTGTGGGAGAGCTATAAGTTCAGGAGGTGGTAGCATGGCTGTGCTAACGCTCCATCGATATGAGTTTTGCTCGAGGAATTCTCAGACCACTCTTCCTGCGTAGCTTCGGTAGGAATACCAAGACCCCGTGCTCGGCAATTGTGGAAACGCCATTTCTTTACAACAAAACCTTTTTGTCCCCTCAACTCCGATTATTCACATCCACCCATCGGTTTTCTTCTACCATGCCATCCAACGAAGGTCCCAACGTTCTTCAGAACACCCCCAAAGTTCTCATCATCGGAGGCTCGTACTCTGGTCTGGCAGCAACAGTAAATCTTCTAGATCTCTGTGATGGGAAGCCACCTCGCTTTTCCTCTGCACCAGCAAATGACAACTCCAAATCAATCTCCAAACTGCCTGTTGATATCACTATTGTTGACGAACGCGATGGCTACTGTATGTGATATCTGATCAGTCATTAGCAAACCTGAGCTCACCAGTCTCTAGATCATCTGATTGGAAACCCACTAGCATTTGCTTCCGACGACGCCGCCTCTAAGAGCTGGACCAGGTTTAGGGACATTCCTGCCTTGAAGCTACCTAACGTGCGCTTTTTGCAAGGCAGTGTTGCCACAATTGATTGCGAGAAGAAAGTTGCATGGATAGTAGATACTGTCACCGAGCAACGACGTCAAGAGCCGTACGACTACCTTCTTGTTGCTTCTGGTCTCAGAAGGACCTCTCCTGTTGTACCACAGGCATTGGATAGAGATCAGTTCCTTGCCGAGGCTAGAACGCATACGAAATCCATCAGAGATGCTAAAGAGGGCGTGGTAGTCATCGGTGGGGGTATGTCAGCTCGTTTCCAAATACTCAGCTAAGTACCGTACTAACTGTCCTAGGTGCTGTTGGAATCGAGATGGCGAGCGAGATAAAGGTTATTGAGCCCTGGCAAAAGGTCACTCTCATTCATTCGAGAGATAAACTCCTATCTGCAGAGCCTCTGCCGGATGACTTCAAAGAACGTAGTCTTGAAGTGCTCAAAGAGGCCGGTGTAGAGGTTATCATGGGACAGAGGGTGACCGACACAACGACTATCAAGACCGACGCCGGTTCAAAATCATGGAGACTCACTCTAGCCAATGGAGAGCAAATTACGGCTGGTCATGTCATCACAGCAATCTCAAGGAGTACACCGACATCCGGTTATCTCCCAGCCACAGCTCTGGACAAGCACGGTTATGTCAAGATCGACGCCTCGTACGTGATACGCGACTCTCCATTTATTTCCCACTGACTCCAATATAGACTAAGATTCACCGGCGACGTTCCAAACTCACAAAGTCATTTCGCAGCTGGAGACATTGCCTCATGGTCCGGCATCAAGCGCTGCGGAGGAGCCATGCACATGGGTCACTACTGCGCCATTAACATTCACCAAGACATGCTCAAGCATCGCTATGGCCAGCTGCCCACATACAAGGAACTTTCAGAGTTCCCGAATATCATGGGTCTTGCTGTAGGTAAGAAAGCCGTCATCTTCGACTCGACAAACGGAACTTCTTCTGGTGAGGATCTCATGGGAAGCTATTTCGGCAATGATCTTGCAAATTCTAGTATGTATTGTTGGTCCTCGGTTGTGAGTCTCACAATACTGACATCTATCACAGTCTGTTGGAACTATATGAAGCTTGGGCAAGCTATCACGGTGTAAATTGAATGTTTATATGTATTGAGGAATCCAAATGGTGCTTGCATGCTCTGGCAGCACATGTACGCGCATGTGCTCGAATAAGGATCGTTTTATTCTCCGATCTCCGTGAGAAGGTCGCCGAAGTGAGGAAAGGCTCGATGAAGGTTTCACAGCTATCTCGATGACCCAAAACGAACGAACGATTTTGACGATCAAGGAAAGCGCAGGGCTTTATTCAACGAGGTGGCCCCTCTTCGCACCAATGAGTTGTAAGGAGATCAACTCAGCGGACTGAAGACGGTAAAAGAACTGGGTATAAAAAGTATACTTAAACTAGACAACAGCGTTCCACAAACAAAACGCGTTACTGCAATCCAAGTGTTCATCTCTTCCTTCACATGACAACGCACTCGGCCTCGTCTCTCTTTTGATTGCTTCTAGTCAAGCGACCTTGATTGGGCTGTGGTCTGCCAGCTTTGCCTTTACGGATCTCTTCAAGCCTTTCTACGGCCTTGGGGAACTTGTACGAGGCGGCTCTTGTGTACCACTTCTTTCCCTCCTCCAGACTAACAGGACAACCAATACCGTTCTCAATGTAGTAGCCCAAAGCATACATGGCCTTTGCAAGAGGAGGTTCACTGACCGCAGCTTTGCGTGCCCAGAGATATGCTTCTTGATCTGATTGGTTCAATATGCCTTCTGCGCCCGTAAGATACCAACCGGACAGTGCGAGCTCGGAGTTGTGTTCTCCCTGTGCTGCAGCTTTCGTGTACCATGCAATAGAGTTTCGCGAGTCGACCGGTAGACCCAACGATCCATACTCGAAGGCTTGACCTAGTCTGAATTGCGATTGCTTGTAGCCCATCTTGGCTGCTTGCATGTACATTTTCTGTGCGTACTTCTCGTCGGGCTTGACTGCTGCGCTAATGGCGGGATCAGGGTTACCTGCTTCATGGAGACGTGCTAGCTCGTGGATGGCATGAGGGTTGGTGGTATCGGCGTTGTCGGCAGCTCGTTTGAGATAGACGACTGATTGCCCTACATTTCTCTGCTGGCCGAGCAGACCTCTGAGCAGAATCATGCCCATCTTGAACATGGCTGCCACGTCTTGAAGTTGTGCGGCGCGTTGGTACCATTGCACGGCTTTGTGGTAGTCCCGCTTGGTGCCGCCTCCCTCCTCAGCACCCATCTCACAGCACATGGCAGTTCGGTAAGCTGCAGCACCATGTCCGGCTTTGGCCGCACTTTGGTAAAGCGAAAAGGCTTGTTTTGGGTCTGGTTCTAATCCAAGGTCTCCAGATCCGTAGCAGTCTGCAAGGTAGAACATTGCTTCTGGGTAGTTTGCGGCGACCAACTTCTTCACGCGCTTATGAGCATCTAACACGTAACGCTCGCTGTTCTTTGCGGTTGATTTGGCGTCAAGACGACCATTTTCTGATGCCAACACGGTTGAAGCTTCGACAAGTTTCTTGACCAACGCCATCGAGGCCTTCATGTCGTTGGGATTGGCATCTACTTTTGAACGCAGCAGATCGAGCTCACTATTTGTGACTGGCCCAGATGTGCTGTTATCATTTCCAGTAGGAGACTTTGGCAGTGAAGTCTGAGGACGAATGCTTGATGAAGTATCTGTATTGTTGGCGTAGTTGCGCACAGGTGCAGGTTTTGGGGGTTGCGTGGGAGGAGCGTTGTTTAGACCAGGCCTCACAGGAACCGGATGACTTGGTAAAGCATCAGGATTGGCAGACTGACTGTGGCCATATTGCTGAGCTCCTGGTGCTGTCTGTGGGGCAGATCTCTGTTTGCCGAGTGGAGCACCAAAAGAGCGATCGGATGATGGCGGTGGGGCAAAGCCATTCTGAGTGGCAGGCGCACTCGGAGATCTGTCATCCATAGGAAAGCGTTGATTTGGTGCCCTTCCATTCATTGTTGGATCGGGAACATAACCATATTCAGCTTGTCTACCTGGGGGAGGAGCAAATCCACTCGCGACTGCGGGAGCACTTGGAGCTCTGTCACCAGAAAACTGGCGCTGAGCAGGGGCTCGGCCATCCATTGGCATGCCTGGTCTTAAATCTTGTGGTCCTGGCATTGGCCTTCTAGATGGGGGTCCCCGAGACTGTGACCGAATTCCACTGTTTGACGGACCAGATTGCATCGGCTCCGGAGGCATGGATCCTGGGGGCATTGGTCGGGGTGGTTGTGGACCACGACGAGCTTGCCCATTAGGCATAGGTCCCGGAGGCATGCCGCCCATCGGACCCTGACCTGGAGGTATTGGTCCCCTTTGAGGTGGCCCACGAGGCATTCTTCCGTCTGAAGCTGGGCCAGGCGTGTTGCCGTTCATCATGGGCCCGCGCTGCATGCTAGGATTCGGCATGGGTGGTTGTCCGTTGAACAACTGGCCATAATGTGGATCTTGGTCGTCGGAAGTGAAGGCTCTTTGTTGTTGAGGAGGCCTAGGCTGCCTAGGGCCAGGGTCGTCATAACTCTGGCTCCGCTGTTGGTTCTGCGGCGGCATCATATGATTCTGACTGGGATATTCTTGTTTGTACTGATGTCCTCTCAGAGGCCGTCCAGATTGATCTGTCCTTACGTCATAACCTTCGTTACGCGGCTGACTATATATTTGGGGCTCGTGTATAGAGGGCTGGCCGTTGTAACTGTAGTCATGCTGAGGGTTTTGTGGCTGGTAGTGTGTCGGTGGTGTGGGCTTTGAGGGTTGCTCGCGATAAGCATGATCATGTTTGGGAGGTTGTGGCGGCCTCGTAGAAGCAAGATATTGATCGTCGAGATTGCGATTATGTCGTGGGTCTCGATGTGACTGAGTTTGATGGTACATGTTCTGAGCGGGGTGGTGTGGGAGAGCGTCAGGATAGTTCGGCTCGGGAGACTGAGTGATCTGCTGGCCCTGGAAACCAAAATCGAAGGCATTAACTTCTTCCTGTACAGGGGTACGCTGGCGCAAATCTGGTGTTGACTTGGCCGAGTTCAGCTTGCTGGAAGCGGTTTGGTAGCCAGGCGCCGGTTGCGGAGGCAGAGCAGGGCTCTTCATGTTGTCGAGATCTCTGTCTATGGTAGGCTGGCGCTTGTGGATAGTCGGTCTGTCAAAGTCGGGCATAGCGGCTTCTATCTCATCTTCGCGGTTCATGGGTCGCGGAGGCTCTTGATAGTAATCATCGTAGACGCCGCCCAGGCTTTCATGCTTGTCGCCATGATGATTCCATGGTTGCTGAGGCTGAGTGAAGTCATCTTGGTAGGCTGAGGCATTGGAGAGATGGGCTGCTTGCGATATGCGTGCTTCGTAGGGGACATGTGTGACGGGAACAATGGCTGGACGATGGCGTGCCGTAACACTGCTCAGTTGAGGAGACTCTATGACGTGTGCATCGCCGGCGATTCTCGTATCCAGGGGAGCCAGGAAAGGACGTTCACGACCGTTTGCCGAATCGCTTGTTGAGGGGCGGGACGAAGTTGAATACGGAGGACTGAAGGTTGGCAGAGGTGCGAGCTGGGCTGGCGCTCGTTGTGGAGGACTGCGGTAGGGATCGCGTTGTTCATCCTGTCTGACGGCCCTAAAGTCTTGTGCATGTGCGTCCTGTCTGATGGGCCTCGGGTCTTGTGCATATGTATCCTGTCTGACAGACCTCATGTCTTGTGCATGTACGTCCTGTCTGACAGGACCGATATCTCGTGGACGAGCATCCGGTCTGGCGTGTCTCAAGTCTTGCGGAGGGGCATCCTGTCTGGCATATCTCAGGTCTTGCGGAGGGGCATCCTGTCTGGCATATCTCAGGTCTTGCGGAGGGGCATCCTGCCTGGCATATCTCGAATCTTGCGGGGGGGCATCATGTCTGGTGGGTCTCGAGTCTTGAGGATGGGATGGTGGGGGTCCAGCAGCATCTTGTGGACGAAGTTGTGGGATTGGATGGGCCGAGTCTTGTGAGCGGAAGTGCGGTATGGGGTGCGGCAGATCTTGAGGGCGCGAATGCGGTGGAGGACGTGGAGCATCGTCGGCGGTCGAGGGTCTTGAACGAGAGGTGGGTGGTGCTTGTAGACGTTCGGGCTGGTTGTTGCGCGGCCTGGTCGCATCCGGGTTTGCATTGGCGGTAAATGGGCGCGACTGGCCATGACCTTCCCTAGGCCTGGATGGATCGCGGGGTCTGGATGGATCGCGCGGCGGCCTTGTAGGTTGCGCGGCGGCAGCAGCAGCAACAGAGCGCTTGGTAGGAAAGACGGGAAAGGCGTTGTCCTGGGCCATTGCTGCGGGTGATGGTGAATCAAGCAAAGGCTTGCGGGCTCCTTCGCTTCATCAGCCTGGGTCTTCTGTGTCATAGCCTCCCTTGTCTCACCTGGGCGTGATGGGTCCCTTCTGCGCGAATCGTCTCTTCCTGGCCTTCCTCGGCTCGTCTGTGCAACCTTGTCTGCTACGAAGCGCGACTGTATGCCATGGTCTTGATCCTGTAAGTAATCCTCGTGTGCTGTCGCAACTGATCTGAATCCGGATTGCTCTACTTCCTGGCCATGTGTCGGTTGTGCGTATGCAGCTTGCGGTGCTTTCTGGAGGTAACCCCGCGGAGGGGGAATGTATTCGTTTCCAAAGTCGTACGCCATTCTGCTCCTATCCCTGCGTCTGCGTCGCCGTTGAAGCCAGCGTGAAGCTTATAGTTGCGCCCTGGCAAGCCTGGAATTCAGTCTGCTAATCCTTCGACCAGAAAGAAGAGAAAGGTCAAGATCTGTATGTCGACAAGCAATCTATCCACAACAAGCATGAGATTACTTCTCCTGCTCCAGCATCGTCACACCGAGTTTCAGATGAACTGCCCATGGTTTCGGACCTCCTGTTATTACGCGCCTGAGGAGCTTGGACGCACCACAATGCTGTCAAACCACGTCGACCAACGACATGGTGATCCCGACTTCTTTCCAAAAGCACTCCCATTCTTGTCATGCTTGTGAAACGACATGCACTTTATAGGTGCTCCAAAACACCCCTCGATCCTTCCCAAAATATCTTGTAACCAGGTCCGCAATGGCCGTGCGAGCAAAAAATCGTCGGTGGCTTGCCGAGGTCCGTAGAACACTTGGCCTGTGTTTGAGCCGCATCCAACAGACACCTCAACCGAGTGTGCTCATCTTGCTAACATCGCTCTTTGAACTCTCAGAGCCATCTTTTGGTCGACTGCTTCGGCAAAGTATTTTGCTCTCTCTCGATTTCCATCTCACCATGTCGTACGGATGCTTTCTTCGTGGCTCGATCTTCGGCATGCCTGAAGCCGAGCCATCTTTGACTGCAGTACGACCCTGAAGCATACGACTCTTGTGCTTGCTACTTGACAACCTTTAGACCTGTACACACGTGCCGTCTTGCTTAGCTATCAACGGCTATACCAAGTACCTAGGTCTTTTTGTCTGCTAGTGATCATCCTTCAGCTCTTTGATAAACGCCCTAGTAGACCCCGCTCCATATTTACGGCCGATTGATGATAAGTCAGCCGGCCGAGAGCCAAGGGTAAATATACAAGCACGCTGGCTGTTGAACAATCTGTTCCATCAGACCCCATAATCTGCCTTGTTGCTCCGCCTCTTCCACATTATGGACATAGGTAGACTATACTGCGTATTGTTGTATCATCTACAGAGCTCACGCTTTAACAGGCACTGCTACCGTTGCCGGCGCCGCCGTTGCTGCTGCTGCATACATTGACGGCAAACTTCAAATTCGCAAGGACTTGCGAGATCTTTGGAACGTCAAAAGAGCTCAATTCGAGTGGAACCGAGCAGGTAATAATACGTGCGATTTTCGGTCCATCACAGATCTAACAAGCGTCGGATTCAACAGTCAAGAAAGGGGAACCTTCTCTCTGGTCCCAATTTGAGAAGCAAGTACAACGTCTGCCCTCCTCAACAACATGTCTCTGGTCCAAGACGGGAACCTATACCTGGTCCGAGACACGTGCTCAAGCATGTCGATATGCAGAATTTCTCTCAACCCATGGAGCTCAGTCTAACAAACCGGTTGCTATATATCTCCAAAACTCTCCCGAGTTCATGTTCTCAATGCTTGCCACATGGGCACTTGGTACTGCTCCTGCGATGATCAACTATAATCTTTCTGGTGATGCGTTGTTGCATTGTCTGAAAATCAGCAGCAGCAAAGTCCTTGTGGTCGACGAGGATGCCGGATGTCGGCAACGTGTCGAAGACGTTCGTGATAGAATCGAGCAAGAATTGGGTATGCAGATCATCATCCTGGATTCTTCAACAAAGGCAACAATTGCTGCGATCAGCCCGAAGCCGGTCGATGCTCGTTATAGAGAACATGTTGACGGTGAAACACCCGTCTGCCTAATATATACTTCCGGCACAACTGGGCTTCCTAAGGCTAGTCACTTCCATCTTGAAAGAATCTGGTTCCTTGGCGACTACCGTAGACGTCTCACCAACCAAACTTCCGGACCAAACGGAGATGTCTTCTACAACTGCATGCCGCTGTATCATGGCACAGGCGGTGTTCTCGCTGCTGGCTGTATGGCTTCTGGCCTGACCTTGGCCATTGGACGTAAATTCTCAACCTCAGGCTTCTGGGATGAGATTCGCGAATCTGGGGCGACCGCTTTTGTCTATGTTGGAGAAACCGCACGTTACCTGCTGTCTGCACCTCCATCGTCAAGAGACAAGGACCACAAAGTTCGCTTGATGCACGGTAACGGTATGAGACCAGACGTGTGGAGAAAGTTCCAGGAAAGGTTCGGCGTGACAGATGTTATGGAGTTCTTCAATAGTACTGAAGGCGTCTTCACTCTGAACAACTACAGTCGAAACGACCATTATGCTGATGCCGTCGGCCACCACGGAGCTATCTTCAGGACCGTCTTCCACAAGACTTACGTCCCAGTCAAGCTGGACTACGAGACTGGCGAGATCTGGAGACACCCCAAGACCGGATTTGCTCAACGCCAACCATACGAGGAAGGCGGAGAAATGCTGGTAAAGGTCGAAGACGAGAATGTCTTCAAAGGTTACTGGAATGCGCCTGAAGCCACGGCAAAGAAATACGCTAGAGACGTTTTCGAAAAGGGAGATTTGTACTACAGATCTGGAGACGCGCTGCGAAGAGACAGAGACGGAAAATGGTTCTTTATGGACCGTCTCGGAGACACTTTTAGATGGAAGGGCGAGAACTGCAGTACTACTGAGGTTGCAGAGTGTCTGGGTAGATTTCCATCTATCCAAGAAGCAAATGTTTATGGTGTTGAAGTTCCTGGTAAGTCCACTGCGCATCGTTTATGAATGGTCACTTATCAGATTCCAGGCCACGACGGTAGAGCATGCTGCGCTGCTGTCTATATTGAGCCCCAAGATCGTGCATCTTTCGACTTCAAGGCATTCCTAAACCACAACCAAAAACTGCTGCCCAAGTACGCTGTGCCGCTGTTCCTGCGATTTGTCTCTGATGACCAGGCGCATACGATGCACAACAACAAGCAGAACAAGACTCAGCTGAGACGGGAAGGTGTGGATCCTGCAAAGGTTGCCAACGGGCAAGCTGGATCTAAGGATGTGCTTTACTGGTTACAACCTAAGGGCACTACCTATGAACCATTCGGCGAGACCGAGTGGAAGAGAATAGTAGCAGGCAAGGCCAAGCTATAGTGAGTGAGATCGGGCCTGAAAGTTTACATTGAAGCCGCTGGACTGCACATTAAATCATGTAACGTTCCTGTAGCCTAATTATCTCGATGCCTATTGCTCGCGACGCACGATTGCTGTTTCAACCAGTTCAAAGATTATATGTCAACCCCTTCACCTACGAGGTACTGTCTCCCTCGCCATCATCCCTCAACCATATTTGGAGACGTTGAAGCTGTGGATACGCACAGCGGTTGTCGTCTTGCCTGAGTCTTCCATGGATTTGTGCTACTCCGCACCTTTCCTCTACATACGACTTCAGTCCGAACATCATGGTGCATTTCAGCAGCCTAGGCATGACAGACTCTAGCGCACGTGGAAGCATCATAAAGCCGGTCGAGTTTCCAAAACGTGTTCAATGAATAAACACGTCCATCGGAGTGCATATTCTCTGGTTACTTCTTCACTGCCTTCTCGGGGTTCTTCTCATAGGCTTTACACCATTTCTCCCATTCACGTGCTGCTTTAGTCATGACAGTCTTCAAGTCCTCCTTGACCTCCGCAGTCTCCCAGTGCTCGTCCTCCCAGTTCTTCGCGTCGCCACCAGTTTGACTGGGTGCCCATCCAATAGCTTGGAGACAATCTGTCTCGGTCGGAGCAGCGCCGAACGAGGGGAAAGTCTTTGCATCTTTGTCATGGCATTTCGCCCCTAGGTATTTGTCCAGTACTTCAAGACGAGGAGAGGGCGTGAAGGAAAGCTTCAAAGTGTCTTCGTCATGCTTGCCGGTGGTGGAGGTCGACGTGAGTCGTTTCGTCACGTTACGAGAAATCTTTGCACCTCTGATCGAAGCAGCTGCCCAGACTGCGTCAATCTCCAGCAGTCCTCCGAATGGCCAGATCAACGTGGCCATGATATCGATGGCGGCAGACACAGGTAGCAATCCGGTGGCGATGACAGAGTCTCTCTGAGCTTTACTCTTGCTTCTCATCATTGATTGGACAAACTCGATCTTGAGCTGATCTGGAGAACTTTTGATGCTGTTAGGATAGATAAGAACCATCTCTTCGAGCCCGACTGTACGGTGTGTCTCTTGATCTTCCGGGTGTCCATCTTGTGAGTGCTTATTGGTGCCTTTGTCGCCTTCGATATTGATTCTGTTGATGAATTCCAGGTTGGAGCTCTTCGTCCAGCCCATAGCTACATCAATGGCTTTTGTCGCTTTGCTCTTCACGCCTTGCCAACTTGCAGTTTTGGCAGTCGAGGTTTTTGCTGAACGTACTTCCTCTTGCCATTTTCGTTGCAGTTTGTGGACCTTGGCCTCCTTCTCTCCTTCTTTGGGTGATTTCAAAGGAGGAGGTGGGGGCGTGTAGATTAGGAACCTGGCAGGAATGGCCTCTGGTGGAATGCCATGAAGCTTTGGTTTGGGGAAGGGTACCAGATATGCCACAAGTTTGTGCGGGTCTCGGGTGTAATGAACTGGTGATGAGATATCTTCGGTTGATGACCTCGCGCTCAGCAATCTCTGAGGGGGTGCTGGATATGATGGCTGTCCGCCGCCTGGCTGCAATGTGCTTGACGTGCTAGCGGTGCGAGGAGGCAGAGGAGGTGCCTGCTCATAGTATGCTGGAGGCTGTGCATATGCCTCTGAGTGTTTCTCCGAATTTTGTGGATCCATGTCTTTGACGATTGCTGATTGCTGATACCGGTTGCAGCTTTCGTGATGTCGTTCAGATGGGAAACTGTTGAGTGGGACGAGGAAAGCGCGACCGGCGTTTAAATATCAATAATGTAGCAGAAATCTCGAAACAGCATTTACCTTGACAGCATCTACCTTAACACAGCATCTATCATGACGACGATGGCCGCAAGGTTGCATACGCGGCCACCTGTGTTTCCTGGGGCGTTGTTCGGAATCGTCTGTCATTGGACGATACGCCGTATACGCAAGCAAAATACGGCGGTGTGGCCACTCGAAATCGTAAGCAATCGGCGCAGTATGGCTGGTGGTCGTCTACCTGTATACATATTCTGCAACTGTAGCGGCCTGTAACTATTTGTGGACCACAACGACCATGAGAATCATTGTGTCATACGCAGCTAGTCGTCCGCAACCATCCGAACGAGGAAGCTTGATGACTGGAGACAGCGCTCCCCTCTTTCGCGGCACAACTCCATGTCATGAGTAACCGGAGCAGATATCTTGGAAGTAGCGCTTGTCAAAACAAGCTTCTTTCACGAAACTTGCGCCGAGAAAGGCTTCTTGGTCATGGTGATGTGCTTGCAGTGGGACGCAGAAGAACACAAATTCCTTCCATGATCGTTTTCGGCCCTTCGGCACCGCGGAGCTGATGAACGTCATTTCCTACATCACTTTTTTGGTGTCTCTCCAAGACGGTTATGCTTGTCGCCATCACTATTTAATCAAGAATTGTAGGTGCTCATTCAAGTTGACTTTTCCATCTTCCACTTCTATCTTGTCCGTCATATACTTCAATTCACGATGAACGCCATCCAAGGAACCCACCAGGACGACAAGGGTAACGTCCCTACCCAACACGATCACTACGGTGCTTTTCAGACCGAGATCTACCGCAGAGGAATGTACGACAATGTCGTCCCTACTGTGACTACCAACCCAAACAAGCTTGAGGCACAAGCAAAGGAGGCTATGAACAAGAGAAGCTACAACTATGTTGGTGGAGGCGCCGGCGAAGGAGCTACCATGGACGCAAACCGTTTAGCCTTTAGGACTTGGAAAGTGGTTCCGAGAATGCTGCGCGATACTACGCACCGAAACTTGAAGACAACTATCCTCGGAAAGGAATATCCCACGCCTTGTCTCGTCGCTCCTGTTGGTGTCCAGTCGATCTTCCACGAGGACAAGGAGACTGGAGTTGCCGAAGTTGCCGCTGAAATCGGAGTTCCTTACATCTTGTCAACTGCCTCGTCATCCACAATTGAGGAGGTCGCCGAAGCGAACGGTGACGGACACAGATGGTTCCAGCTTTACTGGCCTCACGACAAAGAAATCACCGAAAGCATGCTCTCAAGAGCGAAGAAGTCTGGCTATGAAGTCTTGGTCGTGACTCTTGATACTTGGTCCTTGAGTTGGCGCCCACTTGACCTTGACGGTGCTTACGTGCCATTTATGAAGGGCATTGGTGATGCTATTGGCTTTTCTGACCCCGTCTTCCGTCGACAGTTCAAGGACAAGCATGGCCAGGAGGTTGAAGATAACATCCACGATGCTGCTCTCGAATGGCAGGCGAAGGTTTTCCCTGGCGCTGCCCACACTTGGGAAGAAGTGCAGCACTTGAAGGACAACTGGGATGGTCCTATTGTTCTCAAGGGTATTCAGCATGTTGAGGATGCTAGAAAGGCCGCTGAGGTTGGTGTTCAGGGCATCGTTGTTTCCAACCACGGTGGTCGCCAGTGCGATGGAGCAGTTGGCAGTCTCGAGATGCTTCCCGAGATTGTCGAAGCGGTCGGTGACAAGATCGAAGTCTTGTTTGACAGTGGTATCAGAACTGGTGTGGACATTATCAAGGCGCTATCCCTCGGCGCTAAAGGTGTTCTTATTGGTCGTCCTTGGGTCTACGGTCTTGGTATTGCCGGCAAGGCAGGAGCTAAAGATGCTTTCAAGGGCCTCTTGGCAGTAAGTGTATCTGGTGAAGGTTATTTGCGAGTAACACGCTAATATTTTTCAGGACCTTGATCAGAGTATGGGACTTGCTGGTATCTCATCTATCAAAGAGTGCGATAAGAGCATGCTTCGTCGCACGTTCTACCCTGGAGACAGACACTCAAATAACTAAACAGTCACTCCGAAACACCCTCGACAGCACGGTTATTGTAGACTATGATTCGAATTTTTTTTAGAATTTATACATGGATTCTAAGATAAATCACTTCTAATACTAGCTACGAAGTATGGTAATGAAATGTTTCTTCCCAAATTGTTGCATTTGTGACCTATTTAATGAATGCTTTCAAGGTTCTATTTTCCAGCGGGATCTTTTTGCTTCTGCCTATTCTTCGTGCGCTAGGAGTTGTGAGTTCTAGTCATCTCCCGCGACCACAGCTGAATATATAGGCTGTAGGAATACACAATGTCTTGGAGTTTAGCACAGTCGTCCATGAAGATGCGCTAGCTATCAACTCTAGTGGAAGTCGCCTTTAAGGTGGTAAGATTATATGTTTCTACAGCTACTCGAGCACACGAGTGACAAAGGTCGGCACATAGGGAGGCTTCATCCACTATAGTACAATCCTCACTTTGCAACAGGGGTATAGTACAACTCGATAATATAGCTCTTAGTCTATATGACGGCCTATGCATCAATTAGAAGCTCACTCTAGAACTACTGTTCATACTACAGCGCTCGGTGAGTTCAGAAGATGCCCCTTAAAAAAAGTGTCTACAAAATATATTCTGTCTAGGTCAAGTGATTGATGACAGGGTGGCCACCTACGCACAGGTTGCGAGGTCTAATTAATAAACATTCGACCTTTAAAGGCAAACATAGCCTATAGCGCACACAAAGATGCCTATGGCGTGACAATTATCTATGTTTTAATTCGTAAAGGGACAACCGTAATCACTACGTTCTTACACGTCAAGACTACGTTATTAGCTAAGCATGTCTCACTCCCGTTTATCGCTGTTAACCTTGCAACTAGAGGCAAATGCAGACACACAAACAATTAGACATCATCTAGGAAAGATCTCTAAGGTGTAGCAAGTCATGAACAAGGGTTTTATATTTAAGCGATGTTACAGCAAGTCGCAGGATCATTGCGACAGGAAGATGCTCTGCGAGCTGACGGTCGCACCAAATTGAAGGATCATAGTGCATTTTCAAACAATATTGCTATCTTCTGCCCGGCTGGCACAATTGGTCAGCGCGTGAGACTTTTATCTATTAGAGATCTCAAGGTTCAGAGTTCGAGCCTCTGGTCGGGCGTTGCTCTTTTTGCCAATTTTTGGTCCTTTACGTCGTCGACCCTTCGTTCTCTCCGTTACGCCTAACTGACTACACTGCCTCTACCAGTCTCTGCATTCGCACTTGGTAGAAAGTTATTAACTTTTTGATGTCGAGTCATCCTTCTGTTGCATCTCATGCCTCGAATCTATTCGTTCAATCTTCTTCAACTGATTGTTACCTTACTTTACATGATTATAGCTCTTCAGTACGTAGTCTCATAGTCTATCGTGTTGTGATCGCCAAACTGCAACTTCCCTCCACGTACCTGAAAAACCGAGTTGAAGTATGATGAGTCCACAAGATGAAGTCTACAAGGCTGTGTTGGCTAACCAGCATATTTGCGAGCCTCCACCATGAACAATTCTATGGTGGACGAGCAGATTCGCCTTATGTTGATCCATTGAGTCTGGTAACTCTCTTCCCAGCTGGGTTCTCACACTGATGTTTCATCAGATGACTGGCCCTAAAGTCTTGTTCAAGATTTTGTATGTAACATGTTCCGTGCGACGTGGTGACAACCGTATCATCAAGAGATGCTGGTGTTCTTTCTTGGGTCAAATCCCGGTACGCTAGAAGTAGAAGTGGTTTGTCGTAGGTTTTGTGAACATGGTCGATAGACATTGCAGGTGACCAGTCTAACACGCTCATTCTGAGAATAAGTTCGAAGGTCACACCACGTGTCAGTGTCTATAGTTGGTTTGCCTTAATGATATCAGCCTATCTCTATTGTAACACATGGCATACGGACGAATCCGGTAGTCCGCTTTGGTTATAAGTCGGAGGGCGAGTGGCTTAGCTAAGAATCGGTGGGCTGGAGCGTGTCGCTTAGTAGCGAAGACGGCTTGAGCATTGTCATTGACAACTCAGCGACAGTGATCCTTCCATTTCTTGCGACTTCAGCCCAATGGAAAACTGTCACTTCAGATGACGATCGACAAGCCCGGTTTTACAGGCATCAGTACATGGTCTGAAATGGGCAACACGTACAACGTAGACGACATCTAGACTCGCCACAGAGTTGAGCGCTAACAGCATGCTAGCATGCAGAGATAATCTCACAATCGATTCGAGGTCGAGATGGTTCTTTGTGACTTAGCTTGGCCTGATCCATGTAGTCCAGAATTGTAGCGTCCACACGACCATGTCAGGGGTAGCGTGAATGTGTACAAAGAGAAATTGCAACAGAACCGAGATTCTCGAACGCAAACTGAGCATCCAACCAGCTATCAAAGATTTTTTTACGATAGTCGAATGCGTGCTTCGCTGAAAGTGGAAAGTTCCCTGTACTTTTTTGGACAATTTAGCTCTACTTGGAAACCTTCTTGTCTAGTGATAGCTCTTTGCATAGCGGCACGGCAAGCCGAGAGCTCGGTTCTGCTCGACTTCCATGGCCCTGTGTTTACAATACTCGGTCCTAAAACACTCAGTGAGAGTGTATCTCAAGGTCCCGAGTATCGAGCTTGTTCAACAGTCTTCCACCTCTTTCTCGTCCTTGACACTATGGTCGATTGGCTGTTCTTCTCTCCTAACTCTACTACCATTCAGCTCCCTAGCTCTTTCTTCCACTACAGTCCCGATCAATTGAGCCAGTCATGTATCCAGAACCGATTCGTCATAATCGAAACAGCATGGAGTGTGTCGCGTGATTATTGTTTTTCTGTCAGATGTGTCATATCGTCCGGGTCAAATGTTGTCCAAGAAGGGATTCCAGAATGCTTGTCCAGCTGTGCCCATACAAGATCCGATTTTAGGTCCGAAGTCAAGGTCCACGTGAGCGCACACGACCAGAAGGCAGCAGCTTTATAGTCTTGTTGGAGAAGTACCACGTCGTTGGGAGTGGGGTTATATTTTGTAGTCATAGAAATCCATAGCGTGATCTTGCGCAACCACGTGCGACCTTGATGGCCACGAGGGGGTCGACATGATTCTTGGGGTTTCCCGAATATTTTTTTTCGCAACAATGCTTGTCTTGTTCTACGTCGCTCCAGAATCTCACTCCTTCAAACATCACCTGCCTAACTTGCTTGATAAGAGAGGATTGACCTGCATGCCCCAGATGAGCAGCAGCTCAGACACTGATAACGCCATCGCAGATAAGCATCAACAGAGCAGGTGCGAACAGGGAGAAATCGCGACATTGGTGCTCGATAGGAATGTCTATCTATCTTCTTGCCAGCACTCTCTTATCATGCCGTGCTCACGCGCGCATATAACTTCTACACCACGCCCACAATCGCTTGCTTTGGATACTCACCTCTTCATGATCAACACTCCCATCCCAACCAAGACCTCGCATCCAAAACACACAGGGCTTGAGGGGCCGGCCCTCATCAGCACTGCAGCAGCAACCCTCACGCGACATTAAACAAATCTACCCACCTCACTTGGTGGCAGCCACGAATCTGGTTATTGTCTTCCAACCGCTATGGACAGTGGAGCACCTTGGGATCATCATCTCCAGTTGAATTTAGCTACTCGCGCCCGCGGCCCCGTGCAAGCGAGTGTGGCCGCCCGACAATCGACATGCAGGAGCGCCTTTTCATGTTCTGGACTCCACAATCTTGCCTCGCATTAATCAGTCAGCCCTCATCAGATCAGTCTTTGAAAAGCCAATATCCACCCATATACTACTTGAGCAAGGCTATGCAGAAAAACAAGTGCCATAGGCGAAGAGAGATGATCAATGCAGCTGATGAGCATCGGCCGAAGCAACCGCGTCGCCCAGGAGAGGCCCGAAGCAGAGTCCCTCGTCTGATGGATGCGAACGCCTGGCTCCACGCGGCCGCCTGCAACAAGCACAGGCTAATATCGGAAGGACTGTTCTGCCGCTCTGGATTTCTCGCCGAGGCAAACGGACGTGCGCCGACTGTTCTTTCGATTCAGGTACGACTGACCTCAGGGCACAAACAACGACACGCGACAATACACAATGGGTAGACGGTGCCGGAGAAACCAGTTCTGCGGCCTAGTTATTTTCACCGCGTTCCGCCGCTCAAGCTGGAGGATGCAAAGTCGCAGACCCACCTCGAGAAGGAAGAGCCGTGGTGGTGGCTTGGAAGGCTTGGAAACGGCGTCAACTCCAGCCTTCCTGACCACCAAGTGAAAGCTTCTAGTAGGTACTTGCACATTCATGCATGTCTTTGCAGCATAGCACACGGCTCGAATCTTTCGACACCTCTATCACATGTACTGCGAGTTGCTAAAATGTATGGACTGGCTCCGCCGACCGGATTTAATTCCAACCAAATTGATCCTGGAGAAGGCGACGTTGACTCGTGGTAAGTCTCGTTGGGCTGTCCGTATCCGCTAGCTCCATTGCCATCCACAATCCACATGGTTCGGGCGCGTCTAACCCAAAATGACGGGGATGCGCTAAAGATGCGACATCCGCTCGCCGGTGGTCGTGTGCGGAAACACAGGGACAAGTCCCTGAAATCGACTGGCTCACTAATCCGGCTCAAGAGGCATGATTCCCTATTGAATGGCCAGGTCTTTTCGAGAGCCTAGAGACCAATTGCGGTACGTCAAGCGTGTATTTCGGCACTTCAGTAATAACGAAGTCTCGAGACTCGCAAGAAAATCGTAGCATGCAAGAAACGGAAGCGACAGGTCTAGGGGAACGGTGGAGCTTGTTGTCTCGTGCATTTTTTTTTTGCTTTTGCTTGTTCGCTTTGCAGGATTGTGAAGCGTGTGAAGATCAGCTAACCACCCACGATACATCGGTAGTTGCTTGTGGACATTTAGTAAATAACCAGACATCATTGGTGCAAAGCGCTTCCTCAGAGAGTCATGAAGATTCAAGATTCAGGCGGAGATTCACGAGGTCGATTCTAGCTTCCAAGCGGTCACATCCGTGTCGCCAGTTGGAGGTCCCCAGTTGGATGTCTCCGAATCGCTTCGGATGAAGGTTTTGAAGCCCCAAAGAGATGAACCGAAGATCAGGGTCTACCTCGGAATTTCACGGATGGTCCACACTGGTTGGTGTGGGGAGTTAGAGTGTCGCGCACGGGTAGGAGGAGGAGATGTCGAGAAATGGTCGTTGATCAAGACAATCTCGTGAGTCAGGACAGACAGTGCAAGAGGCAAGGGAGTACTCGAGTAGGAGCATCCACATCACTGCGTGAAGGTGAGATCGTGGGTGTGCAAGGATGTAGATGGATATATTGATGATGTTCATGTTGCATATTGAGGGCCAAATGATGAACGGGCCCAAGTATGTAGGTGGGTTCCTCAACCGAGCCACCGAGCGGTTCTACAACGGCACCAAACACTCGTACAATGCAATAGGAGGAGCAAGGTTTTGAGCCGCAGTGGTGGGTCTCTTGGATGGCTGTCAACGCTGTGACCCGTCGTCATCTTGGGGGCTTTGGAAATACAGAGATCTGATGGCGTGGGGGTTCATGTCGGTGTTCACCTGAGCCGATGCTGTATGGGCTGTGAGTGATGTGCCAACACGATTCGAGAGAGGGCATGATAGCCTTCGAACAAACCATCACGGACGAATCCAAAGTATCGTAACACGAGGGCTTGAACAATGTGAATCAAAGAGAAATAAGGGACCAGTTGGAAAGTGCGACGGCAAGGGCAGACACTCCAGCATGTGGCAGATCCACGCGCGAAGTGCCTAAAGGTTGGACATGGGTCTAACAAGCCCGGTCTAGCCTGTTGTGCTTTAGTGTACAGCCATTAAACCACCATAAGAGAAAACTGGCGACGTCCCGAATTGCGGTCGGTGCTCACCCCTACATTGCTGACCGAGGAAACGAGCCAACATTAGATACTGCACATCCCACCCAGCGCGTCATCTGTTCACCACTACCATCTGTTCACCATCTGTTCCAACTGAGATAATTGCGCATCAAACGTGTTGAAGCAAAGACAGCTACGCCCGCACGAACGCTTATGTATTAAGCCAAGCGGATATTCATGTCAGAAGAGCGTGGGGGCCACCAAAACATCCACCAAATGACATCGCCGCGTGCCTTCCCAACCAACATGGGCGAAATGATGGCACCTTCCTCTTCCACCACCTCGTCGGCCGTACATTCCCTTACCAGCGCGAGCACACTGGATTCCCCTACAGAGTCAACGCGAAGAGCGCTGCGTGATTCAGTGTTCGAGTCGGCAACATGGCGCGAGACGGACGGCGAGTCACCAGAGGAACTGCAACGAAAAGATCCCCTTGGCACCCAGATCTGGAAGCTATATTCCAAGACGAAGAACACACTACCTAACTCTGAGCGCATGGAAAACTTGACGTGGAGAATGATGTCGATGAACCTGAGGCGGGCTCAGCACCAGAGGTATGACTATTCGTCCAAGCTCTCTTTGAGCTCCCAGACAAAGAACAAGTCGATGCTAACAAGCCACAATAGTCGGCTTGCTCACTATCAACAGCGTGCCAACGCACCTAGTGGAATTGCGCAATTGAGACAGTCGGCCGAAGCGCAGTCGCAGTCGCAGTCTCAGTCGCACTTTCCCGCTCCCACCCACGATCACATGAATCTAGACGACTTTATCGTCCCCTCATCCATTGCTTCGCCCATCAGCCAACCCTCGCCGCCTGCCTCGCTCGACCCCGCGACTTCGGAATTCAAGGCAACTCCGACGGGCATCCCTATTCGCCGCCATCAGCAGCTACAAGAGGAGGCTCAGGACGACTTTGTCGCGCGTGCCTCGGCTCCGTCGGTCGCTCCCACTGCTGTGAACAAAACGACCGATGAGTTTGGCTATATCCAACGCCATGTACGCAAGACCAGCATTGATGAGCGCAGGGTAAGTCGTTCACTCCTTGAAGCCTTTCTCGTTGCTGACTTCTCTAGCCACCAAAGCGACGTGCCGACTGCTCACCCCAGGTCCCTCCTGTCACTACTGGTATGCCTAACGATGCTCTCCTCAACAACTATTCGCTCGACTCAGGCGCCTTCAATCCTCCTAACACTCACGGCCAAGTACCCTTTGGCCTGGACACATTCGGCTTCGACACGGGTGCCAACTCCAACCACAACGATCCCTTGCTATCGTCGGCTGGCCCTTTCCAGACCAACTTCAATTTTTCGCCTGTCGGTTCGCCCATGATGAACAATGGCCCATACACCAACATGTTCAACCAGGCCATCATGTCCAACAACTACTGCTCGCCACCTCAGTCATCCTATCAGTCCCGCGTCTCGACCCCTCAACCTATCCCCGAGCACGAGCCTGTTTTCTTCAACACTTCTAGCAGTGTCGACTTGAGGCACCACGCTCACATGAGCAGCTATACCAGCCAACAGCCTACCCCTGTTGCTAGCATGCAGCCTCAGTACATTTTCAGTCCCAACAACGACAACATGTTCAGTCAAGTCTCCGCTCCCGACCCATCGACTTCCTTCAACCAACCCTCGTCTTTCTCCATGTCGGGCCATGTCGATCCGACCGAGGTGCTCTCCACCGGCATGTCGTTGCCGCGTGACAGCAACATGTTCACCTTCGGAGCCGACTCCGATAACGAAGACGACGAACCCAACTTTGGCGACAGAAACAATTTTATGATGCAGACTGATTTTTCACCTATGGAAGATCCTGCAATGGGCGAATACCAGTGGGAGAGCGGTCTCGCCTCAGGGCAGTTTAATTCGCTGCCTGCTCGCTACGCAGGCCCTCCCGCTCGCAAGGGCGTTACAATTGGGCATACTGAGATGATTCCCTCCCCGCAGGACTGGGGTGTGGGCAGCTTGGGTCGCACGCATGGTTCAGCCGCCTCGGTCAGCGAAATTCGCAACCGCGGAAACGACCCTCGTCTCAAGAAGATACCCCGTACAAGCTCAACCCCGAACGCCGCCGCTATGGCTGCTCAGCATGGCATGTTCTCTGCTCGCCCTCAATCCTCTCCCTCATCGCCGCCCGAGTCTTCGACTGGATTCAGCTCTGTCGCTCCTTCTCGTCCTGGAAGTCCAAAGCCTGGTGACAACGGTCTGCCCACCACATGCACAAACTGCTTTACACAAACCACTCCTCTATGGCGCCGCAACCCTGAAGGACACCCGCTGTGTAACGCATGTGGTTTGTTCCTCAAGCTTCACGGCGTTGTACGTCCGCTCAGTTTGAAGACGGATGTCATCAAAAAGCGTAACCGCGGCGGAGCGGGCGCCCCAACTGTCGGTCCTTCCTCCAGCCGTTCCAAGAAGGCCGCGAGCAGGAAGAACTCTGTGGCTCATACTCCCGCCGCTACTCCCAAGCCCACCCACGATGCCGACTCTCCCAAATCCACAGCTGGCTCTTCGACGACCGCAAACACCCCTACCACTCAGAACAACCCCGTCATTGCGCCCAAGACTACCGTAGTGCCGATTGCACCTGGTCCACCAAAGCCACAGATGCCTGCCACAGGCCCCGCCCCTACGCGCATGGTTGCACCGAAGCGTCAACGCAAGCAGAGCAAAGTCGGTAGCTCTCCACAAGAGATTGAGATGGGTGAGGCGGATGATATTCCCAGCATCAAACCAAAGGAGGTCGCTCAAGCACCTATGCCTTCATTCGCGCCCAGCCAGCAGCCGACCATGATGATGAACAACAACGGTACACCCGGATCTCTGGTCACCACACCTTCTGGCATGCCAGCCGGCCCCCAAGAGTGGGAATGGCTTACCATGAGTTTGTAGGGTGTTGACTACTGGCGACACCTCGTCGACTGACAGTACTCAACAAGGAGAACCACATTTCTCCACGCAACACGTGATGCCGTGATCTTTGGCCTTAAATCACGCTGCCTTCAACTGAGCATTCTTTTCTGCTTTTTCAGTTCGATCATATACCCGCCCGTATTTCGGCACTGGGCATCCAACAGGGATTGTACCGGGGGCTGCTTTCTGATGTTTTATTGGGGTGAGCGGGCCGTTGCATCTACGGCCTGCATTTGTTTCTTGCACGGTGTTCTTTGGCGTTGTATCCTGGAAGAGGTGTGGTATTTTTGTTTTTGTTTATGATTCCCTTGATAGACTGGTGGGGCGGATTCCGAATTGTGTGGGATTATCAGATCCCTATGGCTTTTCATCTGACTTTCTAATGAGACGGACGGAATTTTGTGTAGGGCGGCTTGAAGATACTGCCCGTGGCAATGATGGTACACGATTTTGATTTATTTCCTCTTGTTTGCCTGGTTGTTTACACGATCCAATCTTTAGACTGACTACTTTCCTATTGGAGTTCTTAGGAGCTGCGTAATCAACTCTAATACAATGTCATGCCATTTCAACGTGATGTTTGGACATGAGTCCCTCTGGTGCAATTGTCGTTCCAAAAGAACCATACAAACGTCCTGGCGGATGTTTGAGACCTGGGTGCTCATGAGTACCCCTTGGCTTTTCTCCTTACTCGACGCGCCATCACCTCACTCTCCTCTCCAACGCCTCAACTCTGCTCCTGAACGCCGCCACAATGTCGCGAATGCGTCGTATCTTGTCAAACTCTGTCTCGAGCTCATCAATCTGTCTTAGGAGGCCTTGCACACGGGCGATTTCCGCATTTGCAGCCTGGATTGAAGATATCGCTCTTGAGCTCTGTCGTTGTACTGATGCTTGGGTTTCGCGGGTCAACTCCAAAACACGGTGCTGTCAGTAGGTGCGTTTGAAAGCATGGCTAAATGTAACAGTCATAGTTCAATGATGACACATGACACATGGGGCTTAGATATCCCGCCAGCCAAACTAGAAGAAGCACGCTACACACGAAACCAGGAGTTCACGGGCCAGAGTACTCACAAGATCGGCTCTCTGCTGTATACCAGCCATGACATGATCGAAATAATGGGCTAGAAGCTGTAGGCTGCTGGTGTCCACCAAGACTCTGCCATTTGCGGCCGCCGCACGAGCATTGTTGTTTGCCCTGGACAACGCGACCTGCTGATGTCGTTGGAAAGTCGCAACCTCTTCCCCATTCAGACCCAGCTGTGACGGAGGAACCGTAGAAGGTGTAGGCGCCGCTGCTCGAGACGACGAGGATGAGTGTTTCTTGGGCACCATAGATGGAGGCTCATCTTTTGACTTTCATCCACTTGCGTCTGGACCGGGAAGGCTCGGAATAATTCGCAAACGGATGCAAATGGCTTTTTTTGTATCCAGCTAGGTTACCGCGCAAGTTGCTGTCTGCGTTACGTCGGTGTTGATGGCCGGAAATGATGAGGATGTGCGCCTTTGGAGAGTGCGGTAGAGTGTTGTTGCATTTCGGCCTCGCCGTGGGTCGCCTGTGGGGGGCTCTGGCTTGCTGCCCTGGTTACTCCTGCCCTGGGCGGCCCGCATCTCGGCGCGAGAAACAAGAATTAAGCCTCTGTAGTTCACCACAATAATTGGCGAGAGCGATGCCGGTAGCACATGCCCACCCTTTGCAAGAGTGAGATGTTCATCAAACAACATTAATTACGATCCTTCAGGCGCTGGCAACTTCTCAACAGCTTGATGAGATAGGGCACCAAGGGCCCCACGTTGGTTAATTGGATGTTGCTGCTCTCTCTCGCCTTTTGCTTAGCCGCATATGAGCTGACGAAATGCAAGATGCTTTCGCGATCGGAAAGTCATCCATGAAGAGCGTCTACCTGACACACTCTCACTGGACACGACTCGGATCCGCAAAGAACTGTGCGTTGATACCGCTGGTTAAGTGACAAACTTTAGCATGGAGACGAGGCACGCTAACCGCGGATTCCTCCACCATCTCCTTTGTGGGTCATTGTGGATCTCGAACATGAATTAAAGTCAATTGACTATTGATTTCTTGCGTATGTAGCTTTGCAGCAAGAAAAGACGTTCTACTCTAGCAAAGACAATGCTCCTCCCTCCTGCGTCTCCCTCTTACGAAGGGTTGAATGTAACCTCACGCCTGAAACGCCATCCTTGTCTCCTGTGTCTGAAATCCTTCTACCGTTCCAAACGGCCAAACCCACCCTTTCATCATTTAATAATCGTTCAAGTTGTGCAGAGAGACGTCCTGGCTTCCGCGGTGGACCAAGCCATCTTTCGGCCTCTTTTCCTCATTGTCGCCGTCGGCTGTGATCTTCTTGACAGCACTGACTTGTGCTTTATTGCCTTCGTCAGCAGGCACAACATTGCCTTGATGATCAACCTTCACCCCACTGGCTGCCATGCGCACCTCGTCTTCTCCGGCAGTGCCTTGTCTGACGGCCTCACGAGCACTCTCCATGACCTTCAGCTTCTTGGCATCTCCGCGCATGCGCTCAAGGTGCTCAAAGTAATCGTTGTTGACGGGAGTGACATATGTGCCGCAGAAGACACCGACTTCGAATTTCTGGTTTGGGCGGGGGCTGGCTTCGGCGCAAGACTCTTCGAGATCCTTCAGAGACTGGTAGACGACGGCGTCGGCACCAATCTTCTTGGCGATATCCTGAGAGCTGCTGTGGTGGGCAATGAGCTCTGAAGATGAGGCGAGATCAATACCATAGATGTGAGCGTAGGTGATAGGAGGAGCACAACTGGCGAAGAAGACCTGCTTGGCACCAGCTTCCTTGGCCATGAGAACGATCTCGCGACTGGTAGTACCTCTAACGATACTGTCATCAACGAGCAGCACGTTCTTGTCCTGGAACTCGATAGGGATAGCGTTGAGCTTGGCGCGCACACCCTTTTGACGAGCCTTCTGATTCGGCATGATGAAGGTACGGAAGATGTAGCGGTTCTTAACGAAGCCCTGGCAGTAAGGGATCTTGAGGTGTTTGGAAACGGCGTAGGCAGAGATCAAGCTGGTCTCGGGGATAGGGATAACGGCATCGATGCTTGCGAGTTGTTCGGGGGTAAGTTGCTGCTTGATGGTTTCGGCGAGACGGTAGCCCATCAGTTGGCGACTGCGGTGGACGGAGATACCGTCAATGACTGACTCGGGGCGAGCAAAGTAGACGTATTCGAAGATATCGGGGGCGTAGTTCAGTTCTTGAGCGACTTGCGAGAAGACGGGCTCCTTGCCCTTCTCGATGATGACAGCCTGACCGGGCTTGATGTCGACGATGTTCTTGTAGCCGCATTGCGACAGAGCGACAGATTCCGAAGCCATCATGTAGTCAGTACCGATACCATCGTCCGAAGGCTTCGAGCCGAGAACCATAGGGCGGATACCATAGGCATCACGGAAACCAATGAGACCGAAACCAGCAAGCATAGCGGTACAAGCCCAACCACCGGAGCAGCGCTTGTACATGCGCTCGAGAGCAGCGAAACAATCGTTAGCGTTGACTCTGGCCTTCTTGGTCTCGTTCAACTCGTTGGCGAAGATGTTCAGCATCAGCTCACTGTCGCTGTCTGTGTTGATGTGTCTGTGAGCGACTTGGTCGAGGTACTCTCTGAGTTCGGGAGCGTTGATCAAGTTGCCGTTGTGTGTAAGAGCAATGCCGTAGGGGCTGTTGACGTAGAAGGGCTGTGCTTCTGAGTTGGCACTGCTGCCGGCGGTGGGGTATCTCAGGTGTCCAATGCCCATGAAGCCAGGGAGGTCGGCAACGCGGGAGCCGTCGTGGAAGACTTTGGCAGCGAGACCATTGCCCTTGCACTGGTAGATGCGACCATTGCGGGTACAGGCGGCAATACCGCAAGCGTCCTGACCACGGTGCTGCAGGTAGTAGAGAGCCTGGTGGATCTCAGCGGCAGCGTCGAGTGACGACGGGTTGCCGTGAATAACGCCGAGGATACCACACATGATGTATGGCTATATGGATGAGGATTTGTGAGGGGTAGAGAATGAGGGGTTCTGTTCGGTGACTCGAGGTTAGCCGGGCTTGTTCAAGTAGTGCTTCTTGTCAAGGCGTGTGGTCAAGGTGTTGCTCAGTTCTAGAAAATGTGTTCATGAAAGATCACTAGTCTAACATCTATTTTTTACTTCTGATCTCATCCGTGCAAAGTGAAGGTGTTTTTGGGCGCAAAAGAAAAGTCTGCAACTCACGAGTCAAGGAAGCCTTGGAGTAGGGTCGAGGGGTGCGCGTAAAGATAGCGAAGATGTTATTGGCAGCTGGACATGGGCCTGACCAGATTGTCAGTGAACAGGAAAGGGCAGTTGATGCCTTGGAAAGGCTCTTGGAATGGAGATAGACATTTTGTTAGGAAGGGTTCTTCGAGCTCCAGGGCGAAAAAGAATTATCTACACCCGGGCGCCGGGCAGCCCACGAGTGCCAAGGGCCTGAGCGTCCGAGGGCCCGATAGCGGGGTCCACCTGATTTTCCATCCTCCTTTCCGGAGCTCCTGCGAAGTCTGCTTATCTGATCACAACCTCGAGAGCACCGTAGCGTCACCTGTGCAGGAAGCTCTGGACTCCGGTAACAAGACTTTTCAAGATTGCGCTATGAAGACCGAAGAATCTATGGGTCTTTCTGCCATTGAGACAAAGTCGGACATGCAGAGAGATCATGGGATGCTGCCAGGATCGGTCCCCTAGGTCATCATTCACGACTCGTATTTTATGGTTTTATCAATGTCTACATGTTTGACATCAGAAATACAGCTTCGTTATATCTTTGATTACAGTCGTTTCTGAAGAAGGCAAGTTTGATATCGAGGACAGCAAAGGAAAGGCATCCGTGGTGGTACACTGGTCTGAAGGTTGAAAGCCCTTGATCCGATGGTACTCTTCACTTGAAGTTGGTCCAAGACGTGATGGAACATGGTTTCACCTCCTCCTACAACACCTCTCAACATCTATGCGCTCTTTTGTCTCAACTCTCTACTTAACCTACTCTTCTTTATTCTGTGCACACCTCCACTTACCTTTCACTTCAAAGCAATAAGACTACTGTGGAAGGGTGTCTATCTGTTCTTTTTCCTGCCACACTTTTGACCTCACCCTCATCCATCCTACACCACAACAAGGTTCATTCATGTCTTGAGCCTGACTCTCCGCGGCCTTCACTCTGCTAGTTCTCATTGAGCTGCCTTCACTTTGCTGGTTCTCATTGAGCTTCTCTGCTTTTCAAACAGTACAGCAATCCAACCTCTGAATACAAAACCACGTCGACTGGCATCTATCAATCATTGCTCCCCATCATATCCTACCTTTCCTCGGATCAATCCAAGATGCGCAGACCAAGCAGTGTCGCACCTGACCGTACAGGCACTCATCATCGTTAGTGATTAACATGATCCTTCCACGTTTTTATCTGACCTCCATGACAGAGCCCATCATGATCGATGATGATGACGACGACTACATGAATACGAACATGTACAATATGATCACTATCGACGATAAAGAGGGCAATCCCTATGATACGATCACTATCGAAGACGACAACATCGATGATGATGACGTGGAATTTATTTCTGAGCGAACTCCGGTCACTGACAACGATGCTCGCTGGGGCGCGCCCCAATCGTCAAGCCCTGCAAGTACCCCCAAAAGAAGACCAAAAAGACCCTTCGTTGTCTACGAGCCCAGGACGAAGCCTATTGTCAACACGGCATTCCTTGAAGCACATTGGGTCTCGGACAAGCACTGTGTCGTTCCCGGTCTTACCGTTGAGCTGCGCATAGATCCCAGTGCTCCCTTCAAGTGCGGTGATTTCCTTCGTATCGAGAGCATATTTGAGGATCTGGACACCAAGAATGTCTACCTTAGAGGTATTCTCTTCCGTCGCGCTAGGACTCTAGAGGGCATGCTTCCCAAAAAGCTCAACGAAGTGTATCAAGTCCTTCAGCATAACCTAGGAGATTCCCGTCCTATCCACACGCAATCTCTCCATGACGTTCCTGTCAATCTGGCCACTGGAATTCGTGGCTTGAGACACACCAATGCTCTGTTCCCTCAAAACAGTTTCCGCACATTCGAAGACATGACTGGACGAAACCCAGCTTTTGTCCAAGCCAATGCCGGGCTCACATGCAGATGGAAAAGAGTCTTCCAGTACACTAACGCCACGGATCTGATGACTGGCTATCCACATGTGCAGTCTCTTGAGAGACTGACCGACGCCGAATGTGATGAAGGTCTGGCCATTCCGGACTTCATGCTGCGTCGAGCTGTTCCCGAAGTCGACTCTGACCTCTCTGTCGTTGACCTTACTGCTGAAGAAGCAGCCAGCAAAGATGCTAAGGGCTTAGCGGATATCCTAGGTCAGATGGGAAAGATGCGCATCTCGGACCTAAGGGCCGACTCAGCCTTCACATTCGCCGACTTCTTCTGTGGAGCTGGAGGCGTTTCGGTCGGAGCTAAGATGAGTGGCTTCAAGATTTTGTACGCCGTCGATCACGACAAGGATGCCTGCTCTACATATCGTCTCAACTTCCCTGGCACACAAGTGTTTGAAGAAAGCATTCACGACAACTTGACTTGTCGCAAGCAGAGCAATGCGCATGTTCGTTGTTGCCACATGAGTACGGTTTGCAAGACTGTCTCTACCGCCTACACCGTCAGAGGCAAGAATCACGACGCTAACGAGGCGACTCTTTTTTGTATTTCGGACATCCTGCGCAAGGCTACGCCTATGGTTGCTACGCTTGAGCAGACCTTTGGTGCTCTCAACAAGGGCAAGAAGCAGATTTTCAACGACTTCGTCTGGCAGTTTACTTCCATGAACTACTCAGTCAAGTGGGCCGTTCACACTCTCTCTGAGTATGGTGTCCCTCAAGCCCGAAAGCGTCTCATAATGCTCGGAGCCTGCCCTGGTCATCCATTGCCAGACTTTCCTTTACCCACTCATTCTCCCTCTCCCGCCAACCCTGTTGTCGGTCTGAGGCCCTCAGTGACCATTGCCGATGCCCTCCAACCCATCCGCCACAATACACCAAACCACAACCCAGGCAACCTGGATCCCAAAGACTTCCTGCCATACAGCCCTCACCAGCTGGTGAGAGGATGCATAACCACTAGCGGTGGCTTAAACAACTGGCATTACAGTGGCAAGCGTCATTACACCGAGCGAGAGTTTGCGTGCTTCCAAACCTTCCCCCTGGACCATGTGTTCATTGGCAACAGAACTTCTGTCGTTCAGCAAGTTGGAAACGCAGTCCCACCTGCGTTCTCCTCGAAGCTTTACGCAAGCATTCGCAAGTGCTTCGAAGAGGTTGACGAGGAAGATCGTGAAAGAGTTGCACCTATCGATTTGACTCACGACGACGACGACGTTGATGTCGACATCGAGCAAATGATGAAAGACGAGAGAGTTGTTATGGACTTGACTTGAGTTACATGTGCTGTATGGACTTTTCTGCCTCTTTCACGTTCTTCACAAGTCAGCCAGCCACATTGTTTTTTCCCCTGCATGTTTTCCTTTGTCTTCAAAACGCAGAGCACAGAACATGCTTTCCCATGATGTTGTTTCCTCGTTCCATGTTTTCTTCCTGGCCGAGGATCGCAATCACTGTCTTCGCCATCTGATAGTCAAAAACAAAAGAAGGAGGAGGTCGATAGCAATCGCAGGACGAAGGATGGTTCCAGACAACATCACCTTTTTGTTTCTCGTTAGTAGCAATCAAATCGTTCTCTTCTATAATGTTCCCATGAGATGTGGCTAGTGCATACAAAAAGTCTATCAACATGTTGCTCGTGTTTAATGTTCTTCTTTCCACCCATCTCTAACAGTGCGCAAACTCGAACTTGACTACCTTCGCCAACCCCCTCTCATAAACTGTCACTGGACACGATTCTGAGTTGAGGATTACTGTGCGTTCCAATAGCCACACGCCTGACAGTGTCTAACTCTCTCTGCCCCGTCTCTAGTATCGAAATGTGTAAGGCCGTGTGCTGTAGTCTTTTACCATCTCTCCTTTGGTGGTTCCTTGACACATTGAAAGCTGAAGAGATGTATGATGTTTTTGTTCTGTAGTCGTCCACGGAGAACAGGCGTCTCTATACGCTCTCACTGGACACGGCCATGAGTTGAAAGTCATCGTGCATTCCGTCAGAGGATCGACACTTTTATCCGATGACCAAGTTTGGAAGCATGTGCTGGAAAGGTTCAATTGGGACATGCATAAATCATTAAGAGAAAGCCCGTTAAATCAATGACAGATTGTACACCTTTGACTCCTGAGCCTTGAGACGATTGTAACCTACTCTAGCATCACTCTCTAGTACGGTTTCAGCGCGCCAGAAAGTTCGAAGTCTCGAATGGCTACACAGATCGCAACTCTCTGCTCTGAGGCTTCTCCAGAAATGAGAAACACTGCCTGAATGACCACTAGACATCTGCGGCGAGATTTGATCATATGCGACGCAGACTTGCAAGCTGTAGCACGAGGAATGCTCCACGTGCATGAATGATGTCCTCATTCCATCCCACTGTAGCGGCAACAGGTTGAATGTGTCCACACTCTCTTCGAATTGAGTAAGAGGGTAGAACGAGGACGAGAGGTTGACACGGAAGATAGGCCATCGAGTACTGTACATGGAGTAGGATGGTCGACGTCCAACAGATGGGCATCAACGGGGCCATGTCTTCGGTCGCTAGTGCGAGGGATCTTAATCGTAAATGTCAGGCAAGCAAACATTGTAGACAGCTTTGTCCATGGGAGAGGCTGTGAGGTTGCTGCGTCAACACTAGTCATGACCTTCATCCATAGTGAGCGGCAGCCGTGGTCGAATTGACAGTGCCATAGTGGTAGCAAAATACCACTTCAAGAGAGATCGACCTCTCCTTGCTGGTGCATGTCGGTAAGGCATGGATGTATGAAAACAACTGATTTCATGGCCTCTGACGAGAGATCACATTCTTTTGTAGAATCAAATTGCAGACTCCGCGCACCTCTGTAACAGAAGCGGTCAGTGCAGGAGGAGTAATGGTAATGGCCAAGGCGCCGGTAAGAGGTGACTTTCTCTTGGTAGCATCAACAGGTTCGCCCCATCTGTTGAAGCCATTCTTTTCCAATTCGTCTATAAAGGTGTCTCGAAACCTTCTCATGACCCAGGAGCGAACGGTACGTTTCTTGGAGATAGACACGGGAGTCTTGATGATCCAGTGTAGTCGGTTTGGATTCCAAGCCTCGAGGCGACGTGAGAAGGGAATTTGTAGAGGATGGCGATCATCACTGGCAATGCCTTGGGTATTATTGAACCTGGCACAATTCAAAGAGTTCGGAAAACGCTCGAATCGCAGGTGGTACAGAGTGGTGAGAGCTCTTTTGGGAAGTCGAGCCCGCGACATGATGTGATCATTGAGGAGTGAACAGACGAACAAAGAAAAGAGAGAACAATGGCCTACTCGTAGTGAAAGCGCGGTGGAAGTGTTTAGGCGCTGGCCAAGAGATTTGGCAGGCTCTGAATCCCCCACCCAAAGCAACCCATGCGTCACAGCGACCACCCCTCCACTCTCTTTCTTTTCCACAACGACAAGCACTTTACTGTCAACGACTTTTTCGCACCCTTAGACCCAGGCAACGAAGCCGCACTAGTCAAAGTCCAAATTCACAAGCGACACATTCGCCATGCCCAAGAACAAGGGAAAGGTATGCGCCCGCAAAGCCCGAGCGACCACGACGAAAAAAACACCATCTGACTTGTATGTGGCAAATAGGGTGGTAAGAACCGAAGAAGAGGAAAGAACGAGAACGACAACGAGAAGCGTGAGCTCACCTTCAAGGAGGAGGGTCAGGGTATGTGGCACTCTACAACAAACAAGGCGCAAAAAGACACGGGACTGACAGCGGACGCTACAGAATACGCCCAAGTCGTCAAGATGCTGGGTAACGGCCGACTGGAAGCACAATGTTTCGACGGCGAGAAGAGACTAGGACACATCCGTGGCAAGCTGCGAAAGAAGGTCTGGATCAACCAGGGCGACATTATCCTCTTGTCGCTGCGTGACTACCAGGACGAGAAGGGCGACGTCATCCTCAAGTACAACGCCGACGAAGCACGAAGCTTGAAGGCATACGGCGAGCTGCCCGAGTCGGCCAAGATCAACGAGACCGACACATACGGCGGTGAGGAAGAGGGCATCGGCTTCGACTTCGGCGAGGACGACAGCGAGAGCGGCGGTGAGGTCGACATTGACGACATCTAAGCAACTCGCTTGGATTGTGCAGTTGGGCTGCTGGCGATGCATAGATGGATCTGCCAGGCGGCATTCACGATTTTAACCAGCGTTGGGCGTCCTTTTCTTTCACGAGCATCTTCCTTCAAACTGGGTCTGACGCCGCCGGGCTGGCAAAAATGAACTTCTTTTACTACCTGCTTCTACTACCTGACGAACGCAATGCATAAACAATACCCTAGTACCCCGTAATGACCATTCGGTGCATTTCCATCTTCATGACCACATCGAGTATTTTGAGATTTGATTGCAGGCACATGTGATTGGGCAGCAGCGATCAAATACATGGGAAGCCAAAATTGGAAGTGCGGAAGCGGCGGGCTCGGCGAAGGACGCGCGTGGGAGAGGCTGGTCACTGGTCACTGGTGTTCAATGCTCATCCATCGGCCTTGGGTCCCGGCCACGGCTTCCAAACGCTGACTGACGTACGCGTGCCTCTTGCTCTTTACTTGCTGTCTACGAGTAGTTTCACCATCTTCGACTCCCCCACTCTCGCCTGCGCCACTGTGAATTGACACATGTGCATACCCTCAGAATGCCCTCTATACTGAACGACGACGACAAGCAGAATGTCAAGCGGCAGGTGCCCAAGGCTTCCAACAAGATCCATGCCGTCGCCGTGGCCAAGTTGTACATTGCCTACCCAAACCACAATCGATGGCAGTATACCGGCCTGCAGGGCGCTGTAGTCCTCGCCAATGACCTGGTCGGCAATACCTTCTGGGTCAAGATGGTCGACGTCTCGGTATGTCCAAGGAAACCATACCGTGTGCCCCGCTAATGCTCTGTCCAGCCCGCCAACCGCGGCGTCATCTGGGACCAGGAAATCTACGACACGTTCCAATACAACCAGGACCGTACCTTCTTCCACACCTTTGAGCTCGAGGACTGCCTGGCCGGTCTGTCTTTTGCCGATGAGAAGGAAGCAAAGCAGTTCAAGAAGAAGATGGACGAGCGCGAGAAGAATGCACACAAGAATACAAGAAACAAGCCCTTTGGCAGCGGCAGTGGCACTTCTCAGAGCTATGCTTCACCCAGTGCCGGCGGTGGTGGCTCGACCAAACATCGCTTCGGACTCAGCAGTCTGCTGCCTGGACATCGCCATTCCAATGCCGCCCCTCCCCCCGCTCAGTCCATTATTCCTCCACGTGAGATGACTATCAGCCATGCCGCGCCTGCTCGCCCTACGCCATCTCACAATCTGGACATGTCAGATCCCGTTGTGCAAGAAGTCCTTAACCAGCTACTGGGCATGGGCATTACCGAGGATCAACTAGAGGAGCACTCTGGCTTCATTCAGACATACCTCGAACAGCACAAGGCCAGTGCTGCTGCCGAAGAAGAGCGCAAAGCTAGAGCTCCTCCACCACCCCCTCCTGTCGCTGCACAGATGTCCCCCCAAACCACAGGAGGTAGTGGAACCAACTCCAGACGCGGTCCTCCGCCTGCTCCACCACAGCCTAGGAGGGGTGCAGCACCGGCGAGACCTCCATCACCCTCTCCTTCGCCTCCACGCGCTCCCTCGCCTCCGAGACCTATGTTTCGTGCTCCTCCTCCAATTGCCGATGCTGGAAAGTTCGCCAATGCTCCTCCACCACCTGCCAGGTCAAGGGCTACCTCTTCTGTCGCTCCTCCCCCTCCACCACGTATTCCAGCAAGAGCGCCAGCCGAAGAACCATCTTCGTCCAAGTTTGGTGTTCCTCCTCCTTTTGCGGGTTCTCGTATTCCATCCGGTCCTCCTCCCACACCTGCCAGAGGCCCTGTACCCCCTCCTCCCCCAGCCAGGAACAATGTCGCCTCCCCTGGTATTCCCATGCCACCCCCACTGCCTCCAAAGACTCCCAACTCGGGTGCTCCTCCTCCACCACCTCTTCCTCCGCCATCTGCTCGTCCTGTTCCGCCTCCTCCTGCTACTGGCAATCTTCCGCCCCCTCCCCCTCCTCTCCCACCATCAGGTGGTGCTCCACCGCCTCCGCCTCCGCCTCCACCAATGCCTCCTATGGGTGGCGCTCCTCCACCTCCTCCATTGCCACCAGGCCGTGCTCCCGGTGGAGATGCACCAGCACCTCCACCTTTGCCCCCAGTCGGCGGAGGCGGCAGAGACGATCTTTTGGCCTCCATCCGAGGTGGTGCCCGTCTCAAGAAGGTATCAGATCAAGAGAAGAAAGACCGCAGTGCTGCAGCAGTACCTGGTGGTGAACCTGCTGCTTCAGCCAGTACTGGTGGCGGCGGCGGTGATGCTGCTGCTGGCGGTGGTCTTGCCGGTGCTTTGGCTAGTGCGCTCGCTGCGAGAAAGTCCAAGGTCAGCCATAGTGGTAAGTTTTGCCTCTGCTCTATCAGTAGTTACCGTGTGCTGACAATTCCACAGATGACGAAGACGACAAGGACGATTGGTAGATTTTTGCAAAGAAGTGATTCAAAGGCGTATCCATTTTTAGTCGAGCGAGGTGTTTTTATCAGAGATACCACCGATAGCGCACTCCTCCATTACAGGGGACAAATATTGTCAATCTATCATATATCAAGGCTGTCACGCCGCTTTTCCAGTAGTATAGAGTTCCGATCAGCAATGATCCATGTCAAACACTGCTTCTTTTCCTCGGCCACTCTATCTCTATTGAACTCGGTTAGACCTTTTGTGGTTCCTCTTGGTCTTTTTATGAAACTTTCATAAACATGCTCTATGTAGGTACTCGCCAGAGAATGCACAAACCATTCGAGAATCAAACAGCATGGCTCAATTGTACAACACTTCCACCGGGCAGTCTTCTATTGTCAATCTGTCCTGCACTATCACTGTTGCATACGGTCTATGATAGCTAGCATGCGCTAGGTACCAAGTTTTATGCGCTCAAACTGATGCGCGATCTAATTGTTTCCGGATGCGGACGGACAACAATGTTGATGCTGAAAGTTCAAAAGCAAGGAGCAACTCGAATATGAGAAACCTACAGCCTTTTCACACGAAAGTTATATCACTGCAGCTACCAACGAATAGGAAGTACAAATTACTGAAGTGATCGGACCAATCGAATGAGGTTTTGTGGTGCTGTTAATGAATGATGATTAGATCAGGGTGATCCGGCCAGCATGGTCAGCTTTGAACACAAATACTTCGTCACAGACGAGAGCCCATCTTCTATCACAGACACACATGATGAACAACCTACGGACCAGCTCCACACGGAGCCTGAGAGGCATACGCCAAGTTAGAAAAGCCTCGACACTCAATCAGAACCCCAATACCGCACCATCACTCTTCCGCAAATACCGCGGCATCATCCTCTGGACATCCATCGGCCTAGCGGTTGGCGGCACCACGGGTACAATCGTCTCGCACACAATCGCACCACCACCGCACCCACTACCAGAAACACACGAAGATGGCATTCTCATGCAAGATCTCAACACCCGCATCGACTCTGAATTCAAAGTAAAAGTCCTACGAGGAAAATGCACAGCCGTAGCAGCAAGCCTTCGCGGCGACGAAGGCGTCTGGCGCGAACTCGACCCGACAACGCTAGATGGCTCGTTGGTGTCAGATTCGTTATCCGGAGCCCGCTCGCTAGGCGTACAACGCGTATTCTGGAATGAGAAAGAGCATGAACTGGTAGCCGTGGTGTGGTTCGGCGGTGCCATGTCTGGATGGCCTGGCGTTACACATGGCGGTGGCATTGCGACTGTGGTCGCGGATAAGATGGTGCTGGCAGCGAGGTTGGCAAAGGGTATTGCCCCTGCACAGGATGCTTCTGTGGGGCCTACCGAGCCGACGAGGTTGGATCTGACATACAAGAAGCCGACGTATGCAAATGCGTTCTACGTTGTGCGTGCTGTGCCTAGATATGGTGCCTTTGAGACTGCGTCGGCCAATGATATTGGAGTTGATGCACAGCTCGAGACGTTGGATGGTACGGTGTGCGTGCAGGTCAAGGGTGTGGTACCTGTTTCTGAAGGAGAAAGTGCCATCACGTCTTCTATTAAAAGTTTGACTCCAGCGAAGTCATGGCTGGGCTGGACTTCTCGCTCAGACATCTGAGAGGAGGTCCGATATGACCAATGCGAGCATGGTATTTGCAGCGAGTCGAATAATCCGAGGAAGGTAGACATAGCTCCAACTCACAAACCATGGTTTTGGAACGTCTTACGAATTGGGCTCTCACCTGCAGTCACAAAAGGAGCACTCGAAACATAGAGGACCGACCAAACCATTCGGACAACGGTAGTGTACATCGTCCTTGCTCAGAACCTGGTCAACGAGACAAATGTATATACAGCAAGGAGAATCTGGGTTCGTAACTTGTCCCGCTCATCGTGTTCTTGCCCAATCGCGCAAATCCTATACAGTAGTCATGTGCTGAGCATTGTCAGCGTGTATCTGTTCAAATGCACCAAATCAGTGTCCGGTGAGGATTATTGTTGTCGATCAACGACGATGATAAAACAAAGCTTCGCGGATCGAAAATGAAAACGGAAGAAGATTCAAGATGGTCAGCTTGATGTGGTGGAATAGAAAAGAAGAAAACGTGAGCGCACTTCCTGGCGCAATTGAAAAACACCCCTGAAACCCTCTCATGATTAGTCCAGACCCAGACCCAGATGCTCCATTAACCCCGAACCCATGTCGCATTATTTTACACGTCGTGCACGTAGTATTATGCCTTTTGTGGCGTCCATCATGCAATCATCCACCTGTTGTATATTAGTTTCGGACAAGTCGGACGAATATGAGGTGAAACTAACCATGCACCGCCAACGAGAGCAACAAGGATAAGTGCTAAGAGAGAAAGTTAGTGATGCTGGCCACAAAATCTGAGAGGTTTGCACAAACCTGTTATAATACCAGCACCGGCTCTGTCGCTGGTGTGGATAGGATCGGGTGTGGCGATAGGGCTCGAATCGCCGCCAGTGCCAGCACTGCAAGAATCGGTCAGTCGTCATGAAAGCAATCGGGGAGTCAACTACGTACTTTGGGTTGCCTTGAGAAGTTCCGCCGGTCGAATTGGACACAGGCCCTGAAACCTTAATAAGTTAGCGAGATGACAGTCTCTGAAGCTCGTGAGCTAGGACATACTCTATCTATGAGGTTGGACTGAATGACCTCGAGCGCGGACATCTGTTGTCCAACACCGTAGGCGCCGTCCCAGACTCCATTGTTCCACCACTTGGTTCCGCAAGTCGTGCCGTCATCACCACCACTGCAAGACAGAGCTGCAGCTGCAGCGGATGCCATGAGGTAAGGCTTGATCTCATCATAGAGCCAAGGAGCGACCTTGGTAGAAGCGGCCATCCAGCGGGACAGGTAGGCTTTGAAACTAAGCTGGTCGATGTTACAGTTGTTGTTAGGTTCGCAAGCTACCTCGAACATGACCTGTCCTCCAGCGCCTGTGTTGCCTTGATCGGTGAAGAAGACGTGGGTTGCATTCCAGATGCCAAGGGTGCGCTCTCTCCAGATGTCGTCTTGGGTAACGTTCCACATAGTGGCGGCACCGAGAAGATGAACACCAGCATTGTAAGACCACTGAATATGGTTGAGCTGTGTGCAATTGATCTTGTCATCGCTACCGTCGTAGAAGTAGTAGTCATCGCTCATCAATCCAATGTCATGAGTCCACTGGAAGGACTTCTCGGCCCACTCGACGTAGGTTTGGTTTCCAGTGTAAGCAGCAAGACGAGCAGCGATGTTGAAGAAGGCGCCGTTGGAGATGGTGTTCTTGTAATCGTATCCATTGTTGAAGGTGAAGATCTGCCATCTCAAACCTCCGCCACAAGTCGAGTCGTCCCAACGCAGAGCTTGACTGTTGAAGACGGCTTGGGCGAGAGCGAGCCACTGAGGCTTGTCTGCAGGAGGGTTGGGGAACTTGAGCTCGGCGGCAGACATGGCAGCCATACCCCAGAAGGCTTGATCATCGTTTCCGAGTGATTTACTTTGATTGCTGGGCATGTAATTGTTCTTGTCGCCGACTTGGAAGAGCATGGCCTCGGTAGTGACGGCGTTGTAGCTCGTGTCTCCGGTGTAGTACCAGTAGTCGATCAATGAGCCAAACATGGCGCCTGCTTCCCACCAGTAGTATGGTCCAGGAAGCAAACCAGGAATACCGCCAGTCTGGTTTCCGTTGTAATATCTCATCATTCCGTGAGCAACAGTGGAGGCGGCAGTCTTGATTGATTCTGTCCCAATTAGTTTCTTCGGTTACAGGATGGCGAGAGGCACCCACCTTCGCTAGACAGATCGACCGTCAGAGCAGCACATGGCAGAATGGTAACGGCGGCGCATGACAGGCCGGTCAAGATTGAAGAAACGCGCATTTTGATTGCAGTAATGTACGTTGAGTAGGTGAATTATACGAGGCACGCGCCGGCGTCGTGCAAGTGGTGATGATAGATGCCGGATGTTGAGCAGGGACAAGTAAAGATGGGGAAGGATGTTGTTGCGGTATGGCAAAAGTGACAAGCTACTGGCGCATCCGGAGCATCCAGTAAGTTAACGTTTAACCAAATTTGCGATCGAGGTGATCCCGATGGTGACGTCGGTTGAAGACAGGGAGAGGTGAAGGGCGGCAAACAGAGGCAGCGGCGTCACGGTCAAGCGGATGGTCGCGGTTGAGCGAAAAGGAAGGCACGGGAGCAAACAAATCCCAGCAAAGCAAGAAAATGTATGTTAGCGAGAGTGGTGACAATGGTGGATACGGTGGCGGAAGAATGTCAGCTCGAGAAGAGGGAAACAGAGCAGGACAATAGTGCCTTAAGTCACGATGGTGCACGTTCTGGCCAAGCGGTGCCGGCGCCAATCAAGGGACTCCCCGCTCTGGGCAGCCCGCTCTCCACACTTTAGCGGTTGAAGATCAACCAACATGTCCGTCATTTCTCCAAATTGTTTCTGTGTCAGACCAGACCCTCCACCGCTCTGTCTTGACTCGGAGGGTAGAGAGAAGTCATGGCTCATGGCTGTCAGAATGGCATGTATACACGCTCAAAACTACAGGTTTGCTGAATCACCAGACTACGAAGCGTATAGACCAAGGCTTGATACGAGAGGATTGCATTATGACGAGAGGTGGCGCCGAGGCTGGACAAGAAGAAGTCTGGCAGAGGCCAAGCACCCGGCGCCTTTTTGACAAGAAGTTTTTATGATTTGCTGTTGCCAATGTGCGTCGCAACTCGCAGTGGCAGTGCATTCCTTCTCCTGAATTTCGATGAAAGGAGAAGCGGTGTTTCGATATTCGAATGTTGAGACATGAATGACTATGTGGTACACGTGACAGACAAAGATACAGAACGCAGATTGTCGGCATGTTGTTGCAGCCGCCAGCCGAGCCAATAATGCTTGCTCGGGTGGCTGTCTATTCTTGCAAGCCGATTGAGCTCTGATGTGTCAGAAAAGATCACAGAGAGTTTGCCCGGTGCTTGCACTGTGTTCGGCCTTTTGTTGCTTCAGGCCGACAGCCAAGTAGCCTTCTATTGGTGAAGCTGGCAAAGGACAGAGCCGCGGGCGGCCAACAAAGCATGAAAAACAACAAAGAATATCAACAACAGGTGTAGAATAGAGGCGATAGAGGCAACGGTCCAATACAGCAATTGCAAGTCGCAAGAAACCCGGTAGTTAGCAGCGTAGACAGAAGAGTATTGCAGAGTCGGGTGCTGTGACAACGCAACGCATTTTTGCAGGCAACAACGATATTTCCAGGTTTGGCTTCCGTCTCATGGTGCACCGCCCCGCTCACATCCTGGTCGCGGCGTTTTGAGCTTCTGTCGACCTCTATCCACGACGCTCTCGTCACCACTTCTACTGCATCCTCACACCACTCACAACTCCGCTCCAAATAATCCCTTTATCGCTTCCCTGCGCTTCCGCTCTCGCTCCATCGTCCACAAGACCGCAAACCCCAACCCGCCGTCACACCGTCAACCGCCTCGCCACAATGTCCGAGCAGCCTTACGACCCCTACATTCCCTCCGGCCAGACTGGCGGCGCCAGCAGAGATGGCAACCAGCGTACCGCTGCCCTCCAAGCCGTATGCCGCTCCTGTCGTTCTTGCGATTAGTGCGCACAAATGCTGACGAATTGTTTGTACAGGAAATCGACTCCACCGTCAATGTCATGCGCAACAACATCAACAAGGTCTCAGAGCGCGGCGAGCGCCTCGATAGTCTGCAAGACAAGACCGACAATCTGGCCGTCTCGGCGCAGGGCTTCAGACGCGGTGCCAACAGAGTCAGAAAGCAGATGTGGTGGAAGGACATGAAGATGAGAATGTGCCTGATCATCGGCATCATCATCCTGCTGGTCATCATCATTGTCCCCAGTGGTATGTCATGCTCAAACGCTCCGTCTCGTGTCAATCAACCAGCTAACAACACGCAGTCGTCGCAACAAAACATCACTAGAGCGATCCGTCCTCGATGTGTTTTTCACGAAATGACCCTGGAAGCTTGCGAAGCCTCTGACAACGAGGCACGCGTATTATACCACTTTGCCACGATTCCCCTTGTCTGTTCGAACCCCTCCGATACCACGATATGCTCCGACTGCACTTAACGAACCGGCGCATCAAGGAGCATCTGCTGATCTGTTTCTTGACTTTAAGACTGTTTTCTGCCTCTGCACTAGCCATGGGCTTTTATACGTGTAGTAATATGATTGTTTTTTCTTCTTATTCTTTTCCTACCAAAAATATCCCAGACATTCTACCTGCTTTCACTACCCGGGTACTATGTGCCTGTATGGCAGCAACGACCGATGCTGTCTGACTGAAGCAATCCTATCCTCGTGAAGCAACCCTGTCTGAAGACACAGCGCTTCTGAGGATTTGAAATCGTCCATTGGGAGAGGCTGAGTTACACACTCTAAGAGGACTACGACTGATCTCTAAAATCACAGTGCCTCTCTACGGCTCACTTGGAGGCTCAATTTGTTAGCCTTCTATATTTCAAGCCTCTCGCGAAACTTCTGAACGACGCGATTTGCCGTCTTAGTCGTCACCTCAAACTAGCAGTTACAGTGGGAGCTGTTCTTCTTTGCTTCAGTACTTCAAGCTAGTCTCCTCACAGGCCTTGACTTGTTAGCTTCTGGACTGGAAGACATCGACTATCTGACTGCCCTATAACCATCCTTTCGCCCTCCCTTCTTCAAATTACACGAACAAGCATCTAAGTCAAGTCTCACTGTATATTCAGTCACTGCAGCGTCGTCCTGACAGGCAGCTCCTCGTCCCTCTCGTCTCTCTTCTCACCATCACATCGTTACATCAACTCTTCACCCCTCTTCTCTTACTTCAGCTTGTTCACTCCTCTTCTCTCCATCCCACTTCTGTCTTCAACCTACACATATCTCTGTTCCTCTTATTGGAAGATCTCTTCCACAGTGACCGGCCCTCATTTAAGCTGAGCCTCGATGGCTCCTCAGCTTGGTCGTACCGAAGTTTGGCTTCAACACCTCAGCCTTCGATCAACCGATATTGCTTTCAGAGCAAGCAACAAAAAAGCGTCGACACAGTCGAGTATCATAGATGAGCTGTCCAAAAGAGACAACTTGTTGGCCCGGCAGATCAGACGGAAGCTTCAATCAAGTCCACTCATTCAGCTCACTTTGTGGGAGCGGATCTATATCGAAAGAAAACTCCGCGGATCGTTCAAAAGATATTCCCTGAGCACCGAAGGCCAAGGAACTATGAGTGCAAACGACATTGCTGAGCTTGAAGGTACGCTGCATCTAGGATTTTTTTACAAGCCTCTGCTAATTCTGCTCGAAAGCCTCTAGCGATTGCACACCAATCTTCCTCTTCAGGGCCTATACATTGGACGGTATGAAGCACACCAACGGTCTTACAACCCCCAGACTGTACGCGCCAAGCGCGGCGTTCATCCCGGACCTGAAGCACAGAGCTGGCAACATGGATTTCTTACAGATGCGAAGATCCATTTATGATATCCCACAAGAGGAGTTGAGGCCCATGTTAGGTGATCACCTACTCTGGAAGGACCGTATCCAAGACGAGCTCCTGTCACATACCTCATCCTGTCTTTTTGGCATCGTTCACCTTCTACTCAGACATCTCAAAGGTCAAGGAGAGGGCTACCTTGCAATCATCAATCGGACGAGGGCCTTCCGATTGGAACGATGGTACAAACAGCAGCCAGAGAACGCAAAAGAGCCCGGCTTGGTGAGATTTCATTATGGCCCTAGACTATGCGACAAGATTGACATCTTCAACCACAACTGGGTCTGTCAAATGAGCGTCCCTGGCCTGCACTACAGGAAGTTTACACATGAGTATATCACTCAAGGTTTGTTTGGATATCCAGAAGACGATGTGCTTCAGCATGCTTCATGGGCGGATCTCGTATCCGCAGGAATATTTGAGCTCCTCCCAGATCTCAAGGTACAATGTCGTGAGAGGCCATCCGGCCTCTATACTACTCTACGCGGACTCCGAAGCAGCAACTTCGAGCGTACCCGCGCGTCGAAGATCACCGAGAATGAGATGGAGGCCGCTGAGAAGTTGGCGTGGCTGCACACGCTTTCTTCGGCAGAAGAGAAGGAAGAAGGTGACCGACCGCAATTGTGGGCTCTCCTCAACTACCTCACATTCCGTAAGAGAGAAGCTGGAGACGAGTTGTTCCAGGATCGCATCCGTCAACTTGGATACACCCGTGAGTTGTCACGGAACATGATTAGAAGATTGTTGCTGACAAACGCGTAGGTAGTGACTTCGACGAAGGCCTTCATGCTGGTTTCGAGGTTCTGCCCTCGAACCTGCCAGAACTCCATTCATTGTACCATCTGGCAGCAGATGTACAATCTGTTGTCGGCGGTCAGCCGCTGAACCCCTTGGTCTTGGTCCGGACTTTTGCACAGAATCCACGATCGCAGGCGCTGATGCTGAGAAACGATGCTGACTACGAAGCTCTCTGCACACCCACGCTCACTTCGAGCTCAGAAGGTTATGAGATCAAACAAAGATGTGGTCTCACATGCGATTGCTACATCTGGGGTAAGATCAGAAAGCGTAAGCATGCTCCGATCGGAGGAACCGTCGATCAGGAAGACAACGACGACAATGTGGATCAAGATAGTGTGGACGCACTCGAAAAAACGGGTGATGGGGATCTGAAAGAAGGCCTTGGAGGTTTGGACCACGACCTGAAGAGACAAAAGACAGCCCCAACGCTGTCCATCATCGACTCAGTGAGCGAGAGCGAGGTCGATTTTCGAAGGTATAAAAGCACAACGATCGCGAATGACGGCGAGGATTCCAGCAACCTAATCTCGTCTCGGAGTCTCTAGGAGGAAGACGAGATCGGAAAGTCTTGCATGGCGCAGATCCAGAAGCAGACGGTTCTCGAGGAGACCAATACTTTGCTACTTACATACAAATATGTGGGTAGAAGTTACTACTACTAATCTTGGTAGTAAGAATAACGACGCAGACGAAAACTAGGAGAAGGAACTCTCGAAACATTTCGATTAGCAATCAAAAAACTTGAGATAGCCAGAGAATAGGTGTCGTGCAGTTCTATGAAATTGTGAAATGTTCGGAAGCATGCAGGCGTGAAGCTGAAGACGACGCTCCTGGTCTCCATCGAAACCAGGCCATGGTTCTGCCGAAGGGCATACTGTTCGCCATTCGGGAGTACCGTCCACTGAGAGTGAAGTTGTCCGAAGCTCTCTCCAAGCGCGATTCTGACCGACAAAAACACCATGTCTTTCGCCCATGTGCTTCGAAGGCCATGAGAAATGATGTGAAATCTCCAAATTGTAGGTCAGGGTCGTATTTCAGGCTCCACGGACATGTGAGATCCATTCTTCTAGGCAGAGCAAACAATGTCACCGAAACTTACGTTGGGATCTGTAGAGGTTCTGAATACAGTAGATGGAGTTTCAGACACAAACCGCGAATAATGATCAGCTTCTCCAGGTCGAATTGCGTACACGAAGGCGGAGCAAGCAAATTGCGAGGACACTAAGAACACGACGATCAACCTCGTCCCAGCAACACATCAAATTATTTGTTTGACAATTCTTACGACGCAATTCACGAGTCGATCTGGAGCTGAAGGATGGTCAATGTGTGTGGTCGGACCCGTCCAGGCCCGCCGTTCAAGGGATTGCTTGTTCTTCTACTCGAGTAAGCAACCCATGCCTCGGGTCTTCCTAATCAGCAGTAACGTACCCGGTACCCCTGTACTGGAACTAAGAATGGTTCTTGTCAAGTTATGTGTGAGCGTCTTCTTCCAAGGCGAAGAATGTGGATCCTCATTGGCAAAGCCAGCCACAATGAGCACCGAGATCAACGCGCGAGGTTCGTGTTCAGTACGAGATAGAGCTGTAGGGTTAAACGTGCCAAGTAACTGCCACGGTTGATGAGATTTATTTCGTGTCTGCAGGAGAGACGTTGCAGATGAGGGGCTGGCATTTGAGCAGTCGCACGAAATGCTTCGGCATCCGAGGTCTCGTATCACTCGCATGTAGATTCACAAGACGTAAAAACGAATTCAGGGCGAATAGACAGTCTTCACTGAAGAGACAGGTTTTGGAAGGAGCGGAGTTTAGTGCTTGCTCTCGTAAGCCGCAGGGCCACTGCGGCTTCTCGGATCCGGGATCTCTGAAGCCGCCGTGCCCGTTTTCAAGGGAGCAGGAGGAAGGAGCGATGCCACAATTACAAAGCAGTACAATTACAACAATAACGTGAACCGACTCGTGCGGACGTCTCACAGACCCAAGTTGTAGCTGATTATCCAAAAACTTCCTCACCGAAAAGTGTTTGTCGAGTGCAACGCTGTACAAGATCTACGTGTAGATATTCGGAGGAAAGTCGTCATTACAACATTCTTTGGACTCGTTTCGCGCGTTTCGGGACGGTTCTAACTTCTGCCGCGTTGTTCATTCACATCCGCCGCCTTCCTACCTAACTAATCTCTTCGCACTCATTCGAATCACCCTCCAACACCTCCTGTACAGACACTCTCGACTGCCGTCTTTCTTTTCGCTCGTTTGCTTCCGTACTGTATGCTTCTAGGCTCTGCGCAGTGAGCCTGATCCTGGCTCTTGAGGCTCACCTCCTGGACGCCTCGGCGCCCGTCTCCTATGGTCAACATTGGTCAATAATCAACTCGACTACTCTGCCTTGACTATCCATCCTCTACCATGGCCATTCAACCGTACCAGGAAGACAATGAGGCTTCCTCTGGACCTCACGACACAGCTCCTGCGAAACGATTACGCTGGGCTACGCAAAGGGTAGCTGGCTCTCAAGGGGGTACAAAACGGCAATCTATCCTCAGACGCCTTTCGCATAAGAAGCGCACAAGCGACGACTCGGCCAAACGAGAATCAAATGGAACCGACCTCGAATCCGTGCCCGAGGGCTCAGAAGCTTCGGCCGACCAATCTGGTCCTGGCCGTCGCGTCTTCTTCAATATGCCATTGCCCGAGGACGCGCGCGACGAAGAAGGGCATCCCAATACGCAGTTCGTGCGAAACAAGATTCGTACTGCAAAGTATACCCCTATTAGTTTCATTCCAAAGAACTTGTGGTTTCAGTTTCATAACATCGCCAACATTTATTTCTTGTTCATCATCATTCTATCGGTACGAACACTCCCATCGACCTCGATTTCGCTCTTCGTTGTGTACTGACCAGCTCTTGCTAGATCTTCCCAATCTTCGGCGCCACGAATCCCGGACTGAGTGCTGTACCGCTGATCGTCATTGTCTTCATCACCGCTGTCAAGGACGGAATCGAGGACTGGAGAAGAACTGTTCTTGACAACGAGCTCAACAATGCGCCTGCCCACCGCCTCGTTGACTGGGAAAACGTCAACACTGCCGAGGATCAAATCTCATTGTGGCGAAAATTCAAGAAGGCAAACACTCGGGCCATCACCTCTGTTTGGCGCCTCTGGAAAAACCGCAAAGAACCCAAGGACGAAAAGAGGAAGTCCCAGACGGATAGAGCTTTGGATGAGGGCAGGCCTTCCACAGACACCAGGAGACCCTCCATGTATTCTCAGCGCATGTCTGCGATGTCGATAGCTACCGAAGAGCCTGGAGCTATGGAGATGACACCGGTCCATTCGCCAATGCCAGCTCCAGCCATGGAAGGCAATAAAGAGATGGACTTTGGTGACCATGTTAGAACATCGCTTGAGAACGATGCCAGCAAACCAGGAGATGCGCGTCAAGTCGTCGAAGTCGCAAAAGACCCCACCGAATCCAACGCTCCTATCCCCAAACGATTTTACGGCAATGTCATCAATCCGAACAAGCCTGCTGGTAAAGCACGTTTCAAGAAAGATTGCTGGAAGAACGTTCAGGTAGGAGATTTTGTCAGACTTTACAACGAGGAGTCTATTCCTGCCGATATCGTGGTCTTGTCGACTTCTGATCCTGATGGCGCTTGTTATGTGGAAACTAAGAACCTGGACGGAGAGACCAACCTCAAGGTGCGCCAGGCTCTGCATTGTAGTCAGAAAGTTAAAAGAGCGCGCGACTGCGAACGAGCCGAGTTCATTCTGGAAAGCGAGCCGCCTCACGCCAATCTTTACTCTTACAGTGGAGCTATTCGATGGAAGCAGCAAGGCAGTAAGAATTCCGAGGTTCAAGCGGCCGAGATGGCCGAGCCCGTTTCTATCAACAATATGCTGCTCAGAGGTTGTTCAATCCGCAACACCGAATGGGTTTTGGGTATTGTTGTTTTCACTGGAGAAGAGACGAAGATCATGCTCAACTCTGGTATCACTCCCACCAAGCGCGCACAAATTTCCAAGGACCTGAACTGGAACGTCATCTACAACTTCATCATCTTGTTCTTCATGTGTCTCATTTCCGCTCTGGTGCAAGGCACTACCTGGGGTAAAGGCAATGAATCACTCGACTTCTTCGAATTCGGCTCCTACGGTGGTACACCAGGTCTCAATGGTTTTATCACATTCTGGGCTGCCATCATTCTCTTCCAGAATTTGGTCCCTATCTCTCTCTACATCTCACTCGAGATCGTTCGCACTGCCCAGGCCTTCTTCATCTACAGCGACACCTTCATGTACTACGCTCCGGTCGACTATCCCTGCACTCCAAAATCTTGGAACATCTCCGATGATCTTGGCCAGATTGAGTACATCTTCTCTGACAAGACCGGAACGCTGACACAAAACGTCATGGAATTCAAGAAGGTTACAATTAACGGTGTACCTTATGGAGAAGCTTATACCGAGGCTTTGGCCGGCATGCAAAAACGACAAGGAATCGATACTGATGTCGAAGGAGCCAAGGCCCGTGAACAGATAGCCCGTGGAAAGGTCAAGATGCTTGAGGACCTCCGCAAGATTCACAACAATCCCTACCTCCTGGATGAGAACGTGACATTTGTGGCGCCTGACTACATCTCTGACCTGACCGGTGCTTCCGGACCTCAGCAAAAAGCAGCCAACGAGTATTTCATGCTCGTCCTTGCGCTCTGTCATACCGTCATCACCGAACGTACTCCTGGAGATCCGCCAAAACTCGAATTCAAAGCACAATCGCCTGATGAAGCTGCTCTTGTCGCAACAGCCAGAGATTGTGGGTTTACTGTTCTGGGTCGCTCGAACGACGGCATTATTGTCAACGTTCTTGGAGAAGAGCGCGAGTATACCGTGCTCAACATCCTCGAATTCAACTCTTCAAGAAAACGTATGAGTGCGATTGTGCGCATGCCAAACGGAAAGATCGTCTTGTTCTGCAAGGGTGCCGACAGCATTATCTATTCGAGGTTGAAGAAGGGAGAACAACAAGAGTTGAGAAAGACTACTGCCGACCATCTTGAAATGTTCGCTCGTGAGGGCTTGCGTACGTTGTGCATCGCACAGAGAGAGCTAGATGAAGAGGAATACCAGATCTGGAACAAGCAGCACGACATCGCAGCAGCAGCTATTCAGAATCGTGAGGAGAAGCTTGAAGAAGTTTCGGACGCTATTGAACGCGACCTCACGCTGCTCGGCGGAACTGCAATTGAAGACAGACTCCAGGATGGTGTACCAGACGCGATCCAGCTTCTTGCCCAGGCTGGTATCAAGCTCTGGGTTCTGACAGGAGACAAGGTCGAGACTGCTATCAACATTGGATTCTCTTGCAACCTGTTGGGCAACGACATGGATCTCATCGTATTGAACATTCAGGATGAAAACTTGGCTACTGCCGAGGCCGAACTTGATAAGAATTTGGCCATCTTCGGCAAGACCGGATCCGATGAGGAGCTCAAGGCCGCAAAGAAGAACCATGAACCGCCAGCGCCTACTCATGCTGTTGTCGTCGATGGTGAGACACTCAAGCTCATGCTGGACGATAAACTGAGACAGAAGTTCCTGCTTCTGTGCAAGGAGTGCAAATCCGTCCTCTGTTGTCGTGTCAGTCCGAGTCAAAAGGCTGCTGTCGTTGGCATGGTCAAGAACGGGCTAGATGTAATGACCCTGTCTATTGGTGATGGTGCTAACGATGTCGCCATGATTCAAAAGGCTCATGTTGGTGTCGGTATCGCTGGTGAGGAAGGTCGACAAGCAGTTATGTCATCCGATTACGCCATTGGTCAATTCAGATTCCTTACGAGGCTTGTTCTGGTCCATGGACGTTGGTCATACCGCCGACTTGCGGAAACGATTGCGAATTTCTTCTACAAGGCAAGTCGCTCGTGTGGATATTTCAGACGAACATGTTGCTAACGTTCATTTCAGAACATCATTTGGACCTTCGCTCTCTTCTGGTATCAGATTTTTGCCAATTTCGATTGCTCATACATCTTCGACTACTCGTACATTCTACTGTACAACCTGGCTTTCACTTCCTTGCCGGTCATTCTCATGGGTATCCTGGACCAGGATGTTGATGACAAAGTGTCCCTGGCAGTGCCTCAGCTCTACAGACGTGGCATCGAGAGGAAAGAATGGACACAAATCAAGTTCTGGTATGTTTGTGCAATATTTCGGTGGATCGTCAAGCTAATTATGCATCTAGGACATACATGATTGATGGTCTCTACCAGTCACTCGTTTGCTTTTTTCTTCCGTATCTTCTCTTCCGACCAGCCAACTTCAACACTGAATCAGGACAAAACGTCAACGACTACCAGCGCATTGGTGTCTACATTGCGAATGCCACTGTCGTGGTGGCCAACGTATATATTCTGATGAACACCTACCGCTGGGACTGGTTCTTCACTCTCATTACCACAATCTCCATTCTTCTCATCTGGACTTGGACCGGTATTTACTCCTCCTTCACCGTCGGCTTCACTTTCTACAAGGCAGGCGCCGAAGCTTATGGATCCTTGAGCTTCTGGGCACTGACGATGATGGTCATCATCGTTGCTCTGCTTCCCCGTTTCGCCGCAAAGTCATTCCAGAAGATCTTCATGCCTCGCGACATCGACGTTATCCGCGAGCAAATCAGACAAGGCAAATTCGACTACCTTAAGAATGTCAACCCGGATGGCCCGAACGGTGTCACCCCTCCTCCCCCAGAGAAGGGCTCGGACTCTACTTCAAGTTCGGAAATCAGCAAGCCCTCAGGTGCGCAAAGACTTGCTCACAAATTGTCACACAATAGGATGCCTACCGAAGACGAGCGACCAATATACCCACCTTCAATAGCAGCGACCGCGACAACACGTAACGCTAGGTCGCACAACGGAAGTGATGGTACTGACTACACCGGGCACCGATCTTCGATCGAGCGGACGTTCCCTGCAGTTGGACAAGTGACATCCCGTCCATCTGAAGACTTTGGTCACAGTCCGATAGATTTCTACCGACCACCTGTCATTGCTGGAGGTTTCGAATCACCCGCGCCTCGACCAAGCTACGACCGACCAAGACCCTCTTTCGATCGGCTGAGGGCCAGCATGGACTTTGAACGAACACGACCATCGTTTGAGAGCTCTCGTGATTTCACCAGCGCGGCCTATTTATCAAGGGTGGAAAGTAGTCACACACCTGCTGGTACGCCTGGCGTGCACGAAGACCGAAAGGATATTGGCTACGCCATGTAATAAGAGAAGAAGTGGGGAGGTTGTACAAAAGGTCAGAAGCGTGGGCGTTTTGATTCGGTTGTCTTGATTACTGTCTGTTTTGCATGGCGTCTTCCTCGGCCATGGTTTTTGATGATTTGGATTTTTCCGCATAGATTTGTTTTTAGCTACTTAAGATTCCCTGCTGTCATTCTTTCAGACGAAGCGTTCGCTTTGGCCTGTTGATAGGTTTTGAATATCACCGAGTTTATCTTTCTATCTATCCTTCACTTGAGTTTCAGAATTGTTCTTCGATGTCTTGGCATGAATTGTTTTGGTGTGCAAACAGCCCGCTTTGCGACAACACGCAACGTGACACGAGCGAGACAAGCCGGCATGCCAAACTGAATTTGTGTTTGTTCACTCTTTTCCTTTTCTAAGAGCGAGCTGTCGCTGTGAAAAACAAACGACAGAACCTGCTGCGACTTATACAACTCTGCAGCAGCTGGGAAGAATACCATCATGACGACTAACGGCGGCGAAGGCGGCCCTGGACCTGTTAGCGAGCTCTTGGGCATGTTGGCCTACGCGTTCGCACAAGTACAACCGTTACTACCTCTCTACACCCATCTTGTTCTCTCGGCATTGTTCCCCATCGTCACGGGCGCTTACTCTTCACTATCACGACCTTCATCAGCAGCCAAGCCGCTCAAAAAGCCAAAGGACCATCGCAGATCAGACGAGCAGGACGATGAAGACGATGATGAGGACAGTATCCAGAAGATGGAAGGCTTGAGCCCCAGTGATGCTGTTATCTTTCCCGTCCTCGCCGGATGCACGTTGGGTGGTCTCTACCTACTCATCAAGTACATGGGTGCTTCCTTGCTGAACAAGATTTTGCGCTGGTACTTTTCGGCCATGGCCATCTTCAGTGTTGCTAAACTTATCAATGATGGTTTGGGAGTAGCAGAATCTTTCTGCTTCCCTCATTACTATACGGAAGGAGGTGTCTTGTGGCAAGTCAGCCAGTCTGACAGAAAAGCCATCCACTCAGCTATCTGTATGAGACCGTCGCCTTTGCCTGGTATTTTGGGTCGCATCATCCTTCCTCAACGCCTTCTGGCTTCTCTTTGGGCAGTACGTGGCTTGCTCAGACGCAAGTACCGTTTGAATTTCCATCTGTCCAGCTTGGTGTCCTTCAAGGTCACGCTTACCCTTCGCACAATTCTCTCGACTATTCTTGCACTGGCAACCATCCTCTGCTCCAACTTTGTCTTTGACGCATGGTGGCTCACCAATCTCCAAGGCTTTGCCTTTTCGTACAGCGCACTTCAGCTCATGTCTCCTACCACATTTGGCACCGGATCTCTTATCCTCTGCGCCTTGTTCTTCTATGACATCTACTTTGTCTTCTACACTCCTCTGATGGTTACTGTGGCTACTAAGCTTGATGTTCCTATCAAGTTACTTTTCCCTAGGCCTTTGGAGGAGGGCCAGGTTGCTGCGGACAGAAAGCTGGCTATGCTCGGTCTGGGTGATATTGTGATCCCAGGTATGATGATCGGACTCGCTTTGAGATTCGATCTCCACATGTACTACTTGAAGAGGCAGACGAAGCGCTCAAAGCCTACTCCCTCTGGACCAATCCATAACAATGAAGAACAAAAGGCAAGCAACAAGGAGGTTGAAGAAGATGTCAACAAGGAGCCTTACCGATCAGTCACTGGCCATTGGGGTAACAAGTTCTGGACCACTTCCTGGATCGGCCGCTCCTTGCTCCCCGAGTACGAACCTTCGAAGAAGCTCTCTCGCAACCCCATCCCTACCTTCTCGAAACCATACTTTTATGCTTCGATCGTTGGCTACATTCTCGGAATGTGCGTCACGCTTGGAATCATGCAAGTCTTCAAGCACGCACAACCTGCTCTGCTCTACCTGGTTCCTGGTGTCTTGGGCAGTCTATGGCTGACCGCTTTGGTCAGAGGAGAGATCAAGCAAATGTGGGCTTTCTCAGAAGCAAGCGATGAGGAGGAAGAAGAGCAAGACAAGAAGAAGGACTCCAAGAAAGACGCAGAGAAAAAGGATGGTGACAAGAAAGGATGTACTTCTTGGTGGAGCAAGAGCTTCTTCTCGGCCGAAGAAACCGAACGCAATGCAAAGAAGCTCGAAAAACAACTCGCGAAGAGCGTCGGCAGCGATGAGAAGAGCGATGGCGAGGACAAGGACGACCGAGGCAAGCAGGCTGCAAAGAAGAAGGACAACGTCGGCTTCTTCCATTTCTCATTCATTCCTGCTACCCCCAAAGGTTCATCTTCAGTCAACGATGAGAAGAAACGCTCATCGTCCTTTGAATCGGAAGATGCTGCCGTGGTCGCAACTGGCGTCAATGGACTGCGTCCCGAGTGGAAGGGTGCCGGTCCGCAAGAGGCCACAGAGGAGCGTGCTGGCAAGAGAAGACGCATCTGAGTCCCGAGAGTGAAAGACAGAGAGCGATGGATAGAGTTCGGTAACCTGACTTGAAGCAGCGGTGAGTGTTGCCCGAACATTAGCTAATAAAATCCCTCCTGTGTATTCAACTATCAATCTTCCCAAACTTTGGTACGCCTCATATTAAAAAGATTGCACAATTCTTTCGAACTAGAGATGTGTCCATTGAGAAGACAACTAGAGCAATTTCAAGAGTAATTTGCATCGTGGCAGCTGGTTGGTCCATGAGAGAGTGGCCAAGATTTCCAATCAGGCCGAAAGCGACTGTCAGAAAGCACGATGTCTTCCTGCACAGATAGTGTGCAGGGGTTGTCGCTCTCAATGGACATAGCCCGAGTCGCACAACTATCGTGCCTTGCGATGACTTGTTCAGACAAGTAGCTGGAATGAAAAGAGCCGAGTTCTGGTACCGTTTTTGTCCCTCTACATGTACATATGTATTGAGAAGTAGGAAGCATCAGAAGCGGAAGGTACGAGAAAAAGTAACTGCATGAAGCTAGCTGTGGTCTTGGTCGCTCCTGCCTTCTCGCGCGCGCAGTTGCTAGAGTTCTCGGCAATTCTCGCTGATTTGCATGCTTCAAGCGCTCGAGGAAGTCGTGGCACCAATTCTCACTAGTCACCAACATCACAGCACAGGCAGCAGCATAGGACAGAAGATGTGGGCGAAAAGATAGTATTCACCCTAGGGTTATTTTTATGGCATCATGTCATAGGTATCATATGCATCAGTAAAGGTCGTGAAGGCATGCAGCAGGTTCAGAAATGGCGCAGACTACTTCTTGCCGATAGCCATCAAGTTCAGATAAACACCCCAGAAAATTCCAATGGCACCACCAAAGATAGTGCGGTACTCGAGAGGAACGAGGGTGAAGCTGATGATGGAGACAAGAGGCCAAAGCTTCTGGCCAGCGAACAAGAGTGGGAGGAAGTCCTGTGTGGAAGTCAATATAACTCAGCAAAGCGCAAGTGAAACAGTATACGTACAGTGCGCAATGCAGAGAAGGCGGCATCGGCTGATTGACCCTGGAGGAAAGCGATACCGAGAATGTACAAGGCATTGTTGATGGCAGCACCGAATGTCTGGTCCAGAGCGAACTTGATAGCTGTGTTCTTGACGCTCAGAACTTTGGGTGTCGAGGCAGGTGGAGGTTGAGCAAAGGCGCCGTCGACCTTCTTCTCGATCGTCTGGCCGTCGGAAGTGCTGAAGGTCTGGGAGCGAGCGGGACTCTTGGCCATAGGCGAGTGGTTGATACCGGCGCGAGCCTCGAGCTCTTGGGTCTTTGCTCTGACGGTATCGACGCCCTCGCTTGCGCGACGTCTAGCACTCTTGACAGTGTCGTTGTCTGCCAAAGCAGTAGTGGCTGCCGAGGCGGCTGCCGAAGCTTTCTGCAGAGCAGGGGTGGTTGTCTCTTCGATGCGTTGCAGAGTTGGGCCAGCAGCGTCGAGGGCGGCCTTGACTTGTGGCTGTTGGGTGATGCTTGCTACGGTACCAGCATCATCGGGCGAGGTGTAGCCGGGGAACTTGGACTCCATCCAGGACTGCCAGAGGTAGTTGGGGGGGCACGAGAGGAGGGCGTAGACCACGGAGATGACCAGCGGGGTCGTGTCGATGGTGTAGCCATGCTGCAGGTCAATGTTAGCATCAATTACGAGTGTGATAGGTTCTAGACGTACGCCTTCGCGGTGACAAGAGATGAGCTGAGCAAGAATGTTCGAGATGGCGCTCAGAACAGCTGCTTGGATGGTTGCTGACACGACTGGGTCCATCTTGACGCGCGCGTGATGACGAAATGCGAATGGATATTGGCGCTTCTGTGCTAGGCGAGGTACCGAGTAGGTACTATGACAACCGAGTCCGAGGTGATAGTTATAGAGTAGAGAGGAATAAGTTAACACGAGTGACTGGCCAAACGTGTTATTTCTTTGGCGACTAAACCCTTTCACTAAAGCAGTGAAGCTGTTTGTTTGATCTTCTCTAAATTTCCAGCGAAAAAGGAAGGAGCATTTCTCCAAATTCCGTCACTGTGGCTGCCTCCTTTTTGCACACCCTCAGACTGAAGGTACTCACTCGTCACCTTCACACACAAATTCTTCCTATTGAACAACCAGGTGAAGCTTCTCAACAACTTTGATGATTGTGAGTTCGCGACTCATTGTCGAACGATATTGATTGCGCTAGGTAGAGAGGATATGAGAGAGATATCTATCAGTGCATGACAACCGCTACGTGGTCATCCATGTACTTGTTAATGTCGCCCAAGAAGCAGGCCGCGATGATTGAAACTCCGCCGAATGCGATCGACACGTAGTACACATACTTGTATGCTTCTGCGTATGCCAACCTTCCAGCAATCACGACCATCTCGTACGCCCCGGGTACGCCCTTGATGCCTGGGAGTGTCTCAAGTTCGCTCAAGAGACTGGCGCCCGTGAGCTCAATCGCAGCCTTGATGACAGCTGGACTGGTAATATTCAACTTGAATTCCATCGTTCCGCCAATGTAGTACGTGGCTGAGGGCACAAACTTGTTGATGAAGACATTGTAGTAGACGCAGTATCCGATCGACCCGCCGATCACACGAATGGCCAAGGTGAGCGCTGCTACTGTCGCGATGAGGTCGTCGGGGCAGATGATTGCTTGGAAATGTCAGCACTCTTCTTGCAAGCAGTTTGGTCATAAACTATCCATGGACTTACTCGTGATGATTGAGGCAGGCACAACGATTCCACCAATGCCGAGGCCTGCGACTACAAGGATTCCCCAGAGCTGGCTCAGATTATCCACCCGTGCGATGGAAAGGGCACCGCACCCTGCCGTCATGAGGACAGATGATCCAATCATCAAGGCCTTGTTCTGGCCACGGAAGACGGACAGGAGCCAGAGGACGATACAAGCACCAGCTAGGATGGAGAACCCAACAGGAAGACCGCGGATGCCTACACCGACGGGATCGTGACCGTAGACGTTGCTGTCGCAAGTCAGCATTAAATCACAAGTCAGTTGGAGCTTGGTGTAGAAAGCTTACAATGCCTGGGTTGGCCAAAACATCAGCAGACTGAAGAAGTTTGCTCCAGAGATGAATGTTATGACAAGGGTCAGCGACAAAATTCGAGGCTCCTGCCGAAGCCTCTTGGGGAACATTGGATATTTGGCACCGTAAGCCTCCCAAAAGCCGAAGGCAACCAAAAGAACAGCTCCCAGGATCAAGGGTGCCAGAACATGAGCGCTACCCCACGAGTACTGGTAGCCACCCCATTCTTCGAAATGTCAGCTTGGTCAGGTATAAAGGATGTGTGCTTGGTACTTACGCATGCCTGCCATGAACAGAATCATACCACTGACACTGAGGAAACCACCAACAAAATCGACTTGTTTGAAGACCTCTGACTTTGACAAACCCTCCGAGTTGACCCTGGGTGGAGGAAAGTAAAAGCATGCGGTCAGAACGAGTCCGATGAAAGCCCATATTCCACAGAGTGCGCCTACCCATCGCCACGAGGAATGGGCAGCGATCAGTTGCCCCCAAAGCACACTTGGACAGAAAGGGAGAATGCTGAAGATGAGTATCGCGACGTACTTTCCTCGCTTAGCAGTGGGAGCCAACTCCGAAGTCGCGGCCAACGCCGTAAGTTCGTTGATACCTGCACCAATGCCCGCGAAGACCATGCCTCCGATGAAGACATTCATGGAGTGAGCAGTCGAGCATATGATCATGCCTACTACGACAAAGGCAGCACCGATGATGGCGACGTATCTGCGACCAAATATGTCGCTGAGAGAGCCGACGAATGGACAGACCGCGGCCAGCGAAAGAAGATTGGCGAGTACAAGCCAGATCCATCTATCTGCACCTCCAATGTCTGCATAGATGTATGGGGGGATCTACTTATCAGCACGATGTAAAGCACGAGGGCATTCATGCAACTCACTCCTCCGAAAAGGTAGACGGGGATTTGGGAACCAGTCCAAAGCATAGCCATTGACACTAAACTCATCCATCGATTGAACGACATCGGAGGCTCGGTGTAATGGTCTGGTGGGGTCAGTATGGATCATGCTTTCCCCTTCCGACGAAACACACCTTGGTCGTCATTGTCGGTGCGAAGACCGCCTTTGTCATGGTATCCAGCATGACCAAGCTCCGAGTCTCTTGTTTGGACTCGCTCGACGTGTTGAGTGGCTTCTTTATCTCCTCGGGGAGACTCAGACCCATCGGAGTGTCTGTCAGATTCGGTGGGACCAGCCATGATGTCGGTAGGTTGAAGTCGAAGGATGGTAAACGACCCAGAGAATGTAGTGCTAGGGATGAGAGGTCAACGTAGAGGAACAAGAGCCTTCTTATATTGGATATGCCCGAGTCAATTTAGGTTCACGACTACTGTGAGGATGCAACACACGATCAAACCTCGAACGTGGAGGAGATAGGAACACAGATGAACATGCGGGGACGCTGCTCCTGATTGGAAGATTATCAACGATGTGGTCGACTATCCAGGCCGCCGTTATTCGAACATTTTGTTGTCGGAGCCGAGGCTTGGTTGAGCCAAGCAAGACGTATCGTCCGATAGTATGAGCTTAATCAATAGAAGACTTGGTAGGATTAACGCCACTGGATGGGCTTTGGAGCAGCATTCACAGCTTGCCCAACTATGACAACTCGTGTCCGAATCAAAGCTCAATCATAACAACTGATCTTTGCGCACGCCAAAGTCATACTTTCGTTGGCTTAGGACTATCAACGACTTCCTTTGGCTAACCCGACACGAACAGGCAACGGTGGGGATGAGAGACCAAAACGATATCTAGTCGAATATCTCTAGTCGAATACCCCGCATACCAATCTCCCCGCAAGACATCAATTAGAGTTTGGGACGGGGAAACAACAGTCTGGGGCCGAGGCATACCTCCCCACATGCTAAACTTGGTCACGCTTCTAGCTGTCGAAGTGTACAATGTTTTTCAATTCTAGTCATTGCCACTGAGAGCTCGTCAACAGACTCATCGCTCCGGGAAGTTGCACTGACTGGGAAAGTATTCTGCCTCTCTACAGCTTCAATATTTCCAAGCAAGATCGCTGGAGAAGCGTGGAGTGACAGAATTCTGCACGGAGAGGATACAAATTGGCAATCCCACACGGGTTCTGACGATAAACCCTCGGAGCAATGACAGCTCAAGCACGGTAGCCGCCCTACAATATACTTTCAAGTAGACCTCTCCACGAAACGTGTTAAAGCTCCTCGAAGCAAGAAGACACCACATCACACCAATTGAATTTTATGTTGATCTGGACGGGAGCAACCAGATGTACGCTGGGGTCTTGGCACAGAGCAGCGATCAACGTCGGAACTCGATCGCTAAGGCAAAGCAATTCATCAACCACCTTGAACACACCTTTTATTCCAACAACACCTGAAATTCAACTTAGAAAATCTCTAAACACTCCATACCTTAAAATGTCGGCAGAAAAGCAACTCTCTGCTCTGGTACTCATCGCCGACGGCTCCGAGGAGATTGAGACAGTCACACCTCTCGAGTGAGCTACGGAATATTGATCTGAAAAGTGCCTCGGCTGACTTGAGGAAACAGCGTCTTGGTGAGAGCCGGATTTGCAGCAGTCACATCTGTGGGAGTCGGCCTAAAAAATCCTCTTTACGCCCAGTAGGTTAATCTCCCGCTATCATTTTGTCGATCCATGGTTGTTTTGTCCCGTTCGTCTGCAATTGCCAGATAACGAGATCTTGCAATGGCTGGGTAGCTGCGAAGTATTCAATCTCATGCATGACAATTGGGCTCTAGCTGAGCGAGACTTTGCGCTGGGAATCTCATGTCGATTGGTATCCCTCGGCTCGGCCTCGAGAGCAGGCACCATTCTTAGCCGTCACAGTGCAGAGTATCGGCTCGGCATTGCCATCTGCCACTGTGATGTGCCAACTTTTACGCTCTCGTTGGGGTTGATTGCCTGCTGCAAGGCTCTATGCATTGCAATGGAGACCCTTGGTCACCTTTTCAACTTGGGAGAAGCGCCCTGGAATATGTCACTGGCATTCTAGGAATGCTGGGATCTCAGATGCTCGATGCCTCACACAATCGACGTAGAGACCGTCCTTTTTTTCTGCCTCTAACATACCCCACAGGTGTTCTCGCGGGATCAAGATCATCCCAGACATTCCCTCCCCGCATGAGATTCCTGATCGTCTGGTCGATGCAGCGGACATTCTGATTCTTCCAGGAGGTGCGCCCGGAGCCAAGACTTTCTGTCAAAGCGAAGAGGTCCTACGCCTGATTCGAGAGTTCCGGAACGAGGGGAAATGGGTCGCGGCGATTTGTGCTGGAACAACGGCGCTAGTCGAAAGTGTCAAGTCACCACGCGCTGATGGTGAGGCTGCTAAGAAGTGTAAAGTCACATCGCATCCCTCAGTAAAGCAGGAAATTGTGGACGCTGGCTGGACTTATGCGGATGACAGCGAGAGAGTTGTAGTTGACGGAAAGATCATCACGAGCCGTGGTCCCGGCACTGCTCTGCTGTTCTCACTTACTATCGTCGAGCAGTTGGCTGGCAAGGCTAAGAAAGATGAGGTCCACGGGCCAATGATCTGTGCTGGGACGTTGTAAGGTACTGATTCGTAAAAGTCCTACTGCAGCTGCATAGATATCCATGCCTCGTAACAGTTTGAGCAATCTGCTGGAGGGCATGACACTTTCGAGGTTGTGGGATTTACCAGTGCAAGTGGCCCGTGTTGAGCTTTTAGTAAACATTGGTCTGATCGACGAATATAGACAGCCATACATAGCAGTTATTAGTGTCACATGCCGTTAGCAAACAGACATCCCTATGCAAAACAGGCGCCAGAGAGCAATGGTGAAGAAAAAACATTGGGTCATTTAATTTTCGAAATGCATTTCAGAGGCCTATCATGAACGCGTTGTGGGTGCGCCTCCAGACGTTTGCGGGGGCGGCTTTTTGATATTTTCCCTAAGGCATGAGAAGTGCGAAAAAAGTCGGTATAAAGTAACGAAGATGCATTTTCCCATGCCGTGCCTCAGCCTGCGCCTAAACGACAATCAAACCACATCAACCGCGAGAATCCATCTTCTTAGCGGGACTTGGCCTGGACCTTGGGTGTGGCGCCCTTGGCGCCCTGCTTGCTGGCAATCTTGCCGGCCTGGCCCTTGGCGGCAGAGGCGGCGTTCTTTGCCTTGTTGGCCTTCTTCTCGCTCTCAGACTCGGTCTTCTTGGCCTTGCCCTCCTTGATGGCGGCGGCGCGGGCGGCGGCACGAGCCTCGGGGCGCTGCGAACGGCGCTCCTTGATCACATCGAGCGAAGCACCGACGATGGCACGCTGGTTCTTGACGGTGCGGCGAGTGCGCTTCTTGGCGACCTCCTGTATAACGAAAGTCCATCAGTCACTGTTCTTTTCATAGTTGGTTGTTGTCTCTTTGCGCAATCCAAGCAGCGGCGGCGGTCGATGGCGAAAGGCTTCAGGTCGAATCGTGGTTGGCGGTGTACGTGTGCGCGCGGGCTTGCTGGTTGGCAGACGGGCGTGTGGGCGACTGACCTCTGAGATACCCTTCTTGTGCTGTCTGCGGTAAAGGACGGTCCAGGAGATCTTGCGGGGGTTCTTGCGCTGGAGGAAGAGCGACTCGGACTTGCCGTTCTGGAAACGGAAGATCTTGCTGTCACCACGAACGTAGAGCTTGCCCTGTTGCACGTAACCCAATCAGCCTCATGTTATCTCCAAGCTCTTCTTCATCCGCGCGGAATGGCAGCAATTCGCACCTTGCCAGGGTAGATCTTCTGGCCGGAGAAACTGTCCTCGTAGACTCTCATTTTGTCGGTTGTGTCGTTGGGTGGGTTCTTGTCGTCTCGTCGATTGGGCGCGGCGTCGTGTTGCAAAGCTGCGTTTGAAAATGGCGAGTGCGTTGTGCTCTAGCCGAGGATTTTCCACAGTCTTGGCGCTTCGCGACTTCCGTTTCCGCCTTTCACCTCCACATCCGTCAACCACTCCCCGCCATCGTCATCTGCCTTGCCTCTTTCCGAGCATGAAATACCGTGCAACCCCATCTTGTCACTCTTCGCATTGCCTCTCCAATAACACCGTCATACGGATCAACATCAGACAGAAGACACCGCACGTTTATTCAACACAAACCCGAAAAGTGTATACATATATATCGATTATCCACTATATTCATCTCCTCATTGTCCATCCAGCTCTGCTTACTTCCCTCTCGTGTTGAGATATACATCTAGCGCGCTCGATCCGTTGCTGACAGAACTCACTCTGCTACGAACACTTCCTCTTGCAACTAACGGCTCACTTGCCACTGCTTCCTGACAATCATGTCCCTCGGCGTGTGATGCCTGACAAGGACAGCCATTCAGTGTACCTCCGGTTTTGAGCACCGCTGATAGAGCAGCCTCCAACAACTTGTTCTGGCGCTCCAGTGCTTCCATTCGCGCCTCGATGGTCAATGGGCTATTTTCGCCCGCTTGCAGCTTGAATCTGGCTGTCTTTGCACTTGAGGGTGGAGATGGGAACATCATACTGCGCCCGTTCTCTCCAGCAGGCGGTGCAGGTAGGTTCCTGGTCGAGCTGGTTCTTGCCAGTCCTATCTCCAACGTAGCCTCCATTCTAGAGAGGCGATCGCTTTTCGCACGCGGTGTAGGCGGCAGCTCTTTTTGGGGGGGTGGCGATGGGAGTTCTGGAGTAGTCGATTGTCGAGTCTTCTTGGATGGGCTACTTGCCCTCGAAGGAGTCGAGGTCATGCTTTTAGGGCCTCGGCCACGCTTGGTTGTCTTCACTCGTGGGATTGGACTGTTCCTGCCTCTTGCACTCGGAGCTTTACGCACATGGCTGATCCTAGGCGATGGAGAGGCAGTTGTGGCGATGATTCGATAATTCTCCGACAAGTCGCCTATGCTATTGGTACGCTTCATGGAGAGTGGACTGGTACAATATCCATCTAGCCTCTGATCGCGTTCAATGGAGCCTTGTAAGTGCGAGCCGCCGAGGTCAAGCGGACGAGGTCCTTCAGGTCTGGCTCTGCGAAGTCGGCGACGTGATGTGTTCTGCTGCGATGCTTTGACCATAGCATCGATGAGCTCAAGAGGTTTAGAAGAGCCTGTCTTGGACAGAGTTGCATTCGTACAGAACACGTCGCTGCTTGTCCCACTGCTGCCAGGCCGGAGAAAAGAAGGTAGGTCGTCGTCTCTCTCCTCTCGATCGACATATGTCACAGCGGCCTCTTTCGTAACTCGGATTGCTTGTTCCTCGTTGATTGGTGTTCTGTCTCTCGCCCATCTTTCAGGACTGGTCCCTCCCGTTGATTTGCCCAGCATCTCACCCAAAGACTCTGATGGTATTGACAAACGTAGAGGACTACGTGGAGGAGGGGGTCCAGGGCTATCCGACACCGATCTTATTCCGTCCTGCGATAGATGCGAAAACCGAAGTCCAGTAACATCACTCGAAGTCCTCTGGAGCACTAAGGGGTGGTCGTGCAATCTCCGAGGGCTCGGTTGAACAAGAGACGCTGCTTTGACTGGATCAGCAACTACCGGGCTAGCCTTATTCTCAGGCAAGGCTGGAGGTGCGATGCTTGGTACAGGTCCAGGGGTGACAGGATGACTTCGAAGCGGTGCCGTTCTACCACGTATCACGCGAACATGTCTGTCCGCTCCCAACTGTTCTGTACGAGCCTTCGTGCCGAGGAATAGAGGCCGTACTGGAGCGACGATCTTGCGATCGAGGACTCGAATTGTTTCCTCATGAGGCAGTGTCTGGGATATTCGCTTGATCGGCCAGCCTCTGAGTGCTTCCGGTCCTTCGTGCTCTTGAGGTTTGGTGTCGGTTTTGGCGCCCTCAAAGCCCAAAACCCAATCGTGAAGGCTGTCTGTACTCAGCTGGTCTGTAACAAGGACGGAGACCCTGGACTCGGCTATTTGGGGGCTATCGTTGTTTTAGTTGTGTGTTAATATCTTATGAATTTCAGACATACTTCTTCGATGCCGATCCTTGCTTTTCTTTCTGCGCCCTCACCGGCTCGATCTCGAAATACCTTTTGCCTGCAATATTGATCAGTCCCGTGTCCCATGTCCCGTGTCTCGGATTTCGATTTCGATTTCGATTTCGATTTCGACTTCAACGCACCAGTTTTGGAGATTTTTGGTACTACGACTTCTGGTAATCTCGGTTCCGGCGATATCAAAGGCTTTCGGGATGTATGAGACGCCTTTTCCGTAGCCTGTGTTTCGAGCTCAAGCTCCTCTTTCTCCTCAGAGATGACTTCGTTGAGCCTATAGAAAATCAGAACGGCACAGAAATGGCAATCTTTCTCTACGAACCTCATGTGAGCGGCTGTCAAGGACTCTGAAGGACGCCTGCTGCTTCCCTTGAAGATACGCATTGCAGATGAGATTCTCTTGGATCTGGCACCCTTGACTGGTGGCTCCTTGACCGGCCCGGTTGTCTTGAGAAAGTATGCCATCTGGTAAGATGGATTCGATGGAGGAAGAACAAGAAGGTTAGTTTGAGTCATCATCCTGTCAACGAATGGATTTCTGCTGTCTTCGCCAGCAACAAGTTCAGAAGATGTCGGGCGAGACTCGTCCTGTGATTTTACATCTGCTCGAGAGCTGGCATAGCTGACGCTACCACCCGTGCTGCTCCTCTCACTTGCAGATACATCAGGTTTGGCCGGTTTGGCTGAGGGGGCTGGCCCGGCTGGCAGCATGACAGGGACCGCCATACCGGTTGGACCGAACATCGCTGAAGTCTGATGTAGCTTGCCGGTCTTCTGAAACTCAAAAGCTCTAGGCGTGTGGTTGGCAAATGGAGGTACAGGTCTGCGTCGTGGAATAGCGGAAATGTGCATCTAGAATGGAGAAGGCAAGGCTTGGAGAAGAAGCTCTGAGACACTGTTCACTTCATACGGACAGGTGACACAGACTGAGAGGACAGCAAGAATACAGCACTTAAGCTCGAGGGACAGAGAGGCCATGCATGCGGTCGAACTGGCCAGGTAAATAACAACAATCACAGTTCGACAAGTAGTCGTGCAAGGGAAAAAGAACCACGTCCTTACAGCAGCGATGTGCGACGATCGTATGCACAGAGTCGGGGTTCTTTCCAGGAGACAGGTCAGTGGACGCAGCAACCCTCGGGCTATTAAGCGCTACCATGCAGAATGCTGCATCCTTGAGACGGTGCGCCGCTTGTCATGCAAGGATTCGCTTTAGGATTGGTCGAACTAGCAACCCCGACGCATGCCGAGAATTACTCCAGTATCGTTTCGCAGTCGCAAACTAACAATCGGCCATTGTCTTGCAAGAACAATGGTTTGTTGGTCCGAAGATTGTCTTCGAAGAGCAGATGTTCGTAGACTTGCGGCTGTCCCGTGTTCACAAGCCACAATTGCCTTGGTAGATCTGGCTCCCGCACTCGTGATGCTCATGGTGCTGAGGTTTCACTTGCGTGCATGTGCATGTATGATACCGCTACAATGGAAGCAAGGACCGAAAAGGACTGGCTCAAAACTGCCCAATGGTATGACAAGAGGAGCATGTCACCGACTAGTAAAGCACACTATTTCCAGTGCCTTGAACAAAGGTCACGCTCAAGTGCCACACGTGGAAGCAAGGGTGGAGACTCGAGTTGGAGCTGCTCACTTACCTTCCGTCCACGCCTTGCAAATCAAGTCTCGTGTAATACAAAAAGTACATATCGAACCCTAAGGATTAACGCCGCGCTAGCCTGCCTTGTCACGCCCAAAAAATGCTCCTTGTCGTCAAACGACTCATTCCTTTCTCGACTTTCTGTTGGGCTGGGGCATAAAGGGGTCCGCAGGCTTCTTTCTTTTGCGGATAATCTGAGGTGCAGTCGTCGTCGGCAACAGGTAAGTCCTTGGCTTTGCAACTGTTGCCGTCCCTGATGATACAGAGTCCGAAGCAGACATTGGCTCACTCTGAATTGTCGGCGTCGAGGCGCCACTTCGTGCGGAGTCCGCATCAGCCATCTCCACGTCTTCTGCGCCCTTCTTCTTGCGCATACTGGCAAGCTTGTCTTCCAACTTGACACGAACGCCTTCCATTGCCTGTGTAGATTCCTCCCTCATGGTCTTCTGACCATCAGCATCCTTCTTGATGTTGGTTCCGTTGCCTTGAGCTCTACTAGAGATACCCTCAGTAGGGCCACTCTGAATGCTACCTCTGGCACCATTCGACACAGACCCCTTGATCTGCTTTGGCAAAGTTTGAGACTTGGCAGGAAAGCTGGAAGAGTGTGACTTCAGCATACCGTGCAGATCACCACTGATGTAGCTATTGCGGTCCCGAGCATCTTCAAGCAGTCTTTTCCAGACCTGGCCTCTCATCAAGCTGTCGGAGTTGCCGAGAATCCAAAGACTTGACTTTGCGCGGGTAATACCCACGTTCAGACGTCGAACATCAGAGAGGAAGCCCACGCTGCCTGTAGGCGATGCTCGAACGCAAGAGAAAATGATGATCTCACTCTCACGGCCTTGAAAAGCATCTGTCGTGTTGAACTCGATGCTCTCCGTGATCTCAACACCGTAGCGGCCAGAGAAACGTTGCTTCAACTCTCTGAGCTGTGATTTGTAGGGTGTGATGATGCCTATCTTGTTCCTGAAGTCGTAGTCGCGATAGTCTTTGATGAGCCTCTCGTAGAGAAGCATGGCAATTTCAATCTCGGCCAAATTGATGAGCGAATGTCCCTTGGGTGCCGCTTGATGCTGACCTTGCACGTCGAAAAACCGGTATGGTGCAAGCAGCCCACTAGCATGCCAAGGTTGTTTCCGCAAATTCGCCATGTTGTCTCCATCCAAGAGACGTCCTTCATAGAAGGCTGCGCTTGGGAAAGCACTGATATCGGGGTGCATGCGGTATTGTGTGTCAAGCAGATGCACGGCTTCTGGGTGATTATTCTGCATTCTGACGAACAGACTTTGCTCAAGCTTGTTGGCTGCGGCTACTTTGGAGAAGACCGTTGGAGGTAGTTGTCTCGGGTCTCCAACGAGAATACACTTTGCGCAGCCGTACTTCAAGGGGATGAGTGCACTCATCTCAACACACTGAGCGGCCTCATCGACCACGACAGTCTCGAATTCAATGTTGAGACTCTGGAACATATCGTGACCACTACCACTCAATGTGGCACAGATGATATGAGCATCGTCCAATATGGATTGCTGTACTCTCTTGCGGTTGAGTTCTGCAGCTCGTCCAGCGGCATTTTCATTGTCTTTGGCGTTGTCGATTTGAGTTCCCAGCTGAGTTTTACGACTTCGAAGAGCATTGAACTCATCTTGAAGCTGGGAGAGCTCCTTGCCCTTGATATTGCCTCCATCTAGCTTTGAACGTGTCAACCGAACCTGCTCAGATATCTGTTGATGTTCTCTCATGAGCAGCGAAGTCTTTTCTCTTGCCTGCCTGTCGTTATTGGTAGAGCCCAGACGTTTGTTAACAAGTTCTTCCATCGTCACATCGACAACGGAAGAGTTGACGGCTTCGCTGCGACCTACACGAACAACGTTCACTTTTCGGTGAACGCCTTTGAGTGTCTTGATTCCTTCTTTAAATCTCATGACTAGTTCGTCTACAGCGGCGTTGCTGGGCGCGCACACAAGAAGCTTCTTTGACACGGTTGTGTTCGCAGGGAAAGTGCCACCTCCTTTAGGCATCTCGATTTTGGTTCCCAGCTGCTTATCAGCAAGGCTGTTGGAGAGCAAGGCACCAACAATCGCGACAATTGTCTTGGTCTTTCCAGAACCGGGCGGGCCTTGAATCAGAGTGAAAGCGTCGTTCTGAACGGCAGACTGCACGGCTTTGGCTTGTGCCTTGTTCAGAGTGTAGTTGCTGATGACGGGCGCCAATTGCTTGTCGCTGTACTCGAGTAGAGGTGATGGCCTGGCTTTTGTAATCTCGTCACACAAGTCGTAGTATTGCAGAGCCGACAAAGCGCCGTACTCGCGTTCTAGGGGCGTGATCGACTGGATCTTAGTTCCAAAGATGACACTGCCTGGCACGAGGTGAGGAAGCATGCTGTTGCTGTTTATCGGCAACACGCGATAGGTGATCTCTATGTGCTGTTTCTGACGGCGCGTGCGATAGACTTGGGCAAAACAATGGGGTGCTTCAGGGCCCGCGGTAGGATTGTTAGACATCGAAAAGAGTATGACATCGCTTTCCGAGATCTGCACCTCCTTGTTCTCGGCATGAGTGACAGAGCTGCTGATCTCGATGAAAGCATCGACACTTGATCTGTTGACGACCTTAATCTCATAGGGTTTGAAAGAACCTTCCTCTCTTGACTTTACGAATCCTTGCCAGGCTTCGAGAATGAGCAGCGGACGGAACGTCTGCTGGTAGTCATCAACATGACGGAAGGAATCGGCAACCTTTTGGAATTCCCATTCTTTGGAGTTGGGCGGATAGTCGCCATCATGGAAGAAGTCCCAGCCCAGGATAGTCTTGTGTAGGGGTGCAAGATCTGGAGCAAGGCGAGCGCGCATGTCCTTTGCAGAGCGGACACGCCTCTCGATCCTGACGGGCTGGTTTCGCTGCTCACGCTTCAAGCCAATGGCACCAGCGGCATCACTCTTCGCAGTATTGGCTCGCTTCTTGGTAGGCTTGACTCCGAATAGCTCTGCGTCAAGTTGGTCGTCTTCATCCTCGCTACTTTCATCTGAAGATACCATGACACCCTGGCCCTTTGTTGAATGGTCCTTGCCCTCAAAACCGATACCATGAAGACCCGAACCGCCCTCTCGCTTGGCAGCAGCAATGGCTGCGAGATCTCTCTTGCGTTTGGCTTCCTGTTCTTGCTGACGCTTGAGCCTGAAGTTGTTCGGGTCTTGGTGAGTGACCTGAGTCCTGCTTGGTAGAACCGACTTTCTCCCAAGATCTGCACGAGCTTTGAGCATTTCAGCAGTTGGCGAAGCGCTTGAAGTGGCCTTTCTCAGGTTCGACTCGTCTGCTGCAGCCCTCCAGCTTTCCATGTCCAATGTTCTCTTCGGTCTGCTCGTCGAAGACTCATCTGTCGTACCCGATCCAGCCGTGACCCAAGACGCCAGAGATGCTTGCCTCTGAGGCTTCGAGGTCTCGGTCGAGCCTTGCTCATGGATTTCGGTGTCAATACCAAGGTGATTTTCAAGTGACCGACGCAACTCGGCCTTCTGAGCATTGCTGAGCCTTGTTTTGACGGTACCGTCCAACACATCTTCTACGTAGATTGTAGATTCTTCGGGAAGACGTAAGTCGACCGACTCGAGACGGCCCATAATCTCGCAAGTGATGGTCACAGCCTTATTAATCAGGTAATCGTCTCGCAAACGAAGCCACTTAGTAACAAGACCCGATGCTTCTCTAGGCATCTGAAGCAGTCCTTGCTCCACCTCCTGAGAAGACTTTTCGTCGCCGCAAGCAACATTTGCATCGCGCAAGGCTCCTGCAATAACGCTGTACTGGTTGAAAGCGTAGTCTGCAAAGTCCATAGCGTCTCGGCAGAATTCAATCATCAAGTTCTTGTCATGTCCAGCGAGACTCCATTGTTCTGTATATTTGAACATGGATCCAATGACACTCCACAGGGCTTGCCAAGCATTCTCAGTAGCTTGAACCTCCTCTGGGTTGAGCTTACGAGACCGGAGAGTACCGTCTTGAGTACTGCAGAGACAATCGAGGACGTCTCTTCCAAGCTTGAGTAGAGTCTGGCAGGGTGAGAACATGTGGCCGCGAGCCATTCCCCGGAGGGTTGAGGCAATGGACTGGAGCGATGTGATGAAATAATTCTCCAGAAGGTACTTGACACCATCTCGACGCGTGTCCTGAGAGCCCATACTTTTGATGATGGTGGAAGCGGACTGTTGAATTTCAGCATGCCCGGAGAATACTGCGAAGAAGAGACTCTGAGAAGCGCCGGGGCTAATCATCAGGCCCTGAAGCTCTTTGGGATCAAGGTCTTGAATGTTCTCAAACAGCTCGACAATGTAGGCAGAAGCTCGCTGGAATGCATTATTCCAACTCTCAGCATGCTTGGGAGATTTGGCGGACTCTTTGGGGGCGAGCGGCTCCAGAAGCAGTAGACGATTCGCGCCGATCAATATTGCCGATGCGAGAGAAATGTCCCCCTGCTTGACACTTCTTACTGCAGCTTTCCAGATGGCCAGAGAGGAGACGTTGAGATCGAACCCGTTGGTCTTTCCGTGCAAGATTGACTCACGGATCAGTATTAAGGAATGACAATCGAGGGACAGAGCGTTGCGAATGACATCAAGGCCAAGCTCGGTCTCGCGCCTGTGTGCTGGCGAGTTCTTGAAGACACAAAGATTTTCTAATGTGGTCAAGACGGGCTCGCGGATAAATTCAAGCAGGTCCGTCACAACAGCGCTACCGGCACTGGTCCGGTTCATGATTTCCATCGTAGCATTCATGACCTGTAAACCTTTGTGCCAACAGACAGTTCTTGCATACCGTGAATAGACGTCTGATTGCAGTCTAGTCATGAGTTGACCTATCAGCGCACGACAAGCGGGAACCAAGTTGGTAGGTTTGATGGATCGCACGAAGGGGTCAGCCCATTCTAGCAGTGCCTCGAGTTGTAGCGGTTGGTCTTCCTCGGTAGTCATCATCGGCCGCTCGATGGAAGGACTACCAAGAATTTGTTCTGCAACAGCTTGTGGAGGAACAGTTGCAAGGGCATCCCAGACGTCGCCTGGTGACTTCTCCAGGAGGGCTTTGAAACTACCGACTATGTTTCCGTAACCGTCAAAGGGGAGTTGGAAATGATCGAGAGCCAGCTTGTAGATGTCAACATCCAAAGCTCGAAGGTGGTGTGTGATGAGGTCTTTGTCGAGCTTTTCGATGATAACTCTGACGCCTTCCCAGAAGATAGGCAAGAAATCGCGATCAATGTTTGCGGCAGGGACACGAGCCATGGCAGTGTTCAAAGTATCGCGAACCGTCCAATCAAATTCGATGCCAGTGATGGAACGCTTGAACTTCTTCCAGCCTCTGAGGGCCCAGGCAGATCTATCAGTGTTTTGACTGAAGAGGAAAGAAGTCAAGGCTGGGGTGTATTCGGGTAAGGTGATTTTCTTCCTGGTCTGGACAAGACGGAATGGCTTGTCGAAGTGTTCGCGGAGGAGCAATTCGTTCTGCAAAAAGGCAGTGCAGTGCATAGACTCAAAGAGAGCGTACATTTCGACTTCGGGCAGTACGCTGATAGAACGTTCCTGAGGTGTGAGGTCGAGAAGGGTGCTAGTGGCACTGTCAAGCCCTGCAGAAATCCGATCCGTGTTCATCTTGTCGAATATTGGCATGAAAGTAACGACTTGCTCTATGTCGAATAATGCTTCAAGATCGTGCCTCAGGTCGTGACGTCCGCGGTGGTATTCGCGTACACATACGGTACATCGTTTGAGCTGAACCTTGAGCATGTCTTTGAGTATAGCCGTCAGCTGGACTGCCCGGTCGCCGTCATAGGCAAGGATCTGGCAGGCGAGTAGCACCCTCTTCTTCAGTTGTTGAGTCTCCTCGATCTTTGTGTGCCTGGCCTCCCTCTCTTCCAATGATTCGTTGGGTAGTGTGCTGAGAACATCTTCGTCGAAGTAAAGGGAGACGTCGTCGGGGGATGTGCGTGGGCAGAACCAGTGCAGGTCGCTGGGAAGAGCTTCGAGGTGCCTGGGCAATCAGTACGGGTCGCATTACATGTGGGTCGCGGGAGACTCACTCGATCTCTTCTACGAGTTCGGACATTGCAAAATGTGTGAGATGCTTTTCCGACGGAGCATTTGGCGTTGATAAATTCTTGAGGCGAGGGTCGGTCAAGATCTCATGTCCGGATAGTTGGGTGCAGTAGTGTTAGTTGCGGCCTTCTTTATCAGATTGATAGTGTAAGTGAGTGACGACTGAACAGTCGTGGTTGTCAAGATGTGGTGTCGAAAGGTCTGGACCAATTGTCAACAATGACTTTGGTTGCTCAGGGTCTGTGCTGCCACCGCGGTAGAAAGAAGCACGATGAGCGCACGTCTTCTCGTTCGTGACGCGCTCTTCGTGTTTGGCACTAATAATGTAGCCGCTTTGAGCAAAGCATAAAGTGAAGTTCACTGGGCTTTACATTCTCTTGACAGTCTGAGAACCGATCAATCACAACTCGTGACAAGAACTTGGCTTGTGAAAACACAAAGTAGTCTGCGACGTGGGCATCCTGTTTGAATAGGCAAGCGCAACTGGCAGAAGCTGGCTTTCGTTGGCACTCGCTTCCAGACACTCAACACCGGTGCATCTCTATAGCCACAAAGGCGAATAGCTACGAAGATAGGATCGGGTTGCAATGTGGAGTCTCTGGCAGATTGGACACAGGTTATCAATCTCGTAAAAAGGGTGATCCATGGCTGCCATAAGATGCAGTGCTTCTTAGATCAGTATTAGAGTTGTCCATCGAGCACGAACGATTAGCCTCTTCTACTTGGAGGCTTGCCCCAGAACCGATTAGATGCCATCTGTATAGCGACACCCTCTACGAATGGTCTTACTTTTTGTGGGATTTTCAAAGAAAAGCAGCCCATACATCTTGAGTGACGAATGTGGTAGCCGTCACACGGGCTTCCATTTAGGATTTGCATTGCTTAGAGGCCACCTCGAGGGTCACACTGAATTATTTTACTACGTAATATTTCTGGTGAGAAGGGATATTGTTTCTGGCCATACTGTAGCGGATGACATCTGTTTCGAGACTTGGAGCAAGTAGCCAGTGGAGAATAGCCCTGTCCAACAGTCAAGAACCAGAGACGGGTCGCAGCTTCCAGCAACAGTTAGTCGTAAGATTGGGAGACCTTGCCTTGTCCGGACTTCCTGGATCAACAGGATCGCTGATTGGCAGGGGAGACATTTCTTGGCACACAGACGTTGTTTAGCGCCTTGGCACATCCTCGTACAGGGCAGGCACAGGGTAGATACCTTACCCTCCCTCCCAAAACCACGATTTACCCTCTTGCGCGCTTTCACTCTTTCGTAGAGTCCCCGCATAGACCAAAAGCGTTTTAGCTCCAATCATCACCAACATATCAAACTCTCAGACTCAATACAACATGGCAGAAAACTCCATCATCGACCCGAACGAAGGTCAATCACCCTCGGCTCTCGAGGATAATGGCGTTGAAGGCGGCCGCCCTCAGAAAAGACAACGCACATCCAACGCTGCGCCAGCAGATGATGCCGATTCCGACGAGGACAAGCCCGGCCGCGAGAGAAGAAAGATCGAGATCAAGTTCATCCAGGACAAGTCGCGTCGTCACATCACCTTCTCCAAGAGAAAGGCCGGCATCATGAAGAAGGTCCGTCGTCCCTGCCATGCCCGTCGTCCCTGACCCTCTCCGACACGCGTCGCGACGTGTCATACCTCTCACAGCCCTTTTCGGCCTCACTAACATGACCGACCCAGGCCTACGAGCTGTCCGTCCTCACCGGCACTCAAGTCCTTCTGCTTGTCGTGTCTGAAACCGGTCTCGTCTACACCTTCACCACCCCGAAGCTCCAGCCTCTGGTCACCAAGGCCGAGGGCAAGAACCTCATCCAGGTTGGTTTTATCGACCACCATCCATTGCTCAACATCCTGACTAATCCTTTCACTAGGCTTGCCTCAATGCACCCGAGCCCGCTGACTCGAACGGTGTCGACGGTGAATCCACTGTCGAGTCTCCCGAGGACACACACGCCAACGTCCCCGCTCCAGCCGCCGGCATGCAGCCCCGCCCCGCCGGCATGCCCACCAACCAATACGCCATGACACCCGACCAGCAACAGGCCTTGCAGTACCAAGCATATCTCCAGCAACAACAGCAGACCGGCGCCTATCCCATGTCTGGTGCACCCATCCCTGGCCGTCACCCCGGACACCAATAGATGAATCATTCGAGAGATCAAGGACGAGTCCTCGGCTCTCTCTTACCATTGCTCCGACATAATGACACGTGCGACGCGGAAACAGAAGAGTGATTTTCATTGGTGCCATGGGTTGTTGGAACGAATGCCATGCTCGGAGAGCAGGCTGGGCGAGGCGAATTGCGGCGTAGCATCGGGCTGGTTTATCTTCACTTTTCTCCTTTTATCTCTGCTTTTTCCTTTCTCCTTCGCTTCCCAATGCCTTGTTGTTTCAGAGGTTACATCAACTACTCCCTGCAAGGAAGAAGGCTTCGCAAGGCGGATTCCCCCTTTTTCTCCATCTACACGGCTGACACTTGCTTTTTCCTCTGCTTTTACCCATTTCCAAAATCAAAAGAGACAGGTCAGGTCGCCCTTTTCAGTCTTCTGGGAGTTCTCTTGTATTATAGTCAAAACCAAGATGAAAGGCTTTCATCGTTGCTGATTCTCCGGCATGGATGTGACGTGAAGGGAGTCGAGGTCAATTGCTCGATGGATTAATCATCCGCCATGTGTGTCTTGTTAACACGGCTCGAGACCAGGATATCGAAGCAGAGTATGTGTAAGAGCTCGAGGCCACACCCTTAATGTATCGTTCACATCTATCACAAATTACAAGAGACCAAGGTCGTGTGTATGGTATAAGCATTAGAGGCCAATTGACAAAGTAAATACACAATCAAAAAAAAAAAGGCAGGTATCCAAGAACTCATTGCGCCGTACACGTCAAGTCTTTCGTAAAAGAGACAACAGAAAAAGCATTGTAATTATCTATCCGTGAGATTCTTCGGCATCGCTTGCATCTTCCCGACCTCTCCACCTCGTATGCCACCAGTCGACAAGCTGCTTGGATATACTCTCATGCCCGTATGCGGCTTGATCAAGTCGCAATGGCTCAGAACGGCTTCTGAAATGTGCATGGTTCGCTGGGTCGGATATTGACCTCGAGATTTTGAGCTGTGCTGGTCGACGATTCTCGAGTAAAGGAGCGCTCTCGAGATCTGAACCCAGGGATTCACGACGAGCAGTGGTTCCGTAATATCTTTCCTCGTCACCGAGTTCGTCCCAGATATCTTCGACTTCACGGGCGTTACTGGCTCGTCTTCTTTTCTGCCCAATCATCAAGGCAGAGTCGCGCAACGTGTGTCTACGCATCAATGGCGCTGTCTCAGAAGGAAGTCTAGATCCATTTTCGTGCTCATGGTCTTCGACGAAGCCCATGCCGGGTGCTAAGGCAGAATGAGGCATTTCACTTCCTGCGGGTGCAGCAGCGGCCTCTTCTTCGCTGAGACGCCAGCTGAGAGCCAGTACGCCTGCCAACAAGATGACGGTACCCAGAGCGATGAGACCGGCATAGAGTGCGGATAGTTGATCGGCCTGGCGGAAGTAGATGAGACCGTCGAGAATAGCGATGATGTTGTATACGCAGAAGACGAAGGGGTATAGGATACTCGTGCTGACCAACTTCAGACCGAGATGGAGATAGTACAGCTGGGTAAGGGCAAAGAGGAGAAAGAGCAATAGAAGCATCCAGGACTGGTAGCGATCAAACTGATTCTTGTGGTCGACAATGGTGCGTACTAGTAATTCGACGGCACTCTTTGCGAGAAGCAAAGCGTGAGCCGACAAGACACCAGAAACGAGACCATAGGCCATACCGCGCAACAACCTAGATCGTGGCTTTTGCATTTGCTGGGCAGTCATAAAGAAGCCAGTGGCAGAATCGGCGACCAAGATGGCGAGGACCAGGACCAGAGTCAGGGTCATCCACACAACGAAGTTGGGAAAGACGAGCAGGTTGAGTAGCTGGTCCAGCGAATGCGATGGCTCAGGAAGGGCGGAGAAGCGGGATATAAGGACAGCACCAGCGGCTACGAGGAGAGTTCCCAGAGCGGTGCGGCGGGTGAAGGGCTCGTGGAGGAGGAGTGTAGCCATGAGAGCATTGAAGACGAGGCCGGAGGCCTGTAAGGTACTGAGCAAGGGTAGAGGGAGGGTGGTGATCTGGATGGACGAGCCGACTATGTTGCTGAGGAGAAACAGCAGCATGCCGAGTTGCCATCGTCGGCGGCGGTATGGGGCGCGGCGTGGGAGGTGTTGGTCTTTCTCGTCTTCCAGCATGTGCGACTTGCGCTGCAAGGTGAGGCCTACGGACTGGACGCATGTCGATATGAGGCCGACTACGATTCCTAGCTAGAGAGTCGGGTTAGATGATTGTGATGATGACGATTCCATGGAAGACTAACGCCGAGAGTGGCACCGGGCGACAATGAGGCCATGTTGTTGGAGTAGGTGGTTACGAAGACGTCTTCAAGTCGTGACTATCGCAGCGGCATGTTGATTCGAGTTAGGGGTCGATGTTGCAGGAACGGAGGGTGGAAGTCGAACGACGTGTTGCGACATGGGCGTGTCTTGAGTCTCGTGGCTGGAGACGTTGATGGTTGCGGAGAAGGCACCAGCACAAGCATCAAGCACGGCCGCAATCGAAGCCCTGAACCAACAAGCCAGACCTTGGACCAACGTCACTCAGCAACCAATCCACGCCCATACCGCGACCGCTGTTGTCTGCCTCTACCACCACCCACCACCCACCACCCACCACACTTTCTCTCACCGCAATCATGTCGCAAATCCACGCCATGTCAGACGATCAGGTAATCCCACTCTGCCAATTCTTGTTCTGCGACGTCCTTCTGATGACCCCGTCACCCACAGGTCGCCTCGGAGCTGCGCAAGATGACGGCCTTCATCCGCCAGGAAGCCCTGGAGAAGGCCCGCGAGATCCATCTCAAGGCCGACGAGGAGTTCGCCATTGAAAAGTCCCAGCTTGTGCGCCAGGAGACCCAGTCCATCGACGCCCAGTATGAGAAGAAGTTCAAGCAGGCCTCCATGTCCCAACAAATCACAAAGTCCACCCTGTCCAACAAGACAAGACTGCGCCTGCTGAGCGCTCGTCAAGAGCTGCTCGATGATCTTTTCGACCAGGCCAACAACAAGCTTGCAGACTCCGCAAAGGACCAAGCCAAATACCAGGACATTCTCAAGAACCTCATCCTCGAGGGCCTCTACGCCTTGAACGAGTCCAAGATCTCCGTCCGCTGCAGGTCAAAGGACGACCATGTTGTTCGCAAGGCTGCCGATGCTGCCCAGGCAGAGTACAAGGAAAAGATGCATGGTCGTGAGACCGAGATTAAGATTGACGAGAAGGACAAGCTGCCCGAGGAGACGTACGTCTTTCCACCCTCTATACATGTGCCGCCCGCTAATGCTATCCAGCTCCGGTGGTGTCACCATTGTCAACTCGACCGGCAGAATCGACATCAACAACACCTTCGAGGAACGTCTTCGTCTGCTTCAATCCGAGGCTCTGCCCAGCGTGCGAGCCACTCTCTTCGGCGAGAACAAGAACAGAAAGTTCAAGGACTAAATCATTTCCTCTTGCCTCTCTCTAATTTCCCTCCAAACGTCCTTTTGCATACTTAGGTATCCCGAGCCAGCGCAGTCTGTAGATATCGCTTTTCTTTGATTTTCGTCTTGTACGCAATATACCTCATTACATCTACCCGTGGTGCCTCTTGTTCCTGACAACTCGCACCTTCGCCAGCAATATCTTCTATGTGCCATTGCTACTGCTGACTCCGTTCTCCATAATCGTGTCTTGCTCGCGTCTTGCAACGAAATTCCTAATCGAATCGCTTGCGCCTTCGGCCGCTCCGAAAATTCCCTTCTTCGGCTTCGGCCTAGTCCTTGCTGAAAACTCCAGTCTGTATGACAGCTTCTCAATCGCCGTCTTGCACTCTGTTCTCCGCATGTGCGCTGCTCCAGAGTCTCGAATGTTGAACGCTATCGCTCGTAATTCGGCCACCACTTTATCTATGGCCGAATTGAAATTAGTTTCTTCTTCTGATAGTGCTTGTCTCGTTGTCGCATTCTCTGTACTGATCGGACTATCAGTCTTGTTGGTGGCTTCGTCTCCGCAAAACCCGAATCGTGACGTTCCTAGCCCAATGATTATGTCCAGCGTCTCAAATCGGGATCCTAGCTTGTGGAAGTCCGATTCCTGTTGTATCTTGAAGGCCCGATTCTCGTGAAGGTATAGTGACAACAAATTCATGGTTGAAACATCGTCTAGCTCGTTGGTGAGATAAGTGTTGGACTTCATAAACGACGCCAGTCCCAATCGCCGCTTGAACATATGGGTCACGGCCGTAGATGAGGGTAGTAGACCAATCAAACGTTGGATCAGAATTGGGTTCGGGATGTGTGCGCGAATGCGTTGTCCGACGTGTTCGATCTGGAAGCAAAATTAGCAAAACAGTCGAACTGGCATTCGGAGTCTAGACCTACTGTTGTTGCTGATGTTGAAGACGCAGCGTCAGCTTCGAGCAGAGTGGAGATGCACGTCTGGAGAGATGACAGTGTATCAAGTCTTTGCTCAAGCTGCGGGTCTACAAGTAGGAGCATCAGAATTGTAAGCCAGCTCCTCCTTTCGGCGACGTGTAATCTATGACCCAAAGTCAGCAGGTTTTAGCATGACAAAGCTGCAATACTCACCTGTTCGCTAGACTGTCAAGGAGAAGACATGCCCACTTGGCGTCCACAGGTGTGCTCTCCACGTAAGGCCTTTGATGAGCAGGAGGTGGCATAGATGGCAGATCGGAGAAGAGATCCGGCTCAAGGTCTTCTCTGCCCGCACGTAGAAGGAACTGTCTACGCAAGCTGTCTGTCGTAAAGGATGTGTTGGAGAAAGAGTTTTCCAAGGCGCTCACATAGCTGTTAGCCAGACTAGCCTCGAGATCCTGAAGGAGTTCAGACATGATCCACTGCACAACTTCATCGGGTAAAGCAGAAACACGCGCCATATCCGCCACAAAGCCAGCTCGAAACAATTCATCCCTGACGCTCTCGTCTCGCAATGAACTTGTCCAACCTTCTTCAGAGGCTGCCGTGGCGGGGAACAGCTTGGTTGTATGTGCCCTGATGTCGGCATGTCTGAAGAATGGATATTCAACCCTCTTTTCCAGAACGTCATTACGCTCAATCGCTCGTGCTACACGCTCTCGCTGTTCTTCATCGCCATCGTCTGCCTGCAGAAGGGCGGCAAATTCTTCGGCATTCATATCTGATGCTTGCTTGAGTTCTCTTTGGTGACGGGCCGTCAAATCCATCTCTTGCTGGTACTCTTCCTCGTATTCTTGTATCTTTTGGATTGCCTGAGCGTCCTTGTTGTGGGACGCCACCAAAGAGGCCAGGCTGAACTTGTACTTTTTCCGAGGAGGTTGGGCAATCTTTGGTTTGGCATTTGAGGGCCGCTCACGGCGAGTGGAACTTCTCAACTCACGTGCGGCATTGGAAGGACGTTGCGGGGTCTCTGAAGAGGTAGCAGGTGGGGTCATCTTCAGGCGCTTTCTTCGGATAAGTTCATCAATGTCGTCCAAGGGATCGGAATCAGTATCGATGCTATCAGAGTCGGAATTTGTCACGGCCAACATGCCGTCTCTGATGACGCGTTTACTCGAAGATTGCGAGCTGATTGGGAGGCTCGATAGAGACGAAGAAGACACCGAGGGATCCATGGGTGGTATAACAAGAGTTTCGTGCTTCTTCGGAATGGTTGGCGGAGGTGACGGAGGACTAGGACTGGATTCGGGCGAGGAGAGCGGGCTCAGCTCTCGTGGGAAGCGCGAAGTAGGTGCATGGTACACAGGTGGACTCGAGGGTATCGGTGTAGGGATGGGGTCGTTTATCTTTGTCTCTACGGACTTGACAAGATTGGTGTCGCGGACATTGGAAGACGTGGATCGACTGGGCGGCATGGAGAAACGAGATTTGGCAGTCTGTTGCTGCACCTTGGTGGTTGCAGCGGCAGGCGCGTTCTGAGGCTCAGACGCGCTCCTTCCCTCTCCGGCAGATATACGTTTGAACTTTGGTTGCGCGAACGGTTTGAAGAAGTCGGTGATGTTTCGATCCGGTTTGAAGGCCATTGGATAATGATACTGTCAAGCAGGCCGCACCGGGCTAAGTCGTGAATGACGCTCGAATAAGAAAGTTGAGGCTACAATGCATTAGAAGCCGCGTCGCGAGCTAAATTGCTATGTAACGCGCGCCAGCCCAGCACGCGAGCACGCGAGCGCGAGATCGTTACCGAACACACAGTCTTGCTTATGCAGCACCTTTATCTATATGCACGTAGCTACCATGAGAGCGACGAGATAGATCTGGGAGATCAATAGCACAGTAGGAGAATTATGATAAACATGAGACAAGACTGATAGTCTCACCGATTTCCGATGCCTTCAACATAGCAATAGCCCATTCCGAGACCTTGATGATTGGGGCTCGGTAACAAAGCATATCTGTTCGGTATCATGTCCTAGATTTCCTTGTTCAATCAATCGATCAATTTACTGCCAACAATTCCATCACAACATTTCCTAAGCCGCGACAATCGCGTCAAAACCCCATCGTCCCATGGGCCATGGATGCTTCAAATCGCAAGTCCGGACGTAGGCGCCAGCCTAGTAAGAAGTATACAGTCGACGCTTTCGAAGGGCTCGATATTGGCGATGGTATCACGGGAGATGGTCCCAGTTTACCAATTGAGACACCAGACGACGACGAAGACGACGACTTTCGTGTGGACCCAAACGCATCACCCGAGCCGCCCGACGACGACCTTTCAATTGACGGTGGTGCTGAAGAAGATGAAGAGAATCAACCCTATAACGACCTTGTCTCTGACGGAGAGTCAATCGTTGGCTCGGAAATCGACGCTCCAACTATGGTCCGTGGCTTCAAAAGAGTCAAGGTCGACGAGATTGCGAAGATGAAAGGTGATCCTAGGTTCAACCCTCGTGGTCTGCTTGAACCTGCTGCTCGCGGCTCAAAAGAGCTACAGAGACTGTTCTTCTTCGGCCCTGCAAAAGACGATCAAATGCCCGCCCTCAAATCTCATTACAAGTGGGGCGCCGAGCTCACTATCCCAAGTCATGAGGCAAATGCCAGTGGTTTTGGTGGCTTCCAAACGAGTTACTTTCATGGGGATGCGGCCATGAAGACCGAGTCAGAGGAAGGCTGGGACTGGTATCATAAAGGTGGTAAGGACAGCTTTGCAAAAAATCAGCAGTCGATCAGTCTGTCTTCTCAAAAGGCCCGCCCCTACATATCACCCGCTGCACTCGGAACATGTAAGCTGCTCATGGGTCCATACAAACGCCAGTCTCTTCTCGAGCTCGACCTTCACACAAGTCTTGATCTAAACGATTCATGGGCACCAAAGCCCACATCTGCTGACGCCCCACCGCCATCTCAGGATGCAAAGTCACGAAGAAACGGGTGGATGCTCAACCTGGGCGAGAAGGTACAGCACCTCGAATGGGTGCCAAACATCCAGGGCTCTCGACAGTTTCTAGCCGTCACAACTTCTCCATTGATAGGCTCAACCCCAGAGGAACAAGAGTTCAACGCACCTTATGCACCAGCTTTCGCTCCGCGTCCACCAACCAAGTCATCTATACAGATCTGGGAGTTTCGCGCCGCTCCTGATGGTCGCATAGACTCTGCGTGCACTCCAATGCTTCGGAAAGTCATATGCTCAGAGTGGGGCGATGTTAAGCTATTCAAATGGTGTCCCATGCCTCGAAACTTTCCAACCCAACATGCATCCGGAAAGAGCAACCTTGGCCTGCTAGCTGGGATCTGGGCAGATGGCGCATTGAGAGTACTGGAAGTCTTCGTCGAAGATCCTGAGGTCGCTGAGACAGAATACGATTTGATCAGAAACGCTGCTTTTACAGCCCAACCACCCAACACTATCTGCACTTGCTTGACATGGCTAAGCTCGAATAGCATTATTGCTGGCTGCGCTAATGGTTGCGTCGGTGTCTGGAATATTCCTACTGCACTGCAGTCCAGATCTATGGGCGATCAACGTGCACCGACTGCAGAGCCTGTCATGTTCTCCCCCATATCGCCAACCTACATACTCAACGTCACGACCTGCTATCCATCACGACCAAACATCATGATAACGTCTTCCATGTCAGGCCATATCCAGATGACAGACCTAATGGAGATGACTTCCAAGGCAACCATGAGCCCAGCAGCGACAGTTAGAGCCAGCCGTTCACGCGTGGGAAGATCTGTTCTCGTGTGGCACGAGTTCGCCCAGGTTGTCCTTACGGTTGATGACAACTTCACCCTTATTGCCTTTCCAATTCGCCGGTTCTTCCGCCAAATCTCGTTCACGCGTTATAAGAGTTCCGTGGCGTGTCTTGCCTACAGCCCTGTTCATCCGTTCGTGATGGCAGGATGCGTTGGTGGTGAAGCGATCAGCAACAATCCTCTCCGTCGTGCCTACGAAAACAAAGTCCCGATCTGGAACCAGACGTGGTTTACGCATGAGTGGAGGCAATGCAAGATCGAGGAGCCTGCTACCGTTGGCGCTTCCGATGGTGACGAAGTCATGGCTGATGAAGCAGCGGAACCGGAGGAGCAAGTAACGAGCACAGAAAAGGAGGCAGTTCCGACACCGCAAGAAATCAGTCGGATACTGGAAGGTTTCAAGTGCAAGGAGATCAAACTCTTCAACACAGAAGATGCCTTCACTCATAGGGAGAATGGAGCGGTATACTCCACCGTTTACGATTTGAAGACGACTGTCAGCTCGATGGCTTGGAATCCGAACATTCATGTTGGTGGATGGATTGCTGCAGGAATCGCGAATGGTCTGGTCAGAGTGGAAGATGTTGCCTCATGAAAATGCTGCGTGGAGGAAGGACGGCGTACTTGCTTAAAAAGATACCCCCTGTATGCTAGGTTTACGAAATTGCTAGCTATGACTTGATCTCTTACATGCCCTCAGAGATGTCCAAATGCTTATATGGGAATTTTGTGGGCCACGCTACGCCAATAGTCGCATCGCTGAGCCAGTTGTGCGATCGAGATGCCAGAAAATCCATCTGATGATACCAAAAACTGCTCTCCGGAATCAAGCTCTGGCACTCCAGGAACAGACGAATTCGTCAATTTATGTGCGTTCGGATCACCCGTCTGAAAGAATGATGCGAAAGCTCCTGCGTATCCTTGATATGTAAAAGTGTCGGTTTTTTGGATGTCATTCACCTGATTCCACTGCTCAAATGGTCAGGAACTGTCTAGGTAAACGGGTGTCAACTCACATAGATTGTGTCAGAAGCGTGTTTAGCAGGTGAGATAGTGTATTCTCCAAGAAACGATTTCTTCTGGGCAGCGCCAGCCATCCAATAGGCAGGACAAGCCAAGACAGTATCTCTGAAGATAAGGCCTGCACGAATGTAGGTGGTGTTATAGTTGGGAAGCCCTTCTGCCGACCCTTGTGCGGGATACAGAGACAGTACTCGCATTCTATCACGGTCCGATAGTCCTGGCAGATACCCCTTCAGCCAGGCTGTAAGCGATATGACTGATGAATTGAACGGCGGCGAGCCGGAACTAGCTGCATGCTGAAAACCTGGAGGAATAAAGTTTTCTCCTTCGTGCAAATTATACATGCCAAATCCATAGTCGATGTTGACCTGACCACGAGCAGTTGCAGATGATAGTGATTGCGTCAGAAACGTGCCATCGATGACGGGTGACCAACTATAGGATGATGTGTTGTAAACATGAGACCCAGAAATGACAAGGGAGGCATTTCGGATGGCCTGAACATCAACACTCTTGAGGCACTGCAGAGAGTTGGGTCCGGAGCAGCCCGTAAGGTTAGCAAGAGAGTCGTAGAGTACCTGAGCTTGAGGTGCGTTGTACTTGTAAGTCTTTGGCCAAAATGGAGACGACGCCAAAGCTTTGGAGAACAAGGGGGGACTTGTCTTGCCGTTCTGCGCAATGACTTGAGCAACTACGCTACCACCTCCAGCTGATTGACCCCAGATAGTCACATTGGAAGAATCACCACCAAATTGAGAGATGTATTTGTGAGTCCACTGCAGCGCAGCATGTTGGTCCAGAAGCCCTGGGTTCAGGTCAGAGGTTGGATCTTCAGCAATCTCTTTGCCCGGCAGAAGACCAAAAGCATTGACTCGGTAGTTTGTGTAGACGAAAATGAAGTCGTTAGAATCGGAAACGTTGAGTACGGGATAGCCTGCAGATAATAAGTACCGATCTTCAAAGCCACGAATTCTACCCCAGCTAGAGCACTACACTTACCTGACGGAGGAATAGAAAAGTAGGCACTGCCCTGAATAAACCCTCCTCCATAGAACACCACCACGACCGGTCTCAATGGCTGTCCTGTAGTCCAGGGTCTTGAGTATAACCCAAGATACAGGCAGTCTTCAGATCCGTTCACGGTCCTCTGAGGGCACATGTCAAAAGCCTGTGTTGAGTTATATGTGCCATTAGTGATTGGAATGGGCGGTTGAGGTCCTCTGAAACGATTCTGTCCAACAGGGGGAGCGGCGAAGGGTATCTTTTGCCAGTAACTCAAGTTGTATCTTGCTGAGTGAGATCCTTCGAAGGTGCCATAGTCAAGCTCAGCTGTCAAGGTAGGAGTACCATTGCACACGGCTACCACAACCGCTATGGCGTAGAGACATGCGTTCAGATTTAGAATCATTGTGGGATTCTGGTGTTCGAAGATAGACTGCGTCCACGTACACTGCTGTGCATGCAGGATATACTCACAAAGACTCGGTATTCGGGTAAACTAACCCATCATCCCCTCATTCTGTGTCATGTATGATGATGCTTGGTCTTTCATGGCGAGGGAGGAAGATGGGGTAAGATGGAGGCAACTTCGGATGAATTGGAGCCGAGGCTGTGCGGGTTAGCTCTGCAGACTGTATATTTCCGTCAATGTTCAGTTAGCTGACGGCTCAAGTGAAAGGCTTCCGGAAGAATTGTGCGAAGATGTACAGAATCTAAAACGGAGAAATGGAAGGATTGTTCTGTACTGATGTAATCCCGTGCGAAAATGAGATTGACAGAAAATATTTGCAAAATTGGTCAGGGCTTCCAGCATCAGCATACTGGAGAAGAACTAGCCCTCGATGCCAACTTGGAGATCTCCGGCAACATGGCCCCAGAGCTCTTCGATGAAAGCGTTCTGTCGCTCACCTTTTCTTACTGCCAGGTACCTTCTACCATCGACTTCTGGTTGCCAATTGCCCTTGTTCGCATCGACAATCTGGCCACCGGCTTCCTCAAGAATTACCCAGCCAGCACATACATCCCAGGCCCAGCATCCTGCTTCCCAGTAGGCATCCAAATGACCAGCAGCAACGCCACACAGGTTCAGAGCAGCGGAGCCGAAGGAGCGGATGCCGTGGACAATGGCGCCACCTTCTTCTGCACTAGCACACAGGTTACGGAAAGTCTTGACTTTGACGTCGTAGTCGTGGCCTGCTCGGTCGCTTCCCCATTCCACCGCGACAAGAGCTTTATCAAGGGTGAGAGGCTCGGGCTCTTTCAGAGGTAGCCTGACATGGTCATGGAAAGGATCAGAGAGGAAAGAACCCTTCCCCTTGATTCCCGAGAACAAGGTCTTGTTGAATGGGTTGTAAATGACACCAACAACCGGTTTGCGGTTGATGGCGAGTCCTAGAGAAACACTGATGTATGGATATCTGTGGACTAGATTGGTGGTCCCATCAACAGGGTCGACGATAAGGGTTGGAGAATTGGTGAGTTTGTCACCGGGCTTGTAAGTTTCCTCGCCCATAAACCTGATGTACCGTGTGAGAAATGGGAAATGGAGGACAAGGTGACTAAGGCAAGGCGCACTCGAAGTGAGGGTAACTTTTGCGAACGAGGTCGGTGATCAGTCTCTCAGTAGCCTGATCGGTCTCCGTTACCAAATCGACCGAGTTCTTCTTCTCGCCTGCTGCTGTTGTAGAAGGACGAGCAGCAGTGATGACCTCGCCAGCCTGTTTGGCGACGTCAACGAGAAAATCGTGCACTTCTTGAAGATTGATGTCGGACATGATTGTGGTGGTGTTGCAATCAAAAGTTGCAAAGTTAGATAGAACTAGGTACAGTCCAGAGAGGGCACAAGTCAAGGCATGGCATTATGACGATGTATTGACCCGAGTGGATCCTTGGATCATTAGGAACTTGGGGTCGGAGGTGCCAAGACTGTTATCGATAAGGGAAGTAGCGCATGGCTCCTCTCCAGAACGCGCCTGCCAACACGTACAACTCGGCAGCTTCCCAAGCTTTCAAGCATTGCGATTCACATCAATGGCGCCCTTTAAGGATGAGCAAATATTGGTAAGCTGACGTCCATGCTGGCACAATTCTGGTCAGCCCGCTCACTTTTTGTGCGCCTCACAGATCATTGCGCCCGGCTCGCGAACGACCCTTGCGCAGCTCGGTCTGCCTGAGTCTCTGACTCCGGCGCGTTTTCGCATACGTTCCTGCATGTTTCCCGCCGAAAAGCCTGGCGAGTTCGAACCCAACAAAGTCCGCCGGAAAGATGCCCCTCCCGCCGATGGTGATAGCGAGCCTGAATACGAAGAGGATGTCCTGTCCGAGCAGGGCGCTGTCTGGCCTATTCAACAAGGTCGCATTGTCGATTGGGACTGCTTCTTTGCTCTGGTCGACCACGTCTACCGCAACATCAACCCACCTTTCCACACTGCCGTCCTCCTCATTGCTCAGCCAACATGGACTCCCAAGGAACACGAGAAGATTGCCCAGTTCATCTTCGAAAAGCTGAAGCCTCCAGCCTTTGGCCTAATGGATGCTGCCTCGGCCACACTATACGCATATGGTGTCTCCACTGCCACCATTGTTGATGTGGGATACGAGAAAGCCGACGTCACTGCCATTTCCGACTACCTGATCCACGACACAGGCCGCGCCCTTAGTGTGCCCAGTTGTGGTGGAGAGGCCATGACCGAACGTCTCTTCCAGCTCCTTGCGTCGAGAGGCTTCTCCAAAGAAGTATGCGAGCAATTGAAAAAGAACCCTATCTGCGAAATTCTGCCTCCGGATGTGGAGTTGCCATCAGAGAACGCTCCAGCATCGGCCGATCAACCATCTAACCCTGCTGCAGCTGCCAGCACTGGTGCGGAAGGCTCAGGTCCCGGGCAACGGACCACCACTGCAGCCCTTGGAGAGACGCCTCTAGGTCCAGGTCCTGGCACACAGGTCGGCAGCGAACAGCAAGACGGCGAGGATAATGAAGGTGTGCTAGACATTGCAAGCATCGTCACAGGCGGAAACATGACAGAATTCCTGGAACGCAAGGAGAAAGAGAAGGCTGAAAGACTCGCGGCAAAGAAGAAGGGCACAGAAGCCGGTTCCGCTGGCGCAAAGCCTGCAAAGCTGCCCAACTCCAAAAGACTTAAGAACACTTTTGTGTATGAGGATCACAATTTGCGCGATGCCATGAAGCAACAAAACTATAGCGACAAGCAGATTGCAGACATGCAAGCTGCTGTCGATGTTGGCACTGCAAAGAAAAGCGATGCAGACGCAGGTGACGGAGATCGTCTCGTGAGCGATGGCGCTCAGGATGACCTGCATGCACATGGCGGTGCTATTCGCCGAGAAGCCGAGGTCGGTATCGAGCGATTCCAAGCTGCTACTGGTGGCATACTGGACAGACTGGCTGATGTTATCTACCGCACTGTTTCTTCCGTCGAAGAGGTGGGTAAGAGAAGCGAACTGTGGGACTCGCTCATCATCGTTGGTAATGGATCCAAGGTCCGCGGTTTCAAAGAGGCTCTCCTCACAACACTGCAAACCAAGTACCTGATCTCACCATCTTCGGCCACCATCTTCACATCCGAACTTCCTTCAAACCTCTCTACCCCAATGGCAACCGGTGCTAACACCCCACAACCTACACTACCTCCACACCTGGGCTCTGGTGTCAATCCTTTGTTATATGCTGCGACAACGGCTCAAAATCCACAGCTGAACCCTATGAGCGGTGGAATGCCAAGTGGAAACATGCCTCACAGCTTGCACACGTCACACGCACAATCTCCGACAAGTGTAAAATTCGCAAAGATGCCTGAATACTTCCCTGAATGGAAGGATGCTGGTTATGAAGAAGCAGTGTTCCTTGGCGCTCAGGTCGCTGCAAAGGTGCTGTTCATGGCAGACCAAGGTCTGAACAAGGGCTACATGACGAGGACAGATTACAACGAACAGGGACCTCAAGGGATTCACGATTGCAGCATGTGAAGGGACTCGGGATGGGGTGCATCGGATGGTGAACAAGGCGTCAGCAGGTCAAATAAGTCTAGCATCGTGTTCAGTCAAGTATTGATAAGAGCGAGACATCTCTCGCTTCACAGGATTGCGACCCATTTACTACTTCGATCATCGTCAGGAGATGCATCGGCATGAAACAAAGACCAAGCGCAGGCTTGTGCATTTCATTTAGCTGCACGAAGCAGTGAAAAGACCCTGATCGATCGGGAACACCAATTTCGTTAAAGAAAAACCCTTTTATCTCTCCGGGAGTTGCTACTGAGCGTGTAGAGGTCCTTATCCAGCGCAAACCAAGCATCTTCTGTCATCCACACATCCCACCTCTTTCAAGACCGGGATTATTACTCGAACGCACCTGTCAAGATTCACTGTGCTAGTCATGATGCACTGCAGCAGTCAAAGAACCAAGAAGTTGTCAGTTTCGACCGAGCATGACTCTCCCGCTGGCGTTTTTCACGTCCATAGCTAAAACCTCGACGGACGCGTACGCTGAATAAGAAATCCACTCTGTATCAACTTCTGTCTCTTTCCGTAATGCGCCGAGAAGTATTACCCCACTGGCTAATTCAGGTACTCTAGGTTTGGCCTGCAAAATGACTCGAGTTGTTTCATGCGCAATGGTTCGACGAGCCAAATGCGCACAATCCTGCCGAATGAGTGGGCGCATTCCGAGCTGGTTTTCTGGAAATCAGCGACCTCGACGATGAGACCAAGTTAGCTATTCAAGCAGGAAAGGGAGGAGACATCAACACGCACTGTTCGGTAATTAGGCTTTATGGCGAGTACTCAACACTAGTTATTCCCTGCGGCGGCCAGCCTTCCCACGATCTTCAGGTGGGCCGTGCTCGTATGGATGGTTGCAGGGGTTGTCGGACCCGAGACGAGCTTCACCTAGTATCTTCAGGGAGTTGTTAGCTAAACACCTTGTTCATATTTTTCCCTTCTATTCCTTCTTCTCGTTCCTCTTTCTTTCCTTTTGCCCTGCTCCAATCTCAGGGCCGTATCAATCTGGCCGACCAAGTTTGAGGTTGCATCCCGCTGGCAGGTGCAAATCCGTTCGCTCGCTCATCACTACTCGGATAGGAGTACTCGAGGCCGTACTCGTACAAGTAACCTAGAGCAGCTCTATCTCTGCCTGAAGGTTTTGCATTTGCCGCCATCAAACCTTTAACCTCCTCGTCGATCTAAGACGGCAATCCCGAGCTACGACGCTACAACGATCTGAACCCCACGCCCACCCTCTCGAATTCGACCATTGTTCTAGAACAGAAGTCGGCTCGCCGAGGAACCGTGTGAAAACGTTTCGACGTTGGCATCTCCTCAGACCTTGGTTTCTCAATATCTCAGACCTCCCTGCATCGATCCCTTCTGCGTTTCAACGCGTAAGCAGTCGCAACACCCGACTCCTCCAGCTTCGACGCCGCCACCCATACCACTTGAAAGAGACGGATAGACACCACAAGTCACACTGCCGCCCTGGAGCGATCGCTTCTATTATTACCCGAACCCCGACCCGATTGCGCCCGCCAAAGCGACTGGTGCGCGACAACTAAACGACGAATCGCCGCTGCGCATCTTGACATGACGACTGTTGAGCAGCCTTCTCGCCATATTCATTTCAGCTCCGATTATTCCACCCAATCTTCGACCAGGCCTATTCCCGTTCTTACGACCAGCGCCCCCGACTCCGACGCTTCTCCCGACCCAATGGATACTGGTTCCGACAATGCTGCCAGGGACTCGCAGAATGCCAGTCCCAGGGGTGACAAGCGGGATATGCAGCCTGGAAACTCTGCTGAGCAAGACGGCCACCCTAGTCAGCGAAATGGAGTCCTCGGTCAACACGCGGTGGGTGCAGCAGCAGCAGCACAGCAACCAAAGGCCATAAGTGCTGCCTTTATTCATAAACTATACAGGTAGTGCTTTCTTGCTACCATCTGGAAGCTTTTCAGCCGGCTAACCCCTTACCAGCATGCTTGAAGACCAAAGTATACAGCATTTGATTTCCTGGTCTAGTACCAATGAGAGCTTTGTCATGTCACCTTCAACCGAGTTTTCCAAGGTTCTTGCGTAAGCAACATTTTCGAAAGTCGGATTCGACTTGAAGCTAATAACCGGCTAGATCATATTTTAAGCACACCAATATTTCATCATTCGTCCGTCAACTGAATATGTACGGTTTTCACAAAGGTAATCGCGGTGACTTGCATTAGCTAGCATGATGCTGACCACAACACGAACAGTCAGTGATGTTTTCCACACGGGGTCGCCGGACTCTCCTCTATGGGAGTTCAAACATGGCAATAACAATTTCAGGAGGGGAGACTTGAACGGATTGAGAGACATTAAACGCCGAGCCTCCAGGCACACTCTGATACACCGCGACTCTTTCTCGAACGCTACCCCCAAGATGACGCTTCAGCCACCTCCTCCGCCACCTCCTGGTGCACCGATGGAGCCGCCAATGCCGGATCCTGTCGAAGCCCGACTCAGCATGCTAGAGTTCAATCTTCAAGATGTTTATGCAAGGCTGGCAAGATCGGAAGATGCATATGCAAACCTTAGTGCCAAATGTCAGATGCTGTCGGAGGGATTGGCAAGATGCCATTATGTGAGTCTTGCGCCATTGTCTCATATTTCAGCCACTGACCCCAAGCCAGTGGAGTGGTGAACTATCATCGCAGTTGCTCGTAATGGTACCTGATCCGGAAACGCCAATTCACAGAGACGTATCAGCATTGCGCGCCGAGATCAACCGAAATGCGGATATTTTGAGAACTCATGAAGGCCCACACGAAACTTTGCAACCCACCCGCCCTCCTTTCATGTCAGCGCCTTCCTACGACCACGGTGGTCCTGTTTCGCCACGTCAGCAAGCAATGGATGCTTCCCGTAGGCCTTCGCTGCAACCAAATTCGCGCGCTTCTTCTTTCAGGACGCCCATGCCTCCACACATGACGGCATCACCTCACAGATTTGGTTCTCTGAGTGGTCCTTCCGGACCGCCATCACCTTCGTCCAGGCAACCTGCACCCCCGCCTCCACCACCCACATACACGACACTTCCGCCTCCACCGGTCCCCGTAGCCCAGGCACCTGTGCAGCATCGCCCAGCCTCACCTCCCATGAATCTGTCTCGTCGTCACACTTCTGCGGATATTAGACTACAAGGGTGGAACGGCCCACCCCATGCGATTCCTCCACCTCCTCCACCACACGGGGGCTCGCCTTTTACGACAGGAGGACAAAACTCAGTACAGTGGCCTTCGTCTCCATTCCGTCAAGGCAACAATGAAGGCCAGCAGATCAGAGACACTTTGGCGCAATATGAACTGCCCCGTGCAACGTCTAGACTTGGATCTCGACAGACTACACCACCTGACTCAGGACCTCCGTCGTATGCCAATAACAGCGGCGAGGCGGGATGGCAGCTGCCTGGACCAAAGTTCTCTTTCAAGGGTGTTGAGGCATCGGCACCAGGAACTCGCCGAAGCAGCATGGCCAGCAATGTACACTCACTGCTTAATCCTACAGCAGAGTCAAACCAAGATCGAGATGGAGAAGAAGGACCCGAGGATAGGAAGCGAAAGAGATTAGCATAAGATTTGAAGACGGAGCAGTCCACAATGCATAGCATTTTTCAGAACAGACACCCTATGTCTTTAGGTATAGAAATTGAACATGTCCTGACTATGCTGCAATGCTCTCGTGACTATTCAAGCGTCGAGGATGTGAAAGTCGCGTGTAATCGGAAGGAAAAATAGGGACAGGGTACAGTAGAAATAGGACCGAGTCAGGACTCAGAAGCGTTCGTTCGGGGCCGCCCGCTTCTCGACCCTAAATCTGGCGGCGGGCCTGGCCTCGGCAGCGGGCAGCATTGAAGATGTTGGCAGAAAAATAAAAATTATTGCTGGAGTCGCAACGCACTCCCCTACTTCTGTCCTAATCGCATATACATACTTTACTTCGCATCCTAATCGCACACTCGCTGTCGCCTGCCAAGATGGTGCAAAAAGTCTATGTCACGTACAACGATGTACGAGTCCCCGAGTAGCGCTGAATCGCATGGCAGCTATGAAACCGCACTGACAAGAGGCAGGTACACAAGCTCTGCCAGAACTCGGCTGAGCGCATCTTGAGCGACTGCAAGCCCAACCTCATCATCGCAATCGGCGGCGGCGGTTACGTTCCTGCCCGTATCCTGCGTTCCTTCCTCAAGAAGCCCGGCAGCCCCAACATCCCCATCCAGGCCATCGGTCTTTCTCTCTACGAGACCCTCGGCACCGAGACCCCCGAAGAGGTCCCCGGCACAAAGGTCACCCGCACACAATGGCTGGATCTGTCTTCTCTCGAGATGGCCAACCTGATCGGCAAGAACATTCTTATCGTCGACGAGGTTGATGACACACGCACCACTCTCGAGTACGCCGTGCGCGAGCTGCAGAAGGATGTCGATATCGCTACTGAGAAGCTTGGCCGTACCGCCGAGAAGACCACCTTCTCCATCTTCGTCCTGCACAACAAGGACAAGACCAAGAGAGGTACCCTCCCCGAGGAGATGGTCAAGCCCGACCACTACGTTGCCGCCGTCACTCTTCCCGACTACTGGATCTGCTATCCTTGGGAAGCTCAGTACGTTCTTTCTCCCTATTGATTCTTCACGTGCCTTCGCTAACCCGACTTCTCAGGGACATTGACGAGCACGACCGCAACGCTGCTGAGCAGGCCAAGCAACAATAGATTTTCACGAACATTCCGGCGGATGGGGAAGGGCAAAGATAATACGGCGTTTGGGGTAGACCCTGTCAAGTTCATGAATCCAATATCTACGATCTCAAAATCATAAAAGAGTTTCATCATTACTTCGAGGCCGAGTCCGAGTCCGAGTCCGTCAGCCATCTATTGATATACCGCCATGTCATGTTGCTGATAGGGTAACCCTGGTCCGGGTATTAAGCTTCATCTGATCCGTCTCCGTAGGCTTGCCATCTCTGTTTAGTCATGTCAGCAATCCCTGGGAGCATTTTCGCTGGAACAAAACCGTCTGTGCTTTCTCTTGACGACTTTGTGGTGTTGGTTCGTTGATGGAGGTGAATAATCAGAAGTTGTTCGTCCCAGGCACCAGTGAATACTGTTGGAGCGCTCGTGTGATGCAGCGCACAGTGCGAATGAATTCGATGTCACACTGATGAGATACCTTGGAACGAGCTTGTCGCTACCTGTGTATCACATCAAACTTCATATGTCTTGATGCAACGAACAACCTGATAGAATACTTGATGCATGCATGCATCGATGTTAACCGGCAATTAGCCGCCGTATACAAGCCCGTATGGAACCTGCTTTGCACGCCCAATGACGCGTCATTGTTTGCTGACATTGTCCAGTGTGCAACATTTATTTATCTACAAGTATTTACTTACATTCATTCTGATCGCAAACACCTAGAACTCAAAAATTCAATCAGGACAGCATCTAACAACATGATTTCTCAACTCCTACTCCTCATCATCACCATCTTCATGCCTCCCGTTGGCGTCTTCTTCATCGCCGGGTGTGGAGCAGACCTTCTGATCAACATCTGCCTGACTGTGCTCGGGTACGCGACTGACTCTCTTTTTCCACACCACACCTCCTTCATTATATCTTTCGCATCACAACATACTAATTATAACACAGCGTCATCCCTGGCCACGTCCATGCATTCTACCTCGAATACGTCTACTTCAAGAGAGAGGAACAGAGTGCCGTTGGCAACTACGACAACACCAGAGCTCCTGGCGTCTATAGCGATAACGTCCAGACTGGCGGTAGAGGCTATGGCACGCTCCCTCCTCCTGCTGGCGCCCCTGTGAACTAGGAGGCTGGGCGCCCCTACTCGTACTTTCGAGCAAAGAACACCAACGAGTACCCCCATCGCAGCTCAAGACACCAAGGCATTGCCCCGAGGGACCAAACCGCATCCATACCTGCATATGCACCGCCACCTCAATAGTGTCTCACTACTCAATGGCGTCTCACTGATTTACACTACTTTTTTTTCTTTGATTCTCGCGACCCGTCATGATTGACGAGGTCTCGGGCTTCGTGATCTTCCATAGTACTACCCACTACCTCTATGAGACCCAAACCCAAGCTCGAGAATGAGAAATATACCTACTTACAGACTGAGACTGACCTCTCCCTCAAGAGTGATTTTGAATCGTTTTGATGTGGTGCCTAACTCAATCCCCCTTCCCAACACATGACATGATTTGCGAAGAGGTAAGTAATTGGAAAACCACGAATCGGGTGTTTGACATTCTCCCGTTCTTCAACATCTGCGTCGAGGTTCTTCCTCTCCCCACGCTTGAGTCTCCCTGGAGTTCGGTCCACACCACAATTCCCGAACTGGCAAAAGTGAAGTCAGCAGATGATTACAGCTCAAGCTAACCGTAACACGCGAAGCTAGTCAATTCTTCGAACGTCGAAAAGGACGTAAATTCGCGCGGGAATCCACACAAACATCATGACATGGGTACCAGCAAGTTTCCAGAAGTCACAGAAGAGCATACATTAGCTTGTGACAGACCGCATGGACTCTGAGAGTGCTAGCTTGGAGTACACAGGGACATGAACGGCCATTGGAAACGCTGTAACACGAATCAATGAGGTCTACCACTGGCACACCAGAGCATTGAGACGGTCGTGGGATCGACAGACGCAGATGAGCGTTTGGACCACAGACAGATTTGGAAGAAAGCACGGAGAAGAAAGCTCACAGCTGTACACCAGGTCAAAAATTAGCTAAAAACACACATTTATCAGATTGGTGCCAACGAGAGCATCCAGACTGACATCAAATGTTCGATCAAAAGTTGAAGAGACATAAAGATGAGAGATAGGGGCTCCTGGGTTGGCGAAGAACCTCCTCCGTGTATACAGCGGCAGCTCTGCGGCCGAATCAAATAAAACAACATCATTGCTCTACATAAAGATGAGAGATGTGCTAGTTTGTCGTTTCGACAGGAGCGGGAGAAGGAGCTCTTCGCGAGCATCGATATCGTGTACATTCGAAAGCGGATTCTCTGTTCCGCCTAGAGCCTCATTGGCAAGACCACGGGCAATGATATGATGCTAAAATACAGCTGGGGAATTCGAGAGAGATGTTGTGGTTGTTGTGAGCAAAGGTACCTGTTGCGGATGGCAACGTCGATTGCTGCCAATCCCGGTGTTCGGGACACGAAGCTTCGTTGAGAATTGCTAAGCGTTGCTTCGTGGCTTGTATTCTCGAACTCTTGAATGCTGTCATTTTTCGCGCGTTCAAAAGAAACAAAAACCGCGCTATGAGTTGCTGATAAGACCTGACATCTGCTCACAAGCTTTCGAGGCTCTACAAGTGTGATACGACAGCAAACCGCCTCTGAATCACATTGGAAAGCTGAGGGGCTCGTATTATGTGTCGTACAGAACGGAGGTCCGTGCTGTGAGTGGGGGAAAGAGCAATGTCCGAGTCGCAAGAGGCAGACCTCTGCTCATCATCCACACGCAACAGCAATAGTGAGTGCTACTTCATCCAGACATGCTCGAGGTCTCTATCTGTGTCATGTTTAAGCGGAAGAACGACTATGTTCTGCATCGGTGATGCAATCGATTGAGATACGACAACGCCTGGTACAATTCTCACGTGATTTTGTGTAAATCCAACGCTAGCCTTCTCTGTCCAGAGCTCTCGGTCATGAAGCACGGGAGCGCTGGAAGATTAATCAGAAAGTGTGTACAACAACCCAACAATCCAGAGTCTCGCAAGGGACATGATGGATCGTAGCCTGTATGGTATTCTAGCAATGGAGTATACGTTTGAAGAGCAAGGCCAGCGTAGAGCAGGTGCCGGATTCCTTGTGCTCGATGCGGATGGTACAATGTGAATCACGTGATCCGTTCAATTTGGCCTCCTTTCTTTCTGTCACCATCGGAAGCACATCCACGATCCATCCACGGCACAGTCAGACACGCCAATGGAATCTAGGTTACTTAGTGTATCGTTGAGACATAAGTTGTCGTTGCTATGTGCTGGGAGTTGTACTACTCGATGCCAAGCCATTTTGCCCGCACCCAAATCTATACCATCACAAACGCCTCGTGATGAGTTCTTTTGGCGCCCTCACTACGAAAGCACTACTTTCTGAGATTGAGTCTGACGTACGGTATTTCAACATCCTCCTCCGTAGTGTCCTCAGCAGTAATCTCGAAGATCACTTGCTTCTGGTGCTCAGGAATGGGCTTCTTGCTGATGGTCTCTACAAGTTCGCTCAACCTAAGAACATTGTTAGCATGAGTCTAGAAACACAGGGTGAATAAACTTACTTAAGAGGCAACCTGTCCTTGTTCTTGGCTGCAGGATAGAAGCTAGCATATAGCAAGCTGACTCCGGAACTGATCATCGTGACTTCAAGACCCTTGTCAGAGAAGTCCTTCAAGAACTGTTCCAGAGTGACGTCCTCAGTATCGAAGCGGTCCCAGAGCTTGTCAATAACGACCTCGCCGTTCTTGCCTTGGTACTTGCCCTTGGGCGAAGCGATGGGCTCGGAGAATCCGAAGAATGGCAGGGCCAAGTTGATGAAGCCATTCTTGTATTGTTCGATGTCGTCCTTGCCGTCGATGATCTTGAACAGCTCAAGGACCACAAGACCAGTGACCAGAGCAGTAGTAGTTGCAATGGCAGGAATGATCTTTCCTGCAATGAACTTGGTCTTGAGACGATCGGCATTGACAATCTTGTAGTTGTCTGCACGCAAGTTGCTGGCAGCGGTGATGAAATCAATGTGGAAGTTGGAATCATCGTCCTTCTCGAATTCGACAGGAGTCAGCTTGAAGTTACCCAAGCTCTTGGGCGAAGGCAGCGACTTTGCGATCTGGTCGAGTTCATCGTTGTCGTCCATCGATGCTGCAGGACCATTCGGGTCGGGCTCGTTCTCGCTGGCCTGGATCTTGACACCAGGGTCGGGCTTGAAGTCTTCGATGATGATGTTGTTAACAAGCTCATCAATCTCAGCCTTGTCCTTGGTGCTCTTCTGAGGAATGCCATAGTTGAAGGCGTGAAGGTTAGCAGCGGCAAGGACGAAGGTGAAGTGGGAGTCGTTGTTTGAATCGTACTTCAACGGGTCGGGAGCACGCTTGGGACCAGACCAGAAGTCCTGACCGCTTGAGGTCTTGGAATCCTTGGGGAAGTTGTACAGGAGCTGCTGAATAGCATTGTTGTACTGCTTCTCGAATTGCGACCTGGCCCACTTGATGCAATCCTCGTAGGTTTCGGGCTTGTCAGTGACTAGGAACTCCTTCAAAGTCTCGAGAGTCTGCTTTTCGTTGCCAGATTGCTTGAGAGCAGCACCGAGGTAGTCGGGTTGAGTGATGTATGCGTTGACAATCTCAGCAGGTCCAGCGAAATAGGTGTGGAAGAGGTCCTTGGCCCAGGCGATGGTGTGCTCAATGCGGTTGGGGAAACTGCGAAGAGTGCACATGGGGAAAGACTGCTCGGGCGGGTCTTGCGAGCTTGAGTATGACTCGGTGATTCTGGGAAGAACGACCTGGGTGTTGCCCTTGGTACCGAGAGTGCCGCTGTCCAGCAGAGGCTTTTGGAAGAAGACACACCTGCGGTCAACATAGGTACGAGCATCGACGTTGTCAAGTGCGTTTGTGACACCGTCAAGGCTGTTCCAGAAGTCCTCGTTGAAAAGATGCTCGGTATCCTGACCGACACGATCCTTCATGGATTCGATCTTACCCTTCAGGTCGGGGTTCATGGCTTGAACGGCTCTGGTAGCAGACTCGCTCTTGAGTTGACCAACATCCTTGGATCTGAAGAGGAACTGTCTGTTCAAGTTGCTGCGCTCGATCTGGTCCATATCTGTGACGGTAATTTTGCCCTTGGGACCAGTTGCAAGACCAACCATGGCCCAGTTCTTCAGCATCTCGCAACCAATGGCTCCAGCACCAACCAAGAACTGCTGGTTGTTGGCAAGCTTCTCCTGGAACTCCTTACCGAAGACGGCGACTTGACCGTCGTAACGGGTACCGGTGGGCTTGCAAAGCTCTTCAGAACGCTTGACAGAGGTAGGAACAGCTTCCAAAGCATCAAAATAGAGCCACTGAACAATAGGGTGAAACTTTCCAGAGACGGACTTGAGAACCTCTTGTGCAGCAAGACCACCAAAGAAAGCGGCCATGGGACTGAGATCACCCTGAGCCTGGTATGCCAATTCACGAATGACCTTCTCGTCCAACTCGACCTTCTCCTCTCCAGAGCCTGCCAGGTCTTGTGCGAGCTTAGTGATCTCGTCGGCGTCCTGTTCGTTGTGAGGCTTAGGGAAGTGTCCGTGCTTGTCGTTGAAGGCGTGAAGGGCCTGGAAGCCAACGTGAAGCTGATTGGGGCGGTCAAACTTGGCAAAGTCGGACATCATAAGCTCGGGCTTCTTCAACTGCTGGCTCAGAGGTTCGAAGTTGAGGAACTTGGGCATCTTGACCTGGGTGTAGAGACCTCCACGCTTGTAGTCACCAAGACCAGAGACGTCTCCAATGGAGAAGGTGTAGGGACCATTGACGGTGATCTTGCGGGGTGCAGAGTCGTTCAGAGCATCCATGCCCTGGACTTCGGAGAAGGTCACAAAGTCGCCATCTTCCAGACCGTGTCTTGTCTCGTCCAGAGCGGAGACGATACCCTCCGAGTCGATGTTGGCGATGATGCCGCTGACGGGGTTCTCACCGTTGTAGTCGCCGATTGTGAAGTTCTTGCCAAAGTCGGTGAAGATGGTTCCGAAGAGACCGAAGGTGTCGGCCACGACGAGGTAGATGGCGTTCTGGTGGCAGTAATCTGAGATGAGGAGCTGGTCCTTGAGGGGGGTGTCGGTGAGGACGACGCATTGGAAGTCCTTGAGCTGGCTGAGGTCGTCGGTGATGGAGTTCGATTTGAGGAGGTTTACAGGAGTGTAAGGGTTGAGTTCCGAGACGCGAGGAACTGTGACTGCGGCGCGCGGCTTTCCGACGTCTTCGGGGTGGAGGAAGAACTGTGATGACAGGTCCTGGATCTGAGCGGGCTTGGGGTCGTACAGGGTCAAGCTCTTGACACCTGCAAGCGCAATGTTCTTTGCAATCTCGACACCGAGACCGCGCATACCAACGATGAGGATGTTGGATGAGCCCATGCGCTTCATGGCCTCGTGGCCCAGCACGTAGAGCTGTCTGCTGTATAGTGATTCGTCAATCTCTCCGTTTGCCTCCTTGAGCTGCTCAACGGCAGCTGCAGGGCTGTCGACATCCATCTTGGTGTCCTGCCACAGTGTCAGCATGTCTGCTCTCTCGTGCCAGCAGTGTCCTCTTCTCTCACAGTCATAGCTTTCTTGGACGGACTGGCCTCGGCCTCGCCGGACAAGCGCCTTTTGCCCAGTTTGACTGTGGACGAAGAAATCTTGAAGGCGGAACTATCGTTCGTGGGGGTAGTGCGCGTGATAGAAGCAGTGTTGATGGCGGCGATCGATGATCGGAAAGGACGGAGATGGAGATGGACGGGCGGGATGTTAGAGGCGAGAGTTTGGGTTGTGCTTGCTCTCTGTTGGTGCTCGTGTCTTGCCAAGTTCGCACGTCACATGAAATGCCCCGCCATCTGAAGCTTTGCAATCCGGACGCAATCGAACGCCATAGAAGCTATGTTCTTTCTTCACCTTCAATTAACTGCTGTTTGTCAGGCATGTATCATAAGCATATCCCTACCGATCTTGACCACGGCTGAAGCTTAGCAACCTCAGTTGACTGATCACGAGCGACTTGTCAATCCTGGAGCATTGCCGAAATACCACCCGTGTGGTCAGCCAAGAACATGGTCGCCACTGCACAAGACATGAAAATGGAATAGAAAGATAAAACAGATTCTTTGGCATAGCGTGGTAGCAGAAGAGCTCCGGGTATAGTGCCAATAAACAGAAAAAAAAAACATGATAGCTCGGAAAAAGAACAACAATCCTCCTGCATCCACCCACAGCTGGACAGCCTAGAAACAGTTCAACACTCCCTTCTTCTTCTTCTGACCTGTATTCAATTCCCGCATACGCTCCTCGAGCGCCTGTCTCGCTCGCTCGGCGCGGTGTCTCATCTCCCTCTCTTCCTCAACCTGCTGCATGCTTGCCCTGGAATTCGTACGTTCCTTGCGTAAGCCAACAAGCTCATCTTCCAAGTTGGAACACTTCTTCCTCCATGACTCAAGGTCTTGTCTGGTCTTGTTCTGTGAAGTCTCGAGATCGACAAGCGCTTCCTCCAGAGTAGCAGTGAGTTGCTTCTCCGCAAACAAATGTTTCTCAATAGTGCGAATGCGAGACTCTTGCTCCTCGATCATCTGTGCATATCCAGGATCTGGCTGCATGGTGGAGGGCGCAGTCGATGGCGGCTGTGGAAATGAGCCGTGATGAGGTGTTCCAGGAGGAGATGAGGCCGTGAAGGTAGTGGTCGGTGCAGGGCTCGAAGTACGAGCGTCAATACCCAAGCCCATCGGGATGCTACTACTTTGGCTCAAGAAAGGACTCAGTCCATTTAAGCCCGGAGTAGGGATTGGCGGCAAGGGAATTGCGGGAGGTGGAGAGGGAAGTCCCGAAGTAGCGTTTGTCGCGACCGTGGCACTGGACTTTGGACGGTTCATCAATGATGTCTGTGAGCTCGTGCGTGCAAGTGCAAATGCTGCGGCCTCTGGCGACAACGACTCACGAGCATAGTTCAACGAATCACGCGACGTCGATGCCATTGAACGACGTTGCAACTCAGCAAGCTGAGACTCGAGAAGAGAGACCTTCAGCCTGGCGTCCTCAAGCTCCTTCTTCATCTCATTCTTTGCGCTTGTAGCTTCCTCAAGTTGTGTGTGTCGCTCGCTCTGTATGGCTGACAGTCTATTGCTAGTGTCCTGGTGTAGGTCGTATGTAGAGTTGAGTTGGTCTTCCAATTCTTGCACCAAAGCAGCGCTCTTGCGTTCGTTTTCAACTGCCCGATCCATATTGGCCAGAATTTCTTGGTTGCTGGTCTTCAACTGAGCGATCTCCGTCTCAAGACCGGTGACCTTGGTCAGAGCTGTATGAAGTTCCAGTTCGCTTGCGCCACCAGTGTTGACGTCTCTGCTCTGGCCAACGAAGTCGGTCAGATGGGAGTGGAATCGCCCAACATCAGTTTCATGGCCAAGAATAGCCGATGCCTCAGCAAGCAACTCTTCCAGATCGACCTGCGACCGCTTGAGATCTTGCTGAACAGACTTGTGCTGAGCTTCCAGAGTTGCGTGCCTCTCGTTGAAGTCGTTTTCAGCCGTCGTCATAGCGGCCTTCGCGCTGTCGAGCTCTTCGGCGTGTGACGCTTTGAGAGTCTCCAAATTCTGCTCGTGTATTCCAATTGCAGACTTGTGAGCTTCTATCTGGCTTTCCAGGTTTGAGACCAAGTTACGGTGGGTTTGCAGTTCCTTCTCGGTAAGTTCTCTACCCTTGCTGTCTTCATCGACCTGTTGCCTGATGCTTGCGTAAGACTGCTCGAGTAGCGAGAGCTTCTGATTGTGCTCGTGACTGGCCGCTTGATAATCACCAATCTGCTTTTGCAAAGATTCAACAAGTTCTCGATGCTGGACACGCTCTTGATCGAGATTTGCAATCGCTGCGTCGTATTCGGCGTCACGGCTGGCGACGGACTTGTGTGCGTCGGAGAGGGAGGTCTCGAGAGTGGCGATGGTAGCGAGTAGCTTAACCTCCGACTCCTTCATTGAGTTCTTCATTTCAGCATGTTTCGACTCCCAGCTGGAAATTTGGTTCTGCAGGTGAGAAACGTGATCATCGTTATTGTCTGGCGATCGTTCTCCGCCCGCGACAGCATCTCTTTCAACATGATGCTGTAGTTTTGATCTCAATTCGCCGATTTGAGATTGAAGCTCTTTCTCCCGAGTCTCGTGGGCTTCACGAAGAGAACTTACCTGCTGCTCACTTTGGGTGAGTTGATCACGCATATGACCAAGAGCAGTGAAATCTACGGTGTTGGAAGCCGAAGCACTTGCTCTTTCGCGTGTCAATCCCGTGATGATAGCAGTTTTGGCATCAAGATCTCTTCGAGTAGCCGTGACTTCTGCCTCTATAGCATGCATCCTTTCAGTGCGATCGTGCAGATCACCCATAATGGTGTTGAGGTGGATCTCGAAATTCTGGCGGACATCGATGTTGGACTCGAAGTTATCCAGAGCAATATTACGGAGAGATGCAAACGAACGCATCGCTCGGTCGTTGTTGATAGTAGTGTTGGCCATGAGATCCTGACTGGGTTTACGACGAATCATAGGCTTGACCAGCGAAGGAGACGACTGTCTGTTGGTAGCCAGCTGAGCTCGCTGAACTTCGCGCTTCAGATCCTCGACCTGACTGAGAGCACTCTTGTGCTCGTCCGAAAGTCTGACGTAATTGTCCGAGATCTCCTTCAGGCTCAATTCTCTTTCAATGTGTAGCTGCCTCAACATTTCCATCTCGTGGGCGAGTGCTCGTTCTTCAGACCGAAGAGGGGGTTCATCCTCGTCGACAATCGTGCTTGCATCATCACTCTCAATATCTCTCGTGGTTCTGTCTTGAGACCCATTTGCTTCGTCCGACTCCTCGTTGGTTGTATTGAACGAGTGTTGCGATGACGACTCCGATGACAACTCCGCTTCCAAGGAACGCGAGGATGCGACCAGTTGTCCATCCCCCTTCATGCCGTTCACCCCCGCGCCCCCTAAAAAAGACTCTGGTTTGTCTGAATTCCTCGAGTCCGGTCTGTCGTGCTCTTCACGCGTTTCTTGCATCTTTGCAAGCGCCTGTAAAGCAGTTTCGTACTTGCGTTGAAGGTTGTCATAATCGTTTATCGTCGTTTCGTGCTCGCTGCGGAGATCGAAGAGTTCTTGAGTCATGGTCTCCAGCTTATCGGCCATGAAGTTAGACTGAGCAGCTTGATGTTCATCTTTCTTGCGCGAGTTCTCCACATCATGGGTTTGTTCAGGTGATGATCCTGCGCCATTCTCCGATGTGGATACTGGTTGACTATCACGCTCTTCGCGTACTACATTATCGGCGGTGGTTGCTCTGGAGGGAACGGTTGACTCGTTGATGAACGGATCTTGCTCGTCCACTTCCAATGCATGACCATTAAGCTGCTGAGGACGTCCATTTTGTTCACTGTGGCGAATGTTGTCGAGCTCTGCCAGAAGATTATCAAGTCTGCCGATGCTTCTTTGGCGTTCGATAACATTCTCAAGGCGGTCTAGCTCGCGTTGCATGATATCGCGATCCTGCTCTGCCTCTGCCAGTTTCTCCTCGATTGTTGCAATGTACTGCTCTGAATTGTTTTCAGTATCTCTCACTCTGCTCAACTCCTTTCGTAAGCTAGCAATCAAGGTGGAGCTCTTTTCCTCGCTGGTAGTTGCACCCTCTATCTGGGTTTCCAGATCGCGTAGATAAGCGTCGTTGTTGGCTTCACGCTCGCTAGCCTTTTGCAGTCTCACCTGAAGTTGATGGGCTTGTGACTCCATATAAGCGAGTTTCGCTTCACGCTCCATGAGTGAACTTTCACTGGCGGAAAGCGTGGATCGAGTGTTGGACAAAGAGGTCTCCAGCGACTGTATGGTTTTCTCATACTCCATGACGACCTGTTCAACAGCTTCGGCAAATGAGTTGGATCGCTTGAGTCTCTCCATGGCTGATTCTCCCACAGCGTCTCTGAGCATAGGGGTATCCTCGTTGTTGTCTTCTTTGGCCTTGGAGATTTCAGATATGAGTTTTGCATGGCGCCCACTAAGGGCGTTGTAGCTCTCCTGCATATCCATAAGCTGATCCTGCAGCTCACTTTCGCGACGCTCTTTGTGGTCGCCGGCTGCCAAGATGCGTTGTTCGCCCTTTTCGTTGTTCTTGTTGACTTGCTCACGAAGAAAGGCGACCTCGGCTTGCAGTCTAGCGATGATTGCAGCTTTGTCGGCTTCTTCGGTCATTTGTTGTATCTCGGGCTTGCTCTGGATAGCGCGAGCGCGCTGAGCGTAGGTGACTGTATTAAGAGTCTCGCTCAAATGGAATTCTGCGGGATTAACGCAAGCAACCATGTAAGTAATAGCGTTTCCACCCAGAGAATCTTGTAGAATGCGAGTCAATCGAGAGTCGCGGTAGGAAATATAACCACCCTGCTTCGCAGCAGACAGTTGGGAAATGACCTTGCCCAAGCTAGCAAGACCGGCATTGATGGATATACCCTCCTTTGCTCTGTCACCTTGAGCACCCGTATTTTTCAGACGTTCGCTACCTGCGAGATCGACAAAGTGGAGCTTGCTTTCGGTGGTCACGATAGCATCATGAGCTGTTGAGTTGTCGACTTGGACAGAGGCGCGTCTGTTGACCGAAGGGCCTTTCTTCAGAGTGAGATTCAGACTGAGAATGGCATGAGAGCGCGAGGACTTTGCGTTGATAGCAGTTGAGTCCGTCTGTCGGATGTTGGAGCCAAAGCTCAAAGCCTCCAGAAGATCATCTGAAGAGTTAATAGGCTTTTGGGTCAGACCAGTGAGCAGAATGCGGCCCTTGGTGTCTTCACGGATTGAGACCTGCGGGCGCTCGGCCTCGGGCACCGTGTTCGGTATGAGCAGATCACGGAGCTGTTCGTTGTAGATTTCGGCGTAGGTTGCTGTCAGCGTCCATGACTTGTCGCTACTCGTTTGGCGATGAAGATTTGAAAGACTAGATACGGCTGAGACCGAATAGCGGGAGGGAGACCGAAGGCCAGACTTGCTTGGAGTCAGAGGAGCTGAGGGCGGCGAAGAAGCATTGAGTTTCTCGAAGAGAGCAGCAGCTGCGCGAGGCACGATACCTGCATGACACGAATCAGTATTAGGCTGTTGGTCTCGAATTGCGTAATGCGCCTCACCAGCATGGACGGGGTCAAAAGCGCCTTCAGAGCCAGCAGTACCCATAGTATACGACTTTCCGGCGCCCGACTGACCGTAGGCCAGAATGGAGACATTGTAGCCCTGAATGAAGGAGTTGACACTGTCGCTGACATAGTCCCAGACTCCTTGCTGCGATGTTTCCTCGCCAAAGACACGGTCAAAGACGAACAACTTCTTTCCCTGAGTGGACTGGATGGCGAGATTGGTCGACGACGAAACGTCACACGTGGAGGCACGGAAACGCTGGGGGATCAGATCGTAACCGGGATCTGAGGGCTGGAGAGGGGGGCGGACTCGGACGGCTGCGTGTCATGGTCAGTCAGGGAGCTTGTCGCAAGTTGGGCCGTCAGGGGTTAATGATTGCTCACCAACTTTGACAGCCGTCTTTGAGTCCTCGTCTGACGCGCGACTTCCTCCAGCGCGACCTCCAAGGCTCAGACGGCTAGAACTCCTCGGTGTGCGCAAAGCATTCGCGATCGAGGGCCGGTGCGGGTGGCCGCTCATCGGAGAGGTGGGCGGCGTGGACATCGAGTCCATGGTTGGTGTTCCAGTAGAAAGGTGGGTGCGTGGGCGCCTGTGGCACTGGTGGCCAGGCGGATTGAGAGTCGTGTGAGATTCACGTCGTGCAAAGATCACGAGAAAAGAGAGAGCGACTCTGCTGCAGTGAACAAAGATGCTCCCCCGACTTCAAACGCTCTTGTGCAACCGTTGGAAAGCGCAAGGGCCTCGAAATTCATGTACTGTCGATCACTCCTGTGCTTCACCAAGCCATTGTTCTTTTCCACTAGACGCGAGGGACAAGAACGTGAGCTGACTGACTGCAGGAACGGAAGTGAAGGTCGTCAATGATCGACGTGTTGGAAACTTTGGAATATCGCTTCACCCCAATCGGTACCTGGGAGGAGCGCCAAGATACTACTATAACGGCACGGTGAACTCGTCGGCGGAGTATCCTTTGACTTTCGGATCTACGCTTCTACCATGTGCCAATGCTGTGACCACTTCAACGTATATACCAAGAATTTCCGTGTGGCCTTTTCCTTTTTGCATGCAGCTCAAGGTTAGCGCTCCCGTCTCAACATTCAAACATGTTCACATCCGGGTTGGTGGATTGCTGTGCCTGCACTTGGATCGCGCCGTCGGAGAGACCAGTAGTGGGGTACCGGGTACAATACCGTCGAGTCTTTCAAAAAGACATCAGATGGCCATGAAGATCGCCTGCCTATCGAAACCTTTGCTGATCCGGAGCTCTACGAGGAGGCCGGGGAACAGGGACAGCACAGCAGCGGCGCATGTCATAATTCATTTGCTAAGCGCAGTGCACTGCATCGAGCAAGCAGCAAGAAGCAAGAAACACGTTGTACATGGTTATGGTACCTGTCTCCGTACAAGAACAACAGTATTTGTGCTGGCGCAAAGACAAGCCTCTAATGTTTCAGCCCCCAAACGGGACCACCTTGCCAGAAGACAGCACTTTTAAATCAAGATAGGGGAGATTGCTGAGCGAGGCATGATAAGGAGAGAGGACGGACACGTCAGACGCAACTCGATTGGCGGTTGCACTTGCACAGTTCAAACCTGTCGGGCTATCGGCTCCTAGTTACTTGCTTGGTCGGGGAAACGAGGCCGCGTCAGATTGGAAGGAGGGTGCACCTCTGCTCGACGAAGCAAGAGAATTGCACCAGACCCTTGAGTTTGGGCAAGATATACGAGTAAAGACGAGCAAGGCTAATGGCTAGTGAAATGATATAAATGCAGTGATTGTCAGGGGTACACGCGTAGAGTAGTTGGCGTGATTAAAAGGGAAAGAAGGACGGAGAATCAATGATCGCGACTGACGTGAGGCTTCTGTTTCTCGAAGCCTTCAATCCAGCCAAACCGCCAGCCCACGTTTTTGCATTTTTGCAAAGTAACCTATCACCGTCGTCCACCCGCACACACCTTACATCGTCGCTCGTGCATTGCTTCCGTCAATCCGGACAGTGCTAGCAGATAGCACGTACAGTACTCACGACATCCAACGGCAGAGCGGCAGCCGTCCGACCAATGTCTTGGGCCTCCTCATGCAGACGACTCGTACAAACCTGGCGCGTTCAAAGACCAGCCCAGCCGATCCTGTCCTTACGCGCACCAACTCCTCGTCCCAGGATGTCTTGTATTCCACCACAGTCCCGCTGTCTGAGCGCGACAGCATCTTTGCCACGAACTACCAAGGCGACACGCCCGTAACTTCTCCCCAACAGCCTCGCAAGGAGCCGCCCCACGAGAGGACCGGTCTGATATCGCAGGCCCTTCAACGCCACCAATTGCAGCAGGACTCGCAGAGGCAAGACATTGATCCAAACGACGACGGCCAACAACACCGCGACTTTTCGACGCGCTATCAGGAACAAAGCTTTGATCGCGATCAGAGCTCTGCCGCCCACGACGGTCCAATGTCAGCTTCGTCACTCTCGCCCATGCGGACGAGCATGACCGACTTGTCCATGTTCTTCCACACACTTCCGCACACGGATCTGAATCGTCTCCCATACCCACTCGCATCCAAATCAAACAGACACTCTCTCTACGACCCGCAACTTCTGCCCACTATCGAACGACCCGTTACGCCCACCAACAACCCCAATTCCCCAAAAGCCACATCTGCCGAAGACCTCCAATCCAGCGCTCAACGCTCCTCGTACAGAGCCTGGCGCCAAGGTCAAGGCCGCATGGCCGGAAAATCCATCGCCGAATCGCAGGGTAGGAACCTCAATTCGGAAGATAACGATGTTGATCGCAAGATTGACGCCAAAATGCCAAAGATCGAGCAGAGCATCAATGTTCGCAGCAGAAAGACTAGCCACTACCTCGGCCTCTTCAAGGATCAAGACTCCGAGCACGAAAAGAAGCGCGAAAAGAAAGACAAGGAAAAGCAGGAAAAACACAAGGAGGAGGAGCTGTTGCTGCAAGAGAAGGATCAGCAAACGCTACCTGCCATTCACGAACATCATGATCATGCTACCACCGGTACGCCTGCGCCATTTTCATCTCCCGCAGACCGCTCATCTGACGTTGCGCCAGAAATACCCCCATCGATAACTCTCAACGATAATCTACCTGCGGAGCCAGCACCTGACGCCGAAGCACCTGACGCTGTCAGCACTCCTTTACCCGCACCCAGCACCTTCGAAGCAGAAGCCGAACAGAAGCCACTAACAACTGATAACGCTGAAGGCCGTGTAGCCCACCAAATCCCACCAAGCTTGCTAGAGGAGATTCGTAATCACCATATCATTCTGGGTCCTTCAAGCAACAAGGCTCCTTCCGAAAGAGAGCCTCTTGCCGAGTCATTCGAGAAGGTCAGTCCACCACATCTGCTGCTGCCCGGATTCCTTTCTCCAAACTCCGAGCGGAGAGAGATACAGACGAGCCATATTCGATACTAACTAGCGTTTACAGGAAACCGTACGTGAAGAAACCCCTCACACGTCACTCTTGACACGTCAGGCACAATTGCTTCAGCAAGAAGTAGCAAAGGAGGCAGAGGATGAAGATTCAGATCAGGAACAGATTTCTTCTGCTCAATACATCCCACATCGTGGCAAGGCTACACGTACTGCTTCAGCATTGCCTTTGCCCACTCCGTCTACTCAAGATGAGGAGAAAGAGGTTGTGGTCCCACAGCCCTCGGCCGATGTTGATGTGCATCTACCTATGAAGAATTCTCTCGAGGCTGGTGTCGATGTTCCGCAGAGTAACGTTGAAATTGCGTTGCTGTCAGAAGACGAAAGTCAAGTATTGCATGGTGAAATTCCACACTCCGACAATCGTCATCCCAATGTGACCCCTGCCGTTCAACTTGCAGAGTCTGATTATGACACCGAGTCTTCGGCTTATTCCCACGATCAGGAAGAAGAAGAGACTACTCCGACACCGACACCCACTAACAAGAGTGTCTTGCACGATCGCCCGTCGGCAAACGGCCAGGCATCTGAAGTCCAATCGCAACCTCCTCCACTTGGTGCAGTCGAGCTGAAGCCTTACAATCATCAGGTGGGCGGTCACAGCACCATCTACAGTTTCTCTCGTCAGGCTGTTTGCAAGCAACTGAACAGTAAAGAGAACGAGTTCTACGAGACTGTGGAACAATATCACCCGGACTTGCTTGACTTTCTTCCCAGATACATCGGCGTTCTCAACGTCACTTACAAGAAGCCGAACAAGAAGAAGAAGGACAACATCGACAAGTCCAAGTCTCCTGACATGCAACCCCAAGACTTGAAGTCACCCAAGAAGGGTTCAGCACCACCCGAAGAAAAGAAGGAAGATGCACCTCGCATTGTCAGCCACTCCCAGTCACAGTCCAATGCTGTTCCGGAAGTCAGTCTCATCAACAACCGTCACATACTTCCCGACTATTTCTTGCGTAACCTGCCTCCGAGACCCGCAACAGCTATTCCTGCTCACGTCACTCAACCGAGCCGACAAACTCGCCCCCACTCCATCAGTGAGATGATGAGCGATAGGCGCTCCTCGTACTCGCCTGAGACAAGTCCTGGCCATAACGATCGCCCGCCCTTGCGTCAACAAGCCAGCTGGGGTGCTACCAGTGTCAACCAAGATTTGAAGATGCAGGTGTTCCGTGACGTCTTTACACCTCCCGTCATCATCCGTCATGATCGACGAAGCAGGAATCACCATGGCAGGCACCTCCGAAAAGTTCAGCAGCGTGAATCGATGCCCTCGCTACCAGACGTGAACGTGGCGAACTCAGTTCAGACTACAGGCCTACAAGAGCGCCGCAACAGTGCTGATGTTTCCGCTATGCAGTCACCACCTTCACCTGCTGATGCCACTCGTAGATTGGCGATTAAGAATCGACGAGAGCTCAATTCACCACACAACAGCGTACAATCACTTGATAACTACATGATAAGCCCGCGTAAAGAACAGCCTTTGAGTTGCGAAAGTAGAAGCATGGAGAACGCAGACGCAGACAACCACTTAATGCAGGCCTACAAGACGCCCAGACGCCGTCATTCTGGAAGTGGCTTGCGTAGAAAGAAGGCCGACATCGACGCTTCTCGGGGAGACCTTGAGTACCACGAGGACGAAGGTTACCGCGGTGATGGTGAGGACGTCTTTGCAATGGATGATCTTGAAGGATCCCCTACCAAGCCAAAGGAGAACAAGTCGATCGGTCTGCCTGACGCACTCCAGGGTGCTCCAGACTTCAAGCTCAATCCAGTTCACAACGCTCCAACTCTGGACAAACCGATTGATATGGGCGAGATTCCACGCAACCCTGACCAAGGCACTGAAGACCCTGGACGTATTGCTCATTTTATCTTACTTGAAGATCTCACAGCTGGCATGGTACACCCCTGTGTACTGGATCTCAAGATGGGCACTCGGCAATACGGTGTCTTTGCCGATGATAAGAAGAAAAACTCGCAACGCCGCAAGTGCAAGACGACCACTTCTCGCGAGCTAGGCGTGCGTGTATGCGGCATGCAAGTCTGGAACGTCAAGACTCAATCCAACATCTTTGAGGACAAGTACTTCGGCCGAGATCTTAAAGCTGGAAGTGAGTTTCAAGCCGCGCTGACGCGTTTCTTCTTCGATGGGATTAGCCATGGCAGAGCACTTAAGCATATCCCTGTAGTCTTGCAGAAGATAACACAGCTTGAGCACATCATCCGCAAACTGCCTGGATATCGCTTGTACGCAAGTTCACTGCTCATGATTTATGATCGCGGTGATGTTGATGAACATGGCAAGCCTCGTCAACCTCCGCCTCAACAAAGCGAGACCGAGAACGGCACTAGCCTACCCAAGTCAAAGAACCAGATTACGCTCAAGATCGTGGACTTTGCCAACTGTGTCACAGCCGAGGATGTCGAGACTCGGATGACGGCACCTAGTCCTCCTCATGATCCCGAAGGTGTAGACAGAGGATATCTTCGTGGCTTACGCTCTCTACGTCTGTACTTCCAGCGTATCTACGAGGACTTGAGTGCTGAAGATGGTGGATTCGTTGAAAGAGGCGAAGGTGAAGGTATGGCTCAATCAAATGGTGGAGCAGGCATCGGTGGAGGCGCAGGTCTAGACTCAGGGAGCAGCTGGGCATGGAGTGATGCGGTTGTTGAAGAGGACCCGGGTGAGGTCAGCATATAACCAGGTAAGGATATTATCGCTCTCTTGCTAGTCTTCTCGCTTCGAGGATGCTGTGTACGCGGGCGTGAGGGGAAGAGTGGACGGACAGGAAAGAGTACATGGTGATCTTTGTACTTGCCATTTGGGAAAGAGGGAAACATGCCAGGTATGCTTACAGAATGGCGCTTTCCATGTCCTGGAATATGAGGGACGGGCATTCTTTTTCTTTCTCCTCGTTCTTAGCATGGCGTTCGGTTGCGTTTTGGTCTCTGCTTTTGTTTTCTGGTATTCAAGGCGTTTTTCTTTCATCGAAAACTTCGAGTTGCATGTATTAAAATTGTAAAATCATTTTCGTCGTGCTAAGCCTTTTCCTTGTCTTATGCTAGCTTTCCTGGTACGAAAGGTAGGCCGGCACTCAAGCCTCCGTCGACAGCCCATGCTTGTCCATTGACATAACTGCTCTCGTTCGTGGCTAAGAACAAGGCAACTCTTGCGACCTCATCGGCAACTGCACCCCTCATCAGTGGATTCAACTGTCCAATTTTGCCTACACTGCCTCTCGCTCTTGCAGCCTTGTACATTTCTGCCGTCATGCCGGTCTCGATGATACCTGGACAGATGGCGTTGCAACGGATGCTTGTGCCAGCGAGTTGGTAAGCTGATGTTTGAGTTATGCTGATGACAGCAGCTTTTGAGGCAGAGTAGTCTGTTGGGCCAGCGTTGGAGCGTAAACCAGCTACTGATGCTGTGTTGATGATTGAACCACTGGGACTGGGTTTGTTCTGCATCATAGCATTGGCAGCGTGCTTTGTTGCTAGGAAGACACTGTTCGGCAACAGTCAGCCGAGGAGTTCCATAAATGTGTTGAAGAGATGATAAGAAGACTGACCTTAATGCGTTCACTTTCATCGTTCTCATGAACTCCTCCTCTGATTTGCCTTCCTTCTTCCCAACCTCATATACCCTCTCCATGGTACCTCCTATACCAGCATTCGCAAAGAAAACATCCAGTCTGCCCCACTTGTCCACGGCCAACTTTACCACAGCCTTGACATCCTCCTCATTCCCAGCATCCACCTTTTTGACCACGACCTGCGTGCCTGGATATAACTTCTCAATATCCTGTTTCCAATTGTCCAGGTTGGAAATGTCAAAGTCGGAGAGGATCAAGGCCTTTGCTCCTGCGCTGGCGAATTCATAGGCTGAAGCTCTACCAATGCCTAGGGCACTGTTGCAGCCGGTGATGATGCAGACTTTGTCCTTTAAACGAGGGGAGCTCGGAGGTGAGGCGATGGTGGGGATACCCGGGAATGAGGAACCTCCGCCGATGGTCTGGGGTGTTGGCGGTGGTGAGAGCGCCAGGGACTTCTTGGGTGCGGCTGTCATTGTGAAGGTGGGTTGTATGGAAGAACGAATGTGTGTGTGGTTGCTGTAGAGAGCAAGTGTTGTGCCTCAGAATACTCTCTCTTGCTGACTTGAGTATCTCCGCATAACATGTCCACCGAGGTGGATGACTTCCAAGAGCTAAAACATACCGAGGTTCCCCGCGTTGAGAGCGAGTCGCGGTGGTGATCATGCTGGTTCATCAACGAGTCGTGAAATCTCCTGCACCTCATCTTCCTGACCGAAAGAGCATCTTGCAATCCTGTCATGAACGACCGCAACGACACAAGCCATGATCTACAATTGACAATTGGACCTCTCGACCACAAATTTCTCGTCACTGCGTTGATAGCCAACATCTGCGTCTACTACCTTACAGGCTTCTCTCTCAGCCTGCTTGCGATTGTTGCAGTTGACTGCATCATTGGCTTTGTGTCAGTCTCTACGATACGAAGTATACCTTCATCTCGTACCTAGTCTCTGCGGTCGGGTAGTCGAGTAGTCGATGTTCCACTCAGGGGACTCTACCAGTTATTGAAAAGACATCGACCTCGAGTGCGTCGACATTTCAGTATGGCTCAATCCCCCAGGCCAGCCTCTGCTATTGTCTGGAAGATCAGATGCCTTGATAGAATGTTGATTTCGACTGTTTGTGTGAGCAATCTCTGGGTTTACTACAATACTGGCTTCTCGGCAAATCTGCTCATCTCTGTTGCAGCTTCCTGTATCATATGCATTATGGCTGTCATTACTGTCGAGAAGGTGGTGTCTTGAGTGCGAGTAATCTCAAAGTTGGCGATGTTTGTCAGGACCACAGTATGGCCGAACCTAAGCAATGTCCATGCAAGAAATGCTTGAAGTCCCCTTGGTTCACAACAATTGTGATTGTTCCGAAGCATGACCCGAATACTCCCTCTCCAAGACCTTCAACCACTCAAGAAACACACAGATCATGCAGAGACACCATGCAATCCTACTGCTGTGATTATCCGACAATGGATAAGCGATTATGACCAGGTGGTGTACTATTGGGAATAGGGGCAGGGTGACGGGCCTGGCTCATTTGACATGAATTTTGAGCGAAACTGCACATGACAGCCACGAGCGAATTCGGCTTGATGACGTGCGACAACGGAATTAGTGGCTTGCCCTCGGAAGTGTCCACGAGTCAGTAGAGTCACCAGGCTTCATGCACAGTCATTCGCAATGTGAGTCTCTCTCTGCCTCCTACACCGACATTCCTCTGGAGACAGAGGAGGTATACACACGACATGGCAGGTCAAGGCAGTGGAAATGCTGGTGGAGGGACAGTGATCGACAAACTCGACTACCACCCTGGACGACCGCTGTTACGCGCTGACGATGAGGCCGAATCGTCAGGCAGGCCCAGTGCCGAACACAGTTATGCTGGCAGCTTCTTCGAACAGGTCGCCGAGGGCATCCAGATCCGCGACAGGCAGAAGATGCAGCGTCAACTCTCGCGCTATCTCACCTTTGCTTGGGCAATCATCAACTGGTCTGTTTCCACTCTCTGATATCCCTACCTAGACTAGACCCAGACTGACGCATGACTGTAGCCTGGTAGCCGGATCAATCACCTGCTTCTCCGTATACGCGCCTCTGTTCCAGAAACGCCTACACTACACACAACTACGCGTAAACACCATCTCCATCACTGCCGAACTCGCCATGTACCTACCCGTCCCTATCTTCGGCTTCCTCTGCGATCGCTATGGCCCTGGCATTCCTTCTATCCTCTCGGGTTGCTTCGCCGGCTTCGGCTATATACTGGCCGCTTTCACCTACCGCAACCCCGACTGGCCATTTGCTGTCATGGTCTTCTCCTTTGTCTGGGTAGGCATGGCCACCAGCTGCATGTACTTGAGTGCTGTCACCACATGCGCAAAGAACTTCGGAAGAGGTAAACACAAGGGCCTTGCTCTGGCTCTCCCTATCGCCGCTTTTGGTCTGAGCGGCATGTGGGAGAGCCAGGTCGGCAGTCGCCTGCTATACGAGAAGAAGCCCGACGGCTCCCATGGAGACATTGATGTCTTTCGCTTCTTCATCTTCCTCGGCTGTACCTTGTTTGCAGCTGGTGCCGTTGGCTTCTTCCTATTGAGGATCATTGACGAGGACGAGATGATTGATGAAGCAATTGAAGAATTGGAACAGAGCGGTCTGCTAGAGGACAGTGCCTTCTTCCACAGAGGCCAGCATCATGACCATCACGAAGGTTATGGTGCTGTACATGATGAAGACGAGGATGACGAGGAAGAGCGCCAACGCAAAGAAGAAGAGGCCCGTAAGAAGACTTGGCTGCTCAACGAGGAGACTAGCCGCTTCCTGTCAGACAGGACTATGTGGCTGCTTGCTGGCGGTTTCTTCCTCGTTACGGGTCCCGGTGAAGCCTTCATCAACAACCTCGGAACTGTCATCGGTACTCTCTACCCGCCAACCATGCCTGATGAAGAGATTCCCACAAGCGCCGCTACCCATGTCTCTATCGTCGCCATCACTTCAACAATTGCTCGCATATTGACGGGCACTCTGTCTGATTTATTTGCTCCAACATCTGTGCCGCACCAGCATCGCAGAGGTCCCAACTCGCTCATGTCATCCATGGCCACTTTGCCTGGTGCTGATGCCGCAGAATCTCAGAAAAGATTGGAGATTTCGCGAATCACCTTCCTCCTCATCTTCTCGCTCATCATGTCTATCGGTCAAGCCGTGCTCGCTTCGGGTGTCGTACAAGACCACGGCGAGCGTTTCTGGTGGGTGAGCGCTGCTGTAGGCGCTGGTTATGGTGCTGTTTTCAGTCTGACTCCTATCATTACCTCTGTGGTCTGGGGTGTCGAGAATTTCGGCACAAACTGGGCATGTGTTGCTACTGTTCCAGCATTGGGTGCGACACTATGGGGCTTGCTTTACAGTGCAGTCTATCAATATGCAGCCAACGACAACGTCGAAGCAAGCAGCGAGCTTTGTTTCGGACGTGCTTGCTATGCTCCGACGTTTTGGGCCATGGCGGTGAGTGTTTGGGTGGCATGTCTCTTATGGTTATACGCATGGCGGGGCCCTGGAGGCTGGTATAGGCGCGGCATCGTCATCTAGTTCCCTTCTTTCATAGCATTTGCATATGGAGGTAGCGTTTTTGAAATTCATCAACTTTATCATTCATGACTTTTTGTATGTTGCCTTCTAATCGGTCCTTGTTGCTTCTCAGTCAGCCCATTGAATATTGGGCGTCATTCTCTCGTGGTTGCAGTATCATTTGTCTGGTGACGATTCAAAGCCATCGGCCAAGATCTTGAGTCCGAGCTTCAGCTTTAAATGCAAGACGAGAGCCCTCCCGAAAACACGTCTAACAATTCAGATACCAACAATTTCATCTCAATAGAAAATACGACTGGGGACTGAAATGCTGTAATGGCAGACTCAACAACAACACAGCGGGTAGAGGAGCTGGTGGCGCAAGCAAGAACATGCATCGAACAACGCCAACTTCAGAAAGCAACACAACTGGCCAAGGAAGCTGCTTCTCTGGCACCTACCAACCAAAACGTTCAAGCCCTTGTACAATCTTTGTCGACTGAAGAATCATCCGGAAGCCAAATATTGACTTTGATCAAAAACTACGTGGAACAGGGTGACCAAACGGATGGCCAGGAAGCCGTCAAGCTGCTGAAGCAGCATACTGCTATACCCTCTGACCAAATCTCTGATGTCGCTCACTTCCTATTCGACCATGATGGAAAGCCGACAGAAACCAGGGACGAATTGACTGGAGCATTTGTGATCAACTCCGCAGCAGCACGTAAACAACTCGCCAGCAGGATCCAGGTCGGAACAGAAGCAACCCGCTTCTTCCGTCTACTGTGGAGACGTGGTGAACACAGTTTCAACAGCATTCTACCAGTCCTCCTCGATGCAAACGCATGGCCAAATTCAGAAACTCAGACACAGGCGAAGCGTGATGCTTTTTTGCTTGCGCTTGGAAAACTCTTGGATCCAGCGTTGGAACATGGAGAATGGAGCATGACTTTGATCGCCAGATTGCTCACTAGCAATGCGCATGATATGGCTGGACTCATCGATCGTGATGCCTTTGAAATTGTTCTCGCACAGCTTGACATCCGTCTTGATACCAAGATCAGAGCACAGGCGACTTTGGCTGTTGCAAAGCTTCTTGAAGAGACGCGTGAGGAGGGAGAAAACATATTTACGGATTATGTCACCAACACCGTCTCAAAAGGTCACAACGACGAGTTGATTGTGGCCTTCTCAGCAGCAGCATCAGTTTTCCCACTGGTACCGCAGACCGTGGCCAAGTTGTTCCTTACACCCGGATTCTTGGAAGGTCTGATACCAGTCTTGGAAAGGAACTCTTCAGGACAAAGGTAAGCCCAAGTAAGGATTGTATCAGAGTCAATTTAACACTCATACAGAAAATCACATCGTCTCGAACAGGCAGCAATGGAGCTGATGAGTGCAGCCTGTGTAGATAAAGCGTGCAGAGAAAGCCTTGCCAAGATTGCGTACAACTGGCTTGACGATGTAGCACATACAAGCTCAGAGGCTGAAGCTGCAAGTATGGCTGCGTTGGTGCTTGCAAAGATACCGTGAGTAATTCCAGCAGACGCCCAAGCGTATTGCAATACTGACAACTTGCAGGCCAAAACCAGACTCGGAAGAATCCTCAGTAACACACGCAGACGATTTGTCATCCCTTCTGGTCAATCTTACGTTGAACGCCAGCAGCCCGGCGGAACAGCAGAGCTCGATTGAGGGTCTCGCATACACATCTCTACAACCGAAGATCAAAGGCGAGATTGTGTCCAACACAGCCTTACTCAACAAGCTCATCGAACGGCTCAAATCGACAACGACAGCTGATCCCTGCACTTTCGGCATCTTGACAATCTTCTCAAATTTGGTGTCATATCGCCCAGCACAAAGCGAAGAACAGCAAAAGATGTCGCAGCTGAGAAACTATGCCGAATCAAAGAAGCAAGAAGAGAAGGATCCCTTGGATGATGACCAGCATGTTACAGCCCGCTGTAAGACAGTGCTGGATGCAAACCTTATACCCGTCCTCGTGACTGCGGCCAGAAGCCACTACACTGTGACTATCTTGGGTATAGCAGTCAAGATCCTTCACGCACTCGCCCGCGAGCAAAAGCACCGTGGTAAACTAGCACAACAAGGTGCTGTAAAGTTGCTTCTCCAAACCATTGACCGTCTCCAAACACCTGGAGGACCCGCCTCAGCTTCTGACTCGGCACAAGCAGCTATCCAGCTCGCCGCACACGCACTCGCTCGCATCCTGATATCTGTGAACCCACAGCACGTCTTCAGCAGAGCCATGCCCGCCATCTCAGCCCTACGACCTCTGACTCTCCTCCTCACCCCCGACACCAGCTCAGAAACCCGGGACCTGCTCCCAGTCTTCGAATCCCTACTCGCACTTACCAATCTCGCATCTCTAGAAGACGACGCAGTAAAAGATGCACTCCTCCGTCAAGCCTGGCAACCGACCGAAGACCTTCTCCTCTCCACCAACAAACTAGTCCAACGCGCTTCCGTCGAACTCGTCTGCAATCTCATGGCCTCTCCCGCCGGTGTCGCCAAATATGCAGATGGCAGCCCAGCAGCAAAACACCGTTTACACGTCCTCCTAGCATTGGCGGACGCAGAAGATCTAGCAACGAGACGCGCAGCAGGCGGCGCCCTAGCCATGTTGACCGAATGGGACGCAGCCGCAAAAGCAGTACTTGAACATGACCGTGGCGTGAGCATTTTGCTAGACATGTGCGGAGATGAGAGTGAAGAGATCAAACATAGAGGTTTGGTTTGTATTCTCAATCTCGTCTCTGCGCCTGGAGAAGTGGGCACTATGGGTCTGCAAAAAGTCGCTCAACAGGACGGAGTTGAAACGATCAAGAGCTCCCTGCGCGAGTGCAGGAACACAGATGTCATGGCCATTGGAGTGGAAGTGCTGAAAACCATCATGGGCAAGAACGAAAACTCGGGTCGGGCAATCACGCAGGGATAAGGGTGTGCTTTGGTGAGAGAATTGACATGGTTATTTTTGGCATGCGCAATTGATTGTTCTTGCATGAGATTATCCTTTTTAGCACTTGCATTAGCGGCGCTGCGGACAATTTTACCTCTCGAGATTAAAAACAGTGGTATCGTTTCCTGTAAGATCAAACATCATTCGTTAAATTCGTGACAAATGCTATGCCCATCTTCCCTTGACAAATTTGTTCCTTCGTGTTGTGGCCTGTGGTTGAGGGCTGAGGTCGAGAGGGGTCGGTCTGGCCTTTGGAAGGATCGGAAAATGAGGGGGGACAGCCAAGCTGAAAGTGGGACGTATCGCTAACCTCAGGTTGGCACGATCTCGTCTGAAGCTTCTTGAACTTCTGTGATCAGGTCGGCCTCGTCGATGAAAGCGTAGGTGCTGCGTCTCCGTGGAGCGGGCCTGGGAGAATATGTTGGTATTTCCGAGTTCGGTAGTCATGGGGTTGCTCACGTCTCATCAGCAGTTTCCACTGCTTCTACCGGCGCGGGGTCGTTTTCCTTCTCCATGAAGGAAGAGCCAGACTCTCGCCAAACTTTGCTCCATCGGCTAGGTTTTGCGGCTTCTTCATATCTGATCTCGAAGTCTTTGGTGTGTTGGATTGTGCCTAGTTCGATATCGTCTTCCTTCTTCGACAATCTGAACAGTTTCTTCTTTGGTCCTTCGATGATGGTCTCGTTATGACCCTTGAAGTCTCTGTGTCGACTCGGCACGCTAGCCACGGGCTCCAGTTGAGAGAGACGCGACCAAGATGTCGCAGCAGGATCTGCAAACTCTTCCTTTTCGGTTCCTAAAACAAGTGCGGCGCCTGTAAACACCGAAGCTGATCGATCGGACGAATCCTCCATGACGGTATCGAATGGCGATATCAGCGGCCTGAAAGATGGGAGAGAAGCTGTAACCATTGACCATAAGAGGGTAACCTGAAGCCATACGACCGGTTGCACCAGTGATATCCCTCGATCCTTGGTGCTATGGAAGGATTTACGTAGATAGTAGAAGTGGACAATGGTGAATGCAATGACTGGCAGTCGGGCCGCGAATGTAGCAACGATGACGGCTTTGTGCTTGGAGTTGAGCAGAATCTTGCAAATGAGGAGTATTGGAACGAGAACGAGAGCGAGCTCTCCCACAACATCGAGCGTTTTGATAGCGACCCATCGGGTGAACTACACAAGAGTCAGTCTCGTCCAGCTGGTTTAGGTGATGCAACATGTTGATTTACCAGACCGGGACAAACGTCTCTCGTGGCGAAATACCACCCGGACTCGCAGCTGATGGACATGAGTAAGATGCTGACGACCCCAAAGATGAAGTTCAAAACCAGAAGTGCGTCGCAGATTCGTAAATAGTACTTTTCTTGGCCGTCGAACAAACGGCGAGTGAAAAGAGTCAACGACATTTTGGCCAGGTAGTGAACGACGAAGAATAGAACAAGTCTAGTATAGGTACTCTAGAGGGCTTGGTTAGTTGTGTTTTGTCTGAGTAATTACATTCAGGAGCCTGCTTACTTTGGCAACCACATCGTGATGCTTCTGCGCAATGCCGGATACAGACACCCCGAGGCCGTTCTCCAGCGCGAGAAATACGAATGCATGTTGGACTATGCACGCAATGGTAGAGACGAGCAAAGCAGCATCGTCGAAGCCATACATGCCGCGACGAAGAGTATATCGAATGCCACTACAGAGAAGTGCGTACGTCAGACTGAGCACGCAGATCACCCAGACCACGCCACCATGGTTTGTGGGTGTTAACTGGGCGAGATAGTAGACATCCGAAGGAAGGTCGGCTGTTGAGAGGGCTGTGATGCTGCCCATACCAACTGCGATGGCGTTGCTGTATGTTTCGCGATGTGCATTGAAGAGAGAAGTTGTCGAAGTGTCGAAGTCGTATGTCAATGTGAGACACCAAAAGCTCAAGTACTCTGTCTAGAGTCAAGAGTGGCAACGGCGGTCGCCAAGCTAGCTTGTTGATAGTAACGTTGGTCGTGGCTTCCTTAAAGGTCACATACCTTGCCTGTCAAGTAACCTTCTGACTCGGCGTGGCCGTGACCCCACACTCTTATTTGTATAACAGTCATTTACCATCGATTTACAATAACGTGCCTCGAAGAATTGTGTTCTGGGCGGACGCCTTGTGCTCCATGTTGATGAGACGTTACAATGTAGTTGGCGCTTACACGGCCGAGCTCTCCGCAAATGCAACGGTTGAAGCCACATTCGATGCAAACGTTGTCAGCTTGAGGCAAAAGAGGTATAAGAATTTGAGGGAATAACGAATGACATGCTCACAGGCAAGCTCGTTGAGAGTGCACATTTGAACCGGAGTGCGTGACGTTACCCAGCTTGAATTGCTTTCTAACGCGCAGCTTTGGTGAGACAGCAAATGCTGAACTAATAGGAGCTCTGCCACGCATGACCGAGCTCTCCGCTGAGACGAGGCAGAGACGTTGCGTACTCTCTGCATCCGGGACTTTCTCTTCTTTTTCCTAAAGACCCAGCCTTTTGGGTCAGCGACACAATGCAGCAGGATTCCATTCAAAAAGCTACCAGCGTCGACATAATCCCGCAGAGAAAGGGTAGCTTCCTCAGGCCTGTCACAGTAAGGGGTGACAGCTTTCGCAGTGAGCTTGATGGAAGCGGCAAAGCAGGCAAACCTCCGAGACCTATCTCAACTGGATCCCTGAGGCCTATATCTACCGGCACATCGACAGTCCACTGGCCATCTTCGCCAGCGGCTAGGAGCTCCTATCAACCAGAATGGGCCCAAGACACAGAAAACGTGCTGTTGCCTGCAGCGACTGTGGACGACCATGGATCACCAGAAGATCTCAAGGATATGCTCAGGATGGGTAGGACGCAGGAGATGAGAGTACGCATGGACTTGTTGACCGAACGATCGACCAAAAATGCTGATCCTTGACTAGAGAGTATTCAGACAATTCTCCCTGATATCTTTTGGTTGTTTGTCGCAATGTACCTGGGAGTTCGTGCTACTGTAAGTCATCTTAAGTGCTCGGAGAATTTCAATACAGTACTGACTGGCCAGCAACAACAATCAAGCTTTACAGGCAGGAGGTCCAGCTCTGTTGTTTTGGTCCTGTAGGTCATTTTTCAATTAACAAAGGGCAAGATGCTGACCGTACTAGATATATGGTCGTTCGCCGGATCGTTGCTAGTCACGGCATCGCTTGCTGAAATGTGTTCCATGTAAGTGCATAATCGTACCTGGAGAGAACACCTGAAATACTGATAAACTCAGGGTACCGTCTTCAGGAGGCCAGTACGTATGGGTCTCTGAGTTCGCCGACAAGCGCTGTCAATCGTTCCTGTCATATATCGCTGGATACATGACGCTCATCGGATGGCAGTGTGGCAACGCCTCCGGCATATTTCTGACAGGCTCTCTGATTCAATGCATCATTACCATCTATCGCCCAGAAAACGGAGCAATCATGTGGCAGACGGTTGTATTCCTCCTACCTTGTGTTGCGTTCGTTATTCTGGTCAACATTTACGGCGGACGTGCAATGGCAATCTCGCAGAACATCTCGATGTCCGTGCATATTCTAGCGTTGATCGCAGTCGTTGGTGAGTGTGGTTGGCCAAGTGGCGTCTTTGCTTGAGGCTGACAATCGTCAAGTGATCATGTGGGTACTCTCACCACATATACCGACGGGTAGGGCGCTGTTTCGAATCGAAAACACAGAGTGGTCAAGCACTGCGTTAGCAATGCTTGCTGGTCAAGCAAACATGAACTACAGCTGTTCTTGTAAGTTCAATAAGCGATGGAGGGAAATTATGACTGACTTCGAGCAGATTCCGACTCGCCGGTGCATCTTGTAAGTTGAAGATACATAGACCATGAGCCGAGAACCTCCAGATGGTGTTTCACTTCGAGGCTGTCCCCTACTGTAGCGATCTCATTGCAGAAGCTTTTTATCGAGTACTGCAACGAGTGAGACACAGATACTGGTGGCGAATGGCTTGTATTGGTGTATTGATCTCCTCTTACTAGGCACATGCTAACTGTAAGTTTAGTCCGAAGAGGTGCAGGATGCAGCAATTGTTGTGCCGAAGGTCATTATGCGAAGCCTGTGGATCAGCGGAATCTGTGGTCTTCTCGTCGTGGTGACCTTTGTGTTTTGCATCCCAAGTGTTGCAGATGCTCTTAGTCATCCGACAGGCTACTCGTTTCTGTATGTTATGCAGTTGTCGGTTCCAAATGGCGTCATCGTGTGCGTGTTGTTGGTACTGCTTGGTCTTGTAGGCTCGAGCAGTATCGGTTTTGCAGCAGCGACTGCAAGAATTACGTATGCATTTGCAAGAGATCAAGGTCTTCCGTTCTCACAGTGGATCGGGAAGGTATGTGTAATGGCTGCTAAGGGTTGTCAATCAGCTAATGGAAACAGGTCAACAAGAATCGCAATATACCAATAAATGCCGTGCTACTCACTGCTGCAGTCAGTGTACTGTTATCACTGATCAACCTCGGATCGTCATCCGCATTTTATGGAATTGTGCGTTCAATGTCCATTTTGTGAATTGGACATGCAATGGCTGACTGACATAACTTAGGTGACACTTGGACAAGCAGCACAATCGCTATCGTACATATTGGCGATCGCAAGTGTACTCTACCGCCGCATCAAATCGCCAGAAACACTGCCAAAAGCACGCTGGAGTCTTGGAGGGTACTGGAGGCCTGTGATCATCAATACGCTTGCAATCACCTTCTCGATGAACAGCTTCATTTGGTCGTTTTCACCACCGACTTTGCCAGTGACATCGACGAACTTCAATCCGTCAGGGGCGTTGTTTGTTGGCGCTTTGGTTCTGATGATGGCAACGTACTTTCTTCGAGCCAAGCGCTTGTATGTGCCACCGGTGGCGCGTACCAGAGACACCCCCAATTGGAATCTGAGCCATCTCAGCACTGGGCAGAATGTTCAGTTCTTGACGATTCCAGAGGAATTTTGAAAAGTACTAAGATGTAGTAGTGCCATAACTCTCTTGAGAATATCTGCAGAAACCGTTTTGAGCGAATGACGCGAAATGTGCTGCACTTCCGTTTGTTGCTTTTGGTTGACCATAAGCGAGCCATAGAGCAGATGTAAGGTCTTGGAGAGAAACGAGTCGAATCTGCTGTTAGTCCTAGTTCTTCCAATGGCTCGTATTATATGCTGGTCATGGCTGTTCAAGGTTGTCCGATCGATGTCGACATAACGACGAGGTTTTCAGAGGAAACATCTTCACATTTCAGTCATCAAGCTACAGCTCTGACCGCGCGACATGTCTAGGTAAGCGAATTCAGGACGTTGCCATATGGCTTGTAAGCCACCATTGAGTAAGCAGTCTTGATCGGGTGAATTATGCGAACTGCCGGCGCGAACTTCGTGAGCTCCACTTACCACGTTTACGCGCAGCTCTCCACCAATCCAAGTGAGGAACGGGTACTTCAGGCACCGCGGACAGCACCCAGGTACGTGAGTACATGCGTTGCATTGTTGCGGCCAAAGAACCCCCCAACATGCGACCCTGGATTTTCAAGGTCCCAACGTGCTTGTTGTTGTCAAGATAGTCGAGCACATGCTATCTTCCGGACCATTGTCAGACCGAGTCCCGGACCCAGATTTGTTTTTGGGCAGGCTGCAAGCTGGCTTGAGCACCAACTATCTCAAATGTGCAAAGATCGTACTGCGTAAGCGACTATCGCGATGGTGTCCTCCCCCTGGCACCCACGGCGTGTGTCAGAGCACAAATTAGGTGGAGCAAAAAGCGTCGTGGGATCGTTGACGTGAACGTGTCGACGGCGTCAAGTTGACGGCTGTTTAGGGTCCGAGCAAGAAATTCAGCTTATAGCTCCATCCCATACCCAATAAGAACGCGCGGGGGTTGATAAAGCTCTCCCCGGGGCGAGTGCCGAGCACGATGGCAAGGTTAGCGGGCGCGATGCATGGTGTTTCCCCGGCGAGCACCGAGAAGTTGTAAGCGGTGATCGTCTAGAAAAGTCGAAGACGAAGACTGAAGTCTCAACGGGCGTGACGTTCTTGCTGTAGGTTGACCTAATCGGGCAGTAGGGATCACGCCTTTCCCGATTTGGTTCAAGCAGAAAGAGCTGCGCATGGGCCCGCTGATGTGAGGATCTCCACGCCAGTTACATAGCCCGAAGTAGTTCTCGAGGCTCGACCTCTAGGACCTGTGTCCCTGGAGCCTATGATTAATTGCGATTGGCTGGAGCCGGAGAAATTGGAATATGATGCCTGCAGCTTGACTTTTGTCAAAATCCCGAGCAGTCGTGACACCCGCCTCAGCGGATTTAGACCCTACCTGTGGACGACGGCGGCGTCTAATGCTCTGTTCCAATGGTGCGAGAGCACTGGATGCTGGATAGCAGACCGACTCGTGAGCCTGGATCGAAAGCTTGTCACAGCAAGCGTGCTATCAATCTTGCGGCGACATGGAAAGCACATACCAAGCGCGATTACACCCAGTAGGCTGGCTAAGGTTACTAGTTGGAGAAGGCTAGTTCCCCCCACTCGTCTGCAACGTCGCTGCAGGTGCGAGCATGATCGAATGCGATTTTCTAACATGCCCATCTTCAGACCTCAGCCTAGGAATGAGGTCCGAGGGATCCTTCCTTTAAATATGGTTTGCGCTGCCGCTCAACACTGTCAGGCAGTCATAGAGACAGCTCCTCGTCACTCGCCATCGAGGCTGACTCGAAGAAATGCAAAAATATGTTCATCAATATTCAATTCCCTTCTGACACTCAGAAAGGCCATCTACGACGGGCTATTCGTTCACAGGCCGCATTGAGCAGCGCCGACTGTCGGAAAAGCACCATCGCCGCCAAAGCCTCGACGAATCCGAATGCTCCTGAAGAAGTCAACAAGGTCTCGAGAGCACGTAGGAGAAGCAAAGCAAAAGCAATCAAAGATGAGCCCGAAGCATCCAGCAGCTCCTTGAGCACCATCTCTTCGAACAACAGTTCTTTGAGTTCCATCTCGAACCACAGCTCTGCGAGTTCTGCATCTTCTAGCCCACCAGAGTCGATTGTTTTCCCTCTTGACCTACAGCTTGGCCAATGGAACACTCAATACGACCCATTCCTGACATTACCCTCCGCGGACGCCTGGCATCCATCGATTCCCCGTCTAGTCAACACATGCAAGTCTTTCCATCCCCCATCGGGAACACGTTGCTGACATGCCTCGCAGATTTGGTGTATTTCGCTCCAGATGTCCAAGACCCAATCTATCAATCCAACCGGCCTGTCCTCCGCAAGGAATTGTGGCCTGAAACACTGTCACACAATGCCTTGTTTTTCACGAGTCTGCTTATTGCATCGTGCCATCCCTCCTTCGCACAAGAACGGTCACCGGATATCGTTGTATGGTTTCGTCATCAAGCCATGCGCAACATACAAACCGCTTTGGATTCGGCTGCTGGCTTTAACACAAGCGACCAGCTGATCGCAGCAGTGTGCCTGATTTGCGGCTGGGAGTTCCAATTTGGTGACGAGAACTCAGCAAAGGCCCACATGGCGGGTCTGAGAACTATGATCAATCTCCGTGGAGGTTTCCACGACGTCAACCTCCAACCCATTGTCCGTCAGCTCCTCACCTTCGTCACGTATGACCAGCTCTGGTATGCCGGAATGGATCCCGTCTTCATACCCCAGGAGTTGAAGTCGAGATATGAGACAGCTGTAGGAAGCCTTGATCTGCCCGAAGGTTTCGCAAAATTCGTGACCCCAAAACAGATTTGCTTGATCGCTCCCTCTACCTTGGGGCTCATCGCGGAGATCAACCTTATCATGAAGAGACCTCGCCATCGCACGTACGCTCTACTTGACGTTCAATCGCGGCTTGCCGAGTACTACTTCCTGGACAATGTGACGAGCAATTTCTCTCCCATCAACAGTGCTGTCGACGACACAATTGTTGTTCAGGCCGAGACGCACATCAAACTTGCTCTCCTATGTCTGATCTCTCACCTCCAGGGCGTCGAATGTGATAACTACTGGACACTGAGCGAATTTCTCGTGCCGACAGTACTCATCAACACAGTCTATGCCGAAATTGGAGTCTGGAGCCTTTTCCTGATATGCAGCACAACACCGATGCCTTCTCCTATACTGCTTGATGGGCTTGAAAAGTTGGTCTCAAGTCTCTCCATTACAAATTGGTCGTTGGCAGAGCAAACCTTACGTCAATACCTCTATCCATCAGACAGTATCGACATTGCGTCAAAGATCCTGTGGAATCAGATGATGCCGAACCAAGCAATCTTGTTCGAGCATAACAACCTCTCGCGGTTCCATGTTGCGACATTCAGACGTGGTAAAGAGCCCCTCGTCTGAAACTGCCTGCGTGCAGAAGTCCCGACAAAAGGAATACCATCTCACCATGACTTCCAAGCTGAACGAACCCCGACATCCGCGCCGAACACGCCAATTCGAGACGGGTTGCGTCTTCAGAACCCCAGGTCTGGCTATATCTGAAGGAAATAAAGACACTTCAGTAACTCAGGATTTCATATCCCAGTTAGATCATGCACATGGCATTTGCTTGCATCTCTGTGCGATTGTCGATCGGTAAACCGGCTGCAGGGGTGTCGATGCGATGAGAAGCGGCACATCGCAAGATCTGTAACTGTCGCTTCGCTTTCACCACCCGCCTACCACAACTCCGGGTTACGAAACGCGATTACATCATCTTGGAATCGATTTCGCCAAAGCGAGGACCGCCCGCTCGAGACCTCCGTATTTAGGCGAAACACTAAGCTGTTTCGATTGATCCGCTCGTTATAGCAAGGATTGTTTTGTATCAAGCTGCGTCGTTCGTAGCCACTCATCTTCATAATGGATGTTGTTGAGAATGAACAGAGAACATGTGTTGAGAATAAATAGAAACTATATTTGACCAGAAAAGAGAGTTCAAAGACCTATAGTAGAGACTGTGATATAGATTAGTAGTAGCGGCTTTTGATGGCATCGGCGGCCTTCTCCGCAATCGCATAGATAGTGGCAGTGAGGTGACCACAGACTTGGAAAGGAATGACGGAAGCGTCAACCACGCGGACGTTGTCAACTCCATAGACCAATAGATCAGTATTGACCACGCCGCCCAAGTCTTGAGCCATCATGGCAGCTGTAGCAATGTAGTGGTAGTTTGAACGATCTGCGAATGTGTTAGTCGTCGTCAACATCACTACATAGCGCAATACTCACATCCTTCTTTGACAGCCTTGGCCCAAACTTCATCCGAGGCATTGAGAGGCACGCTCTGGAGGCCCGGACTGAGTTCTCCAGTAACAATATCGCACAAGGCTTCGGAGCTGGCCAACTTCCTTACAGCCTTGGCGGTACCGATCTGCTGTTTCAGGTCGTAATCAAGCTGGAAGTAATTTGGGTTGATGGCAGCAGGAGTGGTTGAGTCGTTGGATTGGATGTGAACGCTACCTCTGGAGAATGGCAAGAGACCCCAATAGGAAAAGGCCATTTGATCCTCTCCAGGGCTGATAAGGATTTCCGAGATGGGGATTTGATCCTTGAATATGAGGTCGTAGTGAATCATGAACAACTTCTCCATCACCTTTTGGTCGATGATACCACCTGAAGCTTCAACTACAGATGTAGCATACTGAAGGAGTGAGTCTCTGACAGTACAGTTCAGGTCGTACGTGCCATTACCAAAGATATCGGCAACGTTGAAATAGCCCACGTAGTTTGCGGCGCCTGAGAAGTTGGTGTTAGAGCTGTAAGCGCCGGCGCCAGTGGTTTGGTCCTGGAGATTCTCTCCCACGAATGGAAGATCCACTTTCACATCGATGCCATGTTGCTCCAGAATACTGTATCTCGTCAGCCACATCTGAGTACATTGCAGGCGGAGTTCTGGCACTCACGCAGGATTGCCGATTCCTGATAGCTCCAAGATGAGAGGCGATCTCAATGAACCAGCAGATAGAATCACCTCCTTCTTAGCACTAATCGTTTTCTGCTTTCCAGAAGCATCAGTAAATTGTACTCCATTGGCCCTGGGGGTCGAGTTTGTCGAAGTTTCGTCCCAAGTGATACGCTGCACAAATGAGTTGGTGTAAAGGTCCAGATTAGTTCTGTTCTGAATGGGCAGATAATAAGCACGACCAGCATCTTCACGAACGTTCAGCTCGCGATCGACGGTTGCTGGGTATCGGGTGAAGCCACGCATAACACCTCCGTTAGGCTCCTCGATGTAAGGCAATCCGAGAGAAGCATATGTAGCATTGACAAGCGTAGTAACGCTCTTGCCCAAAAGTCCAGTGTTCCATCCGGTCTTGAGAGGTCCACTCGTACCGTGGACTGAGATGTCGTACGAAGCTCCAGCTATGCACTGATCCTCGGTCGGGATCTGGAAATGCTCACTGCGCTTGTAGTAAGGCAAAAGGCTTTTCCAATTCCAGCCCTCATTTCCGAGATGCTCCCAAGAATTAATCTGAGCTTCTTGAGCTCTCAGATACGCCATACCTTGAAAAATGTCAGCGACTTGCGAAGATGTGTAAATAGTTAGGCCCACCATTGATTGTGCTTGTTCCACCAAGTGCTTTGCCAGCTCGCAATGTTTGTGTTTTGTTTCCAGCATATGCCTGCGGAGTGCTTTCGTACTGCCAGTCAATCTCGGTACCAAAAGACAAGCCATATCCATCCACAGTGGACACATTCTTGTTGTCAAAGACCAGATCGCCAGCCTCGATGACTGCGACTGTAGTGTACGAATTTTCTGACAGTCGATTCGCAATCACTAGACCAGCAGTTCCCCCACCAACGATGACAACGTCGTAGATTCCAACACTGTCTGGTGAGACTTCGGTAGCCGGCGAATCAGAAGCAGTCTCACAGCCGATAATGCTAGGACTCTCGCATGTTTGCCCGCTCTCGGAGGACTGGCCGTTATTTGAGGAAGTAGTGGCAGCAGGAACGATAGGTGTTAGGGTGCTACTTGAAGTCAAGCTGGTGGATGAGGAAAACACGCTGTGAGAAGCGGGCCCGTTTGCGTAGGGAACAGAGCCAGAACCAGAGTGGGTGGCAGTTTCCTGGGTGGCAGTTTCCTGGCTGGCAGAAGCTGCATCGACCACGGACGAAGAGACGGCACTCTCTCCAGAAGTTGCACCATGGTACGAAGAGTCTTGACCGTTAGAAACAGAACCACTGCCATAGCTTGATGACTCGCCGGCGGGAGTCGACCCAGCACCGTAAGAGTCGGGACCATTGTTGTGTGATGGTGTGTTGGCATAAGACGAGCCACCACCGTGGCCATGAGGCAGAAGACCTCCAAGCAGATGATGCCCGCCAAACAAACCTCCGCCCAGCAGAGATAGGGTTGGCAACGCAAGGGCTGGAGAAACCAGAGATAAAGCAGCGATGGAGTAACGCATAGCTGCTACAAGAAAGGAAAAAGGAGTCAACGAAACGAAGGAACGGGTGGACGACCTGCTCCTAGAGACTGGAGTCTTCTTGGTTATGTACTTGCCTAGAATTTGTTCCGAGGATACAGCAATCTGTAACCCACAAAGTGAAGCTGTAACGCATCAGTGTTGCATGCCCCTCGATTGGATCATACGTCAAGTTTCAGTGCTAAAGTTGGTAGTTCTCTTCGGACATTCTCTACGATGATAACTGTACGCCAGCGTTGGAGGAGAGTTACCACTCCATCATACTAAAATCATCCGTTAACGCTCGAGACTATGATACAACATATGAGGGAAGGTCTGGGAGCCTTGAACGCCGTCGACTGGACGGGACTCATGGGTTCGAGACTTGGCGTTTCAGATCACTCCTGGTCTAAAAGCCTGTCCAAAGCCTTCCCACGGCCATCAGTCCCTGTGTTACGCGCTTCAGTAATGGCTCTGCGAAAGGTACTGAATTAGAGTGCGTAACTATGCGCATGGATGTGATAGAATGCTTTGCGATAGATGGACACCGAAGGAGGCTGGAGTGGCTGGAAGACATTCTGCAAACAAAGCAAACAAAGCAAACAATCCTGTTTCCCTATGACGTACCTGAGGGTCTCTCACGTTTTTGTTCCTTGTTCGCATCGTGTCAATTCCATTCAGAGGCCTCAAACATCTGTCGTGAATGTCGACTGGTGGCACCTGTTTCCTCCAAATGCCGGATCATTGTTTCCATGAGTCCGGCCGCTTCAAGAGAAGATTCAATGGGGTGACGGAACCCCGTACATGTTGCTTGATACCGATGGAAGCCACATTGCACAAGCCCGACTATTACGGCCGTCTCATGATTCAGTCCGCATTTAATTCCTCCGCTCAGTAGATGAATGGCCTTGCGCCCGCAATTTTGCTCACTGCATCACAATAGACAAATGGTTGCTTGCTGTACAAACAGGGATGAGTATGGTCGGCCTGGAATCCTTCCGTAGCCTTGCCCGAAGCGGACAAGTCTGCGAGATGTAAGCCTACAGCTGCGGTCTCTTCGAGGTACAGCCAGGACTTGGACAGCAAACATGTAGAATTCATGAATAAGATATATATTATAGTCCATGCCCGTCGAGCCTTTACAATTCACAGCACTCATCAATTCTCCAAAGCAAAACAAATCATCTCTCCCTAAATCCTACCAACAATATATTTTCCAAAATGTGCTGTGGTCGCCGCAACAACAACAAAACCAACTTCTGGGCTGTAGCTCAGCAGGTCCTAAGTCGACCGGTCGCAACCTCCTCTGTCAATACTGGCGAACCCTTGGGGCCTCCCCCAGCCTACGAGCATGTCGAACATCAGTCCACCAAACTCGGCAAGAACAAAGATGCTTCTACGACAGCTCTCATCGAGGAACACAATCCATCAAGCATACGCAGTGTTCCTCAATATGCCAGCGTCGACCCTCTTGTTGACTCCTCGTTGAACAATACCTCGTCGCACGCTACCAAGTCGACATGCCAGAGTAGATGTGCAGCAAAACGCGAACGCAAGAACGAGCAGAGACAGCTCAAGCGAGAGTATCGTCAGGAGAAGCGTGAGCTTCGCGCTGAATATCGCAACGAGAAGAAAGAGATGCGAAAGAGCTCTGTCAATTCGCTTTTGAACGGTGTATCGAACTTGATGAAGTAATCGAGAGGTGTGATAGGCTTTGTTGTTTGAATGAGCAGATTTGGGTCACGTATAATTCTGACACTATGGCTTCTGCTTTATCGCCAAATGTTTCTTGATAATCTGATGCGAAGAGCGGCAGATATAATTTCGTCAACATTGTTCTAAAGCCTCTGCTAGTGCACAGTACCGATCCCGTCAGAAGTAGCCTTTGAGCTTAAGCTGGACCTACAAGCTTGTGAGGACCAGGACCAGGAGCAAGAGAAGCGAGCTTATAAAGACTTCCTTCATCTTCAACGCGAAAAAGAAGCGCAACAGAAAGCGGCGTATCGCAAGGCGCTCTATAAGCAGAATGGATGAGAGTGCCAAGCTCTCTTGTGCGAGCAGTTGGACAAACAAGAGACAGAGGAAGCAGCAAAGAAGAAGGAAGCGCGGGCCTACATTGATTCTCTCATGAAAGCCAGATTGGATACTCGCAGCATGATGTTGAACTCTTCCTAGGCCCCGAAAAGGCGGAGAGGCAGAAGAAGAAATGAAGCATAGGTATTCTGAATCGTCTCAGGACCATTGCGATGGAGAAGATGATACGGTCTTGGACGTAAGCAAAGTGTTCCTAATCCACTCCGGTATGTCTGGTGGTGCTGATGTGTTATAGGAAATGACCGATGAAATCCCATCGAAATCGCTCAAGTTGAGTCAGGCTCAACTCGGTGAAAGCAAGAGCAAGTAGTCTGAGACGTCGTCCATTATGATGTCTTGTATGTAGCTCCTCTTCAGAACGAATTGTACTCCAGCAGGCAAATGCTCAAAGATGATGGTTAGATCTGGCTCAACAATTGGCGAGATCACCCATATGCCTCTTCGTCTTTTTCGCGATGTCCTTGATCTCCTTGTACGGCGAGACCTCACTGATGTTTGCGAATCTGTTATTCCACGATCTCCACCTATCCATTTCGAAGCCGTTCCACTCCTTATTCGGGTATTTGTTTCCAGCCTGTGCAACCTTGCCCTCATAACTCCTCTGCTCTTTACTTTGTTTCCTCAACACCTCGCCAGCATACAGAATCCACATAGCGGCCGCCGCCACCGTAGCCTCGGGCACATCGTCCTTGTCTTCCAACGCCGCTCTCAGCGCCCATATCGCATACAAGGAAAAGTCCAAGGGGTCTGAAGAGTCAAACGCCGATGCAGTAGCTGTGACGCGTGCAGCAAAGGCATTTGCGTTGGCCCAACTGCGCGCGGTCTCGGCATCCTTCTGTGCAGCCCTCTCATCATAATTCCAATGCTCGCGGATCTGTCGGCCGAAAAGCGGGAGTGTGGACCAAGAGACTGTTTTGCCCTCTACGTCACCGACGTTGGTGTCGCGTTGGCGGAGGGCGGTAAGGAAGGAGACGAGTTTTTCTTGCGATGGCGAGTCGGCGGGTGTTTGTGAGGCGGTGAGACCGAGTGCGTCCCAGGAACGCAGCAGTTTGTCTTCGGTGGATGAGGAGTCGGGGGTTGAGATGAAGTTGTCGACTGTTTCTTCAAGCGAAGATTCGTCGTTGAGGAACGCTTTGAGAGCTGCGTATTCGCTGGATTTTGCTGTGTCTGAGGGGAAGTCCATGGCGGCGATGTGACAGGGGGTTGGCAAGCAGATAATGCAGAAATCAAAGACCTACCTGAGTGGTTTACTTGTACGAAAACTTAGGAGCTTTTCTGCTCGTTGGCTGCCAAACTTTGGATGTTGATTCCCCACATCGATGACGCACTTTCCGCCTTGGGCCGAAGAAGCCTGTCCTTTTCTTGACTTCCAACCTGTACTAGAGTAGGTGCTGCCCAACGAGCACAAGAGGTAGAGACAATCAGGGTTGGAAGCGAACTCAGGCGAACCGCATCCAAGCTCCTTGGTGCTATCTCATTTGTTGTTTCAGATATTGGTATTACACGTCAGGTGTCAGCCATAGCCATAGAAGCCAGACTGTGAAGAATATATAATTATAAAGTCATGAAAACAAAACATCAAAGAAAGTCTACAGACCAGAATCAATCTGGTTGACGACAGTGGTACCGCTGTAGTCTGACCAGTCACGGCATGTCTGTGCCATCACGTACGGGATCTCCATTTCGTTGACGACATATGGCGTGTTCACCAGAAGGTTGATGTTCATGCCTTCCGAGATATGCCACGCGATGTGGCCTGGGATAAGTTAGTATGTCTTTCACTTAAGAGAGGAAGCTCAGAGTACGTACAGTGGAAGGGCCACACTCCGGGGTTGTCCAGCTCGATCTGAATGACGAGATAACCGTTGGGCTGAACGAGTTGAGTGTCACGACGCTGAGGATTTTCGGGATTGGTGATTGAGACGCCGTCCCAAGTTCCAATGCCCTCGCTCAGGATTTGCATGTTGAAGCCGTGGATGTGCATAGGATCTGTATGATTCGATTAGTTTATTTACTGAGTGATGAAAAAGATTGACCTACGAGAAGCAGGGAAGCCGACGCTTTGCATAATGATACGAACAGTGCCATTGGTTCCCAAGTCGAAGACACGCGACTCCTCAGGGAAGTCAAGGTTACCGAGCTTAGCCTCGAACAAAGTAGGATCGTTGTAGTTGGCCATGTATGTCTCGTTGTTCATGTACCACTTGAAGGCTCCGCTTGAATTGTAGGCCGCAGACATGGTGAAGTTGAGAATGACATCGGGCTCCTTGACAGGGATGGCATACTTGGGAACGGTGAGGTTGAGAGGCTGGTTGTTGCAGTTCAGGGGGAAGTATGTGCGGGACACATCAATCGTGTTTGACGTGGTGGGAGGCTTGCTGATATCGGCATTCTCGTAGTAGATAGCTGCAAGTGCTTCAACACTGTTGCCGTCGTTCAAACTGCAACCAGTCTGACCACGAGGAGGTCCGAGCCCGGAAGGGCCTTCAGTCATGCGCATCCAGACGGCATCAGTGCTGTTTCCAGTGGCTTCGACGATGATGTCAGTACGCTGGCCAACAGCGAGGGTCACCAGATCAGTATAGTAAGGCTCGACAGGGACAAAGTCATTGGCCACAACCTTGAGTTGATAGCCATCAATTGAGAAGAAAATGACAGCCTCAGCCGCGTGGTTGACAAGACGTAAGAGATGCTTCTTACCGCTTTGGAAGCGGAATTGAGAAACTCCTGCATTGGGAGTGCAGGTGAGATTTGTGTTCTTGCAATCGTAGTTGTTCTTTCCGTTGATGAGCATGTTGTTTGCCATGGGAGGGAAGATGGGTCCGAATTCTGTGGCAATGAAAACTTGCTCGACCAAGCTGTAGTAGTCTGCATGGAACCAGTCGGTCAACATGACTGGACCAAGGTCAACATCGTACTCATCAGCTACAGGTCCGTGAATGACAATGGGACCAGCCAAGCCGTTTAAATATTGAGCACTCCAGTGAGAATGCCACCAACTAGTGCCGTAAAGTTCGGCACGGAAGCGGTAAGTGAACGATTTGCCGGGAGCAATTGGACACTGCGAAACACCAGGAGTACCATCATACCAGGGAGTGCCTTTCTGGAGGAAACCGTGCCAGTGCATGGCGGTACCCTCGTTGAGATTGTTTGTGATTCTAACCTCGATCCAGTCACCCTGAGAAGGTTAGAATTGCTCATATTGAGGAGCAGGTTCGACTTACCCAGTTCGCCTCGATGAGAGGTCCAGGGAACTGTCCATTGACAACAAGAAGCGGCAGCGCGACGCCATCCGGAGCCATGGTTCGATTCGAGATTTCCCACTCGTAGTAGCGAGTCATACCAGTGTTGGGGACATTCTTCTCATTGTAGGGGTTAGTATCGTTCGACTGACGCAGACCCCAAGGACAGCCTTGTGGAAGAGGTCCATCAGTCCATGGTCCCAGGTCCGGATGATTGATGGTGCCAAAAGTGCTGAGGCCTAGATTGTGTTGTGAGCTCTAAGACTAGAAACGCTATATAGAATATCATACCATTGGTGATGTTTTGGGGGAGTGAACCACTAGGAGACCAAGGGTGAGAGGTAGAGAATGGCCATGGTGCATTCTGAGTCGCAGAACCATTCCAGTCTTGAGAAGCGTGAGCTTTGACGAGGTTGCCATACTCTGCTTTGACAGGGCTACCATATTGCGGCCTCCAGGCAAGGGCGACTGCGGAACTCCACAGAGCCGTGGCCGAAAGTTTAGCTACGGACTTCATGTCGTGTGTGAACCGAATTGAAAGTCAAGTGTACAAGTATTTAAGTAAGTGGAGGACAGTATAACGGGTGTGTGCAGGATGCTGAAACGAAAGACGGGTCGAAGAACGAGAGAGATTGGAAGGTCGCACCTGAGCCACTGGTAGAGAACAAGCAGGGAGCCTGCCTCAACTATATAACCAGGCGCAGAGGAGAGGCAACCACCTACCGGCAACTTGAAGCCCTTGGATGCCAACGACCACTGCTCGCTAAGACTAAACTCCTTTACGGTAGTCTCCGCAACAACAAGGCCATAACATGAAGCTAAAGTTGGCAAATGACTTTCGAGCCGATCCTACCGGGGCCAGCCTGTAGGAAGTGGCGGGTCTGCATAACGAAGCGTGCGAGCGAGGGAGGGCGTTGGGTAAGAGCGATATTGGCGCAAATCGATACCGTATCTATGGCACACCTCCACTTGTCATGCATGCGGGAGTCTCTTAGCTGTTCATGCATGTTAAGCTTTAGCTGTGTGATCTCTCAAGATTCACACCGTGGGATCCAGGATTTAAGGCGGTCTTGCCGGCATATTCTTGTTGGCCGGTACCGCGGGAAGATGTACCTCCGGTCTGTCTACATCTTCAAGGCTCAGTAGGATCCAGATATTGCATCAGCTCTTTGGAAGCATTCAAACAGGGCTACACGAGATTGGTGTCGCCTTGGATCCACCATGCCATTTTACCACTCTTGCATATCTGCAGACTGCAAGTCGCACGGCAATAAATCTCCGATGCGACAAGGATAGGTTCGTTGTGCAAGGATGGTCCTTGATCCGAAGGTTGGGTTGGGACGACGGGACGTTGTCCTGGTATAAGCGTCATACTTGCCGTTACCCAGCACCAATCAACAAAGCTTGGCGTGTACTTTTGCTCTTAAGCCGCAGCTCCAACCTCTCATCTTCTCTTGGTGAATTGGCGGAGCTTAGTTGCGCGTAGCAGTGGGGTAGCTAACTTTGACCTCCAGTGGACTACGACTCCACGAGCATGCGCAATTCAACGGTCCCATTGTTTCGTCAACTCCTTATCAAGGCGCACTCTTCTGATCCATGACGACGCATTGCTTCCAGTCCCAAAGTCTGCGCGACTCGTGCAGCAAGCGTGCATGTAGCGCGGCAAGTGCATCCCTTGCATGTTGATGCTGCTTACGCGAACCTTGTGGCAAGGATGCCCTCTGCCTTGTTGTTTACCATTTTCTGAACACATGGTTCAAGGACGGCCATCAAACAGGCAAGTGTTTCAGGCATGGGTCTCGTGAGTAAACACTTCTCGCCAAGTGCTGCGTGCAGTCACGTAGCCAAGGTTGTGATTCTTGTGTGGATGGTATACTCGAGTACGTTTGATATTGGACATCTACTCCATCTCACAGCCGGCCTTTGAGATTTTGACGCGATCGAATTCCAGTCCCAACTAGAAGATGCTAACCGCCGTCGAATGATTTGCGTACCTGCATCGGAGAATTGTTCTTATATCGAAGACGCTCGTACAGCATTCGGCTTCCCGAGTTTGTTACGCATCAGTCAAAGCACGTTCGGCAACCTGCCGAATTGACGTCTCTCCGTACTACGGCGTGTATAAAGCTCGCGAGTGCCTGTCAGAAGTATGCGCGATCTTTCTAGAGATCTTTGTCCTGATCCGCTACTTTCAGTCGCAGTATTGGTGCCTTCCAAACCTGGAAACTTGGCGAAGTACCTCCCTCGAGTCAGAAGTGTTCCCCGAGACCACACCATATTCAGTCGCCCGAAGTTGCCTCCCACAAAAAACACACACTGCTACCATTGACCAGCCGCTTTTTCCAACAGCATTAATAAATCGAGATGGCTGCACTGGTCGCGAGGGAATAAACGGTGTCTGTCAGCAGAAAAGCTGGATGGAGGGTAGTGAGGGGAGCCGAAGCGGACTTTTATGCCAGGCTTTCCAGCTTCCATGGACTCCACAACCCACATCCAAGATCTCCAAGGCCCACACTTCAAAAAGCAATCCAATACTGCAAAGCATCTATCTCTTGGATTTCTTGGAGAAACGTTATCTGGATGTTGTTGTCGGCATGGCCGTCCGAAGTAACGTGGAGATGTCTCACTCTGAGATATTGACAGGACACTCACCACGTGCTCATCTTGCAAAAGCTTCAACTTTGCTTCTTCACCTGCTTTCGGTATCTCGGCACGTTGGTCAATCGTGACGCTTTTGGCATTTGCGGCTGGGGTTGTTGCCTCCTTCCAGGCATCGATCTACTATTGGTCCAGGTTCCAAAGTGAGATCTTGGTCGAGAACTAGATCGTATACACCAACTCCGCACAACGGGTGAAGATGGAGAAGATGCCATTTCATTTTACTTGTAAGACCCGTCTTTGCACGGCATGTGGCCGCACCCTCTAGCTGCGCATCGCTTGAAGAAGTACAGACCTCTAAGAACCTTGACCTAATCAGAACATGTTGGAAGGCGTTGACAAGACGACCACCTAACCCCATGCGTCTCTATAGGTATATGTGATCCTCGATGCATCCCAACGACGCCTCAAACCACGGTTTGCATGCGCCTCTTCGTCGACCCTTGAGTATAATTCACACCTACGTCGATTTGTGGCTGTCTGAACAGTCCAATATCAAGGTAGCTGATACAATTCATGGTTTGTCCAGCCTCTTACGCTCGATTTTCCTTTGCCACTTTCTCGTCATCCACCAATTTGATGCACACGCAGAAGGTCCAGCCAACTCTGTCGAATATCTTCGATTTCCAGCAAACACGTCCGTACATACGTCAGCTCTTTCTCTTTCCAGTGTCTACCCCGTTGCGTATGGCGAATTGCCGCTCTGCTTCCACTTCAAGCTTTGCAAAGCATAATGGTGACTGTCTCCTGCTTTGAGTGCAACCGATAGCAGTGCTCTTTCTCAGAAGGAGTGTGGTGCTGACTGTGACCCTCGAAAGGGTTTGCTCACCTCGCTGTAGTTCATGGAGCACTTTGATCTTCCGTAGAGCTCTTTCCGTGTCAGATCGTTCATACTACTTCCTCCATGTCGCTTGGTTGCTCTTTCCTCTGTCGCTATGGCAGTGCCTGCTCTTCGACGCATGAGTGTCGCGTGTATCCACCGTCCAGCTCACTTTGCCTTCTGACATCTGTACCCCGAATTTACTCCATCACTCGGCCTGCAAATCTCTTCAATCTCCGTATCAAACAAATTCATTCCAATTCAACATTCATTCTCTACACAACCCCTCCCCCAACACCCGAATACCTATCCATTTTAATCTCAAAAGTCTCCTCCCTAACGATTCCCCTCAAACTCTCTTGATCCTCATCAACGTTATCACTGTCCTTCCTCCTCAGTTTCCTCTCTGATTCTCTCCTTTGCACGCCCTTGACATCAGCGAATATCCTAGCTTTGTGGGTGAAGATTTCGCGGTCGCCGCGGATTTTGTCGCCGAAAAAGGACATGGGTGTGGACATGCGACGGGCTAGTTTGTTGCGAGATAATTTGGAGGAGGTAAGTTCGATGGGTGAGGAAGAGGGGGAAGGGGTGAAGATGGGGAGGGAGAAGGGGAGGAAAGAGGGGATGCAGGAAGAGGTGAAGGAGTAGGTTGCTAGGACGCATTGGATGATTGCGGTTGGGATGAAACCGATAGAGGAGTGACCGCGAGAGAGAAAGTGGAGGTAAAAAGTTAGGTAGAGGAGAGATAGTGCGATGTTTCTGTTCTCCCATTAGCAAAAATTGGCACAATTAATATAGGCAGAGCAAAGACTTACGGCAATCGCAACAAGAAGCCCAATGCCACCCATTTCCTCTGTCCCCCCTCCACTTGCATTCTCCGCAAAAAGCACACAGCCAGACTTATCACACCAAACTCTGTGGCGATATTCAACGCCATAGTCGTAGCGATACGAATATCCAAATGTGCGCAAGAGTTTTCCGCATTGCGAAGAAGCATATGACTAGGCAAACACGCAGTATTCGTAGTCAAAATAGCCATGATACCCCAAACAACCACAAGCACAAGACCAGTGTTGCAGATGTAGGTGCGCCAGGTGTTGGGTGGAAGGAGACGGCGTATGAGGAGGAGGGCGGAGAGTTTCGATGTGCCGAGGATTAGGGAGAGGGTTATTCTACTTGCAAAGACCAGCTTGGGATGGAAGGTTAGCGTTGATGTCTGGATGCTCGGTCGGTTGGTGTTACGCACCTCTGCAGCTTTTAAAATGCCTGGTTTAGTTTCTGGTATCAACTGTACTCCGAAACCGAGCTTGAGTGAGCCCATGAGTAGTGCTAAATGCGCGATGATAAAGACCTATTTGTGGTCAGGTTTGTGTATTCTAGGAACACATCATAGGTAGAGTTGACTTACAAAAGAAACGACGACAGCAAGGTCATCAAGACCATACCTGCGATACCTGGCTATTCCTCGCCATAGTAGTAGTGCAGGACAAATGATTGTGCAAATTATGACAGTAATCCAGAGCCAACCTCGATGATCCGTACTGGTCACCGGCGAGAGGGGTGAATCTGGTCCAGACATTTATGCGGTTGAAAGAGAGATGGGTCCGTGTAGTGTGGTCTGTATACCCTGGTCCCTGATAGCGGATCTTTCTGGGATGATCCACAAAAGATGTAGACAAATAGATGAAAAGAACAAAAAAGGAATGTAGAGGCAGAAAACAAAACAAAGTCTAAGAAAAGAATGTTGATATTGGCGAGGAAGAAGAACTGTCAAAAGACATCGAGCCACGACACAGCAATATCTCCCCAGGAGTGTTGCAAGGCACACTTTGTATCACAAGGACACACACCTGGGATGCCTTGTATACTTAACCTTACAACCACACACTAAACACCCAGATCAAGGCACGGGACGATCTGCAACTTCCCTTTCCAAGAAAGCATACTTTTTGATCGCTCTTTGAGCCTCATAGCAAAACAACACCGGTTGCCATATAACCCTCCCCTAATCTACCTGAAGAAAAATCTCCTTCAAATCGCGAGTCGGTGAAACTGTCAATTGGTTTCAGCATCCTACTTACAGGAATCATGTAGAACTAGACCCTTCATCGGTTCCTTCTGTCAAAACCCAAAGCTTGCAAACCTCATCTGCCCTCGAACGCCTTTTTGGTTGTTGGAAGGTTTGGAAAGTGTGTTGTCTATCGTGGGGAGCAACGTGTTAATCGAGATGAGCAGTCCTATATCGCAGGTGTGTTATTCACACAATTGATACTTTTGACGATCACATGTCTCGAAACACTATAACAACACCGGTTTGTCAAAAGTTGTCGGTGAACATCACCTTCAATGGGCCAGTGTGGGTGAGTCGCAGTTGAGTGGGTATACGAACAATCTGGCCCTATCATGGCTCCATAGAGAGATCCTGAACAGGCACGGCATCCTACAGTCATGGTAAAAAGCGGCAGTTGGAAAATGTTTAGCATGTTCTTGAGTTGGACATGCAATTTCCGCCCAGAGTTCGGTTGTTTCGGTAGGAGTGGATGATGTTGCGTAAGGCTGTCGCTGATGAAACAGCCGCGCGCAATCCACTCCCACTCCCACTCCCACTCCCACTCCCACTCCCACTCCCCACAGAATCCCGAAATCTTGGGTCATGCTTCGGTAAACCAAACAGCTCTTGAGAACGGCAGGAGATAGAAAGCGATTGTTCATTGCAAGCGACAATTCGATTGGTCAATAAGATCTTCTGAAAGAACTGACATTATGTTGCTAAAAACAGAGGATACCGTCCTTCTAGCTACAAAGTTGTCTCCCATCGATGACACATATGATGGAGAATGGAGCAGGGTCTGAAAAAAGAAGAAAACTCCCAGAAATGCAATTCAAATCCTCAGAGGCTGGCACAATTCGAGCAAGGCACCAGTGTCCCGTTGACACCAGTCTGCCTGACATATCTCCATCCTTTCAAACGCCCAAAAACTCCGCGCCAAATCAACATTTTTGCCCCTTCCCGCTGCTGAGAAAACAAAGAATAAGAGGCAAGTGGACTAGTCGTGACGTCGTAACTTGTCCCAAAAAGTGGTAGTGGTATAAGAGAAGTGAACAGTAAACAAATCGGGAGAGAGCAGATCATTCAATCAGGGGTTTCCTGTGACCTCCGACTATGGTCATGCCTAGACTTTTGAGACCATTGGCGTCGGAGGCTTTGATGATGGTAGGGGCGGGTAACATGGGGTTGTCGGGAGAGATGTGATAGGCGTCTTTGGCGGCTTGCTCGATGGCTTCCATTTCTTCTTTGCAACCAGCGTGATCCCAGGGACAGACGACAATGGGTTGGCGGATCAATATGTCCTTTGCGCCAGACATGGTGGCCTGGATTGAGTTAGAAAGCGGCTTGACACTGAAGTCAACATGCAACATACCTTTACCACCAGGTAGTACTCAATCTTGTAAAGAGTACCGGTGGTTGTGAAACCGCTGACAGCGTATAGAGGAAACTCTCGCTTCTGTCGGGGCAAGATTCCTTCTGGATTTCGCAAGTCTCTGGCTGGAAAGACCAAGCCCAAATTTGTAAAGTAACCAGCTTCGGGCATCTTAATCCCTACGCGGTGGGTGGATGAAGCTAGCAATTTTGCTTTTCGTTGCGGCTCGTCGCCCTGATGATTGTATATGACCTCCTCTTCAATGCTGACAGTTATCGTCTTTATTGTAACCTTCATGGCTTTCTTGAGCATGTCCGGGTTGGGAGTGAGTTTGATGTAGACGCTGACGGGGTCCAGGGGGCCGTAAGACCAGCGTGGTAATGATATTGCGAGAGTGACGAGATGGTCGACGACCCGTTCTGCGCTTTCTGGACGGTTGTACATGCCGAAAGTCGACAAGGTATCGTAGCGGGCGATGGGTACAGGAAAGGCGTATTTCTTCTGGTCGCTTGCGCCGTGTTGGACTGTGACAACAATCTCGTAGTATGTTTCTGCAGCGCGACGATCCAGCTGCAAGCTCGCCGGTGGTACACGGCGAGCCATCTCTTCACCACCTCGGCCGTAGGGAATGAAGATGACGAATGGAAGGTCCATAGACAGTACTGCTTCGCTTTCTCTCCCAAGTGGAGCGCGATATAACAGCATCTCCTTGCCGACTATGTCTGTGATTTCGCGACGATTTGACGTGACCAGATGGCCTTTGATTGTATCGGCCGAGGGGTGGATGCTTTCGCGGCGCTGCAGGCAGACGGTAACCAGCGATACATGGACAGGAGCTGAGACGCCCAACAGTGGGCGAACCTCAACCTTGCCCTCTATCCGCGGTGAAGTGGCCGAGATTCCAGGATATCCCACGAGGAAGTTGCTGTTCGGCGGGCCAGAAACGCGCACAAAGGCTGAGGTCATGATGGGTGCGGCGGAGTCGTCGTCGTTAGTACAGGCGCCGTCGCCCGCATGTCATGGACTTGGGTCGATGATATGAAGAGAGATTGCAAGAGCGAGGATGGGATTGCAAAGGTTGAGCGAGAGCAAAAGGGAGACGCAGACAAGGCGCCTGTCAGCTCTTTGTGTCTAGACGTCAACCAACACACACACCAAGCACGATGGTCGGGACAGGGCGGGGGACGGCTGCGGACAAGGGGATTCTAGATGTGACAATCACACACGCATCAAAGAGCAGAGTTGATGATTTCTTTCCTTAAGAATAACAGACTTCAATGACTTGGCCAACGATGATGTCGCTTGAAACTCGCAAAGATGCACCAAGCCTTCCTTGGTTTGATGAGCTGCCGACTGAGATGAGATGAAAGCAACTGCACGAGCCACAGCTCACTTTCCCGCCCGCAATCATCGTCATCGCATACCGCTTCTCTCGAATTTCTCGTCAAGATAATCACCATCCAACATGGCCGTCACGCTGCACACGACCCATGGCGACCTCAAACTCGAGCTCTTTTGCAGCGCATGTCCCAAGACGACGTACAACTTCCTCGCCCTCTGCGCGTCCGACGCCTATAATGACTCGCCCTTCCACCGTCTCATTCCGTCTTTCATGATCCAAGCCGGCTCTCCTGCGGCCACTTCGACAAAGGACAGTCCCAGCGTCTATGGTCAGCCCTTCGAAGATGAGATCAAGTCGCAACTCAAGCACAATCAACGCGGTATTCTGAGCATGGCCAACAAGGGTCCCAACACCAACGGCAGCCAGTTCTTCGTCACCTTTGACAAGGCCCCTCACCTTGATGGAAAGAACACCGTCTTTGGTCGCGTACTGGAAGGATGGGATACTCTTGACAAGATGGAGTCGATACAGGTCGACAAGAAGAACAGGCCAAAGGATCCCATTCGCATCCAGAATGTGCAAATCCACGCCAACCCTCTTGCAGATGAGCAGAGATGAACCACAAAACTGCTAGGCATCAATCTGCCTTTCTCAACATGCAAGAACGCACCAAGCTGCATTACTACAGCATTGCGCGACACGGAGCTACTCAAGCGTCTCACCGCATGCGCCATCAGCCAGCGATACGCAATCCTTGTCGCATCGCACTTTCAGCATACATCAGCTGCCATTAACACCATGCGCCAAACCTCCTGACACAAGCCACATCGAGGCTCACTGATCAGTCACGTTCTCGACATCTCAAGAGCGAGGCTCCAAGGTTTGAGGCTGAAATCTGGCTGTATCCAAGGTCTGGATCACGCCTTACGCCTAACATGCTGAGCATGTCACGCTCTAATATACAATACTCGTATCACCACACTCTTCGATGATAAACAAATTATATCTATTTCATGTTCTACCTGCTTTTTCCCCCCTTGTTTGCTTCTCTTTCCTGCGTCCTGCCTTGTGTTCTTCGTCACGATTATCTATTTCTCTTCTCGTCCGCCTACCCGGTCTTTCCACGCACACAAAAGAACCACTTCTTGACAACACATCACCGCTCCCGTTCTACACGAGTGCTAAATCAATGCTTTTACTAAATTCAACCAAATTCAACCATGAAATAATATACACATAATCTTACACGACAACTACATACATCTTCTCAAACAGTAACACCAAAAGGCATAACATTCGGATCCAGCGCTTGCCACACAAACGGCATACCCTGACTCAGCCCCTTGGAATCAAACTTCCTGCCCTTGATCTTGGAGCTAAATGAATCCATAGCACTCTTGAATGTCGCAGCTGCAGTCTTGGTATTCGCATTCATTTTCTGAAGCATAGTCGCATCGTCGAACATGTGACTCACTGCTCAAGAAATTAGTATCAAGATACGCACGAAGCAAAAGTTGGATAGGGAAGAGGGTTTTCAAACTTACATGTTCGATTAGTGCCAGCGAGATAGTTTCTCGAGAACAGAGCGTTTATTTGAATTTGCTCTTGTGCTTTTTCAAAGGGAGGGAGGAAAGTCGTTAGGTTGGAAACGCTACGCTTTTGCTTCGGGGCAGGTTGGTAGAGGGAATGGGGGTGGAACGGGAGGGTGGCTGATGCGGAGATGAGTTCGTTGGTGTTGACCGTGTGATGTGCTGTCGAGGACAGATGGGCCTGCAGTAAATCGTTAGTCAATATATCCAATATCAGAGGTTGTTGGATATGCTTACCATATGCGTCAATACATCAACCAATGTATCCTTCTTCGCAATAGCAGCAGGGAAATCAATGACTTTAGCAGCGCCATTGCACTCTTTAACCCAAGCCTGTATCTCCTTATCCGCCAGCACCACCGAATCCGCCGAATAATACGAGCCAACAAATGAAGTCATAAACACGCGCATAGCCGAGTAAATGACAGAAGCGTCTTCATAGAAGGGGAAATTCTTGAGCGCCGGTCCGGTTGTGGAATTGATCAAGCCACGGTTTTTTAGATCGGTGAGGAAGTAGTTGGACTGGAAGGCACCACTGCGGTTGAAGTAGTAGCCCGTGCTGTAATCTTGGGCGGCGTCGTAGGCGTATGGGAAGGAGATGTCCACGGCACCGCCTTGGGCGAATAAGATGGACTGTTGTATGTCAGAACATGAAGTCTTCTAGACATGTGTGAGTAAACTTACTGCTGCCAGGGGCTGGATAGCAAAGACTTGGTACATCACTATGACATTCAATATCAGTAGGCGGTCGAAAAAAGGTGATTAGACGAACTTACATCGGTCAAGTAGTGCCTTTACAGGATGGGTATCACTCAGCGTGCGGATAGCAGCCATGTACACAATCTGGACAACCTCATGGGTTCTCGCCAAATGCTCCCACTGGGCAAACCACAGATCGCAAACGTTGTACATGATCTTAGCAAGGAGCCAATCATCCCTGGTATCTGCTGGTGTGTAAACAAGACTTCCACCTTGGTTAGTTCTGATGGCCAGGGGCAGGAAATTTCCCGAAGTCTGATTGATATAAAAGTAAGCATCCACAGCAGCCGAATAACGAGCTCCGTTTGTCGTGGTCTTGAGTTTTGCCTGATCTCTGTAGTCGGAGTAAAACAGACGACCAGATGTGAACAGTTGCTGCAAGGTCATGCCAGTGATGTTCTTTGCAATCTTGTCATCGACTTGGAAGTTGAGCTTGTCTTTGCTCGAATTCAACCTGCGGATTTGATAGGGGCTGAAAGAAAGACGTTCCATTGAGAACAGCAAGTCTTGGGTGTAGTTTGTAAGGATACCGCGGATGGGACCTTGAGATAATGTTGCTGTCCACTCATCGTCGTAGAGCAACGTGTAATCATTCAATGTCTTGAGTCCATTATACTTGGAGATATCGGCATTGGCAGATGCGGTGTCCGAGGAGGAAGCACTTTGTTGCTTGTTGGTTTCGGCTTGAAGGCTCGATATATCGTTGCTGACTAAAGTATTACCGAGAGTGCCATTGGGAAAAGCAGGACCACCTGCAACGGGTGGTCCATATTGGAAGTTGTTCCGCTTTGACGTGATGGCATCTGCTCTCTTGGAGGGCGCGGCTTCCTTTTGAGGAATGGAGTAGGCTCCTGATACGGAAGAACTGGCTGAAGTGGTCGACCCTGTCCTTGGGTTGGAGATAGAAGCGGAAGTGATTTTTGAAGCTGATGCCTTGGAGGACGACGAAACTTTTGAGGAGACCTTTGAGGATGAGACCTTGAACGAGGATGAGACTCTGGAAGAAGATGAGGCCCTCGATGAAGACAAGGCCTTGGAAGAAGACGAAGCCTTAGAAGACAAGATCCTGGAAGACGAAGATTTCGCTGAGCTTGCTTGTCTGGGTAGAATAGCAGAATAGACAGTCGCAATACACAACAGTACTACAAAGAGCGATGCCACTGAGAATCGACGCGGCGTCATGATTGCTTGTAGGGCGGAAAAGTAGCTATACCTGAGAGCATTCAATTTTTGGTCTGCGTTGTGAATATATACTCATCCATATCTACCCATCACCTTCCACTAACGGTTATGTTGTCTTATACTGTATCTCCACATCGGCCGTTACAAACCGCACTGGATACGTGAAGGATACGGCATGTTGGCAGACGTCAACACAATGGCCGCAAGTAGCAGAGACTACAGAGTCGACCGGTCGATCAGCAAGCTCATGGTCTCAACAATCATTCCTACAGTGACGGCTGTAGACCAATTCTTGCTTATACTTTCCAGAAGCAGACGATTGTATATCACCGTCCGATAAGTAAACGGCGGACGTACATGTAATAGAATAAGGGACCATTGATCCTTCAACCGGTGATGCCGGATTGACAGAATGTGGAGAAAGAAGCGCAGCCAATCGGCGAATTGCCAGGTGGGATTTCACCCTAAATAACACCCTATCTTGCCGCAAACCTCTTGTCGCGACGACATGTTTCACATGCTATTGCGTCAAGCATCCCAGTGAGCAATATGCCTCGATACCACGAAGAGCCTGAATGTAGGTTTCGAGAGATTGAAGGTAGGCTACAACCAACAGCCGCATGCCTTCACAGTGCCATAAACACTTCTGCTTCACTGTTTGATTACAGCCTTGCAAGTTGTCTCCCACTCGCCAAAGCACAAGAAGGGCCAAGGAAAACTGTTTCTTCTTTTTCCCGTGTGTTCCTAAACATCTCCACCGACAGAAGCGACCGAGGACATCCGCGCGACATTATTCAGAAGCCATCAGGTCCAAGCCGGCCGATCAGCCTGATTCTTCGTTGACATTAGGACATCACACCATGATGTAAAGGCAGATGCGATCGATGCCGTGAGACATTTCAGCGTCCTTCTTACATGACGTATCAGAATACATTAACCACTTCTGGCATTCTCCGGTGAAATTTGCTTAGGACATCAGTTCTGTAGCTCGGAAGAGACGGTGCATGAGGGCATTACAACTTCACAGCCACAACGTTTGCTGCGTATCTTCATACACTAGTCCTACCCTGGCTTCCCACTCATCTACCGGCATCCCTCGACGCAGTACCTTCCAACCTGGCAGCCGCCGATTGATGATCGATGCGTGTATGATCTACGACATCTGTTTACTTAATGTTTCTCAGCAACCTCAACTACATCAAATGGTGAGATGGCCGAGCGGTCTAAGGCGCCAGCTTAAGGTTCTTCCAATACGCTGGTCCGAAAGGGCAGGGGTTCGAATCCCCTTCTCATCAACATTCCTTTTGCTCTTTTGTGTGCATACCGCTACTTTAGAATGAAGGTGGAGGTGTAGGGCGAGGTACATCAAGTTTTGGAATCTCGGATTTTCATTGGTGAAGAACTTTTTTGTGCATGGAGTTTGGACCCTAGATTGAGTGGTGGGGCTTGGCGGAGTTGTGCAGGTGCATAAATGTTGAGCTCTTCTCATGTCGCCAATGTTGGTTGAAGTTGCCTGTCGAGCACGATACATGTTTTGTGCTTGAGTAGTCAATACCCTATTTGAACAATCTGTGGAATCTCAAAACAAACAGCTGCCAATCATGAGACGTGTGTTGGGTGCGCCAACCAAACAGTTCATGAGTGCCTCTGTGTGGAAGCAAATGTGAAAATGCCTTATCGCAGATGGCAACAGGATAAGCGCATTCATACGGCCCAAACACACTTCAACATGTCAAGAACAATACTAGAACCATGAAAGATATAGATTAATCACGAAAATCCCATTCGTGGTGCTGTAACGTCGTTGGCGACCTCAAAAATGCTTGTCGAGCTTGCCACCCTGACACAAGTTCATCCTCTCTGAGCACTTTCGAAATCCATGCGGCACCGAACAGATCATGAAGCAAAGTGATAGAGTGAAGGAAGAAATCCGTTGCCTATAAAGTAGAGAACCATGCCTGCCTGCCTGCCTGCTCCCAAAGATGCCCTATGCTAATGTAATGTACAAGAAAATACCAGCAGGAAAAAAGCTGCACGCAAAAATGCCTCCGTCTTTGCTCTTCCGTCTTGGATAATTTCTCTTCCTCTATCCTACACTCCTTCGTCCAAACTTCCTAAGCATGTCCATTCTGACCATGTCCATTGGTAGTGACTCCATTAGCCTTGCCACTGGTTATGACCTGGGGAACCTCAATGACCTTGCCAGCTTCATATCCATCTGCATCTCCATTCATCTTACCAGCCTGAGCAGCAGTAAGCTCCTTTCTGATAGCCAGAACGGAATCCACAATGACAGCATCGATGCCCTCCTTGGCCTGTCTAGCAACCATAGTGGGATTGTTATTCAATGTGCCATAGCTGACGCAAACCAAGCCACTCTCCTTGACTACACGGATAAGTCTGGGGCAAGTGACCAAAGGTTCGGCGGCAGAAACCACACCGAGCAAGTTCCAGCGAGAGGCGAAGCGGATAGCTTCTTGCAGAGAGGAGGCGCGGATGTCGCCGACGGGTGAGGTGCCAGCGTCGCTGAGGAAGAGGATGGGGATGGAGGGTTGTTTGAAGGAGAGCAAGAGGCAGATGTCGGGGTTGAAGGAGGAGAATAGCATGTTGCGACCGGTGCCGAGGTCATAAACTTTGGTCAGGACGGTGTCGACGAACGAGTTCAGTTCAACGGCGTAGGTGTCCATGTCGTGTTCCTCGGATTCGAAAAGCATGGGATATTCTGTGAAATAATCAGTGGTTGTCAAACAGAATCATAGTCAGGTCAAAACGTACTCATTTCAATGTTGAAACCGATCGAGGATGGCAGTGTCTTGAACATCTCTTCGAGAGTGGTGAAGGGGGCTTGGATGAAGTTTCCACGACTGTTGCCCTTGAAGCCCTTCTCCTTGAAGTCACGCGTATGCTTCATGCGCTCAGACATGTCAGGAGCGCGTTCGTCTTGAGCACCACCGAGCGAGTAGGAACGCTGCTTGCGTGACTGCTCGGCCACTCCGTCCAGGTGGCTTCTCTTGGGTGAGGACGGACGCGATGGTCTGGGAGTTTGACCTTCGCTAGCATGCATGAATTGCTCCAAGGTCAATGTGTGCACTGGCGCATCAATACCAGTCTCGCTGACCAAGAAGTCGTGGTAGATGACCGGAACATGATCCTTGGTAAGTTGGACATCGAACTCGACGTAGGATGCACCCAGATTGGCGGCGGCGATGAACGACTGAAGGGTATTCTCTCCTAGCTGCAGGGACTTCATCGATGCCATGTTCTTGCCGAGACCACGGTGACCAATCACTTGTGTGGATGTGCTCTTCCAGTAAGTCTGGTTCTCAGCAATGTGCATGTTGGGGTGCTGGAATGGAGTGATGATCAAGAAATTGAAGTTGACAGAGCCAATAACGTCCAAAGTCTCGGCAGCAACGATTGGAACACTCAAGTCACCTTGGAGCAGCATGCGTTTCGAGCCAATGCTGGGCTTGATACTAGAAAGTAAGGCCACACCACGACCCACAATCTTGTCCTTGGATCCAGAATAGGTAGGGACAATGTCAAACAAGAGTCTGACCTTAGTGGGGTCGCGGGTCTTGAACGTGATGGGTGAAGTGCTGATATTCTCCTGGACGGGCAGATCAACGATTGTGGGCTCTCCGTTGGCGCCAGACGCAGCAACAACAAGCGAAAGAGCAGTGTCAAGTTGGGTCGCATGAGCATCTGCAAGCGGGATGTTATCCAGAGTCACTGCAGGTATGTTCTTACGGTTGTCCATGGAACCCAAGCTGACAAGAACCAAAGACTCATCGGTGAGATATCTGTGACCAAAGGTCTTGACAGGCTCCGGAATGCGAGGAGCATCACGGCCCTGAGGAACGTTGGAGCGACGATCTTCGATGGATGAGTTGTTCTTGGGGGATGTTCCCAAAGCACTGGATGGTCTGAGATGTGGTGAAGGCACATCAAGGTTCTCAGGAGTCGGGCTGAGATCAGCCAGCTTGTTTGAGACGTCGAGATGACCTCTGAGTGCCGCATGTTCGATAGGTAACCAACCTGAAAGATCGGCTTTGTTGGTCTCGCAACCAGCTTCGATGAGCAATTCGACGATTGGCAGGTGGCCGTCAACGCAGGCTATGAAAATAGGCGTCCAACCGTATGTCTTCTCAGTGATCTCGAGGTTGGCCTTTTGAGTTTCCGAACCTTCGAGCAGCGACTTTGTGCACTCTACGTAGCCAAAGCGAGCAGCGATGTGTAGTGCTGTCTCGCCCTGCTCATCTTGGTGATTGATGTTGATGCCAGCATCAACAAGCAGTTTGACGATCATGAAGAAGTTGTTCTTCGTAGCCAGAGCCAAGGCAGCACCAGACTTCTCAACGTTGCGTCTCACGGCATGGCTGTCCTCGGACTCGCCGTGCCAGTCTTCAGCAAGCAGCAAAGCCTTTGTAGTTCTATAGTGACCGCCGATAACACTGAGATGCAGAGGTGCATATCCTTCAGCGTCCTGCCAAATGTCGGAGTCAATACCCTTGCTGACGTCGAACTGACCCCAAGCTTGCATGTACTTGATGATGGTCTGAGCTGCAGCTACAAGGCCATACTGACCAGTATAGTGGAGCGGAAGACGGCCGTATGTATCTCTCTCCTTGAGGACTGCTCTCTGCTCGGCCGAAAGATGTGACAGAATGTGAACCATCAGCTTGATGGCAGGATCCTCCTGACCAAGAGTTTGGCCAAGATCCTTCTCCTGGACCTTGAATGATGTAGGAACACGGACGGGAAGTTCTGCTGCATTGATGAAGGAGTTGGTTTCCGCACCAATGGGTACTGCAGCAGGGCCGTTCTCTTCCAATGCTCTTGCACGACCAGTCGCGATGACCAGACGATGGACGATGTTTCTCTTGTTCATGTCATCGTCTTCGGTAAGAGATGATATCCGCGACAACAGATATGTGATGCATTCATGTGATCTTGCGGAGATAGCTCGTTGCAAGAGATTGAGCATCAGCTTCTGGGTCACAGAAGGAGAGATATCCTCCAAGGATGTCGAAATGAGCTCTTGCAGCTTTGTAAGATCGTTTTGGCGGACGTTCTGTTCGAGGGCGTCGAGCACAGCCGTGGGCACGCGCATGGCATTCTTTGAGGAGACGCGGTGCAAGGAACCGGTCGAGGCGATCGAGGCAGTGTCGTCAAAGACCTTGACATCGCCGAGATTCGACAGCCAGTCATTGATGGCGCGCATGTCGGCCTCGGTTCTGCGGTTGTTCGCAAATGCCTTGGGGTCGACTTTGGCGGCCAGGTATGTGTTTTGCGAGTGCGAAGCCTCAATCTTCTTGTCCAGCTTCTTCGTGATCTTGACGAAGCCTCTACGATTGACTTCGCCGAACCAGATCAGATTGCGATATTGTCCTCTGAGCTCGAGCAACGCGCCCATCAGATCTTCCATCTCTTCCTTGTCGATGCCATCCTGAAGCTGAGCGGCTTGTCCATAGCGATCGTAGAGTAGTCTGAGTCGTCGCGAGAATTCGGCGTGCTTTCTGTTGTAGAAGCTGTCCACGTCCTCGAGGTTGCGATCCAAGGCAAAGAAGAATTCTAGGAGAGAATCAGTCAAGCAGCCTTCACAAGCACCTGTCGACAAGCCTCACCTGCAAGATCTACTTCGCCGCCAGCCTCGGTGTTGTGCTCAGCGGCCTTGATCAGCTTCTTGAGACCTTTGTAGTTAATATATTCAGATGCCCACTCGGGAACCTGATTGCGGGGGAGGTTCTGTCCAAACTTCATCTTGGTTGTTCAATGCTTAGTAAAGATGACGATTGGCAGTTGCCACCAAGTAGTAGGTGTGAGAGATGATGGTGAGGGTCCAGAGGGACTGGATAAATGCTTTTCACTGATAGCCGCGCAAACGGACAGTTGGTTTGGTAGAGATGCAAGCAGGGGTAAGGACAGAGGCCATTCGTTCGACCAGCAACGTCGAGCTAGATGATGTGATTGGTAGACCTCGACGTGCCTGGCGTTCACACAGCAAGTGAGAGAAGGGTCAAGTGAAGAGTGAAGGGTGCGAACGTGTAGATACTTCTACTATCTATTGGACAGAACTGTCGCGATTGAAACTGGTGCTTGGCGGAAAAAGGATTTGGATGATGATGTTTTTGTCCGTCGCAGGGGCTGCAAAAAGGCGCGTTCCTCAGGGACCCCGCGCTGATCACCGTCATGTCCAACTCAATCTACTCGAGTACATCCGTCTTCCGTCCTGTTCATCGACATCTATGGATATGCATCAAGTGAGGCTTTTTGTGCCAGCGCGTGTGATGTCCTCCTTCATGCTGTGCCATAGCTTGACTGGCCATGTGTATGGCGATGGTGTCTCCGAGTGACAGTGTAGATATCCCGCCACTTCCGAACCACAACAAGAAAAAGCAACAAGGGGTAGGGTTTCACTATCGCATGTATCCCGGTATGACCTGAAGATGAAATTCTAGACGGAGCAAGTTCCGCCATTGATGCATTGCGATAAGGTGATTTCTTTTGTTTCCTTTCCGGCAAGAGCACAAGTCATATGGTCTGCAATGGTACAACTCTTGCTCGTTAATGAATACTTTTTGACATATCCTTTCCAAAGTCTGTACAGTCTAAAGGCAATATATAGGTTGACTGTGGTCCTCTTTCCAAACATTATCAAATCATCTGACTACTACATTCATTCAAGCTTGTACTCAGATTTAGTGAGATCCAGATCTCAGTTTACTGAGCCAGCTGTTGACCCATGTCTGGAGAAATGGTTAGTACGAGAATATCCAGACATCGATTGGGATACGCTTACCGAAACTCTTGACTTGTTAGTAGCGGTAGCCTTAGCAGCTGTCGACGTTTTGGTTGCTGTGGCGGCGGTAGTGGTAGTAACTGACGTAGCGAGTGTCGAGGATACAGCGGCATTGTTGGTAGCTTGAACAGCACCTGCTGCCGCACCAGAATCACCACACGAGCCGAAGCCAGACTGGCATCCGTCACCGCAGTAGGCAGCAGTACTACCACACCATCCTGCTGGCGAACAGCAGTTACCAAAGACCGAGCCCTGGCAAGTCATGCCACTTGAGCCACCACAGGTTGCATCGGTCGAAACGCCAGTTGCGGTTGCAGCAGGAGCAGTCGAGGTTGTGCTGCTGCTTTGAGGAACATTGATACCGCACTGACCGAATCCTGCTTGACATCCTTCGCCACAGTAGAGAGTTCCTGATCCACACCAACCAGCCTAGATAAAATACGGTCAGTGTCGTTCTGCAAGATTGACATTCATTTACTACGTACCTGCGAGCAGCAGTCACCAAACTCTGAGCCAGTACACATGAATCCTGAACCACCTCCGCAAGTGCCGTCATTAGATGTAGCAGTGGGAGCAATGGTGGCAGAGGTCTTGGTAGCAGAAGTTACGGCAGATGTTGAAGAGGTGAAGACACTACCGGATGACTTGCGGTACCAGTTCTCTTCGGGATCACCCAGACATTCGCCGACAGTTACTGCTTTGTAACCAAGAGCCAGAATTTTGTCAAGCATGTATGCAGTCAGAACGTTTGCAGTCTGATTGTGGATGTCGTGTCCAATCACAAGGTAGTCATCGGTTGCAGGCTTTCCACCAGCAATTCCAGCATCGAAGTTGTTCTTTGCGTTTTGAATAAGCGCAGGAGAGTCGTTGTTGTAATCATCTGTAACACGTTAGTGGACACAGATCAGTCTCGGTAGCAAGGGTATCATACCAGTATCTACGTCAAAGTAGGTAACATGGTAACCAAGGTCGGCCATGTCCTGTTGACATCCAGATTCTGCAGTGCAGTCGGAGTAAGGAGGTCTCATGTAAGTGGGGAAGAAACCCAAGATGTTGCGCAATGCCATCTCGTTGCTGTACATGTTTTGTTTTCTCTGGGCGCTGGTGATGTTGGAAAGATGAGGGTGAGTCCAAGTGTGAGAAGCGATCTGGTGTCCTTCAGCATAGGCACGCTTAATGGTAGCAGCCCAGGGATAGGCAGCGTTATCGATCTCTCCCTTGCCATTGTTGTTGCCAGTGATGAAGAAGGTGGCCTTGGCTGAGTACTGCTTCAACACATCCAGGATATGCTCGGTATAGATGTAAGGACCGTCGTCATAAGTAACGGCAATGGTTCCTGCCACTGTGCAATCGTAGATACCAGCTCCACCATAAAGAACGTTACCGAGTTTAGTTCTAGCAACGGTAGAAGTGCTGCTGCCAGATGGAATCGTGTTGTCATCGCAAGCTGGACCAAAATTGAACTGACATCCGGGTGCAGCACAGTAATCGCTTCCTTGACCACACCAGCCTAGTGGATGTTAGCTTCGAGCTACAATTGCGAATGTACGATACCGACCAGCTTCAGAACAGCAGTAACCATCGGCACAAGAGCCGAAGCCTTGTCCACACTGGCCTTCGGTGTTGGTAGAGGCTTGACGCTTTTCATGAACCTCAGGCACAACTGGTTGATAGCTGCTTGCTACATTACGGGCTCTTCTGGCACCACTCAGAGCCGATCTTCTGCCAAAAACTCTGGGAGCTCCAGGGACATCACCGTGAGCTTCGATAAAGGATGGCACAAGGGCCAATGTCGCCAAAGCGAGGCTGTTGAAATGCATCTTGATGCTCTTGAAATGATAAAGACGGTTCGGGAGCGATACTCGAGCAAAGAATACTGAGCAGAAGTACTTCAACGAGTGTGAGGTCCAAAAAAGACAGGGGCAGAACGAAAGATGCGACACGACGGAATGTCAATGGAAAAAGGAAACCTGCCTATCTCACGTCTTCAAAATTTCGTCGAGCGTGCTATAATATATACTTACGACCTACAAAACAAGCCTCTGCGAGCATCCCCTGCTGCATTGGCCTCCCTTGCTTGTGGCCTAGGCATGCTCGTAAATATCCATAAATCGCAGGCAATGCCCTAGCGGTCTGGAGACAAGAGTGGATGAGACCGATTCTGTCGTCCAGAAGCAGAAAGGTTGCTTGCATGTATCGTCTATCCTGACTGGATCGAAACACTGGAACGGCATGAGGTGAAGCCATGGTCTGTTTCGTGCTGTTTCTTGGCAGTCAAAGCAAGCGGGACGACGGCTTGGAGCTCTGTGCCGTACATTTTCCAGAGCGAATCATCGGGTGACTTGTTTGAGGTGTGCATGTGGCTTGCTTTGGAAACAACACTCTGGGACGTGGTGAAGAGGAAAAGGGAACGAATTGTGTAAAGACTGCATGTGGACCAAGTCATGATTGGACGTTCGAGAGGTCACTGCGCAGATCGAATTTGAACCCCATGCTTTCTCCACGACCCCGATTATTTTTAGACTGCATGGTGTAACCGACCTCGAGCTCGAGTCGGTCGTAAATATGCACGCCCAGCTGGTTCTCCAATGGTTAAAGCATATGCATTGCAGTAGGTAACCCTCTTTCATGTACATGTTATTGATTTTCCAAGAACGATCTGCAAAACATCATTTGCCTCGTCAAATGGGCATCCTGTCGTACGAGATCGACCTGTGGCAAGGGAGCGATTGACGGTAGGAAGAGATGATAAAGACAGAATGGACGTACTTCTATCTGAGTACTTGGAATAATTTTGATGAATTCAGTTTGGACAAAAGCGTGTAATCTACATGAGCAATCTAGGAGCTTCCTGGGCCTCCTATGAGAGCGAATCTTCTCACTATTGAAGGACCGTATTCTGAAATGTCTGTCAGTATGTAATGAGAGTAAACAAAGGGGTGTCAACGAACCGTCGTATTCTGCCTTTGTGTGACAGTAGCTCTTGAACTCGGGAGTCTGACCCAACAAACTACCACCGAACCAGGGACCATGACGTTGTCGCTTGTGAGTAATGACCTGGACATCAAGACCACCCGACTTGGCACCACCACTGCGAGCCTCGCTAGCCTGAATACGAGCGTCGACCAAGTGTCTGATATCGCGCTGAAGTCTGCGGCCAAAGTTCTCGTAAAGGGTTGAACCACCGGACAAGACGATGTTCTTGTAGAGACCTCTTCTGACATCGATGGGTGATTGTTGGATGACGGTATCGACGATGTTGGGTAGAGGAGTCAAGAAGTCGGATGAGTAGATTTCAGGGTTGAAGAAGATTTCGGGAGCAAGGAAACGCTCGTAGCCGACATCGACAACAGCATTGCGACCGTTCGGGTAGTTGATTGTGTGTTTGCCGAAACGTTCTGGCTCACGATCGTAGCGTGCGAATTCCTTGACAATGTCGGGACAGACGTAACAGAATTCCTCCTTGATCTTCTCGGCCGTCTTGAGAGAGCTGTCCGGTTCACCTCTGTCACGAAGAAGGCTTTGGACGAAGTATGTGATATCACGACCAGCGATGGGCACACTCTTGATGGAAGAACCGATAACGTAACCCTCGGCGACGGGGATAACGTGGGTAACACCCTCTCCGGAGTCAATAACTGTACCGGTCAGGGAGCGGTCTTGAACCTTTGAAGAAGTCCACGAAGCGGCAAGGGCCAACACAGCCTGGACGGCAATGTAAAGACCAGCGACGTTGAAGGACTCGAACATGATTTCGGCGGTAGCTTCACGGTTCTCTGGAGGGTTGAGCGGAGGTTCGGTAAGGAGGAAGTGGTGATCTTCGGGCTCGACGCGGAGGTACTTGAATATCGAGTTGGACCAGAAGCGCTCCATTTGATCCTGCGCAAGTCAGCATTCCTGCCGAAGGAGTTGTGATGGCGTATTCTCTGCATACCCAGTTCTCAACCTGACCATGGCGGATAGGGTAGTGAAGACCGTAACCAGGACCGCTTGAAGCGGCTAGAGCCTCGTCGCCGATGAAGTAGTCGAGATCCTCTGTACCTCTCTTTCCCGAAAGCATTGAAGCATTGTTGCCGCCACCAGGTCTACCCGAACGGCCGACGGTTCCGCTGGTAGGGCCCTTAGTAGCGATGGCGGTAGGGAAGACGAAAGACGGAGAATCATTGCCGGCGAAACCTGCAGACTCAGTGATTGCGAACAGGACGGATGAGTATTTAGGGTGACCAACCGAGCTTTGTGTAACCCGTACCGCTGTTCCATGTTAGTGTTGCTGCCTATGCGCGCGACGAGACCAGGGAGCACCTACTTGTCCATGACAACGGCAGGAGTTTGGTTGGCCATGATGACTTAGAGATTTATCCGGGTGCCTGTGTGGGTATGAAGAACGACCAAAGGTCAATTGTCGGAAAGAGGGCGAGAGCTTGACCGGGCACGTATAAGAATTGAAGATACAGGGCAACCACGAATGTCGCGTTGTCTCCAAGAGCGTTGTCGTCAGTCGGAGAGCTCGGCCACTGCCTCCCCGCCATGATGTCCGTGCGCATACTGCTTGACCGCCTGGCAATGGACCATTCTATCTGATTGAGTGACCTGTAGACTTCTGTTAAACGTACATAGACCATCCTTTGCTTCATTTTGCTATCCATTTCGACCATTCTCATCAAAACTCGGCCATCATCTATAGCCATAACGTAATCGCTCTGGCAAGTGTAGTATTGCTTCAACACGCTGTTCACGGCCGCACAGGCTTAACAAAAAATGGAAAGAGCGACCCTCATCCAAGCCGTACGGAGTAGGCCAACAAACATCTCGTTCTCGTTCTTCGAAGCTCATCTTCCATCTCTCTCCTCCCACAAATCCCGTAGTTGAGTCTTTGCATTCTCTCGGCCGCTTCTGTAGCGGCGTGTTGCAAGACTCACTCTCTTCACATTATCATCACTCGCTCCATCCTTCTTCCTGTCTGGACCGTCCTTTTCACTCGACCTATTGCCCTAGCGTGTGGTTGTTCTTGATTGCTGGTCTTCTTCTTTGTTCTACCTTCCAGACTTGAGTTTGTTACTATCGAAAACTGGCGCCATCAACAACTTCACTCTCGCCGTTGGATGCTGTTCCAACAACTGCTCAAGCCCCTCCACCCCCTGCCGAACCTCCTTCGAAACACGCTCCGCTCTTCACTCCATCTGATCTGTTATCTAAAGCGACGCCTGTCACATCGCCTGCTCCCCCTCGTCAACTCACAAACGACATGCTCCATTCGAGAATCCACAAGATTCAAAAGATTGGTGCCCACCAACCCTGCATCTTCGTTCATGCTGGCGCTGGCTATCATAGCGTACAGAATGAGAAAGCCCACCTCAAAGCCTGTGAAGAGTAAGTTGGTCGAGTCTCGGATCTATGTGCTTTGCTGATTCGAGTAGTGCTTGCAAAGCCGCCATGGCCATTCTCCGTACTGGTGGCACTGCCGTGGATGCCGTCGAAATCTGCATAAAAGTACTGGAAGATCGTGAGATCACCAATTCTGGTTATGGAAGCAACCTAGCTATCGATGGAGTTGTTGAGTGCGATGCCACCGTTGTTGACCACCACGGTCGCAGTGGCGCTGTTGGTGCAGTCTCACGTCAGTCTATTCATCGGTTCATCTTCCTTCCTCGACTGACACAACGCAGAGATCAAGAATCCCATCTCGCTGGCTCGCGTACTTCTGGATCGCAGCACCCATCTGCTCAGCCTTCGCCGTGTCCCTCCCAATCTCTTGGTCGGCCAGGGTGCCATCGAATTCGCTGCAAGTGCCGACATGCCCATCCTCCCGTATGATGCCCTGGTCTCTCCTGCTGCCAAAGATCGTTGGAAGAAGTGGAAAGCCGATCTCAACACTGTGGAGGAGAAGAGCAGAAGAAGCTCGGCATCTCAAACCAAACTATCCAGCTCAGCCAACGCTACACCATCTTCGCAGTATTTGACGTTCGACCCGGAACATCGTGTGCGTGAACAGATGCGTCGGGCCCATACTCGTGCCCTGGAAGCTGGCGTCTGGAACGAAGCGCAGCCTATCACTCCGCTCCCATCTTCCGATTCCCTCGCATTGCCACCACCTGTTTCAAGAGTCTCGTATAACGGAATGCCTGCAAACAACAGAAACATGAACGGTCTTCCCGACCCTTCTCCGATGATATACACTGATCCATACGGACCACCCGGACCTCGTTACATCTTTGGTAATGCTCCTATGACCAACGGCGGTTACGGCAATGCTCCCATGGCCAACAGTGGTCGTCGACTCAATGATGGTCACTACTCTGGAGCTAACTTCTCGTTCGCCGATACCATGGACATTGATGATATTCAAGGTCTATCCGGTGGAATTTACGGCTCACGCTACAGTGACCGCCATGATGGTTCCTCCGCTGACTCGGAACTCGAACTCGAATCCAGTTCTGCATCATCAGAATCTCTGCAACTGCCATCAATAACCCCAAGTCCTGAACTTGAACCCATGCCAGAATCTCTTCTGCCTGCTCTGGAAGCTATTGACGTCGAATTGCCCGAGAGCGATGAAGCGATGGAATCACCGTCAACAGATCATTCGGCCACTCTTTCCCCTGAGTCGAACCATCCTCCACCCCCGCTTCCGCCTACTCCTCATATCGACAAGGAGGATTACATTACGGACACTGTTGGCGCCGTCGCCATCGACAGCTATGGTAACATTGCTTGCGGCGCATCATCTGGAGGCATTGGTATGAAGCATCGTGGTCGTGTTGGACCTGCTGCTCTAGTTGGTGTTGGATCTGCTGTCATACCAGTCGACATCGATGACAAGGATCGTAATTGTGTAGCAGCAGTCACAAGCGGAACAGGTGAGCATATGGCCACTACTATGGCTTCTACAGTTGTGGCCGAACGTCTTTTCAGCAATGTCAAGAAGACAAAGACCGGTATTGTTCAGACTGATGAATCGGATGCGATCAAGTCGTTCATCGAGAACGACTTTCTGGGTAAGTCGAGCAAAGGTTGAACATGTTGTGGGTATGTTACTAATAATTGGACAGGTCACCCAAGCGTCAAGCACAGTCATTCAGCGGGTGCAATTGGTATTCTGGCCGTGAAGAGAACTCGCGACGGTATATACTTATATTTTGCTCACAACACGGATTCATTCGCGTTGGCGTCGATGCATGGAGGAGAGCAAAAGCCCGTCGGCACAATGTCTCGCAGTGCAGGCAACGGATCAATTGCACAGGGCGGGCGTGCTGTCAGACTCAAGCCGGGCAAGAAGTCGACTTGATTGGAGGAATGAAGATGAAAGGAAGGAGGTTCTGTCGCTGTGAACGCGATACCGCTGGCATGGTCTGAATTGGCTGGATGGCTCTCCCTAAATAACCTAGCATCCCACTGTAATATCTGTACCATCACAATACATAATGTTTCAAGCTCGAGAATTGTCCATCAAGAGAGTGCCAGACTGACAGACCTGCATATTGATAAACATGTTCAGGAGGTCTCGGTAAACTGAGACAGACCATCCGTTACAACCAAGAGCCACTCACCCTCCCTGACAGGAGTTCTTTTGTACTTATCAGATTACAAGGTGTGATTTGAAGTTAGGTAGATGTCTAATGAGAGCTGAAATCCGCACACACTCTCTTTGGAAGTTCAGGATAACCTGGAAATCATCTTGCACCTTCATGGCAGACTGAGATATACAAGATGTAGTGAGGTATTGAGGCAAACTTCTTGCAGAATCAGCTCTTGGACATACTCGTAGGCAATGTGAGCAGTGAACGGAGTATCAAAGTCGAGGAAGCTCTTGGCGTTGATGTGAGAGAAGCACGGCTTTCTCCGCCTTTCAGTTTTCTCGACCATCAATCGCAAGCTCACCAACCAGCAGCAACAACTTTTGCGACTACGCGCAATCAATCTCTCTACACACCAAACCTCTCACAACACAAGCCCACCACAACCATGGCCGACGCAACCCTCTTCGACGACACCTTCACCCTCACGGGCCTCAACAACCAAAAATACGACCGCGTCTCCCGCGTCACAGCCACATCCGCCGATTCCCAAACCATCCTCTCCCTCGACATCAACCATGAAATCTACCCCCTTGCCGTTGGCGAAACCGTGCAAGTTGTTCTGGCCTCGACATTGAACTTGGACGGCACGAAAGAGGAAGCAGGCAAGGGATGGAGGGAAAAGGGCGCAGAGGAGAATTCGCTGGCGGATATGTTTGATTACGTTTGTTGGGGAAAGGTGTATAGATTTGAGGAGGGCGAGGGAGAGAATATGTGAGTGTTAACCCACCTTTATACCATCGCGAGTTCCGAGGGCAGGAAATATGGAACATGGAGATGAATGAAGAGAAGGATTAGAGGAGACAGATGGAGAGATGGAGAGGAGATGGAGAACATGGAACGCGCGCAATTGCGAAAGAGGAAACAAGTACTGACAACTCGAACAGTAAGGTTTACGTCTCCTTCGGTGGACTTCTCCTCTACCTTGAGGGTCCTTACAAGAAGCTCACTCCTCTCCGCATCGACTACGTCTACCTCTTGATCAAGAAATGAACGTAGCGACACCTACCTACTACGCACGACACGGCTCGACAAACATTTAAACGACTCCTGCTTCATCGACTCTCTTCCAACGAACCTGCTCTTCTCGCAACATCAATGCGCTTCTCTTCCAACCACGTTCGCCTGAATATTACCGAATGAGAGAAAGCGGCAGGATGACCATGCAGAACCCTACAGAAAGACACGGAGAAGGACCGAGGAACAAAAATGGACACCAAAAATCATTCATCTCATTTGGGAAAAGAGAGGCATAGCGCGGAGTTCATGGGGGTCCTTTTCTAAAAGAGCACGCGAATACACACACCTTTGGTGTGATGGAGAGGGTGAGCACGGCTGGGTTTTCACGGCTTCTTTCTTGCCCTGCCTCTGCTCTCGTTCATATGCTTTTTTCTGTATCAGCAAGAATCAATCCTTCTTGCAATCACCCAAATTCCTTCTCCAATCCATCCAGTGAAGCTTTCAAAGCTGCTTCTGTTCTTGAATGCCAAGTCGTCTCGGGAGAATGCTTGCAGACTTTCTGGTAGTATTGTACGTAAATCATGTCTTTATCGTTTGAGTATCCTAGCTATATCATCTAGGAGTACCTGCAGCACTCGGAGTAGGCGAGTCCGCAGGTGTGACACCATCAAGCTTTCGCTGCTGCTTCTTCTTTTTCTTGCGAGGGATGACAACCGGTTTGGCAGCATGACCTGCTAATGACAGTGCCGTGCCGCAGGTAAGACAGTTGTTGTCAGGGGGCGGTTGGCAGAAGACTGTGGTTTAGGTGTTAGTAGATGTACAAATTGAAAAGGGAGCTGGATCAACATACTCGATAGGCAGATACTGCACACATAGCCCAGATCCACAATATTGCGGTGACAAAAGCATGCAGCGCGGAAATCTACACCTTCCGCTTCACCAGCTTTGACCAGATTGTTCCTTGCCGTGGCATCAGGTAGATATGCCATCATGAGCACCTGTAACAATCCAGCCACCTTGTTCCCCAAAGCCATATAAACACCACCCGTAGCATCAGCTGCCTGTTGCAGAAACTCGGCATTCGAATGTGCAGATAGTGTGAGAATGTCTATGGGGATGGCGAGGCGTTGACAAGCGAATATGCTATTCATAATGGGAATGTATTGGTCTGCAATGTCACCGCTGACGGAGAGGATCAGGATGCGGCTTTGGAGACCGGTGTGGGAGGGTTGAGAAGTGCCATCTGCGGTAGAAGTTGTGAAAGTGCCTGCGGTATTTGTGGCATCGTAGCCGCCGTCCCCTGCTCTTCCTGGTGCGTTCAAGGTGGCTTTGGCGATGTATGTAAGGGCGAGAGTTAGGGCGCCGGAGAGCATTGTCGAGGTAGAGGCTTTGAGGTGTTCGGGGGTGGTTGTAGAGAGTAGGGCGCGTAGATTTGTGGTCAAGGCCTTTTCCAGTTGGGCAAAGGGGCGGTATTTGTTTGCGTCATTTTGTATGTCGTTGACTTCGTTTTGGGGAACGTGAAGGTCGTCGTGAGTGGTTGGGTAAAGGAAGCGGGCGCTGTCGGAATGTGAGGCGACTACGGCGACTTGGTTTGAGTTGTTGATGGCGAGATGAGCGTTGATGTAGACCAGAAGGTTTGCGATCAAGGTGGAGAGTGGCAGAGTTGACGATAGTAGGCCCCAGGCGTGTGGGTTGGTGTCGAGGATGATGGTCAGCAGGGCAGGAGCCTCACTCGTCTCGGCCACCTCTTCGTGCGACGACGCATCCACCGCATTCATGTTGAGTCTTCTATCGGTCCATGTGTTGGTGAAAGAGTGGATGGAAGTCTAGAAGTTGAAGATGAATAGAACAATAACAATCATTAACATTTCACGTGCGAGGCTTCGATCAACTCCGTCATGCGAATCCATCACCGATTTCATTCTTTCCTGTCACAACCAACACAACTCTCACTATCCGCCATGAACCATTCTAGAAAGAACACAGACAGCATATCTGCTGCTCAGAGACACCTCCAAGCCGCTTCAAATATACTTCTGTCGACATCACCGCATATCTCAGCCTTCCTGGCTTCGCAAGCCCAACCGTCAAGTGAATCATCGTCGCATACTATACCCGACAACTGTAGAGCTTGTGGAAATGCTCTAGTACCCGGCTGGTCATGTACAACATCCAACAGACGACTCCCCGAACGACCCTCGAAAAAGTCAAAGACCAAGTCAAAAGTCGCAAAGAAGCCTGCTGTGCCTTCGACCACATATATCGACTATGAATGTTCTCTCTGTCATGGAAAGAATACTTTCAAGTCGGACACACAACCTCCAGCAAGACGATCGAAGACCTCAAAATCAGCCATCCAAAGCAAGCAGAGTGTAGCGGTCGCAGTGCCCACCATGGCACCAGTAGCAAGACCTTCCACCACTAACACAAAAGGAACGACAGCTACTCCAAGTCCTGCTCCTTCTACTGCAGCATCGTCGTCCTCGGAACAGACTCGTGCTGGAGCAGATAAGAAACGCGGTCGCAAGCAAAAGTTGGGTGGTCTGCAGGCTATGCTGGCAAAGTCCAAAACCTCGATTTCTGCACCTGCAGCTTTCGACTTTATGGACTTTATGAAGACGACTTGAGGCACGAGAGCTTTCGAATGGCTCGCTGGACTGCTTCATCAATTCTCGATCACATCATCGACCTTCAAAAGATCTAATCTTATCAGTAGATCTGACGTGTCCTTATCGATAAGTAAAAATTGTTGCCCCACGCTCTGGGCCCGCCAGAAGCTTCCAAGGCTTCTCCGAGAGACCAAAGCCGCCCAATTGCTTGCAAATCGTTTCCCTCCAACATAACATCTGCAACTTTTTCCCTCACTGTTTATTTGTTACTACTTTGCGCAAAATACAATACCGACGCGCGTTCTTCTACACTGACAAGAGTCACCCCTACGACACGACAACAAATCAACTACACAAAATCGCAACAATGGCCGCAAACGACAAGCCCACTTCAGTGGCCAAGGACCTTTTCGAGGACATGGGTCGCCAGGTCGAAGGCATGAAGGCCAACACTGAGGACGGTGACGACCAGAGAGTTGTCGACGAGATTGAGAGTTTGTGCATGAACTGCCACGCCGATGTAAGCGCCTTCAACTTCAAATTCACTTTTGCGCAATTCACTAATCACCTGTCGCACAGGGCATGACCCGCCTTCTCCTCACTCGCATTCCCTACTTCCGCGAAATCGTTCTCTCATCCTTTTACTGCCCTCATTGCAGCTTCAAGAACACCGAGATCTCATCTGCCGGCCAGATTCAGGAGCGCGGTTCAAAATACGTCTTCAAGGTTGAGAACGCCGATGACTTCCAGAGATCAGTTGTCAAGGGTGATGGTTGCGCATTCAGAGTCGAGGACATTGACCTCGAGATTCCTCAAGGAAGAGGTCAGATGACCAACATTGAGGGTATCCTCGCTGGTGTCAAGGAGGACCTTTCACAGCACCAGGAAGCTAGAATGCAGCAAATGCCCGAGGCTGGCGCAAAGGTCGCCGAGGTCATCCAGGCTCTGGGTGACATGCTCGACGGCAAGAGATACCCCTTCACCGTTTCCGCCGAGGACCCTTCAGGAAACTCTTTCATCCAGCCCTCGCCTACCGACGCCCGCCACAAGTACACTCGCACTGAGTTCGACAGAACCCCCGAACAGAACGCTTTCCTTGGTATCGGTGAGGAGGCTCCCGCCGACGATGGTCAACAGGCCCCTGAGACCAACATCAGACCCGAATACCGTGCCGCCGACGGCCTTGTCGGTGGTGGTGCTGCCGATGCACCCAGAACTGTCACCACCAACAACGTTGACGAGGAGGATATTCGCGAGAACGAAGTCTACTCATTCCCCGCCAGCTGCCCCGGATGCACACGCCACTGCACAACCAACATGAAGATGGTCAACATTCCTTTCTTCAAGCAGGTTGTCCTGATGAGTACTGTCTGCGAGCACTGCGGCTACCGCAGCAACGAAGTCAAGACTGGTGGTGAGGTTCCTGAGAAGGGCTCAAGAATCACCCTCGCAGTCAACACCCCCGAGGATTTGGCTCGTGATGTTCTCAAGTCTGAGAGTGCCGCTCTTTACTGCCCTGAGCTTCAACTGCGCGTCGAGCCCGGTACCCAGGGTGGTCGCTTCACAACCGTCGAAGGTCTTTTGACCAACTTCCGCAAGGATCTCCGCGCCCAGGCCTTTGGTCTCGAGAACGGTGACGATGAGGAGGAAATCCGCGCAGCCGCCGACTCTATGCAAAACGAGACCAAGCGTACTTGGGAGGAGTTCTTCACCACCCTTGGTGATGCCATTGACGGCAAGAGACCTTTCACCGTCGTCATCGAAGACCCTCTCGCCTCATCATACGTCCAAAGCTACACCGCTCCCGCACCCGACCCGCAAATCCAAGTCGAGGAGTACGAGCGCACTGAAGAGGAAGAGGAAGACTTGGGCTTGAAGGACATCAAGACCGAGGACTACGGTTACACCCAGACTGAGGAGAAGAAGGAGGAGACCACCACTGAATGACTAGATGGTGGTAGAAAGAGAAAATTGGAACATGTTGACGATGTTGAGGATAAGATGGACATTTGAAGTGTCGCCATCAAGGGAGGAAAGGAAAGCATAACTGATACCACTGCCGCGTCGCTAGTTTTATAGCATATTTGGACGTCATGATGAAATGGAAAATACACATTATCATATCTTGAATCTCACAAACCCTGAACACCGTGAAATGCAATCTATGAGCACCGCAAACTCCTGTCGCCCTTTAAGATCTCATAATCGATCTACTCCTCCATTCTTTCAGCCGCCTCCTGATCTTTCAACTGCAAATCCAACTTCTCAAACGCTGCAGACAAATCATCTGCCTCTTGCAATTGCTTCTGCTTCAGCCCAGATAGATTCGTCTTTTCGCCTGCATCTTGCATTTCTCGGAGTAGATCCTGAACCATCTTTTGGATTTCTTTGTATTGCTTGCTTTCTGTGCCCCAGCTTGTTGCTGCGTTGCGGAGGTTGACGAATAACTTTGAAAACAGTCAGAAGAACGGAAAAAGAGAGAATTGCGAGGAAGAGAGAAGAGAGAGGAAAGGCTGCAGATGAGGAAGTTTGAAGAGATAGTAGTACATTTTCGGGATTAAGTTTTTGTTTGTAGTGGTAGAAGAAATTGTTGTTACCCACGCATTGGAGGAGGTCGTTGTGTGATGACATTGTGAATATGTAGTCGAGAGCACTTATTGTTTCGATTTGTAGCTTCTGTTGCTCAGTGACTTCGACCTGGATGGTTTGATGAATGATGACTCTAGAGCTCCGAAGTGATTGTTAATCATGAGGCAATTGTCCACCAAGCAAGAAGGTGCGACTCTGCGTCGCCAAGACATCGCGTTCCATGATGAACGAACAATTCATCTTTCTCTTCTCCAATAGCATCAACTTCGACATCAGTTTCTGGTTTGACTCTCGAAAGAAAGTCATCTGAATATGGAGCCGCAATTATCCGAAGAGCACGGCGTCAGGATTGCCGTTGAGGGATGTGTACGTTTAACAGTCCTTCCGCATCACAACATTTTATCTCACAAGTATCAAGGGTCACGGTACACTTCACGCAATCTACGCCTCAATCGAAAGAGCATGTGCCGTAAAAGGCTGGCCGGGAGTAGACCTCCTCATAATCGGAGGTGACTTCCAGGTACCCAAATTCCAACAATCACAAGAACATCCCACCCCATACTAATTTCACCAGTCTGTCCGAAATGCTCACGACCTTCAATGTGTCTCAATGCCAGCCAAGTACCGCGAGATGCACGATTTTCACGAGTACTACTCCGGAACCCGCAAAGCACCTTACCTAACTATCTTTGTCGGCGGAAACCACGAAGCCGCCAACTACCTGTTTGAACTCTACTATGGCGGCTGGGTGGCACCAAATATCTACTATATGGGCGCCGCCAATGTGCTCAAACTCGGACCACTGAGAATCGCAGGTATGAGCGGTATCTGGAAAGGCTTTGACTACAAGAAACAGCATCATGAACGTCTTCCTTTTAACGAGGGTGATGTGAAAAGTATCTACCACGTCAGAGAACTGGACGTGAGAAAGCTGTTACAGGTAAGGACGCAGGTTGATGTGGGTATCTCTCACGATTGGCCGAGAGGCGTAGAGTGGAAAGGCGATTGGAAGAAGTTGTTCAGGCAAAAGGCGCATCTGGAAGAGGATGCTAGGAATGGGCAGTTGGGTAGTGTGGCTGCGACTTATGTGATGGATAGGTTACGGCCGCCATATTGGTTCAGTGCTCATCTGCATTGCAAGTATGCTGCCGTAATTGACCATGAGAAGTCTGGAGAAGCATCTGGTTCTGCGACAGCAAGCATAAGCAATGGAGTTGCAGTGGAAGAGATTCCCAAGAAGAACTCGGATGAGATCGACCTGGATATGGATGATGAAGAGCCATTAACTCAGGTCCAGCCAACAAAGAACACAGACGAGATTGATCTCGATATGGATGACGACGAGCCTGCACCGAAAGCCAGCGAGGCAACCCTTACTCTACCTGTCAACGCAGACGAGATCGACCTGGAACTCGAAGACGACGCAGAACCCACGACAGCACCAGTTGCTCCAGGGCAGGGTCTCGACGGCGCACGAGTACCAATTGATCCCCCAGCACCCTCCGCAGTCCCCGAAGATCTTCGCGCCCAGCTACCCGCCTCATTCGCCAAACCTCCTCCTCGCTCAGAACCAGTCAATCAGCCAATCTCCCACCCACCAGGAATCACAAACACCAAAACCAGTTTCCTCGCCCTGGACAAATGCCTTCCTAACCGCGATTTCCTGCAAGTGCTATCTATGCCCACGATCAGCAGCTCCAATGCTTCTGTCGATCGTCCGTTGCAGTTGGAATACGATGCAGAATGGTTAGCAATCACACGCGTATTTGCCTCTGAACTCCACGTCGGCGGCGATCCTAACGCACGCGCGCCTCAAGACAAAGGAGAAGCTCATTACGCACCCCTCATCGATGCCGAACAATCCTGGATCGATCAAAATGTTTCCTCCCTCACGGTCCCGGAGAACTTTGAAATCACAGCGCCGGTGTTTGATCACGCTCAAGGGATTCATGTGCAAGGTGTGCCGAAAGAGTACACCAATAACCAGACCAAGAAGTTCTGCGAGTTACTCGATATTCCTAATCCTTTCGACATCTCGGAAGAAGAGAGGGAGGAGAGGATGAGAGTTGGACCGAGAGCTGAAGAGCAGAGAAGGGATGGTGGGTTCAGGGGTGGAAGAGGAGGTGGACGTGGTAGGGGCGGTGGTGGAAGGGGAAGAGGTGGCGGTGGAAGAGGTAGGGGCAGAGGTCGTGGCGGACCCAGATATTGAGTGAAAAGTATTGAAGGAGAAACTGGAATCAGGGGCTCACAACCTAGCACATGGAAAGGCTCGTGAACGTCCCATCGATACTTCTTGTCTCTCTATCAGAGAAAACACAATCATGCCTTGCAAAAAGGCACAATATTCCTTACACTGTAGATCGGCCGCCGAGATGACGATGTTGTAGCATCCAGCACTTGAAAGGATGATTCCTGCACCCGTTTAAGAAGACCATGTTCTATCTTGATCTGTAGGGAGAAAAGCCATACAGAGTATATAGCTAGAGTTTGTAAGCATACAGGAAAAGCTGTAAAGGGGTATCGTGCGATCGTGTCAAAAGAATCATGTGCCGGCCATCCACCTTACCCGTTTCCGTCCCTTGAACATGCAATCCGAACCTTTCCCATGCAAATAATTCCTTCCGAGCAAGAATGAACGAAGAAGAACTCCAGCAAATCAACACCAGAAGCACACCGTTATGGACTGAAGAAAAATGTACATCGTCAACCTCACTTCTTGAACACCTTGAGCAAAGAGGGGATACGTTGCGTCTTGCTCAGTCCCACACGATATGTTGATTGCTGCCAACTTGGCTTTGCCGAAGACTTTGCATCCTTCTTCACTGTAGCAACCTTTGGTGTGGTAATAGCAGCTGGTGTGGGCGCTTCAGCGATCGCAGGCTTCGGCGTCTCTGCTTCAGGGGGGGTCGGCTTCGGAGTAGCAGCGGCTGGCTTTGGAGTCGCCGCTTTGACCTTGGGTTTCGCTTTCGATTTTGGTTCAGGCTTAGCCTTCGATTTGGCTTTGGCCTTCGGTTTAGGTGATTCTTCTTCGGAGTCTTCTTCTGCTTCGGAAATGTGGTCGGCTTCGGACTCCTCATCATCGTCTACCAGAGGAGGCTCCGGGGCCTCTTCTTCATGGTCGGAAGGTGGATCTGGAGCAACGACAGCCTTCACTGCTTTTCCCCTTGCTTTTGGCTTGGCTCTAGACCTTCCCTTACCCCTAGGCTTCGGCTTGACGACCTCTTCCTCGAAGTCATCCTCGTCTTCATGTACTGAAGCATCCTCTTCCTTGTAGACCGGCTCAGGTGTCTTTGGTTTGGCCTTCGACTTGGCCAGTGCCTTTGTCCGAGCGGTTGGCTTAGGCTTCACGACATCATCTTCAGATTCATCCTCATCCTGGGCGTGTTCGGCATTCACATCATCAAATGGCTCTGCTTGAGGTGGTTCTGATAGAGGCTCCTCGGCCAAAGGATCTGGTGGTAGCTTTGGGGTTGGCTCCCTCGACTTGTGTTGTCTAAGCTGGGCAAGGACGCTGGCTGCCAACGCTGGATCTGGCCTTGACTCTATCACAACTTGAACTTCGGTTCTGGAAGATGACTTGGGTGTCTTGGGTTTTGCGATTGAGACGTCCTCTTCTGGAGCCAGTTCATCTTCCTCATCTTCAATAACCTGCTTCTTTGGACGTCCACGTTTAGCAGGTGGCTTTGTGGCAGCGGCTCTCTTGGTCGACTTTGACGATTTGCTTGATGAAGGATGTTCTTGTATCGACTCGGGTACGGTAGAGTCGAGCTGTATAGATTGTTCAAAAGTAGGCGACTCGGGGCTCGGCGACAGTCTTTCGAAAGGTGGCGCTTGATCGATGGGATGCTTGGGAAACATAGGCTCTGAGGTGATGTTATCGGCTGTATCGGTGATGGATCGCTTCGGTTTGGCCTTCTTGATGGCTTTCTCAACTACCATAGTGTAGTCGACATGTGAGTTGTCAACTTGGGCAGACCTCGAGCGACTGGGTCTCGGCTGGTACATCTCCTTGGGTAGGCCTACAGCATCATCGGAATTGATCTTATCGCTGCTACCGAGAGCAGTTCCTGACCATGGCGTGAGACTGTTCTGGTCGGCAGAGGATGATTGTTGCTGCGAAGAGTTGCGCTTCCGAGGCTTAGGGGTTCTCTTCTCACTGAGCATGTCATGGCCTACCAGCGAGGGTAGGGTAGGGCCAGGAATGGTATCGCTAGTGCCATCGAATGGTAGAATTGGAGGCGGGATGACGAGGTCGGTAGGGGAGTTTTGAGGCGAGGGCTTTGTGACAATCTTAATGCGCTTGAGTTTTCCAGATGAACGAGGCTCGGGGTTCGTCTCGATAAAAGAACGCTTCTTGTGGGTACTAGATGGCGAGGTGGCAGCAGAAGTAGCAGCAAGGTCGGAGAAATTGACAACAGGACCGTCTTCCTGGGTGGGAGCCATCAATGCTAGATGAGCTCGCCTCAATTGTTCTGCTGTCGAAGCTGAAGAGTGATCTACATCAAGGTCGACAGGCGCGTCTTCCCCGCTTGTAAAAGTTGCCACTGCGGAAAGAGCTTTTACGGCAACAAGATCATCTTCGTCCTCCGAGTCGAGGATCTCGCTGAAACGAGGCGGCATGATGCAATTGTCATTGAGCTAGTCGAGAGCTCCTGCTTATTTTGCGTCCAGCTACGGCCTGCATCAGCCTGGGAGACGCGCAAGTCTGGAAGTTGCGACCCCACGATATCACATGATTCAATTTAACTCATGCCAAGGTGATTTCATACAGGGCACGCAAGGCTTCTTATCCAGCGGTCGCCCCCAACACACAGGTGCTGGAAAGATGTAGCTGTAAGAAGGCATGGATATGTTATGAGTTGAGAGAACATCCACTGGGAATTTGGAACTCCTTGTATCTCACTGGATCTTTGTAGAATCTCAGCCTCGTCGTGCATCGCAACAGCTTCACAGTGACTTTAATTGATGGTCGGAGATGTGCTGTATGTTGTTCCCCGCACGCTCAATACCATGTCCCTTGCCAAGCTGCCTCGGGGATGACGGAGTCGGACATTAGTTACATGGGCGATAGTCCCCAAACAGCTGCATCTCAGAGCATGGCTTGATAAAATGGCCTTGACATCGGTTTGTTCTATCTCCCGTCAAAGGTTGATTGTCGCGTATACTAATAGATGTAGTGGAAAGCATTTCGATTCTTCGATGTTGCACCAATCAAGCTCAACGATGCCGACAAGTCAATACTAGAGCAAGGCAATGTCAGCTGTATTACTGCCAGTGCCGACCAAGTCTTTGTCGGCTCGCCAGACGGCACACTTCGCCTGTTGAATCAGTCCTTCAAGACGGTACAATCATGGAGAGCCCACGATTCCGGCGCATTAACGACCATCCGCCATATACCACACTCATCGCTACTCATCACCCTCGCCGAAGACCTACCCAATGAGCCCGTACTGAAGGTCTGGGCATTGGACCGTCCTGATAAAAAGACAGGCATACCGCGTTGCCTCTGCACAGTCGCAGTCACAAATGGCAGGAAGCCCTTTCCCGTCTCGGCTTTCGCTGTCTTGCGCGATCTGTCCCAGGTCGCGGTTGGCTTCGCAAATGGTGCCGTCACTGTAGTACGCGGCGATTTCATACACGATCGAGGAACGAAGCAACGAACTGTACTCGAGACAGACGAGCCGATCACTGGTCTGGAATTCAGAGAAGCCAATGTCACTACACTGTTCATCTCCACTACAAGCAGGATTTCAACCCTCGTCATTTCTGGCAAGGGTCAAGGTCAACCCGCGCGAACTCTGGATGAACATGGCTGCGCCGTTGGCTGTCTGACCAAGGACTTGCATTCGAACGACATTATTGTTGCGCGGGACGATGCTGTATACGCATACAACCCGCGAGGCAGAGTCGCTTCATATGCCTATGAGGGTCCGAAGAAGCTCACAGCCATGTACAAGGATTATGTTCTGTTGGTCTCACCACCAAAGAGCATGACAAACGCCCCCGCAAGGTCGTTCGGCGGTGGTCAGGCAGATGATCTATTCAGCACCTCTAACTTTACGATTTTGAACCCTGATCTGAAGCTCATTGCGCATACGGAAGCTCTGCCTAGTCAGGTGAACGCCTTGTTCTCTGCTTGGGGTCAAATCTACATCGTCACGTTAGACGGTAAAGTCCTGCGTTACACTGAGAAGACCTTCCAGCAGAAGCTCGAAGTCTTGTATCAGCGTGAATTCTTCGTTTTGGCTATCAACCTAGCGCAAAAGGAGAAGGTCGATGCCGTTCAGCAAAATCTCATCTTCCGCAAATATGGCGACTACCTCTACCGCAAGGGCGATTTTGACACCGCCATGCAACAATACCTTCGCGCTATCGACAACACCGAACCCTCACAAATCATTCGCAAGTTCCTTGACAATCAGAGGATACGCAATCTCATAGAGTACCTGGAGGAATTGCACGAACATCACAAGGCTTCTTCAGATCATACGACACTACTGCTGAATTGCTATGCTAAGCTGAAAGACGTCGACAAGCTGGAAGATTTCATCAAGTCACCGGGTGATCTCAAATTCGATCTCGACACTGCCATCACAATGTGCCGACAAGGGGGCTACTCAGATCAGGCAGCGTTCCTGGCCAGAAAACACAACGAGCACGGTCTTGTCGTTGATATCTTGATAGAGGACCTCAAGAGATATGAAGAAGCCTTGGCGTACATCTGGCGTCTGGAACCGGAGCAAGCATACGACAGTCTCACAAAGTACGGTACAGTATTGCTTGAACACTCGGAGGATACAAACCAGTTGTTCATCGACTACTTTACTGGCAACTTCCGTCCTAAGAAGGATGCTGTAGTAGAACAAGAAGTCACAACTGAGCAACAACAAGGAGGCATCGGTAAGATGGCCACTTCGGCGGTGCAAAACCTGGCTGCTCTGATCCCGTTGCCATATATGAGCGCGGACGTACCAAGAACACCAGGCGGCACCAAGACGACGCAACAAGTGATCGAAACGACAGTTGAGGATGAATACGTTGAGTACAAGGTGCCGAAGCCTAGAGCAGCATTTTCGTCGTTCGTCGACCATCCGGACGAGTTTATCCTCTTCCTTGAGGCCTGTATTGCCAGTTCCGGACTGCAAGAAGAAGATAAGACGGACCTGTACACGACATTGTTTGAGATGTACCTTCAAATCGCTAGCAAAAAGACTGGCGACGACAAGACAAAGTGGGAAAGCAAGGCGAGGAAGCTCGTGGAAGAACAAAACGTAAGTAATCTCACGAGCATCGATTTCTACAGAGAGCGCTGTGAGAAGGCACAATGTTCTTGGGGTCGAAGAGTCGTCCAGTGCGAGCCAGATTCCCGTCCGCTCTCCCTGGACACTGCTCTGGGGGTTGAGAGAGTTCTCCGAAGGGCTGGGACACTGTATGAAATATTCACTAACCTTGCTTGCAGACACGCATGGGCACTTCCAACATCCTACTACTATCACACTTGTCAAACTTCAGAGACGGCACCACACTCGTAAGAGAGCAGCGTGGCCTCTACTTCGATATTTTTCGCTCCTACACAGCCGCAAACGACACCGCTGGCGCGATAAAGGCTCTGCGCAAATACGGCCCTGAGGAACCCCAATTATACCCAGCCGCCCTGGCCTACTTCACCTCGACCGAAGAAATTCTTTCCGAAGCCTCATCCGAACTCGACAGCGTGCTCAAGAAGATCGACGATGACGGCCTCATGGCTCCTCTTCAAGTAATCCAAACACTTTCGCAGAGCAAAGTCGCCACCATGGGATTGGTAAAAACATACCTCTCTCGCACTATCGAGCGCGAACGTGCCGAGATTGCATCGAACCGCAAACTCATCTCTTCCTACCGTACCGACACAGCTGCCAAAGCGAATGAATTGGAAACTCTGGCATCGAAGCCTGTTTCATTTTCCGCTACACGCTGTTCTGCCTGTGGTGCACCGCTTGACCTGCCCACCGTGCACTTCCTCTGCAAACACTCTTTCCACGAACGCTGTTTGTACGTCGGCGCAGGCGACGAGGATAGTGATGTCGAGTGCCCCAAGTGCGCGAACGATAATGCTACGGTCAAGGCTATCAAGCGTGCGCAAGAGGAGAGCGCTGATAGGCATGAATTGTTCATGGATGCGCTTGGCAGGAGTAGGGATAAGTTCGCTACGGTTAGTGAGTGGTTTGGTAGAGGTGTTATGGGGAAGGCTACGGGTGTTGAGTAGTGTTGAGTAGATGTGTTGATACCATAAGGAGATGTTGTTTTGTTTTAATCGAGGAAAGTGAGCCACTTTTGAGAGGGTACTTGCCAACAAGATGTAATTGTGATGGATCGTCTATTCACACGCATCGATCAAGCAAAGTCTAATGGCATCGACAACACGACGCTTCACCGATCTCGTCTTCATTGCATGCATACCTAACCCTCTTTCGAACGGACCAGTCGAACCCGCATCTCCACTAATACCACCCTCACCACCATCAACCTCCAACAAAGTAGTCGTGGCAGCAATCTTAGCCCCATCTTGACTCCCTCCCATCCCAGAACCCTCAATTAATGTACGGTGATATTCCCAGAAAGAGGCAGCATTTGTCCTTGACTGAACGTACCTAAGAATTACCAGCAAATGAGTATCTTCGGCACTTACACGGCAACGAACTTTCCGAAATCTTTCACCGCATCGTGGCATAAGTAGCCTCTAGATCAAGACAAAGCTGAGTAGCACCAGTACCAAAAGCTTCAACTTGCTGGTTGGACTTGGAATAGAAAGAAAGTTGAAGAGGTTGAGGTTGCGGGAGGCACGGCAAGTTCGGATCTAATCAATCAAGATCGGGATCGTGACATCATTCCAATCACGATTCTCGCGTGCATGTGGATCCTGGACAGATGTTTCGTATCCCAAGTTCCCAACATTGACAATTGACTCGTCATCTCTTACCGACGGCCTGTTAATAGGCATGTACAATTTTTGTTAAACTCTTTCAATCTATCACTCGTTGTCTGATTGACTCTGGCCTTTGCGCCCTCACGTATCCTACTGGTATCTCCTCGCATCACGCCCAAGATGCAGCCGCTACGCCAATTGAGCGGCCGCACTGGGATGCAACTGCGCCGCTCCATTGCACAAGCATGTCGCTCGCAGCAGTTCTCACGTCCATTGACCAATGGTCCAGTGCGTCGTGAATTACTCCAGCGCGTGTCGTCGCCAGCGTCCATTGCAAGACCCGCAATCATTCGCCAATTGAACCACGTCCGTCGCCAAAGCACAAACACCGAGCCTCCGCCAAAGTCGCCGGCCGCCTCTCCCGTCCAAAGATCTCGTCTCCTTCGATTCCTGTATAGAGGCTTCACCTTCCTCGGCATCTTCGTTGTCGTTTCTGGTGTGCTCGTTGTCGCCTTCTTCGCTTTCGATGCCACCACATACAAGGAAGAATCCGACTCGGTCGATATTGTTGTTTCTGAACTCGCCCTGAACCCAAGAAGAGGAGGTCCCAAGAACTTGCCCATCGCTGAACACCTCATCGACGACGATGACTCTCCGGAAAAGAAGGCTCAAAAGCACAAGCCCAAGCTGGTCATTCTCGGTACTGGCTGGGGCAGCGTTGCTCTTCTCAAACAACTCAACCCTGATGACTACCACGTCACCGTCGTATCTCCGTCCAACTACTTCCTGTTCACACCCATGCTTCCCTCTGCCACTGTCGGTACTCTGGAACTGCGATCTCTTGTCGAGCCTGTCCGTAGAATCATCTCTCGCGTCAAGGGTCACTTCCTGAAGGCTACTGCTGAGGACGTCGACTTCTCCAACAAGCTTGTTGAGGTATCGGCGACTGCGCCTGATGGAACCAAGCAAAACTTCTACCTTCCCTACGACAAGCTTGTTATTGGTGTTGGCTCCATGACTAACCCTCATGGTGTCAAGGGTCTTGAATACTGCAACTTCCTCAAGGACATCACCGATGCACGCCTGATCCGTAACCAAATCGTTCGCAACCTCGAAGCCGCCTCCATCCCTTCTACCTCTGATGAAGAGAGACGCCGTCTGCTCTCGTTCGTTGTCTGCGGTGGTGGTCCTACTGGTGTTGAATTTGCTGCCGAATTGTTCGACATGCTTAACGAAGATCTATGCAACTACTACCCTCGTATCCTCAGAAACGAGATTTCGGTTCACGTCATCCAAAGCAGAGGCCACATTCTCAACACCTACGACGAGACTCTTTCCAAATACGCCGAAGCTCGTTTCGCAAAGGATTCAGTTGATATCTTGACCAACTCGCGTGTCAAGGAAGTCCAGAAAGATAAGATCCTCTTCACGCAAAAGGACGAGAACGGCAATACAGTCACCAAGGAGATCCCCATGGGCTTCTGCTTGTGGTCCACCGGTGTAGCTCAAACTGAATTCTCCAAGAAGCTTGCCGAGAAGCTTGGTGAAAACCAGACCAACCGTCATGCTCTCGAAACCGACACTCATCTTCGTCTTGTTGGTGCCCCTCTCGGCGACGTCTACGCCATTGGTGATTGCTCAACCGTTCAGAACAACGTCTCGGATCATATCGTGTCATTCCTCCGTACTGTCGCATGGGAGAAGGGCAAGGACCCCGAGAAGATGGTTATTGGTTACGGTGATTGGAGAGGTGTTGCCAAGCGTGTCAAGCAGCGCTTCCCTCAAGCCGCTGAGCATTTGAAGCGTTTGGATAAGCTTTTCGAGCAATATGACAAGGACAAGAGCGGTACTCTTGACTTCAGCGAGCTTCAAGAGCTACTCAAGCAGATTGACGGCAAGATGACTTCGTTGCCTGCCACTGCTCAGCGTGCCAACCAGCAGGGTATCTACTTGGGTCGTAAGTTCAACAAGCTTGCACAGGCTGCGCCTGGTATGGAGTTGAACAGACTTGACTATGGTGATATCGATGATGCCGTGTACAAGGCCTTCTCATACACCAACATGGGCAGTCTTGCTTATGTTGGTAACGCTGCCATCTTCGACTTTGGTGGGCTGAACTTCGCTGGTGGCCTGGTAGCAGTTTACCTCTGGCGTGCCGTTTACTTCTCGCAGAGTGTCAGTCTCCGCACCAGAATTCTCCTTGCCATGGATTGGACCAAGAGAGCACTTTTCGGAAGAGGTAAGACAATGATTATGCTCGACTACAAGACCAAATCGCTAACAATAAACAGATCTCATGAACTTCTAGAGCAGACATTAAGACAGCGTCAAGCTCATATAATTGATTACGTATTTAAGATAGCGATTTTTCCTTTCCTCTTTCATGTCCATGTCTCCAGCAAGTGAAGGTGGACTTTCATTCTTCCGACAGGCCAGCTCTCGGTAGTCGGCAAAGGATGGCGCGAGTGAAGCATGGACCCTGCCGAAGCTCCACCACTCCGAGCTCGCCATTACCCGGCAGTATTGCGATAAGGGACAACCTTCCTCTCTGACACAATTCTGGATTGAGCGTCTAATTTCTACACCTGATCATATCGCATGTTCTTCCGTCGTCTTGTCCAACCTCTCCGAACCGTCCACTCACTTGTCACCACCTCTGTGACACGTCCGAACCCGTTCTCGTACCCCGCATCCCACCAACTCCGCACAATGGCATCAGCGATGAGCAAGCGCCTCGAAGGCAAGACTGTCGTAGTCACTGGCGCCTCTTCAGGAATTGGAAAAAGCACAGCTATCGAATTTGCTCGCACCAGCCCTAAAAACCTCAAACTCATCGTTACCGCCCGCCGATTGGAAGTCTTGGAACAATTGAAGGAGGAAATCAAGAAAGAGGTTGGAGATGGTGTCAAAGTTCTGCCCGTCAAGCTGGACGTGAGCAACCCGGAGGAAGTCAGAAACTTTGTCGGAAACTTGCCAGAGGAGTTCAAGGATATCAATGTTCTGGTCAACAATGCGTGAGTATACATGGAAGAGATGGAAGTAGACATGATTATGCTGACACACATGTCTTAGCGGTCTGGTCAAGGGTGTCGCCAAAGCACCTTCAATCGCTGAAGCAGACATCAACGTCATGTTCAAGACAAACGTTACTGGCCTTATCAACATGACTCAAGCTATTCTCCCCATCTTCCAAGCTCGCGGAGAGTCGGGAGCCGGCGACATCATCAACGTCGGCAGTATCGCCGGACGCGAACCTTACCCAGGCGGTAGCATCTACTGTGCCACCAAGGCTGCTGTTCGCTCCTTTACAGACGCCCTCCGCAAGGAACTCATCGCTACCCGTATCCGTGTTATCGAGATTGACCCTGGTCAGGTGGAGACAGAGTTCAGTGTTGTCAGATTCTATGGAGACAAGGCTGCTGCAGACAAGGTTTATGAGGGATGCGAGCCTTTGACACCGGAAGATATTGCTGAGGTTGTTGTGTTCGCTGCTGGCAGACGGGAGAATGTCGTTTTGGCCGACTCGCTGATCTTCCCTAACCATCAGGTGAGTTTTCTCTTTTCAATACTCCTTGCGTTCTGGTTGCTGATTGTTTTTGGAAGGCCGCTGCTACGGTTATGCACAGAAAGAGTTAGATGGAAGAGCTCACATTGTTTTAATGACGTGCTTTTTGGATCTAACGTGGAAAACTTAGGCCGGCGCTGGAGGCAGCAACTCGTACAAGCGTCCTCAACCCAAGATTTAGATATGACAACGAATGGTATGCAGGAGGTCATCCCCCAAGCCAATACTACAGTCTGAGAAGTGTCTTATGCGAGTCACACTACTAATGCCTAGACTTATTCGAGACAAGCTTTATGTGGATTTGGCATGTACTTCCAAATTCTTGACCGGACCTTGTAGTTACCTCCTAAAATGGTTCGCCAACAATACTCCGTCCAGCTCCGTGACAAAAAGGGAAAGATGTCGTGGAAGCGAACCTCGGTCATTTTGAAACACGACAAATTTGCCTTGGCGCGTTTCGAACCTTTTTCTCCACCATTCGAGCCCTCGCTTCATTACAGCCGCGACTCCTCTTTTACACCACATGTCCAACTCATATAAGAAGGTCACGACCGGTCAAATAGCCTATGCAACTATACGGCCGGATACATGCATCTCCTCATCATGATATAGGTTCTTCCACGAGTCAAGAAGACAAAAGCTTTCCTCGGCTGCATTTGCTTGACCAGAACTTGACTCCTGCATGAAGCATTATTGAATTCTAGAAATCTCCTCTTGACGATCAATGCGAAACACGACTTAAGAGGTAGTTAGGGCTTGACGGAGAAATAGGTCTGTGGTCACGATGCCATCGCGTAAAAAGTGCGTATACATGGCTGTAAGTACTCTGTGTTTCTAGACCTCCCCTCTTCGATCTTTTTGACCATTCTCTTCTTGAGCTTCATTACTTATACGCCTGGTTGCGTTCTTCTTCCATTTCTTCATCAGCTCAACATTTCTTCAACGTTCATTCCATTCTCTTCTGTATCTCAATCATGAGGTACTCTCTTACTCTTGCGGCTCTGGCAGCTGCTACTGGAGTCTCATTTGCTCAATCAGCCGTTCCAGCATATGGACAGTGTGGTGGTCAGGGTTATACTGGATCTACTGTCTGTGTTTCTGGTTACCACTGCAGCAAGAACAACGACTACTATTCTCAGTGTGTTGCTGGTGCAGGATCGAGTGGCGTTGCAACCACCATCAAGACTTCGGTCGTTCCATCCTCTTCAAGCACTGTTGTGACTAAGCCACCTGTCACCACTTCCAAGGTCGTCTCTACATCTAAGGTTGCAACCACCACTACTGCAGCTGCAGGCTCCATCGCCACGACCTCGGGAACAAAGTTCATCATTGACGGCAAAGCTGGATACTATGCAGGCACAAACTCTTACTGGATCGGTTTCCTCACCAACAACAACGATATCGATCTTGTTATGCAGCATCTCGCCAGCTCAGGCCTTAAGATCCTTCGTGTCTGGGGTTTCAACGACGTGACTACCACTCCTACTGACGGCACTGTCTACTATCAATCCTTTGCCAATGGAGAACCCACCATCAACACCGGTGCTAATGGATTGCAACGCCTCGATTACGTCGTCAAAAGTGCCGAAGCTCATGGCATCAAGCTGATCATCAACTTTGTCAACAACTGGACCGACTACGGCGGTATGGCAGCCTACTTCTCCTACGCAGGCATCACCTCAAACGCCCAGTGGTACAACAGCACCAAAGCCCAGGCCCAATACCAGAAATACATCAAAGCAGTCGTATCACGCTACAGCAGCAGCACCGCAATCTTCGCATGGGAACTCGCCAACGAGCCCCGCTGTACCGGTTGCGACTTGTCCACTCTCAAGACCTGGGTCGTCAACACATCCAAGTACATCAAGAGTCTTGACTCCAAACACATGGTTACAACCGGTGAAGAGGGCTTCGGCCCCATCCCTGGCGACGACGGAAGCTACCCCTACCAACTCTCCGCCGGCGGAAGCAACTTCACCGCAAACTGCGAAGTACCCACCATCGACTTCTGCACCTACCACTTGTATCCAGAATCCTGGTCCGTCACGCCCACCCAAGCTTGGGGAAACCAGTGGATCAAGGCACATGCTCAGGCCTGCACTGCTGTTGGAAAGCCTTGTCTGCTTGAAGAGTTCGGTGCATCCAACAACTGTGGTATTGAGAGTGATTGGCAGGCTACTGCACTCAAGGCTGCGGGCACTGGAGCGGATCTTTTCTGGCAGTATGGGGATACATTGAGTTATGGACAGACTAGTCAGGATGGCAACACGGCTTTCTATGGTGATGCGTTGTATACTTGTTTGGTTACCAATCATATCAAGGCTATTGATAGTCTTTAGATGTGGTGTGTCGTTGACGAGGAGGTTGAGGTTGAGAAGTCTGGAGGAAAGTCGAGGTTCTGAAATTGAGATATCTTATACTCGTTCACCGTTCAAAGACAGACTCGAAAACCCAAATCAACTTTTCCTCATTCGCATGAGCTTCCTCCATGGGCTCAACTCCCTTTCCGACCAATTCCTCAATCTCGGCAGTCAGTTGCGAGATCTTTCTGTAAGCTTGTAGTTACCTCCTAAAACGGTTCTCTATCTAGCTCCCTGCCTAGTGTTAAAGAAAGATTAACTAGCATCTCGTGTTATTTCTTTATGCGGAATCTCAGTATTCATGCCGCGCTGCAACACATGTAGTAGCATTATTGTCTCGATAGGCTTAGACTTAGACATCGCGTTCGACGTTATCGCGAGAGCGGCGGAGTTATAATTCTAGAGCAGCGATCTGTTTGTCTTTTTCTTCTACGGCCTTCTTGCTTGCTAAAAGGTCTTCCTCTTTAGTTCTACCAGCTATGGTACCACTTGAGTGGCCAGTGTCATCATCATCATTATAATAGCAACAAATCAACCTCCCAAAGGCTTCTCCATCGCAGCCAGTCTGAGGAGCGCGCGTCTAAAAACACCCTTCATGTAGCGATCAACAAAGCGGATGTCGACGTAGGTCATTATGAATGGTGCAACTTCCTCGAAGTCACCATCGCCGTTCAAGCGCTTCGTCAGAGTCAGAACCACCTTTCCAATGTTGTGAGTACCCTCTGCCTGGCGATACACGAAGATAGACTGCTTATCCAAATCGACAATGGCGTAGTCGTCAGTGGATGAAGCGATACTGTCAGCAAACAATCTGCGAGGCTTTCCAGGACGGCCTCCCAACAGAACCTCATCAGTAGAATGGAGCAGGGTGTAAGAGATGTTTCCAAGCCCGATATCATCGGTATCGCCAATCAGCATCCACAGCTCGGGTAGAGTCAGGGTGAAGTCTCTGATGCCATGCAGCACAGCCTTCTCGTACGCAGCAAACCAGGCAAAATAAGCTCTGACGAATAGATGTTGAGCACAGAGCTCATACTGCGAAACCTTGGACTTCCAAAGATCGAAGACGTCGGCGGAGCCACTCCAATAAAGCTCGAGAGAGTTGGCGGCCCTGTGAATGAGCTCAATGACGCGAGCCACCACCAACATCTTGTGCTCAGAGTCGATCTGCTCCGACGACTCCAAGTAAAACTGGAGAGAAGATGCCAGCTGTAAGATGTTTTCACTCCTGCATGCTTCAATCAGCTGCAGCATGGTCTCAATGAGGATGAAGATCTTGGGGCCCTCTTTTCTGAGCGAGCTCATCATGAAGCAAAGGCGTACGGTCAGTTGAGAAAACGTTTGACCGAGGAAGGGGCGAGTCTCCGATTCTGAAGCCATGGACAAGGTCCAAGACCATGCTTTCTTTGTGACTGCCCATCTGTAGCGAGTCGGGAAGGTCTTGTGTAACGAATCGAATTCCGTCTCGACTCCAGCGAGATGTTCAAAGGCCTGATTATCGACATCTTGCGAGTATTCGAATGCGAGCTGTCGCAAGTGGCTCAATGTGACCTTCAGGCGTGTCTCGAGCACTTCTTTGGCCGAGGTGACATCTTTGAGCTTGTCTCTGAGAGTCCGCATGTCCTCTTCGAGACCACGCTGAGTGATATTCTGTGTCTCATACTGACGCTTCAGTGTTGCGTGGGCCTGCTGACTCTGTCTCAACTCTTTCTGAATATTGTCAAGCTCATCCGATTTCTTTCTGGGCGAGTTATCGCAGGCTTGCAGATCCTCGCTGGGCTTGGCCTCAACTTGCGTGTGTTGATAAGCTTCGCCTTCAAGCTCCTCTATCTTGTCGTCCTTGTCTTTGATCTCGATCTTCTTGAGCTCTAGCTCTTTCAAGAATCCATGAGTCAGCTCATTGGTATCGTGCGCTTGCTTCTTTCTCAAGGTCTCAAGGTCGGCTTGAATGGCGTGCTGCTGATCTCTTGCGGTACGATCAGTGGTGGCCTCTGCTTCACGTAGTTGATGGTGCGAGTTGTCCATGACTGTGATGTTGTTTGTGATTGCTGTAGCACCGCAACAATGGAGGCAAGTCCGGTAATAATTCAGAAAGAGTGATCAGACGTCGGGGAAGGTGGAGATACACACTCTCCGAGCATGAATACAATGGCGTCGCGACTGCCACAATGCACGAAGCTTACTTAACCGGCTTCTGGCTGATGGCCACGGTACAATCTAAAGAATCCTTAATGATCCATTGGAAGGAGCCACCGATATCTAGATGTCATATTCTATCCTTGATTACGAGCAAAGCACATGGCCGTGAATTTGCAAGAAGGCTTTCTTTATCTTTTGGCGCTGATCCATAAGCTCAGTGCCTGGTTGTCGAAGCAATCCGCCCTTTGCATTGATAACGGATGGCGTGGCTTTGTCTGTCAGAATGGAGTGGGAACGAACGAGGAAATGTGCATTCGGGAGGAAAGAGCGAGAGAGGTTGTCGATCTAGCTATACCAGAAGCGGTCTAGTTCGGAAGATGAGATTGATAAGATTAGCAATCATCGGCCCGCAGCTACTCCTTCTCTGCAAACACCTCTACACACCGTTATTCATCAGCACCTCTCCCTGTCTGCTGTGGTGGATCATCAACATATCTCCGAGCTTTTGTTTTGTAGTCAAAGAGGTATTCTGCACCATGACTCAACTTTATCCATGGGATGATCCGTCAGATTAGGCTACAAACAATGTTTTCCAGGATCTTCATCAAACTAAAGATCCAAGCAGATGCGGGTTCCCTACCACGGCAACTTGCATACACTCGTTTGCCATGAAAACTATGTTACACCCCATCCCAAAGCATCTGCATTCTCATGGAGTCTCTGATTATTATTGAACTCTCGTCAGCCAACTTCAATCAGTGCAATCATTTCGTGCCTCTTCACAATGGTTGGTCCGCACTACATCAGTCAAGAGATGGCAAGCATGGCGGAGCATTTCAAGACAGGTGGTCTGGGTCGACTGGCTGTCAAGATTACTGAGCTTGACCAAAAATATGCTCCTTACTCCAACATCTCTGCGACTCCGCCAACCACCTTGAGCAATGCTGGGATGGTGTGTCTGGCACAGGTTTCGCCTGAACTAATGATAAGCCTGCTCGACAATACTCTGGTCCAGAAGTGGAAGACTGGAGCGATTGTCATCAATGACTGGCATCGTATTCCCCGAGCTGTGCGTGGAGAGAACGAGCCTGCTATCTATGTCAACTACTTTGCTGCAGCCGACGGTACTGGCCTCTCGATTGCAGAATACCAGGTATATCTCGAAGCAATGTCTGCTGCCATGCTTGGAAAGAACGCTATGGTCGGCGGCAAGAAGCGCGACATTATCAGGAAGATCGACGTCTATTACAAGAAGCGCACCGGAGAGCAAACCCCTTTCTCCAGACTTCTTCTGAACGCTCATCTGGATCACTTTGAATTCATGCGATACCAAAACAAAGTCATTAACGCTGCGACCAAGGCTGGTGCTCTCGAGATACGCTTCCCGGGTGAGGTTCGCTGGAGCTTTGATGTCGACCAGTGCATCAAGAAACACCAGAAACTCCAAGGCAACGAACTGCTGCTTCGCCTCACGATGTGTGTTGTCGGCGTACTTTGGCCTGACAAGGGGTTCGAGCTGTCCTCCTTCGCCTTGTTTCGTGTGATCAGTTGGGCTCAGGTCCACATGGTAAGTCAGATCCCGCAGTGCGCTCCTCAACGAGAATCGCCAATCTTTTGGCCATCAACAGGCACGAGGCGTTGAATTCAGGAGCTGTCCGTCGAGAGCCTTCAATTCTCATACTTTTAGTGGATGCATGGCTGCCTCGAAGAAGCATTGTGGCTCTCAATATACATGATTTGGTGCTCCAAGGACACAGGAGATACCTTGATGCTGCTGGTCTCTCTCACTACCCTGCTGACTATCTCCAGTTCGAGTCTATAGGATCTCACCTTATCAACAGCTACGCTGGCTACGGCGGATTCAACTTCAGCACATCCGGTGTCACCATTTCTTCCGCAGCTAGAGCTAGTCCAGCCACTTGGGAGCACATCGCCAACCAGTACCACCAAGTTCTTGTTTATTCAACCATCGCGAGCGAACAACACGGTCTGGAACTGCAGAAAGAGCTGCTCAGTATGGAAGGCGCTACGTTTGCGGCAAAGGCTCATATCAAGACTCAGCAGTTGGCCACGAGCTTGAAGTTGGTCTTGGACCAATTCGACGGAAGCGGTGAAGCTCTGTTGGACCGTACGACGCTCGAAGGTATAGCTCAGTCTCTCGTCCTCCTTTTTGACACGCCAGACGCCATGACAAAGAAGTGTTACGACGAGCTTGTTGGATTGAAAAGGCGACTGGGATCGATGGCAAAGGCTGCTACAGAGAGATCGCCTGGAGCTTGAGAATGAGAATCTCACTCATCTTTTGAGGCCTTCTCGAATACGTATGGCATCATGTCTCTCTATTCATCAAGAGGATTTAGATTTTGTACAATCCTTTTACAACCTCGAAACACTCCCGCACTTACGTAATACGTATGCAACGAGAACACTTCTCTGTTTGCTTGCTGTGTCTGAAGCACAGTGCGCTTGTTAATATCGGTCTGCCATGTCAATACGCCGATGGATAATGAGAAGAAGCGATCACTCGGTACTGTATGGATCGAGCATGTTGGCAACAGCTTGCAGATCCGGCGCTTGGCACCGTTGGCAACGTGGTGTCGACCCTGTCCAGGAAGCCACAACCATTTTCCCTTGCTGTATCCTCGTCGACTTCTTTTGTCGGGACGTCGCAATAGAATTTTGATCAGCGGAACAGTATCTCCGAATTGTATCTGTTGAGATGCTGGACGATGCCTTAGCCGCTAAGTTTGCTGACCGATGTGACAATGCCACGGTCACGAGCAACGATTCTCAGAGCAAGTATGAGAAAATTTCATTGATTACCTTCTGCCTAACAAAGCCTCTCCTATCTTGAGTCGCTGCAACCTTTCCCAGATATCGAGATCACTCAAATAGCTAGAGCTTCTGCTACACAGACCCAAGGCATCTTCCAACACTTTATCGGCAAATATCCACTGCCCTTGAAGACCCCGTGATGTCCGCAGAAGCAACTGTGTCGTCCGACGATGCGTTCCCAGCGACTCCCGAAGCAACTTCCGCAGAAGCAGGTCTTTTCAGCAGACTGCCAGTTGATTTGCTCGCCAACATCGCTCAACATCTTTCGCCCAACAGCGCAGCCTCTATCGCGCTCACATGCCGGGACCTGTACTCGGACAAACACCTGCGACGAAAGTGGTATCCCGCTTTGTGTGTTGGCAAGACACCCAGCGATAGCGCAGTCGGCTGGATTCAAGCTAGAGTGAAACGCGTTGGCTTTTTGAAACTGTTATGGAGAGACCTACCGGATCATATACTGTGCGGCTGGTGTCGTACGCTTCACTCGAAGGACGAGAACGCTTACGAATGGCCAAATCGCGGTAAATGCCCGAAAGCACAAGAATACCAAGAGCTCGGTTTGGCAATTGTCCCGGGAAGACACTTGCCGCCCTGGTACTTAGAGATGATCATGGATTGCGATGGAGAGGAGGCTTCTCATGGCGGGAACCTGGAACCGATCACGCTGGATACAGATTGGAAACTTTGCCACGACCTCCCATCTTGTGCTAATGCTTGGCTGTCGAAGTCCAGCATCGAACCGAGAGTCGTTAAAGATAGTTTGATGATACATGCCTGTCAACGCCTTCTATTCACCTCAAGATATGTCTCTCGCTTGGAGTGTGTGGCTCAAATTGGTTTGGTCATTGACCAGCGCCCAGACACCGAACTATACATCTGTGAACACGCCTCAAGTCACCGTCTTGTAACCGTGTTGGAGATGATCGCCGAATTCGAGCTCTCACCAGACCAGGAACCCGTTCAGAGATCCTTTGTGACGGATTGCGACGACTGTGAGGGGGTCGAGTTGATATGGACAGTGTGCAGACACTCAAATGGAGCCCTGGAGATCATTCTGGACACTTGGCGCAACTTGGGTTATTGTTCAGCGAGCACACTGTGGGAAGAATTCCGTGGTGAAGTTGATATGGCTTACTTGAGATTTGTGCAGGCCTTTGGTTCACGAAGGCTGTGCGACCTCGGTCTCGTCAGCGAGAATACAACCGGCTGGGTTTGCGGAAGCAGTGTGAGTGATCTGTCGACCGTTTCACTACTCACAGCAAGTTAGGTGCTCCCATAAGCCATCAGACATGTTGTATTATCAGAACCATCAGGCCATCTGATCTCGGTGTATTCGCAAAGGCATAGACGCACATCATCGAAAGAAGAGAGCGAGCAGAACTCATATTTAATAGAAGGTTCTAAACATACTGTGCTTTACCATCACGATCTGACCATGAGAGTTCGTCCATGTTGAAAACCTCGATTGTTGAAGTTTTGGAGGTTTGTCAAACGTATCTACCGCCCTCTTTCGCTTTGCTTTGCACTGAACCAAGATCTTGCCCACCTCTCGCTCTTATCATTCCACCATCTCGAACTCTCACCTTGCGTTACACTTACACCCACACCCACCATGTCGGTCACCAACGACGACGTGGTCATGGAAGGCTCACACGACAACGCTGACGAGACCCCTGAACCTCAAACGATCGCAAACAACACGATAACTCCTGAACAGTAAGTCAAAATCTTCGCATCAACCAAACACAAATCTGACGATCCCAGACTCCACGAGATCAAGAAGGCCAGCAAAAATAAGGACAAACAAATCGCAAGCCTCAAACTCCAACTACGCAATTCCCGCAACAACGTCGAACACCAAATCAAAGAGCACAGAGAAGCAACACACGCACACTTCCAATCAGTCAAAGAGGAACTAGATGACGAAATCGAAAACCTCATGGCGGAAAACGAGCTACTGTCCCGATTATTGGAGGACAAGCGCGAAGATTTCAACGACAAGTATGAAAAGCTTTTGCTGGTCAGCCGAGCACATGCGAGATGCGTCGGAACAAGATATCAGCTCGTACAGGCATGTGATATGCAGGAAGAAACTATCTCGAGACAGTCTAATCAGTTGATGCAAAGACGTCTTGAGTGTGAAGCAAAGGACAGAAAGATCTTGCAACTCACTGCCGAGATTGAGGAATTGGTCAGCCATGCAAATGAGGAAAAGTTCGAGGAAGCCCATGAGAAGTAAGCTGAGCGCCAGGTTGATATTCAACATGAAAACCCTTTGGCCAGAGAGGAGAGAGGATATGAAGACTACAACCAGCCCATCTCTACGTCAAGCGCTCTTTTCATCTTTACAAGTTTACAACCTAGACACCGATCCACAGAATGATGGGCAAGAGCCGACCACCCCCCTCCTCCCTTACTTTCCTCCTATCATTCCCTTCCCATCTCCAACTCAACCAACCAACCTCTTCCAAACCACCCTCCCAGCAAACCTCACAACCGTCTCCACACGCCAAACCATACCCCAAACCTTCTGCACCCACCCCACCGCCGCAACAAAACTCGCCGCTTTCAACTCCCCCTGCGCCCACTCGACCCCCGACATCCTGACCATTTTCCTCTGCGCCCATACCTGCAACACCGATACCACTAGATATGGTATCTCCTTGATTGCGATCTCGATCCAGTCAATGCTGTTTCCAGCGCTGATTGAGCATTTCGCCCATGCAAGGATACTGGTAGTTGGAAGTATGCAGGCGCAGGAGATTGCTCGGAGGAAGTAGAGGAGGAGGATCAAGATGGAGAGGACGGTGCGTAGTTTATTGCACCAGATATTTAGGTTTTGGGAGGTGAAGAGGGTAGGGCGGAAGAGGGGGGATGAGCAGACTGGGCAGCTGTGCTTGGACTTGTGGGTGGTAAAGTAGGAGTCCAGGCAGGGGAAGCAGAAGGTGTGGTTGCAGTGGAGTGTGAGGGAGGGTGAAGACCAGCAGATTAGGCATTCGGTTTCTGGTCGTTCGTTGTCTTCGGTGAGTGTCGGATTGTCTGCAGGTGTTTTGGTGGTCGTTGATGTTTCTTTGGTTTCTAGTATGGCGTTTGAGATCTCTGTGCTCTCTCCAATAGTATTCGGTACTTCTTTTCCAGCAGTACTATCTTTATGCAGCTTTTCAAGAAACCTCTCCCGACTAGGCAGATCCTTCTCTTTTCTCTTCTGCTCTATACTCTCCATCTCCGGCGGCAGAGGAAAGTAATGTCGCCAGAGGACCAGAGATAGAAAAATAGAGACTCCATGAACCGGATAGTTCAAAGCCGCCAATGGTAATGAAAAAGTGATTGCAACGAGCAAAGTTTGTGTAAGCCTCGACATGGCTTGCAGCAGTATCTCGGTTCTTATTTCACGGTTTTTCTGAGTGGTGTGTATAGAAGAAGAGGTGAATATCCAAAGATAGAAGTAGGAGGATGTTTAAAAGTGGGGCTTCGGGCACATCCGGGAATAAGGCCGTAGTGATACCCACGACTCATGGACTACGATGTCAATATCATCTGAGCAGATCCATCTGATATCGGATACCAGATCCATCATGTGCAATTCTTAAAGGAAGCAGACATAGACATTTGCTGGTAGCTGTGCAAATTCGATACAAAGATATATGCTCCATGATCCCTCATGTCCTTCCCCAATCAACTCCATGGTACCCATTTACAGTACATCCTCTCAAACCAATGCCTTCAATGCAAATCCAAAAAGACTATCCATACTGACCCAACCCCACCCACTCTTGTCCAGATATCCTTCTACAACTCCCCTCAACACTCCAAACTTGCCCCTGTTCATCTCAGCCAAGACACCCACTCTTTCTCCTTCTTCACTCTTCTTCTTCTCCGCCTCTTTGGCACTCTTCTCAACATCAAAGCATCGGCCCAAAAACATCAATTGGTTGTACAATTGCTTTTCTGAATACTCGAGTTGCATTTTGCCGTTGCAACCAAAGGCCAGGCCGCGGGGGCCGAGACAGCGGTGGCCGTAGACGCTCATTTGACGTGTACGATTGCCGCAGGTGGCTTCATCGCAGACGAGAGTGGCCGCGTAGTACTGGGCTGTGTGTGCGCGGATTTGTGACTCGAGCTGAGCGGCGAGTGCGAGTTGAGGAATCACAGCACCACAACAATCAGCAGGACAGTGGATACCATCGTTTTCCACCTTTGCTGTTCTGGTTTCAGCATCTGGAGTAGCGTTGACACCCAAGCCGCGGAATTGGAAGGGTGTGCGGCAGGAGAGGCACATAAGGCCCAGAGGTTGGCAATCCTTGTAGCGGATCTCATCGGGAACCTGTGATTCCAGGGGGTGTATTTCTGTTTCGGCGTTGTAGTTGTTTCCGCCGCTGGCACTGCTGACGCGGTATTTACTGGTATCCAGACCGAGACATTCAGCCAACAAGCTGACATTCGTGCCTTCGATGGGTGCGCAGAGACGCTCAACAGGCGGCAGGATTTGCTTGTGAAGGTAGTAGTCGATATCAGGCTTGAGCTCATTCTCAGCACGAAGGACTTCATCAACAGGGAAAGCATTCTTTGCTGCCTTCTCTGCACTGCCAGAAGAGTCATTGCAAATGATGTAGGACATGACGTCCTTGGCCTTGACATGCTTGCCCTTTGCCATCAACTTCAATGCGACCTGAACAGAAGGCATGCTGTTTCCGTTGGGATACTCCTTGGGATTCTTTCCGAGTTGTGTGTAGATGGTGTACTTGCGAAGAGGGATAGTGTTGGCGCGCATCTGAGAAGCGACCTCCCTGAGATGATCGTGAATTTGAGAAACCACAGTTTCCGGGTCTTCTCCTGATAAAAGGAAGTTCAACAGCTCAGTCGAGGTATCCTTACTCAATGCACAGTATTCTCTTCTGCGCATATCAAGACCCTTGACTTCGAGCTTGTCTATCCATTTGCCGTCCTTCTCGATCATGTTGACAGCAGCATACTTCTTCTTTGCGTGCAAGAGCAGACGTCTGAAGATGTTGTCGATATCAATCTCGAGAAGTTCATATCTTTCGTTGACACTCTTCTTGAAATCATTACCAATCTTCATGGCATCCATGATGTTGTCGACATTGGTGTTGACCATGACTGAATCAGTGTCACCATAGATGACTCTCAAACCATGAGCAGATTCAGCCAGATCCTTGGTGGATTGCAAAATCTCACGACCCTTGTAAGTGGTGAGCATAGCAAGAGGTCGAGCGTAAAAGCGTGATTTCGTGTAACCCAAACAACCGTACATAGAGTTGGCAGTCAGCTTCAAAGCCATCTGCTTGATCTCCCATGTTGCGATTTGATCAGAGGTGGCACTCTTATCCTTCATGAGTTTCTTGACTTCGCGACGACGATGGACAAGTGTTCGAATCAGTCGAGGAAGGATACCCTTGTTATTAGTATCGGCTGGGACTTCAGGAACCTTTTCTTCATCCTCATTCTGGAAATGTGTTAGCTGTGTTTGAGGATCAAGTCTTGAATGACTTACTGTTTCCGATCTCTCAACCGTAGTGAAACAAATGTTGTACTCCTGGATGATACTGGGGTAAAGAGAGTTGAAGTCCATGACAAGAATGAACTTGTCGTATAAACCTTTCTCGGGCTCGAAGACGAGACCACCCTTGAACTTGTCCTTCTTTTTTGCATCTGCTCCTTCATCTCCTTCTGGGTTATCTTCATCAGACTTGGCTTTACCCTTACCCCAGATCTTGTCGGGACAGATGTATTTGTTCTTGTGGAACTCATGAAGCAAAATGTACTCGTTACGCTCAGCACGAGTACCGCTCAATGTTCTGGCCCAAGAGTTACCAGCCAAATTGGTGAGAACTTTGGTGAGTGGAAGCATCTGAACCTTGAGAGCGATTGCAGCAATGAAGAATGTGTCCGCCTCGGTGAGCTTGATGTATTGCATCAGACCAGCTCTGTTGGTAGCCATCTTGAGCAAAACATCGTTGTCGATATCACGACGTTTGTTCTCTCCACCGAGGACAAGATCACACATTTCGTCGAGACTCCAAGACTGACACTTGGTCATCAAAGACTTGCCCATGTCATTGCCTAGATCACAAAGCAATCTTCCAGCAGCAAGTTGTCTCTCAACAAAGAAACTGCCACCACCCTTGCCAATGTTCTTGGGCCATTCATGACGCTTCAGTCTTCCGATACGATGCCATCCAGGAGTCCTGCATTCTCTCATTCTGCTGAGAAGGAGGGTGTAGTCAACATCATCAAGTCTGTGACCAATCAAGACATCGGGATCGTTACGGTCCAACAAAGCCAAGAACTTGCTGAGAACTGCACCTTCACTTTTCTCCATCTGGACATTACCGCGATACTTTTCAGCATCAGTCTTGAATCCTACTGGGTAATCTGGGCCGTTCGGACGCATGACAGTGAAGGTCTTGCAAGGGAGTTTCTCAGGTGCTGTAGTGTCGGATAATGACATGCTGTCATAGATACGAGCACTTGCAAGCAGAATTTCTTGCTTGTTGTCTTTCTCGTTCAACTTTGTCCGGAGCGCAATGCTCATCAGAGTCAACGGAGGAGCGTCAAGGTTGTCGGTGTCCCCAAGAGTAGACATGCCTTGAGGTTTGTCAACCAGCATTTCCAGCTTACACCAAGAGGCATTCTTGACAGCATTAAAGTTGATACTGCTTCCATCAATTTTCAGCCAGCAAGGACCCATGATATTCTTCCAGAGAACGAATTGTTCAAAAAGTGCAGTGTTGGTACCAAAGACGTGCGAGAAAGTCTCTCCTTGTAGATCCGTTGGCAAGGCCTGCTTGTCGTATGGGTAAAGGAGTTTCAGATAGTCTGCCTCCTTCGGTATATCGGGCAACTCGAAGGCGTACTTTCTCGAGCAAGGCTTGATCTTGTGCATGTTGACCTTGAATCTGGACATAAGACCATCAACTTCTTGGTAGACGTCGCCCATCTCAACTTCCTCATCCGTCTCACGGCCCTGCTTTCGGCGATGTTCACGAGGAAGGAAAAATAGCTTGCGCATGATGTTATCGACCTTGACGAAGGCACTGACAAAACGACCAGTTGACTTGTCCTTGACTTTGCCGAACAGACAAAGACTGCCATTGATCTCGGTGTAGTCGAACCAGAAGAAGCGCACGCTCCCGTCCTCCTCTTGAGCGTGTTGAGGATCCAATTTTCCGAAAGTGACAGATTCAACACCAGAACTGCTCAAGACATTCAACTTGTCGGTGACATTCGTCAATGCTGATGTGTCGATGACTTCAGGTGCTTGCCGTGAAGGAGATGAGCTCGCTGGTGTCGGGTAGTCTGTCTTAATAATCTTGGGGATGGGTCGGTTTCCACGCATGTTGATTGCGGTAGTGCTGCGAGATGATTGATTTGTGACTTGGGCAACCTCGAGCATATCTTCATCCTCATCTTCCTCGACCTTGACATTCGACTCTTTTCTTTGTGCAGCCTTTGCAACAGGTGATGAAGGGAGAGGGTCGCTCATTGGTACATCATTGTCTTCGGGTGGAGGAAAGAGACCTTCGTCCATGGGGAAATATGTGTCGTCGTCGACAGGTGCTGGCGGAGAGTCGACTGTTTGATTTCTCGCTTGATATTTGGGAATGTGGCTCATCTGCTCGACAGGCGGTGATAGGACTCTGGTCTTGCGGCGGGTCTCGGACTTGACTGGGTTCATGCTCGATCTAGGCTTGTATGAGGGGATGTTGGCATTGACCTCACCGAGAAGGTCGGCCATGAAAGCGGCATCTTCAGCAGTTGAAGCCTGCTTGGGCTTGGGCGCGACGACGGTGGGGTTTGCGTTGAAGTACTTTGAAATGCCTTTGTTGATCTTCTCCTTCTTTTGAGCGTCTTCCTCGCGCTTGCGTTTTGCTTTGCATGTCAGTGGATTGATTGGAAGTAAAGAAGTGAGCAATGTCAAGTACCAGCCTTGCCTCTCGCAGGCAGGTCATCATCACTCTCATCATCATAATCTTGTCGTTGCTCGTTCTGCCAATCCTCGCGACCGTCGTCTGCGTAACCTTCACCATTGTCGTCGACTACAAAGTCATCCTGGTCGAGTCTCTTTCTGACAATCTTCTTGTAACTATCCTCGTCGACGGTTTCGTAGAGTTGTTCCTCGTCCTGGACTTCGTATGAGGAGAAAGCAGTTTTGCCAGCCTTTCTCGCAGCACGGAGTTCGGCCAATCGATCCGCTCTGCTTGGAGGCATGATGTGATGTTTTATTATGTATATGTGTTGTAAGGGATTGGGAAATATGAAATGTTGGTATGAGGGTAATCAGGGCGTGGTGATTGATTCTTGTTGCACGCGTCGCGCGTTGTCGTGTCCGTGTCGTGCCCGTGGCCCGCATCAATCAATCTAACCCGAAAGAGCATTGACCCTAGCAACTCACCGAAGGACCCCCACGTCACCATCCATAGCTTCCTGAACTTTTTCAATTCACCTTCTCTAAATATATTTTGCATGTTGCGACTATTCACTCGTCGTGTATCAATCGTCAGGACCTCCTTCTCTATCGTCAACACTCCTCGCACCGCCCTCCCATCACCAACCTCCCAGCTCCGTCAATTCTCCGCCACCATGCCCGAGTCTCGTTCAAAGCACCCCCTCGTCTGGATCGACTGCGAAATGACAGGCCTCGACCTCTCAAGAGACACAGTCATGTCCCTCTGCTGCTTCATCACCGACGCCCAACTAAACATCCTCGACGACCAAGGCTACGAAGCAGTCATTCATCACTCCAAAGAACAACTCGACGCAATGGGCGAATGGTGCACAAATCAACACGGCAAAACCGGTCTCACAGCACAATGTCTTGAATCCGAAAAGACTGCAGAAACAGTGGCTACAGAGCTACTCGAGTATATTCAGAAATACTGTCCGGAGAGGAAGAAGGCCCTGCTGGCTGGAAATACTGTGCATGCCGATAGAGCTTTTTTGGTTCAGCAACCGTATACACCGGTCATGAAGTGGTTGCATCATCGTATCTTGGATGTGTCTGCTATCAAGGAAGCCGCCAAGAGATGGGCTCCTGTAGAGGTCATCAAGAAGAGTCCAGGAAAGGCTGGCAAGCATGAAGCTAGAGCTGATATTCTTGAAAGTATCGCCGAAGCAAGATACTACCAAAAGGCCTTTTTCCAGAACGGCACTGTGCCAAAGGAAGAGCCCGAGGCTGAGGCCGACACTGCCGAGGTCGATGGTGATGCTCATGGCTCAATCATTGGTGACAAGGATGTCAAGCCTCGCGAGATCACACAAGAAGTTGGTGCTGGAAAGTCCCAAACTACAGTACAGAGTCTTGAAGCAGAGGGTTTCGGTGCCACATCTGGACAGCAAGATCTTGACAGAAATGGAGGTAACCGCGATTTGGCCTCGTAGATCTATAGCTTCCAATTGATCATTGATGGTAAGTGTTGCGAACTTCAGCCAACGTCTTTGCATAGGAAACTCCCATGACGCTCAGTAAATTACACCTCTTACAACACCAGCACATCAAGCAATGAACAAAAATAAAGTTTAACTTGTTTTTCTTTTCGTGTTATGTACGCTCTGTTTCTGTTCTGTACATGCAAAAGTCGTTATATTAAAATGCCACATCTCATAAATGCGAGATGTTTAAGTCTTGACATCAGGCTCGGTACGGCCAATGAACTCCTGCAACTTGAGGAGGTCGGTGGCGAGCTTGACATTGTCCTTGAGGTAGTCCTGTGCGTCCATCTCGTATGTCTTCTCTTCGGCATCGTGCTTCTCAACATACAGACGGATGGTGGCACCGCTAGAGCCAGTACCCGACAGACGGACAACAATTCTGCTGCCATCGTCGAACTTGACGTAGATACCCTGGTTCTTGCTGACACTGCCGTCAAGGTCGGTGTAACTGAAGTCGTCGGCCTCGATGACCTTGCGGCCGGAGATGGTGGAACCGACAAACTCGCTCTTCTTGGTGGTGATGAGCTCCTTCATGTGAGCAGTCATCTTCTCGGCACCCTCGGACTCACAGCCCTCGTAGTCGTAACGGGTGAAGAAAGTGCGACCGTAGATCTTCCAGAAGTCTTGCTGGATAGACTTGATGCTGGGAGTCTCACCCTTCTGCTGACCAACACCAGCAATGATGTTGAGCCAGGCAACAACAGCCCAGAGACCATCCTTCTCACGGACGTGGTTGGAACCAGTACCGAATGACTCCTCACCACAGATGTTCATCTTGTCAGCATCGAAGAGACCGCAGAAGAACTTCCAGCCAGTGGGAACCTCGTACGACTCGAGACCCTTCTTCTTGGCGACAAGGTCGATGGCACCGGAGGTGGGCATGGAACGGGCAAGGCCGTAGACACCCTGCTTCTTGAAGTAAGGAATGAGCTCGGCGTGGTGAGCAATAATAGCGAGCGAGTCACCGGGAGAGACAAAGGCGCCCTTTCCGTAGATCATGTTGCGGTCACCGTCACCGTCAGAGGCGGCACCGAAGTGAATGTTGTTCTTCTCGACGGCATCAACCAAGCTGGCAGCGTAGACGAGGTTGGGGTCGGGGTGGTGACCGCCAAAGTCGGGCTTGGGAACGCAGTTCTGGGTAGAACCCTTCTGGCCAAGCTCCTTCTCGAAGACGTCGATACCGTAGTTTCCAGTAACACCGCTAAGACCGTCGAAGAGAATCTTGAAGTCGGGGTGCTCCTTGAGGAAAGACTTGATCAGGTCAAAGTCGAAAATGTCCTTGAGCATCTTGACGTAGTCCTCGGTGGAGTGGATAATCTCAACCTCGAGATCACCGTAGGTCTTGCTGCCAATGGTGGCAAGGTCAACATCGGGAATGTCGGAGATCTTGTACTCGGTGAGGGTCTTTGAGGTCTCGAAAATCTTGTTGGTGACGCTCTCAGGTGCAGGGGCACCGTTGGCGAGGTTGTACTTGATACCGAAATCCTCCTCGGGACCTGCGAAGAGTGTTAGTCGACGTGTCTTGATCAATTGGCTCATTCCAACACTCACCACCAGGGTTGTGAGAAGCGGTCAGCAAGATACCACCAGTGGCCTTGCGAATGCGGATGACGTGAGAGGCAGCAGGGGTACTGAGGATACCATCCTGGCCAATGATGAGCTTCTTGACACCGTATGCGGCACCAATCTTTGCAATGGTCTGGGTGACCTCGGGGTTCCAGTAACGACCGTCACCACCGATGACGAGGGTAGAGTCCTTGACACCCTCGGGGATGGAGAGGAGAATGCTAGTAACGAAGGACTCCGAGTAGTGCTCCTTCTGGAAGACCTTGACCTTCTTACGAAGACCAGAACTGGTGAGAAAGTCAGCAGATGGACACAAACAACAGAAGTGGGTCGCCTTGCGGAGCTGGCACCAAGCTTCAGGAGAGGGAAGTCAACTCACGTTCCGGGCTTCTGGTCTTGGAATGGCTTCAGGGAAACAGTCTTGACGCTCATGATGTGTATATGTGAGTGCTTGTCAAGAAGGAAAGTTGGGAGATTCAGGGAAACAAGACAGAAATAGTTCAGGCTGGATTGACCGAGGAGTACCTCAGCTTTACGTAGTGGGGTCTGCCCGAAGGCGGTGACGATGGAAGCGTTGAGAACTGAGCCGCCCAAGCTTCCATTTGTGGGGTGTCAATTGAGTCCAAAACTACAGACCACTGAACGCCACATGCCAAACCAATGAACTGTCGTTCAAATCTAGAAGAATCTTGATCGACTTTTGCAGCTGCTCTTTTCCCAACACCTACATGATCATCCACATCCAGAGCTGACCTGATGGATCATCGCGAAAAGTTGGCCTGGCGTCATTCCCGTTTCGACATGTCTCATCCTCCAATTTTAATGCTTGGATGCTCTATTTCGAGTTGCGAGATATCCACATCACTTTCACCATGATTAGATCTGAGTAGTGGTCTTTTCGAACTCCGCTCACTACCTTGATCACACGTTGAATAAAGATACAAGATCAAAATGTGAGCAGGGTGTTACGACCTGCAGCATCCAATGCCACCTGAAACATTGATTTCATTTTTCCTTCATTAGTTCTTCCTCATGCCTGAATATCGAAACTGGATCCACAACCGCAACTGCTGGTAGCACCCGGAATGCCCGTCACCTTGAACTGACTGCCAATCAACTCCATGGTATAGTCAATCTTGCTGCCACTGAGAAGCTCAAGACTGGGCTCGTCGATGACTACCCTGGCTCCCTTGCCGTCTTCTGACTCGAATACAGTATCTTCTTCCTTGGATATCTCTTCTAGCGTTGTCGTGGACATGAGGTATTGGAAGCCGTGACAGCCACCTGATTCTACTGCGACTCGTAGGCAGAGTGAAGGGTTGTTCTCTTTCGTGGAGATGGCGTGTAGCCGCTGTATATTACTGTCAGCATGCTGTATTGTCGAACATAATAGCGTGTATATTTACATTGACAGCGCGAGGCAAGATGTCAATCACCATGTCCTCGCCGTTCTCGTTCTTTCGCGGGTTGATTATAGCCTTGGTCGCAAGTTGACTTGATGCACTGAATGCTCGAGCGTTCGGTGACAGGAGGATATCTTTCTTGGAGAAAGGCGCAAATCGAGGAACGGAGACTGATCGTGGCGATAGTTGTGACGGGCGGGTGGACAGCGATAGTTGGCGGCGAGGGTAGAATATGCGCGCATCTCTAGACGCTTGATTGAATGCGCTGCGACAGCATCGTAGCAAAGAATCTCTTCCTGAAAGCGCCATGGTTGTGTTGTGAGTCGTAGGTAGGTATGCAAATGTTAAACAGTCACTACAGCGAAAGGCGGCGGCGAGAGTTATGTCAGCAAAACGCCGTCAAACTCCGGAGACTTGTCGCGCGGTGAATCTAATCTTATCTTTGATCCCTCGTGCTCCAAGCCTCCAGGTAGCCTCGGCCGACTCGTACGAATACGGCCGAGGCAACGTGGTGTACGGAACAACGGCACTATCTGACAACAACCTCATGTCCTCCTGGAACCGAATTCTTCGTTCTGAAAGCAAGTCGTGACTTCCTTACCATGTTACCTGATGACCAAAACCAGTCTCCGGCACTTCCGCGAATTTTGATTGTTGGCGCCGGTTCTCGTGGCAATGCTTATGCTCGAGCTGTGTCAGAGTCCGGCCAAGGCATTGTAGTCGCCATCGCAGAACCTATAGCATTCAAACGCAATCTACTAGGATCCAAGTATATCTGGGGCTCAAAGAACAGCCCATCGGATGGGCAAGAATTCGAAGACTGGAGAGCCTTTTTGCAATGGGAAACTAATCGCCGAACTGATGCTGCTGCCGGCCGCCAAGTCCCTCCAGGTATTGATGGCATCTTCATCTGCATACTCGATGAGCAGCATGCCGAAGTCATTACAGCCTTGGGTCATTTGGCAATCCATACACTCTGTGAAAAGCCGCTCGCAACGACACTGAAGGATTGTTTGGCCATATCATCAGCCATGTCTTCTCAACAAGGAGGTCAGTCAGCCATATTCGGTATCGGACATGTCCTTCGCTACAGTCCGCACAACATGTTGTTACGAAAACTGGTTCTTGAGGATCAAATCATCGGTCCTATACTGTCCATGGAGCATACTGAACCAGTTGGTAATTGGCACTTTTCACACAGTTATGTCAGGTACGTTCAACACGATGATCTCAAGATGTCTCTTTGTTGATCTCAGCATCAGGGGCAACTGGAGAAAGGAGTCCACTACAGCCCCATCGTTACTAACGAAATCATGCCACGACATTGACTTCTTATTGTGGATGCTGTGTTCGCCCCCTCCCGGTACTAACCACCCTCCTCACGTCCCGGCATCGGTGGCTTCGTTTGGATCCCTGAAACAATTCCAACAATCTCGGAAACCTGCAAGTGCAGGCACTGCCACGAACTGTCTACGCTGTCCAATTGAGAAGACTTGTACCTATAGTGCTCCTAGGATATATTACAACAACCAGCTTGCCAAGGGAAACACCGATTGGCCAGTCAATATCGTCAACCCCGAGATCGAAGCATGCTACAATGATCATGGCAAAGAAGCTGCAAAAGAGATGCTGTTCAAGACGCTTGAAATCGACTATGATAAGAGCACATCACCTGAGGAGATACACAAGCGTCCATGGTTTGGCAGATGTGTTTGGGAGTCTGAGAACGATGTTTGTGATGATCAGTTCGTCCTTCTCTCCTGGAATGACGATCCCTTGCCCGGAACAGCCAACGCCGGTCTGCCTTGCCCTGACGGCAATGATCCACCAGCTAGGATGGCCAAAACTGCGTCTTTCCACATGATCGCTCAGACCGAGAAGCAGTGTGAGCGGCGAGGCCGAATCTATGGCGAGAAGGGAGAGATCTCATACGATGGAACCCTAATCACTATTTATGACTTCTCAACCGGTCAGTTTCAGCATCATCATCCGCATAGACCTGGTGGAGGGCATGGTGGAGGAGACTATGGACTGGCAACACAATTCCTCAAGGCCATCAATGCGGTGAAGTCCAAGGAAATGTCCATCGAGGAAGCCCAAACTACACACCTGGGATGCACCTTGGAAGAAGTCATTCGAAGCCATGCTCTGGTATTCGCAGCGGAAGAGGCTCGGCTTGAAAACAAAGTTGTTGACTGGCAGCAATGGTGGGATAAAGTCAATGTTGCCGCCGATGCTTCAACATCCGAAACGCCGCATATCAACGCCCAGCAGTCTTGAGTATCTTGTTTTCACCAACCCTAACGTTACCTGGACCAAGTAGCTGCAGCTTCTCCTACTTTTCGCATGCTTTCTACATGCCGTCGTGTTTTATTCAAAACCTTCCTCATATTCGGTCGTCTTGGCAAGCATACTTGGCACGTTTCAGCGAGTGAGGCTGTGTTGACCCCACTCACAATGATCATCTCCGTGGTTCTCACCATCACAATTGACGCTTTCTGAACGATCTTCAAGTAAAACGACTGATTCAGGCATATCAGATTGACTTTGAGCAATGATCGAGTAATTAGGGCTGGTCGATCACCTCGAACGCCCTTGCGACTTTTCCCTTGCACATCCTAGCGTATCACTCCTCATCACGTCCTTTCATGTATCTTGCTCCAGTGAGATGTCTGCTTGAAGTTGCTCGCTACCGAACAGTCCTTCGATCGACCTGACTCGCATGCATTGATACACTTTCAACCCGCTCACCATGTGCTTCAACCGAAGCGTGGTCCTTGTGATCCTCATCGCATGGCCTATTCAACATGGGGAGTATTGAGACGAGATTGAGCGGGTCAACACATGGAAGGATGTCATCGTTTCAGAAATATACAGTGCAACATCAGATGTGGTGGTTTTCGATGAGTGCGAGAACAGCAGACACCAACCCTGACCATCCACCAAGTATATATATCCACATCTCTGCACCTTCCCACTCTCTTTCTTTCTCCAGAGCCGTGCTCCAGATCAATCAAGCAACACATTCATTCATTCCTCCAAAAGTCACTCTTTGAACTTTTTTCAAATCAACCTCTTTTCCCTCCAACAAACAACTTTATATTTTCAACTCAGCAAACATGCGTTTCAGCACTTCCGCCATTATTGCCGCCTCCCTCTCTCTGGCTGCTGCCGAGAGAATGGGTCCCCTTCGCACTCGTGCCTCTGGCAGCTTCCCCATCCCTGCCAGTCAGGGTTCCGTCACCTACGATGACGCCAAGACCATCTCCGGATCCTTCGATGGTGGTTACAAGACCTACGGCCGTGGTGTTGAGTGCGGTGGTCAGGCTGAGGGCCAGAACGGTGATGCCGTCTTCGTCCTCGAGGACGGTGCTACCCTCAAGAACGCCATCATTGGCAAGGACCAGAACGAGGGTGTCCACTGTCTCGGTGCCTGCACCATTGAGAACGTCTGGTGGGACGCTGTCTGTGAGGACGCTCTTACCTTCAAGGGTAACGGTGACGGAAAGGTCATCGGTGGTGGTGCTCGCAACGCCGAGGACAAGGTTATCCAGCACAACGGTGTTGGTTCCATCTCTATCGACGGCTTCACCGTCCAGGACTTCGGCAAGCTCTACCGCTCTTGCGGCAACTGCAAGCAGAATGGCGTAAGTTTTCATTACCCCCTTTGACTTCGCGGCATGTGTTAACGTCTCCCAGGATGCCAGAAAAGTGACCATTACCAACGTCAAGGCCACCAACGGCAAGTACCTTGTTGGTATTAACTCGAACTACGGAGATTCTGCCACTATCACAAAGACCTGTGCTTCTTCTGTCAAGCACATCTGCCAAGAATACAAGGGTACTAGCAACAATGACGAGGAGCCTTCTACTCTTTCTGAGGGTCCCTCCGATGCCTGCATCTACCAGGAGTCTGACGTCGAGGCTTGCTAAATCATTCTTCCTTCACAGAAGATGATCAAGGCTCGAGAGTTTGAGAATATGAGAGATCAGAGAGATGGATGATCAAACACACTACGGTTCCTCCTGCCAGATGTTCAGGCTGGTTCCCGAGACATTCTGGCAGCTTCTGACTTCGGCTTTTCGACAATCCTTTGTTGTGGAGGTAGCTATAGGTACTTCGCAATCCATGAAAGTTGAATCTTGACAATGCTTGTGGTTTCTAGAGTGATCAAGAGGCGTTGTTTGTGAGATCCTTTGCTAACTTCAAAACACTCTTGTTGTGCTTTTGGTGCCTCCAATCCTTTCCGTTGCCCATTCGTCTCTCCCTGTATATCCTCTCTCATCTTCTCCACTACCATTTTCAACTCTCCAATCAGCAGTCATGGCGTTCAGGTTCCTCCTCGTGGGCTTCCTCCTGGTATCTCTAGATAGTAGCGGGTGCAGCAGGTGCAGCGACTGGTCTTGCAAATGGATCTGGTCTGTACCAATGGCAACCCATGTTGTGATGATGAGCACCACTTCTGAGAATGGGCATGTAATCAGCGGAGCAGATCCAGCAGAAATTATAAGAGCATCTGGAGCCTGTTTATCTTGTCAGCATGGGAAATATGTAAGAGGATAGGAGCTGAGGGAGACTGACATGTCATATGATCGCAGCCGTTGTTCTTCTGGATAGGCACGCGGCATTTAGGACAAGACTTTGAGATCTTTGCGACCTCCTGCTGGGACTCCTCTTCTTCTTGAGCACGCTGAAGGGTGTCCTGATACTGAGCGCAAGTCACACCTTCGTGCCAATTGGCCTCGCAGCTGACACAGTGCTTGTGGCCGCATTCTCTGCAACAGAATGTGGGTTCATCAATGCCGGCTGGGTGGCAATGACCGGACTTGCAGGTAGTAGACATGCAGTAGCGAAACTCTGCATCTGCGGAGAGTGCTGCTCTGAAGGCAGCTTCGTCGTACCTAGGGGACTATCAGTCTTATTCGAGAGAATGATTGTATGAGTTGTCAACTTACTTTGAGAAGTCCTCAGCGTTCGTCATGTTCTTGACTTCCTCGTAACCCAAGAGAACGGCACACTCTGGGCAAGCAACCTGATCCCACATCTTTGAGTCGATCTCGACTTGGATGTGGGTCATGTAGCAGGCACGACAGACATTGGCTCCATGGTCGTGCGAGGACACCTTGGTCGAGCTGGGGAACTGATTGCTGCCCTTGTTTGTGTCGCAGACTGTGCACGTGCGTCTGCTCAGAACTCTCTTCTTCTTGGGAGGCTCAACTGGCTCGACAGGTTCGACAGGCTCGACAGGGGGGGTGCTGGCTCTGCGTTTGAGGGCAATCATAGTGGCTTCGATGGCGTGACTGACGCACCAAAGAGACAGGACTGGGAGGACCACCAAAGGTATAGATGAGACAAGGATGCTGCTATGCGTGAGTCAGTAAACATACCAAACTATTGGGGTCAATGGACGTATTCGAACCTGTGCAACGTCGTTGTGCAGTAGATTCAACGACAGAATGTTTGTAAAAGGAGCATGGCACGTGTTGGTGAGATTCAGCTTGGCGTTTACTGTAAGTGAAGTGGTCATTGTCTCACGAGCCGAATCTCCGGACTATGAGGTGGTCGTCTCAAAACACCATACCGAATTGACCCCTGAACGACTTGCCAACCAGGGACTCTCAATGGACACCATCCACGTCTCAATTTTCTTTTCGCATTTTGACAGTATGATCTAATGTATGAGAGAGGAAGAGAGAGTTCAAAGACTAACAACTCAGGGGTGGGGCACTATTCGTCCGATGTCATTGGTGAGGAGGACAAGCTGCCCGTCAATGAGTCCGGATGAGAACTCATGAGGCAAAGAGGCTAGCAAAGAAAGCCCGGTATCCCAGACAGCAAACTCGAGCACGAATTTGAGGAAGGGAGAAACTAGTAGGAAGCCCACGAGAGGTCTTCCGAACAGTGGTATTAGGTGGCATGAGTCAATAACAATTCGACAGTTACTGGACCTTTCGCCATCTTGAACCCCCTCTTGCAATTTGACAGCAGGTTTCTGATGCATGAAGGGGGGAGGAGAGTCCAGCGAGTAACAATCCAAGGGCAATCGTCGGGAGACATCAGTATTCTGGAGAGGAAGGAGGGTCGTCAAATCAGGGGTTTTCGATGGAACTGTTGAGAACACGAATTTGGCAGATCGCATCCGAAAAGATTGAGAACGATGCGAACGTCATGACGACGGCTACCAAGACTTTTGGCTAACTTCCCAGCCATCGGAACACGAATGCGACACGCCCCTGCCAGAGCACAACCCTCACACTTCTCATGGTTTGATTGTTAAGCCATAGGCTAACATGGGGAGTAGGATAAGAGTGTGTACACCTTCTCGATTGAAAACCAATGAAACAACTTTCTGCTCGAGTTGATTCGCTCATCTTCTAGAGTTGGCCTTTCCTGTTTTAGCAGGTCAGAAGTCAACGTGTCCTCGATAGACCTTGCCCAGTGGGTTCGATTTCGACCCATCAGTTTCGATATGTCAACCTCAGGGCGCAAAATCACGTCCAACTCATTATTGTCTTCCTCGTATAGAGACTTTACCTGATACTCTTGTTGCGATACCTGAATCGACTTGCTTATCGAAAACTATGGACAGCCACGATTTGGTCCTGAATTGGCGTGGAGGTGTGGTTGAGAACAGCCACATTGTCCACGCCGCCATTGTCGACAGTGACAACAACCTTCTCTTCTCCTTGGGCGACCCAAATCGCCTGACGCTCGCACGTTCCGCAGCAAAGCCCTTCCAAGCACTTGCGATTCTGGAGACAGGGGCTGCAGAAAAGTTCAATTTCGACGAGGCTGATGTCGCACTCATGTGTGGCTCACACAACTCAGAGGACAAGCATGTGTCGCGTGTTACGGTAATGCTGGACAAGGCAGGTGTATCTGAAGAGAACATGAATTGTGGTGGACACCCTGCCTTGTCAAAGACCATCAACAACGGATGGATCAAAACTGGCTTCGCACCCACAGCTATCTACAGCAACTGCTCTGCTAAGCATGTGGGTATGCTAGCGGCTGCCAAGTCGTTGGATGCTGGAATTGAGAACTACCACGACCCGGCGCATCCTGTTCAAGCAGAGATCAAACGAGTTCATGAAGACTTGAGCAAGTTGATGCCCGAAGAGATATACTGGGTCATTGACGGCTGTAACGCGCCTTCGCCTGCATTACCCCTGAGCAACATGGCCTTGATGTACGCGGCGTTGGCGAATGCCGCAGATCAAGAGAAGTCCGCCAATGCATCGACACAAAACCAAGCACGCATATTCAACGCAATGGCAACCCACCCAGAGATGATCGGCGGAGACTCTCGATTCTGCACCGATCTCATGCGCGCCTTCTCCGGGACTCTGGTCGGTAAGCTCGGTGCAGAAGGCTGCTATGGTATCGGCGTCCGCGATTGCGAGTCTACAAGACGCCTGGGTGCCAAGAATGGTCTGGGAATCGCGATCAAGATTGAAGATGGCAATATCGATATGCTCTACGTCGCGTTGATGGAAGTGCTCACGCGATTGGATATTGGAACCGAGGATGTCAGAGAGAGCTTGAAGACGACCCACTGTACCATGCCCAAGAACACTATGGGTGTTGTGACTGGCCATACTTCGTTCAAGATGGATTTGAAGAAACGCAACTAGTTCTTGGACCGTCGAGCTGAAAAAGGAGCCCCTTTCCCGGACACTTTGTATCCAGATAAGCGGCTCTGCCTAAATGCCCCCTACGAGTGTGTTATCCTTTGTCACATTGACTCTCAAGCCGCGGCGATACGCATGATTCCATTGTCAAAATACACAATGTTATTCAGCAACAACACGTCGTCCACAGAAAGCGACGATTTGATGTCCTCTCTTTGGACCTAGTTCCACTTCTGAAAATCATCGTGCATTTTCACAGCAATATTAGTGACAAACTTTTGCCCAAGAGAGATAACCCTTCCATTATCTAAGTCATTAGTCTGTTGTCTGTTGTCTCGAGACAAACCCTACTTCTCGACCTTGTCGACATCTTCTACAAATGCGGCACCACCTTCACTGCCTCTCTTTTCGTCCTTCTCGCCGTGCATCATTCTCCTTGCGCCCTGCTCGACATCTCCACTCAGACTGATTCTGACGGGTTGGCTGGGTCCAGTGAACTTGTGAATTCCTTTGCTTCCATCCTTGATGAATAGGAAATCCACTTCTTCCAGGGTCAAATTTGAGGTTTCGGGATAGCTGCGCAATCATTAGTTTATATTCAAGAAAACAAAGTAGAAGCATGACGTACCAGAAGTAGACCAGAGGGATAAATGCGAGGTTGGTGCACATGAAAATGAGGTAGGCTTGCCATCGGAGGTTGTTGAGGAGGGTTGGTGTAATCATAACCACGACGAAGTTCTGTCGAAGTCAGTGTTGTGTCTCAAGCAAGAATTAGGAGAAAGTTTACCCAGAGCCAGTTTGAGGATACTCCAATGGCCGTTCCTTTGGCTCTTGCGTGTAGAGGTAGAATCTCAGGCACGTAAACCCTGGGACGTATCAGCACGCTGCTCGTTCCATCCAAAGAGCGAAGGGTTATCTTACCAAGGAATGCAATTTGCCGAAGCACCAAAGCAAAGCATCTGAGAAGAGTCGTTAGTGGTTATTCTCCAAGATATTCTTGTGACCAAGCACTTACGTAGGTAAAGAAGAAAGTCACGGCTGCACTAGAAGTGGCCGTCTTCACGCTATCAGAGTAACCACGTTCCCGAGTAAAGCTCAGCAAGATGGCGATGAGCATCATGGAAATGGCAAGACCGAGAGAACCCCACATCATTGGCTATGTGATTGTCAGTATGATGTTCAATCTGTTGCGATGAAAGACTCACTCGTCTTCGGCCCATCTTGTCGAGGAAGAATGTTGGGACCAGCGATCCAATGAAGAAGCAGCATTGCACAAATCCACCGATGAGAAGTGACAAGTTGCGAGTAAGTCCAACGTTTGTTTCGAGAGCTGTCGGGACATAGTATCTGCTACGAGTCAGCAATCTTGAACAAGCGGCCGTGGAGAGGAGATAGACTCACACGACCAAGTTGATGCCACCAATTTGGTTCATGAACTGCATGCCGTACGCAAGGAGGACACGTCTTCCAGTCTGAACTTCATCTTGCTTGAAGATCTGGCTCCATCTAGTACGTGCTCGTTAGTTTTGATTCTCAAGATGGAGTCTTGGACTCATACTTGTATTCGCCGTGTGCGCGTTCCATCGCTAGTGCATCCAAAATGTCCTTTTGTTCACGAGCAATTTTCTCATCTTCAGGTGTACCATCGTAGACGTCGCACAAGACTTGCAAAGCCTCTTCGTTACGGCCTTCCTTGTAGAGGTATCTGGGTGATTCTGGAACGCCGAATACCATAACGATGACAACCTAGAACTGTCAGATATTATGCAAAGTCATAAGCTTGAAACTCTTACAATAGCAAAGATGATTTGACAAGCAATTGGAAGACGCCATGCAATCGGTCCACCTGCATATGCGATGCCATAATCGAAAAAGTATGCAATAACAATTCCAACGCCAACGAAAAGTGGTTCGGAGCTGACGACGCGACCACGCTTGTGTGCCTCTACCAGTTCACTTTGGTACATGGGGACAGTGCTGGTTTCGATACCAGTGCCAATTCCAGTAATGTAACGGGCGACCAGGATTTGGGGGACGCCATAGGAAGTCGTTTGGAGGATTGCACCCACGATCTGATCAAACACTTGTCAGTAGTATTCAAGTATGTGTTGATGATGTGCCGAGACATACGATAAAGACCATAGCGATCCACATAGACATGCGTCTGCCAGCCTTCTCGCCTCCCAGGAAAGCCAATATGCAGCCACTGAAGGCTCCCTGTCTGTCGTCAGTCTCGGAAACTCGTGCTTCGATGAAAGAGGCTAGTACAAGATTGTAGATTGACACAATAATACCCTCAAGTCCACTTCCGGGATGGCCGAAGGTTTTCAGCCAATCTGGGTTTCTAACAATTCCAGAGAAGACACCTTGATCGTCTGCAAGTTGTTAGTCCTGGGGTTGCTGAGTGATTACCAATTGACATACAGCCAAATAGAATGAATGCAAGCTATATTCCATTAGCATGGTACATGAAAACAGTTCTATCTACTTACCTGGCAAGTCACCATGATGGCAATCTGCAGCGGTCTGCCGCGCCCGAACCAGTTAAGATGAGGCATGATGTGCTGTATCTTTCAACAATCAAGCAACAGCGATGAGATGAAGAGGAGAAAACAGAGTCGGGTCCAGAGTCCGCGGGTTGCACGCGAACGACCTACATATAACATTCATACTCCCGCACAACTCTCCGATGTTCGATTGCACGGCACGAGCATTTATTGGCTGCAAGCCTAATAGCATCGGTAGATGTTTGAGACTGCATGAGCAAGTATGGATCGGTTAATAAGGCTCGCAATCGACATGAAGAAGTGCTGTATGAGTACAAGATCTGCATGATGTCCTATGGATGCGGGGGTGACGGTTGCGGAGATGAGGTAACGTGGGGTTGCAAACATGGAGAGACGTGATGATCAGCAGGGTGCCTTCCGTTAGGTAGTACAGATGCAGTAACCCGTAGCGCTCGAGGCTGGGAAACAGATCCGTCGTGAGTGGAATTGGTGGAAATCCGTTACCAGTTGGAGGTACTGTTGAAGAATAGCCACGTGCCAGCAACGCGTCTATCGCAATCCTTCAATTTTGGCTTCGAGTCATACAATAGGCATTGGATGTGGGTAGAGGTGTCGGTTTTTCGCGACATGTCGATATCGACAATTGTCGGTGTTGTCGTCGACAGGTCCTCGACAGTCGGTGTCCTAAAGCACTAACCTTGCTGCCTAACGCTTGCCTGCTTTAAGGGCTAATTTGCTAGTTAAATCGTCATATTCGCGGGTTAAAGTTAGTCCGATGTAGGTTAAATGACGTAAATTCGGGAAACTATTCTACTATAACCCTTAACTTCTAAAAACTAACCTATTAGTCTAACTAAAGGTTCTACTTAGCTAAGAAGGAGATAGAAGGGGAGGCATGTTCTCTTTATTACTACTATTATATAGATTAGTATAGTTATATAGAAAGGAGGGAACGACAGTAGATTACTCTAAGGGTCGAGGTTAGCGAGAGGGGGTCGAATCGAGTAATAGAAGCGGTATAGACGATAGTTAAGATAAGTTAAGAGGTAGTAGGGTTAATGCTAAATCTAGCGGTATTACGAGGCTCGAGAACTCTATATTAAGTGGCCGCTTACGTAGAGTTACATTAGAGCCTTAATAGCGAGGTTAAGAAGGCGTATAATGCTAATTTTGCTATATGTTTTAAAGGGGTTAAGAGGGTCCTATAAATGTTTTAATATTAATAAAGTCCTCGCCATTAACCTCCTCCTTAGGTTCCTTATTATTAAAGACATAGTTATCTCTAATTTCGAGCGTATTAGCGAGGATCTTAGTAGCTTAAGTCTCTAAAACTTCCTAAGGCGTAATAGGGTCGTCTTATTCTTTAATTATCTTCGTCACGAAACCTTAAAAGTTAGATTCGTAGATACATCTACGAATCCACTCCGTACTACGAATCTACTATATCTACGACGCTTAGATAAATCTAAGACTCGTAGGGACATAGATTATAACTATATGCCTACGTCTCCTAGGTTGCGCTTAGTATGCGTATTATATTCCCTCCTAGTGCGTAATAGCTACGTTTCTATTACGAATGTACGTGCTTCGACTCGACCTTTTGTTATAATAAAAGATACCGCTACTTTAGTGTAATCACTAGTTTAACTAGCAGCTCGCTTACTAGTTCGTCTACTAGCCCGTCTACTAGCCCGTCTACTAGCCCGTCTACTAGCTCGTTCGCTACGTTCTTTTAAAGCTATCCGCCATTATAGGTGTCTTGCCTTAGGAGTTATATATCCCTTCGCCTATACGGTATCGTAGTATATAACATAATCGAAAGTCACCTACGTTTATAAGCTATTCCTATAGCTCTCGCTTAACGTATAGTATACCGAGTGCGTAGAGCAGTAGCGAGACTAGATCGAAGATTAACGCGACGCGTATTTATTCTAGTTCTTGCCCTAGGTTATCTAGGAATACTTTAATGTATAGACCTCTCTTATTGTACTTCCTCTTAATAGTGTCGAGGGAACTACTATAAAACGGTCGGTCCTTATCTAGCTTACCCCCCTTAGACTCTACTTACTACGTAAGATTCGCCTTACCCTTTCCCTTCTACACCTAGTAGAACTATATTAAATTACCCCCTTCGCGCCCTGCCTCCTACTCGACGGTAGCCTTAATCTCTTCCTATACCCTTAGCGACATTACACTTATAATAAATGACTTTAGAGCATCTCCTACTGTAGGCGTCGATAGGGCTAAATTAACCGAAGCTATAGGACTAGATAGCCTACTACTTACGTTACTTACCTCGCTCGGTATATCTATGCGCCGACGCTTTACTAATAATAGTAGCTTATAGCTACGCTTACGACGAGATAGTATCGCCTCGGGGCTACCTCTAATTGCGCTATCTAAGCGTTCTTCTCCTATAGACGATAATATCTCTATTATTAGAGTCGGTGCTATTTACGAAGTAACGGTCGGTAGGCTAGTCGCGACGGTAGTAGAAGAAGTAGTCGGATATAGAGGGGAGGAAGGTAGGCTAGTCGAGACGGTAGAGGAAGGTATAATTAGACGTATAGAGTAGGAGGGTAGGCCGGTCGAGGCGGGCACTAGTATAAAATCCGGTAGGTCTATAAGCTTATCGTTAATCTCGTTATATTCGCCGCTATCCGACTGCTCGTTAGACACTACTAGAGGGCATTAGCTTTTCGCTAATAGTTATTATAGACTTACGTACCTTCGTCGTCGTCGTTAAAATTAAGGCCTATTATATTATCCCTAATGCCTTCCTAGGGTCTTAGCGCTATTATCTCCGCATCTAGGTCTTCCGCCTAGGTAAGCTATTTTCTCGCTCTCTTCGTAATAATGGATAGCACTTTCGTTTTATGTTGCTTACTATTCTTAGTCCTCTATATATGCTCATACTACGTATACATACGCTAGGCGACGTCGGTTTTAAGGGGCGTCTATATATCCTCGTTGTTTCTTATCTAGCTTATACGCCCTCTACTCTATGTCCATATAATATGCTCTATAGTTATTGTAAGAATAAAAACCATGTAAGGTATAACCGATATAAACTACTGCCTCGTATTACGGTTATTTACTAGACTAGTCGAACGAAAATAGACTTTAGCCATCATTTTAATAAACAAGTCGCTTAAGAAGCGAAGTTTCTATTATTATGTTAGCCCGAGGCCTTCTAATGCATTATAGATACTCTACTAGATCGCTATTACGCATTAGAAAGCGCCCGTTTTCGCCTTCCTTCTTTGCCTACCTTTATAGGAACTCTCTATTATTAACTGTCTTTCCCTTAGGGGAGGTTCTATTAAAATAGGTGTTTATCTACATCCTTATTATCCGGTTAAAGAACTTGCGCCCGTCGCGCGCCGCCTCGCGCAACTAAAGCAATGTTAATAGATGCGATATAGTGCATACACTAAGGGATGTCTTACCTAGAATCTTATTACCCCCTTAGGAGCCTTAGCTACTATAAAGTCGGCGTTATCTTATACTTCCTTCGACTAGTAGGAAAGCTATAGTTGCTAAATGATGCCGTCTATCTAATAGTCTTTAGTTAAAGCTAGGTTAAAGGTAGAGCAAGTCGGCTTTCCCTCTAGCAGTATTATACCCGTAATGCACGTTACCTTAAGCGCTACCTTTATTAAGTTAAAAACCTTACGTGCTTCTAGCGGTAGGGTAAAACTCTTCTTACGATTAATGACCTAGCTAAGTGCCTAATTATTACGGTACTATCTCCCTTAGAGTGTCGCCGCTACGGCTAGTAGGACATCTACGCTAGCTACTGCTGTTAGCTCTTATATATTACTACCTAGCCTAGCTACCGTCGGGGCTAGCTCGTAGTTGTCGAGGGGTACCTAAGCTATATACGCGTTAGTATAAGTTCGCGTCTCGACACGAGCATTCGTACTTATACGGTTAGGTTTATACGAACTTACATTCCTTCGTAGCGCCATTAGAGCATATATAGTAGATGTAATACGCGTTAATTAAGGTAAGAGGGGGAAAATAAGCGTTAATAGAGTAGAGGACGAAAGGAAGAAGCGAGAGGGGGAGGGGGAGGGTAGAAGAAGAAAAGGAAGGGAGTAAGGATACGTAGACGCGATTTCGTCTATACGATAGTCCGTTCATTTGCTTACGTAATTCTAGGTTACCCTATCCGTCGCGTTAGACGCCTACTACCCTAGCTACTAGCCGCCTAGTAAAAGCGATTATTTCCTATAACGGTCTTTATGTCTAATGTATATTAGCACTACGTTTCTACGCTCCTCTCTTATACTTACTACTATAAACTTAAGCTTCTTCTTCTCGTATAACCGGATTACAATTAACCTTTCCTAGTCCTCTTAATTGTCGATTATAGCTAGTTTCTCGTCCTCTTAATCTAACTATAGTCGGTCTACCCTTACGTCGTACCTATAGCGAGCACGTAGTCTTTTAATTAGCCGAGATAAATCTAGCTGTTCTAGTAGGTACGCTGTCTACGGCTTAAGATCCGCCCTCGCTACCTCTTTTGTAAGGCCGACTGCCTTAAAATCCCTACCCTTTATAGTAACCTAGATAGGCTACGCTGCTATAATTAAGTCTTAGTCTCGACGATCCTCCTCGTCCTAGCTAGCGCGGTTCTCCTATTTAGCCGCTATGCTACTGTCGTAATTAAGATTAGGGCTCCGTTTCGTCCGACCTTTACGTTCCTAGCCCTATCTCTTTAAATTAGCGTTTACTCTATAAACGAGTTTTCTAAATGCCTCTCTGCCGGGCTTAGTCGACATAACTTTAGTAGTCCCTTCGAATCGTAAAGAGCCCCTATATTGCCTTAATACCGCGCTAAATATCTCTACATCTACGTAGTTTCTTATCTTAATTGTAACGAAGCTCTTTCCGACGAAATCTAAGGTAGCGAAGGTATTAGCGATAAGGGCGTAGAAGTCGTAATACTTCTATACGTTAAGCTAAAGAGCCTATTTAATTCCGAGCGCTATAGATTGCTTCTAGTTATAGCGCGTAGCCTTCGAGCTTCTCGTCGT